GTGCTGTGTGTGTGTGTGTGGTGTGTGTGTGTGTGTGTGTGTGTGTGTGTGTGTGTGCCGGATAGGAGCCTATTCTAGGAGGGGCGTGCGACGGCAGACGATGGCGGTGCATTCAGTACTCACAATCACCTATCCAACCAGCCCGGCAAGAGGCCATCTATCTATTCAGAAAAGTAAGACCGGGTGTTTGTTCTTCCCCAAATCAATTCCATCTTGCACCCACTCTATTAAAACCCCCTGTGTCTGCTCAAACATTCAAGTCCACGACCTCGCCCGTCTTCAACGGCCCAAAACACTTCTTCCACAACTCATTCTCCTCCCCCAGGAAATAATGCAGATCGACCTGGTGCATGCCGGCCTCGTCATCGTCACCCGCCATGCTCTCCAGCTGCGCAATCACATTGCCCAGCCCAAAGGCCTTGCCCACGCTCTGCGTCGTGCCAGCCTCCAGCATGACGTGTACCACGTGCACGTGTAGGTGGTAGTACGTGGGTTGGTAGTGGAGGTAGCACTTGAGCTCGTCGGGTTCGAGCTGGCCGGCCGGAAAAAAGGCGGCAGTGTTGGCGATGATCTGCTCGCGCAGGGTCTTGAGCCAGGGTACGTGCTTCTTGCGCAGATCCCGCAAGGACCACAGGTCGCGCCGCTGCACGAGCGCGAGCAGGTGCATGCCCTGGACGGTCTTGCGGTCCCAGTTCAGGTCCGGCAGCAGCAGGAAGCCCGTGTCGGTCGGCGAGTCCCAGTCCACGCGTGCCATCACGTCTTCCTGCTCCGTGCGCCCCTCAAGGATGTTGAAGACCCAGTCAAGCCGGCCCGCGGCACGTTGACGCGCCATGTACGGCTGAATGTGCGTCGCGTAGATGTAGGGTGTCTCGGTGACCATCCGCACGCGCTGCGCCGAGTATTTACGGACGTGCTGTGGCGAGCACGGATAGATCAGGTTGAGTTTGAAGTCGGGGATGGCTGAGGGCGATAATGTTGTAGATGGTGATGGGGAGGAGGAGGATGTTGGTGAGGGGTCCGTGGAAGACGCCGAGAATCCTTCCGTGGACCGGTTCGCCATGTACCATCGATAAATGTCGTTGGCGCCGAGGTTGGTGGTGTTGATGAGTGATCTCAGAAGACTCGAGACGAGCTCTGGCTGTGATGGGAATGCTGCTCGTTCGAGAGTGATGAGCGCAGGCTGGTCAGCGATGCTGCCAAGCAGAGATATGCGGCGCCCATTTTGGTCTGCCTCACGGTATCTCGGTTAGAGTGAGATCGATCAAGCCGGAAAAGGGAGCAGCCTGTGAAGAAATCGGGCCGATCGACGGCGAGGCTGGTCACATCGCTCACCTTGATTGAGAACCCTCTCGAGCTTGAACTGAGGCACCAGTGCTTCGGCCTCAGCCTTGGTTTCCGGCTGTGGCGTGGACATGATACATTACCTGAAGTAGGAGGGTCTGAGTACGGCACTTGACTCCAGAGAACGGTGTGCCATGCACCGTTGGTCTTGCGAATGGGCACGGGCCTGCAATGGCCAGGATACAGTGAGATTCCTGAGTCAAGGCTTCCAGTTCACGATTTTGGCTGTGCCAGCATACACTTTTCCAGGTAACTCGACAATTCAGAGGCCAGTCCAAAGCACTTGAATGGTCTATTGCTTGATTCAGTAGAGTGAGCGATTGTTAAGGCAGGCAGTTTTAGTTGACTGAGGTGGAAGGTGAAAAGTCTCCGGGCGGTGTGATGATGCCAAGCAAGAAATCGCCCGGCGAACCCCTGATGCCGATTCCGCTGTCTTGGCAAAGGCAAGGACGATATCAACAGTCTACCTGATACAATGCACGTTCTTATAGTGTCCTCTAATGCTCAAGACATACGGCACCAATACATCTCTGACGTGACTCGCCCAATCTATAAATTCCCTCATCAGGATCTAAGACTTCGCTGTCTATCGACGAATGAAAGAAGGGCGTGCCTCAGCGCTTGCTCAGACTCTGTTCTGACCATACGAAAGACTCCTGTCGAGATACCCATCTATACAAGGTTTTGCGACATATTTCGACGTCCTGCCCAAAACAACCACCTGGTCATAAATGAACAGGGAATTTCTTCCTGATTTTACCGCCATGCCTAATCTTAAATTAGTCCGAGGGCATCGTGATGTATCTAGAAGTGCATATATGGTACCTGTAGAACGCCAGCGGAATGGGAATCATGGCCAGGGCCAAGAAGCCCAAGAGCGTGTTCCCCCAGCCCAAACCCAAGCTCTGATACAGCGGAGGCGCCGCCAGCGGCAAGAACGCCGCGAAGAGCGAACGCATGACCGTCGGTGCGGCGATGGCGGAGGCTGCGTGGAGGGGGAAAGCGTCGACCATGTAGGTCTGAAATGGAAGGAAGATCCCGAGCATCCCGATACCATATGGTACGGTGCCAACGACAGCCGAAGCCCTGGCCAGACAGGGTGCATTAGAACTGAACGAGCAGTTTTGGGCCCCTTTGGGTGCCGGGAGAATACTTACCAGTGAGCGTGTTTGTCGGTTACCCAGCCATACCATATCAGAGACATCGGCAGCATGATTCCGCACCACGTTGTCGTGGCCAATCGCATCTCGGCTTAAAGTGGTCAGTGTGACGTGGACAGAGCAGAGGATAATGTGCTCACGCTCGAATACTCCGTTGTTGTTCTTCATGAGCTTCACGACTTGTGCGTCGTTGTACCTGATCAAAACAAACAAAGCCACCTGATAAGGCGTTCCTGTTAGAAAGAAGCCTCGAGATGAGGTGGGGTCAAGCGCACAAATGTTCCTATTCCCACTGTGTACATGGTCAGCTCTCAGATCGTGGCTGTGATAAGTAGACGGCAAACCCACGCCCAAGATACGAAAGACCAGTAAGCTGGAGAGACCAGCCATACGCTTCTTCAAAGACAGTTGGAAGAGTGGTGAACATGAGGTCTGCACCAAGGTCAGTCCAAGAACCAGCCATGGCCGAGAACGGAGTACTCACACAGCAAGGCATAGGCAGTCGCAACATAGATACTGATAAATAAGACGATCGGAGATTTGGCTAGCAGCTAAGGTCAAAATCAGCCAACATTCAGATGACCTTCTTTGTCTAAACTTAACTTCAGTGGCCGGATCAAGCTGACTTTCAACAACTCATGAGCAGACATCGGGCGTTGGAGTGCCGACACCAGCTCAGGTCGACCAAGCATCTTTCTCATCTTTCGAACTTTTCGCTCCAGTATAACGACCGCGTTGGATTCTTTCGTGAAGAAGGTGATGACCGCCGTGGTAGTCCCAGCACAGAGCACCAGGATCCAGTATGACTGCGTCAACGTCAATGAACGTGTCTGCCAGATCTCAAAAGGGGGTCGGGATGATGTACCCATCGCCAACTCAGATATTCGGTGATGAACCCTCCACAAATTGGTCCCACTGTGATTAGTGTCAGTATTTCCGTGCGGAGCGCACACGGTCTGAGGTTTGCTTCCTACCAATAGGACCAAGAGATTGGCTTCCCACGATGATGGCCGAACCAAAAGCTCGTCTTTCAATAGGATACAGATCTCCCACAACGGCCGGCGAGATGGTGATGATGGCCGATCCGCCGACCCCGGCCAGGAACCGCATGACGATGAGGCTCGGCATGTCGGGCGCGAAGCTGCATCCCAGGAGCCAGGCCACGAGCGTCCAAGACGATATCATGACCACGGGATACCGGCCGTAGATTTCCGAGAGAGGCGCCAGAAACAGCGGGCCTATGGCGTATCCGAGAACGTAGATGGTGATCATCAGAGACCCCAGTACCCGAGACGGCTCGTGGAGGTCTTTCATTGTACTTTCGATGCCCGGAGCGCATAATGAGGATGCCATGGGGCTGCAGGTTGGAGTCAGCAATCTGTTTCGCCATTCCCCAGCCCGGACCTCCGTCTGTCTCCAGAAACACACCTGATAGTCGCCATGGTGGCCATCTGAAACATCAAAAAGTCTCGTTTCTTCCGTTTCCAGTTCCTGGCAGCTCAGGGTCAACAAATGAATTCAACCGTCATCGGAGGTATAGGCTCGCGCACTTTGGGTTAGCCGGGTCATCTATCGCGTCCCAGCCAACGATGCCTCTCTCCAAATCCATCAATGGCACCGAACTCTGGGCTGACGGGGTCCCTGCCACAGCCACCTCGACCGCCTTCTCCTGCAAATCGACTGCGCCATTTGAGACCGCCGTGCCGAGAGCTTTCTGATCCAGGCATTCGGTCTGGGACACTTCTGGGTCGCCGTCCGTCTTGGTCATCGTATTTGTGGTGTTCAGGAGACAAGAAACTTACAGATCTTGAAAGCGAAAGTCATTTCGACTCGTACCCCCGAGTCAAGCAATTTGTCCATTCTGCCTTGGGCTGGTGTAGACGATCTAAGAGACGCAGAGTCAGTCTATTTTCCCCCCATCGACAGCCCTCGGTACCTGCTCCCCGTCGTGATTGGTAGAGACGAGGAAGTCTCCAAAATAAGCCTCGGCTGGAGTGCCGATTCCCCCGACGCGGACATGTTATGACGATCTGAATAATAGGGGATGCAACCCCACGGATACTCGTATTCTGCCGGTGAAAGTCGTTCAGCGCTCCAAGAATTCAATATCAGTCGGGGAGAGGATGAAATATGGAGAGGAAGAACGGCGGATGAAGGAGAGGAGAGACTCGTGACTTCGTTGTCTCACATGACCTCGGCTATACTGCTTGTGATATCTCTGCGCCATCCAGTCTCAGGTCTTCCCAAAGATGCTGAAGAGACTCCAACAACACCCCAGAGGAGAAGAAATCATGCAATAAGCCCTTCACCTCTGTCCAAGCACGCAACTCAGGATACCTTTCAACCAATTGGAATGTTAGAGATCTCCCCGAGGTGGACTTTGTCCTATTCGCAATGGTCCAAGAGGCGATGAGCACTAGCCACATCCAAACGATGCACTTGGTTTCATCTGGAGATTTTCCAAAGAACGATGGAAGGTCCTTCGTCAACAGGCACCGGGGAATGCCGAAGACCAAGTGGCACGCCTCGAGAAGAGATCGCTTCGGACTGAAAGTGATGCTGGAATATAATAACAGGGAGAAGGTCAAGTATTTTTCAAGGTTCAGTCCAGGCGTACGAAGCGACGGACACGCCTCACCAAAGTTATCATGTCGTCTGTTACATGTCAGAGCGTCTTCGGATTGGGCTAGCTTTTGGTATTGCGCAATCCTCCCAAGGAGAATGACCATCTCCACCGAGAGGACTGCGTTTTGGACAAGTTGCTGGAAGCCAAATGGGATTCTGTCCACGATCTGTCGCATCTCGGCCGTAAGGGGCGGCTTAGGATAGAAAATGAGACGGGTGTCCTCGTCCTCCGTGAACATAGGATCTCCATGTAGCTGGCTCCAGCAGGTGTCGAATCTGGCACACAGTGAGTAATTCACCCACCTTCATCAGAGCATGATAATCACTAAGGACGTACTGTCTCACTGTTGGTTTGATCCACATATCTTGGTTCAGTTTATCGAGGCCACCCCTGGACTGCACCATATCTCTAATCGCTCTTCGATGCATCCGGAATGCAGCCATGTCTCCGAATGCCATCTTCCAAGGTAAGCATTGATATCAAGAACCAGGATCGAAACATACAGCTAGATGAGCCAGGAACAAGACTGTCATGATGGTTGCATCGTCATTGCAGCGATCGTGTCTTGCGATTCTGTCTCGTAGCTTCGAGATGGCGATCTGAACAAATCGCAGAACCCCTGCCGAAGGCCCGTCCTGTGAGCAAGAAGACACGAAGGCATCTCTTAAGACCTGCATAGCAGCTACACCAGCGTGAAAAGCATCCTCATCCTGCATCTGTCGGTAATAGTTCTTTTCAGGTCAGTATGTGTATGTCACGATGTTTCGAGTAGCCATATTAGTAACTATGGCGAGAGTCCGACTCATTGGAATATGAAAGCGCTCAAGCAAATGGGTTATTTTCTTCCATGCTGGTGCTCCAGAGGTGATTATTCAGGTGAAGACTGGCTCCGAGCTCCAAAATCAGGGCAATGCACAAGTTGACTCACATTTCCCAGTATGTTGACAACGTCAAAGACATGAAATATCGGATTGTAGTTGGCATCCACCGCGTCGAGGTCTGCACGAGCGCACGAATGAGTATATCAAGAATCTAGCCTGGGCGGTTGACCTACAAAACTCACTAGCCGCAGCAAATCCGTGAGAATGCCGATGCAGAATCCCTGGCAGAGGGTCGATCGGCGTAGGTGGTGTTGTTGTCGCCAGGAAGGCAGGAACATTTTTGTCGTGGCTGGGATTGAGACTGAAATCTTTTCCCGCCGTAATTGCGTGTCTGCGGCCTGTTGCAGTACTTCGTGTTCCGGCCATAGTTCTCGGTCGCTTTTCGACCAGTGCTTGGTCTATGGTCGTGACTATAGCATCCTCAGCAATCACAAGGATGCAGACAGATAGCCAGACTGGAAGACTGAAGCCAAGGACTCACAATTGATGAAGCTGAGGGAGGAGGCTTCTCTATCTGAATCCACCTCGTGTTTGGTCTCTCGAGAGGAAGCATATCTGATGCCCAGGCGGGCCCGTTGTTCTATCCAATATGCTCTGGTAGACACGTATGACTTGACCTGGCTGCGATGTTGTCGATCTTGAAACTGTGAAGGATGAGTATAGCAGATGAACACTCGTGGGTAAGTCATCTCGTCAGCCTGCCGACCATTTCCTTGAACTACTCTTGCTGACTGATTGAGCGCATGAGCGAAGAGGCTCTGGAGTCCATTTGTATAGGTAAGTGATGAGAATGAGCGGACAGCACGATGACTTCAATTATTAGTCAGGCCACAAGGACATGGGCTCCCCTGCACTTGGCAGGGGCTGTACACAACAAACGGGCCCAAGTCTCTAGGTGCAGGACGGGATCTTCCATGAATGCATTTCTTGCTAGGACCAACACCCTTTGTGAGTGTGGCACCCAGGCCAAGGTGATGCAGGGTGTCCCGGTTAGTCGGATGTGTGCCGTGCCTCCATCCTGTAATACCTCGTGCCTTTTGCTGATGTGTTTGTTTTGCTAGAGGGAGACATCTCTTTTCAGTTTGCTAATGGGCGCCGCAACGACGATACCCTAGCCACTCACAGGACGGTCTTGAGAAACCGCATTCGACCAAAATGTGACTGTTACAAAAGTCCAGGCGGCACAGTTTCAAGGGTCTTGAAGCTTGGGGAGCCCAACCTCGCGTGCTAGTCTTGATCAAGCAGTAAATTTCTCAGCGTTCGAGAGGTCTCGCCTAGCTAGCAGCCTCGTTAGGTATTTTCAAAGCTCCATGCCGCTTTAACAATACCACTGCATGGCCTTCCCGGGATAGGGTCGGCTGGGCGTTCTTCGGCTCAGCCATTGTGTCTCTGTTGAGTAATTGATCGGTAGAATCTGCGCTTGGTGGCCACCCACATGCAGGGCCGTTGCCGGTGGCACATCCAAATCCGGCCAGAGTCTCTATTAAGCCGCGCCTACGACGGTGTGAGCAGGTATCCCTCGCCACCTTGATATCCCTGAGGGTACTCGAAGCTATTGAAGACAAGCAAAAGAACAGCGCAAGTCTCGCTGATTCGTGGATCGCGGACCAAGGCCGAAACTGGGTGCCAACAACGTTTTCGGCCTAATGACTCGTCGCAACGTGTCGCTACATGATCTATAGGTCGCTCATCACGCTCATCACCACCCAAAGACAGGACCTTGAGAAAAAGAACTACATCAAAACATTGTGAGATCTGCAACTTCGAAACATGAACCCTCTTCGCTCACCGTCGATATGCGCCAAAGCAAAGCGACACGAGCCATATTCTCAACATATGGATAGCCTCAACCCCTTTGATGAAGGCGGGTTTCTGGGACTGGGCCAGCCATGCGCTGCCGAGGTTTCTGGCTGGAACGAAGTAGGTTCATTCTTTGAAAATTCAGGTATAAACGGGAGAAGCTGACTGTTGTCAAGACAGCCACAATGTCCACGCCTTCCTCGGAGCTGTCTTCCTGGACCGCCTTGACACCACCAAGCTCCTTTCCTCCAACCGAAACTCTCCCGACACCAACAGCACTGCAGAGTCGGACGCATAGTGATAAGCATCTTATTGTGGTGGATCAGCATGGCCGGGAATGCGAAGTGGTTCAGACTCGGGGCGAGGTATGTGCTTTGAAACAGGCCGCGGAAAGGCGGACCAGCTGACAAATTACCAAAGCGGCGGCGTGCACAGAATAGAAAAGCCCAGCGAGCATATCGAGCACGCAAAGAAGCCCAGATAAAGACTGCATCATCGACCTTGGCAGCGAATAAGTCGCAGCTGAGGACCCTAAGCCATCACAACCGCGAGCTTCTCGAGACCATTAAGCACCTCAGGGAAATCATTCTCCGGCTAGAGGCAGAGAATCAGCTCCTCAAAGAGGTGCAAAGCCCAAATATAAATGGAATGCACGAGTCAGGCGGATGGATGCTGGATAGTCCGATTTTCATGTCACCCCTTCCCTCAGAAGCGTACTGGCATGAAGAGAGATCGGATACCACAGGAACATGAACAGCCGTTAGAGGCGCGGAAAGTGCAGAGACTGGTTTGACCAAGAGTCGCATGGATGCCCATTTGCCGGGACCTCCGTTGCATTCTGTCGAAGTGCTGGTATTGTCTTTGGCCAGATCATTGCAACACGAATGAGATTGGCCGTCGCCGAGCAGACAAGACGCCACATCGTAACGAGTTGGAGGAGAACGCGGGCAGAGTACATGTCCAGAACATTTCCTCCAGTGTCTGTACGCTCGAGTTCCAGAGTACAATCATGGATTCAACCAGATGCTCCGATTGAGGGTGCACACAGCGCGCCACGGACGTCATCGGTAAACCCGATACCATGAGATATTCTTGAGGTGAGGTAGGCTCCTCATCTTTCTCCATTGTCGACTTGCGCTGTTGAGTGGTGGCCTTTGGAGCCACTTTTCCGACGTTGCCACAGCCTTGTGGAAGATTAAGGACCCGTTCTACGGAGTCGTGATCCTCCTCCTGCCAGGTCCTTGCACAAAGTCGCGAATAGCGGCCTGCGGGCCAGGACCTCGTGTGAACTGACAAGGAGTTCAGTAGATAGGTAGTTGAAGCCTCCGATGGTCTTGAACAAGTCTTGGTCAGCATCGGACATTGCTCACAAGATGTCGGTTGTGTGGAAACCGATGTGTCCATGGTCAGGGGCGTCAGGTACGACTAATACGAGTCGTGGCCATCCATCAGGGAAGTCCACTTGCCGATCAAAAGGCCATCTCATAAGCTAGATTGTGACTCAGGTGATATCAGTGTAATTTGTATAGCGACATTAGCTTCGATTACCTCAAGGGATGCATGTCTGTCGCGGTTTACCGGAACATGTAACATGTGCGAACTGCATGTGGCACCTTTCGCACGCAATCTCGCTGCTTTGTCGAGTTCATTTCCCACTGGCTGTGCGAAAGGAGACGAGCCTCGTCTTTCCTAGGCAAATCCAGTAAAGGGTCTGTGCTTACGAAAGCTGTTTCCGGACAGCTAACAGCTAGATCTGCCCGTTCGATGGAGAGGAGGAGCCAGCCTCAACAGCCAGAGCATAGTCGTGGGGTTGTGCTCCGCAAAAGCTTCAAGACGCCACACTAAAAAGATGGTGCCCCTTCCTCATGTGGAAGCCGAAAAGCAACCTGATTGGCCTCTTGTCAAGGGGGCGGCAAGCGAAGGCAATGAAAGCTGGCTGACTTCGCTCAGGGCGACTGCTTACTACCGTTCTGAAGCCAGCAATCAAACACGCAGCCAACGGTTATCTTGCATGGTAACGGCGAATACGGGCAATGTAGTCTGGATCGTCGAGCCCGTCGGCTGGAGATCACTGGCTGCATGCTTAGGTACTCCATCTTAGGCCTCGTGGCCGCTGCACGTCTTTGGCATGTCCGCTTTCCAGATGGTGTGGATCGAACAAGGACCCTTGCTGTGTCGAAGCTGTTTGGACAGTCTGTGAGATCTGCGAAGCTTTTCGAGAATGAAGGCCTTGTCGCTGTCCTAAAGCGGGAATTTGTGGCTTGCATGAATTACCTAAGGTTATACCATCCGCCGCCCCCAAGTGGACGACTGTGCGAGTCAACGTTTGTCTTCCTCTTATCTGTAAGCTTTCGCTTGTTCGGCCAGCGTGGTCCGCATTTTAGACCACTCTTCCCGCCTATGATGTATATCACCACTCTAAAGGAATGCCAGTAGGGGTAACATGATGCGCGTCGGCACCGGCGGAGTTGAAAGCGGCAGTGAATACCCTCAGAGAATATCTCTTGGTGAGTTATTCGCTCGTACATGCATTTTCTAAGATAGTTGTTTAACATCCTCATGCACAGGCGAAGTGGTGGGCCTGTCTCGATTCTTCCTGGCACGCTCGGGAACTGTGGTAGCGATGGCTTTGTCATCCATCAACTTTGTGTGAGAGATCAGGACCGTCGAAGGTCGGCTGCTGGCGTGGATAACACTTCCCACATGAAGACTGAGCCTGGTCACCTTTGGATGCCGACGATGTATAGCGTCGAGAACCCTTGCGTCTGCGGGTACCACGCTTGACAAAATCCACACCCTGAACAGGCATGTACTTGTGGGTCCAGGTGTGAGGGAATCGGAAATCTTTTTGAGTTGAGTTGGTGAGTGGAAGTATGAATGTCAGTCGATGGGCGGCAGGGAAAACAGACTTTGGTCCAGGGAGAGAAGATCCGAAAGCCACGCATGTCACAAACCAAATGTCGTCATGACTGGTTTGCTTTATTGTTCTCTTGCTTCACACCCAACCACTTCCGATCGCTGCAGTAGTGGTCATCCATGCTCTTTGCAGCTACCATGCCCAAGACTACACTCGAAAGCCTTGCTGCGCCAAGTCGCCCTTTAGAGGCGCCGGCTTTGGATGATCTAGAACTGCGGTACTCGTATGAAATCGCTCGAGGGGAGATGGGCGTCTTGTCTTTTGAACCCTACAAGGATCTCATTTTGCCTTACTGGACTTTTCGAACCGTTCCGCTTGCACGGAAATCAGCAGAGATCTTATGGTCCATCTTCGAATCGTACGTGGAACGCGGGGATTTGGTCGGAGCAGACATGACTCGCAAATTCGTCCAGATGGGGATGACGCGCGCCCGTCGGTACGCCAACCATAAAGGAGGTCGCAAATATGGCGCCGATGGGAAGCAGTTGGCAAAGTGGACCGAAGACGATGTGGACGGGAAGAGAAAGGAGAAAGAGGAGGCGAGTGAAATCTTCAAGGTTTACTGGAGACGCTGCATCGGCTCGGAGGAATACATTCGATTGAAGAACGAATGGTTGAAGGCCAAACAACAGTATCTCAAGGTCCCTCGCAGCTAGGGAGTTCAGACACGCGTTGTCGTTCATGTATCCCGATCATCTTTCTCCTTTTCACTCTGGGTGAGCTTCGTGGGAGTACCATGGATCGCCTCGGCAAAGGCAATCCATTCTTCAATCCCTTTCACAAAGGCGTTTTCGGTCGTTGGCACGGCGTCATGGCCCCATACAATAACTTCCTCGAAGGTCGACAATTCTTCGAGTGTCTTGACTGGTTCGGGAGGTTCGTCTTCGTCTTCTTCATCGGCGATCTCAATGTCTTCGTCCAACACAGTATATGTGGGGCCAGTCTGTGTTCTGCAAGGTTGTGGGAGGAATCGATCGGTTGTCTTTACCACGACGCCTGCGAGCATATCAACATCGGCCTCCTTAAAGAAGATGCTGTGCACATCCTTACCTCGGTACCCAGCAGGGACCTTCACGGGTTTACCTCGTAAACGGCGACCTCGAAAGTATGATGTTACCGTACCATCTAGTAGTCCAAATATCAGCGTCTTCGCAAGTGGCAGACCCAGGGACAGAGAAGCACCTTTCTCCACTAGAGGCGACCAGTATCTCTTCGTCACTTTGGTAGGCCCATTGTGATGGATGCGGCATGGGAGGATGTTGACGACGCATTTATCTTGCAAATTTCCTGACCGTTGCAAGGCAAGCATCTTCGATAATGCTATCAAGATATCACGATATGATGTCTTACCGATTGTCGTGTTGAAGGGTCGATATGGAAGGCTTGCGAGTGTGAGTGAGACGCGTCTTGTGGATGGAGCCACGCGTCAAAGAGCTCCCACGGTCCCTTCAATTAACGGATAAACTTCGGAGAATCTCCAATCAACGTCATCGACGTCTCGAACATTCAAATGGAAAGGCACAGCACGGCATGATCTGGTCGACGCTTCAGAACTTCGGCTGGAAATACTGGTGCAGAACCAAGGGTTTGTATAGCAATTCAAGTATGACACATCACTAAGATATCACGCACTATGATCGTAGTGTTCTTGGGGAGCAAAACAGTTCATGTTGACCAGCCGGTTGGACGTGCTAACAGGAAATCTACGAGTCAGTTCTGAAGTGAAAGTCCTCGAGAGACGTGCAGAATGTGGACATCAAACAGAGCAATCCGCGCTGAAATGCAGACCCCTACGCTCTGGAGAGTGTCACTAGCTGGGGCAGAATGGCGATACGAGTGCTCAGAAGACCGCGTGCCTTATCACCTCTCCTCGTTTTGAGCTGCTGGCAGCCTCAGACAGCCGGACGGCACTGCTGTATTTAGCGTTGCTTGAGATTGATTGGAGAAGTTCCCGAGCAGCTTTTCGCTGATTGTGAGACCGCATTTGACACCGAGATATGGGACGATGTGATCATGACAACAGCACCAAGGCACCATAAGTCGGAGGACATACCAACGCACTTATCCATACACCCAGCAGGGACAGCCAGTTGTCTGAGTCAGATCAGTTGCTGCTCTGGTCAATGCGGTTAATGCTTTTTCTTTTTCTTTTTCTTTTTCTTGTGTTTGCGAGGTTTCGTCTGGTTTTCCGCGTCTTGGTGTTTTTCAGAAGACTGTGTCGGCCATCGCTTTGAATGCTCCCGTTCGAACGCTGATTTGTCTTTTCGAAACAGCAGCATGCACGCCCGAGCATCTTCTACACTTGAATGTTCGCCCTGCTGTATCTCGAAGCCTAACAATTCTGACGCCAAGATCTTCAATCGAGGCGATCCACCTCCTGCCATCTTTCGATAAGGCGGATGGCGAGCGGTATCCCGGACATCTCGCTGAGGATGGCTGATCATCAACGCTTCAAGATCATGCCGTATGGAGTGTCCAATTATAACCCTGTCTTTTAGGATCTTCGCCACTTCCACCTGAACTTCCTTAAACGGTCTTGCGGATTTCATGTGATGGTGTGATATCCCACTGATATGTGTTCGGTAGTCTGTGACGGCCTCGAGTGGGAGAACGTAGGAATCGTAGACTTGGTCGCCATTGTAATTGACAATGCTGACACGAGCGAGTGCGGATTCTCTTTCTGGATTCGGTCCAACGCCGACCATCTCGCAGTCGAGAGCGACATACCTGCCGATTTCTACCCTAATAGCCGGTTAGGAGAACACACTTTGGGAGGAATGCTCAACATACTCGGGAGATAGCCCAGCGTTGATTGTCTGCGATGGCCGCCGAGTAGGAAGTCGTGGACGAGGAAGGTTGTCGGAGTTTTCTAGCTCTTGGATTGAAAGCGATTTGCTTGGTCCGTCGCCTTCGAGAGCCATGGCCCTGTGAGTGCGTGGTCTCTTCCTGGATTTGGGGGCGTCTGCGGAAGACTTGGGCGCGATATATTGCAGGACTTCCCTCTTACGTTTCACGCCATGCTTTGAGGACTTGGCGTGGGTGCTCTCAGCTGTGGTGCCTAGGGTCGCTTGTAATTTCTTCCAGTTTGCTGACAGGTTGTTGAGGTCCATCGCAGACCGTCAGCGTGGTCTAGAAGAAAACATTGTTTGGAGTTACGGTAGAAGAAAGAACTCGAGAAATTGTGGAGAAAATGCGTAGGAATCGTGCAGGGGAACAATGTCATCCCGCTCCGAACTCCACCATACTGTATCTCGCACTCCACACTCTCCCACCACCCAATATCACAGTTCGCACAGCTATCACCAGGCCAATATCTGCATATCCGCTCACTCCGAGTCCACTGCACAGGATAGTGTGATTTCATAACATCCTTGGGACTTGCATCTGGTTGGCGACTGGCGTTGACATTTTCAGTGTGGTTGCGTTTGCTTGTCATTGTCACCTGGTGTCGCAAAGAAGCCGTCATCTTGCTCCAGCCTCTGGCGAACTACGCTACAATTTGTGTCTGGATCCGCCTGCAGTTCACATTGAAACGCTTTTAAAGCCTCAATTAGCCACTGAGCAACGAGATGTCAGGCTCAACAGATATCACAAATGTCTCCATCATTGCATCTGGTCGGAAAGAAACAGTTGCCGGAGAGATACCTCAGAAAGCACATTATTCCCCGCCCTGGGCGGACATGAGCATAATCGGAATTGCTGGATCCTCAGGTTCTGGCAAGACAAGTCTGGCGGTAGAAATTGTGCAGTCTTTGAATCTTCCTTGGGTCATTATCTTGTCTATCGATTCATTCTACAAGTCATTAACGCCAGAGCAAAATGCTTTGGCACACCGAAATGAGTACGACCTCGACTCGCCGGACTCGATCGATTTTGATCTCCTTGTAGAGATATTGATGGATCTCAAGAAAGGGAAACGGACCGACATACCCATTTACTCTTTCCAGCAACACCAGCGGTTGGACAAAACCGTCTCAATATACTCGCCGCACGTTGTGATTCTCGAAGGGATTCTGGCCTTGCACGATCCGCGTGTGCTCGACCTCCTGGACATGAAGATCTTTGTTGAAGCAGATCCCGATGTCTGTTTGTCGAGGCGCATCGTGCGTGATGTGAGAGAGCGAGGTCGAACCATTGAAGGGGTCATAAAACAGTGGTTCCGATATGTCAAGCCTGTCTTCCAGACATATGTCGACCCGCAAAGAGAGATCGCCGACCTGATAGTGCCCCGTGGCATGCAGAACAAGATGGCCATCCAGATGATCGTCAACCAGACCAGACAGATCTTGAAGGGCAAGTCCATCAGGCACAACGCAGAGTTGGAAAAACTGGGCCAGCAGATCGAAGACTACACCCTCTCTGAAAATGTCATGGTCCTCGGTGAAACACCACAAGTTGTCGGCGTGTCGACCATACTACGGAACCCGATCACTAACCAAGTCGACTTCGCCTTTTACTTTGACCGATTGACAGCACTCTTGATTGAGAAAGCTCTCGATTGCCACAACTATGTCGCCACGGACATCACAACCGCAACGGACTGTAAATACTCTGGACTTAAATCTGCCGGCAAGGTTTCTGCCGTGGTCATCCTTCGAGGCGGAAGCTGCATGGAGACCGGGCTCAAGCGAACCATTCCAGATTGTCTGACCGGTCGATTACTCATACAATCCAACATACGTACCGGTGAACCAGAACTGCACTATCTCAAGCTGTTCCCAGATCTTGCCGAACACGAAACTGTCCTGCTTCTAGACCCGCAGATGTCGAGTGGCGGAGCAGCCCTCATGGCCGTCAAGGTTCTAGTTGATCACGGGGTCGCTGAGGAGCGAATTGTTTTTGTCACGTGCATGGCCGGGCGGCGGGGCCTGAAGAGGTTGATGACTGTTTTCCCGAAGATCAAGGTGGTGGTAGCTAGGATCGTCGAAGATAACGAGAAAAGGTGGATGGAGGAGAGATATTTTGGCTGTTAGCTCGGCTTTGGCAGTTAGACTTGTCGCATCTGGAGGCTACGCCTGGCGGACCTTGAGCAGGGATTGCTGCTGATTCGCCGAGTCGATCAAGCCCTATGGATCTGGAGACTGCTAGGGCCACAAGGACGAACACATCCGATGGTACAGATACAAATATCAGACGGCACCGTCGAAACCTCTGGGTCTGCATGAACTTAAGAGGATGGACAACTCTGGTTCGAGTGGAGCCCGAATTGCGACTATCAAGTCCTCCCTTGTGAATGGCGAGGACCTTCAAAGCATTTATAACCCTTCCCAGATTTTGGTTCGCAAGCATTTTCTTCAGCAACGACATATCATACACCAACAGTTTCCATATTGCAGACTTTCGCCACTATCGCACAAGACACACTTACATGCCTGGTTCCGCAACTGATACTGTGCTGCACCGACATCCCCACATTTCAAAGCTCATACTGTTCAGATCAAAGGTTCACATCTTCCTGAGACGACTTCAACCCCGCAACTAAGAACAACCGTTTTCACCATGGTTGTATTCAATAAACTAGCTGTGGCCTGCGTGCTGATCAACTCCCTCGCCGCAGCTGCTCCGACGAGCACGCCCGACTCCCATGCCGAAACAGTCGCGTGCATGGGTCTTGGCTGCACAAACCCCGAGCAACGACACCCATATGTCGGCGGCATTACGCACATGGAGGGGAGTAATGTGTTCCCTCTTAGTGATGAGAAAGTGGACGAGTTGGCGAAGAGAGGGGTCCCTGAAGTTGTGGCGCCTGATGCGCCGAAGACACTGGTGAAGAATAGCATCGTCAAAAAGCCACTGGAGCAGCTCTTTGTCGCAGAGAGCGAGGGCCCTGATCAAGGCAAGAGAGACAGGCAGAAGCAGCTTGAGCAGCTTGGGCAGCTTGAGCAGCCTTGGGGAGAAGAGAGCCAGAGCCTCGAGCACGGCAAGAGAGCCCTACAGAAACAGCTGGAGCAGGATGTTGAGGAAGAGAAGGACGGGGCGACCGCGCTGACCTCCAACTCGCCTCTCCACCGCTTCCGCACCTACGATATGGGCGAATCAACCCAACCTGGCACGACTGCAGGCAATCCGCTCTTGGAGGCAGAGGATAGACTGGTTAATGGTCTCAAACATGCTGTGGCGGGATGGGCCAGAGAGCACGGGAGGCATTAAGCTGTACGCGATGTACCGTCTGCGAGGGGATTTTTACTCGACAAAATTAATGAGCAGGGATCGAGCATCGGTCAGGATTTGAGGCTGAGAAGGAAATAAATGCTACTTCATAGGGGCTAAAGGAATGTTGATTTGTTTGCGACAGTGGGAACCGTGAGTGATCCGTATTCACGAGGATCGAATGCGAAGAAGCAGTTTATTCAAAAAAAGCATGGATACAGATTGAGGCGGACAAGGGGGAGACTCAGAGAGTAACATGCTGTCAGATACTCAGTGAAGACTTATCAAATGGAACCAAATGTCTGGAACGTTATACATGCTTCGTGGTATGTAAAGGGAGACTGCCGTGACGGCGTCCATGCACTCCAAATACACCGACTGTTCCGAGTTTCGTCCTCAGACCGGTGATAGAATGGGGGGCTTCAGCTCCACCCTACAAGCTCACTACGGAAGAGTGTTTAAACGGCCTAGCGCATTATCAAGAACGCGACATCCAGTGCGTGCCTGCAGCCCAAACCATCTGTCAATGAGATTTAATTCTACAACTCAGCATCTCCCTTCCCCCTCCTTTCGAACAGGAATCAAAACCATCTCGCTCCTTCTCCGATCTGAATCTCCCCTGTGTCCACGATCCTAGAGTCTTCCCGCTTCAGAACCGGCACCTCGAACAGGGACATCGGACCTTATTCGAACCTTAGGCACCTATCTTCGCACAGCCCATCATGGTGAGTTCTGCCCTAGAAGCGACACAATTCTTCCAGCTACAAGAGCTTGGATACAAGGAAGACGGAGCCTCATTTCAGGAGCATCTGGACTAACGCAGAGCGATCCCCTCCAGTCTCTCCGTGTCGCTCCCCCGGCCACGCACCCAACCAGCACATCGAACACCAGCGCCTCTAAACTCTCCTCGACGACGAGTGGCAAAGCCAGAGACAACCTCGACCGCGGTGCACCGTCCGCTCCGGGTCTGCACGACACCCTGCGCGCCTCCTTATACCCGCAGTCGACAGCCAGCACACAGACGGTGACCTCGGCGCACCCCTTAGAATCCCGGCTGGCGAACTGGCAAGCTACGCAGGAAGCTACGCGAATGCAGCTGCTGCGGCGGAACTTTGGCATCGCCGAGCCGCTGCGCCGGGGCATGGAGCTCAAGCTGGTGCGGGAGGCGGACTCGTTCCGGCCCTCCGTTCTGGGCAGGCCGGCGGGCGTGCACGAGGAGATCCTGACCGGCCGCGACGCCGAGATCGCCTGGGAGGACGTTTACGCAGGTCAAGACGGGCTGCGGTTGGCGGTTCAGGGCAGTGACGGGCAGGGGGTCGGCTGGATGGAGGAGATGGAGCGCAAGGTCGGCATGGGCAAGTGGTGATCGATTGATCGTGATCTGGCAAACTTGAGAAGAACAAGAACAAGAACAAAGAGAATGAAGATCGAAGTCGAAGGCAAGGAAGGACTCGGAGAGAGTCAGTCCACGTCTGTCTGGGCTTTCAATACTGTCTTAGGAAAGATGGCAAACGAGGGAACAAGTCGCTGCTGCATGCATGCATATCTTTTCTGTGCTCACTGGTGCAGAAACAACAGGACGGTGCTAGTGGGCGTGTGCGGCGTACGGCGCAATTAGTAGCCATGGATTGCAGCATCCAAGGGAAAAAAAGAACACAAGAGAGAGGGAGAGAAAAGACAATGAAACCCAAAGACACCTTTTTTGCAAGCATAGGAGGTACAACATATTCCTCGTCTCAGACAGAGCCTGGTGGTGTCTGTAGACTATCGCGATTGAGCCTACGCTTCCTTCCTTTTCTCCTTTCCTTCTTCCCCCCGTTCCTATTGCCGTTCCTCTCACGTATTCCAGGCGGATTTCCATCCCTCTTCATACCCATCCCAGCCCAGTCTTCCCCCAGTTAGCCATGTCAGCCAGCCAGTCAGCCAGCCAGGGGGGTGGGTGGGGAGCAACGAATGGGGCATCCAAGCACATACACTACATACAGAGGAAGAACATGGCTGTGTTCAAGGCATGCTCTGTCCCCAACCCCATCCCCGTCCCGATCCGATTGACTACTCCAGTGCTTGTATGATGATGGGGGTTGTTGGTTGGCAGTGGTCCAGTTCAGGCTTCTTGAACGATCATCACATCCGAAGCGTGCACAGCATACCGGTGTCAGTGTCAGTCCCGGAGACTTCGATCAAATATAAAGACGCAAAAAGATGTGTATTCCTCGTGCCCGGCGAAATATGTACTCCGTTGCAATGCTGCAAGATCCTGCCTGCCCTCCTGCCTGCCCCTGTCCCGGTCGGAGCCTCGTCCATCAAACCCCAGCCGCTACGTATGTGACGGCATGACACCTCCTTGCCCCGACAGCTGATCAGGCCCCATCTATATACAGCAATGTCTCGACTTTCGTGCCGCGGCGCAACTCGTCACTGATGCTCTCGGTCGGCGTGTGTGTGCGTTAAAAAGCAATTTGACCTTCGGCCTCGGTGTCTCGCCAGCTCTCCCCGTTTCCATTCCTGCTTTCTTGACCCACGCGGCGTATCTCTCCTCGAGCATCCTCTGAAATACTCATCTGCATCCGCTTGCAGACATAAATAGGGTACGGAATAAGGACCTGCGCCTCGATGGTTGCGCAGTCCCCAGCCCTAAGTAAAAAACATGCCGAAAACCCGTCTTTTCCACCAACGCCATGCCATGAATTCGGACAAGCAAAAAAGATGTCTTCCGCAAAAAGTTGGATGGAGCTAAAAGGAACCACCGTTGCTTTTGAAGGAGCGCATAGATCCTTCCTGATCTCTCAATTAGACGGTACCAGAATGTCTTTTCGCCGCATATTGGCCGTAATTCAGGCGCGCTCGCTCCATTGACTCATGTTCAACCAATTCATGTTTTATAACATAGCCTCTTCAGGTGGCTTGGAGGCCATTACATGATGATGCAACGACAGCCAGGGCTTCGCCCCTCGCCCTCGCGGTGTGCTGAATAGGTGGATTTGCCGCCCTTGGCGTCTTCCTCTTCGACGAAATCTTGCGGCTTGATTGTCATGTGTAGCACATTCGGTGCGTCGACTGAGAACTTGTAATCTGTTGAGCGAAGAGTCAGTTTCTGGAGTTCAACACCGCGAGCTGTGGCATCTCTTCCAAATTGCTCACCTTTTAGAGATGCTTTATCATCCAACAGCTTGCCCATACTTATCAGCCGAATAGAAGTCGGACTCGACGGTTTTGCCTCCCATTCTTCCCGCCATTCGCGCAGGATAAGTTCCTTCAGCTTGTACACACTCAGGTTGAACGGATCATTTTCCGGCACTTCGACATTGCGCTTGGCAAAATATTTATTGTCTAGCTTGAAGGGATGCCGTGCACCCGACGTGAGGAGCAGGGTCACCGTTAATGCCGGGCCGGCAGCGGATGTTGTTGTTGTTGTTGTTGTTGTTGTTGCTGGTGCTTCGTCTTTGGCAGGGACTGTGGGCGACGGGTCGTCTGAGGACGGGCCAATGGCGGTGGAAAACTGTCTTGATATTTTCTGCTGGGGGTCGGCGTCTGCTACAGGAGGGGGAGGAGGGCTCATCGATTGAACCATGGCGGTGTTCGTGTCGGTTCTTTGAGGGCCGAGTGAGGACGGCAGTGGAGACTCGTTCGGCGGCGAAGACATGGTGTCTGGAGGTGATGAAGACGTAGGAGGAGGAGGATCGGATGAGGCAGCAGGGTCCGAAGGGAGGTTCGACATGGCGACGGGGGGGTGGTTGAGAAGAGGTCTTGTTGTTGCGCACGAGATTGCTGTTGCAACCGAGGACTATCTGGGGCTAGCGGACGAGAGTGCCTGGATGGGCAGCGGGCGCGATTGAGAGTCGGTGGTAGCGCAGGTGGTGGGAGGTTACAGTACAGTCATCACCTCATCGGAGACGCAAACAGAATCGTAAGGCTCAACAGATAGTACCGACTGAGCACGTTGAAGATGGGCCACGGGGTGGTGGGAAGAAATGCAGTCGACTGCATTCAATTCAAGCGAGAGTGGCTAGAATGGGAAAACCGGGCCAAGTTCCTTGAAGCGAAACAAGGGACAAGCAAGCAAGGATGGCACCGGGGTTGGGAGGTGATGGAATGGATGCGAGCTGAGAGAGAACACACTCCGGATTGAGCCCGTGGGCGCTGGTAATAATTAGTGGCACCGTGGGTGTGTCGCAAGAGTAACTCTCGTACGCAGTTAGCACCCATTAGTAGCAGGCGGGAAAAGGAACAGGCCAGACCAACAGCCGCCCCGGGGCACGCACGGAGCACGCAGAATGCTGCTCTCCTCGGACTTTTTCGACCTGGAACGGACGGGTTCCGGGTATATTACTCTGAAACTGAGACACAATGGAACCGGGTCAAGACCTGCATGGCTAGTTGATGCATGTCCGACAACAACAGATCTGGGAAAGGGGGACTTGTTGATATGTTCAGGACCGTGTGCTTGTTTGGCCACGGGGGGACATCGTACTGGCTCCTGCTGCAGTATGTGCAGCGAATGGTGGAAGGGGGGAAAAGAGAGAGAGAGATGGTGAAGGGGGGGAAAAGAGAGAGAGAGAGAGAGAGCAAGAAAGGTGGGATTTTCCGGGGGGGAGGGAGGGTCCCAGGCACTGTAAGGGACTTGTGGTGCCTGTGTACTGTAGGTACGGGGGTGCCTATTGGGTGCCCGTCGCATGCGGGTAAGTTGGGGACGCGCTAGGCTTAAGGTACTCGGTATAGGGAGGTGTACCCCGTGCCTGAGAAAACCTTGGGCACTAGCCCTAGAGAGACCTTCCGCCCTTTACAGTTCCGCTGTGCTCGCATAATCACCCGCAGTGGCAACCTCGAAACCCCCAAACGGCCACTTGCCTCTCCCGCGTTATCTGTCTCAGACCACCCACTCCGTTCCTCTTTTGCCTCTTCGTTCTTGTCCCTTGTTCCTGTCCCCAGTCTGGTCATAGGTACCTGTGGCGCGGCACGGAATGACGACATCTCTGAGGTTGGCTTACTGCATAGAGCTTCTACAGCCACGCCTCATACCGCCCTGGGTCCTCGACTCGAACACCCTCATTGTCCTGCTTGACGCCCAACAACCTGACATGGCCAATGGTCGCTCCACTTGCATCCTGACTCTTCCATCCTTCGAGTCGGGCTTGTAGGGTTTTGATGGTTTCGCTGTCGTTCTGCACCAGGAGCGAGACGGCATCGTACCCTCCTGCGCCCGGCGCAACGCCTCCCACCACTCCGGGCAAGCTCGTGCAGAAATCCAGCAACTCGGTGATCACGGGTGGCTCAACGGGCACTCTGGATTTGACCGACATTTCCCTCACAAGACTTCGAATGGTGAGAATGATGTCCCCCAATGCGGTGAACCCTTGCTCGATACCCTGGACCCCGACCAGCCGCCGCAATTCTCGGCACAGTTCCTCTTGGCCTTGTTGTATCGCGGTCCACAGTAACGTCGCCTCCTCCATGTTTTCTTTGCGCCATTGCAAGACCTTCTTCACCATCCCCGGTGTCTCCGATCCACAGTCCACGTCGCACATGACCAGTGAGAGGCTTTCGGGAATCTGCACTGCCTGGCTGGCGATCTCGACGTCCCATTTGGCGTCCAGATTCAGATCATCCACGCAGCGGTGGAGTCGTTCGCCGAAACCAGCACTGGTCGGTTCGCCCACGTTCTCGAGGATTGACGGTGTAAATCTCCGGTAGAGGCACGACCCGTAGACCGCCGCCGCAACATCAAAGCCAGAGCCGACTTTCCCCTGAGCAGCACAGTGTGCCGCCTGAGCCAGATTATGAATGGCTTGGTGATTCAACTGTGATTCGTGGCTAGGAGCATCCTTCGATCTGTAGAATGAGAGAAGTGCAGAGACGAACGCCGTGACCAAGGCCGCCGAAGATCCCAGTCCCGTCTTGTGCGCGTCGCTCAATTTGACTCCAAAGGTCGTAAACCGCGCTGACTGGGACGAGAATGAGCTGCGAGGCTGAGCTGGTGATTGTGATTGTGATTGTGAATAGTAATCATCGTCGGCCAATATCGTCACCTTGACGCTCTTCGATACGTCCTGTAACCCAGAAACATGGGAGAGATAGGTCAACGCATATCGCAAGGTCGTCTCGACGAATCTGTTCGAGCTCGCGGTGAATCCTGATTCTGCTTGATCTCGAACTTGGTCGACTGTGACCACACCATCCGCTGTCCCTCCAGCAGGGGAGTCGACTCGGTACAGCCATTTGGCATCGACAAACTGCGGCGACTGGACCAGGACGTGCGGCCCGCTCAAGGCGTCAGGCACATCGTCGTCTTGCCATGGCTGCACGACCACGTGGATGCGGGCATTGAGACCGAACACGAGGCCCGTGTGCTGGCGGTCGAGGACCAGGAACCCGCCTGCGAAGAGGACCTTGCCTGGTGCAGAGACGGCCACAGCGGCGGGCGACATCGAAGGAAGAAAAGAAGGAGCGTCGAGTTTGTGGGATGACATGGACTTTTGGGTTAAAAGGGGGGGAAACAAATTCCATCGCCGATGCCCGACGAAAGCACCAACAGGAGCCAAGGAGCCAATCAGCGTGCGCAGTATATGGCGGTATACGAATCATGAAGCTAGTGATCCTCTACAAACACAAACAACTTCACGGAATCTAATAAACGTGCATAACGCACCTCCAGCCAGGGCTACCATTGCAGCTATTTGTGCTTCTTGTCGGTGTCTAGTCAAAGGACATTGTACCAGGTTCACACGATGGCAACAAAGGCACTTCTTGCGAGGAGGGATCAGCAGCAGCAGCAGTGAGCCGGAGTCCACTCCGTACAGAACTCGAGCAGCCAGCTCAAGGGCATTGGCAACGTTATCAGAAAGAAAGAGACAACAGTTCGTTGCTTATGAAGTGCTTGGTTGCTGGCGGCGCTAAACCGCATCCGGTACCAGGCCAACCGCCAACATTCGATGCATAATTCCTCGATCATTGTCCAACATTTGCCCTCACCGTCAACCAATCCCCTCCTCATCTCGGAACCCGCGTCTTTGACCATGGGGCGTTCTGGTGTCAGTCGCTCCACGTCTTTTTTCCATCCAGTCGGACGCCCTGGGATGCGGATGACGTGGTATGGGCTGTCGAGCCTTATGCTCCATGGCCATACGGAGCCTTGCACTTCCGTCGATATGGCCCTGATCTTATCTCTTTTGTGCTTGTGTCGCGTGCCCATGGATGTCCGTGAATGCCCCATCTCCGTTTCTCGTGGACCCTCGCTTGTCGAGCTGGGCATCATCTCTCTGGCACTGAGGTCACTCTCACCAACTCAAAATGTCTGTGTTTCCGGTACCTCCGTGGGCGAGGGGTTTGTACGCCATGAATTTTCCCCGCTGTTTGTTTTCTTTCCCTGCGCAGCTTCCTGTTCTTGCACTTACTGTGTACTTCCCTCTTGTCCCTCGCATCGTCGTTTCCTTTGGTAGTTGTTCGGCGGTTGGATGGGCAAGTGCTGCCTGCTGGGCGGAACTCTTCGTGGTCCATCCTTGAACATATACTTAGAGGGGTTCATTGCGTGGATGACGCTTGGACAATTGCCAGGATACTCCTCGTGGGTGCGGTTGCCGGAACAAGCCTGGAGGTGACCGACGCGACAACCGAAAAGCCAGATCCGTCCCTCCCCAACTATTTGACGAAATCAGTCCATGTTCGTATCTCTGCCTAGGCCTGCGCGGCTCTGAAGGGGACATCATGGGATTTCTCGGCCTGGGCGAGCCATCCTGGGGCACTCTCATCATTTTCCTTGGAGCATGGATCAATCGAGACTTTACCACCCCCGTGGCACGATCGAGACAAGGATCTTCCGTCGAACTCGTCGATGACGTTGACCATGAGATGGGACTCGGGTTTCGAGAAACGCTGGGTTCCGGAGACTCACCTAGTACGCCTTCTCCCAACGCTGCTCGACAGGGGCAGTGGCGTCACAGGGAGTTGTCCCTCCTCGGGCTGAAGACGACAGTTCAAACACCAGACACAGCTGTCTTCCGCAACCGGATGTCTAGCAAAGTGCTTTTGCGCTTTCCATTCTTGATCGAGATCGTGTACTGGGCTCTCATTTACGGCGTAAGTTGGGGTCATGCTCATGGTATGAGGTAGGCGACTAACACACTTTGCAGGTCTACCAGTTTGGCCGGGGCCAATTGGCTATCAGATTCGTCGACCAGACCGTCGACATAGCTTGCCATCATGCCTTGGCTGTCATCAAGCTAGAGCAGCAGCTCCACATCTTTTGGGAGCTGCCCATCCAGAAATTCTTCCTCCAGTACCCCCAAGCGATGTGGTTGATCAACCGAGTCTACAGCTTCGTCCACCTGCCTGCAACGATCACTTTCTTGGTTGGCTTGTACTATTTCGCCATAACGCGGAACCGCCCTAGTGTCAATTCGAATCATCCCGATCAGTCTCGAGGCTCGTATGTTCCCGAGCTCTTCGAATCTAGGCGTCGGGCCTTAGCGCTTTGCAACCTCCTTGCATTCTGCGTCTTCAGTAGCTGGCCATGCATGCCTCCTCGGCTGTTGGGGGACTCGAAGTTGCCAGGAGAGGCGGGTGAGCTCGCCCGAAGCTTTGGGTTTATCGATACGATCCACACGCGCGATGGAGCTACCAGCGTTTTCAACACCAGGAAATGGACCAATCAGCTGGGTAGGAGGGTATCCTTTTGTGGTCAAAAAACATATGCTGATTCCTGTCTAGCTGCGATGCCCTCGCTTCATTTCGGATATTCGCTGTTGATCGGAGTCTCCCTCATGCGACTGCCACTCGCTCCGCCGAACAGACGTTATAGATTATTCGTACCGGCCGTGTCATTTCTCAAATTCGACTACACCGGTTTCGTCCCCCGAACTCCCTCTCTTCCCAAACTCCTCTGCGAGATCGTCGGCTTCCTGTACCCGTCCTCGATCTTGGTCGCCATCCTCGCCACCGCAAATCACTTCATCTTAGACGCCGTGGCGGGCGGCATGATTTGTTTAGTTGCTCTGCGATGCAACTGTTTCATGAAGAACCTTTTACCACTCGAGGACTACGTTCTGTGGTGCCTCCGTATTCACAAGCCTGTCCCCGAACCGCCAATTCAGAGCGTGCGTCTAGACGACAAAGAATAGTCACCACGGTGGCAATCATTTGCAAACAACAAGGTGCAGATCGAGCGAGACAAGTGAAGTAAAGCATGGAGAAAGGGGTTTGTGGATGAGTGAATGCTGGGCCTGTAAGGCATAGAAGTTAGTTCGCAGCAAGAAACGGAACCGCATTTGGCTGGTGGTTTGGGATCGACGCATCTTAGAAACGGCATTGGGCAAACAGCAAGATCGACAATGAAGTCTACAGTTGAACGGGTTGGTCTGTACGAATTGACGGATTGTGGTTTGAGCGTCCATAGTTAATAGTTTCATTAATGCGTACTACACACATCTCCAATCTCGCCAAACAAGGGCCAATAGAATTCAAAAGGGTATCTCAGGAAAAGCACGCCATGCTCAACAGCATATGCATTTATTCATTTTGTTCCATTACTCTCTTCCGGGTGGTCCAGACAGGAGACCCCCTGGATTTTCATTCATGGGAGCCATGCAGCGACGTGAGCAATCCAAACCAATCCAAACCATCCAGCCAGCAAGGCTCTATAGCTGGCCAGCTGACCAGCTAGCTAGCTCACCCCCTCTCAAACATATCTCACCTCACCTCACCTCACCTCACCTCACCTCACCTCCTGCGTCGCTAGATCTGCAAAGCCTTCATCTTCTCCACCTCTTCGGCGGGCATCTCATATCCCTGTTGTCGTGGGAGATTCGATAATGCGCAAGTCAGCCTGCGCTCTGCATCGTATATTTATATATATATACCTGGGGATGATGGATGGGACGGATGGGATAGAGACTTGGGATTTGCTTTGCTTCTTTGTTTGTCTGTTTCTGACTTACATGCTTGGCCTCCGGGAACGTCCGCGCCGCCACCTCGCGCTTGTACTGCTTCATGGCCTCGATCGAGGTCTGGCCGACTGTGGCGTATTTCTTGTGCCATCTGCAGAGTGATCGGAAAGCACAATCGGTTAGTCAGTTAGGAAGTCATTCAGCCAACTGTACCTATCATCACTCCTCTTCTTTCTCTCTCACAAAAGGAGGAGGAGGAGGAGGAGGAGGAGGAGGAGGAGGAGGAGAGGGAATAGAGGGAACACTCACACGGCGGCGAACAACGAGTTCTCGTAGCCCAGCAGCTCGGACTGCACCGTGATTTGGGCGGAGGTGTTTGGGCCGCACCTGAAATGGAGATAGATGTTGTGTTAACCGGTTTTGGAAAGAGGGTGTGATTCATTTCATGCTCCGTCGGGACTTGATTGTATATGGGAAAATAGAAGGGTGGATGAATAGGCACAGATAGATTGAATGAGAATCGCTACTTACCCGATCCCGATCGTGGGCATCTTCAGTTTCGATGTAATCCACGCCGCTGCCGGGCCTGCCACCGCCTCCAGGACGACCGCAATGGCGCCGGCTTCTTGCAGCGCCAGTGCATCTTTGAGCGTGCTTTCGCTCTCTTCAGCGGTGAGCCCGTAGGCGCTGGCGCCGGAGGTGTTCGTCTGGGGCGTCAGGCCGATGTGTCCGATGACAGGCACGCCGGCTTTCACGATCGCCTTGACCCGGGAGGCCATGTCGGCACCCCCTTCCAGCTTGATCGCGTCGCAGCGGCCTTCTTTGACCAGTCTGAGGGCGTTTGTCGCGGCTGAATCGGTGCTTCCCCGTAGAGATCATGAGTTCTTTGTGCAGGAGCAGAAGCAGCTGAGTGGCCTCATTCCCACGGAACAGTGGAGCAAGAGAGAGAGATGTCCAATAACACCAACAACAAAAACACTCACCTTGTTCATCCGACACCTCGTACGTCCCCATGGGCATGTCGCCCAGCAAGAGAGGCGACTTCGCACCCCGTGCCACGGCTTTGCAATGATATATCATCTCGTCCAGGGTGGCGTAATTCGTGGAGTCCTGGCCCAATGCCACAATCGCCAGGCTGTCCCCGATCAGGACCAGGTCGATGCCGGCTTTCTCGCACAGTAACGCGGTCGGGTAGTCCCATGCTGTCGTACAGCAGGCCACGCCTGCCTGGCAGGCATCGAGAAACTTCTTGACTCCTCCCATCCTTCGAGAGGGCAACAACGCGTTTCGGGAGAGACTCCAAAAGGGAACTTCGACTGCAACAAGACCGGGAACTTCTTCACAGGTCCTGAAATGCTTAAGGAGAGCGAGTAAGTATTACTCAAGGAGATCAATCCCCGAGGTGGGCAACTCTCCGATCTCGCTCGGACTCGTGCGTGAAACTTTGTGCGTAGAACCATCCCAATGGTCCTGGTGGGAGAAGTATGCATCGCTTGGCCATTGTCGTTGCGGCACAGTCTCCCGAGGTCAAGTTAGAGTCTCCAATCCTTGTTCCTCCTTTCGCGCCTTTCTTCCCCGCTCGACTGCTGCGCTAACGCCGTCGGACAACTTCGAATACTCAGCCTCGTGCTGCGCTCGGCGTTCCGCGGTCGAGTCCCCCACTGGGGAAAAATTGCAGAGTACTTGGTACAGCTCCTAGGAGCCCCCAGCATAGAGTTTAGCACCAGCGTGGACATCATTGTCCGGCGGCAAGAGAGGTCATAACACACCAGCATCCGTCCCTAACAGCAGCTATTCCAAACCAACAACCGTTGCATAGTTCTGAAGCACTCTGCGATCTTCTTGACAATGTCTCCTTCGGCGACGAGTAACGGGCATACCGCGCCCATCAAGGCGGACACAACCAAGAACCGTGCGGTGATCATCTCAGGGATGAATGATATCACCGTACAGGACTGGCCTCTGAAGCTGGATTCGTTTCGAGATAGTCCCGAATACGTGCCCGGTTCGCCTCTACCGAGTGGTAAAGCCCTGGTTCGCATTCGCGCTGGCGGGATCTGTGGTTCGGACGTGAGTGCTCGTCCATGAGAGGCGGCGACGGTGGAAGGAATGTTGACGAAATTTCCTAGATACACTTCTGGAAAGAGGGTCGAGCAGGGCCCGACATCATCACGGAGCCTTTCATCATCGGGCATGAAGCTGCTGGGGAAGTGATTCAGGTCGCCGATGATGTCCAGGGGTGGGCACCAGGTGATCGCGCCGCAATCAAACCTTGCCTTCCCTGTCTCGCGTAAGGGTGTCTTGGATCAGAAGTTGGCCACAATGCTGAAGTATGATCAGTTGCGATGAATGCACGACCGGTTACTCCAACCTCTGTAGCGCGATAGAGTATTACGGCGTTCCGGGACCTGGCCGGCAGGATGGATTGCTCACGAACTACAAGATTGTCCCGGTATCCGCACTGGCTCGCCTGACGCCCCAGATCTCATGGGTCGAGGCCGGTGCAATACAGCCCTTTGCCATCGCTATCCAAATGACGCGGCAAGCTGGGCTGAAGGCGAATCAAACTGTGTTGGTTCTCGGGGGCGGGTGTATCGGGCTGCTGCTGGGAAAGATTGCTAAAGCGTGAGTCCTGACAACACAATAGGTGATAGTTGCGCATGCTGACCACAACCATGAAGATACGCGGCAAAGAAAGTAGTTGTCTTTGAGATACAACCTCACCGGGCAGAATTCGCAAAGACGTACTGCGCCGATCAAGCTTTCGTCAACCCGCCACGCCACTCCAATGAGACGACAGAAGAATACTCCAGCAGGGTTGCGAAGCACATCCTAAGCTCTGTAGATGGACTCCACCGTGGTTTCGATGTTGTGGTGGAAGCTACAGGTGCCGAAGAGTGCATGCAGATCGGAATGCAAGTCTGTCGACCTGCAGGGACATGTGAGCATCTTCAGCCTTTCTCAATGAGCTCAACTAACCTGAGGGGTTTCCCATCAGACGTCCAAGTCGGACTGCACAGCGGTCAAATGCCCAGACTGCCGATCATGGATATTTGTTCCAAACAGCTCAACGTGCGAGGTGAGGCTTTCCCAGCTTGTTATGGGGTTGACTTACGGCTGAATGATGGTGCACATAGGAACCTGGAGATATACGACCAACTGCTTCGAAGACGCCATTTCGCTGATTGACCGAGGCCTCGTCGAAACGAAATCTCTGATTAGCCACGTTTTCCCTTTTGAGGAGAGTCTGGCAGCGTTTGAGACCGTGCACGAGGTCAAGGCGAAGGATGGCAGGCATGTCTTTAAAGTGGTCATCTCAGACGAGCAGCTGTAGACCTTATAGTAGACGTAACTCTCTGTTACTCGTTCACAATGTTGCCATACAATCACACAAGACCTTACCACTCAGGGGCGAGACGAAAGAATGACGAGGACGCCGGAGGGCTGCCAAAGGTGACTACAGCGTGGCCTTTGCGTCGAGTTTAGCCACACAGGCCATTTCATGCTCCGAGACTCCGAATCTGTAGTCGAGACACAGATAAACTCCCTGCTTATAGACGCTTTCTTGATGGAGAACCGACAGAAACCAGATAGATAACGGCTGACAAAAGGACAGAGAGGGACGGTCGAAGGTCATATTGGTAAGCTTGGTGATATTATCAGGAAGGCTGTATGGGTTATTGTTGTATATATCCAGGGTACCAACGAGGACGGGGATTTTGACAAGCACAGGAGACACCGCTGTATACACGAGCAGATAGAATGGCATGCTTGATAATGACCGACCTTTGCAGCTATTGCGGAGTGGAAACTAATGCCACTTTTGCCTGACAATTCAAATGACAGCATCACTCAGAGAGAACCGAGGAATCTGCGGGAAACGCCCTTCAAATGACCATCATGCCCACGAAGCATATGTTATGATATCCCTCTATCAGAACACGTCGTGGTCCATATCTTCACTTCCCAATCTCTAGATTTGCTGCGGTCTGTGCCTCTACACGGCTTTACCGCAACGTATTACGCAAAGAGGGATCTGAGAAGGCAGCCAATGCAAGCACCGTGGTTTGTGCCAGCCACCTTGTGTTTGCAAACATCCATTAGATCTATAGATATGTGCTCTCAGCTGTTCTTCGTCGTTAGGGAGTTACTCCAACATGTGCCGCGCCAGTTCAAACCCTTGCCTTTTGATAACGCCCGGATACCGTTTGTATACACCGTGTTGATCATTCCTCCACTCCCAACTATCCTCGCAAGCATTCGTTGTCCTCAGCCTGTATAGCATCCTGCTCTTACACATCCGCTTCGCACACAACACCTCTGTCGCCTCACATGTTCTGCGGAGGAATCTGTAACGTCATCTTGTCTCCCTCCACTGTAGCAACACCAGGGACAACACCCGAGGCCGGCGCTGGCGGTCCCGTTCCCGATCGTCGTCGCCTTTCCCTCTCCGTAGGTCCACTTTCGATTTTACTGAGCATGAACCCATTATCCTCTCCCGCAGCACCGCTCTTGCGGAACTTTCCACCCATGCCGTACATCCAGCTATCATCCTCGTCACTGCCCAGCCAGTAACTACGGCCGATGCCAACCATGAATCGACCAAGTTTGCCTCGCCAGCCCTTGCCCTCTGGCCTGCTCTCGGAGAATGGGTTCTCGGCCAGCTGTGCGTCTGTTGATGCAGCGGTGTAGTCGATGCCCGTCTTGGACCCGGTAGAGGCGATGTGTTGTCGGATCACCATGCGGGCAAATGCGAGCATGATCAAGCAGAAATACGCGCGGATAGTCCACATGGCGATGATGACGCCCACGGAGTTCATGTTCTGGGTATCGAGCACGGCGGATTGTAAGGCGCCGTTGCTGCCACTGCTTGCCGCATTAGAGGCGGGTACGCCACCTGCCACGGCGTCCTGGCCGGAACCTGCCAACGGAGGTTGAGGTGTAGCAATGACTTCAACTCTCGAAACGTTGAGTTTGGGATCTGTGAATCCTGACACCTCGTCCATGGTGGATGCGCCCGGTCCTTTCTTATCGCTCTTCCCCGCGTCATGCTGTGCCAGCACCAAGAACCATGTCGCAGCGAAGACGGCAGTGTATGCGGCATTAATTATACTGTCAAGGATGTAGAACCAGGCTAGGGCAAGGCATTGCAGGGGCGACTGTTTGCGAATATGTCGGGCCAGGTAGGCTGTCAGCACCAGTGCGACTGTAGAGTAGATGTACATGGACAGCTGGAATGGCGAGAGGTGGTAGCCTGTGAACAGTGCGAGAATGCCGTAGAGGCCTGCAAGTTTATTAACAAGCATCGAGAGGGTAATCAGGCTGGCACCCGTCGAGAGCGTCATCGTGTAGAAGAAGCGCTGTTCAGATCAAAGTCAGAATTGAGCGAAGAAACCCACGGGCTCGACGCCATTGTCGTACCTTCGGACGGGCCAGGCGCAGCAGGCGCGCGGAAATGCCATAATTCGCCATAGTCAATGCAGCTGCTAGAAAGGAACCAAAAGAGATACTGGCGTTAACGTCGACGAAAAGTCACGCGAGAAGGAATGGAGGTGGCGGCAGAGAGTGCGCAGTGGGAAATTAATGAAGCTGGAGAACGAAATAAGGGAGCCACCCACAGCCACCCAAAAGCGGCATCCCCGGAATGCCGTTCACATTTATTACATCATCATGCACAATATTGCACAAGGCCACGGCCTCCGTACTGTACATCAAAACGGCTTTGCATGAAACCAGTCAGCCACAATGAATCCAGACCAGATACCGTATGAACCATCGTCTATGTCTCCACGACGCCGGAGTCAACCACTCTATTATTTTGCATGCAATCTCATCTGTCTAGGTAGAAGGTAGAATACAAATTGCCAGGGCAAACCTTGAATCTGATGGACCGACCTGCCTCAGGCTCCTCCTTCAAACAGCTCCTGTTCCAGCCCCCATCCATATTCATGCGTCCGGTGAGCCATGTCTGTGGTTATGGTTCTTGACGCCGTTCGCTTTCTTTGCGCCTCGTGTCTGTGCAGAATAGTGCTTTCCACCCAGCCCGCCGACTCGGCGCCAATGAGTTGTGTCACAGTCTCCCACCACCACTTTAGTCATACAAGCTGTCATCGTTGCCGGCATCACCGAAGCCAGTACCGTTGGCGGCATCAGCCTCTTGGCCAGCAGAAGGGAATTTGAAGAAAGCACTGCCACCGCTCTGTTTCATAGCCTGAGCAAAGGCTTCGTAGCGGCGGATTTCCACATCGCTGACCGACCGGCGTGCGGCTTGCATGGCCTCCTCGAAGTGTCGTCGAGTCAACTCTGGCACCGGATCTTCTCCTTCATCGGCATCCATCGCGTCCTCACCAGCAGCCTCGCGTTCCTTCTGTCTTTCAATGTCCAATGCGATGGACTCCTTGATGGCGAGTTTGACCGCACGTTGCGTGACGAATCCCAAGTCGGCACCCGAGAAACCGTGAGTTTTGCTGGCAATGTACTTGAGATCCACGTCTGATGCGACAGGAGTCTTGCGCAACTGCGCCCGGAGAATGGATTCACGGGAGGCCTCGTCGGGAAGCGGAACGTAGACCAAGGTATCCAGACGTCCGGGTCGACAAAGAGCGTTGTCGAGCTGTTCAGGTCGGTTGGTTGCGCCGATGACGAACACGTTCTTCTTGGAGGTCATGCCGTCCATCTCAGTAAGCAGTTGGTTGACAACTCGATCGGATGCGCCACCCGCGTCGCCCAGGGAGCCACCACGAGATTTAGCGATGGAGTCAAGTTCGTCCAGGAAAACCACACAAGGAGCGGCGGCGCGTGCCTTGTCGAAAATGTCTCGAATGTTGCTTTCAGATTCGCCAAACCACATACTCAGAAGCTCAGGCCCCTTCACAGAGATGAAATTTGCGGCACATTCATTGGCCACGGCTTTGGCAAGCATAGTCTTACCAGTACCAGGAGGACCATAGAATAAGACTCCTCGAGACGGTGAAAGGCCGAATTTGAGGAATTTCTCGGGATGGTCCACGGGGTATTGCACGGATTCGATAAGCTCGCGCTTGACGCCCTCGAGACCACCAATGTCGTCCCAGCGGACATTGGGAACTTCGACCACTGCCACCTCACGGAGAGCAGACGGGTTGGAGACACCCAGAGCATAGCGGAAGTTGTCCATAGTCACTCCGAGCGAATCCAACACCTCGGCATCGATGGTGTCCTCGTCCAGATCGATGAGATCCATCTTCTCTCGAATCTGCTGCATGGCGGCCTCAGAGCAGAGGGACGCAATATCGGAACCAACGTAACCATGGGTCTCGGCGGCGATCGACTCGAGATCGACATCCTCGGCCAGTTTCATGTTCTTGGTGTGAATTTGGAGGATCTCCAGGCGGCCGGTCGGGTCTGGAATACCAATGTCAACTTCGCGATCAAACCGACCGAACCGTCGCAGGGCCGGATCAATCGAGTTGGGTCGGTTGGTGGCGGCCATCACGACGACGTTGGACCGCGCTTTCATGCCATCCATGAGCGTGAGCAGTTGCGAAACAACACGTCGCTCAACTTCGCCGTTGGTCTTCTCTCGCTTTGGCGCAATAGAGTCGATTTCGTCGATGAAGATAATGGCGGGAGAGTTCTTCTCAGCTTCCTCGAAAGCTTTTCTGAGGTTGGACTCTGATTCACCGGCCATTTTTGACATGATTTCGGGGCCGTTGATGAGGAAGAAGAAAGCACCGGTTTCGTTGGCGACAGCTCGAGCCATCAGGGTCTTGCCAGTACCCGGAGGGCCGAACATGAGGATTCCTCGCGGAGGTTTGATACCGATAGACTTGAACAGTTGAGGATGTCGCAGTGGCAACTCAACCAGTTCACGGATTTGTGCCATCTGCTTTCTGCAACCACCAATATCGTCGTACCCGACCTCATTCAGGTTTCCTTCCTCGTCTTCACGCTGGATCGGGTCTCCTTCGCAGTGAATGACGGTGTCTTGTGCCACGATGCCATATTCCGGAGGGTCCACTTCGACCACTTTGAATTCTACTTGTCTCATACTGGCTCGAACCGTGAAGAGATCTCCTTGCCGGACGGGCCGATAGGCCTCGCGGAAATAGGGGGCGAGGAAGACATCGAAGAGAGAACCAGTCAGACCCTCAACAGTGTCTGCGATAGGAAGAACAGCAATGCGCTTCGCCTGCGGAGAGTGTCAGTACTTTTCTGGAGACGGTCAAACAAGACGTTACTCACATATTTGATGTCAGGGCAAGGGTGGACAGTGATGATATCGCCGTGCTTGACTCTGAGGTTGTGGCGAACCACTCTGTTGATGCGAGCACTACCATCATCAAGGTCGTCATCGGCCAGGACGATCAGGACGGTGTCCTTGCGTTTCTTTCCCCTAACAAGGACGGTGTCGCCTCTGAACAGCTGTAACGTCTCCATTGTGTTGTTTGACAGCGCAATGATGGAGTTGTCATCGTTCGTAGCGTCGGTCACACTGCGTTATTTGTCAGCCCGATTTGTATCAAACCGTCCTCGGTCTCCGACTTACATCAACGAGTTTGGCTTCTTCTTCTTTTTCAGAATGGCCGTGGCCGTGTCGAGCTCCTGAAAGGACCTGTCAGTTGGGGATTCGTGACCACATAGCTGCATGAGGCGTCATTCATACCTCTTTCTTCTCCGCGCCGGAGGCATCGCTGTAGCTTGGGTTAGCGGGGAAGCCTGTGAATCTCATGAACGTGACACATACTGTAGGTTGACCTTCTTCTTGTCGTGGGTGTGATCAGGTTCTGCAGACATCTTGATGTCGTTGCAGATCAAGTAGTGTCTGAGAAGGAGAGTGCGGAGGCTTGTTGATGTGATTTACGGGGACCAGAACCAAGAGCGCTGGTCTTGGAAACAGGAGTTACAGAACGATAGAGAAGAAGGTGAGTTGGTATCAAGGATCTCCGTATAGAAGGACCTTGAGAAAGCGGAGGGAGAGATGGCAACCAAAGGGTGAGAGCAAGCAGAGCGTTTGTTGGAGGTGATGAGTGAACTTCTAGAGACCTGAAGCGCAGGAGAAAGGCCCGTCTTGGCGGGTTTTAAATGACGAGCGTCATTTGAGCCCAGGAAACATACGTTGCCTCTGGCAGCCTACGAAAGAGAAGACGGTCGAACCTTCTGAGACGGCCCAACGATCGCCTTGCCACGACTACTACTACTACATAGTGCGATAAGAGAATGCTCTGCTTCTTTTTAGCCAGATTTACTACATACCTCTTGGTAATCAAATTGTATGCCTTTCCCGGTCGGCCTAGCAGGTGGCGAGGCTGAATTATAGCCTTGCTAGAGGGGCACAATTTTGTATTCGAATTCGCCGCTCATGACGAAACAATAGGAGAGAAGAAAAAACCCATTCACGATGAATTAACAATTAATTAGCTTGCACAATCACGGATCACCATGGACAGGTTCGGGGTCATTCCCGGTCTGATTCGTGGCCAAACTCCCGCTCCGCCAGCCCACGCCTGATTGCGCCTCCGATTTTCGAAGTGCGGAGCGGAAAGATTCTCAGATCCAAGCGTCTCGCTCATCGTGCACACTTACTTCCAGGCCTGCCATAGACCACAAACACCCTCTTTTCTAGTAGCGCTGCTGGACAGCCCGCTGTTGGAAGTCTCTTGCAACAGCAGTATCTAGCTGTTTTCACACATTAGCCTCTTATCGTCCCCGACAAGAAAACACATTCAGAGCTCAAACCCCTCGGCCACCACATTCTCCACCCACCTCACCTTGACACAGCGGGAAATAAAATGTCGACCTCGGGACCCTCGACGGAGGCAGCGACCACGATCCCGGTCCCTCCATCGCTCACCAGCTCCACCAGCTCCTTACCACCTGCGACCTCCCAAGCCCTCATTCAACATCTCCGACAGACTGGCGCTATCCCCGACCTCAGCGCCCTCCTAGCAGATAGTCTTGCCCGTACGGGTTGGACAGACCGCGTCCGCGCACTCGCGCTCGAGTTACTCAGGAATGGCTCATGTGACACTTTTCCGGAGTTGATGAACGAAGTCATGCGACGGGCCAAGCTGCCCAAGGACGGCAAGAACCAAGGGGTGGACAAGGAAAGCAAAGACGCGAAGGCGAACGGGGCCAGCACGCCCACAAAGTCTACAACCACGGGCCCCGGGGCAGGAGGCGCAGTCGCGCTGAACGGCGGAGGGGTGAACAACAATGCTATTGCGCTCTCAAAAGAATGGTCCGGCGGCCCAGATGGGCTACCAGACGTCAGGATCCCCGAAGTCACTGTTGAACAAGGGGTGGAATTCCTGAAAGAAAAGATCAAGGATGTCGTCGAGCCGATCGATGACGACAGCGACTAGTAGCGTCTGACGTTACAGTCAAGATACCAGTTGGGATATTTGTGTATAACAAAGCATAGCGAGCGGCGTTGAGGGTTGTTGGGATGGTTGGAGGGCCTCAGCACGGCATATTAGATACTCGAACGCCACGGCTTTGGCGGAATACCTCGCTCTACATCGAGCTGTTGGTAGCTCTCACATGGCTGGTAGATGCGTGCTTGTCAGGGAACAATTTGTTTCTTTGAACTCGAATCAGTATCGCTTTTGAAGCCATCGCTAATCCCCACGTATCTAGACAAAAGACGCAGCAATTCTACAAAACACCGCCCGGTAATGTCTGCGCCGGTGGCATGGCCCTCACGCTCGCTGAACTGCCAGGAACGGCGCCTGGTAAAGCAGTGCCTCCGCCACCACCCAATCCTCCCAACGGGGGCTTCATCCCTACCCCTGCCGTTGACGGCACGTCCCCAACCATTACGTTTCCTAGTTTTCTCAACATAAACATCGGCTTCTTGCCCTCCCTGTCCAAATCCTTGAATAACGCGAGGGGTTTCTCCTCCAGACCCACGCACCTCTCCTGGTCGCCATACACAATATACAAAGCGTATTGTCGCCAATCGGCCTGAATGTTGTATTTTCTGAGGGCGGCGGGAAGGACTTTATAGCATGGATCTTCCAGTCCGACACGGAAAGATTTGAAGATTTCCACAGAGGGCGCATCGCCTCCGCTACTGCCCTCTTTATTGCCATGCGGAGTGTGGCCGACACTGGCACTCGAGGGAAGCTGGGGCGGGACCGAAGCAGAGAGTTCCCTCGAGGGGATGAGGGTGGACGCATTAGAAATCGTACTGTTCGTAGGGTTGAGTTTGCCGGAGGCGGATTTTGCGGAAGTGGGAGGGTCACGGTCGCGTTCAATAGTGACCTGCCGGTCGTCGGCACCGTCGTAACGAGGGATAGCGCTGGTAGCACTTCCTCCCTCGCGTTGATAGGAGCGTGGGGCGAGTGGTTGATGTTGGTAGGGGAGTGGCGAGGTCGGAGAGGGAACTCCTGGAGAAGGATGTGGATGTTGCGGTAATGCGCCCCCTGACATTTGTGCGGTTAGCGAGTTTGAGGCCAGGCTCGCGGCAGCGGAAGGGTCGAGCGAGTTGCTTTCGGCGAAAGTCCTACCCTCATGGATCGTACTGGGTATATGTGTGGGAGAGTTGTTCTTTGGTGTTGAGCTGAGACCCAGCTTCTTCGAGAATGTGCGCGTGAGGCTCGTCTTTTCGGGCAAGGCCTGGGTCGTCAGAGGAGGCGAGACGACATCTTGCTGGTACATCTCTGGGCTGATCGTAGCGTTTTGGTAGGGGGCATAGGGAAGAGGTTCCGATCGTTCTTTGGCCATTTTGAAAACCGGCAGTAGTTCCTGGCGCAACTTGCGGTAGTCGTCGGCGAGCCGGGTCAACTGCGCCTCCGCTTGAGCAATGCGCTCGTCACGTAACCGGAGGATCGATCTTGCGAGTCTATCAATGTCCTCCTTTGTTGCCATTTCATGTTGAGGATTTTGCTCGGCCGCTAAGAGGGGAAATCAGCGATATAACCCGGATAGACGGGAGCCGATGGCCTACTTGGAGGAACATAGTCATCTGGCTCAATGGGAATGTCCTGGTTGACTTTTAAATCATAAACATTCTTGAGAATCGTCAATCGATGTCCCACACTGGCGATCCCCATCTCTTTCAGTTCATCATGTTTCAGTGCCACGAGCGCTTCCCCTTCGATGCCATGTTCTGTGCAAAGTCAGCCCCCGATGCGTCCATGAGCCATTTCTGTTCGTGATGCCGCTCACCGATAAAAGCATGACAATATTGTCTCAAGTTCAAACTAGACACAAACTGAGCGCACTCTTCCGGTGTCCATTCTGTTATTATGGTTCTCGGGAGACTTGAATCCTCTCCCGAGTTGTCAAAGGTGGTCGGTGTATGTTCATTAGAGGGAGGCTCGGAGGAGGTCTCAGAATCGGTGTGTAGCTGCGTGGGCGAGGTCATGACGCTTCTCTCGTATTCGTCGTCGGCGTCAGAGTCAGCGTGATACGTAGTCCCGCTGGGGAAGGCCATGGTGTTCGCGTTGAATCCAATTGACCTGCGGCGCTTGGATCAGGTTTAGGTTTCAGTCCTCACACCCCAGCCACATGAAGGCTCGGGGGCAGGATAGAGACTCCGCAGGCGATATGATGAAGATCAACTGTGCGATTTCGTTGCCTGATCCCAGACTCCAACTTTGCCGTCTTGGGGCTGTTGAAGAATCTTCCGTCGCCTCAGTTCGTAGGGGGCAGTACGGAGTAGGCTCGCAGCCGAAGGCTCTCAGGAGGGGTTCTTGCTGATCGTTGGAAGTTGAACACAGGGAGTCAAGATGTTTAGTCGCACACTAAACGACAAGGAAAGGTCTCAGAATTAGGACTACCAAGGGAAAATGCTCAAATTGAAGCAAACTGCGTCAAAGAGAGGTTCGAGGGGGGCATGAGATCGGAGCATGCGTATGTACGGGGGCTGCGACGGGCCTCAACGAGGCTAGGCCCACCAATAGTCAATAACCAATAGCACGCCGAGCCCGCTGCATACGCTTTCGTCCCCATTCGGCCATTTGATATCTCGCTTCTGGCGTAGTCCAGCCTGAATAGGTGGGAAGGTTTACAAGACATGATTATTCAGAGACTCGGATCCGCTCTTCATTTTGTAAAGCTATCCTACTCACAAAGCCAGTCGCTCAAACGAGTACCGGCCTTTGTTCCTCGCCTCTAGCATCCTTTTCTGTCGGAGAGTCCGATGGCTTAGTTGGCCACCACCTTTCCTGATCTTTACCGGGGTGATCACATTCGCAACCTTCAAGCTCAGAGGAAGACCTGGGCCAGGCGGCAGATCGTCTTCTCCTTCGACAGTCTCAGTGTATAGTGTCACGATGGCCCCTGGGTGTTGGTCAGAGGCAGGCAATCCAGTCCCATAAACAGGGATGCGGGCACCGGCAGCCCGTTGTTTCCGCATAGATTCCTGGTATCTCAGCGTCTCGCGGAGAATCCCTTGCAACTCTGATACGTCCTCCAGACTCTGCTTGGTGTGTGTAAGCTCCGTCACCAGGTCAGGTATAATGTTGCCCATAAAATCTTCGTGATCCAGAGCCCCAAAGAAGCCAAGAGGTCCAATGGCGTCGACACAGCCTGACAGTATCTTGACAGTTGCAGCGAGCTTGACAGTGGGCACATGCTCAGTTTGCGAGGGCACGTTTTGGAAAGACTGGGTGTGACCCCCTTGAAAGAGTTGCCGTCGTAAGAACTGAATGAGCGCCAGCGCGTCTGTCTGGGAGAGCAGAGCTTTCAAGTTGACGGAGATGACTGAAGTTGCAGCAGCGCCGAGTCTGTCCAGCGCCTCAATCAATGCCCTCTGCAGTGTAGGAGGCAGCCATGGGGTGTCGGTTGTTGATGCCGACAAGGTTTGGACTTGCGTGCTGGCGAGATTCAAGGTAGCGTCGGCTGCCACTGGATCTGTTTGGTGGTCTATTTTAGCAATGGCTGCCTCAGATGACGACGCCAGAGCTTGTTGGATAAGCAGCTGCACCACGGCGGCTTGCTCCTCCACATATGGGCTGAACCCATTTTCGAGACACTGTACCAGCAAGCCATACGATGAATCGGCTTCAAGGAAGGCTCGTGCAACTGCGTGTATACCAATGTTCGTCAACCCCGTCTCAGAAGGAGAGCTCGAGAGTGCACTTTGTACGTTTCGAGTGGATAACAATCCCATCCGGCACAGCCATATGATGAGTTTGAACGATGGAACGCGGATCTCTAATGGCGTCTCTGCGGTGATGGGTGTAGTGCCGTGGGCGTTCGGCGTTGCTCGTATCTGAAAGATCTTTGACAAGAGGTACTTGATCTTGAAGTCCGGAATTGCTATACGGTCTGTAGGCAAGTCTTCGCTCATCCCCGCCAGAGCTGGGGACTGCATGGTACCCTGGCGAATGTCGTTGACGAAGGTGCTTTCAAAGCCAGCAACGTCGCCAGTCTCGGCCAGGTGATCGAGACGTTGTTTCACAGGCTGCCATTCTCCACCAGACCCTGGAGTCATTGTTGCGATGCCGATCGACGACCATTGCTTGTCGAGAGAACCGGGTGCCATATCTCGGCCACTGATGCCACGTCCGATATTGTGGAGAAGTTTGCTCCCAATCTGCAGTAACTGTTGTGAGGAACTGGCAGAAATATCAATCGCGACCAATTGATGTCGCCTCCGCCCAATGACACGCGCAGACAGGGGGTAATAAGCGACAAACTCAACGGGGCCACTCCGGTCTTGAACTGCCATTCTCATCCGTTTTCGCTTGAGATTGCCCTTCCTCGCGTCAATCTGAGCTTGCACAGACTGAAATTTGAGGTCGTAAAGCTGGACTGACTCTTCGAATGAACATACGGCGAAAGCAGATGAAATGGCCATGATGTCGTAGGAGCAGTTCAGACCGGTGTGTAGTGCTGAAGACAAGGAGGGAACTAGACCGGTCAGATCATACGAGTAAAATGTGTCGCCTGCGCGAAGAAACAGATTCGAAGCTTTGGGGTTGAAGGTATAAGATCGATCCTTCGGCGAAATTGACTTGGACTTGCTGCGTCCCAACGATAGTTCATGTTCAACCAGGGGAAAAATCGGTGTCCCCTTGGCGTCTATGTTCCGACCAATACTGTCAACTGACCAGACACCGTAGAAGACACTGTTCAGGTTTGCAAATTGCTCGGTTTTGCAGAATGCAACCGCTAAGTAAGTGCTCTCGGGAGAAGTCTCGCTGAGCAGATCCGCCCTTTGCTTCAACACTGTCTTCTGTGCTTCTGAACTTGTTAGATGTTGGACGGCAAGTACCATGATATTCGGATAGCGCTTGGAAGAAAGGGAAGATTTGCACAACGTGGTGCCCAAATCTTCAGACAAAATCGCGAGGTCGCCATTTTGTTGGATCACCATCAGCTCTTTTCCTCTGGCATTTAGCACTACTTCTAATAGTACAACGGGGCTCTCTTGCTCGTCGAGTGCTCCGCTTGCACAAGAGGCGGCGCGAAATGTGTCCTCTCCTGTGGTCTGGAAAGATTCGATCCGCAATGTGTCTCGCTTTATGGCGCAGTATGTGGTTCGACGAATAAGCGCTTGTGATTCTTCGCGAATTGAACAAGGAGGACCGACAAAACGGGCGGTAGGAGGCACGGGATAGGAGGCAAGAATGGTCCCGTTCTGGACCTGTACCCTGTCAGCATGCGGTCCTGTGCACGAAAACAATATATTGTACCTCATAAAGCCCAAGGGAATTACCATCCACGCCCACGCAAATTTCTTTCCTCCGCCTCTTCAGCCCGTCGCGCACAGCATACACGGTGCCAAATCGAGTGACAGCATCTTGCCTGGCAGGACGAGGCAGTCTCGCCAGCACTTGGGGGGTTGAGATCTCCATCGTCGAGGCATGAGACTTTACAGCATTGCTAGAACTCGGTGTGCAGACAAAAAAGTTTTTGAAATAGGCCCACAAAATTCTGCGGAGGCTGCGATGTTCCTCCGGCGAGATTCGCTAAGCACTTCACTTCACAGGGGGTGCTTAGCGGCAGATCTCCCGCCTGGGCAAGCACCAGCCTGTTAGTGGCCAGCCAAGGGTGGCAGATGCAGCCAACTGAGCCCACTAGCCTCCGATTTCTGGGCGTGGCCATCGCGTCACTGACGCGCTTGCTCTCTTGCACTTACACATCATGACCGCGCCCATTAAAGTCCGATATCAACCCTGACTCCTCTCACACGAGAGCCTCAACGCAACTCACTGGAACCTTCATCACCTACATACCTATCAAACACCCACTATAAAGGAAACACACAGAGTCCCGACCTCATGACACCACCACGTTATGAAGGTTGACCTGCAGCTCAATGGCAACCCTAGTCGACTATGGCACTGGCCCAGAATCCAAACTCCATATGCATCCGTTCTTCCAGAAAGGTGCACAATTACACCCTTCTAGAACTTTCACAAGTCGCTGACATTGCGTATAGTGTCCGCGATCGACGCCTCCTCACCTCATCGTTCGCCGTCTAGCGTGCCGGAAGGGAACAGTACGGTTGAAGACAACTCCACAAACCACAATGAAGACCTTGGCTACACCTCTAGCGACGTAGCACGCACAGAAGCTGTTCGGACCGCCCCCGAGGGCAAGTGGAGTGTGGATGAAGGTGACGACCTTGAATACGAAAACTCCAGAATAAAACGACGAAGAGTCTCTGCCGGTCTAAACCATCCACCCTCTCAGACAATAGAAACTCCGAACACAAATCAAACGACGTGGTACGAGCAACCTGAGGCTGCAGCAAAAACATTTGTGGGGGTTGAAACACCCCTGGGTTGTGCCGAGGATCAGACAGTCGCAGCTCTGTCTCCCTTGAGTGACAAAGAGGGTGTGATTCACTCAGCTCTATCTATCTTATCCAAAGATGGTTCTCCTAAGTCGGAAAGGCCAATTCCTACTGCTCAGCTTCCTTTTAGTGGTTCGTCGAATTCATGTGACATCGACCTCACAAGTTCGCCGGCTCGTCACCCTCCACTAACCGGCGGCGCAATGGGCCCCCAGTTCTCCGGTGAAAGAAAGCCTTCCCCAACGCCCCCCCAGAAATTGTTGCGAAGCGGTCACGGGAAGCTCGTCTTTTCACCCAAGAAATCTACAAAACATGCGTCACAAAACCTCGCGACTGATGCGAGTGGGGAGACTAGTGACGCGGGCAAGACTACCAATATAGCTAAAAAACTTGAGATGAAGAATGGGAGGTTGGTTTCGTCCTTGCGAGTTACATTGTCATACTCAGCGCCAGAATCTGGTGCTAAGATCACCGAGATCTTGTCCAGCAAGTCTGAAAAGCGCAGTAATCAAGTCTCACAGGCCAAGTTCGCACAGAGAGTTGCATCGTCGGGCAGGCCAACACACCCATTCTTCTTAGGACGATTATCAGGGAATGCTCAAAAGCAATCTGACCAAAACAGTGAGACGTCCTCGGATGAGACAACCTCAAAGTCCAAGGCACCAAAACCCTGGAAAGACATCATATTCGAGTCCAAGAAGGCATTCCCAAACAAAAGTGTACCGTCGCTACCGCCAGTCTGGCCTCCGGCTGATATCCAACATGTGCGTCCAAATTATCTCCCAAGTCGTTCCGTCGCAATTCGGACACTCCCGTTATTACGGCCAAAGTCCAAACAACATGCTTTGCGCGTCGATGCGGATGAGGATGTGCTTTGGAACTTTTCGCGACGCTTGAAGCAGAGAGCCAACAAGTCTCTCGTTCGCGCACCTGAGCGTAAGGTCATGAGTGGCAGAGAACTGCTAAAAATGACTGAAACGCTCTATGGGACGGACCACTTGAGTCGACAGCCAGATTCAATTTCACATCTAGAAGCTGTTATCGAATCGACCCGCAGCTCCTTTGACAGGGGCGTGGCCGCCGGCCCCCAGTTGTGGTGTCATGAATACGCACCCACTTGTTGGCAAGAGATCCTGGAGCCACAGGGTAAAGCTTTGCACGACTGGCTCAGCAATCTAAAAGTCCATCAAGTTCAAACGGGCAAGCCACAACTGAAGGCAAGGCCTCCGACTCCCAAAAAAAGACGCAAGAGGAAATCGGATGACATGGACGACTTCATTGCATATTCAGACGACGATGATGCTCGTTCGGCTGCGAGTTCAAAGAATGCGATACTGCTCACAGGACCTCCAGGCTCGGGAAAAACTGCTTCCGTCTTCGCTGTTGCACAACAACTTGGATTTGAAGTCTTTGAGATCCATCCAGGTATGCGACGAAGTGCAAGGGACATCCTGGACAAGGTTGGCGACATGACACAAAATCATCTGGTCCAACACTCCGACACATCGAGTCGAAGATCAAGTATCTCGGTGGGCGACCATGACACACCTTGCTCCACCTCTGGACCTTTGCCAGAGACCCGCAACCCCCTGGCAAATTTTATGGGCCCTGGCAAGGGTGGTAAACAGTCCAAAATCGCTGAAGTGAAAGATGTCAAAGACTCCAAGATCAAATCACAAAAGCAATCTCTCGTCCTGTTTGAGGAAGTCGACAATCTTTTCGAGGAGGATAAAGGCTTCTGGGGTGGAGTTCAATCACTGATTCGAACTTCGAAGCGACCGGTCATCCTCACGTGCAACAGTGTCGACTCCATTCCGATGGGTGATTTGGATCTCTTTGCCGTTTTGCGCTATGATTGTGCGGAGCAAGGCCCGGCTGTTCAGCTTCTGGGTTCCATGTGTGCTGCCGAAGGACATTTGCTGGGCAAGGAGGCCTTGGAGAGTCTCTACTTCACCAAAGGCCATGATCTCCGTGCCTCGATCATGGAGCTTAATCTCTGGTGCCAAATGACGGTTGGATCGCAGCAGGGCGGTCTGGACTGGATGCTCACGGATAATGACGCGTCCAACTTCAAGCCAGATGGCTCGGTGACTCGAATCGTCAGCCAAGATACTTTTACCAGCGGTCTTGACTTACTGCCGACGGACTTTGAGGACACAGAAGATCTGATCCGATTCTCTCAGGACAGCTTGGGCATTCCGGCAATAGATTGGGTTCGGAACGACATATCGTCGGCCAGCACTGAGCCAATCCGTCTCTCAGCGTTGACCGAGACGCTCATCCTTTCTGAGGCGAGAAGCGCAATGGATCTAGTCGATGACACAACAACACCTGCGGTAGCAGGTGTGTTATGGAAACTATGCCATCCAGCTTCTGCTGACGCAAGCGCCTGCACACCCGGAAGTAATGAAATCGTTCGTCTATACCTCAGAGAATTGAACGAATCACAGCTCTATCCGTCATCGATATGCGGAGCTTTCGAACCCCTCCTAGAAGAATCGCGTATCGGGCTACCCAGCTCTCCAGGGCGCAAAGCTCCGACCCTGGATAATCCGTCCGCCATCTCACTCGTGACAGAAGTTGCTCCCTACATCCGGTACATCGTGTCATATGACCAGCGACTAGAACAGTTGCGAAGTGAACTACATGGGACGAGTCAGCACGGCGCGAAGAGACAGCGGCGCACTAGGGTAGCGAGAGCAGCATTAGAAGGTGGGAACAAGAGTACCGTACGAAGAGACAAGTGGTTCCCTGAAGATTTGGATTGGAGTGCCGTGATGAGGACGGGCAACGAGTGGCCCCAAGCCAGAGACGTGGATATCCTGGACAGTCTTGCTGCTCAAACACCGACTTCATCAATGGGAATGGAAATGGAGGCAGACGACCCTGCATTGTAGAAGTCTTGAAACTTCACAGATGTGGCACATGACAGTGTGTGCACGGTGAGCTAAGGGGAAGGAAGCAAACTATTCTGAGACAAGAACGCAGGAAGCACCAAATGCCTTTGATTTCAAGTGAGCTGGATGGGACTGGGCTCCCAAAGCCAAAACGTGTCACAATGAGCATCAGCAGAGCCATCAATGCAGTACATTACATGATAAATACGTCGTCACATAGAAATGATGATATTGATATTCTACCATGACTTCCAAAACAAATCGAATCAAACCAGAATGGTGTCGCAAATAAGGGCGTTGATAATGCGATCTTTGGCATCCGTCTCTTTGCCTTCACCCTACAAGTTATCTTTCGCGCTACTCGTGTCCGGCAATTTGTCGGTTGGCCCCTTTTGTCCCGCAGCCTCGTCCGCCATGGCATTTGGCAGACACATGCCACAAGAACTTTTCGGTGCCAGGTTCGTCGCCCCAAGATAACCAGGCCTTTTACAACCTGCGGGACAAAGAGGGTGACATATCACCACCAGACACAAGCTATCAATCAAAACCCTGGCCTCGACATCAACATTACAAAATGCTACGCGGAACGTCCCCAGCACAGTCTCAGGCTTGGAGTTGCGGCAGGACTCCCATGGGATGCAGTCATGCCATCTGCAGAAGAGTGATGGCCGAAATAAAACATGCAATAGATAGATATGTTAATCTTGATGCATTGTGAGATTGATCTCTCGAGTAACTATGTGCTGAGCTAGTCAATGCAAACTGTCACGACATAGACCCTGCAGCTCCCCTCCTACACCTGTAACATCAACATATTGCCTGAACCATGTTTTCCTCCATCAATACGCAACGATCAATGTCTTATTGTACATGACTAATGAGTGCCGCCTCTTATCATGCCCTGTATATGTGAGTGACAAAATTGCATGCTCCAGTGGGTGTTTGTGCATGCTCAAGGCAAGAATGAGCAAAAGGAATCAAGATGGGTAGTACCAGCGGACCAAGAACAAATGCACGCCAAAAATAGTTGGAAGCATGCGGGAATGGATGTCCTTGGTGGTTGCGGCGTCGGGGGCTCATTTGCTGGACTGCGGAGTGGCGGTGACGTAGTTCTCTTTGCCGCTGGCCGGCTCAATTCGAATGGTGACCTTCTTGGGACTTGGGGTTCTGGTCTTCTTGACGGGATCGCCACCGTCCGGCATGATGGCAATCGAGGCAGCCGATTTTGGTGGGACCTCAATGTAAGGATGAGATGCCGCACTGACAGGGAGGTTGGTTCGAACAGTAGTGGTGTTGGTGATTGACTGAAGGCCCCCTTGCATTGGCCAACTTGATGTGGAACTCCGGACCACATTCGTCGCCTTGTTGCTGACACCTGGCAGCTCACTGCGGAGCACGAAGTTAGTCCACTTGGAAGACGAAGGAGCTTGGGCAGTAAGGCCAGACTTACGGCGGTGAGACTGACGTCGCTGGAGTGAAGCCGTTGGTAGTTCCAGCAGGAGACTGGTAACTGCCATTCGGGCTGATGTGGTTGTTCATGTTTTGCAGGCGAGACAGAACCGGAGACGGAGTGTGCTCAACCGAAAAGCTGTACTCTCGGCTGCGCCAGTTGCGGCGTTCTTGACTCTGTTGTTTGAGTTGCTTCTGGGCCTTGGTGTCGGCAAAGCGGAGGAACAATTTGATGCCATCACGCTCATTGAGGACCGAGTGGAACTCTTTGATGACACGCTCAGCAATTTCACGTGTTTCAAAGCTAGGACAGTCAGCAACCTGCAGGCCACGAGCTCCGGGCATGTTTACATACCGGGCAAAGCCAACCTCCTTGCTAACTCCGGAGGGGGCATCGCGGCAGATCTTGGTTGAGACGGCGTGATACGGCAAAAAGTGTTTGGCAAGATCCTGGACGCTGGTCAGTGAAGTCTGAGAACATGGCTGGGAAGAGCGAACCGATTCATTCCAGTCAATGGGAACCCCGGTACAGTAGATGTTGGTGGAGTTCTTATCTTCAAGGTCCTTGAGTCGAGAGTTGCGAGATTTCTAGATGAGTTAGACGACAATGAGACAGAAGAGCAGTGCTGCCAACCTGGGCATAGCTGGCCTGAAAGCCAAGATGGAAGAAGCCACGGATACAGTTCTCTGCAGCAGCAGGAGAATAGTACATGACGAACCCAAAGCTACACATCGTCAATTAGCGAAAACACACCAACCAGATGGAGTAGCGGCATACCCTTTGCATTTACCAGTGTCCTGTTCGACGATGGCCTTGCATGACTCAATTTCTCCAAAGCGAGAGGCCCACCGTTCGAGGTCCTCATCGGTGGTATCCGGCATGAACCCACGAATGTAGACGTTGGTGATGCCCTCAGGGTTCTGAAGACATTTGGCCAGACTGAGTTCTTCTTGGTTTGTCCACATGGCAGGAACCGCACGAGGGATTGGAGGGTCACGGCTGACGAGATCGTCAAGATTGACCATCTCGTATGATTTGTTATCCTGACACTTCATAGGTTGAATGGGTCCGGCAATGTAGTGTTGGCCCGCGGGTGCTGTCGGAAGGTAGGCCATGGAGTTGTAGTAGTCCGATTGACCTTGAAGGGCTGTGCTCTGGTTGGTGGGCACGTTCTCTTCGTTGGAAGACCATGAGCCCCGACGGCCGGGATCGAACCCGGTGACGTTGGAGGCGAGATTGTATGGCCAACCATATCCTGGGAGTGTGCTAGCGGCCATGCTTGTATTGCCAATGAAGCTTGGGAACATTCCGGTAGGGACATAGGGCAATTGGGAGGTACCATCTCCAGCTGAGGTCTGGTTTTGTCCGTAGAAGTTGGGGAGTGGCACAGCTTGACCCGACGGCAACACCATCAAGGGACTGGTGTACCCAGGACGGTTGACTGCGTTCATCTCAGGCTCAACAGAAGCAGAGGATGGCAGGTTTGCTTTCAGGTTCGACATATTGGCAAGGGCATTGGAATTGGTCACATTCACAGCTGTTGCATTGTGAGCCATTGTGCGCCTGACGGTGATCTCAGCTCTTACCTCCATTGTACTGCGGATAGCCCGATGCAGCGTACGGCATTCTTGACTGAGGATAGCCAGCATACGCAGTACTTGAGGCAGACTGGGTTGGAGGTTTGTCAGACATGCCTGCTGGTCTCTGTTATGCGAGAGTCAGTATGCTTCTGGGGGCAAGAAGTGGCACAACGAGCTTGGAGCTCCTAGTCTCATTGGACTCACCTGCAAATCCGTTGCCACGAGAGCTGCGTCAGACCACGCCTCCGTGTGTTGTTTCTGAGATTTTGGAGTGTAGAAATGGGATGGGGCCCAATGAATAGAGGAGCAAACGGGGGAAATGAGAATGAGCAACCAAGATGCAGTGCTGGATGGATGATAAGACAGAGGAGAAGCTAACAGCGGGGGACTTGAGCAAGCAAAGCTGTAGCTTTTGTATTAAGAGAAGTGAGATGAAGAAAGTAGAGGAAGTAGGGGAAGAGGAAGAAGAAAAAAATGAAGCGGGTTGACAAAAGAGAGAGAGAGGTAGGAAGGAAGCCATTGAGGCGGGTGCGTCCGTGTCCTCGGCGGCAGGAGCAGCGACAATAGGGTGGGCAACCTCGACCTCTGAATGGCCCTGCACAGTCAATGGCAGAAGTGGTGCTTTGAATAGGCCTCAATTCATATTCAAATCATGTTTTCAGTGAGGATCAATAGGGGGCTGGTCAATGCTGCCACACCTCTTGAATTAACTCGATTCCGCATGTGGAGGACAACATGTCCTGAGAAAAGCATGCAGACGGCTTTGGAAGGGAGTTTTAGGTCTCTGCCATCTTGATAGCACGAGCTGTCTTTCTCTATGGAAGCCACAGTCAGCCTCTATCCTCTCAATCTTCACCTCTTCGCCTCGGCATCAGGACGAGTGATGCCCCTCTGCCAGGTCCTTCCTAGCTTGAAGATACATGACTCGAGAGACAAATGACACGTCTCAATGAGCGGGTAAGTCCTTTCCATGTTCACATTCGACCGTCTCTGCGTTGAAGGACAGCTGAAGAACTTGCAATGGTGGGCAGTTGACCCGAAGGCTATGTGAAGAAGTCAATCAGGATGAGGTCAAATATCAGCCTGGCAGCCGGCGGAGAATTCAATGCTCCGCCGTAGCTACTGCGGCGTCAGTACGGTGAAACTTCAACCGCATGTGCACATGCTTGGAGAAATCGCAGATTGAGACGTCGAGTTCGGGTTCTCCCTCCAAAAACTTATACTTGCTCACGCAGGGGAGGCAGGACTGTATTGTAACAATGGCCGCAGAGGTTGGTGATAAAACATGGAAAGCAGTATGTGGAAAGGTTGACACAAGCTCTTTCGCATCCAAGACACTGACACGCGCCGCAGTTCTTAGAGCAGCACAACTCCCTTGTGACCTTACTCGACTCGCACGCCTCGTTGTTGGCAGAAATGCGGAAATTCTGTCTTGAAAATAGTGCGACTCTGGGCCTGGTACAAGACCGTCTCAAAAACACGGAGAGTCTGATTGCGACGTTCAAGCTATCTGCCGAGTCATTGACAGACATCACTAATCGGGAAGAGCAAGTCGTCAAGGAGGATGTGGAGGCACCAGAACCAGAAACCTTCAACGTCCCAATTCCTACTGCTGTACCCAAGCCGAAATCCCACCTGTCTACCGAACCCCTGCTGGATCCAAGCGGATTTTTTGCAGTGGATACGAATCCCACCCCCATTGAGCAACTATACAAGGAGAAACCTGCCGTCGCCATCAGAGCGAATGGTCCAAAGCGAAAGGCTTCTGGGGAGCAGACCCAGCCAAACATTGTGTCTGAAAACGAGCACATGCGAAAGAAACCAAGACAGGGCCACAAACGAGAAGAGCCAACCCCACAAGAGGAGGATGATTCATTCCTGAAGAGAGTCGAGGCGAGATCACGGGCGAAAGAAGAACGAAAAAAGGCCAAGTCGGACAAGAAGCGTAAGAGACAGAGCGGTGACTCTATGGGGAGTGTCAAAGCCCCCCAAAACAAGAAACAGAAGAAAAAGCAGGATCCGAAGGTCGCCACGGCGATGCCCTTTGCGGCACCTCCAGGTGACCTGCCGATGCAGAATGGCAAGAGACCGCACTCCGAGCCAAATGAAAGCACAAATGGACGAGCGAGCAAGAGGGGACGCCGAGGACGGAAGTAATAAGTGAAAAGCGATTAGGAGGAGTATTATATTGATCTCACGGTGGCTCTTCTCTGAATAAAGGAGCACGTAAATCCAAATGCATTCATTCTCTTCCTTCCTTTTCGAAAACCGAGCCGCCTTAACATGGCCCTCTGCACACGCCTCCATTCGCAGTACGCAGCAAAAGTTGATGCTGTGTCACCCAACTCGAGCTTGACAACATACACTCAATACAACCAGCAGGTCCAATCTCTGCCCTCCCGCTTTCCTGTACTACCTCAGCAATTGCATAAAATAGCGGCTTGGTCTGGTTTCGAACGTCACAAACAACCCAACTGATTTTTGGACCAGGTTCACCCTGGCTCGAGTTTCTCCGGTCCTCTTACTTCTATATTGACCATATTATTCGACATCAACATCAGCAGCAATAAACAACCGTTGGGCCACAGCTGCGCTGTTTTTAAACTGCTGTCTCCATGCGACGATCTGGGCCGTACTCACGCGAACCCAACACCCTTGCAGAGCCGACAACTTGATCAGTCCACACCTGTTGTCAGGATATCAGATCTGGACTTTCAGGTCGGTATTTCGACTGGCCCACCTTGCTTAGGGAGCAGATGTTAACACCAAAAACACTGGACAGGGCCACGCAGACATGAGCGAACCGCATAAACCTCGACTTGCAGCTCGCATCTTTCCGCCACCTATGAAAGCCACCTGCCCACAGTTGGACACGGCCAGTGTGACCACCAATTCGGCGAACAAGCCTCAAATGACACCACTCCACAGACGAACCTGTGCTGCTCGCGTTCCCATCATCATTACCGACGGGGAAGCGAGGCAGCGCCACGAACAGACCGAACACAGTGAAAGGGCACGTGAGGAGGTGCTGAGACATGGCGTGAAAGTGCGAGATTTCCAGGCCGAGGCGGATGCTAGGAGGTCTGAGAGAGGCATAGCCAGTCGTCCTGCTGGTCAGAGTATGCCGATGTCGGATTAGAGCGCGAGTAGATGGTGTGGGAGGTGATGGTGGACGACTCCTGTTCGAGTATCCATGTGAAGACCAAGGGTGGTCTACCAACCCCGTGCATGGAATTGAGCGGGAGACGCCGTGTGTCGAAAGAGATATCCCATATGTGTGTTCACATATCGCAGTCCGGGTTCATAGACCACAGCCGGTCAAAGGTCATTCTTCATCCCTGGTCTTTTTGCTTCTGCACAGCTTCCTCATCCCTCTCTTTCAACTCGTCGACTTTTTCCTCGCCTTGGTTCCAAACCTCCCAAACCTGGTCGACAATCATGCTCCAGTAACTTTCACCCTGCTCAAGTTTCTCCTGCTCTTCTTTCAAACGGCGTTGTTTCCAGTCCTCGTTCCGCCCTGTCGTCCAAGCTTCCCGAGCTTTATCCTGCAGAGCAGATGTCTCGTTCTGCTGCACCATACCCGGTACCACTGCATGTTCAAAGGGAAGACGTTGGTCCCCATTCGCTGGACCAGCAATCTCCTGGCCGAACCGGGGGACCTGTCCGTTCACGAAGCGCCTCGAGGCGTGGCCCATGAACCCCAACCCCGTGCGTTCTCGGAGCTGGTAGTTTGCGGCACCAATGAAGGCACCCGTTAAGGAGAAGGTGTAGAGGTCCAATTTGCGCGGTGGCAGGGCGACGAGCGCGGGCGCGAGGAAACACGCCGCGAGCGTTGACGTGTGCAGGAAGCCGCGGTGGTCGTCGAAGAGTCTCTGGCGCTGAGCGGGATCCTGCTCCGGAGTGTCGGATGCAGAGGACGCCATTACAGCGGAGGAAAGGGAAGGAAAGAGAAAGCGACAAGGAGCGTGGTAGAGACAGGTCTGGGAGCAGATATCGAAAACGATGTACCTAGTAGTATATTTCGCAGCTTTCTTCGCCGTTAGCTGAATACTCGGACGGAAGCTACTGCGGCGTCGGCGCTTCGGCGCACTAGGCATATTAAGTGCCCCTCCAAATCCCATCCTGGGGCCCAAATCGGGCGAAACAGATGGCTTTTATTGGACCGGTCCCATGCCGTGGAGGGCTCCAGGAAAGCAAGGGTTATGTTGTTTATTTGCCAAAATTTGAGGGTAAAATGCGCAGACACTCCAGACAGTTTGGCCGAGTGGTTAAGGCGGCAGACTCGAATTGACCTGCATCTTCGTAGGTTAGCCCGTCATCTGCTGGGTTCGCCCGCACAGGTTCAAATCCTGTAGCTGTCGGTTTTTTTTGGTTGTTTTTGGCTTCTTGTATCCAGCTTTAATCACACTTTTGGTTCCACATACTGGTAATAGAGACTTTGGGAAAAGTAGGATAGATGGGCTGGATGTGAGCACCGAAAGCCAGAGTGGAAAACAATGAAATGGTGCCAAAACGCCAAAAAGACAAGAAGCAACTAGAGTAGGCAATTGGTCTGCGTGCAGCATGAGAAAGAAAAGAATAGTATTCTCTACGTTCGCAAGACTCCGATGCATCCAAGGCAGTCAGATGCGTTTTAGAATACCTCATCTGGCAGCCGACCAGCCAGAAAGGGAAATGGCAGGAAGCTCAACATCAATGCTTTCTGCTCGCTGTACCCGAGATCATGGCAAACGTGCCATATCTGTGGGAGTAATACCGTGCCACGGGTGTCGCAAATGTCTGGTGACAATCGTGGGGGTGAAAATAGATGGCTCTTTGGATTCAAACAAACAGAAGGGGACGAAGGGGCAAATCTCGCTGCGTTATGCCATGAAAACCATTCCAAGTCCAGCGGAGCCCAGCATTACATCGATTATGTTCGACATCCACTGCAAGATTCATGACTAGCGAGAAGGCTATCTTGGTTTGGTGTTCAATGGCCGTAACGCGAGGGCATATCGAAGATGATGTCGTCAGCAGGCGCCTGCGCCTTCATGCGTGCCGCCATTGTGATGGAAGACGCTATTGAACGACACATGTGTACATTTGTGCGGACATCTTGAGGGATTTCGGTAGAGTCGCTGTCGAGCTTGGGGCTGTGCCTGTAAAGACTGAAGAAGTGGGACACATCTATTGGACGACGCAGGTGTACATTTGAGCAGACATTTTGACAATGTTCTGGTGGTCTGGTTTGTGTATGGAGGAATTGAAAGGAGTGGCCTGTAGTTGGATTTGAATGAGAGCATATGTGAGAGAGGCAAATTGGTCAGAGTGGGATATGGTATAAATACCTTACCAGTCACCTCGCGCATAAAGACCAGCATACTGAAAGCAAATAGAAAGAGATCACGTCCAGATATCCCAATTCAGGAGCCGATGGCTGAGAGGAGGCACAGACAAAGAACAGTCGGCAAGGCTGAGCAAAAGGGACGAGGCTTGATATTGTTCTCCTATTAGTATTGTTCTTCCCACACAAAGCATTGGAATGCTGGAATGCTCGCACAGCCAAGGACTCTCCATGTAGGAGTGGAACAAGCCTAGTCCTTGGAGTCCTTGGAGTGGATTTCCTGATGTCGACTGGTTTCGTCCACACTCATGCCAGTTTATGAAGTGCACCCGAGTTCAGTATCTAAAATCGGGTGAATGGCAGCCATTTGCCTCGAAGGGTGATTTTCGCCTGTATCAATTTAGCCCTGAGCTCCAGTACCTGACGAGATTAATCTTACCCATGTGATGCCGTCCTTGTCGACCTCTTTCTCGACGTGGGTGGAGAAAGCAATGGCGCTCATGATCCCGTCGCCAAATTTCTCGTTCAGCACCGCTTTATATGCATACCCGTAATTTTGTATAATCTCGAACAAGCGGTAGACCAGCGGGTCCTTCGGAGGCATCTGCACGCTCCTCCCACGGTCGGGAAATCCGCCTAATTGTGTCTCGAGAGTGGCAAGGTCAATACCCAGAAAGTCCGACAGCTTCTTGATATCTTCTGGAGACGCCTTTGCTTGTCCGTAGAACAAAGCAGCCACGGCGACCTCGTCTCGACCAAGCTCCTTCCCAATCGCCTCAAAAGACACCTTCTTTTGCGCCTTCGCTTCGAACAAGGTCACAGAGGACTTGGGTAGGTTTGGATGTTGCGTCGCCTGGCCATGTTAGTTGGTATTTTGATCTTGTCTTTGGGGGTAAGACAACTCACATCCAATGTAGCGAGGGACATATTGGAGGCTGGTCGGTTAATCTGCAACGAGGCCGGTCTGATGTAGCACAACGCAGTACGAGGCTTTAACCTGAAAGCTGTGAGGGTTAGACGTTGGAAAGGACGTTGAGCCAGAGACATGATGGATGCAAAGGACGCCGAATATATAGCCAATCCACACTGAAAGCCCCGTGGAGATGTGCACTTGTCAACATTCATGTCCTGGCGCTCTGCTTGGTAGAGGGGCTTTGAAGCTGTCCTCCCCGCATCAACCATCATCCGGGCTCACTAGGCTAATTGCCGTCTCCCAGATCGCAACAGTCGGTCCGAGATGGATAGATCCCGGCTAGTTTTTGAGAAGCTGCAGGACTGCTGAGGTAAAGCAAATGGTATTATGCCACAGAAATCCATAGTCGGGATGTGTCTGTACCAATGCGAATGATGGAATTCTGCGTCTTGCTTGGAAAAAGCCTGGTGCTCCCAGAAGCAGCATCTTTCAACTGCCTTCCGCGGCGAGGGGCAGCACGCCAGGGGCATTATATTCTCGCGGGGTCATGAGGCGCAGCAGCTTTGAAGCTCCCTTATTGGGGCCACGGTGAGGTGGAGAGGATTACGAGGACGCTGCCCGCAGTGTGGTTGGCTCTACCAGCTTGGCATGTTCTTCAAACGGTTGACATTGCATGAATCAGCTGAAACACCAGTCACTCGACATGATGGAAACGAGTTTGTCCATGACTAACCACTCCGTTTGAGTTCGCCGCCAGGTGTCGTTTATCCATTGTCGAGTCTGAGTGCGGTTCTCCCTCTCCTACTCTTTCGAGTCCAGCTCCCGTCCAAATTAAGGGTCCGGCCATGTCCTACCACCAGCGTCCGGAAGACGACGGACTGGCATATGGAGATGACTATTCGCAATCCCGTGGAAGCGGTGCACAAGACGGCACGGATCGATCGTTGCTTGGAGACACATTCAAGAAGTTCAGATCTGAGCTGGACAAGTACAAGTCTAGTTCTTCCTCCTCCCCAAATTATGGCTACTCCGGTTCCGGCTCCGGCTCCAATCAGCAGTATTATGGCCAGCAAGGTCCCAGTACTGGATATCCCCAGATAGGCCAGTCTGCCTACCCGGGAGGCCCGCCTACTCAGCAACCCGGAGGGCGACCTGATCTCGCGTCCAAGCTCTTTGGTGGATTGCAGAACACTCTTCAGAACATCGGCTCGGACGTCACAAACTTGCTGGGGCCAGGAAACCGACCTTCTTCGCAATATGGACCACCGGCTCCAGGACAGAGTACTTATGCAGGCTATACGAATGTGCCAGTTCCGCAAAGCATCCCCTCGGGTCCAAACCGGTATGACAGCTTCGCTTCAGAGAAACCAGGCAACGACGTCAAGTGGTATGTCGACGGGTGTGGCTACTTCTGGGCAGTCAGTCAAGCGCTCGAAGGAGCAAAGCACTCGATCTGGATATTGGATTGGTGGCTGTCGCCTGAACTGTATCTCCGCCGGCCACCCTCTCAGAACGAGCAATGGAGACTCGATCGGACATTGCAACGGGCAGCACAACGCGGCGTCAAAGTCAAAGTGATTGTCTACAAAGAAGTCACGCAAGCTTTGACTCTTTCTTCCGCACATACGAAACACGAACTCGAGAAGCTACATCCCAACATTGCGGTGTTTCGTCACCCGGACCATCTACCAGATGCTCAGACGGCTCAGTCGTCCCTCATATCTTCTTTCCAAGCTCTGAAGCTTGATGCCGCAGGACTTTCGAAGCTTGGTGGGGACACCCTCAAAGGAATATACGGCGTGACGGACGATGTCATCCTGTACTGGGCTCACCATGAGAAGCTATGCTTGATTGACGACAAGATTGCCTTCATGGGCGGCTTGGATCTCTGTTTTGGTAGATGGGATACAAACCAGCATTCAATCGCTGATGCACATCCCTCGAACATCAACGATATCGTCTTTCCGGGTCAGGATTACAACAACGCTAGAGTCATGGATTTTAGCGATGTTGCTCAACCATTCCAGAACAAACTCGACAGGACCAAGAACTCGAGGATGGGCTGGTCGGATATCGGCATTTGCTTGCAAGGAGCTTGTGTATTGGACCTTCGTCACCACTTCGTTGACAGATGGAACTTCATTTATGACGAGAAATACAATGTCCGCAAAGACCAACGGTACTACAGGCTTCTTGACGATTTCCCTCACCCTCCAGCTGGCCCAGGTCAGCGACCTCAACCACGGCCACAGTCTCAAGGGCACCTCCAACCTCCTGCTCCCGCCGGCGGATATGCACCACCCCCAGGCAGTCAACCGTACTCAGAACCGGCGTGGCATACAACCAGCCGGCCGCACACGCCGAACGCGGGTCAATATCAGAGCCAGGCAGGAACTGATGCCGGTGGATATGGGGCAACAACTCCTTCTGCACCAGGCGTTCAAACCCTCTCGCAACATCCTGACGCACAGTATGGACAGACCACGGCCTCTTTTGGCCCAGGAGCCCAAACACAAGCTCCGTCTCAGACTTCTGCGAGTGCCTATGGCCAGTTTCCTCCCCCTCCACCACAGGCTCCCGTACAGACCTCTGCCGGTGCCTACGGCCAACCTGCCCCTCTGATGCACCCACCCCATCCGTCTTCATCCGACGCTTATAGTCAAGTGTACAGCCCGCCGCCACACGCAACTCCTCCACCTGCTATGAGTACTTACGGTCAAGTCTCCAGCCCTCCACCACCGGCAGCCGCAGTTCAACAGCCAGTGAGCACGGGAGGCAGTTATCAACAGCCTCCGGCCCAGTCCATTCCGCCGAACTTCCCACCTCCGCCTCCTGGACCTCCCCCCCAACCGTCACCGGGCCCAACACATGTTTATCCAGGATATCCGCCACCGCCCAGCGCAAATGCTCCTTATGCACCGTATCATCAAGAAGTCTCAGAGCTTTCATCTCAGCAATCACCTCCCCAGTCGTACCAGCATCAGCCCTATCAAGCTTATCAACCGGCCGATGCAGGGCAAGCTCGTGGTTTTGACGAATACGACCAAGACGCTAGCAGGGGATTTGATGATTATGGACAAGGTAGCGAGTCTGAAAGAGGCCTTCGGGGGCGATTTGACCAGTACAAAACCGAGGGGAAACTTCTGGGTCAACAATTCTCGTCGATCGGCAATGCTGTCTCAAGCGGGCTTGGGGACAAAGCGCACCAGCTTCAAGGCAAATACTTTGGTGGCACTGACTCCTACGGGCGCCCGTATGGTCAGCCACGGCCGGTCATGACGTGTCAGCTTCTTCGGAGCTGTACAACATGGAGCAATGGAACTCCCCTCGAGCATTCTATTCAGAATGCATACATCGATGTGATTCGTAACAGTCAGCATTTTGTCTACATCGAGAATCAATTCTTCATTACCGCCACAGGCGACCAACAGAAACCTGTCAAAAACCTGATCGGTCAAGCCATAGTTGAACGGATCCTCCGAGCAGCCCGGAACAATGAGAAATACAAAATGATTGTCGTCATCCCCGCAGTACCAGCATTTGCAGGCGATCTTCGGGACGATTCTTCACTGGCCACCCGAGCCATCATGGAGTTTCAGTACAACAGCATCAACCGTGGTGGACACAGCATCATGGAAAAAATAGCGCAAGCCGGCTTCAATCCTATGGATTATATTCGATTCTATAACCTCCGGAACTACGATCGAATCAATTGCAGCAATACCATGCAACAAGTCGAGCAGCACAGCGGAGTGAGATACGAAGATGCCCGGAAACAGCACGATGACGCTGTGGGAGCCGGCTATGGGCAGTACGGCGAGAAGACAGGGACCACTCAACTGTCTCAGGCCCCTCAGTACCAGCAGTATCAGACCACCGCACAGCAAACGACAACCCCTGGAAGTGGTCGGTGGGACAGTGTGGCGGAATGTTACATGCTCGGCGGCCAGGACATACGCACCGTCCCCTGGGACGGCGCTCCTGAAGCCGAGCTCGATGCATTCGTTAGCGAGGAGCTGTACATTCATTCAAAGGTAATTATTCCCGCTTACGTGGGGTGTCTCGTAACTGACCACTTGCAGTGTCTCATCGCGGACGATCGAATTGTCATCGTCGGGTCTGCCAACCTGAACGACCGAAGCCAAGTAGGATCACACGACAGTGAAATCGCTCTGCTGATCAACGACTCGACGCCCGTACAGTCGTACATGAATGGCCAACCGTATCAGGCAAACGGTTTCGCAGCCTCTCTGCGCAGACAGCTGGTCCGAAAACATCTCGGATTGGTCCGACCTCAACATTTCTTTAGACCTGATCCCAATTTCGACCCAGTCGGGGTACCCAATGTGTATGACTGGGGCTCACCCGAAGACAATGTCGTGGCAGATCCTCTGAGCGACACCTTCCAGGCCCTGTGGAACAGTCGAGCACGAACGAACACCGAGGTCTTTAGAAGGGCGTTCCGTGCTGTCCCCGACGACTTTGTGACGACGTGGGGCGATTACAAGGAGTTTTATGAGTACTTCTACCGCCACGCTGACATGGAGGCTCAGGGCAAGCCAAGCAAACTTCCACCCCGGGTCGAGTACGGACATGTTGTCAGGGCAGATTTCCCCGGAGGGGTGAGTGAGTTGAAGGAACTTCTGAGTCAAGTGAAGGGTACCCTGGTCGAGATGCCACTGTGTTTTCTCCAAAGTGAGTCGGATATTCTATCACCTTCTTCCTGGCGTCTACTAACTTGCACCACAGACGAAGACATTGCTAAAGAAGGACTGACTTTGAATCCGCTGACGGAAGAAGTGTATACGTGAGCCAGCCATCTTGCCAGCAGTGTGCCACTCGACGTGGTTGGTGTTGGACATCTGAGATATGACTGAATGATTGAATGAACCATTGCATCTACCTTGGCCGCCATTTGTCTCCATGTCGCCCCGCAAGGGCAGAAACGAAGCCCACAGAGGGAGTTCTGGTTCAAGCAGTAGACACATCATATCCGACTTCCACGACTAAGGGGTTGCGTAGAGGCCGCCTTGTGCTTGACCGGAGAGCATTCTGTGAAGAAATCCGGCGAAGCAGATAGATCGCGTCACCAAAGAAGGTGACTTTGGGAACCACGGAAACTTCAACCTCTCCCTTTGTACTTTTGTGACTGACTTCAGCAGGTTCGATATGTGCAAGGCGGCACTACCGCTGGGCCAAGAATCCCGTTAGCCAACTCAAAGCCTTAGAGGACAAAAGAGGAGAGTAATATCAAGCTCAGCACGAGCTTCATCTGCCTAGATTCACGCGACAATTGCCAGCGGGAACCTGCTTGATGCCTTCCCCGCTTGTTCTGCCGCTCTCCGGGCTTTTCTAACCTTCATCCTACAACAACACCTCTGTTGCGTTTCTTCTTTTCTTCCTTCACTCTACCTTCTCCCTTACTTCTATGGGTCTGTCGAGGCTTTTCTCCTTTTGACCTCTTCTCTGAGACTTTCTCCTCATATCTGACGTTCCCACGCGCCTTTCCTGTCTGTTCCTCACCTTGTCAGATCGTGACCCTGGCATATCAATTCTCAAGATGAAGATCAAGTGCACCTACGAAGAATGCCCCAAGCGCTTCGACACTCACCAGGCCATGATTCGCCACAAGGAAAGGGATCCTAACCACTCGTACTGCAAGCGGTGCGACATCGACTGTCAGGACGACATGTTCCTCTTCATTCATCAGCTTGGAAGCCCGGCCCACAGTGAGTTTACTTGTACCTCGCCTTATGCCGGCTGGTTAGCCACTGACGATGTCACAGTTTGCTGCCCAATCTGCGGATGCGAGGTACTGAATTCATGCTCGAAGACAAGGGCTGCCAAAGCTAACTCCAGACAGTTCAAGAGTTCGGCTGCCAGGGACAATCATATGGAAATTGTAGGCGCAAGTGTCACCTCTGAATTGGAGATTGGCTGACATGGAATGACAGCAACATCATTCCACCCAGAACATAGAGTGTGCTGGTTGCGGCCAGAAATGCGGATCAGCTTCGGAACTAATGCAACACATCGAGAGAGATGAATGCGAAGTCATCAAACTTCAGGATTTCCAGATGCAGCGAGCCGAACGCCAGATCCAGAAAGATGCGTGGGACACCGAGACAGATCCGTTCGCCATCAATTCGCGAACCCGTGAGCAGACGAGTGCAGCCATCAACGACAACGCTCAGCTTGATCGCCTGGATCTGGCGACCTATGACTCCGGACGATCACTCAGCAACGCTCTCGGCGGCCCGATACACGTCGCATCACACGAGCAATTCCCATCACTTGGACAGTCTCAGGTCTCGAAGGCGGTCAATGCCAGTGCGGCTCTGGAGGGGTACAGCCTTAGGGTCAAGCCCGCAAGTAACCTCATCGACCTCGACGACCCTCCTATGAAAGGCATGTCGAAATTGCACCTCTCTCAACCGGACCGGGGACTGCAACAAAAATTCGGTACACAACGCGAGGAAACTACTTCCGGGATGGTCAAAGGATGGCTTGATTCACTCACTACCCAGGCTGAACCGCCGTCCGATGACTCGATTGAAGTTGCCTCCATGTACGACAGAAAGGTGTCGTCTGACAACACTGGACAAATCCCACCGACTTCACTGGCAAAGCCGAACCCAGATGCTCCTCACGAGCATATCGTCCATATGCCTGCTGCCTCAATGGTGTCCACCGGCAGTCCACTGGATATTGAAAAGTATTGGGACGCCAATCGCCAAGTGTATTCGTGTCCCACCATCAGATGTAAACGGCAGTTCAGGACCCTGGCTGACTTCAAAGCGCACCTCTTGACCTCGGCACACGTTGGTAGTCAAGTCACTTGTCCCTCGTGCTTGAAGAAGTTTGCATCCACATCAGCCTGGGTGGCCCATACCTCTTCTGCCAGCAAGCGCTGCGACATCCGCCACAGTGCCAACTTCAATCAAATCATGCGAGAATTTACCGGTGGACTCTTGGGCACACAAGGGTACAACGACAATGGCACGGTCAGGTTTGTGGCACCAAAGATTGAAGATTGGTAGAGCGACTGGGGGCCGTCGTGGCTATTCTTTGAGCGCAATACGCCACGCGTTCCGAGGTCTGGCCTTAGCTTTAACATTGGGCGCAATCCTAAGCCCCGAACAGAATCCAAACTGAAGTCCACACGACCCAAGCCAAGAACATTGACGACGACATCTACATTTCTAATTCCCCAGGGGCTCGATATTACCTAGACCGGGTTTTTTCCTCTCTGGCAGCCAGGATGGGCTTTTTGACTTTACGGTCTCTTAGATTGTGATGAGGACGAAAAAACGCACGGCTCCTTGAAGAACATGGCGCAACGAGATATGGAAAGTCGGAATCGACGATACCCCTTTGACGGAAAACGGAAAAAACAGGCGAAATACACAACAAGGTGACTGAGATCAATATCGGGAGGGGATAATAGTGCACAGGCAAGTCGGCGCCTACTTATGGGACAGAACATACTACGGATAAGGTGCTTCTGAGAATTACGACAAAAAAGACAACTAGATAGCTTGCTAGCTCTATGAGCCGAGCAGCAGCACGAGAATCATGCTGGCTGGGTTGAGAGACACATGGCAATATGATACATGATACATGACGCTCAAGTCCCTCTTTCTTTCTTTCTGGGTTTCTCCCCTGCAGCCAGCCAGGCCTTCCTCCATCTCCGTAGATCGGTTGGATAGCATGCTGTAAGACCTTGCTCGTGTCCTTCCGGCCATATACTCAAGAACGGGCAGCCTCTTACGTTTATAGCCGACTCGCAAACCCGTCCCGATCGATCCGGCAGAGGTAATCCCTCGTAATGTCCTTGACGTTCGTCACGCCGGCCAAGCCCATACACAGTCTGAACTCGTCACTCAGCAGTCTCAGACACAGCTCGACGCCCTCCTGTCCCTTGTAGGCCAAGCCCCAGAGGATCGGGCGGCCGACCCAGCAGAAGTCGGCGCCCAGGGCCAGCGCCTTGAAGATGTCGGTGCCGTGCCGGATGCCGCCGTCGACGTGGACGGGCACGCGTTGCTGGACCGCGGCCACGACTTCGGGCAGCGCGTCGAGCGTCGCCAGCGCGCCGTTGAGTTGGCGCCCGCCGTGGTTCGAGACCACGATGCCGTCGCAGCCGTGACGCACCGCGAGCGAGGCATCCTCGGCCGTCGCGATGCCCTTGACCCAGACCTCCATCTCGGGACCACACACGTCCTTCAGCCACGGGATGGACTCGTCCCACGACAGGGTTGGGTTGGCGGCGTGCGTGTGGAACGTGATGGGCCCGCTCGGGGGGATGCGCCGTTGACCGTCGTGGTAGCCTGCCGTGCTGGGACGGCGTTGACGGGGCATCTTCGGGCGGCGCGAGGACGGGGTTTTCTTCTCGTCGGTCGGGGTGGTTGTTCTGCTATGCCCCTTCCCCACCGCCGTGTCGGTGTCCTCGTCCTGTTCCGCGAAATTGGCGATGGAGAGGTGGGCGGGCAGCTTGAACTGGTTCCGGATCTCGAGATTGCGGCGGCCGAGCATCGGTGTGTCGACCGTCAGGAGCACGGCCTTGTAGCCGGCCTTTTTGGCGCGGTCGATGAGCTTGAGAGAGTGCTCGCGCTCTTCGAACAGGTACAGTTGCAGGACGTGGGGATTGTCCCCGCAGGCCTCGGCGACGTCTTCGAGTGTGCTGGTCGCGAAGGAGGAGAGGCCCATGACGATGCCCCGGGAGCGACAGGCTCGTGCCGTTGCCACTTCTCCGTCAGAATGTGCCAGCCGTTGCATTGCCGTTGGCGCGACCCCGAAGGGCGAGCTGTTCTTGTGTCCGAATACCTGGACCGTCGTATCGATCTGCGAGATATCTCGTAATACCCTGGGTCGGATGCGGTATTTCTCGTACGCCGAGATATTCTCTGAGAGGGTGCTCCCGCAGTCGGCGCCCTCGTTGTAGTAGTCTCGCGTCTGCTTGTCCATCCGTTCATAGGCGAGGGACTCAAGTTCAGAGATCGTCAGGCAGTTGAGGTCGTGAGGCTCGGCCTGGGGGGCTCGAGGAGCGGAGGGGTCGGGGTCGGAATCGGCCTCAGGGGCCATCTTGGATGGGAGGAGTCCAATAGAGGGAGGGAATGTGCTATGCGTTGGTGCTCTGGATGCTGGCTGGGGACGAGAGCGAGCACGGAAGCAATACACCACTGATTCTTGCACAGCCAGAGATAAACAGAGAGCTGAAGGGTATTTACTTACTTTATCAATCGGACTCACCTATGTGCAACTCGATCTCCTCAGCATGAAATCGACGCGGATGACGCTGCTTGCCTGGCCAAGTCTGGGGGTCTTGGAGGGCGATCGACGAAGGCAGGACTGAGGCTGCTGGAGCATGACGTCGTAGAGATGAAAGAGGGAAGATTGGAGGGAGGAGAAGCAAGCCATGAGTTGGGTGCGGGGAGGAAGAAGACGAAGAAGTAATAATTATTTAATAATAGTGGAAGACGATGAGCTCCAAATCGGGAACGGGCTCGGATGGGGAAATAGTAATAAAATGAATATTAATAGCCTGATTTCTCTCAGACTGGAGAACAGTCCATTTCTACGCGTCGCCACGAAGGTGATGGAGACGGTCATGATGCCAGACATATTATAGCAGGGACGAAAAACACCACCATCGCCTCTTCCTCCTGTTCAATTGCTTACAGGATCAATCCTCTGCCCACCATGGACCTCTCGGTCAAGAACCTCCGCGGCCTCCTGACGGATCCCACGCACACGAGATGGATAGCCCCGTTGCTGCTCGTCGGCGAGGCGGCCCTCTGTGGCCTCGTCATCTGGCGAGTTCCGTACACTGAGATCGATTTCACCACCTACATGGCCCAGGTGCGCATGTTCCTCTCGGGCGAGCGAAACTATGCAAGGATCACGGGTCCCACGGGTCCTCTCGTCTATCCGGCCCTCCATCTCTACATCTACTCGATCCTCTACACCCTCACCGAGCAGGGCACCGATGTCCTCCGCGCCCAGATCATCTTTGCCGGGCTATACCTCGTGACGCTGGCCGTGGTGTTTGCGTGCTACCGGCGGGTGGGTGCGCCGCCGTGGCTGCTCATCCCGTTGGTGCTGAGCAAGAGAATGCATTCTATATTCTTATTGAGGCTGTTCAATGACTGCTGGGCGACGCTGGGACTCTGGCTGGCAATCTATTCCATGCAACGTCGCCAGTTTGGAAGAGCTGCGATCATATGGGGATTGGGACTGGGCGTGAAAATGACTCTATTGCTCGCTGCACCGGCGGTGGGTATCATCACTCTGCAGGCCCTCGGCACAGGCGACGGGCTGTTTACAGGGGTCTATGTCTCGGTCCTCCATATCATCATGGCCATGCCCTTCTTCGGCGAAGGGACAGGTTTCTCATACGTCCAACGCTCCTTCGACTTTGGCAGACAGTTCCTGTACAAGTGGACGGTCAACTGGAGATTTGTTGACGAAGAGACGTTTCTATCTCGCCAATTTGCCGTCAGCCTGCTCGTCGTGCACGCGGCCTTGCTGGTCGTGTTCTTCCAGACCAAATGGATTCAGCCGAGTGCGTCCAGCTTGGCCGAGTTTGCGAAGAAGTACATGGGGGGCATGAGGGAGGCGGAAGAGCTGAGGATCTCGAGGAGGATCACCCCGAGCTTTGTCATGGACGCAGTCCTGGGAAGCATGGCGATCGGGATGCTGTGCGCCAGGAGTCTGCATTATCAATTCTTTGCATACCTCGGTTGGGCAACGCCCTATCTGCTGTGGAGGGCTGGTGGAGGTCCGCTTTGGGTGCTGCTGAATTGGGCAGTGCAGGAATATTGCTGGCTGGTGTATCCGAGCACGAACGTGAGCTCGATGGTGGTGGTGGCCGAATTGGCGCTGCAGGTGATGTGCACTCTGGCCGCACCCCCCGTGGACCATATCAGTCCTCCACCGGCAAACTCGCAAGACTTGAGGAGCTAGAGGCCCATGTATCATCACCCACTTTCGTCCTCGCTGTCTGAGGGTGGCAGCTTTCCCACTCGTGAATCCTCGTCATCACTGTCTGCCAGCGTGGTCTTCTTGACGAACTGTTCCGGCCAATACGGCTGTTTTCTCCAAGCCTTCTCGTCGCCAACGATATTCACGATTTCCCCCTGGATCTTGTTATCACGGCCGGCCGTGGTGGTGGTGTCGACCAGAACATAGCCGCCGCGCTTGACGAAGATGGTGGATCTGAACCGGGCTTCAAGCTCGACAAGGAACGTGGACGAGTCGGGGGCCTGGACGGTATAGAGGTCTTTGCCGTTGGTCTTGATAACACGGGCAATCAACTGGCCGGGAGCCAGAGAGTCAGGGGGGTTGAGGGTCTCTTCGGCGGTATTGCGGATCTTGCGGCGCGACATGGCACGGGAAGGAGCAGGGGAGTATATGTGTCAGAGTGGTTGGTGGACGCAAGGTGCGCGGTGACTATCCTTTTTTTTTCTTCCCTCTGCATATTATGCAGGACGAGCGGGGTGAATGTGCAGCGCAGGCACAGTTGCCGAGTTAGGAAACCTAGCCGCAGGCGGGTGACTTTCCTTCTTTGATTCGCAACTCCGTCGCTGTCTGTCAATCATCCACCATCCACCATCATTGAACATGTGTATCTCGACCCAACTGCGGAAGAGAGACCCTCGAATCAACAATGGACCCATGCGTATCTTTGGCAAAAACTTAGCAATCGATCAGCCAAATAGCCTCAGGCCCACTGTGAGCCAAAGCATCTGGGCGAGCTAATGCACGGAGCTACAATTGTCTCACTGCTGCCCGCCTTCTTATCATGAATCGAGATAGAGGTATATGTATATTTCTCCCTCGCTCTCCAGCTTCGCTGTGATTCTCTCTTAGCATCTGCCCCTGTCTCGTCTCGTCCTCTACGGTGACTATGGCGACAGCCCAGGCGTTTGGTGCCTTCATCACCCATGAAAGTCAGCCTCTCAGTGTTGTTCATGGGCCTGCCCCTGTCATCCATCGAGACAACATTACCGCTGCACCACCCACGGAGTATGAGCTCAACGAACTACAATGGGGTAAACGCTTGAACGGTCCATACAAAGCGCCCTCAACTGGTTCATTGCCCGTCGATCAATCTTTGCCTCAGACTCCCGGCGAATTGGAACAAAGTCAGCCTCCCACACCAAAGCGAGATCAGGCGGTTGAGGCGCTCGTTCAGTCTATTTCGAACCCACCGAGGAACCGATGGCGCGTAGCGGCGGCGAGTGTCATGTTCTTTCTGATGGGCATGAATGACGCCGCTACCGGTGCTCTGATCCCGTATCTCGAAAAGGACTACCACATCGGATATGGCATCGTCTCTTTGATTTTCGTCACCAATGCTCTGGGTTTCATTAGTGTGGCGCCAGTTATCCCACTTCTCGAGTCTCGCCTCGGTCGGACTCGATCGTACATCATTGCAACCTCGTTGATGAGCATCGGCTACATAGCCATCGTCTGCTCTCCACCATTTCCCGTGGTTGTGCTCAGCTTCTATTTCCTGGGTTGTGGGATGGGATTGTTTCTAGCCATGACCAACGCGTTCATTGTCAACCTACTCAATGGCACTGTCATCCTCGGTTTCTGCCACGGTTTATATGGAGTGAGTTCAGACCAGCTCGCGTGGGCACTGACCAAAGCTAATTTCTACCAGCTGGGCGGCATTGTCTCTCCCCTCATTGCCACGGCCATGGTGTCGAGCGGCATCTACTGGGCTCATTTCTACTTTATCACGCTGTCACTATCTTTAGTTACTATCCCGAGCCTGGGCTGGTCCTTCCGGGGTTTCGAGAGGGATGCAGCAGTCCAGCTCCTTTCGTCTCTCGAACGCACCGCTTCACGGCAGGGTGAACTCACTAGAGTGCAGGTGCTCAAAAGGGCGGTGAGGAACAGGACCACGCTCCTCGGAGCGACCTTCGTCTTGTAAGTGACCTGGTCTGACAAGTGATGCATACTTTTTGACATTTTTCCCTAGCTTCTACCAAGGTGCAGAGGTGGCTATTTCGGGCTGGGTTATCTCTTACCTGATCCATTATCGAAAAGGCGATCCCTCCCATGTCGGTAATGTCACCTCTGGGTTTTGGGGCGGCATCACTGTTGGACGGTTTGTCTTGACCCATTTTGCTCACAAGATCGGGGAGAAGCTTGCTGTCGTCCTCTTGATCGTTGGAGCTGCAGTCTTTCAACTTCTCGTCTGGCTTGTCCCAAACATTATCGAAAACGCCGTGGCCGAATCCATCGTTGGCGTGTTCCTGGGACCCATCTACCCCTGCGCCACCGCCGTCTTTGCCAAACTCTTACCCAAGAGCATTCAAATCAGCAGTTTGTCAGTCGTGACATCGATGGGAAGCTCTGGTGGTGCACTAGTGCCCTTTATCACGGGTATATTGGCACAAAAATTGAGCACGGTCGTCCTGCATCCGGTAGTCTTGATCTCGTTTGCATCGATGACAGTTAGCTGGGCACTGTTGCCACGCATTGGGAAGAGGACAGAGTGAGATATCGTCGCGTTTGATGCAGTGGATGTACTGTCATGGATCATTCAAATCAACTTGCACACCCCCCAAGTCATCGTCGGACTACACCTCGCAGAACTTGTACTCACATTCTACTATCAACTGACTCTTACTTGTCATTGGAAGACTCCGGTGCAGAGCACCAATCCAAGGGGTTATCTAACACAGTGCAAAACACTTCTGAAACAGATTTCAAAGGTTGTGTTCTGCGACATCTCACTTCCGCCCTCACATGCAGGGTTTGTCACGTAGGCTCTCATTTGAAGCCACGGTGACACTGCTTGCGATCTTGTCCCACACACGACCACACGATTGCAACCAACCCAAAGATCCAGCAGCATGGATGATCCAACGAAAGAAACACAACAACCTCGGGGAGTCCGTAGCCGTCTCTACCAGTGGGCCGGTCAGGCGGTCAACAAACTGCTTGACACCAACATGGGGCCTGCTGCTCCTTCAGCTCCAAGTCATCAGACAGACGGCACCTCTACACCGAATCCCACGCATCAAGATGATGGCAATGACCCTCCAAATCCTTCGAAGTTGTCTGATCACTGCCACTTGTGGTTCAAGGTGCGTGGCACTCTCGCGGGATTTTTTCTGCCGCAACCTGTTTCTTTTCTTGAATAGACTGCGAACAATGCCTGGCTGCTTTCCAGTGGCTATACAGATCCAGTTGCGTCACTTGCTATTGTGCTCGATTCTGTCGTTTGATTTTCACAACCAACCTATTCATCACTGGCGCAACAACCTTTCGCTGTTGACCGCCCTTCTGGGAATATATTGAGAATGCAGAACCCCTTGCTTGAGCACCCTTCCCTCGCACACCTTTTTCACCACCGGAATTCGGTCTTTCATGCATCAGGCAATATAGCGATGCCAAAATTGTCTTTTCCAATCGACCCATGGATTGTTACCTATTATTTACAATGTTCATATTTTCCAACCTGACGTCTCTGCTCCAGGCCTCACCACTGCCAACGAATGCAGTACCAACCTCCGGCAATACTTCGAGCGCAACCGTCCCTTGCAAGACATATCCGCCCACCATAGGCATTGTCTGTGTTGACGCCCTCGGAGATGTCCATAGCGCCACCACATTTGTCAAGCGCGACCTGGGGTTTCAGGGCCAGATCGGTCAATACGTCCTCCTCAGCTACGGGGACACTCTGTACAGCGATGCCAACTATAGCGACACGTGGCGGGGCATGACGAGCGATTCTCTTGCGATAGCCACACAAAATCCGACCGTGGTCGTGGATCCAGTCCTCAACTCCGACGGCTACCCGCCGCAGTTCTGCCCAATAATGTCGTCTTACGGAGAAGATGCGACAACATGCGCCTTAGGCATCACCAATGTGGTTGAGACCACGGCGTCCAACCAAGGCGTCATGTTCTTCCTCCTCAACCACCGTCCCAACGGGACCAACAATCTAATCGGCGCCGGTGTCGCCTCGATCACCCTCGACACATCGGCATATCCTCCTGTTCCGCAGATAAGCCGTCTGCCTCCCCAGTACTGGTGGGACGCTACATGTGAACCGTGGTACGGGGATGTCTGCGCGCTGGGATGGAATGGATATGTCTATGCATATGGTCACGGCCCTCAAGGCAATCCCTGGGTGTACTTGACCCGAGTCCCTGTGGAGGAAGCCACCAACGTCAACTGTTACGAGTATTGGAACGGCGAGACGTGGCAGGCCGACAGACTCGACGGGAAAACAATCGGTGCAACGGAGAGCGTGTTCTGGCAGATCAACCAGGGCCAGGTGGTCTGGTCCAACTACTTTGGATGCTTTCTCTTCGTTTATTGTGGTAAGTCATCCATTCGTGTTCACTCTCCGGAGACGAAGCCGCTAACTTCTTGTGTGCTTGGCCCGCGGTCAGACAATTGGATGAACTCAAAAGTACTTCTGAAGACTGCACAACAGCCGGAAGGGCCGTGGTCGGACCCGATCACACTGTACCAAGCGACTCCCATCACTCCCGGCAGTTCCATCTACGCCGCGGTACCGCATCCCTATTTCGACGAGACAGGGAAGACGTTGGTCGTCACGTTCACAAACCATCCGAACACCGTGCAAGCCGTGCGTGTCACCTTTGCGTGAGGCAGGCTAATACACAACCGAAACGTGGTCGAACGGCAGCGACAGGGAGAGAGAGTGAGCATATCGGAGCCCTGCCGACAGTACTCTGAAGGGCTGACAGGATCACTTGATTGCCGGCAACCATGAGCCCTCAATAGCTCTGCAAATCGCATATTCAAGCTCTACACCAGCGACAGACTTAAGCACATACTTTGCCTGCCCAGCACATTTTTAGCTCACATCTTGAACATCTGAGTGTCTCAACCCCAGAACTTGCACCTGGCCCATCCAGCTATGACACAGACATAGGGTCGTCTTTGCAACACCGACACGAGCAACCTGTCCCGTCTCCCTCATTCATCAGCCTGCCTCATCATTGCGTCAATCGGGCACGGATGCTGGCGCGAGTCCGTGTTGTTACATACTATCTGCCCAGCTCATTCCTTGACGACATTAAGCAGAGTATCCCTCCTAGCAAGCGGATGGAGCCACGACGCAGAGTATCCGCTGAGTGGTCCAAGTTGGGACCTGCAGAAGAGCATACGTATTCCCAATGCTATATATACAATGCACCACAATTTTTAATCCGATTTTTCTTCATGAATAACTGGAACACTTTTCCTAGCCGCCCGTAGCATATGTACCCGCTCCCTTGCTCTCGTCATGGCTATTTCTCTCGGCTCCTGCTTGCTTTTCCCGTATTCTCCGGCTCTCCATCATCAAACAACCACACATGTACAGACATACATACATCAATACACCCTCTCCCACATCTCCCCCACATCCTCTATCTACCCTCTACCCTCTTATCGATCTACATTTTCACTCAAAAATTTATTCCCTCTCCCCTTTCCACACAAACTCCTGCTTCACGGTCGGCTCGCACAGCGGCCGCAGGGCGTACCCGTAGTCGCCGCCATTCGGGGTGCGCAACAGGGTGTGGATGTGGAACTTGGCCGGGTCGGCGTTGTTCAGGAACACGCCGCTGTGGTGGTCGAACTCGACCAGCACCACGGGGCTCTGGAGGCGGAAGTAGAACGGGTCGGCGTCGCCGAAGCCGCCGATCCAGCAGAAGTGCGTCTCCGCGTAGCACCCGCGGCACTCGTTCAGCCGGATCTCGCGGGCCCGCGCCGGCAGGTACAGCAGGTACTGCATCAAGATCTGGTCGACCAGGGACTGCTGCGCGGCGGACAGCGCCGACACCACGACCCCCTCGTAGGCCACCACGCGGTTGTCCCGGTACGCGCCGCACAGGTGGCGCTGGTCGTCGTGGTTCCACCGCCCCTCGGGCATGGCGGGGTCCTTCATCTGCGCGTAGATCTGGGCGGTGCGCTGCTGCTCGGGCGACAGGGACTGCATGAGCTGGAGCCCCAGCCGTTCCTCCTCGTGCAGGATGCGCGTGCCCTTGTACGGCCCCGCGTCGATGAGGTTGGGCTCGGCGCCCGTGAACCACGGCGACGCCACCATCTGTGTGCGGTACAGAAACACGTTGAGGCACAGGTGGTGGCCGTAGAAGCTGAACCCCCAGGGCGCCGTGGTGGACGGGCGGCCGAACAGCACGAAGTTGTACGAGAACTCGTTCATGACCTGGGTCCCCTGCACCAGCTCGCCCAGGAACCCGTTGATGCGCATCGCCGCCACCGCCTTGTCGTAGCCCTCGGGCGACAGCGTGGCGCGGAGCACGGCCATGACCCCATCACGCACCGGAGGCTCCAGCTCGTCCAGCCGGATGCCCTTGTCGCTGAGCAGGAACTCCGGGTTCGACCAGGTGCGCCACTCGGGCGAGTCGATGTGGTAAGACAGCTTGGCGACCTGGGTCGGGGTGAGTTGGCCGAGGAGGGAATCTGTCGCCGCCACGATGCGATCGATGGGGACGCCCTCGTCCTGGATCTTGAACAGGCCCGGCCTGACGATCCCGTCGTTGGTCACGCCCTTGAACGGCTCCTTGAAGAGGTCCAGCCAGTGCAGGTACAGCGCGTGCAGCCAGGGCGGGACACCAGACTCCTTGAACGCCGCCGCGTAGACGTGGGCGTCCTGCTTCGCCATGGTCGTGAACCGCGGGATGCTCAGGTCCGGCAGGTAGTGGCGGTACTCGCTGTCGAGGTCCTTGGAGGTCGCCATGGTCCTGGCCAGGTCGGTCGGCTTCGTTACTCAAGGTATCTGACTTCTTGATATTGACAACCTGTTGCCTTGGTTCGGTAGATTGTATAGCTCCAGCTGTGTTGCCATCCACGAAGAGAAGAGATGAACGAACAGTCTACGGAGTAGTCTGATAATAATCAGTTTGTTGTCGACATCCCCACGAAATGGAATTGTGGCGGGGCTTCACTCATCGGAAGACGCACCCCGGCGCCGAATTCGGTGTATCGATAGTCCGACCCGATATGGCCTTCCCGACGAAGCCTTTTATCTCGTCGTCTTCGCAATATATATACTGATATTCCTAATGTACTTGGGATATCTGTTGTACATCAGGCCAGAGACAGGCCACGGCGGGGCACATGGGAGTTGGACACCGTCAGAAAGATGGCTGTCAACTAACGTGTCCTGGAAACGCCAGCGAGACAGACTAGCCAAAGCCTTCTCCCTTCTCCTCCCTTGTTCTCCCGTTTAAAGTCTTCATCGTCTTATGTCTCTTGAAACCACTTTGAGGATAGTGAACGGGCCTTTTTGGGGACTCGGTTGTCGTGACATGAATGACTACACAGACTATAGTTGAGATACACCAAGCCGTCCAGCTGGTAGAAGGCGAAATGTGCATGCACCACGGTTCCCAATGATACATTCATTCGTTGACCTCTTCCATTCGATATCTGACTAGAGACACGCAAAGAAACTGCTCTTATACATAGCCCAATACTGATGCTTGTACATCCGTAAGTCAGTCAGCCGCCCGCCACCACCGCCCTGATCTTCTCTGGACTCAACTGCCCTTTCCTCCCCCAACCCCCCTGCCCGGACTGCACACTCGGCCGAAACTCCTCATACATGTGGAAGGCCTTGACATTCAGCGCCTCCTCCTCCTGGCCCTTGTTCTTCCACGACGCGATTGCCTCCTCCATGGCACGCTTGATCCGCTCGTATTCATCTCCGGAGCCAAACTTGCCTTTCAACAACGCCTCGTTGGCCTTCTGCGGCTTCCCCGACACCACCGCGTTGCCGCCTTTCAGCAACAACCGAAACCGCATGACGTTCACCTCGTCGTCCGCGCTCTCCTCGGCGGCGCGCTTCTTCCTCTCCTTCTTAGCCCGCTCGGTCGGGTTGTCGTCGGACGGCTTGTCCATTGTCCCGATTGCACGGCCCTTGGAGATGGCACATAACGTGGAGATGGCCGAGCCGATGCTCAGGTGCGTGCTCCACGGCAGAGCCGGGTAGAGCGCCTGCGAGACGCACGCGGCCCACAGCTGCAGCACCGGCGCCCGGTTGATGATCACGGGTTTGCTGTTTTCCTCAGGCGGCAGGTCCTCGTCGGGCTTGATCGAGGTCTGCTTCTGCTTCTGCTTCTTGATTGGACGCGCCTCTACTTCAGACTGCTTGCTTTTGCGCTTTGAACGAGGGTCGCTCTCTTTCTTTGTTGGTGGAGTTGCTGGGCGAGTGGGCTTGGGATTCCGTGGCTTGGCTCTGCTCCCATTTTTGGTGTCGAAGTCGTCCAACTGCGTTTGCCTCTCGCTGCCCTTGCTTCTGGTGGTCACAGGCATGTTGTCTCCTTGGTCGTACTCCTTGCAGTATACAGATAACGAGGTATAGGATGGTTGCGTTGGCTAGGCTGGGAGATACCCGATCCGCCGTTTGTGGTATGATATGTGACGTCAGGTGTAGATGGGTGTGGGGGGCAGGTATATATACATACCTCGTACATGCCTCGTATACATGTACATATATGTATTCTGTAGTATTCAACCGCTTCCTTCTCATTGCTCCTGTTTAACCTTGTGCCTTTGGTGATAGCGAGAGATAGGCCTGGTGTCCTGCTACGAGCTCGCTCCGCATCAATAGTCACAGTCCTCTTTCGACTTGAAGCTCTCTCGCAGTCGCTCGACCCACAAATGTTCTTCACTTCTTGGAGCGTATCCATAACTTGAGGAGGCTCGTCTTCTTGGGCATCTTCTGGCTCTCCTTGAGCTTGCTCGCCCGTTGCTTGGCGATATCTTCAAGGACCGCGCATTGGTCTGCGTTGAAACATCTCCTCAGCACTTGACTGGCTCTTTCGACCCCGTGGGGGTAACTTATGCCCACGCGTTCCTGTTCAAAATCTGCTCCATATCGCACAAGTAACTTGACAGCTTCAAAACACTCGAACCCCTCGGTTCTGTCTTCCCGTGGCCGGCCTGTGCCAATTATTTCGAGATCCCATGGCAGAGAGTCCAAAATCAAAAACCAATCCAACTGGTCTCCCAGACCCCTGTTCGGGTCTACACCCTGAGCGAGGAGAAGCTCAAGAGTGGCTATGATCGACTCGCGCTCCAAGGGTCCGATTCGTGAGCTTTTTAATTCTGAACACGCCACCAAATATATTGCATTGAGGTGGGCTGTCACTCTGCGGCACAGGCCTGGATCCTGTTCAATTTTCCTGCCGACAAGATTGGAAAGTCCAAAGCAGAAGCAAGCTGACACGGCAATCAAATCAATTTTCAGGCCGTCCTTGAAAATCCTAAATTCATCATCCTCCTCAAACGCCTGTGCATTTCCTTTCAATTTTGAAGTGAGAACTGTTTGAAGATGGTCCAGTATGGAAGCCAAGTCCTGCTGAAACAAAGGGTTCCGGTCCAACCGTGAGGCAGCTGGCCAAAAATCAGTCAGGGAGTACCGATAAAACCGGAGGACCCGATATGAACCAGAGCCCCGATAAAACCCGTACGGAGGTGTCATTTTGGCCAGTGCGCAGAGACTGTTGAGAATTTCCCAGTCGGCCTCGAAATCGTCATCCGATCGAGCTTGAAGCATCAGCCGTGCCTCCTCAGTCTGCAGGTAGTCCTTGACCGTCCTGTGCAGAAAGCCCACCTCATTGCCATACAAAAGGGTCTCCACTGAGGCGGAATCTATTTCGGCCACTTCGAGGAGACCTCTGCTGAGCATCTTCAGTCTTCGTTTCATATTCCTCAGACGCGAAAATAGGACATCCTTCGCAGGCGTTTTCGCCGAACATTGAAACGCGTAGTTTGTAATGTCCTGATCGACAACCCAATACGCCATCAGTGGAAGCTCGTCATAGGCATTAACCGCGACTGCGAAGATTCGTGATGTCTGCGTTCGATATCGGTTTTCGGTAGAGAACAAGATTTTTTCAAAGTAATCCTTGAGATCCTTCGGAATTTCATGCAATCTACCCTGCAGATCCTTGATGCGGTCGGAGTTCGTCAGCCCATCAAGGAGGGACCTCACGACGAGGGACACCCAAAGGAAAACACCGGCTGCATCATGCACAATATTTTGGACAAAGTCGGGACATTTAGGGTCCTCTTTCTGAAGCTGTCGGAACCTCGGATTTCTGCCAAGCGTGTCCTGGACGTAGAGACGGATATCTTCCCTGGTAAGGTCATGTATGTACAGCTTCCAGGGTGACTTGCTCCCAAAACGATCCTCAAATTCGTTCCACGGACGACTCGAGACGCATGTCTTGACATTTTGAAAAGACCTCAAGATATCGATCAGCTGCATGATATCGGCGGGCCTTCCGTCGTACTCATCAAGCCCATCTATGAAGAAGCAGAATTTCGTGTCGGAGGCCGTGGAAGTTGAGATCTTCCTCAGAGTCTCGAGAAGGGCTGGTACGGTCAAGAGCTCATCACGAGATTCTTTCAGGAGTATACCATCGGTCGTCAGTGCAATCCACTGGTCAGAATAAGCCACCTGGATTAGATCGGGGCACTGGCGTAGGACCTGGTAAAGGATTGTCCTCAGCAAGCCCTGCTGCGATGTTTGCGAATGACGTGACGAGGCTTTCCAGAAGAAGAAGCTTGCGGTAACGAGCTTCATGTCGCCAGCCCATGCTTTCAAAGAGCGTTCCGTTTGCTCATGATCCGCCACAAACTTCATCAGGGTGGATTTACCACTGCCCGCCCTTCCTGAGATCCAGTACACACTTTCTTCTTCTTCTTCGAGCCATTGAAGAAACCTGGTTGGTGAAGTCTCGTCAAACATCCATAGAAATGTTTGTGCATGCTCCTTTGAGATTGATCGGTGACGCGAATCAATAGCTGAAAACCTGAGGCTCTGGAGGATTATTTGCTCTGCAAAATATGCTTGTCCACGACGGGCAGTATCGCACAGAACTAACCAAAATCCTGGCGCGTGGTTTTCGTCAGCATTAACCCTCTTCATCTCTTCCGTCGCAAAATTGAACTCTCGACGGAGCTGGCCAATCTCCTGAGAGCGGTTCGCCTCTAGGCGCATGTTTTCGAGCGCCAGCTCACGCAGCCTTCGATTGATGTCGTCGAGCAATTCTAGATGCATGCCATCCATAAGCTGCTTGCTGATCCGATCAAGTCTTCGTTGAAGGCTGTCGATGTGGTCCTGTTTCCAGATAGATTTCACCGCCTGGGTGGCACTCCTCAGAGGCTGACGTCCGCTTCTGACTTTGACCGAATCTAGGCATTCTAGCAATTCGTCTGCCACCTGAGTGCATTGTCGAGCGAGGCCTTGCAGGGCCGAACCTTGGGCATTGCTCAGACGAAATCGATCTCTTGGTGGGTTCTCGGCTGGCCTGTTTCGAGTCTGGTCGATAAGGCTCTTTAAACCCTTGGTCAGGGTTTCAAGTTCGGTGTTTTCCGCTGTCGCACCGGTAGCCGATCCGTACAGTTGCTTTGCTCTAGAGACGACTTTAGTTGAGTAGTCGACAATATTTATGATATTTCCCGCCAGTCCAAGTGCAGAGAGAGGGTCCATGATGACCAACTATTCACATTCGGGATCGGAGGAAGAGTGTTCGTGAGGAACGAAGGTGAAGCTCGAGATACAAGGAGTTTTGTTTGCTCAGCCACATTCAATCAGGGCTCCTCCTGCGTGCGGTAAGGCTGTACAGCACGGCAACCAGCTCAACGCTCATGTGATGCTCCCACCGTGGGGGTTTGCCGGACGCGCCGTGCGGCTGAGACTTGAGTGCACGTATCACCACTCAAGCGACACGATGTAGCCCTAAAAAATGCCGAGGAGACTGACAGGTAAGGAATCAAGAGAAGTTATAGCCGATGGAGCACTAGTAGTAGAGCGAGGCAGGCACGTGAGTAGTTACTTACATAGATTATATATATACTTGGCGGCAATCCGTTACCATCCTCTTCTTCACTCGTATCTTCTAACCTCCCGCCAAGGTCATCCGCCTTCACTCACACACAATAGTATTCATTCCTTCTAACCATCTGGCCAGGCACAAATCTTCTCCGGAGCAAAAACTCTCGTTGAGAGAAACCGTCCTCAGTCTTTTCGAACCTCAGGTTTTTTATTTTCATGACTGTTTTTGAATGACTTGTCACACCCTTTCTCTCCGCCATCATCCCTCTCCAAGAGAAGAGAAGAGCGGGCAGATGCTGGAAGATCAGATGATATTAAGACAAGCTTCAGGCCAAGGGCAATCCAGGCATCAGTTAGTCAGACGAGCTGCTCCCTAACTGTTGGGACCCGTAAGGGCTGTCTTCAGATTGTTGGGAAAGAATAAGAGACTACAATTTATACACGTGCACATCGCTTGAATTGTGAAGAGAAGGACCCGGCAGTAAAGAGGATGGGAAATTAGGGTGGTTTACGCCAGCTGCGACCAAAGAACTCAACGGACCGATGCTGGATTCGAGGATGCTCCGAATTGGACGTTGAAGGTTTGTTTCAATTTGACATCTCTCGACAATCACCTCTATTGACCCGGTCGACGATAGACATCCTTCACGGAAACTAGATTCCAAACCCTGCCTGTTGCACCTTTTATGTCTAGACCTCTACGAGATACTCGGCGCTGGTAGGCAAGATGAGTGTACAACCTTCCCAGATACCCAAGACGAGCATTGTCCATTGGTCCCTCCATATCCAGCTTTTGCTATGGCCTCATTCCAGTCTGGAGCTTTGTTGTTGAGGCTACAATGCAAGACTCATGTTAGCCAAATAGATCCTTCCCACGAGCGCGGAACTGCCAGACAGAGGCAAGGGGGCACAGATTCAGAACCTACCAAGGCGAATTTGCTCCCTGCGGACACTGCCTGCACTTGATTGATTGGGGCTTCTCATAGTTGTTGTACAGGGCTCCCAAGTTCGCTGTGCCGGGGTAAGTAAGTTTTCCATCCGTCATGCCGTTTGTCGCTGCGCAGTTTTTGGCGTAGTAGAGCTTGCACTGCCAGCCAGCAGGAGGCTGCAAGAGACAACGACGGGTTAGCAAGGATTGCACTGGTCAACATGGGAGAGAGCCTTTGCTGAGAAAAGAGAGGGCGGTCTACTTACTCCGACAGAAGAGCCTGAATCCGAAGGGAAGGCCATGCATTGCGAGTCGATGAGCTTGTTCCAGGAACACGGCGCCAACCAATTCTTGTTATTACAGATGTAAACCCCGGCGGGTGGAGTTCTCTTGGCCAACCTTGCGCCATCCGATTCATCCACGAAGTACTCATCCTCTTCTGTCAGTTCCGGGGTGAAATTCTGCACGTTATCTTCGCTGGGTGGGAGGACCGCAGGCTCGGTGATTTCGGGCTCCGCCTGGGCCGCAACGAGGCTCGAGGAGGCTGCAAGGGCGGTAAGGGTCAACAAGCCCAGGGTAAAAGTGCGCATGTTGGGCGATCTGGAGGTAAGGTAAGGACAAAACTGTGCTGGATGGGGAGAAAAAGGCAACGGAGAGAAATGTTTTCGTCTTCTGCCTTTTCATTCTTTGGACCACGCCATATAAAAGAGGATTACAACCGCTGGGCATCCGTTTGCGGATCTCTTCGGTGTGGTTGTGCTGGGGTTGTCTCTCTTTGTGTTCATGACAACAAAGAGGTTTCTCCCCGTGGCGGGGCCCAAATCAAACCAATATTCCATGTCTCCAAAGAACCGGTTGTTCCATCTGTCAAGCACAGCAGAGGAAGTCAGAGCAAGTGTAAGAGGATGGTCCAAAGGAGGGAGGTGGTGAGAAAGTGCCGGGCTGCTGAAAGTCAGAGATTCATGCTCCTTGTATCAAGCACAGAAAAACCGCCCGCCTCTTGCTCAGGGATGGAATTGTCCGTGCACGCCCCAGCCTTGGTGGAAGGAATGTAGCACATTTGCAATGAGAAGCCCTGGCTCAGGCCACAGAAGAGCAACCATTCATACTACCGCTACCTCGCTCTGATCGATCTACGATGGAAACACCACAATTGACAAGGGAGCAGTGACCAAGACCGGAAAGAAGGCACATCGAATTGGGGCCAAGATTTTCGTTTTCGTTGCCCTGGCGATATCTTGCCTTGGATTGATTGTAACCCTCGCCTGTGCAACTTCTCAGCCAGGTCCATCTTTTTGATGCGTTGGAACTTTCGAATATTGGGCAGAAAGTCACACCGTTTCGGCCACAGGAAAGTGTTAGCCACAGTCTGCCCAGAGACTAGCAGACGGCTTGTTGTAGGGTCATGCAGAGGTGAGTACGAGATTTCCGAGGCGGTTTCTTGGTCCCGGAGTCTCAGCCTCACAATATCGAGATGCCTATCCTGGTAAAAAAGAAGGACGTTCTATGCGCGCCCATATTGGTCCGCTGGAGAGAGACACTGTATGGGAAACCCGCCAAAGCAAGGCTGGTGGCCCTTTTTCCTCGGGTTCAATGTCTTCTCGACCTCTCCTTTACACTGACCCAGACGGATATTGAGGGTATCGGGGTATCTCCTCCATAAGCTTCAACTACCTGAGGAGAACATGAGCGGATGTTTGCATCAATCCGTTTCCATGCCTTCCTGCGTAGACAGTGTTCTCCAGGCAGCACTCATCTCGAACCAGTTGCGGTTAGGAAAGTCAGGCCATGCCTAGTCAAATAGTCGTGAGACATTGCAGCATGATAGGTTCTGGCCATAAAGTCTGCAACACCACAGGTCCGGTCGGATGCGAGGGGATTCGATTCCGGGGGCACCAGAGAGGCCGCCAAGCCCGACTGCGGAAAAACGAATTCCCGTGGTTCTGCCGAGTGGAACAAATCCGACCGCGGCGGGTCTATTTAATGCGCAGGCATATATCAAACCCCTGGTCATATCTCTGACAAGTACGCCTGTATCTCTTGACCTGCTGATGGGATCGCCTATCGTCGCCCGTCAAGCATCTCTATCATGGCCGGGGACTCTGCACAGCCAGCGGCCGCCGGCACGCGGCGGCGGCCCAATTTCTTGATCATCGTGGCCGACGACTTGGGCTACTCCGACGTGGGCGCCTTCGGCGGGGAAATCAAGACGCCCAACATCGACGGCCTGGCCCGCGATGGGATCCGCCTGACCGACTTCCACGCTGCGGCTGCGTGTTCGCCGACTCGGTCCATGCTGCTGAGCGGCACAGATAACCGCAAGTATCACCCCGGAGACGTGGGGAGAGTGGTGTTTCATCCTCCAAAGGGAGGGAGGAGGACTGGTGAAACCTCTTTCTGACCCGTTATCATTGTCATCCACAGACATCGCCGGGCTTGGCACGATGATCGAGGCGATCAAGGAGTTCCAGGTCGGCCAGCCTGGCTACGAAGGATACCTGAACGACCGCGTGGCGGCGTTGCCCGAGCTGCTGCGTGACGCTGGCTACTTCACGATCATGTCGGGAAAATGGCATCTCGGCATGACGCCGGACCGCTACCCTTCCCAGAGAGGGTTCGACCGGTCCTTCAGCCTGCTTCCCGTATGCGGCACACACACACACACACCACACGTCCAAGGGCGGGAGGGTGACCCAACCCCCGTCAAACATTTTGCGGAGAGAGCTGACCGAAAAAACTTCTTTTCTCTAGGGTGGTGCGAATCATTACGGCTGGGAGCCCCAGGTCGTGCAGGAAAAGGTGCCCGACCTGCTCGAGCGCAATGGCCCGTTCTACGCCGAAGACGACAAGCCCGTGCCGGTCGCTGACCTGGGCCCGGACTTCTACTCGACCGAGTCCTTCACGTCGAGACTGCTGCAGTATTTCCAGGAGCGGGACGAGGAGCAGAGGCGGAAGCCGTTCTTCGCCTACCTGCCCTACTCGGCGCCTCATTGGCCCTTGCAAGCCCCGGAGGCGGACCGTCGAGACTATCAGGGCGTCTACGACGAAGGGCCCGACGTGCTCAGACAGAAGCGGCTACGGCGGCTGGAGGAACTCGGAATCATTTCACCCGAGACCAAGGCCCACGAGGTCTTCGCGCTTCCTCTCGACAAGCCCCTGAGCAAAGAATGGCGCAGCTTAAGCGAGGACGAGAAGAAATTCTCCTCTCGGACCATGGAGGTCTTCGCGGCCATGGTGCAGAACATGGACCGGAACATCGGACGTGTCATTTCCTATCTGAAATCCACTGGCGAGTATGACGACACCGTGGTCATGTTCATGTCCGACAACGGCGCCGAGGGTCTCCTGCTGGAGGCGTACCCCGTGGTGAAGGAGAACATCTTCGACCACATCGACCGATACTACGACAACAGCTATGAAAATATGGGCCGGTACAACAGCTACATCTGGTACGGGCCGCGCTGGGCATCCGCCGCGATGGCCCCGTTGAGACTTTACAAGTCGTTCTCGTCGGAAGGCGGCATCCGGGTGCCGTTCATCTTGAGGTATCCGCCCTTGACGTCGTCACGGGCTGGGCAACTGGATCGATCCTTTGCCACCGTCATGGACATCGCTCCGACACTCCTACAACTGGCTGACACCCACCATCCGGGAACCATGTATAAAGGCCGTCCCGTCGTTCCTGTGCGGGGCACGTCCTGGGTGCCATACCTCTCCGACCCCGTGAAACAACAACATATCCATGGTGGCGACTCAGTCATGGGGTGGGAGCTGTTCGACCGACAGGCCCTCCGGAAAGGGACATGGAAAGCCGTCATGATCCCGAAGCCATTTGGACCGGGGAAGTGGCAACTGTACAACCTGGAACGAGATCCCGGCGAGACGGACGATCTGGGCGAGAGGCACCCGGACAAGCTACAGGAGCTGCTCATGCATTGGGACGAATATTGTAAGGAGGTCGGCGTCGCCGGCGCCGCGCCGCAGTATGGAGTGCTGAAGGTCGATGAGGGCGGAGATGCTCCTTAAGGCAGCTACCGTGAGGGTTTCAAGTTCTTCTGGCATAGATTTTCTCAAGGCTGCCCCCGGCGCAATTCTGGCTTAGATGGGTTTTATGTCGGCGGTCCTGGTAATGTTTTGGGCGGAGGCAAATATTTGGGCGGAAGGCGATCTCCAGAAAGCGGAATTCTGGAACCTGAACAGAATCCAGCTCGGTAGCGAGAGCTCGCTTGGGACAGACGGTTGTTGACCATGGGTAAGCTCACAGGTCCCTGCCCATCTCTTCCATCTTGTTAGACTCCGCAACTGTATCGAGATCCCATGACCCGCATCTTCCGATCCAACTCCAGCTCACTGTGGCGCACATGGAGTGCCCACAATCTCGTCCTCAATTCGAATTGACTCGGTACCAGGCGCGTTGAATCCGTACGAGCCAGGTGGGTTGGTGGCTGGGTTCCAACGCCACAGCTGCATCCAATACTGACGCTGTTGAGGTTGGTCGGGTGAGCACAATGCAGGACGCCCCCCCTCGAATCCTCCTTCTTTGAACATCTTTTCAAGGTTGCGGTCGGGAGGTCGACCGAGGTCGCAGAACAGCGGGCCTATGAATTGGAAAATGGCATCTTCTGCCTTGTCTCTGCTGTCGGACTCTCGACTTCCCAAACATTGCCATATCTCTATTTCAATGTGAATACACGAGCCGGGGCACCCTGTCCAATATTTCAGCCGGACTCGTATGTCGGTGGCGCAGTAGCAGCAGTTCATTAGAACCAGACTTTTCGTTAAACAGTTGGACGGGTGCCAGCCCCAGCCCCTGAGTTGCCGTAGCGCGAGCCAAACAATTGCAGGCATCGTATTGAAAGTGTGAACACAGCCAATCTTCCCGAACTCATCGAGTGCAGGCACAATTTTACGCTCAACATTTTCACGGAAGTCAGCCCTCCAAGTCTCAGATTCAGAATTATCCGGTGGCTGAGCTGATATGGAAAATGACATCTCGTGGACGCGATGCAGTAGAAGCTTCTCCTCGACGACCCGGGCGTCAAGACTCTTGATCCCCATATACGCATCGCCGTGAGAGTACTCGGTATCGTTGCCTCGGTTGGGCGTGCAGAGGAGAGGTAGCTCATGGAGCTGGGGTCCGTATTGAGGCCCCTTCGCAAATCCTCTCAGGAACACATCCACAATGTTTCGATAGATGTTGGGAGCATTCAGGACTCCCCACGGCGCCGACGCATGCACCAAATGATTGGGACAGAGATATGCCCAGGTATTTTTCCAATGGTACAGGATATTACAGGAGTAGCATGCTATCATTTCGGGCAAGTCCTCCTCCAGAAGCCGCAGAAAGCGAGCTTTCTCGGTCGTCTTGCTTTGTCCCTTTAAATCGAACTGATTCTCAAGGGTATCCTGGTACCATTTTGAAGCCAGACTGAGACAGGCGATAGAGCTCGGGGGCAGAAAAGAGACGATGGTCAGAAAAACTTCTGGAGGCAATGTGTCTAGGGTCAAGGATGGCTTGGCCTGGATCTGTCCTGTAGGTGGCATCTCACAGACGACCGTTGCCGTGCATCGTCGTCGCTTGCCTTGTCGTCGTGACAAGACCCGAGGAACAAGAGGGGCCGGTGCATTCATAGTCTCGTTCAACGGTTGAGAAGTATAGGAGCATTAGAAGGAAGTTGTACACAGCCGCGAGCTCGTGAAGATGGCGTGGGTGCAGGACAAAAAGACAGGCCAAGTGTTGAGGAGGGGTGAAAGGTTTGTTGATACTTCCCTGGCACGCAGCATACTCCGTACGGAGTACTATATCACTAGCGCCAATCATTTTATATGCGAGCTAGTCCTAGTTTGTGACGCTAAATAACTCTAATAAGCCTTTTGTTACCTACTTGGTACTGCGTTATGTTACGCCAGCACTGGCCTCGTGAAACGCGAGATTAACGCGCTCTAGAAAGACGCGTGTGGATCGCGTATTGTCACCTATAAAACCATCTCTGGTAAGCTCGTTCTCGGTAATCTGCCTCCTTTGAGCAAAAGATCCTGCCTTCAGTGGGAGAGATGGTCAAGACGTGGGAGGACGCTAATAACTGGCTCTAGCTTTTTCTTAAAACAAGACTTGACCGTTGCTGATATTCTGTGAAAATTACCTTTGCCCAGCAACACACCTGGACAGCGCTCGGGCCACCGATGGACCTTCTCAAGTCCACCAACGACGAATTGCACCTTTCCATACCAAAGCACGAACTTCTTGGCGACGTCCGATCGCGACGGGCTGAGCGTCGGGAACATTCCGAGGGTGGGGAGCTCAATCTGGTTCCTTAGGCCTCACAAATGACTTCCCCACGACCCTCTTCAGCCCCACGCTGCCTCTCGAGAATCTCCAGGCACTCTTCGGCAGTCGCCTTCTCAGAGATCGTTGCGGACCACCATGATGAATGATATAACATCCACACGTCCGGCAATCTCTCACATAGATGTTCTCAACGGGACTTGGCTTTTGACAGCAACAGCTTGGCATTTCCCGTACTCTGCTGCATCTTCCATCGTTGGTGTGTAATAGAGCGAAGGTGGGGTCGAGGATATCGACAATCACACCGACGACAAGAACCATGACCGAGCCAGCGACCAAGGTCGAGGGATTGCCCAAATTTTCCCGGCACATCACCACCCACAATGCAGATGGCGTAGCAATATTCGCAACTGCTGACCCTTCCGACCCAAGCTCTTCTGCTGCAGGGTCCATATCCCCAGATCCTACGTGGTCGAATTTTCCGACTTCTGGATTCGGCCTCGCATACGCAACGGACACGATCCCAGCCAACTTCAACGGCAATTCTGATTTGGACGCCTACAACGGGTACCTGCAGAAACACCCAGGCATCACCATCAAAGGTGGATCAGTGTGCCGGGTTGTTGACATGGGTCCCGGCGCGACGTCGCCCATGCATCGCACCGTCTCGATCGACTACGGTGTCGTGCTGGAGGGTGAGGTGGAATTGGAGCTGGACTCGGGCGAGAAGAGGCGTCTTACAAGAGGAGACATCTTTGTCCAGCGAGGGACGATGCACATGTGGAGGAACCCCAGTGATTCCAGGCCAGTCAGGCTGCTGGCGATCCAGCTGGACAGCAAGGAAGTTGAGATAGATGGCAAAGGAGCCTTGACTGAACAGTTTCTGTGATAGTTTGGGGTGCCAGCACCATCTCAGAGCCCAGTATCAAGTACAGCCACAGCCCCAGCCCCAGCTCAACGAGAGAGTTGCTGGACCTGAATGACAAAGCTGGCCACCGGGAAAATGCTGCATTGATATGAAGATTTTGATAATAGCCTGGCGAGTCTCTGACATCGGCACTATAGCCCGTCGAACGCCGCCGAGCCGTGTCTGCGACTCCCGCCCGGTCGTTAGCGAGCAATGACTTAATAATGGGGATCACTTAAGCACCTGAAGGTGCCTGGTGCCGCCAATAAGTGACGACCGGCAATTGTCCGATCTACGTTTCGGCTTATTACCAATTGGAGGAAATGGTCTCCATTGCACAAGCCCGCAGCTCCACCATGGAGTGCTAACAGTGGTAATAAGTCGTAGATAGCTAATGTCCGTGTGGTGTCGACGTGGATCGAGGGGTAAATTTTTTGGGGGACGAGGAAGGAGAGAAGCTCCTCGTTGCAGTAGTGAACGGAGAGAGAGAGAGTGAGAGAGAGGCACCAATTCTCTCCACGTCATGATAACGTCGTGCCCCTCGTCTGGGTGTTTTTTTCCCTCTCTCCTTCATTTTCTTTAAATTTTCCCTTCCACCCTCTGGTTTATGCAATTGCTGCTGCGACAAACCTCCCCAAGACTCCTCTCCACCTTACCCAGAAGTACATTCAACTCTCAATCTCAGCTCCGTTACAGATCGCTAGCAGACATGGCTGTCCGATCCGCTTTTGATCCCAAAGACATGGTGCGTCTTCCTCCGTCCAGCGCCATTGAGCTGCGCTTGCGCCCACTACAACCGTACCTGGTCACTGACTCCCACCTCGCAATCAGGTCTTCCGCCATCTCGGCCCGACTGGACTGAAGGTCTCGGTCTTCTCGCTCGGTATGCTGAACGGGCGCATTGGTCAGAGCTGCGGGGATGGCTAACACAGCGTCAACAGGTGGCTGGCTGACATATGGTGGAACTCAGAAGGGCAACATTGTCAAGGAGTAGGTCGCGTGCGCGCATCGTTAAGCTCATGCTGACAAATTGAAACAGATGCTTGCAGACTGCTTGGGACCATGGCATCAACTTCTTTGACACTGCAGAGGTGAACGGTACCCCAATCCAGTCGCAGATGCAGTACTGACGTCAAATGTAGACATATGCCAATGGACAATCCGAGATTGAAATGGGCAATGCTCTCAAGGAACTCGACTGGCCCCGAGACGAGTATGTCTTGTCCACCAAGATCTTCTTCGGTACCGGTCGAAAAGAACCCAACACCCGTGGCCTCTCCCGCAAGCACGTTGTCGAAGGTCTCAAGAGCTCCCTGGCGCGTCTCCAACAACCATATGTGGATATTGTCCTGGCCCACCGACCTGACTATGCCACCCCAATGAAGGAGATCGTCGAGGGCTTCACTCAGGTGATCCGCAACCTCAACCTTGCATACTACTGGGGTACGTCAGAGTGGTCAGCGGCCCAGATCACGGAAGCCACCTTGATCGCTGAGAAGTACAACCTGATTGCCCCCATCGCCGAACAACCTCAGTACAACGCCTTCCACCGTCATCGGTTTGAGGTCGAGTATGCTCCGCTGTACCAAGAGTACAAATACGGCACCACCATCTGGTCACCACTCGCCTCTGGTCTCTTGACTGGCAAGTACAACGACGGCATCCCCGAGGGCTCACGGTTCGCGAACCACAAAGACTTCTTCGGCAGCACCATCGAATCGCTCCAGAAGCCCGAAGGCAAGGCCAAGATTGAGAAGGTCAAGAAGCTGACCAAGATCGCGGAACGGCTGGGCGGCAACATGTCGCAACTGGCGCTCGCGTGGTGCGCGAAGAACCCCAACGTCAGCACCGTCATCCTCGGAGCTACCAAGGTCGAGCAGATCGTGGACAACTGCAAAGCTCTCAAGCTGCTGGAGAAGCTGGACGACAAGACCATGCAGGAGATTGAGGAGATCCTGGACAACAAGCCCGCCGAGCCGGCGACCTTTGGAAGATCGAGGTAGGCGGGTCTTTCCGTTGACTCCCCCTTTGGAAAAGGGCCTCCGTCAGCCACCGCGTCTGCCGGTGAACAAAGGACAGACTGATAGGGGCTCGAGACCACGGGCTGATTCACAGTGTCCCTAGACACGAACGGCGCCAGAGATCGGCCAAGCTGTAAAGGAACAAGGGCAAAGATTGGGCTCCATAGACGGTCATTTGGCAATACAATCAGAAAAGTTCTGTCGATAGACAACCCACCACCTGTCGACTCTGCTGTGTCTCGCATTGTTGTTCCTTTTCCAGTGCCGATCCGATCCCGTCTCCGTCAAGACAACCATCTGCCTCCTCGCCCCCATTTTCCCTCTTGGAACAACATCCCTTGTGACCAATTCCACCTCCTCCCACCGCATTTTCTCTCGATGCATGCTCTGTGTGGTCTGCGCTTCTTGTTGGGCTGTCACCCAGTTGTCACCCAGCTACCAGGACTGCCGACGAGCCAACCAAGTCCAAACGGATTGAGATTCGGGCTGGCTAAGCAAACAAGCCGATGGTCTGTGCGATCATGTGCTGGTGTGGTCATGTAAACCTGTCGGCTATCTGCGTGATGGACTGAGTAGACTCTGGGGAATACGGGGCTTCCATCACTCTCAACCCCCGTTGACAGACAACCAGGGACGGAGGGACTACCAGAACTAGGTAGGGTGGTGGGCATCGAGGTAAGTCACAGGTATCGATCGGGGTGAGGGTCGAGGTATATATGGCAGCACATGCCCTCGTGGGCCTCGCTCTTGGCTTCTTCTTCTTCTTCTCCCCCTCCTCTCAACCTCTCTTCCCCACGTAGCCTTCTCCTCCGGCTCTCTTGTCTGTTCATCTCCATCCCTCCTTTCCCTTTCAGTCAAGCAAGTGATCAGCGGGCAAATAAGGTGGAGAAAAAAGCTTAGGTAGCGCCGGTGGACTGTAGGCGTTCAAGTAGTCAGCTAGGTACCTAGCGAGCTAGGTAACAGCGCCGAGACAACATCCGAATGTGAGAAGGTTCTTTCCTCTTCATCCGGTCATGTTAGAAACTAAATCGATTACATAGTCTCTCTGCAGCATATATATTACAACGTAATTCGAGAGGGTCGTGGCTCATAATCTGGATCATTATGGCTGAAGCGGATTAAAGAGCACGCCATCGCAGTATTTTGAGCGTATGAATCTGTGGCATGTGGCCCGGACAAAATGGAGAGGCCGCTTCAGAACGAGACTATTGTGCTCGGATACTTGGGGCGGGAATTTCGTGAACGCTGTATTCAATCGCTGGCATCGCTTGATCCGAGCAAATCAGGCCTGTCCTATGCAATTTCGGCCAGCCGCTCGACCCCGCGATTGTCTACGGTCTGGCCCCGGTACGTGGTAACAATGTGCATCCCCTTAGACATCCGTGCTGATCAAAGACCACGGGCGCTGAAGACTGTCCTCGCCGTCTCCTTCATCCTCGTATCTCTCAGCGAGCGGCGCCGCAAACTCGAGCATGAACTTGAGCATCCACTGGTCCATCTGAAAGTGCGAGTCGTCCTGACAACGCAAGCAGGCTTTGTGAAACGCCTCAAACCGGGCGAATGAGATATCGATACAGGGCCAGTACGTTTTCAGACGGGTCAGGAGCTCAAAGTTGCGCTCGAGCAGTCTGCGGGCTCGCTGGCTGTCGACTGCGCTGTCGCTGAAGAGTAGGATGTGCAGTTGCACAGTGGAGGCAATAGCCAGGACGTGGCCGACGATCGAGTTGAGGAGTTCGGCCCCTTCGGTTTCGCTTGCGAGGTGGATGAGATTGCACACATCCGTCGAGTATTGTCTGCATTTTTGGGCATACTTGCTCCTTAGCTGAGACTGGGTCTGGTCCTGGTGGTGATATGTTCGGTTCGTACTGCCGTGGAGGAACTGATAGAAGAGAATCTGGCACAAATGGCAGAAATCCATGTGCAGCACGACGAATACATTACCGAAGCCTTGCCTTGTCCAATACACGAGATTCTCGGGCGTGTTGATCATCTTGTCTGGCAGGTTGGAAACCCAGGAATCCAGCTCAAGCGATAGCTGCTCGACAGCCTGCGTGAGCTCGAAACCTTCAAGTTCACCAGAGACGGCTCGTGCATTAACATCGTCGATTTGGGAGAACATTTGGTTCACCACCACTGAATGTGCTATCAGTGAGTCCTGCGGTACGTGTGATTTCGCTGATGGGGAGCCTCGGCTGGCAATGTAGGTTCGATTGGGGGGGATAGTTGGCGAGAGCTCGATAAATCTCTTCTCAGCCATAGGGAGCGGCACATTGCGCAATGGCATCATCTTCGGCAGTCGCACGCCGGTTGATGACCATGTATCCGTTTCATACAACGCCCACCACACTGCAGACCGGTCAGTCGTAGCCAACCCATGAGGTGTACCATCGGCTTCCTAACCTCTGAAGTTGAGCTCTTGCTGGATTCGCGTTGTTACTGGTGCATTAGGAAGGTCCAGTAGCATCCCCATACGGCATGCAACACTGAAGTAAACGGATTCCGTTGCCCCTTCTCCCTCGACTACTGCAGACGCCCCGAGCAAAAGGCAAGCTTGGATCGTTGTAAGGGAGATGTCGTGTAGATTCAACAAACGCTCGGCTTCTTTAGTGAAGGGCCTGCCTCGCTCCCGAGGCGGCGACTTCGCCAGGCTTTCGTGCTGTGAAAAGCGTGCTGACATGCCCATGACGGCGAACAGGAGTATCCGCGAAAGGGAGCCATTCTTGAAGGCGGTCAAGAAAGACGGCCTGTGAAACAAGACGTGAAAAGAGACATGAATGTAGCGAAAGTAGAGATTGATCAGTTCCTCGCACAAGTCGAGAGGCGGCAGGAGCCTAGACTTGTGCGTGAGAGCATGCGTTCGTCGAGGTACAATCGGCTCGTAGCCGTCTTCTTGAAAGTCGGTCTCTTGGCTCAAAATGCACTGCAAATTCCTCTCGGTGCAGAAATCGCACGTTGTTCCCTGATAAGACCGAATACATTTCCTCCGACGCCGCCTACAGGTCAAGCTGAGCGATTTGACGTCCTAAATCACGGGCGTGGAGACTTACCGACAGACGACACAGGCTGATTTGGGTCTCATCAGGAGCCGAGTGGAGGGCTCCGGCCCCAAGACATAGGTCGGATAGAGTCCACTCTAACACACTGTCCTCGCTATCGGTATCACAAGCATGTGGAAAGAAAACGTGGTTGACAAGTTGCCGAAAATGATTTGGTGTTGGTTAGGGAACACGTGGATCTCCCTCATGTGAGTGCATCAGTATCGCTGTGATTGGTGGACTGATAACCTCTTCCCGGTTTGTTTGAAGCGGCGATACAGAGATCCTAGTGCTAACCGAGGACGCTCGCAGAGCTCGCTGCTATAAACCACTCTGGCCCCGCAAGTCATTCAACCGATAATGAAGCTAACTGCATTTAGGGCGGAATTTTTGGCGGAGAAAAAGCCACTCCGACTGGACTGTGAGCAATGGAGGCGGAGATGTTCATGGTGTGAGTAGGATTTGGACGCGGATTACAAGCGATTTTCATTTGCTCCCACCATGTGCACCCAGCCGTCTGTGGGCGAGGAAGACTCCATCTGCGACTGAATGGCAAGGATATGGCGACTCGTCTTCCTCCACACCCTTCGACCTCCTCTATGCCAGCCGTGATGGATCGGATCGGCAAGGTCGCAATGACTTGCAGCCGACAGCTACACAATCCACATGTCAGGCCTCACTTTCAACACACAGAGAATACCACTTTATCCTGACTGTCGCAAAACTACATATCTCTGCTGGCCAGGATATTGTTCTTGTCTCTATTACCACACTCTTCCTTTGTGGCACAGAATGCTGGAATCAATAGACGGTCTAGGTCTAGGCGGGCCTTCCGTACAGCAACGGACGGATCAATGCAGACCAGACTATGCAAACGAGGCGATTTTCCGCCGAAATACTTTGCCGGCGCGCTCTTACTGGATCCCAAAGACCTCCCTGTCACTCAACGGTGCCTGGGAGTTCCATTACGCCGGCAGTCCTCTTGAAGCTGCTGATTTCCATCAACAACCAAATGCCTGGACCACCATTCAAGTGCCGGGACATTGGCAGCTTCAAGGCCATGGCCAGCCTCACTATACCAACATCGTCTATCCATTTCCAGCATGTCCACCACATCTTCCAGATGAGAACCCTACGGGCACATACCGGCGTACTTTTTCTGTGCCTCCTGATTGGGATAGTAGTGCTCAACTTCGCCTCCGCTTTGACGGTGTCGACAGTGCATATCACGTTTGGCTTAACGACGAGTTCATCGGGTACGCTCAAGGCAGCCGAAACGCATCCGAGTTTGACATCACGGCCGCCGTAAAACGCGACATACCCAATAAACTCCTGGTTCGCGTTTACCAGTGGTCGGACGGCTCCTATATCGAGGATCAGGACCAGTGGTGGCTTTCCGGTAAAGCCATATCCCCATTGGCTAAACGACAGCCTTGCTAACTTCAGGTAGGGATTTTTCGGGATGTCCATCTCATAGCATTTCCAGCGACATGCCGAATCGATGACTTTTTCGTTCGGGGCGACTTAGACTCTACCTATGAGCATGGCTTCCTCCGCGTCACGGTCGATGTCCATAGCCCGAAGGGTGGGCTTGTCGCCGTTGTCCTGCGTGAGAAGACTAGTCGCGGAGGCAAGACCATAGCCAGTGGCGAGGTGGGCTTTGGGACAAATACTACCAAAGTCGACCTTGAGATATACGTGGACAATCCCAGCAAGTGGACGGCGGAGACTCCTTATCTGTACGAGGTCGAGATTACATTGACGGATGGCAGTAATTTGGATCGTGTCGAACATTCTACTGGCTTTCGAAGCGTCGAGCTCAAGAATGGCCTGCTCACTGTCAACGGAAAAGCCCTCCGACTCCGCGGTGTGAACCGGCATGACCACCATCCTCGGTTAGGTCGTGCAGTACCCCTTGAATTCGTCCGGCACGACCTGGTGTTAATGAAAAGACACAACATCAATGCCGTACGTTGCTCGCACTACCCGTCCCATCCAGGTCTTTTTGAGTTAGCCGACGAGATCGGCCTCTGGGTTATGGACGAGGCCGACTTGGAATGTCATGGGTTCTCCGAGGTCGTGGCCACCAATACCGCAGACTGGGATGGCGGAGAAGCTTCGTACGAGCGATGGATTGGCACGGTGTCTAAGGAGGCGAGAAAGTACTTGTCGGACAATCCGTCGTGGAAAGACGCGTACGTCGACCGGGCGGTCCAGATGGTACAGCGAGACAAGAACCACCCCAGCGTGATCATCTGGTCGCTCGGCAACGAGGCATTCTGCGGGAAGAATCATGTCGCAATGTACGAAGCGTGCAAGCGCCTTGACCCGAGTCGTTTGGTCCATTACGAGGGAGACACCGACATGGGGACAACGGACATCTATGCCTACATGTACACGGCCGTGGATGCCCTTGTGGAGAGAGCCTCGAGAAGAGGCGTCGCCGTGGACGGCACATTCACAAAACCAGTGATACTATGCGAGTACGCCCACGCCATGGGCAACGGTCCCGGTCTGCTCGAAGACTACGAAGAGGTCTTTCGTACGCATCCACGCATCCAGGGCGGTTTCATCTGGGAGTGGGCCAACCACGGCCTCTACCAGGTTCACCCCGATGGCAAAGCGTTTCACGCACATGGCGGAGACTTCGGCCAGAAGATCCACGACGGCACCTTTGTCATGGACGGGCTCTGCAACAGCGAGCATGAGCCCACACCGGGTCTCACAGAACTGAAGAAGGCCTATCAACCTATCTCTATTGATCTGGTGGATCGAAACTTGATCGTTTCGAACGCTTATAACTTTATCCACCTTGAACATTTAGAGGTGACATTCAAAGTCGAAGCATTTGGCGAAATGTGAGCGGTCTCCGTGCCCATCTAACGCTTCCCGAAAACCCTTGCTGTTGTCCAACATTGCTGACATGGTCCTAGCGCCAATATACTGGTGGAGGGCCAGCTAAAACTTCCTTCTATTGCACCTGCTGCAACAGAGGCTGTCAGGCTTCCTGACACTGTGTTTGAGCAGAGGTCCAAGCTCGAGTTGATGCTCACTGTCATCTTTCGACTGGGTGAAGCTGCAAGTTGGGCAGAGCGGGGCTATGAAGTTGCCTGGTTCCAGCATCAACTCTCGCCAGCGTATCGTCTCCCAATCTCCTTGCCCCAAGGGACCTTCGTGCCAATAATTCACAATGACAATTCTACCCTGACGATCTCCACAGCTAAGTCCACATTCACTTTCAACCGAGTACGCGGTCTTCTCAGATCCTGGACCACTCCTTGCGGCCCAGTCATCCCAGAGTCCTCAGACCGTAAGGAATCACTGATGCCTGGCTTTTGGCGCCCACCCACGGACAATGACATGTCAAGGGCCCTTCCACATTGGCGATCTTTTGGTGTTGACAAGGTCACTTCCCAGCTTCGTTCCATGATGCTCGACCAAAAATCTCGATCTCACACCGTCGTCCTGACAACGCAGACATATATCGCTCCGCCCTGTCTGGGTTGGGGCTGGCATGCAACCACCACTTATCAGATCCAGGCGGACGGCTCTGCACTGTCAGTCTTCGTCCACTTGGACAAGCCCGTAGGTATTGTCCCTCAACATCTCCCTCGAATGGGATTCGATCTTGCGCTCGCGAAGACTCTCAGCCACGTCAAGTGGCTTGGTCGTGGGCCTGGGGAGTCGTATCCCGACAAGAAAAGCAGTCAGCGCATCGGCATTTGGGACGTCGATGATGTTGTTCAATTGCAAACTCCGTACGATGTTCCTCAAGAGAATGGCAATCGTATGGACACTCGCTGGCTAGAGCTGGCTGCTGGGGGAACAGGTCCGACAGTGAGGGTGACAGGCATTGACACGCCGTATCCCTTCGAGTCTGTCAATGCTGCACAGGATCCGGCCAGTCAGTCCAGATCGGTGCCGCAGCCAGTTTTCAACTTTACGGCAACGCGGCACTCAGCCGACACGCTCGAGAAGGCTCCACATCTTTGTGATCTCGTCGAGGAAGAAGCCACTTTGCTTCGTCTAGACGCGGCTGTCAGCGGGGTGGGAACCGGTGCCTGTGGCCCTGCTACACGGGAACGAGATCTGGTAAAGCCGATTGGTGCCAGTTTCGGGTTCGTGTTGGCATTGAAGTAGGTGGAATCGAGTTCACTTGATATGAGAAGAGATCCGGCAGTGGCACATCCGACAGAACCAGTAGAGAGCGAGAAGAAGTCTTTTGGGATCTTTTAGCTACAACGTATGATTTTCTCCTAGCCTGCTATCATGGTAGATATCGTCGCGTCTCACAATCAAGGAACAATCACTGCCCAACTTTCCAGGACAGTGACTTGCTCCACCGTCTAGACAATGAGTCTTTCCCCCTAAAGTCCACCTGCTCATTGCGTCACTCTCCTCTCGTGACCTTTTTTGCCTCCAGACTTCATAGCCGAGGCAGCGTCGGCACCCGTGCGTATTCCAACTGACGGAAAACTGGCAGAAAAATACAGTATTCAGCTAGGTTCGCCACGGTGCATGTAAGATATTGTGACTGGCACCGTACGGACGTTGGTGGACCAGATCGTTTAAAGTGGCATGATGTGATCTAACCAAGTTGGAATCTCGGTGAAGCCGCTTTATGTTTCCCCGAAGTAGCCTAGTGCATCTTGGCCATTATCATCGGCACCACAAACTTGAATTCAACGTCGCGACCATGACTACCATCCAAGAACGGAGCAGCAGATTCATTCGTCGATCCTGTCTCACGGTGGGGCACTGCCGCAGGGGCGAAGTTCTTTCGTCCATCTCTCGGCTTCTAGTCGGGAGTTCTAGAGGCGCTTTATGAGGCGGGTTTGGCGGTTTTCGGGCGGGATTGCCCTCATTGGCGCATCTCGAGCCAAAGCAAACCTGCCAGCGCCCTAGAGGAATATCGGCAAAAGAGAACAGCGAATTGCTCTCTAACATGCCTAAATTGCCATAGGCGATGCAAGGCACAGACAGGGTCTCTCCACATGGGGGGTTGGGAATCTGGAGAAGAGCTGGAGAATGCATATAGACTGCAACGTCGAGGGCTCAAGTACAAAAGAGAGCCGCTTCAACCCTTGGTCTTGACCCTCAACCACCAGACCAGGTTTGTTCTCTCTCTCCCTCACTCACTCTCTCTCTCTCTATCTCTTGCCCACGAAAACCAGACCATCATTGCCGAGTCGAGCACCCCAGCTCACAAGAGTTGCCCCAGTTCTCAGGATCATGGCGAACAAGATGGAGGGTCCTGAGGAGCACATGGTGGAAATCGTCAAAGGCGACTCGGAAATTGTCCACAAGCATGAGGTCGCTGACCTCGCCAACGAGATCCGGGGCGTCCAGCCCAGTGCCACCACGCCGACCATGTTCAGGCTCTACCTGATCCTGTCAATCGGCTACTTCTGCATCATCCTGCAGGGCTACGACAGCTCATTGATGGGTGCCATCAATGCGATGCCTCAGTACTTGAGTTATTACGGATTGTGAGTTATTGAGGCCCTTGTGCCACGATCGGCCCTCGCTCTGTTCACCAGCCCTTACGCTCGCGGTCCAGCCAGCCTGGAACTTTGTACTGACTTGCCTCTCCCTAGAAAATCCGCAAGTGCTTCCACCGGCCTGGTCTTTGCGATCTACAACATCGGAGCGATCGCAGCGCTGCCCATGAGTGGTCCGATCAACGACACTTTCGGCCGACGGTGGGGCATGTTCACCGGTGCCGCGCTGGTCATCTTCAGCACGTGCATCCAGGCTCCTTCGACCTCACGGGCGATGTTTTTGGCCGGCCGGTTCTTCGTTGGGTTTGGACAGGGGTTTCTCAACGTAGCGGGCATCACCTATGTCAGCGAGATGGCACACCCGCACTGGCGTGGCCCGCTTTCCGCCTTCCTCGAGACAAACTACTTCGTGGGAAGCATCCTGGCCTCCTGGGTGACCTACGGGACCGCGTACATGGCCGGAACCATCGCCTTCCGCCTCCCCGTCTGGCTCCAGATGGTCAGCTCCGGATACATCGTCCTGGGCGTATTCTTCTGCCCGGAGTCGCCACGCTGGCTCATGGCGCAAGATCGCTACGCGGAAGCCGAGGCCGTGCTCGCCACGTACCACGGCGAAGGGTCCCGATCCAGCCCGTTCGTCCGTCTCCAGCTCGCCGAGATGCGCGCCCAGATCTCGTCGGACGGCTCCGACAAGCGCTGGTGGGACTACCGCGACCTGTTCATGACGCCGACGGCGCGACGCCGCCTGATCTGCGTGGTGGGCTTCGCCTGGTTCGGCCAATACTCGGGCAACGCGCTGGTGTCGTACTACTTCCCCGTCATCGTCGAGCAGACGGGCATCACCAACCCGCACACGCAGCTGCTGCTCAACGCCCTGAACCCCGTGGTGTCGTGGATCGCGGCGATCCTGGGCTCGCTGCTGAGCGACCGCGTCGGCCGGAGGCCCTTGCTGCTGGGCGGCTTCACCGGCTGCGCGCTGTGCCTCGCCGTCGTGACGGGCCTGACCAAGGTGTCGGTCACGTCGGGGGGTGCCGCCGCGGGCCACGCGGGCATCTTCTTCATCTACCTGTTCAGCGTCGTCTTCTCATTCTGTCTCACTCCGCTGCAGCCCTTCTACATCTCCGAATGCCTGGCCACCGAGACCCGCGCCAAGGGCAACGCGCTCGGCCAGATCGTCGCCTCGGTCGCCGGCGTCGTCGGCCAGTACACCACGGGCGTCGCCATCAGCCACATCGGCTACTACTACTACCTGGTGTTTGTGTTCTGGGACTGCTTTGAGGTGCTGATCACATATCTCTTCTTCCCTGAGACAAAGGTACGCAATGGTGATATATTTATGTTTACGGCCCCCAGTTGTGCGCACACTCACTCAGCCTTGTCCTCGTTTCCTGTTCTTCGTCCCCAATCCCGCCTCCTCCTCCCCTGTGATATACTCCCAGCCTAGAAAAGGAAAGAGAACCCCAATCCCAAGTCTCTTCGAGCGAACTCACAACTAACATGGCAACAATCCACACCTTTAGGGCCGCACTCTGGAAGAAATCAATGAAATTTTCGAGGATCCTCACCCGGTCAAGAAGTCTCTGGAGAGGAAGGATACCACGGGAGTTCTGCAGGCGACATTGCGGGTCGGAGAAGAGGCATGATCTTCCCTGTCTCTCTTCTGTGTTTGTGTGTCTCTAGCCCTGTTAACCTCGGGGAGATGTCGATATATACATACGTGAGACACGATAGGTCGTACGTGAAGGATCACCGCCTTTGAAATGGGGCAGGGCTTTTCTAATCTTGCGCTCAATGATACGATTCGATTGTCTTTCTGTATGGTGTGGCCTCCTCGTTCTTCTCTCCCTTCTCTCTAAAGCTGTCCAGTCATGGCTAGTCTCGATGTTCGTCTGCTCATCCAAACTTCGATTCCAATTTGGTCTCTTATTCCATTCCATCGTGTTTCGTTTCTCGTTCCTTCGCGACGTCATCCTAATACCTTGGTCCGGTGTTCAGTCCAACTCAAACCAAGTTCATGCCACCTCATCACCTCATCTCCTCATCACGCGTCATGTCCATTGCTTGCTCCCACAAACTTCTAAAGGGTTATTGGGTCGGGTGGCCTGAACCCTCGTATACATGCAAGTCTATTCCACACATTTTTCGGTTCAGGAGTAAAGCTGTGATGCTTACCCTGTAATGCCCCCGCCCTCTGTGGCACTGACATCGCTACGTAAGCAATGTTTCATTTCACGCTGGCTCGTCGGGATCCCAATTGCCTGCACTCTGGATCAATTGCGCCCCGAGCGCATTGGGCTTTACCCTCTGGGTTGCTCAAAACGCAGGGTGTTCAGAAGTCACTAGTCGAAGCCGGAAGACCGGTCCGTTCCCCGCGAGGTGGGGGTCGCCATGTTCGACATGACCTGTCTCCTCGAAACATTCAATTGTTGCACAGGACTCGACGTCACCGTCGATCTGGCTTTTTGGCCCTTCTCGCGTTTTCTTCTCCTAGATGAAATCGGCCGTATACGAGAACCCGCGGAATTCCTCCTGGTGGGCAGGCGAGAGCACTAGAAAAGCGAGGTGTCAATTCCAAGGTGCCCAAAGAAAGGGTTCGAACTCGAAACTTACCACTCTGTACTGGTGTGAGCACCGGCGTCACGCTCGTAAACTCTTGGTCGAAATTGCTCGTATCCTTTTCATTCTTAATGGTCGGCTTAAAAGGTGTGGGGACCCGTTTGTGATAGATGTCGTCCCAGTTAATGCCCTTGAAGAATGCGTGGCTCATGATTTCTTGTGCGTCTCCCGGCCCGCTGCCCAGTCGCAATTCTGGCTCCCTCGTCAACAGTTTCTGCAGAATCGAAACACTATCACGAGGCATGTGGATGGGATATAGGGGCTCGTCTGCAAGGATCGCATCGTAGATTTCGTCCTCGTCCTCCCCACGGAATGGAGATTGCTGCAGCAGCATCTGGTAGATTAGGACACCAAAAGCCCACCAATCTACCGCACGGCCGTATTTCTTGTCCAAAAGAATCTCGGGAGCCATGAATTCCGGCGTACCGCAGAACGTGGAAGTCGTCGATCCGAACCACATGTCCTCCTTGCAAAGACCATAATCGGCTATCTTGATGTGTCCGTCCAGGGTGAGCAGGATGTTGTCCAACTTCAGATCTCGGTATATAACACCATTTTCGTGGAAGTATTTGAGAGCCAAACAAACTTCCGCAGCGTAGAACTGTGCACGCTTAAGGCCAAATTGCCCACGCTGAATGTGCAACATCAGATCACCGCCTGAGATATACTCCATCACAAAATAGACTCGAGTCTCGGTCTGGAAGCAGGCGTGCAAATTGAGCAGGAAAGGGTGCCTCTCTTTGTTGGCAATCAGGAAGACGCGCTTTTCGGATTTGGTTGACTCGACCTCGTCGTTCTCGATAATAAACTCCTTCTTCAAGACCTTGATGGCGTACAGCTTTTTTGAGCTCTTAGCCTCTGCAAGCATGACCTTACCAAAGTTGCCCTTTCCTAGCACCGCAAGGAAATTGAAGTGATCGAGGCCAATTCTCGGTCCGGATCCGCGTCCAGATGGAGGCGTGGCCACCTGTTGTTGTTGTTGCTGTTGTTGTGCCGGCGGCGCTGGCTTGATAGGGGCGGGCGAATAGCTTGCTGCTGCTGCCGCGGCTTGAGGTTGGGGTCTTTGGGATTGGATTATGGCTTGCTGTGGCGCTTGATGTTGAGGCATCTGCTGTTGCACCGGTTGACGGTCATATCCTTGGTAGGCGCGAGGGTCATACGAAGCATGTGGTTGTTCTGGTGCGGGTGGTCGAGCGTTAGCGTAACGATCCGCCGGCACTTTTTGAGGACTGTACTCGTTGAACGTTTGATTGTATTGTTGAGATGGCGGCCGAGTCGTGGCGGCGGCGGCGGCTTGCACTGCGGCTGTGGACACAGCCTTTTGTTGCAATGGTCTTTGCTGTTGCTGCTGGGGTGCTGGTTGTGACAGGCTCGCCTGGGGTTGGTTGTACATCAGATTTTGTGCGGCACTCATGGCGGCGGCAGAGGGCTTCGGTTGGTCTTGATGTTGATCATACGATTGATTCGAAATCTGCGGCGTCAGGGTGATGCTGTCCGAAACAAAGCTCTGCGTGGGAGACGTGGGACCTGGTCTGGCTGCAGAGTTGGGTCTCAGTGTTCGATTGCTCATTCCAGAGCTGACAGAGGAAGATTTATTGTGGTGTTTCGTTCTCTGAATGGTCTCCAAGATTTCATTAGCGACGATCATGGACATGCCACAAAAGTCCGGCACCAAATGCTGGCACTGGGCATGACAAGTCAGGCCACACTCTGAACACTTTTTCGCGTTGCGCCTTCCCAAGGGCAGCAGATAACCACAATGGCAACACCAATTGGCACCAATATTTGAGAAATTGTCGAAGCGATGGGGAATGCGGTGGTTGATCTTCTCTTCGTCGGGGTCCGTCTCGTAGTTTGCCTTGCTAATGCATTTAGTCACCACTTTCGGATAGCACTTGGTGTGACAGGTGTATTTGCAATCCGCACACTGCATGCCCGCCGAATACTTGAGGAAATCTCCACAGAGAGCACATCGCATAACGTTGTAGAACTGTTGCTTGACGAACTTGTGGCCCTGCTTTTCGTGCACCTCCTCCTTCTTCTGGCGCACGGCGCCTTGACGATTGAGGCCGATGTCGAATGGCCGTTTACCGCCCGTCTGCTTCTGGAAGCTCATTGAGAGATGGATCCTGCCTGCCGGTTCCAGAGAAAACCATGAATCGATCATCACAGGTTGGAACTGTTGCTGGGAATTTTGGGCGAAACCGGCCGCGGACCCGGCGCCCGCACCGTCTCCCGGGGGCATAAATGGTGCGGACTGAAAATCAGGACCAGGTTTACCCGGACTACCCCCATTCGCCATTTTGTCTGCTGATACCCAACCGTTCTGCTGAAATTCCGATTCAATCTTCTTCCGGCGCATTTCTTCCGCGATATCCGAGATACGAATCCATAGAAACCCGATTGGGGTGGGACGGTCTCCGGCTTTGTCATAGACCGTCAACTCGATCTCGTTGGCCTTGTCGATATCGACGTGATGGGTTTCCTCGGTCCATTTATCTGTGCGTGTTGCCCGAGTCTTCGCCCGGATGTTGTCCTCCACCTTCATGATGACGAACGTTTCGGGACCTCTAGAAAAGCGTGACGATGCTGCGTGGTCGACATCCTTAATGGCATGGATACGCATTTCGAGGTGACCGGTTAGAGGTTTTCGCATGTTGGGGGCATTGAGGCTGTCATCTGAACGACGCATGTCAGCCTTGCACGGGGAAGCATAAGCACCGGGACTTGTCCGACTCACCGTCTGCGGCATCCGATGTTTCGATGTCGACGTGTAAGTCCATGTATCTTTTCAAGGCCTGCTTCAACAGCTGAACTTTCTGATTACTCTCGATTCGCCGGCCCTCGGCATCCAGTCTGCTTTTTCGGTCGCCCTCGTCTTGGTAGAGGCGCACCATTTTCTCAATCCCGGCTTTGTACTGCTTTTCGACGGACAGTTTGAACTCGAGTTGAGAGAGCATGAGTTGGATCTTGGGACCCAGATATGGGGTGTCGTATTTGATCAGGTCTGGGAAGCAGATTTTATGTCAGTCAACCTTGGGGACTCATTCACAAGTGTTTGGAAGCGAGCGTACCTAGTTTCGAGAAATTCGGGCGAGCTTTGGGGACTGGAGCACCGTATGGACGAGGGTCTCCGTAGGGAGCTCGTGGAGGCATCATGCCTGTGCCGCCTTGGCTATATCCTCCTGGACCGGGATCACCATAGTCGCCTCGCTCGTTGGGAAAATAGCCTCGCTCGTCTTTGGGAGGAGGAGTCGGTCCCCCGCCGTGCTGGAACCGTGACTGCTGCATACGGGGATCTGAGGAAACCTGATACCCAGAGCCCCCATGGGCCGGTGGAGGGGGAGCGACACCTTCATTGTGACCCCTCTGCCTCAGCTGTAACTCTGCCAATTTTTCTTCCAAGTATGAAATGTTTCGCCTGCTGTCACGGATGTTGCTGTCGACACGTGCCTGGACTGCGGCGTTGTTGGTGGACTGTCGCATGTGCGTGGCGGCATTGATAAGAGCCTTTTCTCGCTCGATCTTGCGATAGACCTCGGCGATGGCCTGGTCGGGGTCCGCCATGGTTGCGGGAAGAAGTGACGAGGAAGCGAGGAGACAGCGTCAGGAAACGAGAGAGGAGGGTGTGGTGGTGGAGTTATGGCCAGCTGCGGCTGTCAGAGTGAACAGAAGTGCGATGTCACGAGCTCGTGTCGAGGCTGGAGGGGCATTTGTCTGACGAGGCCCCCGAAGAATCGATAGGGAAGAATGCGGTCGAAGAATAGAGAGAGGGAGAAAGAGAGGGATTCCCTTTCGCAGCGGAGGGGGATTTCTCACGGGGCCTTGGAAAATGTCGTACGTAGCGTCAGGACTTGGTGATGATGGCTAAGGTTGTTGTAGTAGTGTTAGCGAGGACAAACATGCAGTGCAGTGATGAGCGGTGGATACTTTATTGCGTGGATTGTGTGGGTGGCTCAAGTTCAGGCTTTCAGGCTTTCAGGCTGAGCGGGAGCCGTTGGGTGGTGACTGCAAAAAGTCGCCTGCAGCTGCAGTTGCGACTGCGCCCACTTTCGCTCTGTGTGCGGCGAGGGCTGAAGAGGAGCGACCCCGCCACGCCCTGACTTAGTGCTCTCCCGGTCTTGGGTGGTTTCTTTCCTTTGCCACGGTGCAGCAGGAGATGAGACGGGCACCAGGTACCGAGTGCTAAGGATAGACAAGACAGAAAGTGTACTGGACCGTGGACACGCAGATTGGACGTGACGTAGTAGTGCTAGAGGAGAAACAATAAACAAGCAAAGATGGTGAAACTTGAATGTGACGATCCTCTGGGGTGTTTCTCTTCATCCTCTATTACCTACCTAGGGTCTGCTGGGTAGGTACATGGCATGCAGTGTGGTCAGAGGCAACCGGGGGCCCTGCCTAGGCACAGCACCGCCTAAACAGCGGGTTGTTAGGAGGGCAACAAACCAGAACACGCAATGGGTGCCTGGAGGGGATGCGCTATATGTACTGTATTTGCAATAACCACAGCCTGTAGGCACTCCTTGTTGCCTATAATCCCGCCTCCAGGCTCCGGTTCCTCACTAGCCCTTCTGACCTTGGGAATGTTATCATATCCGGTAAGCTGAAACTCCCCATTGAGACATAGTACACACGTCATTGCTGTTGGGTGCTCGTCCTGTTTGATATCAAGGGCTCTGGAAGGGAGATACTCGTTCCCATTCCGCTACTTATCATTGCTCAACCCCTCATCCACCTTCTTCTCCCCGCCAACAGTCTTCCCCGCCGCCGAGCTTGCCCTGTCCCTGTCCGACCACTTGGTTAGTCTCGCATTCTAACCTCCATCCCAGCCCTAAGGGCTACAAATAGAAACCCCAATCTCTGCTAATGGATGCTTCACTCTGCCGACAGTCCACTAACAGGGGCCGAGGGATACCCAACACAATTGACTTCATCGCCCACGGCGGGCGGTGGACTCATCCCACGGGGCATGCTTGGATGCGGCTGAGAGCTGGTCTCAGCCTGTCAGGCCAGGGTTCGGATTGAGGTTTCCGATCGCACAAAAGTGCAACGAATTCTGACCTCTCTTCCCCTCCAATGCCTTGCTGGCCTTGGCTGATATTTCCCGGATCTAGCTCCACTTCCCGGAAGTGAGGAGTCCCGGGCCATGCTTACTTGTAGATATTTGTTATATATCCTCGTCGCCCTCCTGTTGTGGACAACGACTTAGACCCAGGCTGTGTCGATGCCTGTAGAGTCATGGCGGCGAATCACACTATCAGTCCGCGGCCGGGCCCGTCCCCATGACTCCGCGCCCGAAGAACTCGCTGACTGTCCCGAATCGATTGTTGCTTTTCGCCAACGCAGACTTGAATAATTCGTGTTGCTCAGTGCTTTCAACTTGCTGCCGCCGAATTGCCCGAATGGTATCGTTGCCGAGTTTGCAAAGTGGACACTCTACCTTACTATCGTTTTCGTCCATGCCGATCCCCGGTTTATTCAGACACTCTTGATGGAAAGAGTGCTTGCACATAAAATGCACCGTAGGTAAGGTGAGGTTTCGATTGCACGACGAGCACCGTCGCGCCTGAAACACAACCGGCTTCGTGCTCAGATCCGCCAGTTCTGCCTTTTTCGACGCCGTTTCGGTCCGGTAAGAATCGATGAGTCGACGGTTCGCTTGGATCTCTTTACGTTCGCGAGAAATGTTGTCGGAAAGGTACGCCTTGACCATTCCCATCGTCACGGAGCCGCCCTGCGATAAGACTTTGACCACTTGGAGCGGGGCCATGAGATTTTCCCGGTCAATCTTTCGGAGAACAGACTGCAGTTCTTCCTTAACCCCGGGTGCTTTGAGAACCTCTTCCGACGACGAAAAGTAGCCAAGTGCAAGGGGATAGAGCGAATCGTCCTTGGAGCCATACTTTCGAAGTGCAGATATCGCGCCTGAGGTGTCTTTGGCGGATGTGAACGACCGGAAAATGTCGGCATACAAATTTTCTCGTTCCCGTACTAACGTCGTGCCAGCTGGGAACTTGGAGAGTGATGACAGGAGCAAGACATTCGAGGTGTCAATAGTCGACGAATCTAATGATGCGGTCTTATTGTCGGCAATCAAGCTGGTGGCTTTGACTTGCCATTTCTCCTTCTCTGCCGGGCCAGTTGCAGTGTTTGCTGCCTCGAGGTACATCTCAAACAATGTAGTCGACAAGTCTGACCTGTCTTCTTTCGAAAGATTCTCCTGCAGAATAAGTGCCTCTAAGAAGGTAATGAACTCTGACGGATGAGCGAGGAATGAAGAGAAGGCGCTGCGTGGACGCGGTTTAGTGTATGTTGGAGGTGGCTCGACGTCGGCGCTGGAGTCGCGTTCGTCGAGCTCGGGCTTTTCAGCCGCGGCTGGTGCTGCATCGGTATTGCTAGACCGATTCATGAATGGCACGCTCCAAAGAGCTGAGAGACTTTGGAATGCACCTCCACCTGTCTGGGCCTGGACCTCGGACACCGCCGGGACATCCTTCTTGGGTGTATATTTCCCGGTGTAGTATTCGACAAATAGCTTTGTTGTTTCTTCGGGACAGTGTTCGAGAAGGCTGCGTGCGTATTTCATCAACACGGGATATGCTGCGTCAGGTTCCAGACGCCAGATGTACTGCAAGGCTTCCGCGTACTTTTTCGAGTCTTCCACCAATATATCTATCACCATTTCATTTTCACCATGCTTAGTCGCAAGGTAAGCTGCTTGGTCGAAATATCCACCCTGTCGACACATGGCAATGGCCGTTTCAACGTCAAACTTTGCCGTTCCTGGGGTGCGGATAAAAGCATCCAGTTTGTCTGTATCTTTGAGCTTCGCATAGCAATTCAACAACAAGGTCGTGTGATCAGCAGTGGCTCGGTCATGATCATGTAGCTCCTCAAGATAGTCAATCAAGTTGTGAATCCTCTGCGTGTCCAGAAATCGTCTGATCACTTGCGATGGTTCGGTGTTGTCGATAGCCCTCAAATACTGCTGCATGGCAGTGTCATAGTCACCTTTCTGGTACAAGTAGTCGCCGTATTTCCTGAAGATGATGTTCTGTTGCATTTTGTCGGCCCCTAACTTTTGTGCCAAGTTGATGGCGTAGATGTACAAGTTCCGCTGATACAGAATCTCGAGTTTCTGCTGGAGTGTCTTCTCCTGGTATCTATAAAGCTACTTTGAATCAGTCAAATCGGTCGCCATCATGCGCGAACAACGTACCTTTCCCTCCACGGTCAGCAGAAACAGTTCATTCCATTCCACGAAGACCTCTTTAACCGGAGCGGGCAACGATTCCGTGTGCGCAAGGTATTTGAGATCAGTATCCAGCAATGTGAAAGATGAGCTGCTGAACAGCTCGTCAATCTCCTCACCACCCAACCTCCGGAATGTTTTGGACTTGGACACTTGTGCCACCCGCGGCGGACACACGACGCCCACGTACTCCTTGTATATCATGATAAGTTTCTTCGGACCCTCAAAGGCGTAGCTGGGACCACGGCCGTTAACACCATAGTAGTAGATGGCGTCTTCTCGAGCAATCACCATATCCCCAGTCTCATGGTCTTGAGTCATGCACCCGACATTGCAACCCCGGTTGTCGACGGTGCGGACTGGTTGACCCTGACCCTTCCCAGATATGATTAGGCTGCAGATTTTGGCCGTATTCGCAATGTATAGGACTTTCGTCGCGCCTTGACGAACCTCCAATCCGGTAATTGGATCTTCAGATTCGAAGACTGTCCTCTGTTTGGTCCCGCGGTCGTGTATGAAGTCGCCCCGAATAACGGTGACGGAGCCATTGGCAAACCCAACGGCCACCTGGGTCAGGTCACCCAGAACGACGAGTGCCGATACTGGGAACTGTCTCCTGCCATTCTGCACGCCAATTGTACAAAGACATCTCGGTGCTCCCGTCTTTTTCTCGATCTTATCCAAAGCCCACACTTTCAACGAGGGCTCCGACGAGAGGTTTTCTGAGATGGTTACGAGGAAGGCAGTATTGGGAACTTGTTTGAGGTGAGTGACCGGAGCATCGGGGGTGTCTGAAGCTTGAAAGGTGCGCACAACCTTCAAGGCGCGAGAAAGAATCCGTACGGAACCGTCCGAAGTTCCAAGGAATAGAGAATCCGCGCCGGTGGTGAGTGATACGACCTGATTCTGAAGTTGAGGTCAGCCAAAGAAAATGTTGGCCAAATGCAGAAGGCGAGAACGTACGTCGAAGACATATGAACCATCTTCGTCTGCCGGCACGGGAATCTGGGAGACCTCGAAGAAAGGGAAAGCTTTCCAGCTGGTAAGCGCCATGACTCCTCAACTCAAGAGCCGGCCCAAGAATGTGCGCAAGTCCATATCTCTGAAAGACAGGCTGTGCAGGGCAGTCAAGCTACGTCGCTGGTTATGCCTCGTGATGTTTGGTCGTGGAGAACGTGCGGTGCACGCGCTTGGTGCCACAGAGGTGACGTCGAGCGGATGGAGAAGCAGCGAGCGAGTGCCGCCTACCACGCACATGGGTGTCGGTTTCATGGGTCTATACGCCGTGTTGGGGGCACTCAGCACGGATTCAATCAATGTCTTCGACACTTTATTTACATATTATCTAGCTATATGAGACTGGTTCTCGACCAGCACTGTACAGTCCTCCACTTTTCCTTTCCCATTGGATAAATCCGTGCTCTATCGTGACAAGCATCTCAAGGTCATTACAAGGTCATCAATCCGCCTTCCGCCTGGCATAAGTTTCACTGCTCCCAGCTGAATCTGTCTTCTGGGGGAGCCTTTCGCACAGGTGGGCCAGCAGAACGTTCTTCCGTCACAGTGCCCAGCCCTTCCTCGACAAACCTGCTTCCAGAACTTGGAGAGCGTGAGGGAGGACGTCCGTTCAGCTGTGGTACCAAAAGACTGCCACGGCTGGTGTTCGTTGTGGGGCTGGGACTCCCCCCCGGCGACAACTGCGCTTGTGATCTTGATGCCATCTCTGGCGATATTGGACTAGACATACTCCTGCTGATGGTATTGCTCGATCGCCGGGAGTAGCCACCGTGGCTAGCACCCACAGGACTGATGCCCTGGTCGTCGGATGACACAGTTCCAAATGCTTGACTGTGCCTGACACTATAAGGGCTAACACTGTTGCTGAAGCGATTATTGATCTCCGCCGGTGAATATGGGGGCACCGGCGAGCCTGATCTTTCGCTTGCTGCGGCTGCGGCCGCGGCTTCCACTGCCTTATTTGCCGAGTGCTGGTGCTCAAGCTCTGCCGGTCTTCTTGGGTCGTTCCTCATGAGCGCCGAGCCCCGACGCGGGTCATCGTTGCCCTCGAAGAAGCTCGGAGAGACAGGACCAGCAGGCATTTCAATGGGCGTGTTGCCCGACAGCTCGAACCGACTGACCGATGGATCTGCAGGCACCTCAGTCGGCTGGCGTTTGTCCCCCAGCAGTTCAGAAACAGAAGTCTTCGAGTCGGGGTTCCTCTGCAATCGACTGAGCAGTGACCGTCTCTTCTCTTTCTCGGTACCAGCATTGCCTGACACGCCCCTCTTCCGGAAGCAAAACCACCAAGCCAGTGCCAATGCAAGCAAAGCCCCGATTCCAGCTCCCACTCCAATCCCTATCTTGGCGCCTGTCGACAGTCCAGATCCTGGAGGTCCTGGCCATGTGCTGCCTTCGGGTCGGGAAATTCCCAGGAGGTTGACATTGCTGACGGCGTCCAAAGTGAATATTGCTTGTGAGATGGAGAAGTTATTGCGTTCGTAGTCAACTGTAAGATAGGTTTCTTGCAAGAAGGCTCGACCAATGGTATATTGTGTGGAATTGGCTGCTTTGCGTAGAGGAAAATAGTTTGTAGGAGCAGAGGTAAAGTTCGCCGCCAGATTTGGGAATGGATACGTCAGTTGAAGGTTGAACGCATCGTACGGTAATGTCAGTGTAATCTCATCGGATGAGCCTGGCAAATTGCTCAATGTGAATGTAAAGGTCAGATTCCATGCACTGAGAGCACTGGGCGATGATGTATTACTAGAGGGGAAGAGGTAGAGTTGTAAAGTGTCATCGTAGGTCAAGTTTAGAGCATTTGCGAAAGCGTTGCAAGCTGATTCCGGAAGCCAAAGAAACGGAGTTGACGAGTCAATGGTAAATAAGTCGGCTTGAGACAGATCTAGCAGCGTCTGAGGGTTGGAATCCCAATTTGAAGGTAAAGAGTCGGCGCCTGATGAGACAGATATCGAATTGACAGCAACGATCGGAGCATAGTCCTGGCTTAACGTGAAGCTCATGTCATTCGGCACGAATCGATTCGCATCAACCCCTCCTAAGGTCAATGAAGCCGGAACACTTTTCAACCCTAAAAGCCGCATCAGCACATTCCGCCTAGGTCGGAGCTCAAAAAGGGGCACACACGATAGACTGCTCCTGCGGTATAACCGTAACTGCGACTCGGGATATCGTTGCGCTTCTGGATCAGACTCGACAGGAGCGGCGAGATGGCCTCGGAGCCACTGAAGCGAGTCTGCTGAACTCCAAGCCCCAAGGTACCGACCCAGTAGTCGGTCGAATTGACCACGGACACGATTTGGTCTGGCACAGAGATTGCATCGTTGAGAGACAGAGTATCCAAGCCATAATATCCATATCCACTGCCGCCCAGCTGAGGATCGAAGTTGAGCTCATAAAATCCTCGAACCTTGAAAGAAGACGACTCATTTGCGGAAAACAACCCCCCTCTTTTATTCTCACAGATCGAGGTCCCGTCACAGCCCGCGGGACCTACTACCCATGTCTCCTGACTCAGTGTGCTCGGAAACACGGAAAGATATTGCTCGGGCGACCCGACCCGTATGCTGATGGCGGACCACAGGCCATCGTAACCAAAGAAGTCAGTACTTGTTGTCGCAACGATCGGGGTAGGCTCTGAGCCTTCGACAGGGTAAAGTGAGAGTATGAGGCCCAACACAATCAAGATATCGTTACGGCAAGACCACCGAAAGGGCATTGAGCGAATGTGATTTGAACAGCGCATCTTGCTGCGAATTCAACGAATTTGAAAAGTCCTCATAGCGTGATAGCTGATTCGAGGGGGGAACAGTCTGAACTTCAATCGCGGTCGAAGATTCGAACGAGGGGCTGCGACAAGGTGATACAAGCTGTCGACAAGCAAAACTGCTGAACGAGAGTAGATGGCAACTGCAATTGAGAACGAGAGGACGTCGGCGAGACACAGGGGGATGGACGAGGATGACGAGGGGGACAATAATGTCTCATCCACCTAGGGAGTGAAGAGAGAAAAGCAATAACCACTGTTAACTCGTACACCCACCCTCGGGACGCAGTAGTAGGAGCCCTGGAGCCCGACTTTCTGGGGACCAACCCGAAAGCAGGAGAAGTCTGTCCCGGGCGTGGACCAACTGGGTATGACAACGAGGAACTAGGGTGCTAGGCAGTAGCAGCTACCAGTACGACGAATCATGACGTTCTCTTCGCTCTCTTCGCCCTTTTCGCCTGAACAGTCTATCCACTACTTTCCTGGAGAGCAATAAAATGCTCATAACTTGGGATATTGCTTCTTCATGCATGGGGATTTAACGAGAAGAATATTTGCCTCCCGCACCAATGGATGGTTCCGACAACATCTCCCCTACGAAGACGATGCGAGTGCAACTTCACACAAAACAAATCAGACGATGGATTCGCCCTAAACTGATGGGACTTGGCAGCAGGTGCTAGCTAGAGCACTGCTCAGCTATCTATCTCATCCTCTCATCCTATTAGACCAACTTGAGACCGACAGTCTGCCCAGGACTTTGGTCTGGATGAGAACTTTTCATGGAGGCCACCTTTCCAGCTATGCCTGCATCCAACTGGAGGATACACTTTTGCCCCAAAGCTCGACACCGTGTTTGCCGGACTGAATTTCGCAGAGTCAGGGCCTCCAAGTCCCCCCTTTGAAACTGCTTGGCACTGTAACATCCAAATTAATAGAACTGTATGTGCAACTTTCTCTCTATGGTATCAGGACCGTGTTGGCCCCAGAAGCTGTCAACCAGCATAAACAATACAGTCAGTCACACATGGCCTGTCTCTCGGGGATGTCTGAACGGCGGCCTGCATCGGCGACTTGATATTGTTGTTGAAGTGGGAAAGAGCCTCATCATGATCATGTCACCTGTCCCACACGAAAGGGTTGGTGCGACGCTCCGGCCTGGACCTGCATCCCGAACACGAGGAGGCTGATGGATTCTGATACCACAAGGCAGACAGGTGGAGCCCGACATCAAGTTCGCGGAACAGGTGGCACTTGCCTTCTGGCACCCATGTGCTCAAGTCCAGAGCCTGGGCTCCGGAGGGTGCTTATTGGAAGCCGTGTAACATGTGCTCCCTTTCTTTCGGGGTGTCATGACGAGGGAAATGCTCCTCGTATATCAATGTGCGATGGGACAGCGGCGTGTCTCAGGTTAGGGTTGCGTGCAGGAGATTCTGCCCAGGCACTGGATGGTTTGAGTTTGCATATCATCATGCACGGCAGATTGGGTAGACGGGAGAGGAACCACCTCCAAGAAGCACTAGAGCCCGAGGGAACAGTGGTCGAGGGACAAGTAAGCGGGGAGATGAAGATGATTTGGAGACAACACATGACAACCAGTGAGCAGCCGGGACGCCACTCTGTCGAGCAGAGACAGATGTGGTGGTGGCGTTGACGGCGTGTTCTTTAGGCGGGGGCGGCGGGGCCTTGGCCTAGTGAGCCCTGAGAGAAGGATACTTTTTAGCTAAGAATGCTCCCCGTCAGGCTTCTCAGTAGCAGCGGATGACCCCTTTGGTGGTCTCGCTTCTCCATTGATAGACATCCAATGGGCACCCAATGGACACCGCGACCCCCGAGACCTTGCGACAGTGGCTGCAGCTTAATCCGGAGCTCCAGCCAATCTTAGAGGGCCCTTGCAGCAACTGTCCGCGTGAGTCGACGTGCATCACCCAGTCCACCACCAACAAGTGACAGGGCTTGGGTTCCCAGCCAGCCATCGCTGCCTGCAGGACGCCAGATGCAGAACCCGGTCTGGCAGTTCTCAAAGCCTGGAACATACTGGGAAACAGAACCACTCGGACTGCTCGAGGCTGTGAAGGACTGGCTGGAAGACCCTGTCGGTGTTGATGCCCCCCTGTTCATCTCCGCCTCTCTTCCGACCACTCCTCGGACAGAACCGCAAACTCTTTGCGCATCAAGTCCAACCGTCAACTTCCACTTCCACTCGTTTTGAACAACTCACTGCATCCTCGCGTTGCCCGAGGACAGGAGTCGCGAATTCCACCCTTGTACCTGCGTTGTGCTGTCGATCCGAACCATCTATATCCTCTTCATGCCTCTCGAATCTCCGACATTCGCTACCACTCCACGTCCTCGATCGACCTGGGGAACCGTGCATTGCAGAAACGGCAATCCGCCAGTTTTGATTGTTTGCCCTTCGCTATCATGAGGGATTGAAGGATTGCTCATCACATGTTTTATATCGCACAGTCGTTCGTTGCTATACAGCCTTGGACCCAACACTCGCTTGACATCTGGGGTTTCGACGCAAGAGCAGGGCAGACTATTCTCCGAAGACGAGATGTATACTCTATGGCCGCTCGTTTGTCTGTGGGTTGCGCTGTCGAGTGCATTGAACCTGGATCTGAGTTCGGCCTTGAGCTTGGACAAGAAGTCGCCCCTCAGGTTCATGCGCAGAGGCATCGTATATTCCAACACCACGTCGCCGCCTCCTTTAGACCTTCCCTTGGAGGTACCCACGATCACTTCGTCCAGTACAACATCTATACCGGATCTCGTTGAGACGACCTCGTCCACAGTATCAACAATCACTTCGTCTAGTTCTACATCAACTTCCGCTACCACCGACACGAGCCTCAGCCTCGCGACAATCGCTCCGCTCAGTCTTCCACCCATACTTCCTCCCACTGTCGCCAGTATCAGTACAACCACAATCGCTACAATCTATCCTCCACTGCTTCCAGCTTCCCCTAATCCAACCCCCGGCTCAACGACGATCGTTACACTCAGTCCTTCGCCGCTTCCAGCTTCTCCTAACTCAGACCCGGGCTTGACCACGATCGTTACAATCAGCCCTCCTCCGATTTTCGGTCCCGTTGCTTCGAACCCCAGCATAACAACGGTCACAGCTTCGACCAACTCATCATTCGTTTCTTCCTCTTCCTCCAGCAACATTGTCAGTCAGACCAATGGATCTGCACCTCCCATTCTCAAAACTCCCCCACCACTACCATCAATCACGCGTCCTTTCACAAATGTGACCGTGAGTTTGGATCTTGGTGCTACCACGAACGCCTCCACGACCCCCCCGGCTTGTACCGGCTCAGTCACTTACTTTGGATCTGTTCCACCCACAGTCTATATCACGGTCACTGAGGGATTCAACGTAACGGTCACAGCCAGCAATGAGTCCGTGACCGCGACACCAACCTTGATCACCCCCCTGCCCGCCTGTGAAGCAACCATCATGCCCTTCGCCTCGACATATGGCCCGTTGTCGTCCGCCAGTGATCAAGACCTGACCCAGACAGAATCGGCTGTCCCAGGCCCTTCATTTGTTCCTGTATTTGGTACTAACAATCCCCTCATCGCCCCAGCACCCTCTGTGCCTGCGCCAGCAGCAACACCTGCTATTGCGACCGCCCCTCCTCCGTTGGTGTCAGCTTCGGCTGCCTCTTCTGGGGTCTACTCCAGCGTTGATTATACCAGTACGGTTGTTGTCACGAAGAAGACACCAGTCCCCGTGGTGGTGCCACCCTCTACCTCTATCGACATCAACTTCAATTTCCCCTCACACAGTCCCACCCCTCCTCCGAGCAGTGGAGGAGGCAATGATAACGGGAATGGCAATAATTCCGGAAACGGTGGTGGTAACGGCAATAGTGGCAGCGGTGGAAGTAGTACTGGCAACAATAATGGTGGCAGCGGCGGAAACACCCCTGCCCCCAACGCACCAGCAACTGCCGCAACCAGCAATGAAGGAGGCAATTTCCCTTCGATCAGCATCCAAGGTCCAACTGGCGGTACTCTGATTGTGGAGGCTCCAACCACGACAGGACTGGGAAACATCATCGCTTCGATAATCAACTCACCTTTTGCGACAGCCTCGCCGACTGGTCGTGCTTCTGGAGCGGCCCCCTTGACCACAACAGTCAACGGTGTCCCGATCATTGTACAGGCGTCCAGTGTTGTGATTGGAAGCCAGACCGTTGCGATCCCCAATCGGGTCCCCACCACTGTGCAAGCCTCGGGAGCTGTCTTCACCGTGGAGCCCTCCAAAATCATAGCTCCCTCGACGACCATAACAATATCGCAGCTTCAACATAACCAGGTTGTAACGCCAATTCCAACGGCCACGATTACGACGGCAATTGGCGACCTCACTCTGACGGTCGGACCCACGGTCGCGATCATCTCTGGAACAACGTATAGAGTCGGGGAGGGCGCGCCAGCCACGACGGTCACGGTCGATGGAACAAGAATCTCCATCGGTTCTGGTGGCGTTGGATTGCCTAGCACTACTGTGGCGCCTGGTGGCGCGACGAACTCGCCCTACGCTGTGTACACGCTAGAGGGCCTGACCTTCTCGATCGATGGCACTGAGGCGATTGTTGGCGGCACCACGTATCGCATCGGGTCGAATGCTCCGCAGCTCACCACCACCATCGGGTCGCAACATGTGTCGGTATCGCTGGGCCCTGGTGGCGTTGGTCTAGCCAGCACTACATTGGCACCTGGCGCGCAGCCCAGCTCTCCGTTTGTCGTCTACACCGCTGACGGCTTGACCTTCTCAGTCGATGGCAGTGAGGCAGTTGTCAGTGGCACGACTTACCGCATTGGATCCAACGCACCCCAGGTGACGACGACCATTGGTTCCGGACATGTATCGGTGTCATTTGGCCCAAGCGGAATCGGCCTTGACTCGACCACGATCGTTCCCGCGACAGCCTCGTCACACAGATCTCAGGCTTCGAAGACCAGTTCGATATCCGCACCTGCGACAGCATCTGCGACACAGTCCGTGGGTGTGGACAGCGCGGCATCACCTCGGATCTGTCTCAGAGCCGCTCTGCGATACTGTCTTCTTGTCCTGACTTTGCGATGGCTTGTTCTTTGAGCACTCGACATGACGTGATACGATGGAGTTTTAGATATTTGACATTTTGGGACGGAAAACGTCTGGTTGCTGATGATGGCTAGGATTTGTTGGAAACTATTTGACCTTGGACTTTGGTACGATCATGATACCCGCAAGAAACTAACGATATGATTGATTGGAGTTTGCTCCGCTGGAAGAGCCTTCCCTGAAAGGTCGGGATACACGGAGGATATATTTTGGGAAACGGACACAGGGGTAATAGAGTCCATGGTATGGACCGAACGGAGGATCTAAAAAGGACCATACACGTATAATCAACGTGGGAAATCGCAACGGCATTTCCCATCATCACATTCTATATGCTTCTATCTCCACCAAAGATTTCCTGCTGCCATTCCGGATAGACTCATGATCGAAGCCATGAGGAAGTTGATTTGGTTGTTATCCAAGATGTCGTTTCCGGAGTCGATCAATCTGCTGCTCTCTTCGCCACTCAGCCTTCGGCCACGCCCCTGTACATGTGCTACGCCTGTGGACTTGGGCTTCGTGAGCACCTTGACGCCCCCAGGCCCTTCGACAATCTTCCCGGATCGCCGATCAATGACTGACGCTTGCAGCATTGCTCCCAAAAAGGAGTCGAGAAGCGTGCCAATCGTTCCGAGGAGTGTCAGTAAAAAGAACATAGCAGCGGCATCGATGGTTGACCCAGCACAGAAGCGTAGGAAGGCCAGGCTCGTGGCGGCAATGGCAGCGCTGCCTCCCACGCCAGCCAGCAGTCCACCCAGTGTCACGCCGCCGTTGGTACCTCGCGGCACGACTCGCAGTGGGTTCGTGATGAGGACTGGCTGACTTTTGGAGAGAATGCCCAGTTCGCTGGACAGGGTGTCTGCTGCCACCGCGGCATAGTTGGCCATTATTCCTAACAACAACACGTCGGCAATCCTCTCATTACTCCTTTGACTTCCTCCAAAGCATTCCCCGTCCTTGCTCGTGCCTGTCCCGTACAACCAAACATGCAGTAGGCACAGTAAACTCGCACACCCGCTGTTGGCGACCACCTGGATACTCGTCCGCGGCCCCTCCCCACCTGAGGCTCCACTACTTGACAGCGTCAATGTGGCTTTCACGTCATGCTTCACCTTCGTGGCCGTCGTGCCGAGCAGGAAGAACACACAGAGCAAGGTGAACGGGAGGGCGGAGGGATGAAGGGCGTGAACCGTTGCGGTGAGTGCAGCGCTCAGAATGCCTAGCGGTGTGAGAGAGCGGCGGGTGTAGGCGCGAACGATGAGGAGGAGAGTTACGGGGACTGCGATGAGGGGACGCATCTCGAGAGGTTGTGGCAGAGGCAGCGGCAGGTATTAGGTGTCTGAGAGTAAGAGAAAATGAGGTCGTATGCAGAATAGAATATATGCATCACAAGAGCTCTCGTTCCGCACCTTGAAGCTGCACAGGGATTATGTGTGCCTTTGTTGTTGAGTTACTCAGAAAGGTTGCAGGTCGTTCGATCGGAATACGGAATGACGTCTATGCCTCACGATCTAAATACCGAGTATTTCCCCTTCACGGATTTATTGTTCCATCTCGTTCACCAGGCATCGCAAGGCGACCAAGTCCCGATTGTCGACAGAACTCAAAAGGATGGGAAACCATTTTTCAATGCTCTCTGCGGCACAATGTTCAAATCACTCGTCGGCAGATCTGTTGTAGTGCAGCCGCAGGTGCTTTCGAGACCTGCCTCCAAAATCGTTGCTTCTCATCAGGTCACTCGACGAAGGCTTCATCTCGCCCCTCCTTTCCTCCTTGACGACTACATTCCTCGCTATCACCTGCTCTCCTCCGCCGAGGCAGCCAAGAAGCGGTCCGCCGCCTACGCCCACCTCCGTCAATGCAACCTCTGTCCCCGTCTCTGCAATGTCAACCGGTACGAGACCACCGGCCACTGCTTGATCGGCGCGGAAACGGTCAAGGTATCGACCATCGCGCCGCATTTTGGAGAAGAGCCGTGCCTTCAAGGGCATAATGGGTCAGGATCTATATTCCTTAGTGGCTGTAATTTGAGGTGTGTGTTCTGCCAAAATCACGATATCGCACACCAGAAGGTCGGCTTTGATTTGACCCCGGAGGAGCTGGCGGAGTGGATGGTCAAGTTGCAGGAGGTGGGACGTGTGCACAATATCAACGTGGTGACCCCTGAGCATGTCGTGCCTCAGATTGCACTGGCTATCCTGACTGCCAGGGAGATGGGCCTCAACATTCCCATCGTGTACAACACGAGCGCATTTGACAGCCTCGAAAGCCTCAAGTTGATGGATGGACTTGTGGATATCTATCTGCCGGATTTCAAGGTCTGGAGCAACGAAACGAGCAAGCGCCTGCTAAAAGCCGATGCGTATGCAGACACAGCCAGAGAAAGCATTCGGGAGATGTACCGGCAAGTCGGCGATTTGTGCTTCACCGCTGACGGAATTGCGAAGAAAGGCGTGCTGGTCCGTCACCTTGTCATGCCGGGAAAGGAGCAGGAAGGAGTGCAGATTATGAAGTGGCTGGCCGAAGCACTAGGAAAAGATGTCTTTGTGAATATCATGGAGCAGTATTTTCCGACTGCCCATGTCGGCAAGGAGAAAAGGGGCTCGAAATCCAATAGCTTGAGCAAGAGATATCCGGAAATCAACCGAGCGGTTAACCATGACGAGGTCGGCATTGTGCAGAAGGCGGCGAGGGATGCAGGGCTTTGGAGATTTGCGGAGCCGGCCAGACATGGTGGTTGGAACATCTGAAAGAATTCTGACGTCTTATCATCCCTGGTCAGTCTATTGTTGCATCTACGGTGAGCCCTCGAACCACGGTGAGCCATCCAAACGACCATTCACACCCTACAGTGACGATCAATCAACATATCAGCCCGATGAATGGAGAATTTGCAGGAGCGCTGTCAAGACCAAGGCTGTCCAGATGAGCTTTGTCCGAAAAGAGCTCTCATGGTCAAAGCTTCATTGTGCGTTGCAATCCAGATTCCTCGTCTATATTTGGCCGCCACCCCTGCCATTGGTCAGCCTTGCTTCTTTGTGAAGCCAACGAGTCAAAGACGGAGGTTTTTACAGAACCCGTGTGCAGAACTCAGTCTGGGTCCTTTCCATCTTCCCACGATACTCGGAGAGGATCACTCCGACATGGCCTCTTCCCAGCATTTACGGCCGTTTGCCTCCTCGAGACCGACCCTAGTCACAGCTCTGCATTCCCAAGTCCGTCAAGAAGCAGAATATATTCAGGAATGTATAGCTGCCACGCACCGCCTTCACAGCAGTCTGAAAGCAGAGATAGCAAGGACAGAAGCAAAACTAGTGGAGGCGCGGACACTCGAGGGTTCCCGGGACATAGCCAATTCTTTGAAAAGGAACATCAGAAAAAAGCGATCACGGCTGAACAGATGCCTGAAGAATCGACAGATCCTCGAGGCAAGACTGATCACTATCTTTGCAGACATCGCCCGAATGGAGCGACAACAATGGCGCCACAGCTCGCCTAACCTCCACGGCCTTGGGATCGCTGATTCTCCTACCGGCCCCAGCTGGCACACACACATGTACTTCTCAACTCCTGGGGCTCCAGGCGGTATGCTCGCTCTCAACGTTCCGACCCTTCAAATGCAATACCAAGGGTTTCCAGAAGCGCTGTACCAGTCTGTTCCTGACGGTCCGCAGACACCATTGATACGCCCAACACTGTTTTCTCAAGCGGGAATTGGGCATCCACACTTGCAAGACTTCGGTGTCGCTCAGGCTGGCCATGAGCTAGGAATCAGCCCTACTGATACAGTTTCGCCGTGCGAATTAAGCTCCCCGAACGCCTTTCCGGTTGCTTACATTCCAGCTGCCCAAGTAAACCTCGTTGAGGTGCTGGATCAGATGCACATCTCTCAACCACATACGGAGACTTCGAACATACCGACCACAGCGCCTGAGCAGAGGAATTTGGGCTTGTCACAACGTCTCAGCATGCTTGATCACCAAAGTGCCGCGTTTCGACTCGAGAAATCAGCAGCCAGAAAGGGCCGGAGTCAGCGTTCCTGCTAGCTAGCAACGTGGTACAGCCGTTGGCGGTGGGTGTTGACTCCTCTGTCCACACGAGCAGGAGTTAGATATTGTTATTCACGCACGTCTATTCACGAAACCGATCCCCTGACCTGACTGTTCCACGCTTTGATGAGATCTTGCGTTTTCCGTCGCGCGACCCAAATGACTGTCGCTACGGCGACTACCAACAATACAACACGACACATTGGTACATTGTTTGCTCCTTTCTTCCCTTTTCTGCCGGACGCCTCTCTGCATCTTGTTTGCCACTGATTCCCAATTTCCTTCCCAGTTCAATCAAAAAGACCACCGTCTCAGGGTCCCTAGTTCGCATCAATCATCCTGTATCCAGATACAAAGCCGTTTCCTCACAACCTTTGCACTTCTCATTTCTTATCTTTCTTTTGTCCCTTCCCTTTCCGTACTGGGTGGACTTCAGGACGCAGACATCATCTCCCACAATGAAGCTCGCCCCTTTCCTGTCTTCTCTCATTATTGCACGGTTCATATCCTGCTTCCCATTCCCATCCACTCGACGTGATCCACCGAACAATATCACAGTAACCACGTATGACTATGTGGTCGTGGGTTGTGGGATTGCCGGCCTGGTGGTCGCCGCGCGGCTGAGCGAGGATCCCACCGTGTCTGTGGTGTGCATTGAGGCTGGTTCTCTGTATGTCTGCATATCCGCAACAAAACCCCTACAGCACGTGCTTATAGCAGTAGCAGCAGCTAAGGAGAGTTGGACGACAGTGACCATTACGAGGACTCGATCGAGGTCCCCGTGTACATCGGCGACCGGCCCGCCGAGTACGAATGGGACGTCACTTCGACACCACAGACCCAACTCGACGGCAAGTCCCGCATGCTCGCCATGGGCCGGGGCGTCGGCGGGGGCAGCCTGATCAACGGCATGATCTGGAACCGCGGCGGCCAGGCCGACTTCGACATCTGGGCGGCGCTGGGCAACCCCGGCTGGGACTGGGCCGGTCTACTCCCTTACTTCAAAAGGTCCGAGACGTACTCGCCGCGGTACTACCCCGGCGTCGCCATCCCCCCGAGCGGCGGCCAGCCCGTCACCTTCGACGAGGCCGTGCAAGGCTTTGACGGGCCGGTGAATGTCTCGTTTCCGCAGTATTTCTGGCCGCAGACTAGTAAGTACACACACATATAGCGACACACACACACAGAGAGAGAGAGAGAGAGAGAAATCCTTGGCCTGCTTGGGAAACAGGGAGAGAGGCCTTGTAAGCAAGTAAGCAAGCTGGCTGACGCCGGTGCGAACATACACAGACAACTGGTTCGAAGCCCTCGACGCCCTTCGCGTCCCTACCTGCCTCGACCCCAACGACGGACTGTGCTCGGGGAGCTACTTTCTGCCCTCGTCAATCGACCCGATCAATCAGACCCGCTCCGACGCACGGCGGGCGTACCACGACATGGCTGCTGATCGGCCAAATTACCATCTCGTCACGAACGCCCAGGTCGAACGTATCCTCTTTGATGGCAACTCGACGGGACTTGCAGTGGGCGTCCAGGTATGTTTCGATGTGATATGGTGTTTCCCTAGTCAAGTCCCAGAAAGGCCGGAACTGACCAACACCCGTACGTATGTATGTCTGTATGTTCAGGTCGTGGATCTCCTCAGCAACACCACGTGGTCCGTCCAGGCAGCCCGTGAAGTGATCCTCGCGGCAGGCGGCATTCATACGCCGCAGGTTCTGGAGTTATCTGGTATCGGCAACGCGAGTCTGTTGACGTCTCTCGGAATTCGTGTTCTGCAAGACCTCCCTGGCGTGGGCAGCAATTTGCAGGATCACCCCATGATCCATCTGTCGTATCCATGTAAGTAAGGCTTTTTTCTGTGGCCCAAGAACTTTTTGTTGCTTTGCTGTTCCATCCCTGCTTGCCGCTCCATCTGACGCACAAGAAATAACAGTCCAGAACACATCTGTCCCGACCCCGGCGTGGCTTCTCACGAATTCGAGCTTCAACGCCGCCGCAGAACTCGAGTATTTCTCTGCACACACCGGGCCCTGGACCGCCAAACCCTCCACCGCCGTCGCCTTCCCGTCCCTAGCCCAAATGACAAACTCCACCCACTACATCTCCCTCATCCGCGAGGCCATGGAGTGCTACGGACTCCAGCCATCCACGTTGCCGCCGGAGTACACCAACTCTGACCAAAGCGGCCTCCCTGTCCTGATCGGATATGGCATGCAGCACAACATGGTGGCCGCATCGCTCCTGCACAACAACACGCCGGCGTACGAGATCCTCAACGACAACTCGGGCGGGCTGGACCTGGCGCTCATGCACCCGCTGTCGCGCGGGACCGTGCACATCACGTCCCCCAACGCGCGCGTCGATCCGGCCGTGAACCCGAACTGGCTCGCCCACGACGTCGACTTTGAGATCCTGCGCCTCGCCGTGCGCTTCAACCAGGAGATCCTCTCCACGGGCGCCATACGCGAGTTGGAGCCGGCGTTCGCCCCTGACCCCCGTGGAACGGTCCCACGCAACATGACGCATGTGGAGATCGCGGCCGTCCTCCACGCCGGCGTCGGCACCGAGTTCCACTACTGCGGCACTGCCGCCATGCTCCCGCGTGACCTGGGTGGCGTGGTCGACGCCAACCTCACCGTCTACGGCACCCGCAACGTCCGCGTCGTGGACACCTCCCTTTTTCCCGTCATCCCCGGCGCGCATCTCCAGGCCGTGGCCTACGCCGTGGCCGAGAGGGCCGCCGACGTCATCAAGGGGATCGATGCCAGTTTTATGGCGGGAGAGTGAGGGAGTGGAGGTCTGGTGACGGGCACTACGGGCCTGCGGCTATAGCGTGGTGGGGAGAAGTCCTTTGCGGGTAGATAGGCATTGACAATGAGCACGAGCCAGTTCAGACACTCACCCCTTGATGTTCCCGGCGATCTGCGGAATCCCAATCTTTCGTCGTCCTCGCATGGTCCTGAAGCCACCCCGTGCCACCACCAGACCTTGGTCCTCGCACATCCATTCTCGAAATTATCGTATGAGGAGACTGATTGAATCTCCTGGCGATTTCCGACTATGGCGCCTTTTCATCCTGCCCAGCTAAAACCAAGCTGATTGTCTTCGCGAAAATGGGAATCGCGCAAGAAGAGCCCGTTCCATTCCAGCGGGTTCCTCGGAATCCGTGCACATCCGCGCATGCATACACAGATACCAGCCAACACACTATTCGACGACATGGTTCTGCAGCAGTGGTAATGAATGAGGGGAGCGAGAGCTTTAATAGACAAGTATCAATTGCCCGATCGATCTGGGCGTTCTGAGGGTCCCCAGGACAAGGTTCAGCTCAAGCAGCGGTCGGGTTCCACGTTCATTCCATCACTCAATGTTCCCCATGCATGCACAGTCAGACGTGGGAGCTTGGCAATGTGCCCATACTGACATCACTCACTCATTCACTTCATGCCCAACGTCTCTCTGGGAGGTAAAGCCCGAGGGGAGAGTGAACGTAACACCTTCTGATCCCCTTTGGGCCGAATTTGACGGTCGAAAGGAGCGCGAGACAACTGTCGGTTGGACCTGTTTCATGCCATTTATACTTGCGGGGCTGTGTTAGACGTGTTGACTAATATCCCAGCTAGGTAAGCATTCCAGAGCAGGAAGTGTGGATCGCCGGCGCTGCTTTTCCAGATCGAAAAGCAGCCTGATGGCTTCCCGCTTCGGAAGCATCGCGGCGCCTTGATTGGCCACTGCTTGCTTGGGGTGCATAAGGAACTGGGTCTCACATCCACGGATATGCATTGAGTTTCGAGGTCGCCGAAGAGAGCGAGGGCAGATTCCGTAATCTCTGAGCCTCGCTCGGGGTTCATAAAGCTCTCCTTTGCCCCGCGTAAGCCATGTTCTCTGCTCAGGCGGTCCCATCTTCCTCGGTGGCATAAGTTAAGCGCTTTCATCATCCTCCGCCACCGCGACAACATCCTACGAACAGTTTCGACACCATGGCTGCAGCTAAGAAGCCTGTTCTCTATTACTTCGACCTAGGCAGCAAGGGGCGTGGCGAAGTTGTCAGGTGGGTTGCTATAGTTGTAGCATGTTGCTTGCGCGGAGGTGGTTCTCTCATAGGGGCGTTGATTGCTGACACCCGTGAGCAGGCTGTTCTTGAGGGAACTCGGCATCGAGTTCGAAGACAAGCGTTATGCTTATGATGAAACCTGGGGGCCGCTTGGCAAAGAGTTCGAGGAGAAAGGGTTGACCGTCACTCGAAAATTGCCATCGTTGGACATTGACGGCCACATCCTGTCTCAGGTGAGAGGAGCTCTGTGCATGACGGCGCTGTCCTGTCAGTCTCCCTTCTTGCTAAACATTAGCCCAGCATATCCCGATTTTGAGATATCTCTCGCGCTCCGTGGGTGCTTATGATGGAACCACAAGCTATGACAAGTGGCTGGTGGATGCTGTTGCCGACACTTACATTGACTGGAGGGTATGTACCACTCTGCCTCTCCGACACCTGTCAACTGGCTTCGAATATGAACTGAGATTCGACATAGTATCGATGGGTGGCCAACTTGACCGACAAAAGCCCAGAGTACAAGACCAAGGTGGTCTCTCTCTACCATGGAATCTGGGACAAGTTCTATTCTCGGCATCCTGGCCCGTACCTTCTGGGTGACACTATCACGTATGCCGACTTCGCCGTTTTCCAGGCACTGGATAATGACGAGGTGCTCGGCTGGACGGCCGTGGTGAGTCATCCATTTTATGCGTTGACACCCGTCGTCTCTTCTTCTCTTCTGGTGCTGCTGACACTTGCCTCTCTCATAGTCCGAGTTTCCCGGCTCGCTCAAGACACTGTGGACTGCCATGTCCGAACGTCCGAACCTCAAGGAATACATTGCTACCAGAACTCGTTAGCAATGTGGTACAATAAGAGGACAGTGCGAGGTCGGAGGAAGTGGACTCAATCTGAGAATCTGGGGAGTATTGCGAAACGTTGATCGCCGGTCAGGGACTGGACTGTCGCGATGAGTGAAGGCAAGCGGCCTCAATGCCGGCCTTTTCGATATACAGTCCCATTCATTACATGATTCGCAATGCCAAAGACATAATGACACTACCTCAAATGCCATAGACATTGGGGCAAACAGAGCCAACCACTGTGGATCATTGCTGTGTGAAAGTCGGCGTAGAAATAAATGTACTGGAACTTTGTCCGAGAGCTGCTTGAGCTGGACGAATAGATATACGAGGTACTGTAACATAAAAGGGGTTGTTGCTCACACTTGTAGCGTGGACGTCAGCCTAGTGGCCCCGTCCAGCTCACCACTAGCGCGTCCGTCTGATGAATCTCAGTTTCTTTCGACTTCACACTTCCACCCTAGAACCATGAGGATACATAGGATCTCTAAGAATCGATAAGACGCGGTGTGTGCTCAGGCTCTGCTTGTGATGTCTTGGATGAGCTGGGGGCATCGGTAAGTGGGATTCGAAGGGGAAGGTGAAAGAATGTATACAACAACGGCACCCTGGACAACACCAAAGAGAAGTGAAGTCCGATGAGTCTGGAGTTCTCGCAACGTGCAAGTGAAGGAGAATTCGGCCTGGTGGGAACAATTCTTATAGTCTCTGGGATGCCTTCAACTAAAGTATTACCGAGTACGTCGATAAGGCGCTCAACCACTCGGATCAGTTAGGAGCGCAGTCGCCCGAAGCACAGAAGCGATGTGGGATGAAGACGACTTCAAATTGATATTTCAGGAGGCATCAGGCAGCTTGCTTCGCCAACGAAGTGCTGAGGAGTCTGTTCTTCCCCTGTGGCTGTGGCTGGCTGCTATCCAGAATGCTTGGATACGTGACTTCCACAAGTGCTAGTATCAGACCTCCAGCCGGGACAAGTGCCCATTGCAGCAAAGGCTGGCATGGCAGCATGGAGAGAGAAAAAGTCGACAGGACCGTCTGGAACTCTCAACAATACAGTATGAGACGGTGGTTGGTTTACATTGTGGCCACGTCGGCCCTTCAGAACAGTACCGGTTGGTAGTTTGAAGATAGCCAGCACAATGCAAGCATTCCAAACAATCCTGCCTTTGGAGAACCGCGTTCCCCCTCCGGAATCAGGCCTCCCTATGCATGAGCAACGAACGTCATCCTCTTATCAATATACATAGACCCGTGCTCCTCTGTGCACCAACAACAACAGCAGCAACAGTTCTCCCTCCCTATTGCCAATCTTAGCACACGTCGCCTCGAAGAAAACAAAAGAAGAAATGTCCTACTTCTCCAAGACGCAGTACAACGCCATCTCGGCGGCCTACGACGCGGTCAACGACCTGCCCATCTCGCGCGCCATCGTCGTCAACGTGGAACGCCTGATACAGCCGCACATCCGGCGGGGCAGTACGCGTGTGCTGGAGCTGGCGTGCGGCACGGGCTTCTTCACCCGCCACATGCTGGACTGGGGGGCCGCGAGCGTCGTGGGCGTCGACGTGTCGCAGGCCATGGTGGACATCGCCGCCGCCGAGATGGCCCACAGGCCCGAGCACGCCGGCAAGTACCGCTTCATGGTGGCGGACTGCAGCGCGCCGTTTTCCGCCGCGGCGGGACCGAAGACAGAAGAGGGCGGCGACGCTGAAGAACGATTCGACCTCGTCTTCGCCGCGTGGCTGCTGAACTACGCGCCCGACCAGGCCGCCATGGCCGCCATGTTCCGCAACATTGCGACGCACCTGAAGCCCGGGGGCCGGTTCATCGGCGTGCTGCCACACCCGGAGGACGACCCCCTGGTGTGCATCGCGCAGGTCAACGCGGCGCGGGCGCTGGGCTACGGCTACGGGATCGAAGTGCGCCAGGAGCTCGTGGACACGCCGCACGGGGGCTACTACGTGCACCTGTTCTTCGACTCGATGCCCCCCGTCGACTTCGGGAATTACTACCTGCCCAAGCGCGTGCACGAGGCCGCCGCGCGCGAAGGGGGCATGAAGGGCGCCTTGACCTGGGAGCCCGTCATGCTGCCGGACGATTACGATGTCGTCAATCGCTACATGAAGGAGCCGGTGGCACCCGGGTATTTTGACCGGTGGCTGGAGTATCCGGACTTTGGGATGTTGGTTGTCGAAAAGGAGTAAAGGAGCAAGGAGTGAGTGGATGTAGTTGGCCACGCGGTATATATGCTAATGACAGTGCTTCTCTCGCAACCGACCATGGGATGTGGAATGCAGGGCATCCCGTTCGCTCGGCCGTCAATAAGCCACATGCCGATTAGTTAGCACCGGCAGGTCTGTGGCAGTACGAGTCGATACCGCCAATTTGGCTCAGTTTGATGCCGCTTCAAAAAAGGAGCGAGGGTGAGTATGTGCACTCCTGTAGCGTAATATCACCCGTGAACAGCTCGACCCTCCAGGGTCCGCTTCCTCCTCCCCAATCACACTTCCTGCTCGTAGCCTGGAAATCGCAATGAGGGACGATCACTGCGATACTGGCGTCATTTGAGGCAAGCGGCTCCCTTTAATAATGGAATAATCTCCCACGTCCAGCCACCGCTCATTATCATTTCTGAATCTCGAGGTACACCTACTGTTGATTTCGAACCATAGCTCGATCTCGACTTCCGTCGACAGCAAAAGCTCGTCGTAATGCTGAGGTACGTGAGAGAAGCGCTCCTCAGTTTGGTGATAGGCATAAATTTAATGGTAATAAAGACTACACGCGTAGAGCGTGTAGTCGCTCTTAGTTAAGTAAGAGAGGTGGTTGAACTTGTGGGAAGAATAAGTCGAACTTCGACCTGACCGTCTGACTCTAGCCAACCTTCGCCTCTGTAGCTGGCGTGTCGGTAAGGGAAAGGGTCCAGAATGGCAGCTTCCCTCGAGCGACGAGCTGTAAAGCTTCCGGCTCTTTGTCATCGATGGCACTGGCGATGTGTATGACCCTGAACTCGACTGTCCCCGCAAGCCAGTCTCGATGGAATCGTCGGTCATCCGCATTGGCTCGGCGTACTGGCGTCTTAGTCGATAAGGAGATCAAACGGGCGGTGACTGACGTAGCCCTCAACCTCTTGGACTCCGGACAGCCAGATCGACCCCTGTGGTAAAGGGACCACAAGATTTCGTGACAGGTTGTTTTCCACCAATCGTGAATACCGAGCATCCAGAGGTGCAAACAACCTGGCAGTGCTTGATGCTATACGAGACAGATGCCCGACAAGCCATTATGCGTCGTTGCCACTATGTGCTTGGTTGTTCTTGTACTCGGCCATTTGAGCTTCGAGCTCTGCCAAATTCCCAGAGAAAGGATCCTTGACCGGCTCTCGTCGGACCTCCCAGATGTCTTCACTGCTCGGGCCCGTTTTCCACTTCACGGCCTTCTTCCGATAATGCTCGCGTATAGCCGTCTCACGATCCTCCTTTTTCCAATTCCGGGTTTTCATGCACAGCCAGAAGTCGTCCCAGTGATTTGAGCATGACCGGAAAGAACCATAGCGATAGACGTTGACAAATTGACCTCCAAAACTCTGGCAGAACATGGCATAATCGAAGGCAGATCTGCAAGAGATCTCGGCTGGGTAGAGGGAGTCGGGAGAGATGTCTGTGGCCAGTGATGCTTGTTGCGATGACGGTGCTGTAGGTGGTTTGGAGTTCGTTCTCTGAGCTTGCTCTAGGTCTGCTTGTGTCTGGAGCTCCTTCAGGAACTCCATCAATTCCTGCTCACTCTGTTCATCCCTGGTGAGGGTGCGTTTGACGGGTTCAGGAACCGCAACAGGAGGAATGGTGACGACGTCGTCCTGAGTCTGAGGCACGGACGCAGCATCCCCTCTGCCACCATCACTGCTCGAGGCAGGTTTCTGCTTCCACCACCAGCTCATTCTGGCTCGATTCGCTCTCCTGAGAAGGAAGGATTAGTCGGAGGACCAAAAAATAAATGATGGCTAGGTCAAGCCACAAATTGAACCCGCAGCCACAGATCAGCCACAAATTTATTTTCCCGACGTCATCGACCCATCCGCGACGACCATGCGGGCTTGTCAAGCTGCGCCCATGGTAATAGGAGCCGACTGAAGATTTTCCAAGGAGAATTTGCGACAGATAAGGTAAGGGGAGGTTATATTTCCAGCTGTGCTGTACGGAAGCGGCACGATGAGGAGATAGACCACAACATACTCTCTCTCCACGATGCTCTAGTCACTACTGACAGCATGATTCTGTCGAGGACTGCTCAAAGCTCCTTCGGGCGACCGACAGGTCTCCGGACGAACCTCTCGAGAAGAAAGCACCTTTACACTTGGAAGAGCCCTGCTTCGACGATCAGACGCGCAGCACTGCCGTCAGGAAAGCGTTGGACTTCCACTGAGGCCGGTGATAATGAATCAGGCCACATTCTGACCCAGAAAAATGAGGGCATCTTATTTTTCGACAGTGAGTGCCATATTCGACCACTCTCTGTGCGCAATTCACTGACTTCACGGCAGACGTCTTTCCCCTGAAGCTCCAATGGCTCAATCGTATCCCCTGGCTAAACCCTGACAAGTTCCTGGCGACGTCCCTCAGCAAGGTGAATCAACCGAATCTTGCGCTGGCCGACCCCTCCAGTATCATCAAGCGAGCCCTGCCGGAAAACCTACCCCTCCACGTCAAAACTATCTTACCGAGACTGCGAGAAGGTGGAGCTTTCGTCAAGTTCTCTCATGAAGATGGAATCACCGCCACAGAGCTGGAAAGCACACTGAAACAATATCTCGAGGAAAAGCCCATCACACCCTGGTTCAATCCTTTTCGCAGGGTCCGCGCCTTCTTGGTGCAAGGGAAGCCGTGGATCGAAGATCTGTATCGTGTGCCTACTCCCAGGATCAAGGTCGAATTCTTGCCCACAGCGCCTGAGAATTCGGCAGCTGAATTGACCCAAGAGACGCTGTATTCGTTGTTCCGCCGGTATGGAAAGCTCACAGAGATCATACCGCAGCCATCTGACTCAAAGGTCGTGCCGAAATATGCCTATGTCGACTACACGCGAGTGAGATTCGCTACCATGGCCAAGAATTGCATGCATGGGTACGTCGTCCCGGCCGAAGATGGCGGAGGAAAGACTGGAACGCTGCTCAAACTGAGCTATGAGTCCAAACGCAAAACCCACTGGATATGGGACTGGGTGACGAACCACCCCAGGATCGTCCTCCCGCTGTTGGTCGCGATACTGACCGCAGCTTCCGTCGCCGTGTTCGACCCCATCCGAACCTTCTTCATCAGGATGCACATCACTCATGGTCTTCACCTCGAGGATCAGCGCGTCTTCAAGTGGGTTAGAAGCCAGCTTCTGCGAGGCTACGACATCATCAGGTTTCGAAAACAGGATCGAGACGAGGACAACATGAGAGTTGTGTGGGAAGATCGCCAAGAGGCTATCAACCAGCTGAAAACGTGGTTGATTGAGACGGCAGACACATTTATCGTGGTACAAGGACCGCGCGGCGCAGGCAAGAAGGAGTTGGTCGTCGACCAAGCCTTGAAAGATCGACCTCACAAACTGGTTATTGACTGTAAGAAGATTCAGGAAGCCCGTGGAGACAGCAGCACTATTGCGGCAGCGGCGGCCGAGGTAGGCTATCGCCCCGTGTTTTCGTGGATGAACAGCATCAGCAGCATGGTCGATCTTGCGGCAACAGCCACCATTGGCACCAAGGCGGGATTCTCGGAAACGTTGGACAACCAATTGGCCAAGATTTGGGGCAACACGACGACTGCGTTGAAGCAGATTGCATTGGCGCCACGCAAAAAGGACGACAAAGACGCGCACTTGGCAGACGACGAGTGGTTGGAAGCCCATCCGGAGTGTCGACCCGTGGTGGTGATTGACAACTTCTTGCACAAAAACAACGAGGGCGCCGCGAGTATGGTGTATGATAAGCTGGGAGAATGGGCTGCTGTTCTGACGACGCAGAACATTGCCCATGTCATTTTTCTGACCACAGACGTGTCTTTCTCCAAGTCACTGAGTAAAGCACTACCTGACCGGGTTTTCCGGCAAATCACGCTGAGTGATTGCACTCCTGAAGTGGCGAAAAAGCTTGTGATCAAGCACCTGGACGCTGACATGGCCGAAGACGGTGCATCAAGCGAGGGGAAGATCAGCCCGTCACAAATGAGAAGTGACCTCGATGAGCTAGACGGAGTGATCCAAGTGCTCGGAGGTCGCTTGACTGACCTCGAGTTCCTGGCGCGAAGGATCAAGACGGGCGAATCGCCCGGAAGTACGTGACTGACCTCTGCTCCTCTTTCGATCGTTACTGACACGTACCAAACAGAAGCCGTACGACAGATCATTGAGCAATCCGCATCAGAGATCCTGAAAATGTATCTTCTAGACGTCGAGGTTTCGAGCCGCAAGTGGACGCCTCAGCAAGCATGGTTATTGATCAAAGAACTGGCGGCCAACGAGACCCTCAGATACAACGAGCTCCTGCTCAATGATATCTTCAAGGATGGCGAAACTGTGCTGCAGGCTCTCGAGCAGGCAGAATTGATTACCATCACGTCCAAGAACGGACGGCCGTACAGCATCAAGCCCGGGAAGCCGGTGTACCAATCCGCGTTCGAGTATCTAACCGAGGACGACGTACTCAGAGCGAGACTTGATTTGGCAATTTTGTCCCAATTGATCAGCCTGGAGAACAAGAACGTGGAGAAATACGAGGCGGAGCTGAAGACACTCGCAGAGATGCCCGGGACGCCCAGTGAGCTGAAGCCGCGGATCAAATGGTGTCTGGGCAAAGCGATGGCCAGCCAGGAGAAGATCATGCAGTACGAGGCACGAAGCGGGAAGTTGAAGAAGGTGCTTGCTGAGCAGTATTGAGTCCCCATCGTCGATCTCTACCATTCTCCTCAATTTGTGTTGTGTTGTTCGATGGCCTTTTTGTCGAGCGAGTGCACATATATATTATGAACTCTACTATATCCCCAATGCATATATATACATACATATGGTTCTTGTCGACCTCTTCGAGACCGGATTGATAGGATTCTTCCTGCATTGGAAATACCCTTAATTGATTCGCTGAGCAGGTTGCCTGGCTAGGACCAGGGGCTTGTGGTTTTTTTGGCCCCATGTCAGCACCGTGTCACTCGGAATATTTATTGGTTGGCACCGAGTAGCTACATACACACGCGTTTCGAGGGGCTTTTTGATATTGGAATCAGCAATCAACTTGTCAGGCTTCCCACGCCCTACTTCGCCATCAGATGGGCGCGACAGAGGCCTTGTACCACCCCTCCGTGATGCATGAGCTCAACACGGCCAGAAGAGGTCTCGGATACGACGCATACGGCCCCCGTTAAGTCTCTGTCACTCGTATCTTACCAGCTCGATAAAAACATACCGAACGAGGACTCGCCGTCGTGTTCAAAAGGGTCACGGCACCTTGTGTCAGCTGCTATTATTGGTGCGCCGCATTGATTCTGGATCTGGAGAAAAGGAGATACAGCACCTTCATTAACATATCATCAACCCACCCACACCCTCTCGATAACTTTCCCTCGCAAACATGGACAATATCCCCCTCCAGGAGAGAAGCTCTGCCTTTCTCCGACATACCCTAACGGAAAGCATCCAACATCCCTTTCAAACCCTCGTCGCCGTCCTCTTCGTCGTCTGCGTCGTCACCCGTGTCGTCTCGGGCCTCCAGTATCGTGCTACAGTCCAGAAGCAAGCAGCAGATGGGTCGAATGGTCCTCGAACGGTGCCCATCCTGCCCTACTGGATTCCCTGGATTGGCCACGCATTCTCGTTTGCCGCAGGCGGGACAGATTTCCTGACCCGTGCAGCACGGTCCCTGGGGCCCAATGCGTCCATCTACGCCCTGAAGATGGCCCACACCAAACACAACGTGGTCACGGTGCCGAGTATTGCCAAACAGATCCTGATCGACCGGACCAGCCCCATCACGATGAACGACTTCGTCTACCACACTATGAAGAACTTTTGGGACGACCGCGGCGCGATCAAGGCCATGGACCCGGATCACCTGTGGGGCAACGTGCATGGTGTCTTGTCGGGCATGCTGCGCGAGAGCTTTGTCACTGCGGCCATCGGCGGCACGGTCGACATGGTCGCCGCAAGGACGTGGAACCTGGTCTCCGGCGCGCAATCCCCCGTCGACCAAACCATCTGGGAGCGCCAGGGCGGTGTGGAAGTCCTCTCGCGAGGTGACGGCGACGGACCTCTGGTCGCCGAGGCCGATCTCTTTCCTCTCCTACGGTACTTCGTCGGCGACATTGCCACCACGGTCCTGTTTGGCAAGGATTTCATGGACAACTACCCCAACATCATGCCCGACCTGTGGGAAATGGACTCGCAGTTCAATCTCTTCATGGCGGGCGCGCCTTCGTGGTTTCCCGGGATGAGTGGGCCGGCGCAGGCGAGGGAACGCATCATCCAGGCCGTGCAGGAACACCACGACGCGCTCTTCAAGTACCTCGACGGCCAAGACCCGGGGAGTCGCTGGAACGACATGTCCGACGTCTCATCGGTCATCGTCGACCGCGCCAAAGCCTTTCGCGCGGGCGGCTCCGTCCCACGAGGCTACGCAACGGGCAACGCGGCGATCTTGTGGGCCATGAACATCAACGCCAACCCGGTGATCTTCTGGATGACGTGGTACATCTTCTCGACGCCGTCGCTGTTGGAGGAGATTCGGGCCGAAGTCGCGCCGTACGTGCGGTTCCGCGCGGCGCCGTCCACGGGCTTACCCATCCGCGAGTCGCCCCAGCTGGACATCGACATGGCCGCGCTGTGGAGCAAGTGCCCGCTGCTCAAGGGCGCGTTCTTCGAGACGATGCGCCTCGAGGCCGCGAGCATGTCGTACAAGATGGTCGAGGACGACTTCGTGGTGTTTGAGAACGACGAGGACGCCCGTCTGCTGGGCAAGAAGCATCCCCAGAGCTGGCTGCTGCGCAAGGGTGAGTACATCTGCCTGCCGCACGGTGTGCACCAGAGCGACGAGAAGTACTTTCGCGACCCGGAGAGGTTCGACCCGCGCCGGTTCTGGGCCAAGGATGGCAGCAGCAACAGCAACGAGAACAACAACACCGACGCAACCGCCGTGCGGGTCGAGTACGGCACGATGAAAGTCTGGGGCGGCGGCAAGCAGATGTGCAAGGGCAAGACGTTCGCCGAGCGCGAGGTGGTGCTCTTCGCCGCCGCCATCGTCATGCAGTGGGACATGGTCCCGGTCAGTGACGGCGGGAGATGGGTCCATCCCGGCCGGAAGATCGGGGCCGGCGCGGTGAACCCGAAGAAGGATGTGCGGGTGCGGTTGATCAGGCGGGAGGGGTGGTGAGAATGGAAACGGAACGGAACAGAAAAGGGGAAAGAAAGGGGGGAGAAGAGTGGGATACGTACATAGGTGGTGTCGAGAATACGTGGATACAAAGCCAGTCAGTTGTTCAAGAAGGGAAGTGGAAGCCAAGTGAGTGGCACAAGACTGGCTATATATGGTACTGCATATTCGATAGACGGAATGAACATACATAGGTGCAGACAGACCTTCCTTCACCATCCTCTCGAATTGCTTGATCACCAATACTTTTCATCTCTCTTGGTATATATGGACTTTCAGCCTCCTGGTCACCCTGAACAACTCGACAGACCATGGGACAGACGCTACATACCTAGCTTATGTTTCCTGACATACACAACGGTGGAGATGGAGAGAGAAAGGGACAGAGAGAGCGAGCGAAAGGGCATAATCCAAAACAAAGTCGATTCCTATACTGTACATACTGTACATCCCTACCAGGGCAGTCAGTTAGTCAGTCAGTGCTCTTGCTCTGCTAGGTAGGTAGGTCCTCTCTGCTCTGAATGGGAGGAGATGTCACGCACAGGTCTAATCAAAAAATCCCCCATTCTTCTTCTCTCCCTGACGCCTCACTAGCCTTTCCACCCAACCAACCAACTCACTACCGAATTGGGCAACATCTGTTATTCCTCCCTCGGTCCTCGTACGAAAGTCGTCATGTTCCTCGCACCATGATGTGATACAGTCGACCTGGCCTGACCGACGGATGTGTTGCTTCAATGAGCTGGCTATACATAATAGCGAGGTGGCATATGCATATATGTACATATATATGTACGCACGTACGGCCTTGTTGGATGTCGAAGTCAGCCTGTCGTCAGCGCCTCCGGGCATGTGTGCCGTGCCGTGCCATGCCATATATGTATGCAATGTCTGTATGTGGTGACGTGTCTACAACCCCCCTCCTCCGTATGTACAGCGTTGCGAACTCCGTCCCTGTCGTATCCTCTTCTGTCTGATCCTGGATCCCTGCCCTGTGTTGTCAAGTACATGGTGAACACGAATAATCTTGAGAAAGATCATGATCGTGATGACCATGATGATGACTAGATGACCATCCGATGACCATCTACTGTCCCTACAGTACCTGATGACTTCAGACCATCCCTGAAAATCCTGGGGTCAGCTTCAGCCTTACCGGGTAATATGTCATACAGCATTCTCCTTGCACCACCAGTTGCGCCAGATGTGCTGTACATATAATGACAGCCTACTACTAATACTACTACTGCTGCTACACATGATGATTGATGATTGCATATTACATTGGCGAAGTTCGGTAGAAAGCAGGAGCTGGGCAATGAGCAATCAATGGGCAGCAAGCCAAGCACCCACTTGGCGCCACCTCGTTGCCTTGCTTTGCTGTGCTGTGCTGCGCTGTGCTGTGCTGTTGCTGTGCTCTTGCTAGATGTCTGCCGTCTCGAAGGAAAGAGAGAAAAGCTTACCTCAGGCAAGTAAGCCTGAACGCGCAAGGACAGGCGAACACGAGGTTTCCCTGCCCGTTCCAGCTAGTGTACGAATGGCTGTATGCGGTGCATAGTCTAGACTCTCTCACTTGCCGCGAACCACAAGCTTCTTTCATGATTGGGTCGTGCATCCGCCTTGGGCTCTCGCGCACCCGGGGACCAAGGGACCTTGAACACTTTCCGCTTTTGCTCGTTGTTGTAATAATTCCATCTCCAGCTCCGCCATGTTGGTTTGGCCCAAAGAGAGTGGGAGAGACGTCGTCTAGCCTCGACGTCGGACTCGCTTCTCGAATTTTTGCCTTTTTACTTTATTCTCCTCTCGCTCTCAGCCGTGGCTGGTGGTCAACAACCAACTGTGACTACATAGCAGAGACATGCGGTCAAACTCTCCATGCTGATCCGGCCCGTGGCTGACTGACTGGAAAGTGTAGAATCCCCTCCCCTAAACCCTTGAAAATCTCTCTCCATGCCGTAGCATCCGCTCACCCACCCACCGCACACAAACATTCCCATCGATCAGGCTGACCATGTATGTCGGCCCAGTGCGGGACCCTGACAACCAGGGGGGAGGGAGACGGGAGAATCGCCACGGGCCCCAAACACGCGGTTTGCGCAATGCAGCGAATGATGGAGCAGTGGAGAGGCGAGGGGAGGGCGTGTGCGCGTGCGTGTGTAGAGCCCGTGTTTGCCCAGCCAGCTTCCTCCAGACGTACATACATACCTCGTACATACATACATGACCCAAGAGCTGACCTGACCTGACCTGACCTGACCGGCCGCCTTGACCCAGCGGGGGTGACTGACTGACTGACCGATTGCTTGATCGTTTACTAGGACTTATGCAAAAAGGGGCGCGTCAATGCAGGGCGGGCAGCTAGCCCACCAGCCCACGCCCAGCCCGTCACAGGTAGGGAAAGATTAAGAGCGCGAGAGAAAGGGAGGGAGGAGAGATACGAAAAGAACGACTGCCCGATGTGCATGTAGCAGGGTTCGTGATCGTAAGCTTTAAAATAAAATAAAAACCTTCTGGACCTGGTCGATCTCGTATACGTACACACACCCCTTGCCACTCCCCTCCGCCCGGGGCCCTCCAATCGTAGCGGTGTCGAAAAAAAAAAACTGATGTGTGAGAGCGACAGCCCTTTCTGGAAAATCCCATGCATGCTAGCTAGCTGCTGAAGGCGTGTATCAGGCCAGGCGAGGCGAGGCAAGGGCCACATATGTATGAGGTAAGGCGAGCTAATTAATCTGAGGTTCGAGGTATGGATGTATGTACATAAGGGCGAGCTGAGCCGCGATGGACTTTGCTTCTTTGCTTGCTTGCTTCCGTGCTCCGAGCCACGTTGAAATAAAAAGAGACCCTAGGACCCTCGTACTTCCTCAGACTCCCCCGTCTCTCTCTCTCAAAGTTTGCCTGCCGGCAACTGAAACGTCGCTCTCGTCCCGAAGAGTAGTCGATCTGACGAACGGAGACTCGTGCCAGACAGAACAAGGGAAGCAGAGAACGACCAGGAAGAGATCCCCGTGCCCAGCTTTGTATATTTGAGGCGCCGACGCCTCTCTCGCGCGCGGGAATTCAGAAAGTCCGCTCCCTTCTCACAGTCAACGGAAGTGGTTGCAGTGCCCCGTGCATACCTGTCGTTCCTCGGAGACAACCCGCCACCTCACCCACCTCGGAAATGCGTTTCAGCAACTTCCTTCTAGCCGGCCTGGCGCTCGTTCTCCCCGTCACACTGGCAACTCCTGTCCCGGCCACCGTGGAGGAGATCTGTGCTCCTCCGCTGCGAGACGATAAACTTGTCAAGGTTCGTCCAGAGTTGTGTCATGGCGCCTGCGTCTCTACCCCTGTTCCGTTTCTGGGAGCTCTGCCACAGCTGTGTGCGAGTGTCCCGGGCGACATGGTGATCCAATTCCATATTTGGGGGAAAGAGAACAGAGAATTTGGCTGACAGACCCTTCTCCGGGGTGTTATAGCGACTGAACACCGGTACCTGCGTCCACCAGCGCTGCGTGGTCGATCTGGACACCGGGAAAACCTGCATCACCGCCTACTGCACCCTCGCTGACAAGGACGGACTGGAGTGCCATTGTATACCGTTGACGGATTAGGCACGCGGTCACGGTTCGGAATGAATAAAGGTTGCTTGCGACCCAGGGGGGACTTTGCGACTGTCTTTGATGTTTTGCATACCTGCTTTGCGCCGACACAAAAGCTGGGGCCTGCATTTCGCATACCGGTGATGCATGAGAGGGAGTCTGTGGGCTTTTCCTGAAGCACGGTCGAGTTGTGTCCAGTGATTTATCCTCTTGTCTGATAGTTGTATGCTCCTCCGGAGTCAATCCATCTCCTAGCATGGGATGTCTCAGGATATTCCGGTCGACCACGCTTCTTGATAGCCATTCACGTCTCTTTCTGCTCCCCGTTTCTCACAACAGTGTCTGGCTTCTCGCCATCTTCATCCAGTCGGACGTCATCTGTGCTCTGGCCCTCCTCTTCCACCCCCTGGCTGCCACTGCCACCCACCCCGGTCCCGTCGTCATTAACGCCTTTTTCGAAGCCTTCGCAGTGCCTCAACATCCACTCCGCGCATTCTTTTGCCCCCTCCTTCGAACTCATCTCCGCTTCCACCAGGGCATCCCGCCCAGCTTCATTGACGATGGTTGGATCGGCGCCGGCCTTGACCAGCGCCTGAACCACATCCAAGTGCCCGTTCAACGCCGCCCAGTGGAGCGGTGTATTCCCCGACACATTCCTGTGGTTCACGAGCGAGGGCGCGGACTTGTCAGCCGTCGTCGCAGAGGGGGAGGCGCCGAGCGACTCGGACGGCGCGAGCAGCGACAGCAGGTGCGTGATGATCTCGAGGTTCCCGTTCGCTGCGGGGTAGTGCAGCAGCGACGACTGCGAGCCGAGCCCATCGGCGTCGATGTCGATGGACGAGGCGAGTAGGACCGACGGCGGACACTTGTGCGTGCTGCAAAGCTGCGCGACCAGGGACATCAGGCTTTCCAGGTCCCCGGTGCGTGTGAAGTAGATGAGGTCGTCGAGTTCATCGGGTGTGGGCGTGGGGAGGGTTGTAGAGGGCATTTTCGCTTCTGGAGACGGGTGAACAGGCTCTGAATCTGGTGTCGCTTGATTGACACTTCCTTTAAGCGGGTTCGGAGGAAGAAGAAAGCGTGGATCGGCAAGAAAGGTTCCGCTGTTGTCAAAACACAGACACGAGGTGCTTTGGGGGAGCGTTTGGGGGAGAATTGAAAAATTATGGCCCACACTGCAAAAAGGCCGATTGTGCAGGTGACGTCAATTGTGAAGCCCATAGGAAATCGTACTGGCACCGCAAGCAAATTTTGCGGTTACAAAGCTGCGGATCGACCAGAAGGCACTATCTACAGAGGAAACAGGAAGTGGAAATGGGAGATCATGCTTTGATTGGCAGTATGATTTGTTTTTTGGGATTTTCTGGACTGATTCAATCTACGGATCCTCCTCCGACGGACTTCGCCCACGAGGGGTTACTCATCTGGATTGCGGTTCTTCATGGACACACGACGCAGCTGTACTCGTCAGAGCCATTCACCTAGACAAGACATTTCGTCTGAAAGAGACGAACACACACCGTGCACCATACATAGAGCTGAATAGTCGATTTGTCAGTTACTCTGAACACTCAACCCTTTCTCATGCATCGGAGTTGCATCCAACGCAGTTGACTGATTGTTTCATTTTTTTCTTTGGTGTTTTTGTGGTCGGCGTCTGAACTTCATATGGTTGGTTTGGCCGTGACCCCATGGGGTCGCCCAGCAGGACATGGCAGCCTGCATCGTCCAATTCCTGGCTTTCGGCCAGGCGTACGTCCAAGGGTCATCTCGCTGTGTGAATGTTTTTTTTTTCCTTTTTGGGCCAAGGCATTATCTAGCCAGGCAGGTTGAGCGAGATCTTCACAGGCCGCTTGGATGACAGTAGAAATCTCGCTGCTTTATGTCGAGAGTAGTTTTCGCCAAGTGGTTGGTATCACAGTCCCAAAAAAAAAACACGTGCAAAATCCGAACCGTCGCTGTTTTAATGGTTCAACCCCCTTGCACATCTGGCAAGCGGACTGAGATGTCTCCGGACTGTGTGATGTAGCGGACCCATGGCAAGGATGGATATTGCAACTGTGTGCACGGTTAGAAGGATATCTCTGACAATGAGGGAGAGGGGTGGGTGACAAACCTTGGGTTCAATGATCTTCAAGTATCGCACCTGGATACCACTGGTGGTGAAGTAAGGAATTTCGAACTTGACGTTGATGGGTCTCTTGCCCTTGCCTTCTCCTGCGATGCCGCCCATACTGCCACCAAAACCACCGGTCATGCCACCACCACGTTCGTCGTCTCCCTTGACGCTGGGAAGGCCGAGTTCCGCGCGCATGAGAAATTCCTTGCCGCCACCGAACTGTTTGATCTTCCAGACAATGGCAGATTTCTCGGGCGCATAGTGGACAGAACCAATGTTGGTACGGAATCTTGGGCTATCGGCATCATCAGGGACGGGGATGCTGATCTCGACGTTGTTGGCAGTCGATCGTCGCTTAAACTGAGCCTTAGCTTTCAACATGTACTCGATTCTTGAACCAGAGTGGGATTCGACGACACACTCGACCCAGATCAATGGCTTCACTGCGGTGTTGAGACGGTAACTCATCAGCTCAAATTCTCCATCGGGAGGAATGAAGCTGATGGTGCGGTCGTTCTCAAAGCGGGACAGTCTCACGCACTGGTGAAATTTGACGTCTTCCATTTCGACGGCTTTGCCTCGCGTGGATCTTCCAGTGGTTTCGAACATGACCTTGTCATTCAAGCCCAATCGGAGTTCTGGCATGCCGGAAAGGTAGCACTTCATCTTGATCGCACCCAGAATCTCCGATCGGAGGACGTTGCCAGTGGATGAGACCAAGAGGTTGAGAGACTCGATCACGTCAAGGAACACCTCGTTCTTGCGATATCTGATGCCTTCGCTTCTCCAGGAGACAGCGTTGGTAACGGCAATGGGAGGGCGTGCCTGCACCTCGAGCTTGTGGGACTCTTGAGTGATGTACTCCTGCAGAATCTTTGACTCGGTGGTTTGAGGGTATCCAAAGTCCATCATTTCGTCCAGCAGCTCATAGATGATGACGAAATTGTCTCTAATTGACTCCTCTTCCAACTCTTTGAAGTACTCAGTGAAGACCTCGACGATCTTGTGGAGGAACAGCAGGATTTCTGCAGCATTGGTGTTGCGCTTGGTGAGAGCGAGGAGGTAGAGATTGTTGTGGCGGATGTAGAGGTACTGTAGAGTGGTTAGCTGGGATCGTAGACATTGAGGGTACCGGCAACCAACATTGATGCCCTCATCAGAGAAACATGGCGGGACTGCAGATGATTCTTCTTCGGCCTCCGAAAGAAGGATTGGGAATTTCTCCACGGCAGACATGGGAATATCACCACGATAGTTGCGAGCAAGAAGAGTCTATGTTTATCAGTATTCAATGTCAACTTGGGCGGACACGTTCTCGCCGCGCACCTTGCCCTTCAGGTCGAGGAAGAAGACCGCAGACGCCATGGTGTCTGGAGGGTCGGAGGAAAGGGTAGGTTGAGAAGTTGAGATGGAGAAGCAACCAGTTTTGAATGAGCTGAAGAACAGGTTAGGATTATGGGAAGGAGAAAGGCTGCATCAATTGGAAGAGGACGAGGAGGGGACGTTGTGAGTAGACAGGAAATATTTATAGGCGTGGAATTGAACGTTTACGTTTACGTTTACACTCCGCAGGCAGGCGGAGATCATCCCACATTATTGTACCAGACCTACACGTCCCAGCACGTGTCTCAGCCTTGCGAAACCGAAACGGGGCGAGTCGTTTAGCCTTGTGCAGCCTCGTGCAACCTCGTGCCAATACGAAAGTGGCGTTTCTCCCGTGAAGAATCAATGCATCAAGATGCGTCACCCGAAGATTATGCGGCCTTTTCCTTTGAGTGCACATTATGCTTTATCATGAGTCCCAAAAGTAACAAATCTTACTGTCACCTCACGCAAATTCATGAAATCCATCAAACCCTTCGCAATGGCGGAGATTGTCAGAAGTCCCCGGCGTGATCAAACTGGTCTAAATATGCCTATCAGAGCACTCAGACTATGCATGCCAGTTATCTGACCATAAAGGGTGCGAGTTCACGGGAAAAATTGCCAATTAAACGCTGATCTTGGTGAAGCATATGGAGTGGTGTTCTTTTATCGGGTCACAACCAGCAGAATGTCCTCTACCATGGTTGAGATGCCTCGGTGAGTTTTCCACAAGTCAAGACACTTCAGTAACAACGGGACCGTCCGTACTTGTTGAATTTGCAGACCTGAAAGCCACAATCGCAGAGCTGTTTCATGAACGTGGTAGTACTTGTCCAGCACATACGCCGTCTGAAGGGATCCAAGAGAGCTCACCACTCTCGTAGGCCTTTCTTCGTCTTTCCGTCCTCCTTTCTTCCTAACTATTCAGGAGCATGATGAGAGCTTGGGATTACCCCGTATATACTGGTTTCCGCGTTGACGTTTCAAGCGACGAGCAACCGCCAGGTATCTGCGAAAGACATTAATATGGCAAGCAAGAATGCAATCTACTGATCAGCTTCTCCGAAGTTTTACCGTCGGGGAAACCCAAATAATGCCAAGCAAACACTTCCGCGCGACAGCCTTGCGATACAATAAATTTCCTGAATTTCCTCTTTTTTCTTTTTCTTTTCCATAACCAACGCGCCCGAAAGACAGTGCAATGCAGCATCTTGCCTGAGATTGCGGACATTCTGTCCCCAGTCTCATGGTTCTACTCAGTTGCCGAATTTTGCGATTTAGAGACGCGGAGACCAATCGAAGTTTTATTATTTCGTGGACGGTGCCATAAGAGCTGGCTGAGCATAATTTTTTTGACGGTTGCTCAGGCGGTGTCAGAGGCCCCAGACATATCTTCTATTTTGTGTACATGCCATGATGATGTTGGTGATGATGGTATAATGCCATTAGCTGTTAATACACCTGCGAGAGTAAAGGCTTCCCTGTCTGTTACGGCGATGGCTGTGCAAGCTCTGCCTTGGGTTTCCAATTTAATTTCAGCCCGAGTGGCACGAGCACCTTCTCCTTTGCTATTTGGTTCGCCACTGCACCACCTTGTTCCAGGGCCACAGCGCCGATGATCGCGAGGACGGCTTGCGAGTAGACTAGTTCTGAGCCTGATGCTTGAAGACGTTCGGGCTGCGACGAGGTTAGTGACAGCGAACCAAGGAAGGATTGCAGCGCAGGACGTACATCTCTGGGATGCCACCGGACCACTTCCGGCAAGCCATACTGCTCGGCCAAAGTCGCGAGTTGCTTATGACTTGTGAACCAGTGATGGGCGCCCCCAGGAGGCACTCCACCGACTCGGTGGCAGGGTGTCGAAAAGGTTGCCGTCCATAAGGATCCTGCTCCTCGCTTTTCAGGTAGCGTGAAGCATCCGCGACGCTGATCAACCCTAGGGAACATTGGAGCTCGAGTATTCGCTTGCCTGTAACCCTCCATCAGTATTGGACCATAGAGCAACTGGGAAAGTAGTGGCTCTTTACCGAAAAACGCAAGCCGGTCGTTGAATCCTCTTCTTCCAGCGTCGAAGCTCTTGTTCGTGACAGCTAGCCATTTGGTCTCTTCCGACAGCATTTTGTCACCGTCTCTTCCCAGAAACTTGACGTAGAAATCATCTAGCTTCCGCTGGTCTTTGTTGATCTTGAGAGGTGTTTGTATCCGCGGTGGCCGCACGCGCACGGGGGCTTTGAGTGCCGAAGGCGTTTGGGACCAACGCGGAGGCTTTTCTGCGTCGACCTCCATCTCGGAGAGCTGAGGAGCTGCCGTCGAGACATGGCGCGAATGACGGGTTGGTTTGCAGAATGCTTGCCGGAAGCGAAGATGGTCGCAGGAAGGGCCCGGTCTAGATGCTCGGAGGAGGTCACCGATGATACGGCCGGGGGTAGGCGTTCTGGAAGACATGATGGGGATCTGGGCGTTGGAGACGTGACAGGTGATGAGCAGCAATCATGTTACATTGAAAGGACGCGCATTTCGTCAAACAGAGGCTGGATGATCTTTTGCTCTAGAAAATCAAGTTCAGCTGCGACATGGATGGTCGACCGTAGCGGCGGAGCATAAATGATCGAAGCGCAACTTCGAAAATAACCTCAAGCGAGGTTTTCTATCTTTGTTGTTCGTGCGGCCAGTATTAATAAACCTGTATTATGTACATGGCCATAACTCCAATTCTCAATATGATCTCTTCTTCGGCGGCACAGTCTGGCACTCCTTCTCATCGAGTGTGGAGAAAATCACATTCCGATAGCCAATGGCTATGTCTTGACCGACATCCTTCTGCCAGCTGAGGGAATGGCGCATGAACCTCTGATCATCTCTTTCTGGAAAATCCTCGCGAGCATGAGAGCCCCGTGACTCCTTTCTCTCGAGAGCACTTTTGGCAGTTTGTGCAGCACAGGTCAGAAGGTTACGCAGCTCCAATGTCTCGACGAGATCGGAGTTCCAGATAAGACTCTTGTCTCTCACGCAGACGTCCGCATTGAAGTCCTTTTCCACTTGTTGCAGGTTTCCCAGGCCTGTCGTCAGACTTTCTTCCGTGCGAAAGACCGCTATGTCGTTCTGCATATTCTTTTGCATGTCGGCACGGAGCTCGGCGGTCAATTTCTTTCCATCTGCTTCTCGCAGGTGTTCCAGGTCAACAAACCCCTCAATCCCTGTCTCTGGCGAGACGCTGCCTCCATTCCTGAGGAATGGCATTCCTTTCTCATTGTTTTCAGCGATGTGGCCAGCAGCAGCGCGGCCGAAAACGACAATATCTAACAAGCTGTTTGCTCCCAGGCGATTAGCGCCATGCACCGAGACACAAGCAACCTCTCCAGCCGCATATAGACCATTGACAGCGGTCTCTTCTCCCGTGCTCGGGTTCACATCCAGGACTTGGCCTTTCCAGTTGGTAGGTATGCCTCCCATACAGTAGTGTCTTTGGCCAAAGAAGATGTGCCGTTAGTTTGCATCACTCGACCATTCGAAGGAAGACTTACACAGTTGGTAAAACAGGAATAGGCTGCTTGGTTACATCTACGCCGGAGAAGATACTGGCTGTCTCTGCAATGCCTGGTAGTCGTTCCATGAGGATCTCTCTTGGCAGATGTGACAGCTGGAGGAAGATGTGGTCCTTGTTCGGACCACAGCCACGGCCTTCTCTGATCTCCATGTTCATACTCCGACTGACGACATCTCGACTTGCAAGGTCTTTGGCTGTGGGGGCATAGCGTTCCATGAAACGCTCTCCTTCGCCATTTAGCAGATATCCCCCCTCGCCTCTGGCGCCCTCGGAAATCAGGACGCCAGCGCCGTAAATGCCGCTGGGGTGGAATTGTACAAATTCCATGTCCTGAAGGGGGAGGCCCGCTCTTGCAGCCATTGCTAAGCCATCTCCGGTTGAGGTATGTGCTGAAGTTGCACTAAAGTAACAGCGACCATAGCCACCGGTGGCAAGGATCGTGTTACGGGCAAAGATGCGGTGAAAGGTGCCCGTTTCCATGTCCAGCGCCGTCAACCCAATGCAATTCTTGCCGTCCATGATCAGGTCTAGCGCAAACCACTCAATATGAAACTGGCAGTTATGCTTGAGGGCCTGGCCATACAATGTATGCAGCATAGAATGGCCGGTTCGATCAGCCACACACGCAGTCCTGTGGGCCTGTCCGCCGGTGCCGTAATTCAGGCTTTGTCCACCCAGTGGTCGTTGATAAATCGTGCCTTGCTCGGTGCGACTGAATGGCATTCCATATTCTTCGAGTTCTCTCACGGCTCTTGGCGCCTCGCGGCACATGTAATGGATTGCATCTTGGTCACCCAGCCAATCTGACCCTTTGACCTGAACCTCGTTATTCCGAAAAGTCCACAACGAGTTTGGCAGTGGCTTGAAGATGGTTCGTGCATCAACGGCACGGGGTCGGCGATCAACTTACCGTATCGTACATGTGCTGAAGCCGATCAACAGAATCCAATCAGTGTATGCCCTGGGTATCTTGATCCACGGAGACAATCGCCAGTCCGAGAGACTTACCCATCTCCAGTCATCCTCATGCATACTTTAAAAGTGTCAACTGAGCTGTTTCAGTGCGACCTGAGGAATATCACTTACTTCGCTAGGGCAGCATTTATCCCTCCTTGGGCGGCCACTGTGTGAGACCTTGTTGGGAACAATTTGGTCACAACAGCCGTGTCGAGTCCGCTCTCCACAAGGCCAACAGCAGCTCGAAGTCCCGCACCCTATGTTGTCCTCGGTATCTCGTCAGTAAACAGACCAAAGAGAAAGAACATCCAGCACCCAAGAAGTACAGGCTTCGTAGAGGCGGCGAGGCTCAGTTGCCAAATACAATGACACCTAGACGCGAAACCAGGTCACTTACTCCTGCACCGACTACCACGGCGTCATATTGGTGGTCAATCACTTCGAATGTGCTGTTGCTGGCCCTGAGCGACGAGGTGGTCGCACGTCGTCGTTGGTGCAGCTTACGTATCTGAACTCGGGACATCCATCGCGAGAGCGGTCTTGATGGAGCCGATTGGAGGCCGAGAAATGTTCGAGGTGACAGAGATGAGCTCAAAGCCTGGCGGCATGCTCTCAAAACAGAATGCATCTTGTTTGCGAGAAGCATCCCCCTTCTATTCTACCAAAACCGGGTCACAAAAAGAAACAAAGGTGACTTCAGACAACCACAAACTCGAAAACCAAGTGAGTCTCCGAGATGGTCTCGAAACCCGGGGTTCGAGGGCGGTGGCACCAATGGAGGACAAGCAATTTGCTAATTAGGGGGGCTCCGAGATCGCTTTGCCGTCTCGGTCTCTCGGATTCTGGCTATCTGCTCCTCATTTCGCCGAGAGACCGGCACAAGAGCATCATCACTTCGCAAAGCATGGGGAGATTTCGTGGAGATGCTGTGCCTCACGGCTTTCGGGAAACGTACTATCATACCAGAGCAAGCTCTTTGCTTCCCACGACCACCTTCCTCACACCTTCGCTCACCGAGTTACACCCATTCTCTGTCGTCTGAGCAAATGTGCTTCTGCCAGATCCAGGCACATCGTCAAAAGATTAAAATATGTCCTCAGGCTTTTGCGAGCATGCTAGTTGAAGCATAAGTGGAGTTTCCCTTCCTCCAATAATCAGACATCCATTGACAATCGCCCGCAGCCACGCCTCTGTCGGATATACAAACCCACGATTATTGAGATATCCGGGGATATTCGGGTCATGGTTTTGCGGATGTTTGTCGTCAATTTCTTGAGACTCTCGTAGGCATATCCAGATAGAGTCAGCGATATATTCGTTTTCGGTGGCAGACTGCTGAGATCAACTCAGGCATGTACTTCACTCTAACTCTGAAATTGTCACCTCTGTTCCCTATTCCCATCAGCTAACCAATGTTCAAGCCGCGATGTTTTCAGGAATGAGTCAAATCAGCACTGCAGCTTGATATTGAGGTTCCTGCTTTGCACCAGTACTACCGGGTTTGCGTTGAGGCGTCACCTCGTTACCTACCAGCATATTCTCACAACATCCTTCCTGGTGCTTCAAGGGCAGTAGCACCAGTAGCAGTCGCCCGAGCATCTGATTATGATATCAAACGAAGAAGCACTGCAAAGTTGCTCGAGGCCTCTCTCTCTTTTAATGTATTACCTTGCATAACAGGCGCATAAAGGTATCCATCAATTCAGTCCCATTCCAACTTTACCCACGGAGATGCCGAAATATATAGAACAGACAAAGGATGGTAGGAATGACGGCATTGAGCGGTACAGGGCAGGGTGTACCATTGCCCCGAAGCATGGACCTCATGAGGTAAGTTGTGGTGGATATCCAGCTAAAGACAGGGTCACTGTTGTGCCCCTGGCGGCCCCGTACCTGGCCGTCTTTCCCGGACTCTTTCCTGCTTGCATTTTCTTTTTCCTTTTTCTTTTCCTATTACTCTTCACCTCGTCCTCCTTCCCATCCTTCCCCTCCCTCGGCTGACGATCGACGATCCTCGCTTGGCTTATCTCTTTTCCCTCAGTTCACAATGGGCAGGATTCTCGCGGCTTTCAACTTCATCTGGTTTATCTTTGCTGCGGATCGATCGTCAAGAGTCCAACCCACTAACTATCTGGCCTAGGGAGGCCCTTCCAACTAGCCAATGCCCGTGGTGCTGGGGGGAGAATCACATCTGCATCGTCAGCCTAGGGCGCCTCTACCTGTTTGTAGGCTAGCAGATTTGAAGCAGTTCAAGCTTTCCGCATTGGTTTTGAGGGTCAAGCTACCCACTTCAGCTACTACAAAGCCCTAATCACCCCTCACTGACCTATCTTGCGACTGCTTGGCTATACCTCTGAGGCCCCGGAGGAGCTCAGAGCTCGACATTGCCGCGATTATTGGTTCAGCCAGTCTCACTAGGGTCGCCAGAACATTTGAGACTGGCCTTTCATTCCCCCATCTCTCGATCAACAACATCCACCTGCGATTTCCACGTCGCATCGCGCGAGCTAGGCATGAGCCGCCCATGTCCGACGGTGAGGTCTGATGTCCGCGGGGTAAACCTTTTTCTTGCTGTTTCCACACATGTTCGTGCGAGCCACTGTGCGAGAGTTTAGGCGATAAGAGACATTCCCGCTCGCCCTCGCTGACCATCTACTTATTACGGTAGGAGACCCCGACCCTTCCGTTCTGTGAATCCTCCCTTCTCCTGCTCAGCCTTGAGGCATACAACTGACCTCACAACACCGTGCTTGTGTGAAATTGAAAGTGGTGCTCGCTACTGGTCAAAGGTATAGTTCTGAGTCCTTTACTATAACGTCGTCTCGTGAAACCGGGTTTCTCAGAACGGGAACCTGGTGGTGCGTTTCTTGCCTCTTGAAGGGATCCGTTGCTCACAAGTGTTTTCTTTACCACCACTACAGCTCTCGTCACCATGCGCAGCTCTGCTCTTCTCCTCGCCTCTGTGGCGTGCTCGACTGCGGCCGCTGAGACTGTTCTCGGTGTCTACATCTTCTCCCGACATGGAGATAGGACTGCGAAGGCAACCCCGCCATCCGGTCTGACCGACCTTGGCTACGAGGTACGCGGATAATTTATGGTTTCTTGCACTTCAGCAAGCTCCTTTGAGAGGATGGAACTTTTACTGAGACGGGAAATTCAAAACAACAGGAAGTTTTCACCTCCGGCACCTACTATCGCAACCGCTACATCACCAGCGATGCCACCCGTGCGATCTTTGGTATCGAGCCCAACGTGGTCAAGCTGTCTCAGATCACGGCCTCGGCGCCCCTCGATACCGTCCTCATGCCATCCGCCATGGGCTTCCTCCAGGGCCTCTACCCACCCGTCGGCGAGACCCTGGGCAGTCAGACTCTCCGCAACGGCACCGTCGTCCAGACTCCCTTGAACGGCTTCCAACTGATCCCTGTCCAGACGGTTGCCAACGGCGCCGGCAGTGAGAACGCCGCCTGGCTGCAAGGATCGACGAACTGCGCCAAGTGAGTTTCATACTCTTCTGTTTCCCTGCATCCTTGAGTGTCCTCTTCCCAGATCAATGGGAGTGGAAACACTGCCCAACCCACTTCATTGGGAAAGAAAGCTCTAAGTTCAGAACAAATGGGAAGATATACCAACGTTCTAACCTTGTGTGCTTCTATGACATAGTGCCCAGATCAGCTCCAACAACTACTTCATCAGCAGCCAATACCAAGCCACCCTGAACCGCACCCAGGGCTTCTACACTGACATGTATCCCTTCGTGAACCGGACCTTCACCAAGTCCCAGACCAGCTTCAAGAACGCGTACACCATCTTCGACCTGCTCAACGTGGCCAGTATCCACAACGCCAGCGTCCCGCTCCCCAACGATGCCGACTTCTTCCAGCTGCGCACCCTGGCCGACCAACACGAATGGGGCCTCGCATACAACGAGAGCGAGCCCATCCGCGCCGTCACCGGCGCCATCATCGCCGCCCAGGTTGTCCAGGCCCTCAACGGCACCATCAGCGGCAAGGGCAAGAACGTGCTCAACATCCAGTTCGGCGCCTACGGCGGCATGATGTCATACTTTGGCCTGGCCAACCTCACGGCCGCCAGCCCGCTCTTCTACGGCGTGCCGGACTACGCCTCGAGCCTGGTGTGGGAGCTGGTGACCAACGCCACGGTTGGCAGCGGCGCCGCGGCCTACCCCTCGGCCGACGAGATCAGCGTGCGGTTCTACTTCCACAACGGCACCACCTCGAACATCAGCGAGCCCGTCGAGTTCCCGCTGTTCGGTACCGGCCGCTCCCCGATCCCCTGGTCCGAGTTCGTCGCGTCCTCGAACAAATTCGCCATCGGCTCGCAGGCCCAGTGGTGCTCCGCCTGCGGCAACTCCACCGGCGTGTGCAGCCCCAGTGCGCTGGGCTCCAGCGACTCCGGTACCGTCGGGTCGTCCTCCAGCTCCAGCTCGTCCGACCACCACGGCAGCGGCATTAGCAAGGCCGTGGCCGGCGTCATTGGTGCTATGGTCACCTTGGGTGTCATCCTCGGTGCGGAACTGCTGATCATGTTGGTCGGCGGGCTCCGACTCGTCAGCAAGCGGAGGCTCTCCAGGGCCGGGAGCGGTTCCAGCGGTGGCGTGGGTGAGGGTGTTCAGGCAAAGGCTTAGATGGTTAGCCTTCAAAGCCGGGGGGTTGAAGTGGAGCAGGGACTTCTCGACCCTGGGCGTGTCCCCAGCCACGTGAACGAGGAACTCATCAAGGGTCAAGGGCCCAGAGAAGGCAAAAGTCTCCTGTTGCCGTGAAGCTATGTGGGTGTCTTGTGAACTGGTTTCATTTGCGAGCACATGGGAGGAGAAGGGACGCAAAGGGGAAGGACAGGAACGGGGCTGCGAGAGAGTGTGAGAGACCCCTTTTCTCGTCTCGTCTTGGACATGTTCTATGCGGAGAGAGATTGTAGGTAATGAATGAGCATTACGAGCTCTCGATTCTTTCCTCCTTGATGTAATCATTTCTTGATCCGACTGGGTCTGCCGTATGGATTCGGGTTGGGCTGGAACAAAGAATCTCCGACCCATAATATATCAGTCGGTTCCAAGGGTCCGACACCTCATCAATAAGTAACTTGTAAGTAATTCCCTCTACCACGCGCAACCTCTTCGTGCTACGCTCTTTAGCAATGCGACCTCCAATTATGTCTCTCAAAAGTTTTCCAACCCCGGCGTAAAAATGCTCCAAAAGCAGTGTCTCGTCACACATACTACTTACTCTGTCGCGTTGAAGGCCCCCCAATGTGCATATGCAAGCAAGCCGGGGCTCAAATAGTCCCACTCTCGCGACCCTGCCGTGGTACGCCCAGCCGGAGGAACAGATCAACTTTTCCCTCTTTAGCACAAGAGCCCCTGTACGGTCAACCCGGGCCGGTGGATCCCGGGGTCGATCTGGGGATGATCCAGCTTCGGCTCAACCTTGGGATTCATCCTCGGACGAGACATGTCACACTCCTCCGAGGGGTCTAATAGAGACGAAGGCTGTTTCGGCGCCGGGGACACTGGCGGGGAGGCGGAAGGAAGATACAAATCGTGCGTGATCCACCTCACCAACGCGGTCGTGTCCTCTGTATTCGCGGCAGTGAGCAAGTGCCGCTCGTTTTCCATCACGTCCTGCATCGCTGCCGCCGTCGAGATCACATCCATGGTGCGGGATTGATGGTTCATCGCCACTTCCGCCCATGTTGACCTCAAGCGCTGGAGGAAATAGTCCGCGTCTCTTCGCGGGGACTGGCAAAAAAAGGAGACGAAGCGTTGGTACTGCATGAGGCGTGCCGTCAACGCCTGGATCGCTTCCTGGGACCCTCGACATTGGCGGCGGTCGCGTCCGAGTTCGTACTTGCAGCTTTGTGATTTCCTCGTACACCTCAGGCAGGGCTGTTTGCCGTCACACTTGGCTCGCGCATGTTTGCATCCATCGCAGGCGATGGTGACGTTGGTCCGAGTTCGTTCGCTATTCCTTCGCGCCGAGGCCACGCTGGGAAACGAGGAATCCTTCGTCACCTTTTGTATCCGGGGTAGAAGAGGCCGCTGGCCAGCATTGGGAGATATCGAACCCAGGTGTTGGTTTCGCTTGCCTGAGTGACTTGTGGACGTTGAGTTAGCGGCGGCGTGTCCCGCCGGTAGTGACACAAACATGTTCATGGCATTGGGGCCTGGAGAGTCGATGGTATGGGGGAATAAAACATGGATCTTCTTCGATCAAAGGTCCTTCGGAAGAACGGAAACGACTAGGAGAGGGCAACACTCGCCGACGAAGCGCATTTTATGACAGTTGATGGACGTACCACTTTCTCTCCGGAAACAAGACCCAGGACGCTCGTGGCTAAACAAGGATCAGATAACACAGGTAGCGGAGAGTGGATATATGTGAGTGCCCGGAAATGTGCTTCGACGCCGCTCGGCGCTCAGGCGAGGAGATAGTTCCCGGCACGACTTGAACGTGGTGTTGAAACACTCGGGACGCACTGATTGGTCCTGACCGCCGTCAAGGCACAAGGGGACTGGGCCAGGAGAAGACTTCCGGGCGTGGAGCGGCGAGGGTGATTTCATCCTCATATTAATATGACGTTTGGTAAACATGGTTTAGCTTGGTATGGGATGGCACGGGTCATGATCTGGGTCTGTCCGTTCTCAAGACGAGGTTGGGGCTGCTCAAACGGATCTGCCTTCCAGAGCAATTGATGGCCAAAAGCCCCAAGGGTTGTGAAATTGATTCCGGTATTCAAGAAGGATGCGCAAGGTTATGATGCTAGTCCTTATACAGTATAGTGCACAGGACCCAGGTCCGGTTCAAGTCTAGCCTTGCTTTGTTTGCAGCTATTAGTCAGGGTCTCCATCCAATAACTGCCCCTGTATCCACATTTACGGAACCACTATCGCAGCCTCTAACCTCTTTCCAGTTAGGAGTCCTTGACAACTGGTTCTCTAGCGCCATGGGCCCATCCCCGGATACATGTCTCCGACTGCAGAAACCTCAAACCAACTTCCCCCTTCGAGGTCTCCAGGCCACATGAGCCAATCATGCTTGGCGGTGGAGTGATACAACACAAAGCCGTTGGTTGAAACTTGACGAGCCCTGCCCAAATGAAGGGTTTTGCGGCCGTCCCCGTCCGGGGGGAAATGGCTCTCTGGTATCGGGAGTGGATGTGCCTCCCATGACCGCATTTGGGACAACACACGTTGCACGTTGTACCGATAAGCGAGTACAATGACTTGGGCGAAGGGCTTGGAATTCAGCCTGGAATGTGGCCTTTACAAGCACCCACAATGAGTGTATCAATCGGAGGTGGGTTGAGGCTGGTCACAGTCAAACGTGAGAGTCTCCTCGGAAGTCAGGCGTCCGTCTCAAGCATCGAATCATTGGCCGTGGAACTTGCTAAGAACAACAACGAGCGACTTACTTGCCTATCTCTGTTTTCTACTCTCTTTGGTGGCAGCAACACGGTCCTTGAGTGACATTCCCACTGCTCACCATGGCCACGATGGTTTCACAGTTGGAGATAACACCAATGCTAGTAAGGCGAACTCGAGCCGGTATTCACGCTCTTTGGATTGGGAGTGATGCGTGAAACTGTTCCTATACTTCTCAGAAGGTAGCCAGGCGATTTCGTCACGAGTCATACCCGTACGACTTCACCATGATGAGGCTGTTACCCACGGCCCCTTCACAGCGGATTCCATCACTGCCTGCCCCTCCTCCTCTTCCTCCTCCTCATATCTCTGTCTATTAATGGTTTGAACTGCCGAACATCACCCAGCATCGACGAACGACGGTAAGAAAACCACGGGAATTCTCAGCAAGAAAGGACTCTGACTAAGTGCCCAAACGAACCATTACCATTCACCATTCAGGCCCCGCGTTCACGAGAAATGGTACCTGACGATCGGCTCACCGCTGAGCAAGCGCTCACCCGGGAGGAATTCGCCGCCTTGACGGTCACATCATCACCCAGTCAGGCTGCCAGTTCAGGGGAGGGCACCTCTATAAAGAGTTCGGCTGAGTCCAGTGACGACGGACGGCCTTTCAGAGCCCAGCCCTCTAGAAATCTCGAGATCACGAAGGACAAGGAAGTCGGCAACATGAGCGAGACTGTGACACAGCACCAAAACCGCCATCTTTGGCTGTCAGCCGAGCCAGAATACGATGTCCCATTTACGACCACCACTACCACCGCCAGCAGGGTCCCCATTCCCAGCAGCGTGTCCGCGCACCACCGCCACTACGACAGCGAAGTCATTATCAGAAGCCCTACGAACATCACCCTCGACGTCACGGTCCGCGTGAGTGGAAAAGCACCCACGCCGGCCCTCAACATCACCCTACCAGCGGGCAAGTGCAGTCTGCTCAGCGACCTCCGGGCGCACATCGCGGCCACGGGCTCCGGCGACGCTTCGACGCTCTGCAGCAACAACGACAAAGACGGATGGCCGCTGGGGAAGCGTCTGCTCCACCTCATCCGCGACCTGCGCAAGGTGACTTTCCGGCTGGAGGAGGACGGGCACATCGCCAAGCTGAACATCACTCGCACCCGGATCGACGCGTCCTGCGTCTTCCCTGAGACCGAATACGAGGCGTGGTATTATCGGAACGTGTTGAGGGGCAAGCAGCGCGTGTACACGGTCGAGGTCAACATTGAAGCTTGACTCCCGCACGAACTGGCTCATGGATCGATAAGGGGACGGGGAGGCGGATTTAAAAGGGTCAAAGTTGTCCTGTCACTCTTGCCCTGATGATTCTTTTCATTCATCGATCTGGACGAGGCCAACTCTTGTCACGCAGGCAGGCACGCAGGCACGCAACAGTCAAGTTCAATCAGACAACATGGACAACGGATGGAAAATCTCGCAGCCTTCCCCTCCTTTCAGTGGGTGAGAAGCAAAGGTCACAGCGGCATTTTGCACGTGCACGGCCGGCTTTCAGCTTTGAGACTGGAACATGTCCCTTTGCTACCATTTGTTTGTAGAGAGTTGCTTTCGAGATAGAAAAGCAGTTACACACGGTAAGAGAAGAAAAAGAAAGGTATCGAGAAAAACAATTGCCCTGCAGATTCATGTCCCTCTGGCTGATTGACTGACTGATTGAGTGACCGACCGAATAACTGCCTACCTTAGAAAGAAAGCAGAGTGCATGCATGGATCTCAGTGGATGGATACTCCGTTGAGAGCCTACATATTCACATACATACATATACGAGGATGGAATGAGGGGGAAGAGAGGGACACGAGATCCATAAGCTTACCAGGTGTGAGTAAACAATACCATTGTGACCATTGCCATTGCCATCACCATCACCATCACCAATGCCCTGTCATCAGATCGGCCGGATCGACAATATTTCCCGTTGGCAAAAATCCCAGTTCCTTGATTCCGTCCCTCCCTAGAGGCCGCGAGATGGCACGCCGTAGGTATTTCCATTCGCGGCACTGCGATTCCCCAATGGGCGTCTCACACTCACACAGTCAGTCAGTCAGTCAGTGATTTAGTGATTGAGTGAGTGAGTGAGTGAGCGAGCGAGTTGACCAGGGCACGGACGCGCTTTCACGCCTATGCTGCACCGACCCCCTTCCCTCCCCCCAACCTCTCCCGTGACTGGCCCGTCATGCGTGGTACATCCATGCCTGCACGACGATGGGGGATCTTCTTATGGCCCTGGCCCTGTTCTGTCCGAACGACAAAAGAGCGGACAGTGGCTGTTGTCAGCCCCGTGGGTGGACACTTCTACCCCCCAGCCAGTTGGACTTGCTGGGGACGACGACGTAAGGGGAGGGGACTGCTTCAAAGGAGGGGGGAGGGAGAGTGCGTCAGTTCGCTCTCGGTCCTCTGTCTGTCCTGCTGTGTGGTACTCACTCGAGATCATTCCCATTGTCTCAGGACGATGATATGTTCTCCGCCATTCAAACCTAACCCTCCCCGGGCCACCAAGAAAACTGGGAGATGTGTATTCGTACCCGACACCTCCAGACCCTCAGGATCCAAGGACGGAGTGAGATCGCACTCCCCTCCTCCTGTCCGCTTTCATGATGACGCCTAATCCGAGATCTCCCTGTCGAATAAATAGAGGGTAGAGGGAGGAAGAAAAAAACAAAGGGTGGGGGGAGGGGCCTCCCTAGGAAGGGTGAGAGGCTGCCGTCGGGGTTGCACGAGCTTATGCATGTATGTGTCGTGTCCTGGCGCGGAAGAAGGATTCTTTGGACGGACGGTAAAATCCATTCGACGAACACTCAAAACCGTAATTACTTATAATGTGATCTGGTGAGACACGATGAGCTAAATACCTGTGCAGCTGGGCACACCTGAATAATGTTCGATCTCTGGGTCACCATCGTAAAAATGCCCTGCTGCCAGAGTAGGTGTACCGAGTACCACGTACCACGTACACCAACCACCTTCACGAGAGCCAACAATGCCATGGCCTGGACCATGTATCCACAGGGAGGCGAACTTTACACAAGGACGGATGCGTGAGAGGAGGCAAGCAGGGCCTTAAAAGCCAGATATGATTGCAAGTAAAGTGCGCAGTTGGCTTCCGTTCACCTAAACCATACGGGAAACGCTCTGTGTGCTGTCCTTTGGGTTCATCATGACCATCTCCAATACCGTCCAGCTCCAGCATGCTAAAAGACCAAACCTCATCTCCCAATTTTCGCCTATATAGTGAGACGGAAATAGCACCCAAAAATCAGAGTGCTTCGGGTCTGGCTTCCTTTAGTCGAGTCCAAAGCAGATCATCTGGCTAGCAGATGGCAAAGGACTAGCATCATCACATGTGTTCCCAACTGTCGATCCCACTGTGACCTTTGCAGCGTCTTTCTTCAGTCTCGTATCTGCAACACCATTCAGTCTGCCTTTGGCCAGTGCCGGCCTAGATTGATGCGTGTCCACCACTTATGCCATTCGCCACTCGCCACTCTTCTTCCAAACCGCTTCCCCCTGAACAGATAATGCAAAGGAAAGCGAACGCCGCAAAGGATGTACGTGTCTGATGCCGAAGCAATTGCGATCGAGAGTGCGAAGTTGTTTGCATAAAAGGCTTATCGCTAGTCTTTTATTGTGTAAATCAAAAGACGCCAAACCCCAGTGTCCTGTGTGTCCTGATTACCCATGTGCATGTGCATTTGTACCAAAATCAGTCTGAAAATGCCACTCCAAGTACATTACGGCACAGGCAAAGAGAGGGAACGGGCGCATGTGTGGAGGCTGTGGCTGTGGCTGTCCTCTCCATTACCGGAAATAATTGGCACTTGGACGGTATCTGTAGCTTTTCGTACCATCTGCACGCGTGTAGATCAATGCGTCGGCGAACAATTCTGCGTCTTCATCGTCATCGTCGTCGCCACCCACATCCGGTTCGATGATGTCGGTGCCGCTCGGAGGAGGCGGCGGTGGACAGAGTTTAGATGGCAGGCCAGGTCGAGCTCCATCTTTCAGAGAGGCATCTTGGCTGTAAGATCCAGGGCTGAAGGACCGTTTGGTAGCAGCCAGTGTGGGCACATTGTATCTAGGACCGAGTGAATCTGGTTTTGGGACACTCGCACTGGGGAATCTGAGCGGGGGCAGCGTAAGACTACTCTCGGTATCTGGAGTCATGGGCCGTGGAGCCGAAGACTGGTTCACCGGTGCTGCGACAGGCTGCGTAGGTCTAGGAGTTGGCATGGTGAATGACGGCTGCGGCCGAGTCTCAAATGACGGCCTTCGAGCTGCAGACGGATTGTATGTAGGTGGTGGAGGCATCGACGTGGTTGGCACAGGTAACGCCGCGCTGCGTGCTCCTGTTGTCGAATTTGCCGAGTTCAAGAAATATTCCCGACTGGCAGCATCTTGGCGAGCCCAGAGGACTTCGGCGGGGTCCCGAGTCTGAGCATCGATCTCGTGCTGAGTGCCAATGCTGTTGCGGCTGACAGATCTGGAGTGGTCGAGGTTGCGGTAATTAGGCTGGGGAGTCCCCTGGTATGAACTCGGGGCATCGTCGCCATCGGCACCGGACTTCTGACGTCGCTTTCGTTGCCGGACGTCTCTTCGGATCCGAACTCGGCAACCCTGGTCGGCTACCATCATGCTGAGAGCCGTGCTTTGATTGAGCCCTGGGAATTTCTTGGCACTGTAGACCTGAAACGGAGTTGACAAAACTTCCATGCGATTGAAGACACCTTCGTGACGCACGGGCGCGGTCAAGGTATCGCAATCTCTCTCCGTGCGGACAAACGGCTTTCCAAGGTCGGCGTCGAGATCATGTTTGACCCCCTCAAAGAGTGAGAACCTGAGTCGATACCAGCCCTCGTGCCTGACAGACAGGTCTGGAAAAATGAAATAGGCCGCCCGTTTTGGTTTCTCGAGATATGCGGCACTGGCTATAGTGACGCCGGCCAATACGGGGATCGCGGGAGGTACGTGCATTTTCCCGCCAGCGATTGGCCGAGCAACTTCCAAGCTCGCATACAGCATGAATGTCGCGTCGTACTGCATTGTGGTGTCGACATCGTTAATGAAGACCTTGAGCTCGACCACCGGCGGCGGGTCGACCGGCCTCCGGTCATTTGATGCTTTTTGCATGTCAGCAGAAACAGAAATACTCATGGGGCTATGCAGAGAACGTACAGCGAGGACCAGATCCACATGCTCGCGCCTTTTCTGGCTGTTGTACGACCTCCAGCGAATATCTGATGCGCCTCCTGTCTATCGTGTATCGAGTGACGCTACTCTTGGTCTCGTTAGACGGTTGCTGCATGTTGTAGGATATCCCACAAATATTGTACGTTCGAATAGGCAGGCCGTCGAGGTAAAGAACTGAAAGTCCCGGGACGAAGAGGCCCGGTATGAAAGGACGTGGTTGAGGGAGGAGCCGACGTAGAGTGTTGATATCAAAGTCGTGTCCTAAGCAGTCCTTGAGTGCTGGCAGGTCTTGATTCGGATCCCGGCCAGTCGCCGGCGTGTCAACTGGTGATTGCTGGTCCTGCCCCTGTTGGTCCCGGGCACTATCCATATTGATGGCGTTAGCGGCATCTCTACCAGCAGTGGCAGCCATGATATGGGAACGAGACGGATTCTATGAACAGAAAGGATACAAGAGAGAGGTAGACAATGCAAAACGACTCCGGGGCTCTGGAGGGCGGACAAAGCATCGAGGATGAATTGGAACCCAACCTCGCAAAATCGCTATTTTGAGTCCGACTTGTCCTTCTCAAAGCTCTCCTTCCCGTCCGGTAGCTCCAGACGCATTTGGTAGACCCAGAAAGCCGGCGGCCGATCAATCACTCCCACGGGCAAGAACACGAACAAGGACCATGGGGAAAGCACTCACCAGAATGCAAATGTCCACCGTGCTTTGGCCACACCAAAAATATCACACGACTCGTTGTTGGCTGGGCTTGTGCAATGACCGGTCCACGAGGACGTCCGAATCTATAACTTTTCTTTTTTTGAGACCAACCAAGAGGCCAAGCCGATGATGTTTCCGGACCACAAGCACTCAAAGTCTGGGTAGCGACAAATGTAGGCAGCCAGAAGCTTAAGTTTTCCGTTATTTGTTGCGCCGTTGAATCCAAAATATTCTCGGTTTCTTCGCCCCCAGAGTCAAGGTAGTGGATGACCTTATCAGCGTGAGCCGTTCCCTGGTGATGTTCCCCAACAATGGTCGATCGCTGGGATTGGGACTTGGTCGCGGACGCGAGTGTGTCTCGGGATAAAATAGCGATAGAGGGATGTAGGGTTTTTGAAGGAGCCAGAGGACCGGGATGGTTCTCGGTCGCTGATTGAGCCGGCACTGTCACGAGCAGGTGTGTAGCGGGTATAGACAACAAATATCCTTTGCCCTGCTGGACCCTCCAATGGCCCAAGGACCGAAGAAGACCTAATGCAAGAAGAGTTCGAGGGTTACAGGGAGTGGGAGGGCAGAGTCAGAGCAATGACTTTGGCCGTCACCCTGCCGATGAAGTGAGCGACAGCGAGGGTAGGAATGAGGCAGAAGAGCTGTGAGGAGGAGTGGGAGAGACTGGGAAGAAGAGGTGCAGCTGGAGATGCAGCGACGTCGCAGCCGGGGAGCCAGGAAAGCCACAGCGCCAGCAAAAATCTGGAAAAGCGGCACCGACAAGCACCAGACGCCAGGACCATGCGCCGGCAACAGCACCAGCATGGTAGGCGAAGCAGCCCAGCGGGCCAGCGGGCGGGCCAGAGACAGGAGGCTATCCCTGGTAGTGCCTTTGGCTTTGGGACTAGCCTTTGGGCGAGGGGCTTCCCCACCGCTCGTACGCCTAACAGGTCAGAATCATGGGCCTCCCACTACTAACTGCCAGGCCATTCCGTTCGGGACTTTGAAGCGGGCCCGATACCCACCTCGAGCTACGATGCTCAATCTTCCTCCGTGAGTCGGCCTCCCCCTCATCTTTGCTTACTGCTGCCAACCCGGTTGTACCACCGACAGGAAAACTCAGGGCATGGATTTGAACCTGCACAGGCACTTCCTGGTCGGCCCATTGGCACCCTCTCAGGGGATGGATGGTGTGGTGGGTGGGTTTCTGTTGTCTATCTAATGGCTAGTGCTAGGCGATCATGCTCGTACTCGCTACTTATTGCTAGTCTGGACTCTTGGAGTGCGGGCTAAATTGCGCACGTTCCCTCGCCCTTGTCCCAGTGCATGGCCGCCATGAACGCTTTGGGGAAAACCCGCTCTGCACTTGACACCCCCTTCGTGCATTCGGTCGGTTATCATCCCCGTCGTGTGGGCCGAACGAGGAGGTTGATTGGAGCTTGAGGGAGGATCCCGTGCAGACAGAAAAGAGGGCTACGAGGTGAGGTTCAGCCGCTAATCGTTGCCAGCCTACCGTATGGCTGCATTGCATTACAGCAAAATTTTTGCGAAAGCGAAAGGAGCATGTTGTGGTTGTGTGAGCCTGTCTCGCCACCACAGCCTCCAGGTGGTGTGGACCTTGTAAAATACGATTTATGGGGTAGGTGAGTATGTATGCATGGATGTACCTGTGTTTGGCGTGTTTCTTTCTACACAGTACAGATGGATTGATGGATAACAAGCAGATTCCGGCAGGATGATTCGGACAGCTGAGGATTCGGTCCGTCCGAGAGAAACATGGTTCCAAATGGCAGGGAGTGGACTGATGCACAGGCCAAGGGCTCGTGTGTTAGGGAGCACGCTCTGGTCTTCTTTTGGCGTGGTTTTGACACTTGATATCGCCTGCCCCGGTGCCCATGATGGATCATGAGCTCCCAAGCATCCCTGCAAAATTGCAACCCAGATTCGTGCGAGCCCGGGTTGTTGACCCTCCCCGGCATCTGCTCGTCGCCAGCGGCGGAAAAAGCCAAACCAGCCAGATGCCCCGTCGCACACGTGCCACTCTAGCAAGGGGACTTTTGTGTGACCCGAATCTGTCACAGATTTTGCACGGTGGACTCCTAAGCTCCTAACGAGTACAGACTGCCTGCACCCACCCTCTCCGAATCTGTCTTGGGTGGTTCTGTCCAGAGCTGGCCGAAGCGGTCGCGAGTTTGTGCAATACTGGAGGGGAAAAAGGTTCTTGAGGCAGGTGACGTGTGGGATCATGCATGCCTCCAGCGAGAGAATTTCCATGCTTCAGTGGCTTTGGCAGGTTTCAGCAAGCCTCCTCAACGTGGTTGACAGGGTGTCCCAGGGACATGGCCGCGGGAAAGGGCGATAGATTGCAGGGACAAACAAACTGGTTATCCGAGGGAGGCCCAAAAGAACAGCCAGAAGAATGGGGATGACAGGCACTGGAGGCATGCCTAGTGAGTCCCCAAGAATGCTAATAATGGCCAAAGTCTCCGGGCGCTGCGGGCAGTCCAGTCCCCCCCGCGCACCTGAACCCGAAACCTTGGAGGGCTCCCGAGTATCGAGTTTCGGACATTGAGCTGCACTCTGGCCAAGAGATCAACGACCCTTGAACGGCAACGACCGGGGAGAGGCGGGAACATGGCTCTTTCTGTTCTGGTGCCCACAGTGGCTCTGATCCTTCGCTGCAACACCAGACCGATGGCTGGGGGCCATGCCCGTGCTAGTGTCCCGTCTCCACCGTGCTCCGGGGCAGCAGCCACCGAGAGACCTGGAGTTCGGAACGGCAGCCAGCAGGGAGGGCGTTTTAGGTCTAGACCTCCCAGTCTCGTCTTGGATTCGAAAAGCAAATGCGAGTGGTCGGAGGCTGGAGCTTGCCGGGGGTGGTTTGACGGCTCCTCCCCCGTGCATTCAAGCGATGGTCTAGTGAGTCAGGAGAGGAAACGGTTGGTGACTGTGTCCTGTTAGCGGTGCATAAGTGCACCTTGATCGGTGCACTACTCCGTCCCCTGCTCAGACCTCCCACTTGCACGCAGGGTCATCTTTCGAAAAGGCCCATACGCTGAGCAGAGATCAAGAAGCACGCCTTTTCGAGGCCCCTGAAGCAATTCCACACGCCCAAGGCGACGGACTGGGAACTGATTAAATTATCGCGTGTCAAGCAGAAGCCTGGATTGCCTCGCTTACGGAAGTGGACGCACATGGAGTCCGGAAGTCCATAAGTCCTCCGTACATAGGTACCGTAAGAGCGTGGACATCAATCCGCCCGGTACGAAGATGGAGAAGATCGAAATGTTGGGGATTTGTGGATTTGTAGAAACGCCTGCTACACGGTCCAATCCAACCAACAGCCCAGACAGAGTTCTGATTTCCACCTCTCAAATGGGCTTCCATTATTCGTCCCACTCATTTGAAGTGGCTGCTCTCAGCGAGACAGGCCAACAAGCTAATCGGTGTCAATGCAACCACTACACCCAAGAAAAATTGGTCTTCTTTCAAACCGAGCAGCGGCATAGGAGATCAACTACAAGCTAAGCGATTCGAATGGTTATCCCCGCTCCCTTCTGGTACCTGCGTCATATGTACAAAGTACCCAGCACTTGGCAGAGAATCGTTTCCAATGGGTGCTCGTGGGCTCAGGATTCAGGGGAGTCAGCAGCAACATCCACATGTGACATGAGCCTCGATTTGGGCGGCCAACCAGGTTGACAAGTAAGCTGCCGCCGTATTATTCCACGCTTTTGACAGCCCTTCGCCGTTACACCCAAGTCGCCCCTCTGGGTCGGTTCAAGGAATGCCTTCCTCGGCCAGAACTGCAATGACTGGTGCAGGAATTCTCCGCGAGACTCAATAGTCCGGGCTGAGCCTGGACGAATCACAGCGAACGAACATGCTTCTGGAATAACTCCTCGGATTCTGGAATCAACACAGACGGCAAGTCTGAGGATGTGGAAGCGTCATACGCAGTCTCAACCTGGGCATCCCATGACGCCAAAATACTCGATGATTGGATCGTCGCCCCGTCCCTGCTTCCCAGGCGCAATCTGTCATTTGACCAGAAGAGCAGAGATTGGTTGAGTGGACGAGATTGACGGTCATCCATGCGGCCTTGTGACGCTTGCTGATCACCATTTGTGGGTGTCCTGCAACACGACACAGGTTTCTTCACGACGGTTAGCGGAAAGCGATCGTCCTTTGCGGGAGTCGCCTCCCACGGTGGCAGCAACATGTTTCAACGTCAGCACAATTTCATATCCAACCCTCCCACCGAACTTTGATCCGCGAAAGATCAGGCGTGTCCAAATGATTCGTCGATGCCGTTGAACCACTGAACCTACGGTGACTGTTCGTTCCCACAACTTTCAGGGTAAGAACGCGAGGCCTCACAATTCAGGGACTCGCTGCCGCCGCCATGTCATATTCAACATCCGAATTTGACATACGGCTGGCTGCGTCGCGGAGCGGATACAACCTCATTTCAACCCGGTATTGCTGCCTGCGCCCACGGTCCCGGTCTGTACCACTGGAGTCTGAACCCTCCTGCAACACCAAAACGCCCCCTTTTTGAGAAATCCAGGTGGACTACAGCGTCCTCTTTTTAAGGCCCCAGCGGCTCGAAGTCAAAATTTGAAAGATAGAACGGGAGATGCCTTTGACAAAGTTCGATGGGGGCATCAAGAGACTATCGTAGCGGTTGTCGACGACGCTTGGTCTCCGTACTGACGCATGGCTTCTCGAGGACAGATACCATGTAGCAGGACTTTCCATAGGCTGGTCCACATACTCGCTGTCCACCTAGTCCTGCCTTCTACGAGGTAATTACGCAGGACTCGGCACTGCTTTTGGTTTTCACGTAAACGAAGCGAGACTCCTATTCCCAAAAGGGCATATCTACACGGGGCTCAACCGGTCCAGGATCCCAAGTTGAGAACTGGGTCTAAACGCCTCTGAAACTACTCGTATCCCAAGTCGAGGTGAAGAAGGAAACGACTCGCCTGAGGGCCCTCCCTAAACTGAAGGGGGCAATGTTTACGTTTGGCGGGTTGTCCTGACTGATTGCTTTCTGGACATCAGATCATTGACTAGTAACCCGTGTCCGGTGCCAAGTGCCTTGATTGATTCGACTTTACATTCACGAGGAGCAAAGAGCAAGGATTTCTAGACCATCTGATATTGCTACTTCCTTCAGTGTGTCAGACCCCATGGCAGGTGACAGGACAGGATCAATCCTGAGCAAACACCTCCAAGTATGGTGGCGTCCTCGACACTCACGTCCTGTGCCGAAATTTGTCCCAAGGAACGATATTTCCACAGCATCCTCCTTCCGACACAGGGGCTGGCGAGGGGTGCGTTCCTGTCCTCTGCAAGATCTTCCTCATTTCTCTATCAAGGATTCCGTCGGCTCACTACACGCATCGCCCGCCGTCCACTTCCAAATTAACGCCGGTGATGAACTCAGCCTCGTCGCTAGCAAGATAGCAGCACGCGTTTGCCACGTCTTTCGGCGTACTGCCTCGTCCGAGTGGGATGGTCGATACAAAGCCCTTGCGGTTCTCTTCGGTGTCTGGCTTTCCAATGAAAAGATGTGTCCTATCAGAGTCACAAAGTCAATATGAGAAAACACTTGTTTAGACGGAGAGACCCACAATCCGGTACTGCCCACCACAGGACAAACTGAATTAAAGCGAATATTCTTGGGTCCATATTCGACCGCCATGGTTTTGGTTGCATTCGACACAGCTGCTTTCGAGGCATTGTACCAGGTCAAGCCAGGCCGCGGCCTGATTCCCGCCGTCGAGGCAATCTGGATAAAGCAACCCGGTCGATTTTGCTCCAAAAAGTAAGGGAGCAGCACACTGCTCGACAGGTAAATGCTTTTGACGTTGACGTTGAAGCACAAATCGAACTCGTCGTCCGTGACGGTCTCGGTGGGTTTGTTCTTATAAGTGGTGCCGGCGTTATTGACGATGATGTCCAGACCACCATAGGCATCGATGGCTTTCTTGCGGAGCGCCTCCCAATCCGACCGTTTCGTGACATCGGCGACCAAGAATTCGCAGCCGAGAGACTGGGCGACTTTGGTGCCGTTCTGCTCGGACAAGTCACAGATAAGCACCTTTGCGCCTTCTTGGATGAACTTGGTCGCGATCCCAGCACCAAAGCCCGAACCCCCACCGGTCACTATGGCGATTTTCCCTTCCAGACGGCCAACCATCTTGATGTTCTTTGGGACTGAGACTGGGTTCGAAACTTGAACAGCGGAGCAGAGAGACTTGCTAATGACAGGAGATCTGAAGCACTTGGGAGAGAAACCTTACTGGTAAGAGCAAGTCGGAGAGGGGCGAAGGAAGCAAGCATTCATATACTCTGTGTCCCTCGGCGTGAACCCCCGGTAATAATACCGCGCAGCCTCGTCCCCCCCCTCAGCGGGGGTTTTTGAGGATGGTGGTACGGTCCGGTTCTCCATATCTCATTTTGTGCTCCGTGGGTAATTATCTAGCGAGCTAGGTATGGAGAATTATGTGTGTTGGTCCAGTGCTTCCAAGCCTCTCCCCGCATGTTGTACACAAGAGTCATTGGGTGGCGTGAGACAATTCTTCGTCGGGAAACTCATCCGATGGGCGGGAAGGGGTGCAGTATCAGCCTCGATTCGTCGAGATCATAAATTGAACCACGAGTGTGGCAGAAGGCTGCACAGAAAGATAACGTTGCACACGTCACTCACTCCTGTCAATTGCTCCGACGCAAACAGCGAAGAAATGCTGGAGGGGAAAAGATATGAGAAGGAAAGAAATGGGGGATACTGATCGAATATTATTTATTTAGACAGCAGTGACATCAGACCCCGAACACGGCAGCTATGTCCATGGATATCTATGAATTGTCGTTCACTTCGTTTGCATCTGTCTCTCCTTCCAGCTTCAGACGTTCAGATTCATCTCCTCGCAAAATCAATCCATCATACAGTGCTCAACCATGAGTCAAAGCCAGGTTGTCGGCCCAGGCCTATCTGGACTCGCCTCATGGGCGCTCCAGTTCAGCCCAACCGCCTGGCTCAAGTCGTGGCTCTTGTATCTGGGGATCCAGACGCATGTTCGAGGAACGACAGAGCCCGAAATGAAGCCATTGCACAATATCTGCGAATACCTTCACGCCCTTCACATCTACACGGATGAGGCTCGACGGGGGGTGGTGAGGACTGTTTCAGCGCATCACTTTTGCTCGCACGTCAGCAAAGGTGAGCGGACGGGTTCCTCCCTGAACATGAACACAGGCTAATCTCCTGACAGATCTGCGACAGTGCCTCATCTACGACTCGTGCAAGCCCGGAGCGAGACTCATCGGTGTGGAGTTCATGATCCCCAAGGCCCGCTACGAGGCTCTCGACCCGGAGGAACAGAAATACTGGCACTCGCACGAGTTCGAAGTCAAGTCCGGCATGCTGGTCCTCCCTTACCCCGAGTCTCACAAGCGCCGGAAGGACAAGTGGGACGAGCTGGAGACCAAGGCGATGGAAGAGGTCGTCACGCTCTACGGCAAACTGTATCATTTCTGGCAGGTCGACAGAGGGGACGAACTGCCATTGGGGCCCCCGACACTCATGGGCTCTTTGACCGAGTCGACACAGCTCGACGTGGACGTGGCGATGAAGGAGAGAAACGAGGAGTTGGGGATCGACCAGCTGGGGAAGCGCCAGCTGAGAGAGAACATCAGACGCCCGGGGATCTCGGAGAATGCAGACAGCTGGTGGAAAGAGGCTCAGCAGAAGAGAGTCGGCATCTATGCTTCGTGAACGAGGCGCATCACTTGAGGGAGGCTGTTGACGACACTGGCATTTCCCGTAATACATATGATGACTTGGTGGGATTTTGGGTGTTTGAAATGACGTACACTTCATCGTCCTGCGCCTCGTCCAATTTCTCTACAAACCACACACACTCGTGACTCACCGCTGGGACTGGTCCAGTGGCCGTTCACTTCTTTGCTTCTTTGGGTTCTCTGCAGGCAGGGCCCTCAACAGGTCGAGTGTGGCCCATATTTGTTTTTTCCACGAACGGAGCAGCCAGAACCGCTTAGTATCATTCCACCGCCCACCAGGTCGTCAATCTTGATCCATTTCTTACCACTCACTCTACGTTTTTCTCTGCCCAACATCTGCTCGTCCAAATATGTTCAAGAAGAAGCCCCAGATCAAGAACCTTTCGCCCCTCCGGTCCTCTGACCGCCGCAAGCTCGCGGACCAGATTATCGCCGACTACAGAATCCATGTGCCCACGCTGGCAGAGATCGATCCCCCCGCGGCCGCCGCAGAGACTACATCCTCGACCCATCATGCTACTCCCGCCCTCACGTCCGTCCGCACGAGCCTTGTTCCCGAGACGTGCCTCTCTGCACGCTTCACGACTCACGCCGGACCCAACGCAACGTTAGTCTCGGGGACGGTGTATGTGGGCGCACATCCTGGACAGGAGGAGAGGATCCTGTGGATTCAATATGGCAAAGATGCGAGGCTATACCCCACGGTGTATACACTGTGGCACAACCCGGGCATCGTTCCCTTACTGCACACGCAGGACTTCGTCGTCGAGAAACTCCGCACGGGAGCCGACCTGATGACGCCCGGCTTGGTGGGTGGACCACCGTGGCCCGAGGCGGCGAAACCAGGATCGGTCGTTGCGGTTGCGGGTTTGAAGAAACCCACCGTGCCTCTGTGGGTGGGCACATGCAAGATCGACATCTCGAGTTTGGGCAAGGTGCAGGGAGCCAAGGGTGCCGCGGTCGAGGGCGTCCATTGGGAGGGCGATGAGATTTGGAGCTGGAGCCAGTTTGGGAGTGGAGGCCGAGCTGCCCCGGAGACGATAGACGGATGGGACTTTCCCGCGGGTGACATACAAGATGGAGTGGAAAGGCTGGATCTGGAAGAGAGCGACGACGACGACGACGTGCAAGAGGAAGGCGGTGTGACCCTCGACACTGCAAAGGGGGAGACTGAAAACGGCAACCATGAAGCCCATGGACTAGACGAGACCCAGGCGAACGAAGCAGAGCCAGAAGCAGAGCCAGAACGGGAACCCTCGACCGCCGAAGTGGACGAAGCATTTGTCCAGGCGTTTCTCTATGCCCTCTACGACGCCAAAAAGGCCGCCGACCCGCCTCATCACGGGCTTGACTTTCCCATCCAGCCATCTTTTGTGATATCCAACATGATCCAACCGCATCTCCGCGTCCAGAACCCGCATTACACCATCAAGAAGACCTCTTGGAAAACCACCAAAAAGTTCATCAAGTACCTCGAAAAGCAGGTGCTCGTCAAGTCCAAAGACCGCAACGGCGGCGAGACGGTCATTCTCGACGTCGACTTCGCTGACCACCGCGTCGTCAACTTCCAGCCGTACGCGCTGCCGAAGCCGAAAGCCCAGCAGACGTCAGGAGGCGGCGCAGACGCCACGCAGCCGTCGGCCAGCGGCGGCGGCGCCGATCCCTCTCTCGGGCAGAAACTCACCCTGCAGACGGTCTACCGGGCCTCCAGCAAGCTGGTCCCGGACCTGATCCCTTCCAAGACCACGTACTACACGTCGGCGCAGATCGCGTCGTTCCTGAAGAAGTACATCGAGAACGAGCCCGCGCTGACCGCCAACACCTCGTCGCCGCGCTTCGTCAAGCTCGACCCCTTCATCGCCAACAACATCCTCGGCTCGAACCCCACCGGCAGCGACACGCGCGTCCTGGCCGCCGGCGAGATCGCGCGCGACGCCCTGCTCAAACGCATCCTGGACGACTCCCACCTCTGCATCCCACACTGGCTCCTGCTCCGGAACGCGCAGACCTACGACCCCGACGCGCCCGACCTGCCGAAGCCCCGCCCCGGCCCGCCGCCGCAGGTCAGCATCGTGGTCGAGAAACGCTCGGGCACCAAGGTCGTGACCAAGATCTCGGGCCTGGAGGTCTTCGGCATCAACCCGCACATCCTGGGGCCCGAGCTGCAGAGGAAATGCGCCGGCTCCGCCAGCGTCGGCCAGCTGGTCGGCGGGAAGCCCGGCGTCATGGAGATCCTCGTGCAGGGCGACCAGCGGGACGTGGTGGAGAAGGAGATGGGCCGCCGCGGCGTGGATCGGAGGTGGGTGGCCGTGGAGGACAAGACGAAAAAGAAGAAGAAATAGAGAGGGAGAGACAGCAGCATGACGACTCGAATGTGATGACGGACGAGTCTTGTGATGGCGAATCGAATCGAGTCGAATGAAATCAGTGAACGAACCATCAATCAAATGACAGCTGTTATTGCTCGAATAGATGCGTCGTAACAGAGTCAGTGAGAGAGTGGAGTGGGAGTCTGTGCTGAGGATACAACATATGTATGTATCATGCACCATGTCGTCCTCGTCCTTGGCTCCTCTCCTGGCTCTGTCTCCCAGCTGGTCATTAGTCTCTCTCTCCATTAGTCTGTAGTCTCCCTGCCCGCCCTCCTACGGCTTGACGGCCAAAGAGTCGAGTCGAGTGTCTCCCACCCTGCCTTTTTCCGTCTTGCCGGAGCTATTGAGCATGTAAAAATATGGATACAGTCACACGGATGCGCGAGCAGATAGATGAATCTGGCCCCGGAGAGAAAAGAAAAAGAAAAAGCATTGACGTGATATGGCTGTATATGACGCACTACTCATAGTGAGAAGGAGAAACCGAGCAGCAGAGGCGGGCTGCGATGGGTCAATGGCTCAGAGGTGCATTGTTGTCAATGCTTGTAGTTAGAATGGACGAAGAGGGCACCAAAAAAGCCAAGCAGTCCCGGACAGGGTAGAGGAGAACAAAAGCGCTGAACGGAGAAATCATATTAACGTGGTTAAGCCTAGTCAACGCCTGTCTCATGCAGACTTATCCAAAGTTCCTGACACCCCCAACAAACAACGACACTGGTCACCGGTGTCCCCGAACTGTGCAAGCATATAAATGTTGTACTAAACCACCCAGAAAGATTGCACCATTCCTGCAAACCCTGAACCCTAACGCAACGGGTGTGCAAAGTGGTTGCTTGCCCCAAAGAAGCGGCCGAAAGAATTGTGCTGCGTGCTGGCCGAGATGGAAGAAAGTCGATCACAGTGCAACATCGTATTTGTAGCAGAAGGGCCCAGATGTGGTGTTGATGAGTTCTCCCACGGAAATTGGGTCCTCTTGAAAGTATCCCCAATCCGGCAAGATGGTGTCGAGCGTGACATTAGCACTAGGTGGCACGTTGACAGCCGTCTCAGTACCCCAGATGGTATCTGCGATGTCGGGATGGCGGATCTGCCACGAAGTGTACAGATTGTCCAAGAATGCGTGGAGCGACCACCAGATGGGATCCATCACCGAGACGTAGATGGACGACCCCGGAGACCCAACCACGAAGTGAGCCCCGGAGTGCAGTCCCAGCTGACCACCGCCGATCACGCCGTTGATCTGGGTGTCGAACGATTCAATGTCCTCGGCCTCCAAGCATTGGGTGAGCGCAGTTGTGTTGGTATAAGTCTGAGCCACATAAGTGTTCAGGTCCCTAGTAAGACAGCTTTGGTTGAGCTGGAAAGCTGTGTCGGGGAGTGGGAGACCCTGGATGATATAGCTGACGGGAATAGGCTGCATAGTCGTCTGCCAATCGACAAAGGGGCCGGACATGATACAGCCTCCTCCTGACCCGTGAGGAAGCGAAAGACTTGGAGAGAGCACCACGGGGCCACTGTCCACGTATTCGCCGTCACCAGACATGGAATACTCGGATCCGTCAAAGACGGCGCTGCCGTGGAGGTCATCCGCAGTGGCAGGCCAGTTCCAGTAGGGGAATGCACCCTTGTAGCCGCAGGTGTGCTTGAGATCTTCCTCAAACAGGTGGATGAAGTAGCGATGCCAGGTCAGGAAGAAGCCAGAGAGATGGACCTCTCTCGTGCGGTTGACGTGAATGACTGCATAGTCCATGTAGCGATTGGTCGCAGCAGGGTAGAGGGTCTGGTCAAGCTGCGACGGCTTGGTTGCCAGGCACTTGATGGCATCGGTGTAGGCCTTACGGTCGTCCGGAGCCATCGAGTCGAAATCCTTGCGAACCTTGATCTTGTCTGGTGTACATGGGTGGTGACGGGCCTGCTGTCGGGTCGGATGGGCCACGGTCAGGGAAGATATGGCCGCCAGGGCAACAGTTATGGATGACAGGAACATGTTGGCTGTGATGGATAATGGATTGGGATGAACGAGTGTCTATAGCGATTGAACGAAAGTGTACCTGGGATGGAAAAACGAACGAAGTCTGGGACTCTGCCGATCAGATCATACCACAAGAACCAGAGATAGTTAACAAATGGCAACCACGCAGAAGGAAGAAGTAAAAAGAACGGTAGGTGAGCCCGGTCGACAGGGGGCAGGCGACACCTTCTTTTTCATATTTATTCACAGGCACTGCTGGATCGACATCAAGACCAAAACACCCGAAGCTCCGGAAGGAGCAAACATGTGCAGGTGGGCCACTGGATGGAGAGAGGGAAAATCTTGACATGTCCGATGGTGGTCAATATTGTTGTTGCAAGGTGGATACGATGCGATTGTGCGAACATTCACTTCATAGGCCTGAGACAAGAGGGACACGGCATGTTGCGAGCCAAGTGTGAGGATGGATGACGAGTCCACGGCCCAGACGACCATGTTGATGGCTGTGTCGACGGCGGACGACGTTGAAAAGGGGGTGTGGTGGTGAGGTGGTGAGGTGTTGTTGTCCCTTTTTTTCTCCGTCTTTCCATATATAGAAAAGCTTCATCCACAGTCAAGGCGTCATGCATTGCAGCCAAAACATCGGGAGTCAGCGCCATCCGGAATATGATCGTCATCTACATGGAACCTTAGTTTAATTATTCTTTCCCTTTGCATTTATCCATAGCGGACAGGAGGGCCAATGCCAGCTTCAGAAGACACTCGACACTCAACACTCAACTGGACGGGGGATCGGTGCATGGTCGACCATCTGTGTTCAATCATTCAATATTGCTCCGGAGCTTGTTGTCCCAAACAACCCCGCAAACGCCCACCATGATGTCGTCTATGTTTGACGCGTGGTCCGAGTTCGCCAATCGAAGACCAAATCCCTTCCCATTCCAAGTGGACGAGTGGGAGAGAGTTCAATCAACAGCCTCAGGATAGATCCGTGTCCAGACCACTCGTCCGTTCAGAGGATCCATGAGAGTCGCGAAATGAGTTTGTTCGTTGGTCGTTGGATACGCCGAAACCCAGTCGATCACCACGTCTGTTGTGATTGCCAGATTTCGTTCTGCTTGGCTGGGGTCGTTGCCTACTTTTTGGGACTTTCTTTTCGCCTTTCGCAGACAAGCTCTCCATTTCGAGGAGATTGCATCAAGTCTGTCGCGACTTTCTTCAATAATTGCTTCCATTCCAGCTCTCACTGCACAAGCCTTGGCTGAGACTTGCGCCGCCAAAGGAGTGGCTTCGTTCGACGATCCCAACTCTTCTTCATCATTGTTTGTAACGCCGATAAAGGTATTGGATTGTCGGACGACGCCGGTCTCATAATCCTTTTCAATGACTATCGCCGACACACCGTCACAAAACAGCAGGTAAGCCGCCGTGGTGTGACGGGGGATGAGCTCGTCTGAGATCTCTTGCAGAGTCTTGCACTGGTCATCTTCTGGGTCCTCCGGCGTTATATATTCTCGGAGTATGCTTGATATGGACGGGCGGTATCCCAGCAGAACAAGCAGATGATGAAGGTAGAATCTCGCATGGTCGCGTCTACGTGCGGCATTGTGTACACCTCGGAAATTGAGAGAGAGACTCAAGTCTTGACGTACTCCGGTCAAGATGCCAGTAAACCCCACGTAGGTGACGCTTCGAGCGACAATCTCAGCAGGCGTGGCCGATCTGCTTCGAACAAATTCCAGCTGGACGATGATCGACCGGAGAGGATCCATTGACCAGTCTAAAGTGCGGAAATGGAGCATGCGGGCTGCACCTGTGGGCCGACCCGCTTCCAGTGCTTTGACCGCGCCCGAGGTGCAACCCATGAGACAGTCCAAGATAACATTGAAGCTGACAAGCAGGTGCATGGGGAGCCCGGTTACCTGAGCTATGCCACGAAGCTCGGCCGTTTCTGCAGGAGAGTGCAGGCCTCGGAGCAGTAATCGAGCGAGCAGACCAACCGGCCCATGAAAGAACCTGGAGAGGCCAATGTCGGTGAGCAGGCTGTTGAATAAAGCCGTGAGACAAAGCTACTGAGGGAAGTGAACCCATGATGTCGCCGCATAAGTTTATTAAGGTATGTACGCCATCGCTATGGATTTGCGGAATCTCTGCATAATAACTGCTCCGTTGTAGCCCACTTGCCATGCCCATGACTGCGTCTAATTATACATCACCGCTGTGTCCGTGATAATATTTGTGATTTCCTCTCTTGCTTTGAAGCTTTAGGAGTCTAGGTCGTAGGGGTCTGGGTCGTAGGAGTCTCGGTCGTAGGAGTCTCGGTCGTAGGAGTCTGGGTCGAAGGAGTCTGAGTCGTAGGAGTCTGAACAGCAGGATTCGGGTTTCGTAGAATAGTGGCAGCGACGGTACCACCCACTACAACAAATGCCTTCGTATTTATTAGTAAGTAGCATATAGTAAATACGAAGATCACTTACAGCGAAGACCATTCGAATTAAAAATCGATTCTCAAATTTATCCAGTCTTGACCCTATCTCCATAGTGATGTTCTTTTCGAGGTGTGTCATATCTGATCGAAGGTGTGCCATGTCTGATTTGACCTCTGATCGAAGGTGTGCCATGTCTGATTTGACCTCTGATCGAAGGTGTCTGATCTCTGATTCAAGGCTTGCGAATCTCATGTCCGATTTATCAACGAGGCGTGCCATCTCTGATTTCGTCGCCGTCAACTCTTTGTTAAAGTAGTTGAGCTTGTCATCGAGATTTCGGCTGAAGTGAGGGGCAGAGCCGGTGTCCTTATCACCAGAAAGCAAACCTATAGACATGTCAATAGCTTTACGATCGAAGTTGAGTGATATATCTTACGCGCCGTTGCCTGGAAAGTGCGGGCTTGGGATATGTAACATGTAGCTTGTTGAGCAATGCTACGTTGTCCAAGGCGGAAAGTTTGACGCAGCATTTTGAGGATGCTGTCGGAGAGGATTTCGAAGTGGCATCGGGTCAACTGAGGGTGATGGTTGTAAGAGTGAGGGTAGTTGTAAAGGTGAGGGTGAGGAAGGTCATCCCGGTATTTAATGCCAAGACGGCAGGCGGGGTGGTGTATAGGGCAGCATCACCCACGTCCCAAAGAAGGGTGACCTGGGCGTGAAATCACCTTCTCTTGGCGTTGATGACGTCGATGGCCAGATCTCATCTATCGATGATGGGCGCGTGCCTAGCGTGTCACTGGGCGTTTGTGCCGCGTCTGGTCGCGTCTGACAGCGTGAATTCTGAATTCTGAATTCTGAATTCTCTGGCCTCTCCAGCCTCCCATCGTAATCAATGTCTTGCTCACACTCATCTCTGGGAGCTTTGACGAAGATCGAAGTCCGGTTGGGAATGGACACAGAGAACAAACGAGGCAGGAGGCGGGGGAGCAGCATCACCCTTGGACAAATGTCACCTGCAAGAGAAGAGTAGGAGAGGTGAAGGGGCTTTGAATATAGGCCTGATGGGATGAATAGGATTGATGGGCAGGAGCCTCCGTGTCAGGATGGCCACAACCAGGAACTGAGGCTGCTGAGATTGACGACTGCGATGCAATTGAATGTGAAGGAAGAAGCTATCTAAGCGCTTTGCCAGATCTCCCTGCCAGTCCCTCCACCAACACCACCACCACCACCCCAGTTCTTTCAAAGGTGGTCGACCAGTTCATTCCTCATTCCATCATTCCATTGTTCCATCATCTTATCCCGTCCCAGTTCCCTGCTTCCATCTCTACTACCTTACTCCCATCATCTTCGTCGCCATGTGCTTTTCCTGTGGAGGCTGGCCCTGGGCTCACCCTGTTCAACTAGCCGCCGAACCGGTCAAGCAAGAGTACATCTTCCTCGACGAGAACCACGGGTTCTACCCAGACAATCGGCAGGTGCGTTGCAAAGTGAGCTCCAGGTGAAGATCTGGCTCGCCCGAAGCATTCTGAATCCCAACCTCTCGTCCACCTCTCTCCATCTCTTTTGAACTCACCCATCAGACAAACTCTCACATCCTTCTCACTTACTACCTTCCTGTTCACTGCATGCTCTCAGCAGATAAACCATGCCCCATTTCTACACCTACCAAACCCCCAATCCCTCGGCTGTCAACACTCAAGGCTCAGCTGGCTACTGGGAAAACCCGGCAGATTGGCCTCGAACATATCTCTACGTCTCTAACCAAGGAGGTGCACAGGGCATTCATCCACCTGCTCCAGTCTACCAGTCGAACCAACCCTCTCAGCCTGCCATGTACTATTTTCAAGTAAGTTTTCAATTCCTGGGGACGGTGATCAGCATGACCTCACTCACACCTCACCCTAGGGAAGCACGAGTGCCCCAGCTGGCTACTACGTGAATGGCCTCTACTACGGAATGAGCCCTCCTTCTGCCCCAACCGGTTGGCCTTACACCTCCTCTGCATACACTTGCTACAATTTGCCTGCTGCTTCTGCACCGAGCACCCCGTATTATCCGTACAGCTACTCACCATACTATACAGCCCCAAATCCGATTCAATTTCCTATGACTGCGCCATGGTCTCAACCTCCGGGTCCGGCACAAGCCGCCGCTGCGGTCGCCGCCAATGCTGCTCTTGCTGCGATGCCAAACGCACCAGCCTACTTCGTCGGAGCCACTGCTGCGGAGATTCAAGCCCAGAACGCCATATTGCTGGCCAACTTGCAAGCTGCCCAACAGCAACCCACCCAACTGGCACCGTACAAACCTGGAGCAAGCCCGCAATTCTGGTGCAAGGAACTTGATGGAAGTTGGACCTTGAGGGAGTACAACGACGCCTTGAAGGGTGATTTTCCGGCTGGGCATTGGGAAAAGCATGTAACCAGCGGGTATTACTACTATGTTCGACACACTGGTTGAACAACTTCCAAAAAGCTCCAGACAAGGTTGGACACCGGCACTCGATCAGCCACACAAAAACGATGGATTGGCAGGGACATCAACCACAGAACTTGGCTGGCAACCTTGGGAAGAGAGCCAACGGGGGACAGATGTCATCCACGCGCCAGACAGGTCGGTTCGAAGGTCATTGGGAGTGCGCACCTGGAATATCGTGATTGGCGAAGACTTTTTGGCCGCTGGTGCAAGGACTGGAGCTGAAAGTGCATTCATGACGGCTCGGAAAATGGCAGAGCAACTGATCGGTTGAGCTTGAGAGAAACACAGACAGTTCGAGCAGCTGAGACTTGATAATTCATCACAACAGTTTTATTCCTTGCCACTCGACGGTGAATATTTACAAAGTGACTCTCTCTCTCCTCCTCAACATGGGCCCCCCTCTTCTCACAGGCGATTTCACTGCTTGACCCTTCTCAGCGCACTCTCCATCCACAGCTTGGTGTACAACTTGTGCGCGAAGAACATGGTCCCCTGCATGGGCCCCCGATTTTCCCACTTGCCCTCTGTTGGCGTCACAGCAGCAGCACCGGCCTCGCCCTGCCCTGCCTTGGCGTCCGCTGCCGGCCACTCCCCCTCGCCGACGTAGAAGATGCTCTTGAGGCGGAACTCAGCGACGCCCTGGTCGAAGTCGACGTTGGCGCACATCTCGAACAGGCCGTCCGAGGGCCGCGGCGCGTCGGGGTTGTGCAGGGGCGAGTCGCCGCAGCGGATCAGGATGCGCGTGGGCGTCTTGTCCAGCACGACGAAGTGGTCCGTTATCTCCGTGCCGGGTTCATACGTCGACTCGCGCAGCTGCTCCGGCGTCCACAGCTGGTGCGCCGTCGTCGTGTCGTTGCGGTACTTGCGCTGCAGGTACAGGCGCTGGATGGTGTAGCCTGGGTAAATTTCCCCCCCTCGCGCGGCGAGGGGGAGAATTCTCTTCCAGTCTTGGATATGAGGGGGGGTTTGAGAGAGACACTGTGGGAGAGGGTAGAGCAGAGAATGGCAGGGTGACTGCTGGGAGGAGACGTCATGTCCACTTTGATGGGAACTGTCGAAGACAAGTTCCATCACGATCACGGCCAGCAGTGGTGGCCACACAAACGCAGTCTCCCAGACCAAAAGATCCAGGCTTCGCGAAAAGTATAGCCCACGCCGCTTCCTCCAAAATATAGAGAAGAACGACCCCAACAGCCAAGAGGGGCACATATTAGAACGAAAGACAGAAAACCACACCTCCCATAGGGAACCAAAAAGGAACGAAGGGGAAAGAAAAGAAAGAAATACGTACCAGGCCCACCCCACACGCCCCGACAAAACTCCTCGACGAGCTTGGTGCCGCCCCGGCGCGCGTCCTCGAGCAAGTCGGGCCGGATCTTCTGCAGGCCGATGCGGCGCACGCACTCGTCGTAGGTGGTCTCGTGGTTGGCCGGGTTGAAGCGAGAGAACCACGCGCTGCGGAACAGCGGCTCCGTCGCCGGGTTGAACTGCGCCGGCGACGTGAAGTGGCAGTGCTTCGTCCACACGGCGAAGCCGCAGATGGTGGCGAAGGTGCCGATGCCCGCGGCCTGCAGAGACTTGGAGAGCAGGGAGGGGCCCATTTTGTCGGTCGTCTCTTCGCACTGTCTGTCGCTAGATGTCGTTGTCGCTAAGGGGCCGTGACCTCGAATCTCGAATTTCGTGGGGGTGTCACAGGAACTGTGAATGATGAAGAGGACGCGGGAGGAGAGGAAAAAGAATGGACGGTAGAGCAGAGAAGGTGGTCTGCTGCTGCTTCTTCGACGTTACCCAATGCCACTAGCCCCAACGCTCGGTGTAGTAGGCTAATTTGTTGTTGCTGTTTCTATCATGGACATATTGTATCGAGATGGAGGTTGGGGATGCTCTCGGGGAAATGTCCGCGTTCCAATTGCCGAGACACCGAACAGGAGGAGCCGCCATTCCGCTCCGCTCCTAATAACATGTATTAAGTACATAGCATGGGTGGCACCATATTCAGATCTCTGTTGTAATATCCGCCGTGGCACAGATCAGGCTTGCAGAAGCATATCAAGGTGACACCCACGCATCATTCGGCCACCAACGACCACTATTCAAAGTCCTGTAGATGCCCACTATCAATACAGCAGCACCGGCGTAGGAACTGGAGGCTTGCCCACCCTCCCCGACAGCTCGCTTTTACAGTTGCCTTGTGTTGCCATCTTCTCAATGCAGGCCGCCAGCGTCGCCAGTCTAGCCTGAGACAGTGTGGTCGCAAGGCACCCTCTCGCGTTCGTCAAGCTCATCTCTTGCGTTTCCTCGCGGCTTTGTCCTCGTCCTCCAAGCCACCTCTCCTATCGTCCTTCTTAGCCTTTTTCTCCATTTCATCCCAGTCATCGCCTTCGTCAGACAATCCACTCTCCGCTTCTCCTTCATCATCACTTGCACTCGCGTCGTCGTCAAAATCGCTCTCGTCGTCACTCTCCGACTCACTGGCCGCCAATTCCGAGTCGCTCATCTCAAACGCACTTTCCTCTTCCGACTCCTCTTGATCTTCATCATCGGACTCGGTCGCCAGGAAATTCCAGCCGCCGTCTTTGAAGAATTGATGGGGGTCGGTCGTCACCGTCTTCATAATCGTACTCCAGTTGAGGTTGAGAGGACCCTCGGTGTACGCAATGTCCACGCTGTCCAACCATTCTTTCACTCGATCGAGCGACTCAACGGGAATCGTGTTGATATGCGTGGGCGGGCGGTGGAAGTCCTTGTAGACAAAGACGAGGTCGAAGTTCTTGAGTCCAAACTGCGCGCGTGGCATTAGCACCGCCCCCGAATCTTCAGGCCACGGGTCAGACTTACCTGTATCCGCTCCAGATGAGCAACCTCAATCTCATCCAATGTGATGACTGTGAAGGGTGGTTCCGTCAATTGAACCAATGCATCGGTCGTCGGCGCCATCAGCACATTGCTCCGGTTCGGGACACCGTTGAAACTAAGCTCCCGGAATGGAATATCAACCGTGACATTGTAGTCCCTGGCTTGGTCCGAGATCTTTTCTGCGAAACTCTTGAAGAGCCGGTCGAGCTCGGCTCGTCGTCGTCGTTCTTCTTGTTCTTGCTCAAACTCCTCTTCGTCGCCATATCGATGCTTCCGCTTGCGGTTGCCCGTCTCGTCGAACGCCATATCGGTGGCTTCGCGGTAGAACTGGACATCTCTCGTCTTGCGTTTGCCGATGATGATAGGGTTTTTGAGATGGACGTGGATCAGCACAATCAGTTCACCCACGCAAGGTTGGAAGAACAAGTGCTTGACATTGGAAAAGACCACGTCGACATGCTCTTGACGGAGGGGAGATGAGTACCGGAGACCATTCTGATGGATTTCGACCTCGCCCGGGACTCGCTTGCCATCCTGCGCAGGTCGAAGATAGACATCTGTCAACTTGATAGGCCGACGGTTGCGGATTTCGATCAGCTTGTCCTGCTCCACAACATCCTCCATCTCCTTCTTTTCTTGCTCTCGACGAACAGCTGACCGCCGGAGTTCGGTGATTTGCGCCGAAATCTCCGAGAGGCGATCTTGGTCCTTCGACCGTATAGTCAAGGATCTGACAAAATGTGCTTGAGGATCCTCGAAGGGTTGGTCATCTTTGCGTCCCACACCTTGACCGGGAGACAAGAAATTGAACCGCAAATGCGTGTACTCGCCTTCGTCGGATTTGCTGACGTTTTTGATCGTGTTGATGTGGAACGGCACCGGCCGGCCCATGATGGGGATGATGACCGTCGACGCCTTGAGATCCACACAGACGATCAAGTCCTTGGCACGTGGAGGAAGTTGACCTTCGCGCTTGTACGACTCGAACTTTTTGAACTTCTTCTCGTTCTCGCCATTCATGTCGCCAGTCGCTTCGGCATACTTCTCCAGGCCCTCGCGCTGCTTCTTGGCCGCCAATTCCTTTTGATGCTCTCTTCTTCGGGCCTCTTCCTCTTCTTTCGCGTTATCTTGTCGGTTGGCCCCGCGGAGACGAGTTGTCTTGATATTGGAGGTAACGATGGCGCTGGCACCGGGCCTCTTCGCCTTCTCCTGCTTCGGTTTTGTCTCTTCCTCATCATCCTTAAAGTAGAATTCGATCGAATCCAGGTCGGTGAGCGCCTCCTTCGTGAACACCACCGGGTCTCCTCGGGTCACTCGCACCGTGTCCGTCAGAACAAGGGTATAGTTGGTACCTCTCTTGTCTTGAGGCTTGTCGTTTGTCAGATCCGAGAGGCTGGTGGTGACGCTGAATGTCATGCCATCTTTGAGGGGCTTGGTGTTTTTGCCATTCAGGACAAATTTGGAATCCCGGACTTCAATACCAATCGCAGACCCGACATCTTTACCAAAGTTCTTCTCGAGTTCGGGTCTGTGAGCCTTGATGACGCCTAGAGCTTTGTTGTAGACGTCTTTCGGAAGCGCCCCTTCTTTGATTTCTTTCAACGCGGCATCATGCGCAGCAAGCAAAAGCTTGTAGTTTGACGTCTGCGACTTGCTTGGGTCAATCAAGTAAGTCCGTGCGAGGATCGAACAGTAGGTCTTGTATCGGAACCCGAGTCCGGCAATAATACAACCGGAGTGAAGGTTGTCGTTGGTCGGTTGAGCGTTCAATCGAAGATCATATTGCCCACCACTCTGGACGATAGGGCCGTATGCCCAATCCATCTGCTGGTTGTCGAAATCGCTGGGCAACTTCGAGATCTTGTTGAAGAACTTGTTATCGTCGATCTTCTTTGACATGTTATCACAAAGCTGACGATGCGTGACTTTCTTCTCTTCATCAAGGACGGAGGACATCTCATCAACCCAATAGTCTGAGATCATGCCACTGGCCGCCCGAGCCGCGGTTCGCATATTTCTCAGCTCGTTCTCGTCTTTGACCGCGAACGCCGTCGAGAAGGCGGTTGAAATGTCCACTTCCTCGACCTCCTTGGAGAGGTCACCATACATTTTGAGCCATTCATCAACGAACGGTCCGTGCGCCTCTGCCTTGGGGATAGTGCCGACTTTCTTTCCGGCAGTCTTGATAATATCAATACATTTCTCAAAGGCTTGGGTCCGGGTTTCGGGCTGTTTCATGTGAACGGTAAGAATCTCGACTGGGATCTTGCCATCCTTCAGGTTTTGAAGGTGCTTAGCTGTCAAGAAGAGTTAGCCAGTCGGAAGACGCACATTGGTGTCATAAGTGCCAACACTTACCCTTCTTCTCCGTGGTAACAACGTACAAGGCAACAGTGGTGAAAATTAACAACGTCGCAGGAAACTCGTAGCCCAGGAGCCAGAACTGTAGCGTAGCACAAATCCGTCAGTCTCTCGAGTTCATCGTCACCCAGCGAGGAATCGCAAGGCGCGCAGATCGGGTCATAGCGTTCACTCACATGAACGGTATTGTTCTTGACATATACCGTGTCCTCGGCTGCTTTGCCCGTCAAAACTATGATACTATCTGCGCCGCCAAAAACCTCATTTCCCGATCTCTTATCCGCCTTCCAGGCATTGTAAAGTGTTTGCAGTCGCTCGAAGAAGGTGTCGGAGTTGATGACGATGTCGCTCATCTTGTGCTGCCTGCCTCAGCGGAGGCGAAGAAGATCTCGTCAAAAGGGCGTCTCAATCGCAGGTGATGTAATGGGTCAACGCGATTTTATCGGGTAAAGGGCGAGACTGAGAAAAAGAAGATTCAGAGTACAACGACGTCGCAACGGTAGGAAGATGAGGAATGAGTGAATGTGCAGAATCAAATGTAAGGCCAGACGTTTGTGGTCCTACCTCGCCGAGTCAAGAAAGTCTCAAAGGTCAAGGCAGGCAGGATTTCAAGATCTATGGGCGATATTTCTCCAAAATGCCGCGCTAAAGTCGCCCGCCTCGCGCCGCAACGCGAAGCTGACTCTCTCCGAGCGCGTCACTCTACTCGGTAATAATGTATCAGGATTCAGGACTCCTTCAAATTTGGCTCACAAATGACTGTCCCAGAGTCTTATTCAAGCACTAGAGGCTCGTCAATCCCTCTCCACTATAGTGTTCTCGCTTGAATATGCTCGGTACACTCATCTGAAGTTGCAGCACAATCTTTTAACGACATGCCAAGATTGGATGCCTTGTCGACTACAGAGATATCGTAGGGCCTGGACATGGACGATATTTCTGGTTGAACAATCGAGAGAGAACGCTGTTTGTTTCTGCAGATAAGGGGAGATGGTCTATAGCGACACCATCCGTGGACGACGAGGCCGCTGATGCTAATCATCTCAACCCGAGTGGCCTCCCATCCATCTATATTCTACAAGCATCATTCAACCAGAACGCCAAACCTGAACGCTGTGCTTTCCTCATACAATAAGGATATCGTATTTCCCCTTGCTGGATATCCGGACTTCATCGCCCAGACCCTCCTGCCCGTACTTTCTCCTTACCAACTCGAAGATGATCAATCCCGCACTGGTGCTCGGAACCTGCCGAATGGTGAACCACCAGAAGCCCTTATACAGCCATCGCCTCATTCCCCCCTCGGCCACTGCTTGCAGACGAGCTTGTCTCCAGGTCGATTGGTAGGCGTGGTAGTATACCCTCAACATTCGGCCAGGTCTTGCCAGCGGCACATTGTCAGCGTTGAGTTTGATGGCCTTTTTGTCCACTTCCTCCAGGCGCTCGTAGTGAAGAGTCTGGAATGTGGAGAGAGGATAGAGGACCACTTGCTGGGCCATCGAGGCGGTAATGCCAGCGAGCATGAGAAAGGCCGGTTCAAGGGCGTAATGTGGTCTAACCACCAACGCGCCAGGGTCTCTCTTCGCCTCTGGTCGTTCGGCCAATGTAGCCTGTCCTGGGTTTCTCTCTTTCAACCCACGTTCTTCTCCTTCCCACCCTTCAGCAAGCCTGTGTCCATAGTACCACTGCACGTATGCATGATACCCCTGCGCCTTGACCCATTCAAAGGTACAAAAGAATACACCACTTCCAAAGCTATCCTTCAGGAAGCTCAGACCAAAACCCGCAAATATTCCCCTCATTCCGATCTCTCTTAACTTTCCCTTACTGTATTCCCACATAGTCTTGTCTTCGTATCTTGCACCTCGTCGTTCGAACCGCACTTGAAGGGCATCCAAGGGAGCTGCCAAGATGCTCTGGATCGAGCCCGCCGCGAATCCTGCAAGAAAGGTGCTTTGTGGCGGTGGAGGTGGATACACTGTTTTCCTGGCATGCGCCGAAGGTTCGTGCAACAAGCCCAGAATTTGCAGATAGCTCGTGTACAGCGCTGCACCCACGGCCACATTCGCAAACAATGGCAGCGCCAATTGCTCTGGCACGAAGCGCCACCCGTAGTGTTTGATTGCCGTCGCCAGCAGGCCTGGTGTCGTAGACCTCCATGACCACCGACCAGTCTGTATGTCCGGATTGATGCTTTTGGCGTATGCGAGGTAGTCCACTCTTGTTCGAAAGAAAGCTTTCACCGGCGCACGGAAATAGAATGCCACTGCCTGTGCGGTGAAGGCTCGAACCCCTGCGGCAGAGGCACCGGTCGCTGCATTGCTTTTTGTGTCCTTGTACACAGGAGGGGAGTCTGACGGGATCACAGGCAGAACGCCTTCGAAATTGGTAGGGTCGTCATCGAGTGAGTCCATTCTGTGCCGTCTCGCTCTGTAGTAGCGTGGCCATTATTGGCAGCGATACATTGACTTCGGTCAGTGAGCCGATCTAGTCGCGTGGAGCTTGTGGGAGAACTGGCGCAGATGCGCAGATGCGTAGCCTCAGAGCAACAATAAGAATAGCGGGACGCACCCGCACAAGGCTGATTGTTGCTCGCGACGTCATTTTTATCATATACAATAAATAACAACATGGGGAATCAAGGGGCTCTTTTCCATCGCCCTTGGACGGGCGCAATACAATGCCGCTAATGTAAACACAATATACAGTCCGGTCACGTTGAGATCTACTCATTTCATCGCTCATGTGGTATCTTCTAACATTTCAAAACAGCAGCACACGCCGACCATCGGCTATCCGATTGTATGATTAAACCTGCGCCCAAGAGTTGCTGAAATCATGTCCGGTCATCACGTCCTGTCGGCTGCAAGGCTTCATTCACAGCCATGATCATAGATCGATCCTCGTCTTCCACTCTATCTTCTCCTTCTCTGCCCATTCCTGAAGAAAAGACACTCCGAATCTTGCTGCCTCAAAAGCCGTAGTGTTTGCATCCATTGGCAGGTAGAAATCTTGTGGTATCTTCGATGGCGTCAATTTCTCTTGAAGCCTCGCACTCGAATCTTTAGCCCGCTTCGACCAAGTAATAGGATACTCGCGTTTCAACAGGTCGAGGGACAGCTGCCGGGACCCGTCCAGCCACGCCGTCTGCAGTTCACGGGCGTTCTGGATCAGCTCATCCCTGAATTCAACGTAACGTTTTTTGTACTTTTCTGCGTCTTCGTTCGTCTTGGTGTTACCATCACTACCAGGCGTGGGTGCAGAGTTGCAATAGTCATCAGGTAGAGGATCCCGCGCCAACCTGTCCATGTCATACTTGTGGACAAGTTGTCGACATACTGCGCCCAATTGGACAACCAGACCGTGGAGATGGGGAAACTTCCTCGACGCACGGAAAACGAAGATGTGATACAGAATAATCGATCTCCAGCCTGGCTCGATGCTGGGACGGGCGTGGGATTGCGCGGAGATGTTGATCATGAAGCACAATAGCGCTTCGATCAGTTTCAGCACCGCTTTCGCGTGTTGGGAGGTATTGGCGTCACTGTCAGGAGCAGGCAGCAGGGCTGACCCTTCATGCTTGAGAGAGCGGCCCAAGGCAAAGAATTTGTAGTTGATGTTGGCCCACTGTTGTCGCTCCTCTTCTCGAGAAGTCGAGCTTGTCGGGGCTTGAGGAGATGGCTTGGGAGCCGCTTGCGGCGTTGACACCCTTGCTTTGTCCCCGGTAGGAGTTGGGGCGTCAACACCCTCCGACGACTCCACGCGTCTCATCAGAGTAGATTTCAGTTCCTTCTTGGGGGTGGAAAAGGTAGACTTTGACTGAGACGACATAGTGGTCTTACCAGCCGGGGGGACTGGCGTAACAGGGCGATTCTCGGCGTCGGCAGCCTTGACCTTCTTGAAGGTTGGTCCAGGACTACTGTTTTCAGCCTTCCGCTTCTTCTCCAGCTTGACATCATCAACGGCAGGCGGTCTCGGCTTAGCCTCAGCAGTGGGTTGAGCTTCTACAGGGTCCTTTCTAGATATCTCCTTCCTCGCATTTGCGTCAGAGTTGTTCTGCGAATCTGGCGCTTCTTGCTTCGGCACCTCTTTCTTGGACCGCGGTGCAAACTTGAGAAGCGCTTCGACCCTCTTCCTATTCTTTTTGCCGTACTTCAGAATAATTGTATGCCTCTGCCGAGGGCCAGGGCTGGCTCGGACCCCATTGTGTAAGGGTGTCCCGCCTTTGATGCCGTTCTTGGCCAGAATCTTCGCCCCAAGACTTCCCTTGGCCGGATTGGGGGTTCCTGGAGCGCTGCTCCGGGCTGAGTGCTGGCTGTCGGAGCGTACTCTGCTCCCCGCTGGGGCCAGTCCACTTCGGTCGCTGGGAGGCTCATTGTCTAGGTCGGCACCAGCAAGGATCGAGCGTACGGGGTCTGATCGCTTGGGCAAACCACTGGCGGGGCTTCCAATTGAGGTGCTGCTCGGAGGTGTTGATAAAGCCTTTGCAAGTGACGGAGGCAGGAGGGGAGACAATAACTCTGGTAGGCAGTTCTCCTTCCCGGGCGACGGTAGAGTAGGGGAGAGTAACCGGGGCATTTTCATGGTGGAAGACTGTGATTCGACTTTCGACGTCTTTGCGCTAGATCTTGGATCTTCAATCTCGGGAGAGAGCTTCCTTCGCTTCGCAGGACTCGGAGAGTCGGCCTTCTGCATCTTGGAAGGGACTTGGGGGGAATTATGGCCGTCCATTCTTGAAAATTTCAACTGATGATCCTTGATCCCGTCACTCTCCTGGGCTGTCGGCTGTTTCTCTTGCTTCTTCTCCAACAAAGACTGTGTGTCGTGTTTGGCCTTCTCTGCACTCAACGGTAGGTTGACTGACGTCTCGATTTTCTTTGGGGGTTGAGATTCCAATGCAGCGTGAGCTGGACTTCTGGTTTTCGTCTTGTAGTCCTTCAGGCTGATCTTCTTGCGATTACCTGCGTCTGCTGGGGTATGTTGACCAGTCACTGGAAGGGCTTTGGGGGAAAGTTCTTCTTCAACAATGGGATTCCCGTGGTCGTCGGCCCACCCACCCTCGACTTTCAACAAAGCCTCGTGCTCACCCGAATGCGGAAGGAAGCTGAGATATTGGAGCTGCTCTTCTTTGCGGTCGAATGGTGTGCCCTCATACCACGTATTGACGAAGCGCGAGCTGTGGCGGTAGGGGACGTCGGAGGGAACGGAAAGTAGGTAAGGTTGTGGAGGGAGAATGTTGTCGCTGAGGTGCTTAATACGCTCATCCAATTGAGCAACGATATGTGAAGGGAACTGCTTAACCCTGGGCAAGTTCGTAGATTCCGGGGGTCTCTCAGTCGTGCCCGGGGACATTTTGTCGCAAAGGCGAAGGAGCAACGGTTATCTTTCCATCACAGTGTGTGATGGGTTCGTCAAGGTGACCAGCTCTGGCGGCGACAAGCTGGACACATCGACAGCTCATAAAACAGTCCCATTACATATCGGTAATTGAGGGAAGGGTCACGTCTCTGGGTTTGTATCGCGGGCACGGCGCCTTTTTGCGGTGATTAACTTTCATAAAATGGGATCGGAGGGGATCTGACCGACCTGGTGGAGGACGCGAATGCGGGCAGCGAGGGCTGATTCGGCGCAGGCTGGGTTCAATCTGCGCAGCGTGTGCTCTGAGCGGTCGAGTATTCAACGGTTTTGCGACGGAGAATTGTTCAGGACGTAATCGGCCAGGAGAGCTGGCGGAGCAAAAAGTAGGAAGGAAAGGCTGATGATGGATGGTCGCAGTTAGCCAATTCGATTTACACAAGCGCAGTTTGGGCGAATGCGAACCAGTGAATGCGAGCAATCACTGGATCAGGAATGTGAAGATGAAAGAGGGGCACGACTGTGATAAAGTCAGTGCTGGAATATCTTTGCCCAAATAGCGGCAGGACTAGGGTCTTTCGAAGCGCCCGACAGCCTGTTTCTGTATATGCTGTGGTGTATTCCTCGAGAAGCAGTGTTAGTTGGGTTGGCAGTACGAGCAGAGGGCGGTTGTCAATGGGGGGAATGATTGACGCCAAAGAGCTGTAAGGCAGCACCGACGGGGGCGAGGCCAAGTAGAGGGAGCGAGAACCTGGGCCTCACTCACCTGGGCTCGGCCTCCCCGGCCACTGGAAAAGGTTCCCTCTTGCGCGCTCGGGGCATCCCGCGCTGCCTGTGAGCCCTCCCCTCGCTTCATCCCACGCGACCCAGTCTGTGCCATTGAGGCAAGCCCTGCTGACCCTCCCCCCTTGACATGCAGAATCCACCGTGAGCCCCCAAATCCACCCAGCGAGCCAGGTTGACTATACATCATCTTAGTCATCCATCAACCAACTTTTGACCTCTTTTATAACAGTGGTGGCGTGGACCGGCGGTCCGCCCGGCAAACATTATACAGCATCCCATTCCAGTGAAATCCAGTATACAGTACAGCTCGATTTGATTTACCACCAGCCTCCAGTGTAGAGCCCCAGGCTCCAAAAGGAGGCTTTTTGACTCCATTGATGCAGTGACATACCCCCATATCGTTCAACCGTGTTGCAGCTCTATATCTGTACGCCTAGTAAGCCGACACAATATAACACTGGGCATCCAGCGTGGGTGACTTTAATCCTCGTCTTGACCGATCTTCCCATATTGACCGCGGGAACCGTTGTCTTGTCGTGTCCGAGACACCATTCGACCAATCCAACCCCCCACACCTGCTTGATTGCTCTCGCGTCTCACTCGCGGTTTTCCATTCTCGTCCAGCTGGACATCGGGAGGATCTATATCAAGGCCTGGAATTGCAGTATCTGCAGAGAAGATACTTGGTTGAGAGGCACCGTGCCTGATGTCGAGAGAGGATGGTGATCCCACGCCCATGAGGGAGCCTCGCTCCGCCTGGGTGGATGGAGTGGGCATCGCTGTCGTGGCGTCCCCAAACAGCGCGTTCATATCTTCAAGACGAACATTGGCGGTTTCGGGATATACGAAATAAACTGCGTTGTTGATTAGTGCTTGTAGCAGATCGACAATAGGAGGCCAACTTACCGAGAACAAAACTCAGCGCACAGAAGAAGGCGTGTACAAGATACAATCTCCACTTGATCGATTTCTGGAGAATCGGTGTGAGTTCACCAACCAAAAAGTTGAACGCCCAGTTGCTGGCGGTGCTCAAGCTGGCACCTTTCGCCCGAATGCTGAGTGGCAGAATCTCTGGAGGATAAAGCCAAGGGATAGGGCCCCAGCTGGCTCCGAATGCCGCATTGTATATCATGACAAAAACGACGACCAGAGTCGGGGTCCACCGTACGTCAATGAAGATGAAGTAGGAGATCAGCGACAGGGAGATGATCATGGCCACAGCCCCAGACAAGAGAATTGGCCGCCGTCCCCATCTATCAACCAGATACCAGGGCGGAATCGTTGAGCCCAAGTAAGTGAATGCATTGATACCAGTCATGAGGATCGCGTCTCGTCCCACCCAACCTGCCGATTCGAACACAAGAGGTGCGTAGTAGGAGATGACGTTGATGCCGTTGAGTTGTGCGAACGCCTGAGCAGACATTGCAATAAAGACGCGCTTATAGTACCGTTTAAACATATCCGAGTACGAACGCTCTCCTTCTTGACGTTGCAAGAGGACGTTCATTTTGATCTCGCGATATTCTTGTCGAGCCTTGGCATTATGAATATCACCTTTGCCATAGAGATTGGCAATGACAATGATGCCCTCCTCGTCGTGATCGTTGTCCAGGAGCCACCTAAGGGGAAAAGGCGTTAGCATAGCCCATTATCCTTCTTGTCCGGAATCTCGTACCGAGGGGATTCGCAAATAATCAAGCTGCCAAATCCGAGAAGTGCCCCCATAACGCATTGCATCAACAAAGGCACTCTCCATGAAAGATCGCTCTGGATAAAGCTGCAGAAGTAGTCCACCCAAACGCTCGCAGCGTAACCCGTGATATTACCCGTAAACTCTATACAGGCCAGTTTGCCTCTATTGTGTGGAGGACTGATCTCGGACTGATAGACAGGTACAATGGTGGAGAGCGCGCCAACTCCAAAGCCTGCGATCAATCTCCCTACCATCATCATAGGCATGCCGTTTGACAAGGTTTGGAGCATTCCACCGACGAAGAAAATCATCGACCCATAAAGAATAGTCCTGCGACGTCCAATGATGTCGCCAATGCGTCCGACGCAGAGCGATGATATAAGAGCGCCAACCTCTAGGATGGCTACCATGGTACCAACTTCAGCTGGGCCAGGTTGATTGAAAGCATCTCTGAAAAAAGGACCACTTGTCTCCGTCAGCAATGGCAATTAAGATATTCGGCCGGACATACGTAATAATGCCAGACATAACACCTTGGTCGTAGCCAAAAAGAAATACACCTAGTGATACGAAAACACTTGTGAAGTACCTGCATTGCGGCTGTCAGTTACCCGTATATGCTTGTGGGAGATTCGTTCCAGCATACAATAACGGCTTTCCCACAAGCCCCTTGGTTCGGGCGGTCTGAGTGTCGGTGGGAGCCATGATGAGAGCTAATAACCTCTCTGCCTTGGTGATTTGCCTCGGTGGAGGCTCCGGAATGAAGATAGCCTCTTTATCTATACCGAGAGAGGGGTGATCCCGCTCAAGGTGATCTTGTTCCTGAAATCCAACTCTCTTCTTCCGTCCTCCACCGTGACCACGACCGGAGTCTCTGAGCCGTTGACCTTCCCGGGTCAGAGGATCTAGCTCAATTCGATAGGGATCCTCAGCGTTGGTGAGCTGCTCTGCGAGATCTCCAGTATCGCTCCAAAGGGAGAAGTCGTCAGACTCAGACCCTGAGTATGATGGTCGCCGATTGCTTTCGTCTTTTTCGTTCCCTACGGCAGTCCGCAATGTGGACGATGGGTCTTCCAGGTCTGCTCTGGAGCGAGACGAATGCGATCGGTGGTGGAGGAAAGATTCGGTAGACGGGCGAGGAGAAGGAATGGTGTCGGCGTGCAACGGGCAGTCTGAACGACCGGCCCTGACCTGACTGAGCAAGACTTGGAGGTTTTTCGGTATGTGGGTCGGGTGCGCAGTTGAGGGAGAGGTGTGTGTGAGAATCGAGACGTCAGGCTCAAGAATCAGACGGCAAGCGGACAGGCTCGGTCACTGGTCAAGCGATGGCGATTGTGGCGAGGGCATTGGACTGGAGAACCGATCACAAGAAATGCGGAGTCGGGAAAGCCTTCCCATGAGAGGACAGCCAGCGGGGATGACTCAAATGGACTTCGTCAAATGATGCGGTAGCTTTGGGAATAGATAGCGAAGGACAAAGCTCGATGTGGCCGCTTGCAAATTGGAGTACGTGGTGTTAATAGTGAGGAGGAGGATGACGGATGCCAGATGCCAGATGCCAGATTTGATCGGGCTAAGTTGCTGGCAAGCCAATATTGGACCAAGACCGACAAGCGAGGCATTGCCTTTAGAAGTAAAGGGATAGGGGCAGGCTGATTTTCTGGGGAAGACACAAGCCCTCAGGCAGTCAGATAGGCACCAGCTCAGGGGCGCCACCACTCCGGGAGAAGCCACCCAAGCCGCCCACGTTTAACCATACACAACCTCCGCCTGGTGCCGCTGACCCGGAACCAACGTCAGTGACGCCAAGCCGCCGCGGCAGCAGATTTTTTTCAATAGTCCTCACAACCACACATCGGTGAGAGCGATAATCACAAGTCGGATGAGCCCTTATGACCAGACTGATCCATGGATATCAAGAGAGTAATCTCGTGATTCATCTGTCATTTGCTATCGGCTGGCCTCGGATGACCGTCTAATTCTACGTATCGACCACTCTTCCATACGGCCCCACGACACTTTTCCTCTACTGTGTGGGATTCTTGTATTCTCTCATCTTCGCGAGGATTCAGTTGTGGTGCCGTGTGCCTGCTTGTGACACTGATCATGCTGCAAACCGGGAGTGTCTAGCCTCAAAACCCTACTTGCCGATCATGGACCACCCACAAGTCTGTATTATCCCTGGAGCGTCAGCCTTCTCAGAATTTCGACGTCAGGCTCTAGCCTCCAACATTGGTGCTCGCGACGTTCAGGGACGATATATTCACTATGTTGAACTTGTGGAATCCCTTGAATCTGAGAGCCATGCCCTCTTGGAAAAATTGTTGACCGACGGTCACCATGTAGATGCACAAGAAAAGGAAGACGAATCTTCCACTGTCCTTTATGTCCTCCCTCGACCGGGCACTATTTCTCCTTGGAGTTCCAAAGCCACCAATATTGCTCATGTTTGTGGGCTTCAGAAGGTCGTCCGCCGAATTGAAAGAGGCGTCAAGATTACAGTATACCTTGACGATGGACAATCTCTGGGCGCCTCAAGCCTTGACTTCCTCCATGACCGGATGACAGAGACTATCTCGGAAAATGAACCCGACCTCAACCTCTTATTTATGCACCACCAACCTGGCCTATTGGGTACATATGAACTGTACAATGGTGGACAGACTCCCTCGGAGATACTTCAAGATTTGAATCGCAAGCTTGGCCTTGCACTCGACGCTTCAGAGATCCAGTACCTTGTTGAAGCCTATTCGAAGGACGGACCAGTCCCGAGAAAGCCTACAGATGTTGAACTATTTATGTTTGCTCAGGTGAACTCAGAACACTGTCGGCACAAGATTTTCAACGCGAGCTGGACCATTGATGGAAAACCCAAGACTAACACCCTGTTTGGTATGATCAGAAATACGCACAAACAGACCCCTGAAGGTACCATCAGCGCATATAGCGACAATGCTGCTGTACTGAAAGGCAGCAATGGGAGTCAGTGGGCACCCGATGACATAAACGGCCAGTGGAAAGCGACAAAAGAAGCCGTACATTTCCTCGTCAAGGTCGAGACCCATAATCATCCTACCGCTGTGTCTCCATTTCCGGGAGCGGCGACCGGTTCGGGAGGTGAAATCAGGGACGAAGGAGCAACAGGAAGAGGAGCAAAACCCAAAGCTGGTCTCTCAGGATTCTGCGTATCAGATCTACTGATACCGGATCACCGCCAGCCGTGGGAACTCGACTATGGTAGGCCTAGTCACATCGCTAGCAGCCTAGACATTATGCTTGAAGCACCCATTGGAAGTGCAGCCTTCAACAACGAGTTTGGTAGGCCATGCACTGCAGGGTATTTCAGGACATTGCTGGTGGAAATGAGAACGGGCAAAGACTCTGCAGAAATCAGAGGTTACCATAAGCCTATCATGATTGCAGGGGGGGTGGGCACTGTTCGACCTCAGCATGCTCTCAAGGACCCTGAGATCGTCAAAGATGGTGCGTTTCTGATTGTCATGGGTGGACCAGCCATGCTGATCGGGTTGGGAGGAGGCGCCGCATCGAGTGTCAGTTCTGGAGAAGGATCGGCCGAGCTCGATTTTGCCAGTGTTCAGCGAGGCAACCCCGAAATGCAGAGAAGGGCTCAAGAAGTCATCAATGCATGTACCGCGCTTGGTTCACACAACCCTATCCTCTTTATTCACGATGTCGGCGCAGGAGGTCTATCCAATGCTCTGCCGGAACTCGCGAAAGACTCTGGTCTTGGTGCAGAATTTGAGCTTCGAGACATCGACTGTGCAGATAAGAGTATGAGCCCCCTCCAGATATGGTGCAATGAGGCCCAGGAGCGGTATGTTCTCGCGGTAGCACAGGAAGGTATGAACAAGTTTCGGGCCATTGCGAAACGAGAGCGATGTGAAATCTCGGTCGTGGGAAGAGCCACGAAGCGGCAGGTGTTGAAGCTCACAGACCGTGATCACCCGGCAAATGGCCATGATCAACAAGATCCTATCGACCTTCCAATGGATGTCCTCTTCGGGAAGCCGCCCAAGATGACCCGTGATGTAAACTCACGCAAACCAGACCTACCAGGCTTTGATACTAGCTTGAGCTTGTATGTCCCCCAAGCGTCGATGAACGGTTTACTCCAAGAAGCAATCGATCGGGTGCTTCAGATGCCTGCTGTCGGATCCAAGTCTTTCTTGATCACGATCGGAGACCGAACTGTTGGTGGGCTCACAGCTAGAGATCAAATGGTCGGCCCCTGGCAGGTTCCTGTGGCGGATGTGTCTGTTACAGCAACGTCACTCACCACTGGTATCAAAAGTGGAGAGGCGATGGCAATGGGCGAGAAACCAACCATTGCGTTGATCTCCCCGGCAGCATCTGCACGTATGGCAGTGGCCGAATCACTGATGAATCTCACTGCTGCAGACCTCCCGGATCGTCTTCACCAAGTCAAGCTGTCCGCAAATTGGATGTCTGCATCCACTCATCCCGGCGAAGGAGCAGGGATTTACGAAGCTGTGGAAGCTTTGGGCATGGATCTGTGCCCAAAGCTCGGTATCTCGATTCCGGTTGGGAAAGACTCCATGTCCATGAAGATGAAATGGGCGGACCCTCAGAGCAAGGAGGCAAAGGAAGTCACAAGTCCCTTATCAGTCGTCATATCTGCCTTCGCGCCCGTCCTGGACATCAGGAAGACGTGGACGCCGCAGCTCAAACGATACAGCGAAGTTGGCGAATCTACGCTCTTTTTCGTGGACTTGGGTCTCGCGCACCGTGCCCTGGGGGGATCCGTCCTCACCCAATCCTTCAAACAAATTGGCGATGAAGCACCCGACATCCGCTCCGTGTCCTTGTTCAAGGACTTTTTCGACGCTACACAGCAACTGCACGAACAAGGCCTTGTGCTGGCTTACCACGACCGTTCTGACGGTGGCCTGTTCGTGACGCTGGCGGAGATGTCATTTGCAGGCCGCTGTGGCATAGAAATTATGATCAACGACATCTGCCCAACGCCGCACACACCGGATATCATATCTACATTATTCAACGAAGAGTTGGGTGCGGTCTTCCAGGTTCGAAAATCTGATGAGAATCGCTTCAAGGCCTGCTTTGCTACGTGCGGCCCACCTCCGGGTCTTATCCACAAGATCGGCCGCGTTTCGACCAAGTCGTCCTCTCAGAACATGGCCATCTATCACGGTGGGAGACTAATCTACCGTGCCACTCGCGGCCAATTACAACAAAAATGGTCCAACACGTCGTATTGGCTTCAACGGCTTCGGGACAATCCTTCCTGTGCGGACTCAGAATACAATACAATCCTGGACGATACTGAACCAGGACTGAGCTACAATCTTCTCTTTGACCCCAAAGAGAACATCAATACATATAAGGCGTCCTTCCTCAATTACATGCGTCCCACGGCCCGACCGCGTGTCGCCATCCTCCGAGATCAAGGCACCAACGGCCACGCCGAGATGGCATTCGCTTTCGAAGCTGCCGGATTCACCGCGATAGATGTCCACATGTCCGACATTCTGGACCCGAAACCGCACCAGTCACACCTCGGCATCGATCACGACCTCTCTTCCTTCGTGGGTCTCGCCCTCTGCGGCGGCTTTAGCTTTGGCGACTGTCTTGGTGCGGGTCAGGGATGGGCCAAATCGATCCTCTTCCACCCGACAACACGTCGGAAGTTCCACACCTTTTTCGAGAGGAAAGACACCTTCACCTTGGGCGTTTGCAACGGGTGCCAGGTCCTCTCCAAGCTCAAAGAATTGATCCCGGGAGCGGAGAAATGGCCCTCCTTCGAGAGGAACGAATCCGAACAGTACGAGGCCCGAGTCTGCATGGTCAAGGTGTCCGATCCTCCGGCGGAATCGGGCATGGCGCCCAGCGTCTTCTTTCACGGCATGAGCGGATCTTCATTTCCCATCGCCGTCGCCCACGGCGAAGGTCGGGCCTCGTTCACCACCGACCTCCCCCCTTCGCAGACAGGAAGCAAGACCTGGGACGCCTCCCTCGCCCACGACTTCGCGCACGCCAACCTCGCACCCATCCGGTACGTCGACAACAAATCCCTGCAGCCCACGACGGCGTACCCAGCCAACCCCAACGGCAGTCCCGCCGGGATTGCTGGCGTGCGCAGCCAGGACGGACGTGTGTTGGCGCTGATGCCACACCCCGAACGCACCATCTTGGCCGGCGTGGGCAGTTACATCCCCGAGCACGCCATGAGGGGAGAGAAAGACGGCTGGGGCGAGTGGGGCGAGTACGGGCCGTGGTTGAGACTGTTCCAGAGTGCGAGGAGGTGGGTTGGATAAGAGAAGACACATGAACCTCTGACTAGCATTTGACCGGGGGGTAAAGGGGAGACTCTAAAGAGGGCGTTGCTGGACTGGAAGATGTTCGGGAAATACTGAAAAGAAGACTCGATGAAATGAGATTGGGACTAGGTTATGACTTGCACTGTTGTCTCTCTTGGATTGTGGTGAACATGATGATGCGAAGGGAGGTGCCGATGCAAATCCGCGTGTCTGTAAGGCTTGACTCTCCTGGCCCGAGTCAAAGGCGGTCATGACAATAGACCTTCTGACCTAGATAGATAAATTTGGGAATTTTCACATAATCGCGACTTTACCTAGAAGATGATCAAGCTACAATAACAATAATTCAAGTTCAAGGGCGTTTTCCTGAGGTTTTCAACTTTTTTTTCCCTTCATGCAGTAATATGACTAGCAAGCCCTTTTTCGTCCACATTAGACTTCGTGCATTAATAGCGAGTACCTTCTAATTACACAATGCAAAAAGAAAAGAGAAATGGTGTCGCAGCCTTCAGCGTCCACCAAAGCCTGAAGATGAAAATCCCGAGCACACCTGCCCAACTGTAACGCAAACAGCAAACTTCAAACTTTTGTACACACTGAAATCTTGGTCACCGAACCGAAACCTCCTGTCTCCTTTATTTTTCATCCTCCGCGACATGTCTCGTTGACCAAACTTGTATTAGGCTCGACGGGGTCATGCTTGACGTCCATATGCATCCAGCGGCTTGCCTCTGCTGCCTACTCAGTCGTCCGGGGGGATATAACCCAGGAACTGGCAGAGTTCTCGCCGCGAAACTTCAACTTCATCGTTGTCTCGTCTTGGATGCTGAGCCTGCGTCAAACAGCGAAAAAATATCCTTTCAAAAGGGTCGTCCATGTTGGCTGTCTAAGCCTTTCGCGATCGGGTGGTTGGACCGTTTGATCGCCCGGTGGTGACAGCGCCATTGCTCTTCTTCTCGTCTCCGAGGGCGGACGGGACCTTATGGGGGTCAGGAAGGGGAAGATCTCTCATAGCGATCAAAGCTTCTCTGCCAGTGTTCCTTCTTGGTCGTCCTTGGATGGTCTGTTTCCGGTAGGTTGCGAAATAGAATGAGATGAAGAGCAGTAGGTAAGAGCTGAGAATGACAAGACCAGCAATGGCCGCAAATTCCTCTCCTGCGCAGGTGCCTGCATTTGGGAGCCAGGAGAAGTAAGAGTTGGCGAAGTAGGTGTAGGAAGCGAAGTAGACAAAGCCCAGATCAATGACGAATTGGATGATTTGCATGATGGTGATGTATTTCTTCCACCAGATTCTGATGCCGCGAGCAGACTGGAAATAGTACCTAGAAAATCATTAGCCACGGACTCGACTGTACACCTAGATTTCTCTTACCAGTACATAACCACGTGCACTGTCAAATTCAGCGTAATGGGAACCCATGATACTGCAGTGTGCCCAACAAGCTGAGTGTAGCAGAGAAGGGCAGTTGCACCGTGGTGATATGTGTGGAGGAAGGTCAGGGGCTTCTTCTTCAGGACCAAAAACAAGGTGTCAATGAGTTCGAGGTATTTGGTGAGGTAGTTCAACTGCGGAAATCAGCCTCTGATGCAAGCAGAATAAACAGCCGGTTAGACTTACATAGTACAACACAACCAGTTCTTGCGTCCAACCTCCATTGTAGCTGCAAATGGCATGGAAGACGCCGCCTCGAACCAGCGTCGGGAGCAACTGTTCAACGAACAGCAACAGGAGACAACCGCTGATGATGGTGAGATAGAGGTTGTGGACCATGAAAGCGCCGTTGAGCGTGAACGGTTTGCGGTGTTTCATCACTTCTCTTCCACCAAAGATGATGACATAGTACGAGATCAGAGCAATAACGGTCTCTGGCAATGTCGACATCGGGGTTTTGCCTGGTTCAAACTTGAAGTCCATGGGGGAGTAGCCCACAACGGCAGAATATGCCTTGTCGAAGATGGGCCATAGCTCGATGCCAAAAGGGCGATCGAGGGTAGGGAGGGGGATAGACTTGAGGATATCGTTCGACATGTTTGGAAGTGTCTGTCAACCAGTGTCGCGATCGCAGTCTGAGCGCAGGGGCTGAACCGACAGGAAAAGGAGTGACTGTCAACGATCAATTAATGAAGGTTAAAGAAAGAGAAGAGGACGAAGGAGAGAGGCGGACGCGAAGAGGGATAAAGTAGTCGTCGATCGGATCCAGGTGGAAGGGAGTGAGATATATTATTCTCAAGCCGGCCAGCGAAAATTGCAGGATGAGGAGGAGGGATGATGAAAATGGATTGTCCCAACAGCGCCAATGGTGCCGGTTGGTGCCAACATTGGGATAATCAAAAGTCAGGGGAAAATCGTTTGGCAAGATTCGCGCAGCCTCTGTCGTAATAGCCAAGACCCGTCTCAGCCGCGCCTTCCCATTGGCTGTGTACCTGCTTCTCAATTTCCGCCTGGAGGCAAAAGTTTGCGACTGTCGCGCGTGTGCCGTGTAGAAGCCGGTAGCCGCGGGAAGGATGTGATTGGAGGAGAAGTTGATACGGTGTTCTTGTTCAAACTGAGGGGAGGGAGGAAGTGCAGGGCATGAGCATAGGAGAATAATAGTGAAGGGGACCCGTGTTGAGGCTGACATGTATGTATGTATGTACCCTATTGAGGCAGGTAATATCTATGTAGATGACCATTTTGGGGCTGCCCACAACCCAAAAGCCAATCAGAGCCCCGTGATTTACAATACGCACACCGTCACCTACATTACAGGCAAAATACCGGCGAGAGTTCACGTATCCGACTTGGCTGACGCCCGTCATTTCAACCACTCAGGAGCTCTGCGATTATTTTGCCTGGGCAGGCAAATCTCAGGTGACTGAAGAACCTCAATCGACATCCGCCCACACCTTGGACACAGCAGCTGGTCCACCTTTTCTCACCCTCCGACTCTACAACAACTCCCCTGTGCTCAACCTCGCCGATTGCACAATGGCTTCTCTTGCCATGCTTCGTCTCTCAGCTCGTCCCGCCACTTCCGCTTTCCTCAGACCCTGCGCACGATCCTTCAGGAGAGCTCCAGCTGCGGTGCAATCGGTTTCCGCAAGGTCCCCTTTCAGCTCCTCGGCCATCCAAAGAAGCGCCGGTCACGAAGACGAGACATTCGAAGAGTTCTCTGCGAGGTATGACTTCCATTGAGCTTGGTTCGGTGCTTCTGGATGTTAGAACGCCGTCTGGCAACCGCTGAGGAAGGAATACAATATTCGACAGTTGGAGCTTGGCTGACGAGATATTCTCAGATACGAGAAGGAATTCGATGCTGTGCAGGATGTCTTTGAGCTCCAGGTAAAGTTTCTCGGCTCCAAGATGCACTGTTTAGTTCCGTCTAACGCAAGGAACCAGCGGAACCTGAATAACGCCTTTGCCTACGATCTCGTCCCCTCCCCCGGTGTCGTCACTGCAGCTTTGAAAGCTGCTAGACGTGTCAACGATTTCCCCACTGCTGTCAGAATATTTGAAGGTCCGTCATGACACGCTGCGTTTGATACGAGTGGATTGGAGTCTAACAGTTGGAACAACAGGCATCAAAGCAAAGGTCGAAAACACACAACAATACCAGGAATACCTAGAGGAACTGAAACCCCTGCGCGAGGAGCTCGGCATTAACTTGAAGGAAGATCTCTACCCGGACAACAGTGATAGCCCATACCACAACCCATAGGTCATGTTGTGAAAGATCCAACCAGAAATGGGAAGGACGGCCATAAAGCTTCTGCATTGGTGGTTGGGACCACGGGAACAGGAGAGTCGCATGGTGGCTATCGGGCCAGGGGAGGCCAGAAAGCAAGGGCTTCGTGCGCAACATCTTCAGAGACTACCTACGCTGTAGTAAAAACTTGTACAGTTTCAAAGACGAGCAGATTCAGGGTTGAGAGATTTCACTTGCCTTTTGCAGTCTTGACTCCGCTGTCTCTCTCCAACAATGCTAACATCAGCTTTCATAAAGAGGATCGGGCAGTCTTTGCTTCTACCCGATGGATGTCTCCCTCGGAGGTACTAACGACTGGTCACACAGTTTCGATTATTTCCTGCCACTATTGTTACAAAGTGCCGTCGCCCCCAATGTGAACAACGAAAACAACAGTTTCCTACTTCTGCCAGGTGCTGCCAGGCTAGTTGCTCAGCCACCATCATACTCCCAACGTAAGGCACAACGAGGCTGACAGGTAAGTCCGTGGAATCCTCAACGCGGACAACTTCTACAGATCGACTCAAACGACCACCAAAAGAAGAAAAAGCGAACATATCAACTAATGCGATATCACGGAGGATATATTGACAATGTGGCTGCAGCGAGGCACATCAGCGTGCGGCTAAGGTTCTAGATCGAAGCTTGGGGAGGATTCACTTATGTATGCCGTCAACCGTTGCCACCGTGCGACTGTCAAATGAGGTAAAGGCAAAGCTGATGCGAAATGCCAGCGCTAATACGCGTTCGAGCTGTGGAAATGGCGATTGTTCTCTGTCGACTCTCTCTGGTGTCTAACGGGGACATTGACTCCCACAACATCCTGACCTTGACCGGCCCTGTCAAGTTGCTTCGCTGTTTCAACATTGTGGTTTTTACTTTGGTTTTCTCTTTGGGTTTCTCTTTGTCGAGGGCGGACGTCGATTCCACGATTGTGTTGAGATCAGGCTGAGAAAGCCCCAAATCATTTCGGAGTCTCAAGTTTCCCCCAACCTTAGCCCCCGGTGGCTTGCTGTTGGATGGTGCTGGTGCCTACTCGGTACAGGAGCCACGACCTTGACAAATCCAGACTACCACGAAGCGCCTTTCATCTATCAGCCCAACTTGTTCCCTTGTCGTGTATTCCGTACCAGCGGAACCAGACTCGCACCTGAATGAGAACTTGTTGGTTGGAGCCAGGATGGTTGCATCGACTTTCCTTCCGCCGCGATGCTAAGTGTAATAATAGAGAAAGCCTAAGCACCCGGCTGCTGGACCTGATGGCCTGCCTTGCTGAACCTTGACTCCCTTGGCCTTCAGCCGTGTCGCGTTTCCGGGAGCATCCTGCCTCGAAATGATCCAGAAGATCCTTCTCCGTACCGTGGCGGCCCACCTGCGGGTTTTCCTGCGGGTGTATTTCACGATCATCCTCATGCTCATCTCTTTCTTAGGAGACAAATGCTATTCAATGCGTGTGAAAATGAAGCTATACAGACGCCGATATATCCCTCTCCACCGCACGACCGACTGGCTCAGTGGAGGGGACCTCTTGACCGCGATCGCTGCCTTTCGTGCCACACCTGTGAGTTGGCTGGGACTGTTGATGTGACTGACCTCTGCGCTCAGCCTCGTGTGCGACTCGGAGGGGAGCGCCCTCGTGGTCACCACAGATGTGGTCAGCCGCTGCCACTTCAACACCACGGGCGGCTACCCGGCCTTCTCGGACGTGGTCTTTGACCGATATGCCAGTGCCACTCCTGCAGGTCTTCTCTACGACATGGTTACGGCCACCCAAGCCGCGGCCCTCAGCAACGGGGGTCTCCACGGCATCTTCACACCAACGCGGTGGACGAGAAGGAGGAGGAGAGTCGCGGGAACTGTTGAACGTTCCGCCTCCCATCTCCAGCACCTCGCTCGTTCTTCGCGCTTCCGTTAGTTGGACACAGAAACCCCGTCCTTTCAGGAGGCCGAGGATGTCGACGACCTTTCCCGCTGGCGCGACGGGCGGGTATTGAATCATAACGTCAACCCGCTCGCTTCTTTTCTTTCAGGGGTCCTGTACGTACATACATACATACATACATACATACATACATACATACATACATACATACATACATACATACATACATACATACATACTTCCATATTCTGCCCGACCTGTAAGAAACTCGTCTCTCCAGCCGAAAGGAGGGGGAATGGGGGGCGGGCAGGTATACGTACCTCGTCCCCGTACATCCATACGTGCGTATATACATACATGCATGCATAACTGCACACCACTAGAGGGGGATGATCAGGGGACAGGGGATGATAATAGGACTGACTGACTCCGCTTCCTGGACTACATAACATAATGGTGGGAGAAACCCAGCCAGGCAGGCAGGCAGGTAAGGATGCACGCAGGCAAGGGATGCTTACTTAGCCAGGCATACAATACAAATCATATTATAACGAAGGAAGGATGTATATCGCTATCCACGCACGCAGGCACGCAGGGAGGATTCGCGAGTGGAGGTCTGTAAACATGCTCTGGATGTGTGTATACGGTCAGTCAGTCAGTCAGTATGTATGTATATATGTATGTACGTCAGCAAGGATGACGGATGTTTGGATGTCAAGATGGATGGATGGGTGTCAATACTTGTGGCTCCCGTATGGTATTTCGTCAGTAGTATTACTGCAGCTGGGCTGGCAGGGCATGCATGCATGCTTGCAATGAATGGTATGGCCAATTTTTATCTGGGCCAAACTCTCTGTCTGTTGTGGAGGCGTTCTGTTCCTCCCTCCTCTCTCTCTCTCTCCCCCCCCTCCTCTCACCTCAGGCTCCTTCTTCCTCATCAGCCCCCCCTCCTTTCGTCTATCTTGTCCGCCACCCGCCAGGTTCTGGAGGATGGGTGGGGGATGGATGGATCATAAAGGGGACAGACAGAGGCCTTTCGGTGGGCGGTGGTCTTCATTCATTCATTCTCTCTCGTATATGCATCTAATTAACCAGGGCGAGAGGAGACAGGGAGAGAGAGAGAGAGCTGAACGACACTATAGCACGCAGTAATATAGTCGAGCTCCATTGAGACGGAGAGATACAACACAACACATGACGGACGCAGGGGTGGCAAAAGGACAATTCAAAAGGAGATCTTGGAGAGTGGCTCTTGTTGATGCAGAAGCGGTTAAAACTAGGCAATTATGCATCTGCCATATCATAATATTATTTGGTTGTTGCTATTAATTTTTCCATGTGTTTTTGGGGTTTCTGCTCAGCCTCACAAAAGCCCTCAGCTGTTGTTGCCCATTTCTCCGCTAAATCTGATTACGGTCCCTCGCTGGCCCCCTCCCTTCCTTGGTGGTACTCTCCGGGGAGACGACGCGTTACGGTGTCCTGCATTATGATGTCTTGCATGCTCGTTTCGATGGGCTGTTTGTTTCAGCTCCGCTTCTTCTTCCGTGCTGTCCACGATCGGACGAGGTAAGTGTCAGGACCTTGTTGCAGTCCACAATCACATTGCCGAGATATGGTGGAAGTGGCCGCTTCCCATCCAGCCGTTACGTCAAGCCATGCAGAGATGAAATAAGAATGCAGGTGGCCCGGCACCGTCAGCCCCAGTCGACGGTATGTTGGGAGAACAAGAAAAAAGTCAAAGTCAGGCGCGCCCCTACAAGGTTCACCACTGTCGTTGGCCGACCGATGCGGTATGCAGTCAACATATAGCGCCCTTTGCTCGTTGCGACACCCCTCCACCATTGAAGCATTTCGGAAAAAGGCATTGGACAGCGATGGATGCCGTGGTTGTGTTGCAGGTTCTTGGTCATGAGATCGCATCTGTCCACATCTCCACGTCTCATCTCACCGCATCGCCAGGTGAGACGTTTCTTTCGACATGGGGACTCCACTACACTCTGTTGAAGTCCAATTCAATTTCTGTAACACGCCGAGTCGGACGCCGAAACGAGGGAGGTGTAAGGCCGTGGTCCGCACACGTGGCGTCGGGTCAGACAATATAATGTGATGCCGGCGCAGGGGCCAAATGGTAGCATAGCGAGTGTATGTAGAGACAGAGAGAGAAAGCAAGTTTCGATCAGGTCGACATTGGTTTGGATGCATCGTCGCACGACCATATGTAGGCTACGTCGACGATGATACCAGGCCTGAAGAGGGTTGGACAAGTTGCGCACAGCTTGCTGACCATGTTGATTGACATGATGCGTTGTCCTCTTGAGCCAGGCCGGGTAGCCCAATGTTCAGTGGTCCTAGTTGACCTGGCCTGACTCGCAGCTGAGGGCGCGGGGCGGGCATCAATGGACCTTGGAGGTCTGCTGAGAAGAGCGCCGGGTCAAGTGGTGAATGGTGATCGGCGCCCCCAAATGGCCTGTCGCCGGCTTGATGTCTCCCATCCGCTTGGGAGAAGGTCGCTGAGGTCCCATGGGTTTGAGAATGCCCGCAACATCATAGTGACCGCGACCCATTGTTGTTGATGGTTTGTGTTTGGCGTAAAATAACAAGATCTACCAATGAACCTTCCACTCTTGGGCGTCTTTTCGGCTTTGCTGTGTCGATATGTGGACGAGATGGGAAAGGGATTCCTGAGGTGAGGTGCTCAGATCAAAGGAAGAAGGGAGGCACCTTTTTATGCAGGTCCCAACGGGTAGCGGTGACACTGGGCCACGGAAGTTCAGGATGAGGCGGAGGCATCAAGCCTGGAGGATCCAGTCAGGTACCGGGTACAAGAAGTAGATGCGAGCTGATCATTTTGTGTTTCTGTAGTTATTCTGCGTCAGCTGTCAAAGATGCGGTGACTGTGTGGCGTTTTTCGGTCCTGCCTACCAGCCAGCGACCAGAGCTTTCGCATGCAGATGTAATGCATGGTCTAAATGCAGGCCACATCTACTGGGCCAGGGGTCTCGAAACCCGAAAATTCGGTGTCGCCTTTGGGGATGGCGTGGTTGATGGGCTAGTGTGGCCGGGGGTGCTACAAGAGACTTTTCGCTGAGGTAGCCAGCCCAGTAGAGTTGAGCTAGCCACAAGAGGAATGAATGAATAGGTGCCCCCTCAAGGCGAGCGAGAATCAGTGTCACTCAAAGGCCGGATGCATTGGGTGCTGTGGTGGAAGAAGAGAGGAGAGAGTATGTAAATCTGAGGTCCAGAAGGGCGGTGAAGGAGGCTGACATGGCGCATAGCCCCCCTGGTGCATAAGGGCCAAATGCACGATTCCTTTCCCCACGCGCTGTCCTGCAGGCTGCAGGCGGCAAGCTGCAGGCTAATCTAGCAAGCACCAGCTAGCTGTGTACATCGCTCGGGTCAAGTTGCGCCATCTTCCGCCTTGGGGTCGACAGATGCACGTATACGAGGTGACATGTGGGAAGGAAGAGTCGGTGACGCCAAAGACAAGAGCAGAGAGGCTTCAAAGCAGGAAGTCCTCCACCCATTGCTTCCCTGGGAATTTCTATCTCCTTTGACGGCAGAGACCCGGAGAACCGGTGCGAGAAAGAGAGCACATTAACTTTGGCCGGGGAATCCAGGACAGCGACCAGGTTCCCGGAACAGAAAAGAACGCCAAAGCATGGTCTTAAATCTCCTCCTCGAAATGTCTTCAATGGCTGTCTGGGAACTTTCCGTCTGCCTGGCGCCTCCAACTTGCTGCAGTAATCCCTCCCTCCACATCCACTACCACCAGTTCCGGATATGTCGGTCCCTTGTCACCCTGTTGGGCTCTGGGCCCCGTAGGCTGGGACCGTTGGTGTGCAAGGTGATCGACAGGCCCTCTGTCGGCCTTACAGGTCAACGCCTCCTTCCACCTCCACGCCCTGGATTTCGCCCTTCCGGAACTTGTTGGCCATTTCCTCAAAGGTACACCATTCCACCCCCTCATGCTGGTTGATCCATTCAATGAGACGCTCATGCAAGAGGGCGATTTGGGGCTTGCCGCTGACTTGAGGGTGGATGCTGATGGGGAAGACAAAATGCTCATATTCCCGGTAACAGAACTCAAAGTGCTCCTGCCAGAACCTCTCAATTTGATGCGGGTCGACGAAGCCAGCAGCGCCCTGGCCCCGCATCGTCTGAAAGGCAGGCCAATCGTCAACGTGCCAATTCGCCGGGACTTCGACCAGCGTCGACGGCCGGAGCGATGACATGGGACTCATCCACTCCCCGGCCGAGAGATTCTTGTAGTCGGTTTCCTTCCATGTGGTCGGTGGATACGGAAGATAGTACAACTGGGAGTCATGGTGCATGAATGAGTGATCATACTCCAGGCCATGCTCTTCTAGGAGCTGGACGGTCTGGGGTGAAGGGGTCCATGCAGGCGCCGTAAAGCCTCTGGGTTTCTTTCCCGTAAATGCGGTGACCACGTCGATGGTTTTCTGCAGGACATCTCGCTCCTGCTGTGGTGAGAGCTGCGAAACAAATTCATGCGTATACCCATGGAGTCCACTGGGCCGGCATATGCACCACATCAGCAAATCCCTCTCATCAAAATCATTTCCAGGGTGTCAGAAAGAGGGCGGTGACCGGGGAGCTAAACGGAAACCGACCTACATTTCGTGCCCAGCATCCCGCACCTTGGCCATTTGTTTGGGGAATGACTCGATGGAATGCCCCGGAGTGAAAAAGGTCGCCTTGATGTTATACTTTTGAAACAGCGCCAGTAACCTATCAATGCCCACGGTGGCTCCAAAGACACCGCGAGAGATGTTAGTCACATCAGCCGGCTGACCGGTCTGAGTGTTGATCCATCCACTCACGGCGTCGACGTCTACGCCGTAACCAACAAGGACTTTTTTGACCATTTTGACGGGAGATGGAGCGTACGGAGAGTAGCAATGGATATCCAGCAACAGGGTTGACGCGACGACTGGGGTCAATCCGAGCCTTTTTCAACCTCGGGCACTTACCTGGTGAATCGAGAAACTCCGGACCATGGGCGGGCTAACGGTATCTTTTTGGCATTGACATATCGCAAGAATCGGAGATGGTCGACAAGAGCGAGGAAACACGGGAGAGCAGCAGTGAGATCATGGTTTGGTTGATTCTCCAAATGCAGATGCATTTATTATTATTATTACTTGACAATGTTCCGTTTTTCTCCAACCACGTGCAATTCTCACCTTCCACTTCTGTTCAACAACCATTCGTGCCATTCCACATTCTGTAGCGACTTGGATAGCAGAGTCCTTACCTCGTACTCTTCACATACTCCCACCCCCCAGCCGCCATGTCTGACAAATGCCACGTCTTCCTCCTGCCCTAATCCGCCAGGCGAGCTCCCAAAACCCACTCCTGGCTCTCCTCCTCCGGGTGTGTCGCGACCTTCCCTCTGCTCGTAACGAGCTTCGATGGCTCCAAGAGCACGCTCGCGATGTCGTCAAGGCAGGGAGATATGCTAGCCACGAGGACCCGCCCCCTCCTGATGTTCCCGGGTTGAATCCAGCCGAAGAGACGAGGTCTTGCGACCAGCGGGTTGCAGAACGTGATGGTATTATGCAGACACCACAGGATGTGCCCAATTGGAAAGCCATTGGTCGACGACGGATGAGAAAAGAAGCCACGATTCCGGCGCAGACTGAACAGAGCATTGCCCGTCCCCCTCGATTTGCGAAAAGAAGGTTGTGGAACGACGAGGGCCTGATCAATAGCGAAGCAGACGAGCATGCTCAGGTGCAAAAGATTCTGTCCCAGAATGTGGTCAAGAGATCAAAAGGCATGCCACTCCAATACATCATCGGCAACCAGCCCTTTGGTAACTTGGACATCCTCTGCAGGCGTCGTGTCTTGATACCTCGGCCAGAGACAGAGATGTACACTGAAAAGGTCGGCAACCTGCTATTGCCGGCACTTCCATCTATTTGCACCTCCATTGGGTTGGGGCCACGGAATCACAGGACGTTCCGAATTTTGGATCTCTGCACTGGAACTGGATGCATTGCTCTACTTCTCCATTCGATCCTGAAGCCACCTGTGAGTGGCTCTGATTTCAAGTCGGCTATACCATCAAATATCGATTTTAAAATCCTCGGTATTGACAACAACCCGGTCGCCGTGTCACTAGCCCAAAAGAATCTGGCACACAACATTACACAGAAATTGTTGCATCCGGACGCGGCCAACGATGTGTCCTTCCAGAATGTTGATGTTCTGGCATTGGCCAAGAAAGGGGCCGACGAAATACTCAGGATCCTCAATGCTGCTGCGGCCAGCGTCGGTGAGAAGGGGGAGGACTCTTCCTCTCCAAGTGCGTTGTGGGACATGATCATCTCTAATCCTCCATATATTGGCCCTAAGGATTACGAGCCTGGTGGGAAGACGGAGCTGAGCGTGCGTAACTACGAGCCCAAAGAGGCGCTGGTTCCCACCTTCGCCCGAGGTGAAGACGGGCACTGTTATCGATCCTCTTCGATCGTCCTGGCCGACCTATTTTATTGGCCGCTCATGCGCATCGCTGGAGCTGTCGGCGCCCGACTCCTAGTCATGGAAGTGGGCGACTCGGAACAGGCGTCTCGAGTATGCAAGCAGTTCTTCCAGAACGACAGCTCGGCCACGACTCCGGGCGAACCCACACCACGGCTCGAAACGTGGAGAGATGACGGGTCCGTGAGGATCGTTCCCGCACGGCCGCCTCCTCCACAGTTCGGCGCCGATTTCGCAGAAGCAACCGACCTGGGCATTTCGGATCGAGCGGTTGTCGTGTGGACGAGTCAGATGGCCGACTGGCGTCGTGGTACTCTTCCTGCTTCGAATCCTGACCTCGACAAGACATTTATTTTACCTGAATCCCATCCATGGCACGAGATGAGACGCCCAGCTGGGTGCAGAAGCAGCTAGCTCATCAGGTCGCGAACGACTGAGACTACGAGGACGGAATGTACTGGGTGCAGCATCAACCTACAGGGTTAACATAGTATAGTAATTAAATATTAATACTGTAACATTCATCAATTCCGGAAAAAGTCCCTGGCTGCTGTGGATGTGTGTGTCGACTTCTCACACAAAACCGAACACATACAGTAGAACACTCTCACTCTTCGTTGCTGGATAAAGCCGTCCCGACACGACACGACGCGACGCGACGGACGCAATGGCAACGAGATGAGAATAAGTAAGGGGGGTGGGGGAAGCGTCCCGTGTTCCCTACCCCATTCTGACAGACATTACGGACAAGTTCCAGGTCAGTCACCATCAAGTCTCGTTCGTGGGGCGCGGTATGTATGTATGTATGTCTGTATGTTATTTGTCGCCATAAATGAGCGACGAGAGTAGGACCGACCGCCCCGTTGATATACGGAGGGATCTATGTATGTACATGTCTGTATATTTCTCCCTTTCGTGGCGCTCGTCACATTCTTTGTGTTCCCAGTACATAAATCGCACCCGCGCAGCAAAGACACATGCCGTAAGTATGTAGAAAGGTAAATACACAGATAGACAGATAGATGGGGTGGTTCAACAAGTACTATAGGTAAACAAACAGCCTCCCTCGTTGTGCTTGTTTTAGGTGTGTGCGCCGAACAAACGCCCCCCCCCCCTCCGTTCTTCAAGGCAAAACTTGCCCGCGACACGACCAGGCCCATTGCAAACAGACATCCAACCTTCTTCACTTTTCCACTTCTTTTCCCGGCGTTGTTGGGATGATGCAAGAAACCATTCGGGCCGGCTGGTGAGCCCAGGTAGACAACAGACGATAGGCGCTCAGATTTCCACCCACACAAAAAGAAAAGCATATACAAACGCTGCAGAACTCCCTCCCCCCCGCTCGGTCGTTATCAAAAGCAACAATATACACAGCATTCCCTCTCCAGAAAGAACAAACTGTGTCTCTCCCTCCGTCTTCCCAGTCCAGGCAGGCAGGCAGACAGAACCCAAAACAATATCACCTTGCACTACCAGGCTTCCTCGCATATACCACGTTCATGCGATGAATGGCGTGAACCTTGGAACTTCTCAGTTCATTCCTTACTGTAGCGCAGAGGGCTCTGACTTCATCCGCAGTCCAACCCAACACACTGGTCAACAACCTCAACGTCCAGTTCTCCAGGCCAGTCTCGATATGCGCTCGACACCACTGGCCAAGCTGTTTGAGAGCAGGATCCTTGGGCCACGGCCCGATAGGCCACTTGTACCTGCGTTCGGTGACGGATTCAAAGCCCGCATTGGTCATGTGTTGACGCATGGTCTCGAGAACCTGTAGTTCACGATTGAGCTTCGCATGACATTCAGGGCCGACATTGTTCCATGCTGCAATGCCACCGTCTGGAGGGAGACTATTGTCGTCGCTGGTGAACTGCGCAGAGTATTCTGCCTGCTCGAGCCACCCACCCGGCTTCAGGCAGCGCATGCATTGCGCGTACAGAGCCGGCCAGTCCTCAATAGTGCCGTGGAGACCGCGAATATGAATGAGATCGAAGATGTTGGAATCGTAGGTCCATTCGGATTCCATGTCGTCAATCTCGAAGCGTACGTTGGGCGGGACCCATGTGGGTTGAATGGGGGAGAGGTCTGTTCCGATGACGATGGCCGAGGGATATAGGTCGGCCACATCAATGGCCCACGCCCCGGTGCCGGTACCGAGATCAAGGATTTGAGAGGGGTTGGAATGGATAGGCGCGAGAAAGAGGCGGTTGTCTAGAGTTTTCAAGTATAAGTTGTGGCCGATATCATGGTGTTGGTTAGCCTCTTCGTCGTTGGCGCCCCTGTGAGAACCGTGTAAGTCATGACAATAAAGAACACCCCAGAGGCAGCAGTAGCCTACCAGTACTTCCCGTCCTTAAAGGCGTGGTAAGTCCGGCCATTTTCCACACGGTAGTCCCTAATCCACGACGATATCGAAGTTGTTTCGGTCAAGCTAAAAGGACTGTCAACGCCGACGACGGTGGAAAGGGCTAAGACGTCACCTACGCTTCGTCTCCGTATGCTGAATCGTTGTCATCATCCTCAAGGTCCTGTCACAGGTTATTCCATGTCAGAAATAGGGCGGTCGGGGAAGGTTCCGGGCATCTTGGGAACTTGACTCACAGGATCGGCAGTTATTCGACTGGAGCGTTGGCTTTCATTGTCGTCTCCGTCCGGACACATAATGCCGGGGTGTAACTCACAGACGTGAGGTGGCTTGACGTCTTGTCCAGGTCCTGAGATATGGGAATGTTGGGGTGGATTGCTATGGGACAAGGGTATGTACCCCGGACTGTGCAAGGGAAGTGGAAGTGCGGAACAAGCCCGGGCTCGCGTGATGTGTGTTACTACAGAGTGTTGAGTAAGATTGGCAACGCTCTCAAGGAGAAGGGGGGGTGGGACCCTGCGTCCTCCCGTCTAGATCCGGCCAAATTGGGACGTTGACAAGTCTGTGCTTATTGCATTGAGTTCGAGAACGTTGGCAGAGCGGGCCGAACCGATATTGTTCTGGAGGTCGATAATTGTGCTCAGCATGCTGGGGGAATGCATAGCAGAGACCTTCTCAACGATGAGAAGGTGAAGAGAGAGACCGGCAGGGGCTGAGCAAGATTTAATCCGTTTTCTGGCTGGCGGTTTTGTCGAATTCAAGCCTGGGCGTGTTGCGGGGCACGACGTCGAGCTTCCGGAAGGGGGCTCTGTCTGCCGTAACGTAAGAGGTAGAGTTGCCCGCATTCTCGACCCGTGGGTGGCCGGCTTCGACTCGTCAGGAGGGCTAGTAGATACGGTCAGTGACCTTTGACTCAGGATCCTTCATAAACATCTGTGAGACGTGTCTAGTCAAGCCATGAATTCGCTTTGATTTGTCTCCAGAGCCGTTCCACAGCCTCGCTAAGCAGGGTGGAAGCGGCAAGCGGGATGGCGCCCGTTGACCGTCAAAGCCACAGCGCTGCCTCGGCACGTGTTGTCGGAGAGGAGCTGCGAGGCTAGGAAAACTACCCGCAGGCTTGTGATGTTGGTTGGATGACGGATCGGTTGATTTACGAGTAGTCGATCCTTGGCCAGTGAATCACGAACTGCCGGTGAAACGGATGCCAGCTGGGAATATGAAACCCGAGGAATTGAGCTGGTTGGGCCCTACTCCAACACGAATCTGGCTCCCTCTACCGCCCTTTCCATCATCTCGTGGGCAACCGCGAGGCTCGGGAAGGCATGGAAATAATGGGGAAGTCCCTCGTAGTAGTCGAGCTTACTTTTGACCCCGCTCTCTCTGAGTCTGTAGTCCAAGACGGCTCCGTCGTCTCGAAAGCAGTCCTTTTCGGCATTGACAATATAGCATGGAGGAAACTTGGATAGGTCGTCTGCTAGGCCTATGAGGTGTCGTGGACTGTCAAAGTCGATATCGTAATGGGCTAGAACCAGGTCAATGAGGATCCAACACAGTGGACTAGTTAGTTGGACGTTGTGTACTCACACCAGATGAACTTGGCCAGCTCGAGACCAAACACGGGAGTGCCCGCTTTTCCGTTATCCTCCCACGAGGTGTACATATGCTTGTACTTCCCGTTGTACTTCCAGGAGAGTAATGCAACAAACATCAGAACGCAGCCAGTGATAGACGTATGATCCCCCTCGATCATAAAACGGTATGCCACTTCAGCTGAGAGCATTGCGCCAGCCGAACCGCCACACAGAAGAGTGTTGGAAGGATCATCTCCCAGTGCCTTGGCTCGGTTGCGACACTGTTTGTGTCAGAACTCGGAGTTCGACCATATGGAGCCTTTTCTTACCCAAGGAACAGCCTGGCTAGCGACGTTGATGATGTCGTCAAGTTTGACTTTGGGCACCTTGGGGTAGTCGACGCTGATGACCAGACAGGGCACTTTGGCGGCAAATATCCGGCAATGGGCGTCTTCAGTGTCCAGATTGCCAGCAATGAATCCTCCACCAGGGAAGTAGATCATGAGCGGCAACGGTTTGTCTGAGGCCGGTTTGTAGATTCGAACTGGAAGGTCACCATGTTGGCTGTCTGTCCGCTCATCCCCTGCAACAACACATGTTAGAATTGAGCAAGTGTCACTGGTGCCATTGGAGCCAATTCACATACAGACTTTCAGTTCTTCAGCGAGGGGTGGCCACTGTTTTGCAAGCCCGGCGAAGACAGCATCGTAGGTGGGGACGTCGACAGCCCAATCGCCCGTCATGACATATCGACCGCCGGATGCGTCTTCGAGCTGGTGAGGTGTCAGTTGGCTTGAGGACGCAGGAGGTGGGTTGGACGTGGGTTGGACGTGGGCGGGGAGAGATGAGATGCTCACTGCCAGCCATTCTGGTCGGTAGCCTTCTCGAGGCCAGACTTTGGTGGGTTCTGCTGTCATGGTTTCCTGAGAGTTGTTGAGGGTATGGAATATGTCCTGATGCAACCAGTACAGAGGGGGAGACTGACAGACAACCGACTTTAGAGTGGTGGACAACGACCTTCCAAAACCGGGTTCGAGCCAGAACCCATTAATAATTAATATGCAACAATCACATAGCCATGAGCTACGGGAACGTGACTGGGTGCTTTTATCGTGATGGAACGAGGGTATCCAGTAGATCCAGCAGTTGTATATTAGGGTCATGTTGTTGCTATTCATTGTAGCCTCTCGCGTGTCTCTATGTAGGAGTTAAGCAGTAAATGCTCGTACCTGCCACAAGATCTTGGTACGTATTGCTGGTGAACAGTTCATCATCTCGTTCACCACCACCACCACCACCACCACCACCACTACTAGCCACAATGTCTCCCATCAAGCAGGACACTTGGGATCTTATCTGGGGATTCGCCATTGTCGTCACTCTTTATTTGGCCGTCGCTTTTCCATTCCTATGGTGTACGTGGGGTTGCCTGCGTACTCTGTTGTGGGCTTTGAATCAGATGTGAAGGTAAGATGCTCATTATTGACGAGATCACAGTGCCAAATTCCTGCCAATACAATCAAATCCATCCTCGTCTGCTGAGAAAAGGATGAGGTAAAAAGAAAATAGGACATGCTTTGGTATGCACAGCACTTTGCACGAACATCAATACTGCGCCACCGTATCGTGCGACGCCAGCAACGCTATACTCGACAGAACCTCGGTCCATTATGTACCTCCGTCCTCTCCAGAAGTCCCTCGTGCTTAACCATTATCAATCGCAAGCAATCACTCTTCAAGATTGACAACGAGATGGCGGAGCAAGCGCCGTCCAGCAGCATCCCTCCTCCGCCGGCATCTGCTCCCTCTGCTCCCTCTGCTCCCTCTGCTCCCTCTCCAGCACCCATGGAATACCCCTTCGCAACCTCGCCCGACATCCTCCGCACGCACCAGAAAGACGCCTATATCTCTGGGAGCATCTCGTCGCAAGCGTCCACGATTCTACGCGCGCTCCTCGGCGCTCGTTTCGCACACAAATACTCAGAAGCGACGAACCAACTCTCGGAACTCCTCTATCTCTGTATAACAACCCTTCTGGGAAACCGAACACTGGGGGAAGAGTACTGCGACGTGATCCAAGTCGAGGACGACACCCTGAGACTCGCCGGTCTGGGAAGAAGAGTCGGCTACATTGCCAGCGTGGTGTTCGCGCCCTGGATTCTGGCGAAGTCTCTGCCGGCGCTGAGGAGAAGGCTAAGGAGTAAACTCGAATGGAACATCGAGCACGCAAAGCAGAAACAATACCATCACAGCAAGCGTCCGCCCTCACCAAGAAGCCTCAGATTGCAAGAGTACATCCTCAAACACCTCGACACCCTGACCTCCCCTCAACCCATCTACGCCGTCAGCCTCGCCATCTTCTATTTCACCGGGGCGTACTACCACATTGCTAAGCGGCTGTTCGGTCTGCGCTACGTGTTCACGAAACAGATCAGACCGAATGAAGAGCGAGTTGGGTACGAAGTCCTGGGTGTGCTCCTCGTGCTGCAAATGGCCGTCCAGTCGGCGCTGCACATCCGAGAAACGTACATGGACGCGACGGCCTCCTCGACGACGGTGGGACCCGAAGCAAGGGGAGCCAGCACCGCAGCCATGCTCGCCAACGGCATCGAAATCCCCATCCCCTCCAGCCTTGAGACCTCGTCGACGGGCCAACTGCTCTCGGCTGTCTCCGTGCCGTCCTACCTACCACCGGGCCTGGCCGCGAACACGGCAACCCCGATCCTCGACTCGCCGCGCTACGCCCTCGAGGACCACGACGAAACCATGGCCTGGATGCCCGCCGGCAACCAGCGGAAATGCACCCTGTGCCTCGAACCCTTCCGCGACCCGAGCGTGACCACTTGCGGGCACGTCTTCTGCTGGACCTGTGTGCAGGACTGGGTCAAGGAGAAGGCAGAGTGTCCCTTGTGTAGACAGAGCGTGCTGAGCCAGAAGATATTGCCGCTGCGAGGTTAGCGGATGTGTGTTTACAGCAAGTCACCACGGGCAGATTGCAAGCATGTAGAATAATCCTGAGACGGTTGGTTATCAAGGTGACTTCGCATTTATCAATCTACCTACCCACGGGGCGATTCTTTCATGCTCATCATCATGAATAAGGCATTTCCCTTTCAAAAATGTTTCCCGTAGATATGCCATCCATTATGCAATTGTCTACCTGGCGGTTTTTTTGTACCTCTTCCATTGCCAAGATCTGTATATAATATATATATCCGTCCGTTCCAATCCGACGCCGGTATTCGCTATGACCACAACCGTCCTCCCTCCCTGTGCAATAGTTCCTTTCCCCCCCAAGAGGAGGCTGATTACGACCATGATGGGTTGGGGTGATATCTAAGCCAATGCCACGGCCCCTTCCTTCTTCGCCGCGTGGGGGCTCTCTACGTCGTCCTCGCCGTCATCACTGATCAGCCCTTCGAGCTCGAACTCTTCCGCGTCCCGGACCTGCTGGCTCGCGGTGCCTCGGTGCCGGGGCAGCCTGGCGCTCCCGTTCACGGAGCCATTTGCGCCGCCGTTCATGCCGATGCCTGCGAGGGTGGACATTTTCCTCGCGTGGTGCGCACCAGGACCGCTCGCCGGCCCCGCCACACTCAGACTTCTCCCGGACCCAGAGCTGCTTGGCGCGCCATAAGACGAGCGAACGCCGTTGCTCTCGTCGTCCGGCCATGCGTGGCTCGCATAGACGTACAGCAGGATGTTCACGAACAGGTAGAGCATAAAGGCGATGCTGTAGAGGATCAGGATGTACGAGACGTGGGTGACGTCGGCGTCGGAGAGGAGGTGCATTTGTTCCTCGGTCGCGCCCATGAAAAGGAAGCCCGAGGCGTAGAGGAGCTGGGTGCACAGATCCCGTCGTCAGTAAATCCACAAACATGGAAAGTTCGCAACAAGGGAAATAAATGAATAAACACTCACGAATGGCGGCAAGTGCTGCCAGCTGTTGACCTCGCCCGTGCCACGGCTGTCCTTTAGCAAGAAGGAAATCTCAACGATCCGCGCCGCACCCGCGGCCATCAGGGTGTATCCAAACACCGTGTGCACCATGGTGCTCAGAGGCAGATCTTGGGGATGGGCACTCATGGCCCAGCCGGTCAGGAGGATGACCAGGCCAGGCAGGATATTCCTCTTCGGTCTTCCGTTCCTCGATCTCGACAACCATACTCCGAGCAATCCAGCGCACCACCAGACAATCCCCATGCTCGTGTGTTGCAGGTCGTTCTTGACCCAGGGATGGCCCCAGCGATGTTCGGTAAACGTATTGACGCAGCCCCATGCCGCGATCACGCAGCTGTCGAAAAACTCCTGGCTCCGGCCCGTCCTTCTCAACCATGCTTGGCCCACGAGCAATAGGAGAGTCATGATAATTCCGTACCCGATGAATGCTGATCCCATGATGAAATGCGCCAGGCACTGCCCCAAATGGTCGCCGCGACAATACCCCATCGCGACGATGCCTCCGAAGAGCATCTGCGCCCAGGCGACAATGGGCATCAACTTGCCTAGCCAGCCGTGGATCATGACCACACCTCTCCTGCCGCCTCTGCCAACTTTCCCTCCAAAGACTCGGCCGATCCATCCCTTTTTCTCCTCGAGATGTAGCTTCAGTCCGACGCCCAGCCCGACCTGAATGAGAAGCATCAACACCAAGCTGTTGGCAAAACTCGCGTGAATGTTCGGGTGGCGGAATTGTCGTCCCTTGTGCATGTGTCCCAAGAAATACGCCACGGTTGCGATGACCGTGCCCACAATCTGCAGAGGGACATGCCAGCGACTCTTAATGATACCCAAAACCATGCCATAGGGGAAGATCAGACCGAAGGAGACGATCATGAGCAGAATGTGAAGCCATAGTCGACTGTCCAAGGGATCGGGAGAGACGGCTTCTCCCTCGGGGATCTTGTCCGTGTGGCCGCCATGGGCAGAGACGGGGGTAGCGATGAAGGGGAGAGGGGACAGGTAGAGAAGAAGGGTTGATTGCGGACTCCGTCGTAAGGGGCGTAGAAGAAACATCGTGGATGGATGGTGGTGTGAGGCGAGGACTCGGGGGGAGTTGTCTCTCGATGAGGTGAATGGGCAATTATTGCCAGCTATCGGCAGATGGACATCGTACGACTATGCTCGAGTAGCAGAAGAATGATTTTGATGGCGACGACCGAAAAACCATCAACAGATATGGAGGCTGAATCCGTCTCGGACGCTGCATGCGCAGTGGTGGCCTCTCGGGAAAAGAGGTGTTGCCTCCCCACAACTGGCCGGTGATACCGGTCGATCACGTTACTGACACACTCCACTGAGATTCGTGCACTCTATACAAGTCATTTCCTTGCGTCTCGTCAACATAGTCGATACAATACGTCACCCATTGGCAGATGAGGTTCGAGCAAGACTTGCACGGCGAACAGGCATCAAGGAGGGAGACAGTGCTGTATTGGGTGCACTAACGATACCACCAGTCCGTACTTAAAGAATACCTCCTGACCTCTACCGCGGCCATTACCACCTTTCCAGACCAACACATTCATGCTTGCCTGTTGACATAGAAGCTCTCAGTTTCGCAAGGGAGTCCTGCTCCTCCGCAGGTTGAACAGAAGAGGAATTGCATGCTGCAGATCGTCCCCAAACTTTCGCAGGTTGTCTTGTCCGTCCGAGCAGAGTTCATGCATTTCAAGGCATCTTGTTCACATTGGGCGTTGCTGTTGAAGCATTCGACCTTGTTGGTAAATCGCCGTACCTTTCCACAAGAGTTCCTGCCCGAAACAACACATCCACCCTTCGACCTTGAGCCAACGCTGATCCAAGCCGGATTCCGATACCAGCGTTCGGGCTCGTCATTCAGACACTCTCCGACCGTGACAGCTTAACACCGAGTCAGTGACGGTCTTCGGAGAGCAGCGAAGGGCAGACACGAACCTTTCCATCCTCGCTCGGAGATCACATTCAGAACATGTTTTGTGAGCTCGATGGCTGATGTGCGGATGGTGTCGTGCTGGATCAGCAACATCCTGCCCTGTTGATCAGCCGTGCTCTGCAAGGCCTGGTCAACTCTCGCGGTCATTGCAGTGAGATTGGTGGGAGTCATCCAGTCCCCACTGTCAAATGCATATGAAATGACATGGTATCCAAGATCTCTCATGTCGCTCAGACAACCGGTGTCGTTGCTGCATAGGAGGTAAGGTGGCCGCATGTACGCGGGATATTTGCCTAGGATGTTGGCGAGAGCCCTCTCGTTTTTAGCCATGTCGAGTCGGCGAGCTTCTGATCCCATCTTGTCCATGTCCTCATGAGACCAAGTATGAGAACCAACTTGGTGCCCGTCCTTGATCATACGCTTGATCACATCAGTCCACTCATACGTCGTGTCTATGGGACCTTTGCCGTTGCTGTTCCCGGTAACGAAGAAGGTTGCCTTTGCACCAGCTTCGTTGAGTATATTCAGCAGCTCCTCGGTGTTCTGTGATGGGCCATCGTCGTATGTGAGAGCAATAGTTCCAGGAACGTAGCAATTGCTGATGTATTGTCCGTATGCGATTTGGCTTCTCTCCACTCTTGGATCCACTGACACATTGTACCCTGCCGGAGTTGTATCAGAATCGCAAATACCAAATTCCTCTTGGCAGTTGTTAGGGACAGAACAGAAATCGTGGCCAGTTCCCTAGACCATGTCAGAGAGGCAAGCAGGCTTCCAAAGGACAGATACTGACACAGTAATCAGCGTGAGAGCAACACTGAGGAAAGGGGCAACTTCGGTTGCCGTTCGACGCGCCACATCTCTCTTGAACGCAGGTTCCGAAAGCTGGTTGACATCCGACACCACAGAACTCCTGGGATATACCCTGCTTCGGTCAACATCTCATTGTTTCGTAGTCCAACAACACTGACGCATAAACCACCGGGAGAACAACACTCTCCGGCGCTACAATGCTGCCCATCATGATCGGGACCACAGTACTTGACAACTGAAGCCCGATTTGTTGGACCGTTCAAATCGCATCTTCTGCCTCAGTGTCAGATATCGTGTTTAGAAACTTGTCCTTTTGTAACTTGCCCATATTTCTCTTGACAGCCCACACCGCAATAAAGATCCCCGTCACCTGTGGGGGTATAATCAGTTGGCGTCCTGGATGGAGAGGAAATAATGATTTGGTACCGCAGAAGCCCTGTTGTGATCAGTATCAAGTCGGAAACACATTTGGATCAACACACATATGACGAGCAGCACATTCCATTCCCACTAATATCTGGGTCGCAGGCCGTTCCTGTTGCGTTTCCACAAACGACTGGCTGCGGTTGCTTATCCTCAGGATCGAATAATGCAGATTGCTGGTCGTCAGAATCAAGACTGGAGGAAGTAAGAGAACCAACAGGGGCCGAGTCCGCTGCTTCGGCCGAACAGATCAATGCGCGAAGAGCAGAGAGCAGAAGGAAATGAGGCTTCATCATGACACAGAACACGTTGAGCCGGAAGGGACGCCAGCGGTTTGGAGTGGGAAGACTCGGAGCCACGAGAGCAAAAGTCTGTATGCAATAATGAATGCAGCCCTACCAATGTAGGCCAGCTCGATAGAACTTCAGAACGAACCTTGACCCGTGCAATAATTGTGTAGGTCGGACGAAGCGCCGAAGTAGAAACAAATTGTTGGGCTTAACTGTCCTGTGTAGAGTCCAAATCGAAGGCGCGAGGCACCTGCTCAGGGAGGATCAACCGGAAGCGATTGCAGTTAGCAGACTCACCGGCATAGCAACACAACAGCAAGAGCAGAAATTCGAAGTTGTTGATGTAATCGAATGGCGTGTCTTCGTCTCCTTCAATGCGTAACCCATAACTAGCTAAGTGTAGCAGCAAACCAGGTCTCAAGATCTCACAACCATTATTTGATTTTTGAACCCATCTAATCCAGATTGTTCATTGAAAAGATCCTGGTATATCGTTAGGGTGCCCCTTTGACTCCTCAGTGGGCGTCACTGGTACAGAATGGAACGCAGAGTCCGTGGCTTCATGTGTAGATGCGGGTGTGAGAACGTGGTCGCCCTCGTGCTTTTCTTCGTTGTTGCCATTCAAGTCAATCTTGTCAAAGCCATCAACGGGCGTCTGTGTTTCCGAGGTAGGGGATGCTACCCGGCCAGGATTCCGTGGTGGCAATGCTGGAGGAACACGTTTAGGAACTTCGACCACTCTCGCACGGGCCATGACCGGCACAGCTGTCGAGACCTCGACATCCGAATCTACGTCTGAGAATGATTCTCTCCGCTCTTGTCGGTCTTCGCCGGTGTCATCAACGAGTTGGCTGTGTTTCCTTGGGTGATCATGTGCTCTTAGCGAGTCCCGTCGAGGACTATGCCCGGCACTCTTCGTTTCATCCTCGTCGGTTTGGGTACCCCGATCGACACTGGCGAGGCTGTGCGTGCTTTCTCTCCAGGTCCGGCTCCGGATTGAGCCATCAACGCTTCTGCGTGAGAAATGGGAGTAGATTGGACTGGTGGGCGATGGCTTGAATTCAAAGGCATCTGCACTTGGCCTTTGGTGGGTTCCAGCCTCGCGGATATTCAACCCTTCAGCTTCTAGCGCCTTCACTCCATACGGATCTGGATCGTCCTCGGCCGGAATGCCAAAAGTAGCGCCTCCTGTAAGCAGTCAGTTATGATGTCGCCACGCATTCGCCCACGCTCACCTTGTGGAAGGATCTCCATATCACTCGGAGCCGGTGCATCGGGGAGCAAACTGTCATCCACTTGTTCACCTTGAGCCGCCTTCAAAGTGTCCAGAAGCACCTGGTATTGCTCGACCGGCGGATATCGAACCTTGCCGACAAGGATATCTGTGACGCTGATCTGTTCTCCATAGAACCTTGCATTCTCGTCAGTCCGCTCAATGACAAGATTCCCCTCCAAAGCGACTCCAGCGTAAAGACCACGACTCTTGACGTATGACCAAATAGGCGCCTGGCGTTTTGTCAATTCACTGTCCAGAGCGCCGCCGACTCCTACGGGGCCGGCTGCAATGCCGACCTCTGTCCCCAAGGTAGTCCTCCATTTTGTGAAAGCCCCTAGGGCTTCGTATGTATTGATGACCAGCACTGTATCATAGATGTCGACTCCTGCAAGAAATCCAAAGGACAGATTTTGAGTCTGGATGCCGCTAGGAGGACTCCATTCTCCCGTCTCCGGATGCCTTCCGACGAGAACGCCAGCACCGCCGGAGCCACCAAAAAGCCACCCAGTCCGCATGGTTGTGAAAATAGCCAAACCGACGGCATTTTTGATGACACTGGCTGGGATCTTTTTTACTACCCGTTGCGTGCCTTGCGGGACTCCCACAGTTGTTGCGTTCCGGTCTTCCACCTTTTTGGCCTCCTTCTCTTCTATCTGCTCATAGAACCCGTCTTTGCAGAACCCACGCAGAATACGAGCCGCCTTTTCTGATTCCTTGTCCATTGTGGTAGGCCAGAATGCTTCGGAGCCAATTCTATTTGACAAGCGGTTGACCGGGGCTCCCAGCTTGTCGACAACCGCGTAGGCTTTATTGAAGCCAGGTTTCAGCGCCTTCTCGTAGGCGGTACTGGAATATCCTTTCGTCTTTTCCCACATCGTCGAATTACCAGATGATGTCTTGGTCGAGGTCTTGGTCGCCGTAGTATCCAAGGCTAGACCCTCCGCCGGTTGCGCCATGGCACCCGGTGAGAATCTGCGACGTGACTGGATTGACGGATTCGGGAGATGGCCTATTGATGATGGTCAGGGTAGCGGTGCACTCAACGTGCTCTCGCGATGAGCTGTTCACTTGCAGGGCAAGTCTAAATGGTTGCGAAAAAGGAATCAATCTGGGATGGTTCTGTCGCGCGCAGCCGACCTTGAACTCTTAAGCACCGCTTGGGCCGTTCAGCCAGCCAGTAATCCGGTGCAGCCGGAGTTCACAACTGAATGTTGCGATTCGGAGAGAGGCACCACGGGCACTAGGGAGTCAGACGTCATTGGCCTCAGATGCGCTATGGCGGTACCAGCGGCAGAGACATATCTTAGTCAGAATGGCTCAGTTGCCAGGTAAAGCAACTGGAGCCCGTTGGGATCCCAATGGAAAGGTGAGGGGGCCAAACAAGGCCAGCAGTCTGACCAAAATCAAAGCATGGTACACACCCTCGACACACTACACCATTGCATGTGACTGCATTGTCAGACTGAAATCATTTCGGTGCCGCGGCAAAGCTTGGAGGCACCTATCAGAGTAGAGCTGCCCTACTTGACCTCATTTCTCAGTCACTATCAGTCAGTCCTCGTGTATTTCGGACAGACACAAGAGCTGACGCTTCAAGTATTCTATTCTCCGTACCAGAAGATTCATACGGAGCAGCAGAGGGCAAGGAAAAGGCGAGAGGCTTCCGCGCCTCGGCTCGTCAGGATAATCAGACAACCGATTTTCGACTAATCACATGTGGACTCTGCCGACAAGAATATATTTCGCGTCGGTCTTCAGTCGGTCGTCTATCTCTGGGAAACCCCAGCGAGCCACTTCATCTTCTGCAGAATCGACCGTCTGTTCGCTATTCGCAGCGGACCATTAGCCATGCCTCCGATTCCACCTCTTTTCGTGCTCCAGATCCCGCCGACGTTGAATGCTGGGTCTAACGCTCAAGGCGAGCAAGGGAACTTCATATGCACCCAGGCTGCTCCTCAAGTTTATCTCCTGTCCTTCTCCAGTCCGCCGGACAACCGCCTTGTGCCAGCTTTCAACCAAACATTCCTGCTGGCGCTTGACATCATTGAGCACCGTCTCCCTCGAGGAGTAGTCATCACCACTTCATCCATTACTAAATTCTATTCCAATGGCCTCGACTTCGAGAACGCTATCAAAGATCCGACCTTCTTCCCAAGCAGTCTTTACCCGTTGTGGCGTCGCCTGATCACTTACCCAATGCCTACAGTGGCACTGTTAAATGGCCACGCCTTTGCAGGTGGCCTGATGACCGCCATGATGCACGACTATCGCATCATGAATCCTCACAAGGGTTTCTTGTGCCTCAATGAGTTGGATTTCGGAGCAGCTCTTCAACCAGCCATGGCAACCGTATTTCGGGTCAAGTTGAATATGACGACTTTCAGGAATATGGTCCTGGAGAGTAGGAGATATCCAGCCCTCGAGGCCTTGAAAGAGGGCATCATTGACGGCGTCGGAGGCGTCGATGAAACGCTTGCTTTTATTTCGGAGATGAAACTAACCCAGAAGGCTCAAGGGAAGTCGTATGGCCTGATCAAGGAAGAATTGTATCGGGAGATTGTCAAGGACCTGGACGAGGCCGCGGACACCCGTGCGAAGTTGGCGGCGAGAGATCTAGACCGCAATCATCGGGCACTGGAATCGAAGAGGAGGGTCGACGAGTATCAGGCCGTGGTCCAGAGGGCGAAGCTCTAATCACGGGAGAGGATCAGGCGGTCTGTGCACCAGGAATAGGAGCTGGTGAAATACCAATATGGTAGATGCACCCTTCTAGCAGGCTACAGTAATTAATTCCCGCCAGACTGGTTGGATTGAGTCACGCAAGGACTCGTATTCGTATTCGGCGTGGTTATCCAGCTCTTTTACGCGGAAGTACACTCTTCGATGGTAGATACGGCACCAGGGAATGAGCCAGTCTTGTACTGCACTAGCACATCCTGCTGAAACTCAGTCATGAATCATCACTGATGAGTATCACTGCGAGAACAACCTATTATCGAGGGCCCAGGTAGACAGACACCTAGGTGGGATTTTGCTTATTGGGGATACTCCGTATCACGGGCAAATAGCAGAGCTGCACAAATAAGCCTAGTGACAAACCTTTATTTATGAAGCGTTATGCACGTCGCAAGGAGCCGAACCGGACTGATCAAAAGGGTAAAATTTGCGGAATACGAGGCCTCGGCCAGTGGTGGCGACCGACTACTTTCCCCACGTATTTCAAGTACGAGTAACAGCGGGAGCACCGTTTAGGGGCGACTGCCCCCATAAGGGCCGCCCGTGGCGCAATCGACTTCAGGCTCACTAGGCATAAGGCATCGCACGCGAGCCTCGCCCAGATCCACAATTCTCGTCGCCCATTGCCGCCCATCACTCATTCTTGTGATACCCCTCTCCACTCCGACCAATTAACCTCCGCCCGAGTAGAATTATTTTGGTTTCCCGAGTGCGCCATCTCAAAGTCCGACTCAAACTACGTGGATTCCCTTTGATTGTTCTCGGGCCCGAGATTCTGTCCTTGTTGCCTGTCTTGCCTGTACATATTATCTTTACTTACCATATCATTCATTCTGCCTCATAATACATCCCCTCTTTAGTCTCTTTGCATATAAGGAACGAAAAGAATCGCAGCCGTCCGCAGCTTGACCCCCTTGATTCCGCACACAAACCCTCCTCTTTCTACACACGTATTCACGTATTGCCACGGCCGCGAATTGCCCTCTCGCATATCCTTCTTAATACCCAGTTCTTCTTCGTCCACCATGCTCCGTTAGCTTTCACACGAAGACTTATTTCTATCCGGTGCCCTGAAAAGGCCTCAACATGAATCCCAGTGGCCAAGGCGAACTGCCGGGCAGCGCAGCCGCCATTGAACAAAATATCGAGGAGAAGGAAAGGTCACAACTGGGCATCGTCACAGATCAGCAAAAGGACACCGAACCGTTCTCTGAGAAGAGTTCTGCCACTCCGGTCAGCCCTTCTACGCCCATCTCTGGCAACCCCAAAACCCCAATTGCTGCTGTGTCACCTACTTCGCCGACATCTCAATCTTCCGACTCGGATGCTCGTGCGGATCTCGCGAAGTTCGACTCGAAGATTGTTCAGATTCGAGATGTACCAGAGGGTGATGCTGCATTGGCTCACTTGCCAGAGCATGAGAGAGAGGTTCTGAAAAAGCAATTGGATGTCCCAGACGTGAAAGTCTCCTACTGGACGCTATACCGTTACGCGACCACGTGGGACAAGGTCCTGATTGCCATAGCATGCCTCTCTGCAATCGGCGCCGGTGCCGTCATGCCTTTGATGACCGTCGTCTTTGGCAACCTCAGTGGCACCTTTCAAGGACTGGTACTAAACAGTCTCTCATCAAGTTTCAATTCCATCCTATCGCGATATTGTCTGTACTTTATTTACCTGGCTATTGGAGAATTCTGCCTGGTTTATGTAGCAACCGTGCTCTTCATCTACACCGGCGAGCACATTACTTCCAAAGTCCGAGAGCAATATCTGAGGGCTATCTTGCGACAGAACATCGGATTTTTCGACAAATTGGGGGCTGGAGAGGTCACAACTCGCATCACTGCCGACACAAATCTTATTCAAGAGGCTATCAGTGAGAAAGTTGGATTGACTCTGACTGGTGTCGCCACATTCTTCTCCGCATTCGTTATTGGTTTTGTCAAGTTCTGGAAACTCACGTTGATCTGCACCTCTACTGTCTTTGCAATTATCCTAGTCATGGGTTCTGGGGGCAAAAAGATGGCTGGGTGGAACAAACAAGCTCTAGGAGCGTATGCACTGGGAGGCTCGGTGGCGGAAGAAGTACTGGCCTCGATCAGGAACGCAGTCGCCTTCGGTACCCAGGATAAGCTCGCGAAGCAGTACAACGTACACCTCCTCGAAGCTCGCCGCTGGGGAATACGAAGCAAGAGCGCGCTGGGCTGCATGATAGGAGGCATGCTGTGTCTCCTTTTCTTGAATTACGCTCTCGCATTTTGGATGGGTTCACGATTTCTGGTCGACGGCGAGACCACTCTTGCCCATATCTTGACCATTATCTTTGCCGTCATGATCGGTGCCTTCTCTTTCGGCAACGTTGGGCCCCATATGCAACACTTTGCCGCTGGGGTGGGTGCAGCGGCCAAGATCTACTCGACTATCGACCGTGTGTCCTCAATAGATCCTCTTTCTGATGACGGCGAAAAACTGGATCACGTTGAGGGAACTCTCGAGTTGCGAAATGTCAAGCATATCTACCCGTCACGAGCCGAAGTGGTGGTCATGGAGGACGTCAGTCTGGTCATACCCGCAGGCAAGACAACCGCGCTTGTTGGAGCTTCTGGATCGGGTAAGTCGACGATTGTCGGGTTGGTAGAGCGATTCTACGATCCAGTGGGTGGCGTGGTTCTCCTTGACGGGCACGACATCAGCACGCTCAACCTTCACTGGCTACGACAGCAAATTGCCCTCGTCCAACAGGAGCCGATTCTTTTCAGCCAGACTATCAGAGAAAACATCAGGAATGGTCTCGTCGGTTCCAAGTACGAGGACGAGTCGGAAGAGAAGCAAACGCAACGCATAATTGATGCCGCAAAACAGGCAAACGCTCACGATTTCATTTCTTCACTTCCAGAAGGCTATGAAACGCATGTTGGCGAGCGGGGCTTCCTGTTGTCCGGTGGTCAGAAGCAACGTGTCGCCATCGCCAGAGCCATTGTCAGCGACCCCAAGATCCTACTGTTGGACGAAGTGAGTAGCGAAGTAGTCTTTTCCTGTCACAAAGCCATTTATACTAACAATGACAAACCAGGCCACAAGCGCTTTAGACACGAAATCGGAGCGCATCGTGCAACACGCACTGGACACCGCAGCGAAAGGCAGAACTACCATTATAATTGCTCATCGGTTGTCAACCATCAAAACTGCGGACAACATTGTCGTCATGCAACAAGGACGGATCGTGGAGCAAGGCACCCATGACCAGCTGCTGGAACGGAAACAGGCTTACTTCAAGTTGGTCTCGGCTCAGCGCATCGGCGGTAACGACGATGAACAACTCGAACAACAAGTCCTGGCTGGCGAAGCAGAGCTCACCAAGATCCAGTCCACCAGATCTGGTAGTGCCGGAATGGCAGACCCGGACGACGAGAAGCTTGCATTGGGCCGGACAAGAAGCGGGAAATCCGTGTCCTCCAACATTCTCGCTGATAAAAAGGGCGAGAAAGAAGCTCATTATTCTCTCTGGACCGTGATCATGTTCATTGCGCGCTTCAACAGAAAAGAATGGTGGATCATGTGTATCGGGTTCTTCTTCTCGGCCATTGGAGGAGCCGCTCAGCCGGTTCAAGGCGTTTTCTTCGCCAAATGTATTGTGGCTCTGTCCCAGCCGCTGACTTTACGACATCAGATTCGACACGACATTGACTTCTGGTCGTTGATGTATCTGATGTTGGCTTTGGTGGATCTCCTCGCAATGTGTGTACAAGGCATCGCCTTCGCCTATTGCAGTGAGAGCTTGATCCAGCGTGCGCGGGACGGTGCTTTCAGAAGATTCTTGAGGCAAGACATTGCCTTTTTCGACGAGGACGAAAACTCCACAGGCGCCCTTACGTCCTTCTTGTCCACGGAGACTACTCATCTTGCGTCAATCTCTGGAGCGACACTGGGGACCCTCATTAGCTGTTCATCCACCTTGATTGTTGCGATTGTGGTTGCGCTCGCGATCGGCTGGAAGTTAGCACTTGTATGCATGTGCGCTTTGCCCGTCATCCTCGGAACAGGCTTCCTCAGGTTCTGGGTGCTTGCCAAATTCAGTGCAGCAAATCGGAAACACTACGAAAAGTCTGCTGGATACGCCTGTGAACACACCAACGCCATCCGAACAGTTGCATCGTTGACGACCGAGCGAGAGATCTACAACGAGTATAAGCGCCAGCTTCGGGCCCAGTTAGGCGACTCCCTCAAATCGAACCTAAAGCACGCCTCCCTGTACGCCGCATCGCAGTCTGCCATGTTCTTGGCCTTTGCACTTGGCTTTTGGTACGGAGGCAAGCTTTTGGTTCGAGGAGAATATGGTCTCTTCCAATTTTTCATTGTCTTTTCAGAAATCATCTTCGGTGCACAGTCAGCAGGCACCGTCTTCTCGTTTGCTGGAGACATGTCCAAGGCGAGGAATTCAGCTGCTGAGTTGAAGAAGCTCTATGATCGTCAGCCTTCCATCGACCCGTGGTCCGAGGACGGCGCGCCAATCACTCAAGTCGAAGGGACCATTGAGTTCCGAGACGTGCATTTCCGATATCCGACTCGACCAGAGGTCCCCGTACTCCGAGGCCTCAACTTGACCGTCAAACCTGGACAGTATATTGCTCTTGTTGGCGCGTCCGGATGTGGCAAGTCGACAACTATCGCACTATTGGAGCGTTTCTATGACCCGCTCGCAGGTGGAATTTACGTTGATGGCCATGAAATTTCAAGCCTCAACCTCAATGACTACCGCTCTCACCTTGCTCTAGTCTCCCAAGAGCCAACGCTGTATCAAGGCACCATAAAGGATAACGTCCTCCTCGGCGTTGACAGAGGCGAGATCAGCGATGAGCAGATCATACGAGCCTGCAAGGACGCCAATATCTATGACTTCATCATGTCTCTGCCGGACGGCTTCGCCACTGACGTCGGTAGCAAAGCAGCCCTGCTCTCTGGCGGCCAGAAACAGCGCATTGCCATCGCGCGTGCCTTACTCCGAGACCCCAAGATCCTCCTGCTGGACGAGGCCACGAGTGCGCTTGACTCCGAATCTGAGAAGGTGGTCCAAGCAGCTCTGGATTTTGCTGCCAAAGGGAGAACCACTGTTGCGGTAGCACACAGACTAAGCACGATTCAGAAAGCAGATATCATTTATGTGTTCGACAAAGGTGTTATCGCAGAGAAGGGCACCCACCAAGAGCTCATGGCGTTGAAGGGAAGGTATAGAGAGTTGGTGAGCCTGCAAAGTCTAGAAAAGCAGCGGTGATTCAGCGGAGCTGTTTAAATCTCATTTACGTCGGCGTTGTTTGGATAGCTTTTGGCCGGCGACGGCGGGTCAGTTTTTTGCCTTGGAAATTATGTGTATAGGCACCTCACTCCTGTCCTATGACTGTTGTAGTAGTTGGACACACATGGGTCATCCATAGAATGCGATCCTAAAGAATACCCAAAATACGCTTTATGCCCGGGCCGTCAATACTTTCTGTGAGAACATGACCTTTAGAGAGTTTATGAGATACCGATATCTCGAAGAAAACGCTGTCGGTCTAGAGATGACTCGTTCGACGACGTCGATGGCTACCAAATCATGTTCAATAGGTTAAAGCGTCTCTTCTCTATGCATGAGCTATCGACATTGCCAGTCGGTAGGGAGACGCCGTGTCCAGGGCTTTATCGTCAAGCTCCACAAGGCTGAGAAGGATTCCTGTATAACAAAGCCGATGAAGACACAACCTCCACCCCCGCCTTCAAGCCAAATGGAGACAATGAAGATGGGGATGGCAGTACCTTTTGTGGCTATCTTGCTGGCGGCGCGATTTTGAGCACACGGTTCCCGCCACGCTCAACTTGACAAGCTCCCTGACCCCTCTCTTCGGCGGAGACTTGAGAATGGTAGGCAGCTGAAAATTGGAAGGTACAAAGAGGGTCGGTCCGTGGGGCTCTTCTTCCGGTCCTCTTCCCAAAGGCTGAACAATATGCGTGTTGGTCATGAAGCCATCTACAACCTGATGGCTAATAACTTGTATTCTGCCCCATATAGTTGAACACGTAGTCTGGTCGGACAGTGCTAAGTATGTAGATGGTCGTTATTTAGCGCTCTCCTGCAATCTACTCCGGATTCCATCGCGGGAACCTAAGCAGGATTCTCCTCAACGGACTCAGTCATACTCCTCGACGCCCCGTTCATCCATGACATCCTGGAGCCTCCTGCCTTCCTTCTCCGCAATGAGGCTCAACATTCCCATAGCGATGTCCTTGATTTCGTTGTATGATTTCAAGAGCGAAATGTGCCTGTTGATGATGGAGTGAGCATGAGCGAGGGCTGCTTTCTCGTCTGCCTTGGACATCGACGGAGAGCCAGAAGAGTTTTCATGATTCTGAGCAGCAGCAGCAGCAGCAGCAGCTGGAGCTGAAGTTTGTATGGAAGGGGATTGAATTGATTCTTGGTTGTTTTCATTCGAGGTAGAGGTCGGGAATGACTTTAGTTGCCTGATTTCTCTCAGCTTTATGGATAGCTGAGCCTCTGTGGCGGAAATGTTGGACTTTAACTTCTCAATCGAGGCTAACAGCTTTGCCTGTCTTGCGTTGGAGGAGGCTTTGTCGCTCTGTTCTGATTGTAATGGCGTCGTCGGCTCTTTGGAGCTTGACTGCGCTTCTTCTTGTTGTGGTTGAGAGCGTTGCCTCTGGCAATGGGTTGTGTCAGGGAGTTGCTGGTCCGTCGAGCGACAGTCCAGGGGCGTGTTGGCCTCCATTCTGACAGTACTCAGACTCTTGCCGTTGGGACTACAAGAAGATCGTGCGATTTTGGAGTCAGTAGTCGTCTCGTTGTCGATTGCATTGAGACCTTCCTGTCTCACTGTGCTCAGAGACGATATCAGAAAACTTCGATCTGCTTAGATCTGCTTGAACATAGTCTCATTTATTGGTAGGACCAGAGGCTGGCGAGAATCCGCCTCGTCCAAGAGAAGAGAGTGACTCTGTCTCTGGACTGAGGTCGCTTTCCTTATTCTCACAAATGCGGCGAGGTCAAAATGAGGGGCATCAGCCTCGTGGCGGGAAATCAAAGAGAAACCAAAGAGAGAGAGAGAGACAGTGACCTACGACCCAATCATACTAAAGTAGAACACATGGAGACTTATTAGCCTCTTTTAACATGGTAGTGACAGAACGGGCGGCAGAAGTTACAGAACTCTGTACCTGGGCATCTAAGAATGACTGCTGTGTGGTCTCTAGCTTTTGAAAGACGCCGAGTGCGTCAGACATGTCCACTTCTCCGAAATCACGGCCGGAGCATTGCCAGATCGTGCCCATCTGGAAGCATAACTTACTGTCAGACAGAAATGATTTCACATTCTTCTTTCCTCCCACTGACAAACTGCGTCTACCTCTACAATGATCCTCTGCGACTTCTCTTCTAGACCAACTATACCCTCCGATGACTTGAGGACGCGCACATCTTGATGGAGGCTCCTAGATCCCTATCATATCCCTGATTGGAAGGCCATTCGGCCACCCACTACGCGCCGTCATGTTCACCATCACTCCCTTGCTCGGGGCGCAGAGCACGTCTCGAGCCTCGCAGTCAATCCTCGAGTTGGATGGTGGTATCAAAGTCTTGGTGGACGTGGGATGGGACGAACGGTTCGACACCCGCCAGCTCGCCGAGATCGAGAAACATGCCTCTACTCTATCATTCATCCTCCTCACGCACGCCACGACGTCGCATGTCGGCGCATTTGCGCACTGCTGCAAACACATCCCCGTCTTTACCCAGATCCCCGTCTACGCCACACCGCCTGTCATTGCCTTCGGCCGGACTCTCCTCCAAGACCTCTACTCCTCTTCTCCATTGGCAGCCACGTTCATACCCGGCTCGAGCTCCCCTGAAGATGCAACCGGCGTCGACGACAAAACCCGCTCCCATATCCTACGGCAGGCCCCGACATTCGAAGAGATCAACAAGTATTTCACTTTGATCACGCCCCTCAAATACTCACAACCTCACCAACCGACACCCTCCTCATTTTCCGCGCCCATTGAGGGTCTTACATTGACAGCTTACAACTCTGGTCATACGCTGGGTGGCACAATATGGCACATACAACATGGGATGGAGTCAATAGTGTACGCCGTGGATTGGAACCAAGCCCGAGAGAACGTTCTAGCCGGAGCAGCCTGGTTCGGAGGTGTTGGAGGCGCCGAAGTCATCGAACAACTGCGCAAGCCTACTGCCCTCGTTTGCAGCAGCATTGGCGCGACGAGAGCCGCGCTGTCGGGTGGTCGGAGAGCCCGTGATGAAGCTCTGTTGGCGCATATCAAGATCTGTGTCGCTAAGGGTGGTACAGTTCTCATTCCCACCGACTCAAGCGCAAGGGTTTTGGAATTGGCCTGGATCCTTGAAAAGGCCTGGTCCGATCCTACAAACGCCACCTCTTTAAAACCTGCGAGAGTATACCTAGCCAGTAGATCCGGTAACGCCACGCTGCGGCATGCCAGGAGTCTGCTTGAATGGATGGACGACAGCATTGTGCGGGAATTTGAGGGCGAGGACGACAACCCGGCGCCGGTGCAAAAGCACAGAAGAAGTGGCAGCAAGCAGATCAATGGAAAAGACGAACCTTCACGGCCTTTTGAATTCCAGAACATCAAGATTGTGGAGCGGAGAAGCCAAATGGACAGGCTCTTGAAGGCCGGAGGGGCTCGAGTCATCCTGGCAAGTGATGTAACGATGGATTGGGGCTTTTCTCGATCACTGTTGGAGCATGTGGTCCAGAGACCCGAGAATCTGGTGGTTCTGACCGAACGAATGTACACGCGCCCGGGCTCGCAAAGCCCGAGTCAAGTATTCTGGAATTGGTACGAAGAGCGTCAGGATGGCGTCGCTCTCGAAAAGGGGCTCCCCACGGGTGACTGGCTGGAGCAGGTACAAAGTGGAGGGAAAACGCTCAAGCTACGAAATTCAACAAAGGCACCATTGAATACACAAGAGAATCAAAGATATCAACAATACATGGCGACTCAAAGGCAAATACAAGATTCTCTCACTTCAGCCGCCGAACGAGACAAGGCTGGCGCAGACGATAACATCGATGATGAATCCAGCTCCTCCTCCTCGGACGAGTCAGACGACGAACAACAGGGTCGGGTTCTGAACGTGTCAGCCGCTCTTGGTCACGGAGCACGGAATAAGCTGGCACTGAGCGATGCGGATCTCGGGGTCAACATCCTCGTCCGCAAGAAAGGTGTTTATGATTACGACGTGCGCAATAAGAAGGGACGAAATGGGCTCTTCCCATATACGCATTCGCGGCGGCGTGGTGACGAGTTTGGAGATTTTATCAAGCCAGAAGATTTCCTGAGAGAGGAGGAGAAAGAGGACCACGACGCAGCGAATGACACCAAGGCTGGAGGTCAGCTCGGACAGAAGCGTAAGTGGGACGAGGCGAACAATCCCAGGCACACACAACACAAGAAACATCGAGGAGCCCCGGCGCGAGCGACATCTCGCGAGCCTGCGGCGGACTCGGACACAGAGAATTCGGATGACGACGACGACGAAGTCGAGCGAGAGGGCTTCCAGGGCCCGGCCAAGGTGGTATATTCGACCTCTGAAATTACGGTTAATGCCAAGCTGGCCTTTGTGGATTTTGCTGGATTACACGATCAACGCAGTCTGCAAATGCTGATCCCCTTGATTGGACCGAAGAAGTTGATCCTTGTCGGTGGAAATCCTGCTGACACGGTTGCTCTGGCCACTGATTGCAAGGAGCTTCTCGGGATGAAAGTGATTGGAGCAGGAGACGAATCAGCCACGGAAATATTTACTCCCACCGAGGGCCAAACTGTGGATGCAAGTGTCGACACGAACGCGTGGGTTGTCAAGCTCAGTCGTAATCTGGCGAAAACGCTCCATTGGCAGAATGTGAAGAACATGGGAGTGGTGACTATCCAGGGTCAGCTCAGGGGCGAGCCCTCGGGAGACAATCTGCAGGAGGATCCGCAGACCAAGAAGCAGAAATTTGACACGGCGGTATCTCTTGCAGCTGACTCTACGCCGGCACCTCCGGTCGAGCCCGTTCTCGATGTACTGCCCGCGAGCCTGGCGGCGTCGACAAGATCCGTCTCCCATGCCATTCACGTCGGCGACCTGCGTCTCGCTGAGCTGCGAAGATTGATCACGCTGGATGGTCATATCGCCGAATTCCGCGGCGAAGGCACGCTGCTAGTCGACGGCATGATCGCCGTCCGAAAGCTCGGCACAGGGAAGATCATCTTGGAGGGAGTGCCAGTCAGTGCCACGGCCCTGACTCCGCATAAGATGGATGATTTCACGCGAGTGAAGCAGAAAATCTATGACGGACTCGCAGTTGTTGCTGCCAGTTGAGGGTGAAGCATGGTGAAGACTGGGCCCAGGCGAACCGTGGTTTGCCGTTCTTTCCAGCCATGGCCTTGCTCGGCTGTCACAATCTGCGTCTTCGATAACTGTCAACTACCGCTGGATCTTGTGTTTTTGACTTGACAGCGATGTTGGTTTCCGTGTTGCTGCTGGACTTGCAGAGCTCGCAGCCGAGATGCGCCCTTCACGATCCAGGTAGGCATGCCATAGATATGTCCGACGCAGTCATAGTATATTTCTGTCACTGTATGGCAACACCAACACCTTGTGACTGGATTGCCATGTCTCCGCAGCACGGGCATGACATGAAGTCGGTCGTTTGCAAATGTTCTCGCAGTCAGAGCATGTTGGTGGCGCAGTATCAGTGACAGAGGATCATGGCAACTTGTTTATATATGTTCTCCTAGTCCCTCGTTCTTCGATTGCAACAGTCCAAACAGCATCTTGGCCCCCTCGTCGCCACGGTCATTCCCTGTCTCTCTTGCTTATAAGCAAACCCTCTTGGTCCGTGGCCTCAGCCATGGCGTGTGGAGCACCTCCTTACTTTCCGATGGCCATGCCACTCCCAGCACAAGGACCTGGCCTGATTGGCAAGACCGTCTATCATTACATGACCCGTGATGGAGGCCCACCGAACAAGGGCGCTCCTCCGAGCGCACCAACGTCCTCTGGTGCGCCGCCGCCGTATTCTCTGATGCCCCCGTGTCAAGGACCATTCGGTCCCCCGCCAGGTCAAGCTACTGGTCCATTCATCATCCCTCCAGGAAATGGATTCCCGGGAGCAATGTGCGTGCCTAATGGACCACCACCACCACCTCCTCCTCCTCCTCCTCCCACGGCGCCAACATGGTTTCAACCACCACCTCCCCCAGCGGCAGGCTTTTCAGCTCCCCCACCGCCACCGCCAAATGTTGCAGGAGCAGTCGCCTACGCAGCGTCTCAAGCACCCGAGCCACCGGTCAGCGGAAACCGAGTCAAAGATCAACTTCTGGTGGTCAAAGACAGTGGAGGCCATGGGCACGTCGCGTCCAAACACCTGGCGACATTCCATCTTTTTACCTACAACGTCATTGACAAGTATTCGGTGAATGCCCACAACCAGTTTTACATCCCACCGCATTCGTGCGAGCCGTTCCGTGTGATGACGGCGGCGTATTCGATGCCCATCGAGGAACTGATTGAACAGCTTGACTGCATCAAGGTGGCGCCATCCATGTATCCACGCTATGCCATCGGACTGGCAGAGGCGTTTGATATCGGGAATGGGTGGTTCCAAGTGGGCAGCAAGTTCCATCTGGACGAAGACAAGTCCAAGCAGACCATCAAGGAGGCATGGAGCGACAACATTGGCGAGGCCGGCGAATCACGACCAAAGTATCTCATTCGGTTGCCAGGCAAGCGACCTGGGTCATGATTCGACGTTGCGGAAATCGTGCTCATAGGCCAGATCGATCACGCTCAACATGGACGGACATTTGCGGCAGTGAGAGGGGATAGTTAGTGGCTGTTCGGGTGGTCTTGCCTTGTGCAGTTAAAGGATTTTGTTGCTGGGCGCTGGCCAGCACGTCGACTTCAACGGGGAGGATTCGTCCTCACGGGCCGAGCTCGAGCTCTCTTTCCTGTTTAGGGCCAACGACGTCGAAGAGACCCATCGAGCGAGCGAGCAGGGCTTGATGGTATTATTGTGCTGTGTGCTGTGTGCTGTGGACGATGCCCACCCAGCTGGTTGGTCTCACTAGGCTATCCTCTCGGCTAGGCAAAACGCAGGGTCAGCGGGAGTGGACCATTCAGATAAGGGGCCTTGAGTTACTTGGGGTTCGTCATTTGCATGCCATATGAAAGGGCAATTCTGGATCGAGCGAGAGAGATACGAAGATACATAATAATACCATATCAATTCCTCCATCCTCCCTTCCCTTCTCTCTCTCGGCCTTTTCCATACACAACTTAATCCACTCTTTTTCCATCTCTTCTGGGCCCTCTTCCAACCATCATGGCAGCCGTGTCCCAAGACTTCTCTTCCCAGCCCTCGGCGGCCACCACATACCCCGTCGCCCATCCATTATGTCCGCTCACGGCGGCGGAGATATCCACCACGGCCTCACTGCTGCGGTCGGTGTGGCCATCGACGGTCGACCTGCGCTTCAAGGTCATCACGCTGGACGAGCCGCCCAAGAAGTCGATGGTCCCGTACCTCGACGCCGAGCACTCCGGGTCCCCTCTGCCTGAGATCCCGCGCAAGGCTTTTGTGTCTTACTACATCCGAAACACGGTGAGTTGTGGACAAACCCCGCCCCCAATTTATCATTTGCACTATGTCCCCTATGTCCTGCCTGGATTGTCACGTGGACGGAAGGATATCAGCAAGGCTCCGGAATGACAAGGTTGAGGTTGTCTTTCGCCTCTCGTGGACCTGGTATGGGTTGATAACGGCGGGCGACTCAAGTTATCATTTCCCCCCTCCCCCCGTCTTTGTCACACACATACACTGGGGGGGGGGGGGGGGGGTCGCCTGTGATCTATCTTTTCCAATCATCATCGTCCCAACTACCAACAACATGGACGGGTTCCGAGAAACATAAGCTGACAACTCGGGGATGGGGCAATTAGAACCGCTTTCACGAAGCCGTAGTCAACCTGTCCGCCCGGACCGTGGAGAGCAATGTCCGCCTGGGCCCCAACATGCACGGCAACGGCGACTACGACGAGATTTTGCAGGTGGAGAAGAACGCGCTGGAGGACGAGGCCGTCAAGGAGGCCATCAAGAAGCTCCAGCTGCCCGAGGGGACCGTCGTGTGTGCAGACCCTTGGATCTACGGTCAGTTTTTTTCTATTGTCCCAACCCATCTCGGTTTTGTTGTTGTTAATGGTCCGGTGGAAACAGGCTCGGACGGCGTCAACGACGACGAACGCATGTACCAGGTCTTCCTGTACATGCGTGACCCCAACAACCCCTCGGAGGTCGACAGCAACCATTACGCCTTCCCGCTGCCCATCTCGCCCGTGCTGGACTGCAACGAGTACAAGGTGATCCGCATCGACTACCTGCCCACGGGCAAGGACAACACCATCCACGAGCCGCGACCCTACCAGGCCAAGCCCGCCAACGAGTACGTCCACGAGTACCAGGCGCTGCGCACGGACCTGAAGCCCCTGCGGGTGATCCAGCCCGAGGGCGCGAGCTTCACGCTCACTCCCGTGGGCGAGACGGGCCACGTGGTGGCGTGGCAGAAGTGGACGTTCCGCGTGGGCTACAACCAGCGCGAGGGCATGGTGCTGTACGACGTGCGCTACGCCGGCCGGCCCCTGTTCTACCGCCTCAGCCTGAGCGACATGAACATCCCCTATGCCGACCCGCGCCACCCGTTCCACAAGAAGTCGGCCTACGACCTGGGCGACGCCGGCGCCGGCGCCATGGCCAACAACCTCCAGCTCGGCTGCGACTGCCTGGGCCACATCCAGTACCTCTCGTCCGTCATCGCCGACGACAAGGGCGTGCCCACGCCCCTCGAGAACTGCGTGTGCGTGCACGAGCAGGACGCCGGCATCGGCTGGAAACACACCAACTACCGCACCGGCCGCGCCGCCGTGGTGCGCCAGCGCGAGCTGGTGCTGCAGAGCATCATCACCGTCAGCAACTACGAGTACATCCTGGCCTTCATGTTCAACCAGGCCGGCGAGCTGATCTATGAGGTACGCGCCACAGGCATCCTGTCCACCCAGCCCATCGACCACGAGCTGGACAAGGTCGGCGTGCCCTTTGGCACCGTGGTGCACCCGGGCGTGCTGGCCGTGCACCACCAGCACATCTTCTCGCTGCGCGTGGACCCCATGATCGAGGGCCACAACAACCGGCTGGTGTACGACGAGGCGCACGCGCTGCCGCTCTCGGCGGACTGGAACCCGCACGGCGTGGCGTACGAGGTGGCGGAGACGGTGGTGGAGCAGGCGCAGGGGCTGGACCTGAACCCGGAGGCGAACCGGGTGTTCAAGATCCAGAACACGGCCGTGCGCAACCCGGTCAACGGCAAGCCCGTGGCGTACAAGATCCACGCGCCGCCCTTCCAGAAGATGCTGTCGCTGCCCAGCTCGTTCAACTGGAAACGCGCCGAGTTCGCCGACCACAACATCTACGTGACCACGCACCGCGACCGCGAGCTGTACTCGGGCGGCTGGTACACGAACCAGAGCCGGGGCGGGACCGGGGTGCGCAGCTGGGCCGGCCGGGCCGACAGCGTGGTCGACACCGACATCGTCGTGTGGATCCAGTTCGGCATCAACCATGTGCCGCGCATCGAGGACTTCCCCGTCATGCCCTGTGAGATCCTGAAGGTGAGCCTGAAGCCCGTCAACTTCTTCGACCGCAACCCGGCCCTGGACGTGCCGCCGAGCGAGCAGCACTTTAACCGCTCCACCTTGGTGAGTGAGAGGCACCACCAGCCCACCACCGAGGCGGTCGTGGGCAAGGCCGGGGAGTGCTGTGCCGAGCAGCAACAGCAGCCAGCAGACAGCAAGAGTAAATTGTGAGAGATGATACCAGGGCAGACCTGTGTCCAACCACAACAACCACCAACGGACGAATGAAATGATCAAAGGGATCTTACCAGTCAAAGAATGATGAGACTTGAGTTGGGGGGGAGGGAGGGAGAGCAAGGAAGCTAAGAGGGAATGGAGGAAGGAAGGAAACTCTTTTGAAGGAGTCGTGAAACGATGAAAAATGATGATATGTCTTTCTAAAAGAAAATACACACTCACACGCTCACACACAACCTCGCTATTTGCCATATGGCGCAGAGAGAAATATATATATTTACTCCATACTACTATACTACCGGCGGAACTTGTGTGCTCCTCACGATGACCGGTGACGGTGATGAGATGATCCAGAGCAGGCGGTGCATAAGACCGTCAATCCGATCGTATTAGACAAATAACAACGAAGTCCGCCCCGAGGCAGATGAATAGCTCGGTAGGAAGGTCGGAAGGTAGACACATATTACCTCGAACCTCTCTATCTATCCCGCTCTCTGTCCATCTGTCTCTCTATCCATGTACATATATGCATGCTTTGTGCAAAGAACGAAGTGATGAATGTCTACGACACGCAGGCAGAATTGGGCCGTTCATAAGCTACACAGATCTACATCAACAATTTGTCTCTCCGTAGAAAACGTGCATAATACAGAGTACAGAATACATATCTACCTCGTATCGTACGCAGAGCACACACATCAAAATTCCCTCTTAGCCGGGACAGAATCGGAAAATGCAATAAGGATCAGATATGCATAGCATAATCGGTACATTTCAGAGGCGGGAATTTGATGTATACAGTCAATCAAGACGGGGCCACCAAAGGAGCAAGCACCAGCTCACTCACTTCCTGACCAAAAAACCTGAATCGCTTTCAAACTCCACGGCTGCAGGCCACAAAGTGAAGAGAGAAGAGAAGAATATCCCTTGCTGAGCGCAACACTCATCAGGGTCGTTTCATTGCATTGATCCTATCGCACATGCCGACGCTCCAAACCATACAAGTAGCATAACTTTGTCATTAGAAGAATTCGCCGTTCCCGACCCCGTCTGGTCCACCGGGTTTCTTGGTGCTCGGATCCGGACTCCTCGGGGGCGTCATGTATAATCTCCGGCCGTCTTGACCACCTCCCAGGTGTGAACTGGGTTCTTCTCCTGTCCGTGAGACGGGATACGGCACCGGAACCACGCCACTTTCCTGATCCCCGGTTGACTCGTGATACGGCGCGTAGGGCTGCTGCACTGGCGGATGCTGTGGGGGGAGGTCGTACCGCCCGTTGTATTTGTCGTCATAGCTCGAGGCCAGTCCAATATCGCTCACGTTGTTCGAGTCGTAGAAGTCATGGCCCCCATAACTGCCTGTCCCAACAATCGGCGGCTGGGAAGTCGGCATACTTTGGCTGTTGGCGAGCAGCGTGGCGCCTTCTTCATCTCCGGCCACATTGTAACGAGGTGGCTTGGCCGCAGCCCCCGTGTAGGCGCTTGGATGGTTCAGGGTGTTCAATTTTTGGCCATTGGCGCCAAAGTCACTGCCTTCGGTGTCTTTCCGGGACAAGTCATAACTACTCGGGTCCTCGTTGCGTCGATTCTTCCGTCCCTTAAACAGCCATCTCGCCGATCGGCCCGTCGCTCTGAGCATATCCATGCCATTGAAAGCATCGAAAATGGCCTTGACCCCCAAAAAGCCGCCTTGGTAGGAAACGCGCGTCGACCCCTCCCCAGCGACAGTCTCGGACATTTGTTCCTTGGAACCGATCACATACGGTTTCCAGCTAAACGACCAGATGTGAAAAATGGCAAAAAAAGCCATCTCGATGCACAAAAGCATCGCGGGTATGCCGACTTTGATGTCGGGTGTTTGGATACGTTTGGTGGCCTTGATAAAGCCGGCGCTGGTGAGGATGGAGATGACAATGGTCTGCCAAAAACTCAGGAAGATGACCAATTTGATGGCCGTGATTTTGAGGAGGGGCTTGTGCTGGCGAATGTCGTCCTTGATCTGAATGTAGAACTGGATTAAGCAGAACATGGCGACGGTGATGGAAATGGTTTCAAAGACCATGACCCAGATGTGGGAGAAGGCGGGACTCAGCGATTCGAGGCAATACAGGTTGACGGCTTGCGTGATAACCGACACAATCGTGAAGAAGACGCGAATGAAGCAATACTGAAAGACCGAGACCCAAACCACCTTTTTGGACACCAGTCAGTTTGTGATGCCCAACACACGCAGGCAATGAAAAAACACCTACATTGAACCATGTCAAGCCACTTTTGGGTGTTCTCAACCAACCCTTTTCCGGGCCCCCGGTACAACTCTGAAAGTATTTCATGGGCCACACCCATTTCTTCGGTGTGATGGTTCGAAAGTAGATCTTTTGCTGGTGCAAGTCCGGAGCGAGGTAGGCGCACAACAAGGAGAAAAAGGAGGCAATGGCGAAGGCTTCGTAGCAGTCGCGGATGACTTCAAAGTAGACGCTGTGTCGGTAGTAGTAGAAGGAAAGGAGCGAGACGGCGGCGTAGATGGGGATCATGAAGAGGATGCGGATGATGTGCTTCTGTTCCCACGGTTTCAGGTAATGCGTGGCGTGCATGACGATGAGGAAGAAGGACACGGCCAGGGCGACGATGGTGAAGATTGCCGCGACCCAGAGACCGATGGTATGGAAGGTGTGGCCATGCCATATCGCCTCTTCGGTGATGGACAGGTCCTCATCCGTCGAGTTGCACTTTGGCCAGCCCATCGTGGTGGGTTTATTCTCGTTCGCTCGTTCGTTCGCTCGTTCGTTCGTGATTGTGGTGCTCAGGTCAAAGACGGAGGAGTCGCATTCGCATCGCGTTCGGCGCAGGCTGAATAGGGAGAAAAGTATAGTTCTAGTGAGAGTTTCTCCGACAGAACAGTGGCGTGGCGTGACGTGGGCGGCTGCAGTCGCAAAACGAGTGAAGACTGCCAATATCAGGGCCTTGTTATTGTTCAGATCGAGGTGTGGGAATAGAGAGTGAAGGGGGATTGATTGACTGTGTTGGTGCCTTGGGTGGGTGGTTTCAAAGGGTTTCAAAGAAGGACAAAGAGATGGGGAATCAAGGTTCACATTGAACAAAGTTTAGACGCAGCTTTCTCGGTCGGGTGGCTTGGGGGCGTCGCTGCGCCGCAAAAGCTGACAGCTCCAAAGGGTTAATGGGGGGGTAACTATGGGTACTAACTAGGCCTACACATGCCCTGGCCGCCCTAAAGCCCGCCTGGAACAGGAGCCAAGTGGCTAAAAGGTGGGAACGAGGCAACAGCTGAAACGGATCTGCCTTGCAGTATAATTATTCCCGCACTTGGCCAAGCAAGCATCCATGCATCCAATGCGTTCCATCGCCTGACTGGTTGGCTGTACACACACAGTCAAGGCGGCTTGCGCCCACATACAGTACCAAGGCTGGTGAGGCTAGCGAGGCTCCTGCAAGCACTCCAAGATTTGCCCGTAAGCTCGCACAAGCCCTTTAATGCTAAGTGTTCCTTAACACCTTCCTCCGTATGCATAACGTGAGGGAGCCCACCATGGACCATCATCCATCGGCCGGACGAAGTGTCTATATTTAATCTCCCCCCAAAGCACGTGCCTAACTACTACATAGCTAGCTCAACATGTTCCCCTCCCTCCGTGGCACCGGTGATAATGATTGTGACGGTGATGGTGCTGACAGCCATATCGTCGTATCTAGTCCCGAATGAGAAGCGAAATGAACAGGCTGATCCTTCAGGACCATTTATTCAAAACTAAACCGAAGTTTCTTTTTCCATTGCACTCTCCATGTCATATCCTGGGGTATATTGTGAATGCAGCCATCTGACTGACGACAATGATACAAAATATATACAACCAACCACAATCCTCATCCTTCGTGCCATGTAGCTTGCAGGATTGGGCCAGAGTTGAACTGGCCCGAATCCCGCTTGAGCCGCACAGTTTGTCAATGGGCTGACCGACTGACTACCAAGCAGTCAAGTCGCCGACCTCTGCCTCCCCGAAGGTACTCGACTTGGTCATCTGCCCCACGCCGTCTTTGACCTCTCCGTCCGGTCCGCCGATGCCCGGTTTGTTCATGATGTCCGGAAGCACCTCTCGGAAAAAGCCCAGCAGATAGCTGTTCACTTGCTCAAATTGCAGCAAAAAGGCATCGTGGCCTTCGGGGCTGTCGATCTTGCCCAGTCGTGCGTTGGGAATGCAGTTGGCCAATTCTTGTTGCTCGGCAATGGTGAACAGGCCATCCGACTCGATTCCCAATACTAACGTCGGTTGCTCTATTTGTGCGAGAGCCTCTTTGACGGTGGGGGCCCGATTCCGCGAAACATCGTGCGTATCCAATTTGCGCGTGATGGCGATGTAGCAGTTGGCATCAAATCGGGTCACGAATTTAGTGCCTTGGTACCGCAGGTAGGATTGTGCCGAGAAGTAGTGATGTGTCGGTTTCGACGTCTTTTTCTCGACCACGGGCACAGGTATGACGAACTCGGTAGCCCCGTTGAACTGTGGGTCTTTGAACGTCGCCGGTCGCTCCTCGCTTTCGGGAGACTGGCGCTCGGAGGGTGGCTGGGACGCAGTGCCATTGCGGGACGCGGGGCGAGAATCGCGAGATCCTTTGGCCCGCTTGTGCCCATCGTTGTGGATGCTCCAGTGCTCGTTCTGAACACCGTTGGTCGTCTGCCCGTGATTGATGGAGGGTTTCTTCGACAGATCGGGGGCATTGCGACCAAAGCGAGCCTCGAACGAATCCCGACTTCGGTATGTGAGGAGAGCCGACATGCGGGCGGCGCCCAAGCCCGCGGTAGGAGGGTCTTCAAACGAGTAGTACCCGTCTTCATATTTAGGGTCCGAGTAGATGGCCTGCCGTTGCGCTTCGCCCCAGCTGATGCCCCAGGCGCTGTGCGTCGCGGACGTGGCTATGGGTGCGATGCTCCGCACGTAGTCTTTCCCAAAGTACGCATACTCCAGACTTAGCATGCCTCCCATCGACCCACCGATCACGCAGGCGATCTGTCGAACCCCGAGATGGTCAAGGACAATTTTGTGTATCCTGCCACTGATCGTTAGTCTAGTTGACCAATTGCCTGGCTCTGCTGTTTTTACTCACCGCACGTCATCTCTTATCGTGGTCAGAGGAAACTCTGGCCCATATCTGCCCTGTGTCGGGTCGCCATCCTTGTACGTCACCGGACTGGCGCTGCCGTAGGGACTCCCCAGACTGTTCAGACAGACGACAAAGAATCTCGTCACATCAAATGCCTGGCCGGCCTTTCCCAGTAGTGGTCCCCACCAGTCGGCCACATCTGCACTGCCGCTAAGGGCATGACATATCACCAGAGCATTGTCCCCGGCTTCTGAGAGCTGCCCACGAACGGTATATGCAACGGGGACATTTTTTAGGACGACGCCGGATTCAAGCGTAAAGGAGGGAACAATGACGATTTCCTGCTCGGAGACGAGTTTCGCGAAGGGGTTTTCAGGTTGTCCATTGGCACTCTCTACGGGATTTAGTAGCTGTTCAACCATGGTTGTTGGGCGGAGGGGGGACAATGGGACAGCGGGGAAGAAAGACAAAGTCTGGGAACACTGACGGAGTCGCGGAGAGACCGTGTGAGCCTCCCCGTTGGTTTTTGTATCCTTGTAGGCCATGGTGGTTGACCAGACCCGGGATTGACCTGGATATGGCAAACTCTTGCTGAATGAGCGGGCGTCAGGTGCGGGTGATGGGAAGGTTTTTATTGAACAGCGTCGAGAGAGGGAGTTAACGAGCTGATGTGAGATCCATCGACTCACGAGCTCTGGTCTTCGACTCTCGCGTGGTATAACTCGGTTGGAGGAACAGCTGCTACTGTGGTGAGTCAAAATGAAAAGCGGTCGAGGGGGAGAACTGTCCGAAAAGTGGACACGACCGACCCGATCAAGTCAACATGTCTGGAAAAAGTCCACACGATTATTTTGGGTCGGCAGTGGGATGGATACAGAGCAGAGGTGGAAGCCAGCGCAGTCCAGGTGCCACACCACTGGAGGGGTCGGTGGCATCATCACGCACCAATAGGAAGAGGGGAAGCGAGAGCCTCGGCAGACACTGAGAAAGGCAGCTTCTCCGAGATCGGCCCCCGAAATGGTAAATACAAGGCTGTCAAGGGGATGCCGGCTAAACATTTTGGAACAAGTCCTTACCGCTGAACAACCGAACCACCAGACACGTGTGTATATCCAAACATTTGCAAGTCTACTGGTCGTCTATATTTATATCCTTGAGAATGCCCTCACAGCTTTAGCTGGAACTTGGGATGAGTCCTGATCTTCTCGCCGTACTTCAGGAATACCCAGATCATTGGCGACATGCCCAACGAGATGAATGCCAATAGGCTGTTCCCCCATCCGAGCCCCAGTGTATTGTACATATCCCGTCCAGCCAGAGGGAGAAATGCGCCCCCCAGGCTGCGGAGGACGGTATTGGCCGCCATCGCGCTGGCAGCATAGAGAGTGTATGCACTGTGATACGAAGTCAGTCCCTCTATTCATCACGCGTGGAAAAGGAAGAGAAAAGCATACTCAACCATGTAAATGGCCAGAGACATAAATGTTCCGGTCATCCCAAGCCCCAACAATACCGTCCCGAGGATTGGGACAATCCAATGCACTTTGTATTGCGCACTCCAGCCGTACAAGAAGAGACCGACAGGGACGGCGATCGCACCCGGCCAAAGCAACGGCAGGCGGTACTCGGGCTTCATCTCACCATTCTTCGCCAGCCTCCTTAGTAGCTTATCCGAATATGCCCCAAACATCCACAGTCCGAGAAATTGACCAAGACCGATGCCCAAAAAGACAAGGCCCACATTACTTAAACTGATGCCGTATTGATCATGGAAGATAAACGTCATGGTGGTGAACAAAAGATAAAGATACCCGTACACCACCGCAATGTAGAGGGAAAGACCGAAGATGATGGGAGACAGAAACAGCATTTTGGTTGGGCGGACGATGCTCATGAAAAACAGTTGCGAGGGACTCCTGGACGATTGAAGCGCCGATCGGAGCTTGTCATTCCCTGTTTCCTTTCGTAGTCGTCTCACTTTTCTCTCGAGGAGAATGGGCGGGTACGTTTCTCTTTGGATGATGAGTGCCACAACGAGCATGGCGGCTGTCTGTTTCTGGTCAGCCCTGCGACGGGGATTGATAGCCAGTTCGGGGTAGAAACATACACAAATGGCGAGAAGATAGAAGTTCCATTGCCACCCCGCTGCCGCCGAGAGATATGATCCAACGACAGGGCCCATACTTTCAATGGTCAGTAATCTCCCTGATTGGCGTGCGTGGGTATGTACACACCTTGGTCCGAACAGGATAGGGAATGTCCAAATACTCATGACCTTTCCCCGCTGGTCTTGTCGGAAGGTATCTGCAATAGAACCAGATCCGACAGTCAAAGGACAAGAACCAGCTAAACCTGCCAGGGTTCGAAACACGATCAACATCGTCAAGTTTGTCGATTTCCCGCAGGCAAACGTGAACACCATAAAGAGGAATGTGTTGACATGGTAGACCGGTAGTCGCCCGTACAACTCACTCATTGGGGCTCTGTCGGTGGATTAGCGAGTCCAAGACGTTTTCCTCACCAGCGGTCCTGAATAAGCACTCACATAACAAGTGGGCCGAACGCATACCCAAGCACGTAGACCGAGACCGAGAACGATGCCAGGGCTTCGCTGTTGGAGTGGAAGTCTTCCATGACTTGAGGCACCGCTGGTGCAAACATGGACGAACCGAAAGGCCTGCACCACCGTCAGTGTCAAGGATACATGGACTTTCTCGGGCTCATTCTCTGGATCACCGACGTCAAAAGCGTAATGAAGGACAACAGAGCGACGTTGGTCCATTTTTTCCGCGCCGGCCAATTCAGTGGGTTTTCTGGATCGTCTGGTCCATCCCACCCGACCACGTCTGGATCGGCCGTCGTTTCCACCGTGGTGGTTGTAACGTCTTTCACCTCAAGACCCTCCAGCGCCAGCGCCTTTTCGACATCTCCTCCGTCACCTCGAGATGAGTTTTTGCGGCTCCCCGCAGGACTGAATACGCTTGGGGTAATACGCTCAATGTCCGTGGATTTCTCGTCGAGCGCCATGGTGCTGTCGCTGTCAACGTCCCTGACCGGACTCCTTTCACAGATTCTGCGGCCTAACAAGGCGGGCTTGGTCACGGTATGAGTTCCATAGTAGTGGGATGGGAGACAGAGGTCCTATGAGGGAGCGAGTGGCGCTGTTTAGGTATATGTCCTTCATGCGACGACCTTCCCATCGCGGCCAGGTCCCGCACCCCGACGTAGACTTTGACCGAGGCCGCCTGTTCAGGTGGAGAAGGACGAACGATCTTGAGTGTTCGGGAGACCGCAATGCCAGTCGATGTGTGGGTTTGCTGGAGAGAATCGCTGTAATACCGGCTGCGGCGGCACAGGATGCGGGGCATGTCTGGAGATGAAGCCCTCGAGGGGTACCAGGGGGTGATTTTGTCCATGCATTCCGCCCGTCTCCCGTCGCAGCAGTATGTATTATCTGGCAGATAGCATCGAAAGGATCAAGGTCGACTGCGAGTCATGAAGCGGTGTGCGGCCAAATCTCCCATCCTAGGTTCGTCTACACCGGCTACCAAGGTACAAATCACCTGACTGCACCCATTCATTCTTAGCCCACTAGCCTCTGCACGTGCCCCGCCTCAATCACAACTGTCCAGTTCGTGAAACACGCCTTTTTTGCTACGGTAAATACAGAAAACAGTGGTTTCAATGTCGAGAAGCGAAATGGTTTCTTGGTAAAACGAAAAATAATAACGTCACGGGTCGCTGAATGATTCGGCCCAACCTCCCTGGCGTATCGGCATGTTTCACATCAGAATCATACGCCGGGCTTCACGTCCAGTATGGTGCCTTCAGTGATGTCAAGTTACTCAAAATGCCCTCGTGATCGCCTGTGTCTTCTTTCTTTCTTTGCCCGCTCAGCTCCATCTGGATGGCCCGGTGGACGTGGACCAGCCAGTCAACATAACTTTGGGCCTCGTTGTTCCGGTCTTCCACCAACATCCGAGCATATTCGAACTCCGAGCCATCTAGACCCTGTCGTGCGAGCGTGAAGCTTGCCGCCTTGCTCCCGCGCACTGTGGACATGTATTGCAACAGGTTCCGCACCTGGGCATTCAGGTGTGTCTCCAAGACAGGTAACTCATTCATCATGGGATCGAGGTCTTGCAGGCTGGTTTTGCCTTCTCCGAACAGGTCCTCCAGCAAGTTCGGCGACACTTGTGCGTGCAGCCAGATGAGCACAATCTGCCCGTCGTCTACCAGATACACTCCGCCTTCCTCCACCCGGGCAAAGGACGCACGGAGGGTTGGCGGGACTACCAATTGCATCGTCTCGGCATTGGCGAAACAATCCTCCGGACTCAGGTTGTGGAGGGCATATATTCGTGGATAAAGATATAATGCTGTCTCGGTCACTCCCGAAGATCTCATCAACCGAGCAGAATGAACTCTGCGATCGGTAGGCTCAACACCTCCTGCGCGCGGACGTCAGCGTTGGAATGTCACAATGTGGCCGTTGGAAGCATACCTTTGAATGCTCGAGTCTTAATCAAACCGAGCGTGTAGATGGCAAACTCCTTGAGGTGCTCGGGCAGCACGAGCTGTCCAGGAGGGTGCGAGCCGGAGAAGTTCTTTCGGTATCCCGCCAGAATGTCAATCGTCTTTTCCGTGATATGGGCACGAATGTCCTTTAGAGACTTTTCCGAAATTTTGGACGAAGATTCTTTGGCGATGATGTTAACAACGGCGTCCTGATCGACCGTGCGCATGGTGTCGGCGGCACCTTCGTTGACTGCGGCCACCACATTGATGCACCTGACCCTCCTCTGCCCGGTCGCAGAGGTATAAAGAAGGGCAGCCTGGAAGTGGGCATCCAGCTTGGCATCAAGTTTGCCATCGTAAGAGAAAGTGACACCAATTGCTTTGTCGGCGTCGACAGTCCCAATTTCAAGATCTGCCCCGAAGGTATGTTGGAGAAAAGAGCCATAGTAAGCAGAAACCTGGAGACCGTTCGAGCACCGCACCTTCATCAAAGCCTGATAGCCTGTTTCCCGTCGCAGCGAGTGCTGGATCTCAAGGCGCAGCTTGAGTGAGTCGCGGGGAGCCACAAAGTTGGGATAAAAGAACATCTCCCCACCCGTCAGTCGCGACATGTGTCCTATTGTTGCGATGTCCATATACCCTCCTCCCGCCGCGGCGAGGAAAAAGTCCACGCCGATACCTGCGGTGACCATCGCCCCGGCGGTTTTCTTCCAACCCGGATGCTCAGTCGTGAACAAACGGCGTTCCGCATCTGTGTCTCGGCCCTTGCCGTCATCTCTCAGATGCAGCCTTCCAGGACCCCAGGTGGGCAAAGTTGACAAAGAACATATAATTTTACCGCCCGTAGCAGTCATGGCAGCCAGGGCGGCGTTGAGCGCAGGCAGTAAAGCCGGTTCTGGGTGCTTGATGGCGGAGAACATAGTTGGGATGGCCTTGAGCAGTGCCGTGATCACATCTTTAGATTCTTGAGGGTCGACAAACAATCCGTCTGCCAGAGGAACAAACGGGTCTTCGAGATCCGTCACCACCATCATCTGAGCCGTCTCTAGACCCGGTGCAAGATTGTAGAACTGCACCTCCTTGTCATACGTGACAATTCCAATCTTAGCGCCTGCTGGCAGTCCAACAAATGTCGACCCCTCATCTGAAGGCACCTCACCGTCACGTCCGTAAAGCGCGTCCAAAATACCCTGACAGACGGTGTGGAGAAGTCCCCTGTTGATAGCTTCTTGGGTGATGTCGATCATGAACAACCACCGCATAGGAATTGGCTCTTTCGTGTAGTACTCTTTCGGTACCAAGAATTCCACGGTGCCCATCATCAATTCTGGTCGCTGCAACCGGTCCAGCCTGACACCGGCCGCGTCTGTAGGTGCAAAGTACTCGGGTGCCACATCGTTGGGGAAGCTGCACATATTACACACCAGCTTGTTGCCACCAGATCTAAAGGTCATGAACGGGTTGATGTACGTCCTGCATCTTCGGCATCGAGGAGGACCGAGTTCGCCAAAGTCGAGTACGGGAATAGGCTGTTCGCCTTCTTGGAGGGGTGCAAACGGTTGCAGGACAAGGCCGAGAGGCAGGCCAGTCGATGCAAGAGCTTCCGCTGTTGAAGGAATATTATTGACCGTCAATCGCGCAAACTTGGGCGAGGAATTTCCCTGGTCGTGGGCCACGAAGGGGATAGCCGCAGGGGGCGGAAGATGCTTCTCCATGGTTGGATAGACATTGAGCTGGTAGTATTGTGTCGCAACGTCTCTTGACCTGGCCACGCTGGGGATTTGCTCTGGATTGACACGTCCCTGTGTAGCCACAGCTTCCTCACCCATCCGCAGTTTGTCCGTTGAGTTGATCAAGGCATTCTCTGCTGGCTGTCCCGCCATCGCCCCTGGTGCTCCTTGCGATCCAACAGCCGGAAACTGTGGTTGTCCAAATGGCCCTGCAGGTACCGCACCTCCCGCAGGCGCTGTTGCCGATGCCGAGCCTATGTCGTGATATGCATGCCTTTCCTTCTTCCTGTGCGAGCGTGCGGGCGCGGCCGCCATGTCTAGTCCACTCATTTTTTCTGCCAGGCGATTCATGCCATTCATGGCATCTTGCTGTTGAGGTACATGTCCCTCAGGTTGTCCGAGATAGGACGCTTGTTGTGCGTTGGCATAAACATGCTGGGCGTTCGGATCGACACCATACTGCGGGTAGGCTGGCTGTGGGCTGACTGAAGGTGGGAAACTCGGAGGATGTTGTTGCATTTGAGGATCGGCATATCTGGGGTCCTGATTCATTTGATATGACTGGCCCTGGCCACTACCATACTGGGAACCGTAGCTTGCCATTTTCAAAGCATCAACAGAAGTAACTTTAGGGAGTGGACAGCCGACGCTTCATAGTGGTGGTGAAATGGGGAGGTCGCACGTGAAGAGGTCCGTACACTATCGAGCAGCAGTGTCAAATAGGGAAGTGTTGGTTATTCCCCTAGCAAATAATCGAGAACAGGAGAAGGACAAGTGGCATCAAACAGGAGTTCGACGAGAAGCGTGATACAACCAGAAGTGGGACATCGAGACGTGTTCTCTGGCAACTTTTTTGGGGTTTTCAAGATTCAACTCCAATCCCATGAAAAGTGGTCGGTTGGCTTACCTAAGAAAGCCTCGTCTCACCACCATCATATCACGAACACATAGCCAAATAGTTAAGTTACCTGTCCAGTCTTGATGCTGTCAATCCTTCAAGTAGGCTATAAGTAATATAGAGCGGTACTAACACATTTCGAATTGGGGAACATAACTAAGCTGGCCTCATAAAGGCACAATTGACTGCTAGCTCCTCCCATCCTTCCATCATATACAACAACTGTCACGTTCCACCAGCTTGCAATCCCGACGTTGGTTTGAACAGACATTTCAATTGTCCACACCACTTCATTTCTTCAAGGCCCGCGTCGCACCCGCTTACTTTCACTGGCAACTCTTGAACCTCCTCTACCTCCACCACCTCCATGGCTAGGAGCCCCATAGTTGCTCGGTTCTTCCCCTCGACCATGTTTTCTCGAGGACGGCGTGTCATCTCTCGAAGGAGCAGATCTTGAATATCCTGGCCTCCGATCGTCGGCATCTGGCGGGTGATTTTCTCTCCGGTTCGGTCTTTCCTCCCGCCTCGAAACATCACCCAGTCCGTATCGATCTTCTTTTCCGTCCCGACCGTTTCGCTCGCTCCGGTGTTCTCTGTCCCCTCGTGATTCATCATGCCGGCTTGAGTGGCGTGATGGTCTCCTCTCAGAACCTCGGTCTTCGGTGAGTTCGCTTCTGCGATCCCTGCTGCCGTCGTGGCGCGACGAAGGAGGTCTGGCGCCCACCGGCACGTCGTTAGGATTCGAGGAAGCAAACAAATCGTGTGATGGGTATCCATTGGGACTTTGGCCGTGGCCCGCGGTGGGAGGACCACCCGGCGGTGGGGGTGGTGGTGGAGGAGGCATATGCGAACCAAAACTGGCACTGCTCTGTCTCATATTTCCTCGCCCACGAATCGTGGTACCAGCCTGAGCAAGCGTGTTGTTAACAGCGGTAAGTGGGTTACGATTGTTTCGTCCCCCACGAATGTTCCCGTCCCCAGCCTGTGGACCGGATGGCGGACCTCTGCTTGTAGGCGACGGCCCAGATGGAGCTCCGAGAGGTGCACTTCCCCTAGGGCCTGCCGGCGGCTGATTCTGCTGCAGAGCTTGTGTGGATTGGCCTGCGCGTGGTGTTTCCGAGGCCGCCGGATCGATCTGGCCGAGGCGAGAGGGGTGAACACCTGCTGCATCAGCGGCAGGGGTAGAAGGTGCAGATGAATTCTCAGCATAGGAACTAGCGCGTCCATGGCGTCTCGAAGGTCCAGTTGGAGTTGGTCGGTCTGCATTAGGTGGAGGCGGCACTTGTGTATTGAGTGGAGGAGCTCTGACCCTCGATCCTCCTCCCGCCACTGGTCGACCGCGAGGGCCGGACGGCACATCAGACTCTTGACCACGGTCCGGGGTTTGCGAGACCGCTGGCTGCTGTACCGACTCCTGTTCGAGCCTGCCGTGCTGCATGTCAACAGGCGCAGGCTGCCTAAGGTCGCGCGGCTCTCTCTTGTACGAACTTGGTGCACTGGACCGAGCAGGCACAGTACCTGAGTCTAAAGGTGAAGGTGTATAAGAAGATGGCCGCGTGGAGGGAGTCTCTGGTCTAGCTCGGTCATCCGCATCACGACGGGGATATGCCCGTCGGTCGTCTTCCCTTCGCGGAGAGCTGGGCCGTGATGACCTTGATGGCTTGTCTTGCCCCTGGCCCCTGGAGCCTGGAAGTGATCTGCGGTCGCTACCACCTTCCCCCATGAATGAAGCACGTGCTGGGTTAACGATCGGTTGGAGAGGCTCCGTGATGTTCTCTTTTTGAGGAGGTTGCGGTTCTGGTCGGGGAAGTTCTGAAGGGGGAGGAGGTCTCGATCTTGGGGCTGGCTCACGACCTTCCCGCTCACGCTCCACTGGTGGAGGGCGAATAGGTGGACGATCTCTCTCATGCGCAGGAGGTCTGTCGTAGGGAGTTCTTCTGTCGTGCTCTCGACTATACCCACGATCCTCACGGGATCCATGGACTGGGCCCTCAGGACGTTCATATCTCCGGGAATGTCGGTCATCGTCGAAGAAGCCTGAATCTGGTCGATCTGGTCTTTCTAGCCCTCGATATCCTAATCTTGTATCTCGACTGGGTCGAACATCAGGCGGCAGTCTCGGAGGGTCGACCTCCAAACGTCCGGGCAAACGTGGGCTGTCCCGATGACCATTCCGGGAATCCACCGGCTCGGAACGGGGTGGTAGGCTCGAAGACGCCCGTGAAGGAGGAGGAGTAGGTCGTCTAGGAAGTTCATGCTGTTTGGATGTTTCCGCACGGGGTGGCCTCGACTCTCGTTTTGCATTCGCCGAAGGCTCAGTGGCTTGTCGAGATGGAGTCGAGGCACCGTTGGCGTTCCCTGGTCTGGAACTTGTCCTAGGCGCTGGTGTAGGGGGCCCGCTGGTGGGTTGGAGTTTCGCAAGCTTAGCGGGTTCTTCGCCATCTTTGTTGTCAGGGACAATTTTGCCTTCTCGCTTCGGTGGCGCATCTGTCATTTCTGCATCCTTGACTTCAGCAACCCCTTGCTTCTTGATTGCTACCGTTGTTGAAGCAGGAGATTCTTGCACTGAAGGAATCTTCGACTGGGGGGCGTCACGCTCAGCCTCGCCGTTCTTTTCTGGACCTTTGCGGAAGATTTCTAACCCCACCCACAACTTTTCCCGCCTGTGTAAGGCGCCCAGGAGGGCCTGGGACGAGACCTTGAGATCTTCTTTATCAGATTCGCGCAATTTATCGACGGCCTTCTGCAATCCCGTGCCGTGCCAGTTGACTGCTGGGTAGACCCCGGAGATAGCGCGTAGAACAGAAATCGCGTTGCGGACGTGCATGTACTCTTGGGACGTTAGACACTTCTGAAGAGCCGTATGCAGATTCCCATGCCATTTGTAGAGCACTCTTTGAAAACTTTCGAAATCCAGCAGGGTAACAACTTTTCCCGCTTCAACTTTCATAGCAAACCCGGGTAGGTTTTTCTTGATACCCCAACCTTCCCGTTCGTAAGTTGCTTTAGAACCATGCCAGCGACCAAGATCTTTCAGCACCTCGCTGAGGAATTTCCCCAGATTATCTGCTTCTTTAGAGGTGCACATGAAAATCAGCGAGATAAGTCGGGATGGCTTGAAGAACAGATCGTAGAAGCCGAGAGTTCTGAAATTCGGCGTTCCGGCACCATGGAGAAATTTGACAAATTTGAAGGAGAAATAAGCATCCAGCGGGGAAGATAGCATCCGGGGGAGAAAGCAATGCTCGATCAGGGTGGTGTTCAATGCTTTGTCCATTCTGGCTTTCCCGACGAACCAGTGCTCCTTTTCGCGCTGTAGTCGAGCTTTGCTCTCAGCAAAGGCTTTGAGATGTTCTTTGTTTTCCGCAAGCAGCTTGTCGATGAGCTCCTGTATCTCTCGTTTCGCGAGCTCCTTCTTCTTCGTTCCAGAGACGCTGACATCTGATCGGTCTGCCGAAATCGCAGCGATCTTTTTATGCTGCCTCGAGAGTTCGTCTTCGTACGATTTACCGGGGATGGTGATGTCGTATAATGATAACTGCCAAAAAGTCGCGTAAAATCCAGTTCCAACGATATCCACAATCTCTCCCGGAAGGTGTGGCTGAATGGCCGTCATGAGCTCCTTCATCACGGGATGCCAGCAATCGTCCGTCGCCGCATCTGATGGTCCAGGGGTCTTGCTGGCGTCGAGTTCAAGCGCCTGGGCCATTGGATCACTTGAGGCTGGCGAGTCGTTGATCAGGTTTTCTGTTTCAACGGCCTCGCCATCCTCCTCCGAGCTGGCGTTGATTTGGTCCGACATTTCCACGTCACCATTGACCTCTTTGACTTCGTCCGCTCGCTGATCTTTTGCGTTCTCTTTGTCGTACTCCTGGATTTGCCTAGCAATAAGGGGCCGGTTGATCCAGAATGCGATTTCGGGACGAATCTCATAGTCAATGAGCAAGCTCACCACGTCAGGAATCGTGGCGCGGAATTCTTCAGGGGTTAGGTTTGTTCTCAAGAGATCAAGATATTGCACCATCACTCGATGGACCTCGTCGTATGTGTTGCCGATCGCTTTGAGAGGCACCTGTCCCTCCTCAAAGACACAGGCTTGTCGCTGCTGCGCCATGGAAATTAAAAACTTTGCTGCCAGGCCTGTGTCTTGAAGCGACTTCATCAATCTCTCGGACGTCTTCTTCGAGTCATGCCGTCGATCAAGCAGTTGGAGGATGGTTTGGGACTGCAAGAGAGGTCCTCCCCCCATTGCTTGTAATTGTGCATCATTGTAGCTCGTGTCAGTTGAAATTCCAGCCATAGAAAGAACAATTTGTTCTAACATCTTGAGATCCATTGTGTTGCCATGCTCAAGCTGTCCAGCAACATATTGCAGGATTGGACCAGGCTTCATCATACCGTATCGCTTGTAAATCTTGCCGGCAAACACCGCAAGCGCTGATAGCCAACGGCTGGCGAAGATGCCGCCCTCCTGGGTACGATTTCTCCCCGTCCTTGCCATTGAGCTCACAATCGCCCAAGTAAGAACATCATATCCTAGGTCGGTGAAATATCGTGCGCCTTCAACGAAGACTTCTGCGATGCTGTCGTATACTTCGATCTGAGTAAGCGCAGTGGTAATCACGATATGCGGGTTGGCGAATGCGATCTTAGCCAGCGCCCGCGCCATCGGCCGTACGTTTGTATTGGATATACGTTTCAGAATATCTTTCGTCTCGGCGCGAGCCTGATCAAATGCTGACTTGACATCGGGATTGCGAGAGGTTCTCCCAGATGACCATTCGAGATACATCAAATAGCGAACATTCACGGGGAAAGTGCTAACAAGCTCAAAGACTTCGTTGACCGCACCGGCATTCGATTTGGTCAAGCTCAGCGATGGTAGGAGGGTTCGTTTGATCAGATCCAACCATCGCGATCTGTTCGACTCGCTTTTGTCGATCTGTAGATTGTATTTTCCGATTCGGGCAATCTTGAGGAGGAGGCCTGGATCTTGGCCGATCTTGACACCAACGAGAGGCAGTAAGGTATTGCATAGTGTGAAGACATCTTCGACAGTTCGACAGACTGGAATGTTATCGTTCCACTCATCCCAGTAAAACCGATAATCAGTGCCATCGAGGCTATCATTTTTGTCAAGCTGAGCCCATCGGAGAACCTTTCTCTCTGTTGTTTCCACGACTTTGACCTGTCCTTTTGGGACGCCGGGGACATCAGTTTCATAACTCGGTTTCAGGCTCCGAAGGCTTGGACGATCTTGCAGAGGTTGCACTTCCCCATACACATAACTCAGAGAGTGATGCAGTATACGGTAGACATATTCAGGAAGATCGGGGATCAGGGTCATCAACCAAGGGAAGCGGCCGAGAATAAAGAGGGCTTCCGGAAGCGCCCCAATGGCGAGCAAGCTCTTGAGTAATAGGACCTTCTGATCCGCAGGCTCATTCTCTTTAGGAGCCGCCTTCTCTGGCTCTGCTTCTTTGGACGGGGTGTTGGCACGTGTGGTTGACTCTTTCAGCCGAGGTGGTGCCGGTAGGGTGTCGTCTATCAGCGCCCCAGCCGCTGTGAGCGCGTTCCTGGCACCTGCTCCGGGTCTGGCGGCCCTTTCTCGCTCTTGTTTCTCTCGGGTCTTTTGTTCTTTGAGTTCTTCCATCACGTCGTCCGTCCTCCAGATATGCGGGTAGAGATCCTTGAGCGAAACAAATCCGATTTTGATAAGGAGCGCCGAAAGGTAGATGAGATTGTCCGGAAGTACATCCGTTTCATCCCGCGCCGGTGACGATGAATAGAAACGGAGTTTAAAACCCAGCAGCTGTGCGGCGTCCCGATTCCCGGCAGGGGGGAGGGTACCAGTTTCTCGAATCCACTGCGCGAGAAGATCATCCCCCGAGGACGAAGCTCGTTCGAGGTTCTCCTGTGGCACTTGTGGTCTCCCAAGGAGATAGAAAGCTTCGAGGCCTCGCTCCCGAGCCATGGGCCAAAACGCCTCGTCACGAGCCCGAGTCTCGTCCGCGACAATTTGTTTCTGCTCCTCTGTGAGATGCCAATCAGGGGAGCCAGGAAAGGCCCACATTGGAAGCCCTGTCAAAGTCGCGGGTTTCTTGACCGAGGTCGACGGCCGAGGCCACCACGGACTCGCGCGGAGGAACTTGACAAAAAATCGACACTGCTTTACAAGAACGGCACTGAAGACGTCGAGAACAACATCCAGGCTTCGACCCACATCCAGGTCGAATGCGCCGATCATAGCCTTGACTTTTTCGACTGTGTCCTCAACAGTTTCTGCGGTCGGGACGTCATTACTGCTGGTGGTGAACAACTCAGTCATCAACTTCGCGAAGCCTTCGGACTCTTCCCGCATAAGATTGAAGTTGGCTTGTCTATAGAGAAGGTTTGTCTGCTTTCTGATGCCCATGCGATTGAAGGTATTCCTGATCAGCTCCAATTTTTCAAGTAAAGGCGCGTCCAGCTCATGTCGCAACAACTCGTGAGGTATTCCGGTCGCAAGGACAAATGCAGACAGGCGATCGAGCGGTATCAAAGGATTGCTCTCGAAGATGACGGATATGGAATCTAGGAGGGCGGCTTGTAAGGCCGTGGGGTGTGGTATTTGCTGGTTGTCTTGATCTGGAATCTCGCTCTCAAGCATTTTTTTAACCAGGTCACCCGCATCTGATGGACCCAGCCTGCCAAATAGGACAGTCTGAACAAGCTCTTGCATCAAGGCAGTCAGCTGTGTTCCGTCCTCCTCTTGCATCCCTTGCAGGCCGAGTCGCAAAGCATCTTCTCGACCCGCAGTCTGCCATGACTCACAAACCGCGTTTGTCAGATAAGTATAGTTGTAGGGCTGAGGTTCAAGCAGAGGACTGGATAAGGCAGGGATTTGGGGTTGGTATTGCTGGGCTGTCGACATGGTGCCGTTTGTTGTGTTGGACTCGCGTTCAGCTAGCGGTGCCATCAACGCCGCAGGAGGCTTGTCTCCGTGAGGTTGAACCGTGCTTGACGCAGTATTGCCGCCGGGACCGCCTCTGCTTGATCGCCGACCACCTCTTCCACGCGATTGGTTGTAGTCACGATCATTTCCAGAGGTGTGGTAAGGCGTCGACTGAGCAAGACTGAGATTTCCCGGTCGATGAGGCGAAGGACGAGAATGCGGTTGATCCTCTGAGTACGTACGCTCCGATCGTTTCCTCTTAGCGCCAACCGGCAGGGGCATCACGTCCAGTCGTCAAGAACTGCGGCCCCGGCAAGGCTGTCTCTGAAAGGAATGTCCTGGTGGTTTTCATGAGGGAGGCTGCGACATTCGTTTGATAGAGGGCGCTTAATGCTGATTCGGCGAGCAGTGGGACACAGCCTAGACCCTTCCTTGTACAGGCGCAAAGCCAGCAAGCTGGAGGTTTATTTGCGAGAAGGAATGGACGGGTTGAGGAAATGAGGAGGTGATGGGCTGTGCTGCTTTTGATGCGTCAAAAGAGGGACAGTACAAAAGAAATCCATTTACGGAAAAGCGTGATATTACGGTGAATGTTTTGGACACGGTATGGTCAATTTGTCAATGACCACGACGTCACAGCCTAGATGGCAGAGGAACTCCAGACAGCAGCCTATTAGTACGTTTGCATCATCAAAAGCCTGGCTTAAATTCTTCTCCCATCCCCTCTTGCAATAGAACATGGCTCCTAAGATCTTGCTCACAGGTACCACTGGCTACATAGGCGGTGATAGTCTCTACCTCATCTCCCAGAAGCATCCAGACTGGGAACTCACATGCTTGGTCAGGAATAGTGACAAAGGCGCCAAAGTCGCTGCTGTGTATCCAAAAGTGAGATTGGTCTACGGAGACCTCGATGCCGTCGAATTGATAGAAGAAGAGGCTGCCAACTCCGATATTGTCTATCACTTTGCCAACTGCGACCATGAGCCATCGGCGCATGCTATTGCCAAAGGACTCGCAAGGAGAAATCGCGAGGGCCCTGGGTACTGGATACACACGTCTGGAACACTGATTCTAGGCTGGGAAACAACGGACCTTGCCGATTTTGGCAATAGACTCGACAAGGTCTACGACGACTGGGACAATGTGCACGAGTTGATATCTCATCCTGATCACGCTGCTCACAGGAACGTGAGTACCCCTCAACTCCTTGTCCTTTCATAACATATGTTGGCAGAAACGAGGGCAGTAGACCAGCTGTGGCAATGACCTGTGTTCTTTCTATGCTCTTCTCGAGGAGTCGCAAATGCTCATACCGCCATGTTGACTACTGTGGTTTCTCTTTCTTCAAACCCCTTTGGGCTTTACTGATGCGACTTTTGCCCATAATCGCAGGTTGACAAGATCGTTTTGGCCGCATCATCAGACAAGATTCAGACGGCGATTGTGTGCCCTCCAACGATATGGGGCCGAGGGCGGGGACCCGACAACACACGCTCAGTCCAAATTTATGAGGCGACGGCCAGCTTCTTAAAGCGCGAAAAGGCCTTCAAAGTCGGAAAAGGGGAGAATATCTGGCACGAAGTCCACATTCATGACTTGTCGAACCTCTACCTTCTCCTCGGCGAAGCTGCTGCGAATGGCGGCTCACCGGCGACCTGGAATGACAAGGGCTATTATTTAGCTGAGAATGGTCCCTTCGTATGGGGAGATGTCATCCAGGAGATCGCAAATGTCGCACACGAGAAAGGCCTTCTGCCTGATGCATCTGTGGAAAGCCTAAGTGCGACGGAAGCTGAAAGATTCTTACCGCATGCGAAGTTGATGATCGGAACTAATTCAAGGGGAATATCCATTCGAGGGAAGAAACTGCTGGGATGGAAACCTAATATGCATGGAATTATGGATGAGATTCCTGAGTGTGTGGAGAGCGAAGCTCTGCTCCTTGGACTAATCAAACGCCATGCCGCGACAGTTGCAGAATAACCTCGCTCATCCGCAGGGCAGTTCAGGTCGTCTGGTGCCATCCCCTCGCGAAGTTTGCCGTGTTGGTAGATGGGCACGGTCCGGCTGTGCTGGGCAGCCCACCTCGAAGCGCATTGGAGGGAATGAAACTATGAGATCGTATCGTCCTAGAACACATCAGTCATGGCATCGCGCAATTGACTGCATTGGGCAAGCTCAAGGAGTCACACTCATTGCTCTGCCTCCATGACTATAGATCGACATCCAAGCATGCTTCTTCAGGCCTCGTTCTCTGCAACCTTCCAACGGGGACATTCAAAAAGGTCCAGGAACGTATTTGGAGGCGGAGCTGGAGTAATAGCAACACAGTATGAGACTAAGCTTCAATCAACACCATGGGCACCAGTCCAATGTCAAATTCCACACCCGAGGTGGCTCGCAAATTTGACCTGATTAGGACTTATAGTATCAATTGCATAGGATGTGGCAGCTGGCCTGCTCGGCATAACCGCCGTTCGATACGGCGGTCAGGCTTCCAGGCGGTCCAACCTCGAATCGAGTTCCCAAAGCGGCAATCAGCAATCTCATTGTGTCTTGTATCTTCTCTCGGACGGCACCACCAGAAGTCACTAAGTCGCTAATTACATGCCGATTTCTATCTAGGGCATGCATTGGGGCCTCCATCGTTCGCACTGCCACTGTTAGACGCCTTGTCTGCCTCGTCATGCACGAGGGAAGTCATGAGACGATGCAGCTGGCCGTCATGTATAAGAACCGCGACACGGGATGCTCTTGATGAACAGCAAGGTCACAGTTTGAAGCCAAGTTCACATTTGATCTACGCAGCACACAAGCCCACCTTATTTCCATTCCCGTCCAGTCCAGTCGAGCAGCAGAAGCGTCGTCATCAATATTCTTCACGCCCGAGATAATGTGCATTTCAGGGTTTTTCCTGGTTCGAAGGATGTTGAGAGGCCGAGAGTTGAACGAGCGCAATGCTAGAGTGGTCCACTACGACAATCAGTCAACACAGCAGCAGGAATCTCAACCAAGATATGGAGACAGTGGCCGAAGTCCTGGGTTGGGGAATAGAGAAGCGCGACAATAAGGACGATAAGGACGGCACTTTGTCATTGATCTGTACGAGCTGACCACCAGCCGTAACTTCTGTGAGACACTGACAAACGCCTGGCAGACGGACCTTCAAACAACTACGAATCGGTCCACGTCCGAGCGGGATAGAGCGTCCGAAGTGTGTCATGCTGAAAAAGTCTTTGGTGATATCGTGATATGTTGGTTTTTACACATCTGGAACACAATATTGTTTTCGACGACCTCTTTTCAGCTAGTGACGCAGCATTCTGTAGCGACAGGGGTGGATTATGGCAAACTGTTGGTGCTGTGTCCTGAACTTCCTCCTCCTCAAACGCTTTTGCCCTAGCATCTCCACAGTATTAGAATCTTCTGTTCTGTTTGTGTGATTAGCATCATTCTGTAAGGTGCGTGTTTCGTGCAAAGGACTCAGAAACAGGGGATGTGCAAACTGAAAAGCGGAACCAATCCAAGTCTGTGAAGACGGACCCCATCGACATTGCATTTTCTTGTTTTGCAGGTACTCATCATTGTTAACCCTCTCAACGTCTCTTGTAACATATATCCAAGTACCTCGATCCTTTTAGGACCCTTCACCCTCCTCTCCAGTATGATCAAAGGGAGCTGCGCCTGCGGGCGCATTCAATATGAGACTCAAGCTGAGCCCCTGGCCCTGACGGCCTGTCATTGCGTCACTTGTCAGCGCGTGTCTGGTGCACCGTACATGGGTTTCGTGGGCATTCCTGCTTCAACAGTCGAATGGAAACAGCGGCCAGATATCTGGATAGCGAGTGACATTGCCGAGCGCGGTCACTGCAAGTCATGTGGCTCTGCCCTCTTCATGCGGTACTTCTTCGAGACAGACCGCACTGCCGTGACCCTTGGGACTGTGGTTGAGGCCGAGCCCGCGCTGCCACCTCTGGGGGCACACATCTTTCTAAAAGACAAAGCACCGTATTTTGTTCTCGCAGATGACGGGGCCAGACGCCATGATGAGTTCTCGCAAGAGTTTCACGATAGGATCGAAGAATGGAGACTTCTCCAGCAGAAGGAGGGAGATGGCAAAACTGTAAGAATGAAACTGCAAAAAGCCTCCTCTTTGACTGCGACTGAATCGTCTTAGAAGTGAATTGGAATAAAAGACAGAAGGGAGCAAACGAAGCAGACAACAAAAACAAAAGCATTCAAGCAAGCAAGCAGACCAGTGAATTCTGCCTCACCCGCTCCAAGATGAAATCTTTCTCTCGTCTTCACCATCTTGCTCCCATTCTCTGCACTGTCTGCACCACCTTCCTTCTTCCTCCCACACCATATCTTCCTCTCTGCTCTCGAATCTTCATCATCACTCTCATCTCCCCCATCTCGCACGACCATGGCATCAGCATCGTCCTCATCTTCAAAAGTGCCCCCTGGTGCTCCTACTGAGCCAAAGTTGTTTCGGGTCTCAAGCATGGCTCCTCGTTCCCGTCTGCACCCCAATCCCGCTCGCTGGAGTCGCGCGCCTTCCCCTGCAGTCCCTCGTCACAGCAGCAGCCCTCTCGTCCACAGTCCCTTACAGCAATCATTTCCTGCTTATCCAGATCCTGCAAGATCAGCGCCTAATTCTCCGAGAAGCATCAGCATGCAGCAGACCCCTCGTCGCTCTCGTCCCTGTGAGCAAGATGTCCGTTCCCGAAGAGAGTCACGCTCATCATCTGTCCCCATCGTCATACGCACTCAACAAGATTCAGAAGCTGAAGGCGGAGATACAAGTCGACGCTCAACGCACCCCCGTACCCGACCTAGCTCCAGGGCTAGTTCATGCTTACCCTCACCAGGTGACAGCCACAATCGTCGCTCTGTAAAACACCTCACTTGTTTCTGGTGGTGGGAAAAGGGAGAATGCAAATACTCTGAGGATGAATGCCGTGAGTTGATCCCAACGCAGCTTTTTAGTGCTAATATTGACCTAGTATACGCACACCACGACACGGGCCATTACACCGCCGCACCTCGCCAGGTAATTCCAGGGGAACCGGCCAAGGCAGGGAGATCTCTAGAACGTGCATTGAGCAAGCTGGCTATTGCAAATCGCTCGTCTGCTTCGGTGTCGTCTCTCGCTGGAGCCAGCGGTAACAACACTCATTGTGAGAGTATTGCCAGTGACAGCAATGCGGTCTCCAGACCTGTGACTCCGCTCATCAGCCACAGCCGGCGCAGCACCCCTTCTCCTCGTATGAGTATGGACATTGGTCATGCCGCTCACCTCCAGACCGACAACGAGTTCCTCCGCAGCCTCGTCCAACAAACACAACGAGAGAAGCGCGCTTTGATGGACACAATTGAGACCCTCCAAGCAGAAAGGTCTCAGTTGAATACGCAGATCGAAAACATGAGCCAGGAACGTATCGCGCTACTCACAGAGCGAGACATCTTACACGCTACAATCAAGAAGTTGCAATTCCCTTCCGGAGCCAACCACTATGTCCAGGGTCATGGCCACATTGCACCGATGAGATCTCCAAGTGCCACTACCTTTCCCAGCAACAATCCATGGGGTGCTATTGGGAGTGGGTGTCGAGGAGCTGGGACCAGTCCAAACGACACTCCAGTTGACAGCCCTGCCATGCAACCACGCAGCTTCAGTTTCGCCGCCCTTGGCGCCGTCGGTCCTGTGGGCAGCATTCCTACTCATCTCACCTGCAACACCTCGCGACCAAGTATGAAAGCCTGCGCTGAGTCAACATTGGACTCTACGGTGTCAAATCATGGCTCCGTCAATGGGAATGGCGTCGAGCGTGGAAGTATAATGGCAGATACGCAACTCGGCGAGACCCTTATTTCAAGTAACATGGAGGGAGAGAGACTCAAGAACTTGTTGAGCAGCTTGGGACCAAGCTTCTGAACCGCCAGTCTCAGCCAGGATCTTGCGACACGACACCATTTGTCTTCTCAAACAGCAGTTTTCAGAACCATCGTTTCATCCAACCAACGTCATCCGAAATCGACTACAGGAGGCATGGGAGCCTCGAAGGCTCAACAATTTACACACTGGCAGACCTAGATATGTCCGAAATAAGGACCTATCCTGAAACGAAAGGGTCTGTCAGAGGTACCGAGAGACCTGAACCAACAAAACGTGCAATACAACACCAGCAAAAGGCCTTATTCAGGCTTCGCCTTAATATCTAATGTGTCCGAGTTTTACTGAGAAGATCAATGACATCCAAACAAGAAGGAAAGGGACCAATTGCATCAAAGTGTCATGCAGTGTTAAAGCTACGGAGCAGATGGAGGAACTTGTGGGACAAGGGCGAGACAGAAATTGGGGACCAAGGCCCAACGACGATGGCCACCAAAAAAATGATTGAAAACGCTTGATGGACGGAAGCGTTTCTTTGCTCGCGATCCTGATACCCACAGAAGGTACAGTACTATGCTGGATAGGACAATATTCACATGCTACACATTGCTGAATAGGGGGTAGTCCTATACAGTAGCAATGAGCTTGGATAGATAAAGTTCTCTCACGTTCTTCCGCGCCTGTTCTTGACACAAGGCCCGTCATTCCCTCCCTTCTGATACCCTTTCGAAAAGTGCTTCTTTGGAGCCCACTCTCCGCCGAGCTGCTCTTCAACGTCTTTATTTATGTTGCACCGCCGTGGACGACGATGATTCGGGCAATGTTCATTCACGCTATCAAAGGCGCGCAGATTCAGCCGTAAGCTTCTGGGGAATGTCAGATCAAAACGTGCTCTGCGCCAACCGACTGGCGGCGTTTCGAGCATCGACACGATCCTCATCTTCGTCTTCCTTGACCCTCTCCAGACTGGCTCCGGTCGCGCTTCGTGGTCGTCCCCCCTGTGCCGCCGCCGCACCGTTCGTCCCGTTCTCACCGTCTTCTGGGAGGGGAACGCCCAGCGCTCCCGGCCCGAAGCTTCCCGACATGCTTCGAGAAAGAGCATCCCTGCTGCGTGGGACACCGGACCAAGCGTCGCCCTTTGCACCCTGGCTGCTGGCCATGCTGATCCGCCTAACGGTGGGATGGTTTTCCCGCCCCAATCTGCTCAGACCACCAGAAGCGTCAATGGCCCGGATGTCGGGCCTGACACTTTCGAGAGTTGCGAGCGTGCGGCGTTCTGCTTCGATCTGACGTAGAACATACTCACGAAGGGAGAGCATGAATTCGGTGGACGTGCGGCTGAACCAGCGGCGTTTCTCGAGCAACAAGTTGGCCGTCACGCGTTGGGTTTTCGAGCGGAGATAGTTTTCTTGAGAGATTGCCTCGTCGAGCGCAGAAATTGCTTCGTCAACTTTATCTCTGCGCACGCTGGATGAGCTTTTGAGGCGTTGGACCGCGTTCTCCTTGCTCCGACGGGATGCCTCGGTCTGGAGCAATTCACGGAGGAGGATGTGTCGATTTGTCAGAGTTTCTTTCACGATGAAGGCGTCGGAGGAGTGATAGGCGAGCGCATCCCCCAATGTCGTGGCTTCGGCAGTTCCTTGCGCGGCGTGATAATCGCCGCACGTTTGAATGATGCGTCCGAGTTTGCGGTATGCGGTTGCAAGACCGGGGTGAGTCTCTTGGACATTCATTTGACCAAGTTTTTCTCCCAAAGAGGATTCTGCAAGACCGAGTGCTGTGGAACATCAGCAAGGGGGACCGAAGAGAAATATTCACACGACTCACCTCGTCGTGCCTTGACAACCTTTTCGAGTCTTTGGCTCGTGTCCAGAGAACTCAAGTAGAACGCCTTGACAATAGGCCTTGCCTCGTGGAGCTCAGGCGTGTCGTCAGGCGGCGGTGCAAATTGTTTCAAGACTTTCCGTCTCACGCCGGTCGCTGGTTGTTTCATTCTCACCACGGGAGAGTATCCGAAATCACTCTCCACGAAGAACACCATCTCCTCATCACGCATAAGCACATCGTTGCCACAAACAGCATTCAACCATCTTTGCATGGCCGCCTTGACTCGAGCTTCGTCCTCATCCGTGCCTACTCCGGCAGAAGTTTGAGCCGGAGGCACAGCCGGGACAAGAGCCTCTGGATTCGAAGATATGAGATGGTCGGCGAGTTTAACGAACTCGGAATGCGTTCGACGGACATCTCGGAATTGAGTAGTTCGGAATTTGGGGAGATTAGTCTTTCAAGGGCATTAGTTCGATTGCTTCCAGGTTGTCATGGACGAACCATAACATACATAAACGTCAAACCTGATAACAGGATCTTTGCGTCCTGTTCGCTCCAGCGCAGTTACCTTGGCTTGCAACTTATATTGGGGCACCGGTCTGTTCTGTCTAGCACTATGATATCTTGCAGCGCCTGGCCGCTGTTGCGCAGCCCCCGTTGCTTGGACATCCTGTGCTTGCGCAGAGACCTCTTCTGGACTTTGATGTTGTGCGGCAGCGACTGGGTCTCCCAAGAACCCAGCCTCCCTAGTAGCGGGCACACTGGCTTGATTCGGTGGAGGTAGGTAAGGGTTATCAGGAATGCTGTCTTGGGATTGATTGTAGGAATGCCCTCGAATAGGCTGCGGTGACTCTGGAGAATCTGCCCTGGCTTGCGCAAAGCCCCTGGAGGCCCGTGGGGATGACGAACCCCAGGGAGAGGCGCCGTGAAGAGCATCGGCCTCGCTGGCGGCGACAGAGTAGTCCATAGCTGGCTGCGAAGGGGGTGGCAGCGGAGAACTGCTCAGGTTGTGGTGTGGTCAATCAACCGGACATTCGGCACATATACTCAAGGAAGACCTAGGCGTGTCTGAGATGCAGCTTCTGAAGTCGCCGGAATGTTCGCAGGGAACTGTGTAGTGTTTATCGAGCAATATAAGGTGACACTACTGGATTCAGCAGTCTCCGTACTATCGATCTATTATCATTGTGTTCAACGGTCCCCAGCCGGGAAGTTGGTGCAGGAGGAGCGAGAAGCGGCGGGAAAAAGGCGCCTGCGGACTGCGCTCCGGCCGAAGATGGCTAGTGGGTGCTGCTGCTTTACCTGCAACCGGATTCTACCTATATATTTTTTTTTTCCTCCAAACCTCAGCACTGTACATACTCTGAGGTTCGAAAGCAACCAATTCAAGTCATTCATTCAGTCCTGCCTTATTCCCCATTTCACTTCACGTGGCCTTTGAAGTTTTTGGCGTCCATTGCAGGTTGATGTGGTTGGCTAGCCATTTCCATCTCTGATAGGGGATGCAAGTCCAACATGTGCAATTTATTCGACACTCCCCTCTAATTGATTTATGTCGGTCTCGTTCTGCTTCTTCGTTTCGTCGGGTCCAATTGAGGAATATATGGTCTTCATGTTCGCGTGCAGCACCTACAGCGTCAACTCCGCAGAGCCTAAGGCCCTCGAGGACCAGAAATATCGGCATCATCGCCCATATCGATGCAGGCAAAACGACTACGACGGAGCGTATGCTCTATTATAGCGGCCATACTCGTCGGATAGGTGATGTCGACGAAGGATCTACGGTCACCGACTTCCTTCCTGCTGAGCGGGCCCGTGGGATCACCATTCAATCCGCGGCCATAACCTTCAAATGGCCCCCTGATCATGCTGCAACACCTTCAGGGCCTGCCGATGATGTTGAAGCTCAGCCTCGCGCACGTTTCTCGCATACCATCAATCTGATTGACACGCCAGGACATGCTGACTTCACTTTCGAAGTCCGCCGGTCACTCCGCATCTTGGATGGCGCTGTTTGTATTCTGGACGGTGTTGCCGGTGTCGAAGCTCAGACTGAGCAGGTATGGGCCCAAGCCGGCGAGTGGAATATTCCACGAATCGCGTATATCAATAAATTGGATCGGGATGGTGCTGCTTTCGGAAGGACAGTCCGTGAAATTGGCTCTCGCTTGAGTGGTTGGCCAGCAGTCTGTCAAATTCCCTGGTTTGAGGGCGGAAAGGGCCGATTCATTGGCGTCGGAGATGTCATTAATCTGGATGGATTGTTATACGAGTATGGCGGAGATGGCAAAGGGATAGAACGTTATCCCTTCTCGCGGTTGCAGCAAGAGCATCCGGAATTTGCGCAAGAATTGCGAAGAGCAAGGACGGCTCTGGTTGAACTTCTCAGTGAACACGACGATCAGCTCGTCGAAGCCTTTTTCGACGCCGAGGAAGACCATCTTAAAGTGACACCTGCTCAAATCTGGGACAGTCTGCGAAGGGGTCTCCTCACGCCGCAGAGCATGATTATCCCAGTCTTTGCTGGGGCCAGCTTCCGCAACATCGGAGTCCAACCGCTCCTGGACGCTGTCACCAACCTCCTGCCGGCCCCAGAAGAACGTCCGGATCCCGAGATTGGTCTCGGGCCGGCCTCCGGAGGGCTTTCGCAGTTGATAAGAGGTGATCTGTCCCTGGAAAAGAGAGCATCCAAGTCCAAGAAGAAAGGCTCTGAATTGGTATCGGCAGCGGTCGGCAAGGCTTTGCAAGGCTGCGCATTGGCTTTCAAAGTGGTCAATGATCCACGCAAAGGTATGCTGGTCTACATCCGAGTCTATTCGGGGACGATCGAACGCAATGCTCTTCTTTTCAACACGAATCTTCAGAATTCCGAAAGGGTGACAACTTTACTCCGGATGTATGCTTCGGAATCGGTACCTGTCCAGTCACTGCAAGCTGGTGAGATAGGGGTTATTGCAGGCTCGAAGTTTGCTCGAACCGGTGACACGCTCATCTCATACGCGGGAAACAAGGCCACTCCACCGGAACCATTGCAGAAGTTGCAACTGCGCCCGATTCGGGTGCCGCCGCCTGTCTTTTTCGCGGCCATTGAACCAAACAGTTTGCGGGAAGAGAAGGACATGCACGAAAAGCTGGCGCTGTTGTTGCGAGAAGATCCCAGCCTCCAGGTGTCGCAGGACCAAGATACAGGCCAAACACAGATCAGTGGAATGGGCGAATTACATCTTGAGATCGCCCAAGACAGGCTCGTCAACGATTTGAAAGCAAAAGCCCGCATGGGCAAGATAGCAATCGGTTATCGTGAAACACTGCCACAACCTTCAAGCATCATCACAAAAGTATTGGAAGGAGACCGTGCAGCCTCGAAAGGTAAAGCCGGGTGTACGGCTTTTGTGGAACCTTTGGAAATCGAAGCTGCTGAGCTTGTCCATCACTCCGAAGACAGCTTCACTCATGAAGAAGACGGTAACCTGATCATCATCGAGACCCCAACTCTGGACCAACGAGGAAGAGCACTTGACAGTGACACGGGGGGCTTGCCGCCGCACCTCCTGCTCCCGGAAATTCAGACCGCCTACCTCAACGGCGCGTTGGCAGCTTTGAGCCGTGGCCCATCCTGGGGCTACCCCATGCGCAACACGAAAGTCACCCTGACTCTTCGTCCCGATGAGCACATCTTTGGCACGGAAACCACTTACGGATCTCTGACCGCCGCCGCTCGCCTGGCCACGATCGCGGCATTCAAAGATGCCACTAAGAGCAGTCCCTGCTCGTTGATGGAACCTGTGATGAACGTCGACATCAACGTGGACGAAGCAAGCCTGGGCACGGTCATCCAAGACATCTCGTCCGGTCGGGGTGGGCATATTGTCTCCTTAGGCGACCATGAAGAAGAGCATGCGCAGACTGGCTTGGATTCCAGAAGAATTGACGTGCGGAAGATCTATGCCCCCAAGGATCCGTTTGAATCTGGTTCATCGTTGGCAGGAGAGGACCACCAGAAGGTCAATTTCCAGAGGACTGTTAAGGCGAAGGTCCCCCTAAAAGAAATGGTCGGCTACCTCAAACATCTCCGCAGCATGACCGGAGGAAGGGGGACGTTTGTGATGAGTGTTGACCGATTTGAGAAGATCACAGGCCCTCGAGAGAAAGCACTCATTGCAGAACTGCAGGGTGGACTGTGAACGATGCGAGACACAATATATATATATATATATAATATAGGATGTATTTGTAAGTATTGTATTATCTGTTTAGACTGTCAGATGTCAGCAGCTGGCACGGACAATTGGTGGTTGAAGCCAAATGGGGTTTTTGACTCCGCAATTGTACCAACAATGCTCAACTCGAAATACCTTTGGACCCTGTGCAGAACCATCTGAGGACCTACACGCCTACACGTCAACCTATCCTGATCCGCATGTTCATTTCAGCAGAGACTGTGTTCGAGCATGTCTTACCGGCCAAGCTGACCTGAGGAGAGCTGAGAAAAGTGACCACACGAACAACTTCCCCCCTGGGTGCCCCCCCACGCTGCTCATCATCACACACTCAGACACGAAACTTCCACCAAGATGGCGGCCAAGGCGATGTGGGAGGTCGACCCGGAGACTAGAAGCAAGGTTCGCTTTCTTTGAACCTGTTTCGTCTCGAATATGAGTTCCTGATCCTATATTGCAGCTTGCAGCGTTGGGGAAAAAGGAGGGTGCTGGCAACGACAAGTGTTGCGACTGCGGTGCCCCTTCGCCGCAATGGGTGAGTCCTGGGAGTCCTCCTGTCCTGTACATCTCCTCTGTTCTAACCATGGACACAGGCGTCCCCCAAGTTTTCTACCTTTATCTGCCTCCAATGCGCCGGCGTGCACCGCGGACTCGGCGTCCACGTCTCCTTTGTGCGATCCATATCTATGGACGCTTTTAAACAGGCCGAGATCCTCCGGATGCAGTACGGCGGTAACAAGGCCTGGCAGGACTTTTACAACAAGAACAGCCCCTCGCTACCGTTCGAGGAGGCAACGATAAAGGAACGCTATGACTGTGAAATCGGTGAGGAATGGAAGGAGAGGCTGTCTTGTCAGGTGGAGGAAAGGGAGTTTGATAAAGCCGCCTTCCAAAGGGAAAGACAGGCCATCTTACAGAAGCAGGCGAGTCGGTCTGTCACGCCGGCTGGAGGAGCAAGGAACAATACTGCGGCTGTCTCGAGCAACAACAGCCGTCCAGGAAGTCGTACCGCATCACCGGCGCCCCCCAAGGGAGGACGCATTCCAGCGGAGCAAAAAGCCCAGAATGAAGCCTACTTCGCGCGCATGGGCGAGGCGAATGCCACCCGACCAGACAACTTACCACCTAGTCAGGGTGGGAAGTATGGCGGCTTTGGCAGTGCACCGCCGGAGCCCTCGCAGCAGCAGGGATCGGGAGGCGGGATCCCCTCGGCGGATGATTTCTCCAAGGATCCTGTGGCAGCTATAACGAAAGGTTTTGGCTGGTTTGGAGGCATGGTCAGCAAGCAGGCCAAGATGGTGAATGATTCCTACATTCAACCTACTGCACGGAATGTCAGTTACCCGTCACAGACGCCCTTTGTTTCTCACATGTTCTTCGACGAGATGAGCAGAGAATCGCATGGCTAACAGCTCATGATCTAAGTAGATCGCAACCTCCGACTTTGCCGCCCAAGCCCAGAAGGCCGCCGCGGCCGCGGGACAGGGTATTCAAACCGGTGCACGCGGCGCCGCCGAATCCTTCAACAAATTTGTCGAGGGTCAGGACGAGAAGGCCGCATCGGCGGCCGCGTCGAAGCGGGCAGAGCCGGAGAGGAAGGACTTCTGGGACAGCTTCGGCCTGGGCGGAGGGGGTACCAGCAACAGCAGTATCGGGACCAGTGCGATGAGGAAAACCACTTCCGGGTCGTCTGCGACGGCGGCGAATCCGCCTCGGAAGAACAAAGAAGACGGCTGGGGCGATGACTGGTGAAGAAAGAAAGAGAGAAAAAAGATTCGCCCTGGTGAGCAAGACGGAAGAGCGATCAATACCCAAACACCGACCAAAAACAATAACAACAAGGAGCAGCCAGCCATCATCAATCAGTTACTTTTTGGCCATCTTCGCATTTTATGAAGCTGATCATTGCAGACACCCACACACGCCCACAAGACAAGGACACGAACAAGAACAAGAACAAGATCTATTAAGACCAAGACCGAGCTGAAAGGGGACAATATTCGCCGCCATCTCGAAACTATTAATACCACCGAGCGAGAAATCGCCCCGTCTCTCTTGGAGGGGAGAGATTTTTGCACAGTATCGAGCAGCAACTCAATGCAAAACACCAACAGTGACATCTATCATGTAGGCAGGTGGTGGACGGGGCACTCAAAGCTTTGCCTGTACAATTGAAGAAGAACAAAAAAGAAAAGATAGACAGCGGCGAAGTATAGTAACTGGGGGAGGCACCACCAGAACACAGGAAATATGCCCCTTTCCAGGGCTGTCATGTCGAGGCTGTGGTTGAGGGTGGTTGGTATACATTCGCGCCTCTGACCTGTTTTTTTGGTCGCATCCATACTTCCTCGCATCGGGAACGCAAGTCCTTTCATGTTCCAGCATGAACAACATACCGCCAGTTTCTATCATAGCAGTCCTTACAAGAAGAGTCCGTCACTTGGAGCTGGTTTGCTCAATCGTAGATCCCCGTGTCGCCAACTCGCTGCGGAAGCGTATGAGGTGCTTCGTCCTGCGAACCGGTGTCATCTCCCACCCCCCCTCCATGAGTCCACGGCTCTGCCTCGATATGCTCCTCCTCCTCCGCCGCCGCCGCCTCCTCCCCTTCCTCTTCCACCTCCTCCCACACCAACCAGCCTGGCCTGGCCCTTGCGTCCGAACCCGAACTCGGGGCCTTTGTCCACCCATTGCTCTCTGTCCTTGTCCCGCTCGAAGGAGTACCGCTTCATGCCTTCATCGCCGCTCCGTCCCAGCTCTTCCCACCCTGTCCGCAAGGCGCGTAACATGTCGAGCCGCTCATTCGCAACGGACAAAGGTACGGGTTTATAGTAGAGCTTCGGCTTGGTAGAGGTGGAGTCGAAGAGTTCGTCGAGCGCTTTGAAGCCTCTGCCATTGTTTGACGATGGGTTTGAAGGACCAGTCGGAGGGCCCCGCCGGCGGTCGCGAGACGTCAAGATCTCGCGGGTTGGATGCACACCTGCGGAAAGGGATTCTGATTGCTGCCTGTCGAAGGGTGCAGCGCGACTTGGCTCGAAGGGCGGAGGGCGAGGTTTACTGGTGTCGACTTCCTGGAAAATGGCCTCGATGCCACTTTCGCCTTCTTCGTACGTTACTTCAAAGCGACTCCCACCGCCTCCTCGACCAAACACACTGCCGGTCTCTTGATCAATCCATGTTTGCACCTTGTCTGGGGGAACATAGTCAACAAATAGTGGCTCTCGTAAAGGTTCGTCGGGAAAGCGTGATCCGTGCATCGCAGAGCGAACTCGCGAGGCAGCCGCGACTGAGGTGAATGAAACAAATGCATGGGTTCGAATACTGTCGAGATAGAATGTGGTGATGGGATCAGCATCGTCGGAGGAACGCGATTTTGCTATTGATGTAACATGGGCGCGAAGCGAAGGGATGTGAAGAGGTCGCTTGAAATTGCGGATGTAGATGGATGATGTTGCTGGGTGGATGGCCGGGGGAATGTCTCGATCTTCTGATGAAGATGTCGATCGGGGCGGAGTCGCAGATGCTTTTTGATCATTTGATTTGGGTTCTCCTGGAGTGGTTTCCTCAGGCTGGGAAAGGGATTCTGTGACAACGACACCATCTCCAGATGTTTTAGCGACAACTTCAGCACGCTCTCCAGAGGTTTCTCTTGCCCCCTCTAGTTCCGCTTGGGTTTGATCTGGGGCATCTTCCGCCTTCGCATCTCCTGCATCGTCTACTAAACGCGCTCTCTTACGAGCTACATCTTGCGTCGACGGAACCGGTGTGGCACTTCTTTTTCTCCGCCTCCTCAGGTCTTCTGCAAGGTCACCGGAAGGTACTTGCGAGGAGTAGGGCGTATTCGAATCAGACAGATTTTCTGTTGGGGGTGGTGTGGAGAGCGCAGCAGTCTTTTTGGGTTCGCCGCTTTGGTCGATGGTTGTTACCTCGTCCTTGGATGGCTCTCCTACACCGTCCGCTGCGTCATCACTTTGTCCAGGAGCCTCAATCGTTCCGTCGTCCTCATTGGTCTGGGAGGGGAGTTTTTCTGGTTCATCTTTTGTCTCCGTTTCATCAGGCTGGGCAACTACTTCTGCGCTAGGTTGTTCCTCCGCCTTAGTTAAGGCTTCAGCCTGACCGTCCTCGGCTGGAATGACCGAAGGCTTGTCTGCTCCACCTTCGTTCTCTTGAGACGCAGAGTGTTCATCGCTGCTAGCATCCTTGGACGCCTCATCCTTGCCGATGTCGCTCGTACCCAAGTCAGGCTGGAGATCTCCTCCACCACCTTCATTTTCCTGCGGAGCAGGTTGTTCCTCGACTTCTTCTGTGTCTTGTGCCTGTTCATTCCCATTGTCATTGGACTGGTCGCCATTCTGTGCTTCGTATTCTTCGAGCTTGTCGATGTAATGTTGTTTTAATTTGAGGCCGGTCAGAGGGATATCACGCGACTTGCACTCCTCCTTGAGGTCGGCAACCTTCAACTTGCTCCAATCCGTCATGGTTGCAGCGGACGACTTGATGCGATTGGCAGAGAAAGGCCAGTGTTGTGATCAGCGAAGGAGTCGAGATGACCAACATGCGCCATGTACGGGATTGGATTGATCCATGTGTGGTTGAATCAATGAAATGCGACGCGCCAACTTCACAGAATTATTGGCAGAAGCCCAGACCGTGACAGAAATGACGTCATGCTTGGCGGCTGTCACGTGCCATACATCTGCCTCAATGTCTCTATCTTCTGTCCGGCTCGCTTCAACAAGAGCCTCACTTCTGGCTCGAGTATTTCCCTCGAAGCAATAGGCACCCAATGGGCAATGGGAAAGTTTATGTGTCAGCTGATTCCCTAATTACGCAAACAGCCTGGCTTCGTTCTCGACCCATCTTCCAGACTCGGTCCACTCACCTTTTCTTCCGCCAGGATCGTTGCTCTGTACATTATCGTTACTCAGCTAACATCTGAGCTCCTTCGAAAATGACTTGTTCCGAGTCTTTTCTGCTTGCTAGCTCCTGGAGGTCTGACGAGTACATTTTCGATCTGAAAAAGGCGCTGTGTTGACCTCGAAAATCAGGGGTGACTCCAGCATGCTCAGATATTTACTCCTTGATCATGACATCGACCGGTTTATTGGTCGAGGAGGTGATCATGAGAATGGAGGAGGTATTTTCCAGATCTTAGCTTCATCCACGTGGGCCTCGCTTCGGTTTCGATGCAGCCGAGAAGGAACTAATGTGTCTCAATCCCTGAACTAGGGTCAGCCTTACCCGTTGAAACCGAAGTCCACACAACGCCTGCTTCAAACTGGCGCCAGGACAGACAAACGTCCTGCTCGGCAATCCGCGTCCAATTTATCAACAATACATTTAGCTGTTGGATCTAATTCCTGAGGCAACGAGGCAAACTCAATCGAAAAACACATGACACCACCTGCCAACCCGTAGAACCTCGTGCAACGCCAAGTCCACCGTCCTACGCTCCGTTCCAACTTGGCGGGAGCTCATCGTGCAATCCTCGACATCCTCGCCTTCAGAATGCTCGCTGTATCTCAAGTTGAAATCTCCCTCAGATGCGGTGGAGCTGGCCTCGCTTCCAGCCGGGACAACCTTCTGGAAACATGGCTTCAAGGTAAAGGGCAATATATAAATTGATGTGAGTCTTCTCTCATTCGAAATATCTCCTGTGCTGTCGTCACGCAACGCATCTTTGATTATTCTGCATTATCAGCCGCTGGTCGGTACATTCGTTTCTTTGGCGAGCTAGTCTCTCTTTTACAACGATTCGGACTCGCAACACGATCTTTATTTTGGATTTCAATCCTCCACAATCCTTTCCAACATGCGCCTCAAAACAACAACGCTTGCGACACTGCTTGCCGTAGCTCAAGCCCGGTTTGGTCAAGAACAAGTTCCCATCCCAGCCATTGCAGCAGTTCAGGCCGGCGCTCCGGGAGTCGCTCAGACCATTGCTGGCGCGGCTGTAAGCGATCTACTGGCAGCAACCAATGCCTGCGACAAGCTCAAACGTGGTGACCAAATCATTGCCGAGCTCGGCACCGGAGCTGAGGCCGTTGCTGCAGCTATCGGCCTTGTCGCTGCGGAGAAGAATTTCAACCCGTTCGTTCAGTCGATTCCTACCATCTGCGATGATCCCACTCTGCCAGCTACAGATGTCCTCCGAGGTATCACGCCCCTGATCGACCCGGCGGTGGTTGGTTCAGATATCGCAAACGCATTGTCTGCCAAGACCAAGGTGACTCCGCTGGATGCCACTGGCAAGAGTGTTGCGGACCTGCTCGCTGAGAATGGATTCACTAATTTTACTGGGCAATCTGCTGCTGGTGCTACAAGTGCTGCTCCAGCGGCATCTGGTAGCGCTGGCACCGGTACCTCCAGCACCACTGGGCTTGCCACTTCAGGAGCTGAGCCCTGTGGCGCCGTCGACACATCCGGTCAGTCAGGATCTTCAGAATTGAACAACAACAATACTAATAGTTCACAGTTGCAACTTCTACCACTTCTGCCGCTGCCGAGTCAACGACGGCTGCGGCAGCTACAGGAGGCAATTCTGTTCAGCCTTCGACGATTAGCGGTGTTGATTTCGGCCTCTGTGTGCCGACCATGAAGTTCGAAGGCGGACTCAATGGTCGGCCCGCCACCGAGTTTACTTTCTTGCCCATCGACCCGCTGTGTGTGCAAGGGCAGCAGGAGGCATTGAATCCAAGTACGTTATCACACGGCGGTCTGCGAGTCTCTTAACAGCGCTGGATGGCTGATCCTGTACCTCCAGACATCATCACCAATCGAATCTGCGATCAACTTACCAACGTCTGTCAAGCGAATGACGCTGCGAAGACATTGTGTCGAAGTGTCCAGGCTCAGATCCAGGCGCTAGGAACGAGGGACAAGTCGACTGCCGACACTTGGAACACCAATCTCGGATTCGCTGGCGCGATCACGAATCCAGATGGTGGCCCTGCCGAGCCGCCCGCGAAGATGAGGGTGGTCCGGTCTTACCGAGACGCCTGAGCCGTTTTGGGCAGGACTTCGAGGCTTCCGGGAATGCGTTCCTTGTCTATCTTGCCGGCTGATAGGAACACCAGGCCATCCTTCTCAAACCAGTGTCACGAATAACTTTCATCAAATAAGATAGTGGCGAACTCATAACTTGTGCGTTCTATGTACCATCAGGAGTGACGATAGACGAAGAGATATGCTCAATTAACGACTAAACTGCTTGCTTGCGTCGATGAGATTCGCCGTATATATATATATATATATACATATACAAAAGGCTGAATTGACCATCTGCCAACGACGTTAGTCCGACTCGCCCTTCTAACTCAAGCCGAATGCGTCACTTCCCATCCAGTGTTCAGAGAGATTCCTGGCTCGGAGGGCACGTCAAAACGTGGAGAGCTTTACCGATATCTCGCACAGGAGAAGACTACATGCTTTTGCTTTTCAGACAAAGGAGCGCCCCAGAACAATATCATTACTATCTCCTTCAGATCGGGTAGCTCGCACGACAAGAGGATTCACATGCCTTTTTGTTGTGTTTCAAGGGGGACACAGAAACCGAGACAAGCAATGGGGTTTCGTTACTTTGTCTCGCTTTCCATAGTGGAAACATGGATACTGCAAATCCCCCCCACCCCCACCACCCGAGACTACTACCACCAATGTTGCAAAGGACAGGGGGCAGCAGCACTCAACGGTTTCTTGTTTTTGTGAATGTCACACCTCGGACATTATCACTGTTACCCTTCATTGATCGGAGCAGTCCTCGCCCACCGCAATGTAATTTGCAAGAGCTCACTGCGGAGGCTTCAGGTTGTGCGGGTCTTCTGGATCCATTCGATCGCGTCGAGCAGATACGGTACCTGGATTAGTTGGGTAACATGCTTAGCTCCAGCACGAGGAAGAAAAAGAAGAAGGAGAAGGAGAAGGAGAAGGAGAAGGAGAAGGAGAAGGAGAAGGAGAAGGAGAAGGAGAAGGAGAAGGAGAAGGAGAAGAAGAGGTGGAGGAGGACGAGGACGAGGGGAAAGGAACAGGAAGAGGATAACAGCTAGGGGGTTGTGTTTGAACTTACGAATTTCTGCGGATCCTCCGTGGCAGGGAAGTGGCCCAGGCCCTTCATGGCCTTGAAGTTGGCGCCATGAATCTTCTTCGCCGTGGCCTGAGACATCTCAGGCGTCGTGGACCAGTCATACTCGCCGGTGAGGAAGTAGATGGGACACTTCTTGACGTCGATGGAAGCGACGCGGTCGCGGGCGTCGAAGCCGCCAAAGTAGAAGTCCAAGTCGCCGTGGAATATGCCGTACGCTTGCCCGGAGTACAGATGCTGAGAAGAAGCCGTCAGCAGGGCGTTGAGAGGGAGAAAGTACCAGGAGGATGGGGTCGACTTACCCAGATGAGCAGCTTGTTGACCTTGGGGCTCTGAGGCGCCATCATGCCGTATACTGCAAAAGCATGTCAGTGGCGCCGAAGATCTAAAATCCTCGCATATTATCTTGCTTACCCCAATCCGGGTTGAACAACGCTTGATTGCACACAGGACTCTTGTCATTAAACTGTCGATCCATGGTCAAATAGTCGCAGCCCTGGAGAGGAATGGTGCCTCCGGCACCGACTTCCTCGGCCCTGATCGCGACAGCGACGCATACTTGGCCAGCCACTAAAGCAGAGTCAGAGAGATCGAGTTGGGTGTTCCGGATCAGACAGGAGTTGAACTCACTACTGGCTCCGCACACGATAGGCTTGTTGAGCTTCAACGCCTTGATCATTTCCCGGATGGTACCAACGTACGCATCCTCATTGTTCGTATGGTTTCCTGGGATGTGATTGCTACCCGGAAAGCTCCTCCCATGAGCCGGCAAGTCAAAAGCGACCATGGTGCATTTCTCGCGCATGCGGGCATCGTTCATCACGCCGTGATATTGTCTGCTGTCGCTTCCAGCGGTATGCAGGAACACGACTTGCTGAGGTCCGTTGCCAGAAGTCTCGTAAAAGACCTTTGTGCGGCCCCAGACGGGTGCGTTGATGTAGATGTATTTGCCTGTGAGGTGGTCTTCATCCGACTCGGGTTGTTCGTCTTCCTTCAAGGGCCCGTTCTGGCCCTCTCGAAGGAGTTCGAGGAGACGGGTGGCCAAGTGGCAGTACTGAGCGAACTTGACTTGGTTCCCGTCAACACCGACTCCTTCTTGGACGATATTCATGCCCTGGTCACCGAGTCACTTTCCACGCATGAACTGTCTTGGGAGATCTGTTTTTTTACCTGCAAACCGACAAAGCTGGTATAGGGAGCAACAGGGGCGGCAGCAAAGAATTTCTCCCACTGTTCGGGCTGTGCTCGAAGAACAAAGTCTGCTTTGGAAGGAGAGCCGGTCGAAGTTGACGTTTTGGCGCCGGGGGACACGGTGACGAGAATAGCCTCGTCGCCTCCGAGACTTTGCACGCCCATTGTCACAGATTCAAAGATGGCTTTGGTGTCGACAAATGCTTGCCATTGAGGATCCTTGTCCAAGGACTTGTTAAGAGAGGATACCGCCGTGGACATCGCCCGAGGCAAAGACGTCCACGAATGGGTCTGGTATGTCGTTAGCGTCTCGCATAATGGAGGCTTCTGGTGACGACGGGGATCTTTCGGTGACAAGACGTACAGTACCATTTCCGCCATTTACGGGAGGCATCTTGATCAGAGTATGCGTTGTTTGTAAAGTAATGATAGAAGCCTTGAGCCTAGCAAGTCTTTTTGGAGGTGAAATGTAAAGTACTCCGTGGGACGCGACAGATCTCTTTTATATCTGGCGAGCCTGGCAAAAGGTTCTTTCTCCGCATGTCTGTATTTGTGTCTCAGTTGGGGAGATCATCTCGTAGTTTTCGAGAGGACGAATAGGCACAGCTTGCCATGGCCCGAGAAAGCTCTGGACCACGGCCTCGTCGGCAAACCATAACGTCCCGGAGACAGACCAAGGGACCCTGCCTCTTCAGGCGGAGGAATGCGTGGAGAATGACGGGAGGCAGTTGGGGTGAAGAGAGGGCGATATAACCAAGGATCCCTGGGCGATCCATCTCGGAGTTGCAGTTGACCAGAGATCCTCCTTTCGACAGAGCCAATGGAGAATCAACGACCCCGCAAGAAGAACAACTTCGAGAGGAGAAAAGTGGTGAGGAGAGACAAGAACCAGAGGAATGGCAGATGAGGTACAGTATGGGGCGAGTGGCGGCCTTCAATCGCCGTAAGAGTTGGAGACCGTGGTGGGCCAGAAAGGATTCATAGCGATACCGAAGCCAGGTGGAGGAGGATGAGGAGGAGGAGGTATTATGAGGATGGAGCAAGCATTGTTGGTTGGTATTTGGCATTTTCTATTAGGCGCGACGTCTGTATGTACTTTTCTTTTCGGCCGCTGCTGTCTCGCTTGTGGCACGCCGTTGCCTAGTCCCAACTATACAGGGACGAGAGATATATATGTACAGGTTTCAAGCAGGAGGTAAAAGGCAATGGCTCCGTCCACTTGCAGAATGAAACGATACCCAAATACTACCTCCACTATGAACAGCAGAAATCTTCAAACGCGATTCAAGAATCATCAATCAATCGGTTGTCCTGCCACGCTTTCTTTGCGAGTTCATACAATGTGTCGAAGTCGCCGCTTGTCTGACACATGGCTCTGAAATGACCATCTTCCCTGCGTATCAGTTCCCAGGGGTCGGCGTATTCCACCACCTCTCCGTGATCAAGCACCAAGACTCGATCGTAATCAATAATGGTCTGCAGTCGGTGGGCGATGGTCAAAATGGTGTTGTTGTGGAGCTCTCGCAGAGTGTCCTGGATCTTCGAGTCGGTCGCATAGTCGATCGATGCAGTTGCTTCGTCCATCACCAGCACTTTTGGTGATTTCAGTAATGCCCGAGCCAGACACAGAAGCTGTCGTTGACCTTGGGACAGGTTCGAGCCAGATTCAGCGACCGGGGACGACAAGTCCCGGAATATGTTTTTGTTTTCCTTGCTGTTGCTGGCAATCTGGACGAGAGTCGAGTCGGACTTCATTGTCCCTTTCGCTGACAACGAGACATGACTTTGGGACGGACTTGAACCCTCTCGAACCGTTGGTGATCGGCTAGAGGCCTCAAGTGGTGTCGTTGCACCGGATCCCTCAGACCCACTATGAGCCCCTGAAATGAGTTGGACTCGTCTAAGAGCGGTAAATATCTCTTCATCGGTGAAGAGTTCAAATGGGTCCAGATTGGTCCTGAGCGTGCCGGAAAACAGCGTGGGATCCTGGGGGACGATTGTGATGGCCTCGCGCAAGTCTTGGAGCCCAATAAGTCCGATATCGACATCATCAATCAGGATCTTACCCTCCTCGGCCTCCAGGCCTCGGAACAAAGCAAGGGCGAGTGAGCTCTTGCCGGCACCAGTCCTCCCAACAATCCCAACTTTGTGCCCTGCTTCAATCTTGAAAGTCACGTTTCTCAGCACAGGTTCCAGATCCGGGCGGTATCTTGTGCTGTATCCGATGAACTCGACAACTCCGTGGCTGGGCCAATTTGCAGCAGGTTTGGTCTCCGGGACGTTAGCAGGCGCTTCTTGCTCGACGTTGATATATTCTTGTATTCGTTCGACGGCGTTCATGTTCTGTTCATTGGCAGCGTATAGGCGCACCAACCACAAGACGTTTTGGGTGAAGGTGATGGCATAAGATAGGGCCAACCCCGCCGCACCAGGGTCAATGCGGTCAGCATTAGTAACCACGAACATGGCGGAGAAGAAAGACACCAGTGCCCCAGCAATGTCAATCCGAAACGCGAGCCATCTGTTAGTGGCCCACAAGTAGATGAATGGACGGTTATGTGTGTTGACCTTCAGTTGGCTGTCTTCGATGAATCTCGACTCGTCCCCGTAGGCTCGAATCGTGACCACTCCACTCAATGTCTCCCCGAAATGTTGGAACAGAGGGCTTCGTTGAACTGCTTCGATTCGCTTCAAGTCGCGGGACGAGCGGATGTAGAGAAGTCCGGTTATCACGTACATGATGGTGATGAAAACGCCGGGGATGAGGAAGCCTGGAGTGATGATAGAGATCAGCACCACAATCGTAAGCACGGCAGCGGCGCTGTGCAGCATGCCAATAGCCACAGGAGCAACTTCCTGGTCTAGAGCCTGAATGTCTTTGGAGAATCGATTGGTTAGTTGGCCCAACGGCGTCGAATCGAAAAAGCGAAATTTGGCGCGAAGAATGCTCGTCAACAATCTCTCGTGAAGGCACCAGGACTGTTGCAATCCGTTAGCTCGCACACATATCGGAGCTGCCCCTTCTTGCAGAGGCCGAACCAGCTGCCAGAGACGAAGAGAACTTACAGCGCGGCGAGAACCCCAGAACAGTATGATTTCCCGGGAAACTGAATTCTGCGTTAGTTTGAATTGACACTGAGGGAGTAAGAGTGATGGGGCTTCCGATTCGAATGGCTGTTGGAAAAGGAGAGAACTCACAGCAAATAAACACATACAGGACCCCAATTAGCGCATATATCCCCAGGTAGTAGCCATCGTCGACATCATATAATGACTTGAAAACCCAGGATATGCTGGATGTAGGCGCTGTCTGCGGCATTTGAACAAACGAGCCTCCAAATTTTGATGCTGCTCCCACAGATTTCACATCCTGAAAAGCATTTACCGCTGCGTGTGTCGTATGCACGCCACGGACGTGGTAGGCATTTGCCCACTGTCTGATCCACAGGTTTGTCGCGACCGAACCCAATTGTGTAGCTATGAATCCCCACGCCGCGAAAATCCAGTAATACCAAGGGCCCATCGCCTTCAGGTACATCTGTATTGTTGACCATTTCACGCTTCCTGTGGCTTTTGCTTCAAGCCGGTGGTCGACAAATTGTTTGTCGGGCTTGTTCATCTTCGATCTGGTTCTGATGTTGGCCTTCCCACCTGGGGTTGCTGTACCGTTCGTAGTTCTTCCAGATAAGTGTGATCGCTCTTCTTCGAGGTTCGACGGAGTGCGAGACGGCGGTCTGGAGTTTGCTCTTGATACAGGATGTGACTTGAATAGTTCATCCCCGAGTGTACCGCTTTCGATAATTTCTTGCGCCGTCCCTTGAGACACGATCTTACCATTGTCCAGGACGACGACCCAACTCGCAAGTGGGACCGTGAGTGCCACGTTGTGCGAGACCAAAATGCAAGTCCGGTGAGCCATCAGGTCTCCGGTTAGAGCCTCTTCGAAGATGTGCTTGGCCGTGTGAGCATCGACGGCACTAAGACAGTCGTCGAGAAGTATATGCTTCGAGTTCGAATAAATCGCTCGCGCAAGCGATATTCTTTGTTTTTGACCTCCTGACAGTGTGATCCCCTTTTCGCCAACCAGAGTTTGATCACCGGCATCAAGTATCTCCAGATCACGTTCCAGAGCACAAATTGAAATGACCTCGTGGTAGCGATCTTCATCGTAAGGGCTGGCAAACAGGATGTTCTCTTTGATTGTAGCATTGACCAGCCATGCCTGCTGAGCGCAATATGCCACACTCTCAGTCAACCCCGTCACGGGGTCCGGGCGCAGATCTTGTCGTGCAGATCCGCCCGGGATGTAGACAGCGCCGTTGAGCAGTTGCATTTCCCCTAGCAGGGCCATCAAAAGAGAGGTCTTGCCAGCTCCCGTCGGTCCGGCGATGACATTCAACTGGCCGATAGAGAACTCAACGGTCATGTTGATAAGTCTGAATGCCTCTGTTGCATCCTCGCTGGTTGTTCCCCAAGTCAAGGTGGCATTCTCAAGCGCAATCCGGGTGGTCGGGAGACTTCTACGTCTGCTCTGGCGCAATTGCAAATATTTCTCCGTTTCCGCTTCCTTTAGAAACTGTTCCACTCGATCAACCGAAACCTTGGACTCTTGGACGTGAGCTACCATATCGGCAAGCTGGTCTAGTGGAATGCGTAGTAGAGAGAACATCGATAAGGCTGGGAACGCGACAGACGGCACCAGCGGCCGCTGCTCGACTCGCGTGTACATGAGAAAAGAGACGAAGGTGATTAGGATTGGGACACCACTCCAGATGGTAGCTGCGGATGCCCACAAAACGTATTTGCGCCACAGGGCAGATAGCTCGACTTGTCTTTTCTCATTGACATTGTTCTGGAAACGCTGCTCCCAGGCGAAGTATTTGATGATTCTGATGTTTTGGAGAACTTCATTGGTGACGTGAATTCGGCCATCCGTGGCTGCCATGATCCGTTTCTGTGCTGCTTGAAAGGAATGTGCGATATAGAGGTTGAGTGGTAAAATAAGTATCATCACGAATATTCCAACGAAAGAACTGTACCCGAGGACGTTGTATAGCAAGCTGACGGCCATAACAAGCTGGACAGGTACCGCTGCCCAGAGAAAATGGAGATAAGAACAGACTTCGGCCACTTTGAAGGAATCGATGGACATCAGGTTGATGATAGTGCCATTGTTCGCTTGAGACCCGGTGGTCTTCGTAGAAATGGTGTTCGAGGCATCATTCTGCTGCTTTCGACCTCTTCCACTGCATAGTGACCAGACCTTTGCCCAAAAACTTCCCTTCGTTGGATTGGCTTCTTCTCCAAGCTTTGTATCCGCGGTTGCCGCCGCCTTTCGTCTCAAGGTCTTGGAATATATCTCCCCAATGATGATAGCACGTAACTGAATGCAAATTCTTCGACCGATCCACAGACCTTGCCCATCCCCAACTGCTTGTACAGCTCCCGTGGCGAAAAGAAGTATGACATACAGCCACGCAGCACTAACAGGAACTGTGTCTGTGTTTTCGAGATACTCCAGAACAGCCTTGAGGAGCAGAGTTGGAAGAAACATGAAAACGCTGGCCAGCATACACCACGCACCTTGTATCAAGATCTGAGATTTAAAGTGCAGGAGTAGCCGAACAGCCAGCGAGTGAGTCTTTCGAATCTGTCGGAACTGAGCCAGTACAGTCTCTGCCTTATCTTCCAATGCCAGATTCCAAACATCAGCAAGCTCCAATGTCTTCTTGAATCCTCTCCATACGATGGGATCGACCCAAGTAAAGGTGGCCAGAGACAGGACGCTGGCGAGGGGTTCTCGAGATGGCTCAATGTCTCCTTCGTACTCCAACAAAACACCCTTGTTTCCCTTTCGAGCCGTGAGAGCGAGTACGACAAGCAGACACGTGATCGCAAACGATACTATTGTCAGGATCAGAGACGACCGTCCAGGGCGGTGAACAAGAACAGAACGGAACACCCAAACTTGGCAAAGCCATTGGACGATGTACAGTGCTGAACTGTGGTTCCAGAGGCCTTTAAGGGGACATTGCCACCTTGTTGCTGATGAGACCAGACGTGCTCCAGCGATGACCAGAAGATATGTCCACACGGCGGTCTCTGTTGTCAAAGTCCTCCTTTTTCGGTCCGATGTGTTCAAAAGGGCGACAACATTTACGGCGACTTGTGCCGACAACAGGAGGAATTCCAATGTGACCATGAAAACCTCACCAGTAGGTTTATTGACATCCTTCGTTGAGTGACCCCCATGAGAATATGTCTTTTGCAACGTCAGCCTGGCAAGGCTATCGTCATCTCCGTTGCCGGACTCGTCCTCATCCTCCTCGTCCTCGCTGGTATCAACAAGGAGATCTCGAGATCGGTTGTGAAATCGTATCGTCCTTTGCCAAAGGAATTGGTGAAGTAGAAGCAAAAGAGATACCGCACATGCTAGCAATGGAAAGAGGGTTTGGAGATAGCTATTTGCACTCAATTAGCACATAACATCGGGCAAAACATGGCATAACATACTCTGCCTGGAAGCATGCAGATAAGTCGTCAACCCGCCATATCGGGCTGCTGCAATGTGCAAACATCGCCGCAGATGATTTTCCGCAACAGTCACCACTCTTCAACCGAGGCGGGCACGTCAAAACTCATGGCGACTCAGACAAGCCGTGCTGGAAGATACAAGATGAAGGTGCGAAAAAGGTCAACTCCATAACTCAAACGGACGGACAGAGAAGGATCTCGAGGATATGCTCGGCTTGTTGTTGTCGAAGTGGTCCCGCCTTCCGCGGTCAATAACTCACCATCAAAGCCTCTGACGCCACTTAACGACGGTCAAGCTTTTTCAATAATAATTGCGGGAAATGAGGATCAACGGTGAGTGGCTGGGAGGCGCAAGACTTCCCTCGGGCACTCTCGGGCCTTTTGGGTTACCACCATAGGGTAGGCCGACGCCTAGTGAGCCCAAACGTCTACCCAAAGACGTAGCCGACAATCCGACTGCGGACCTCCAACTAGTCGAGGACGTCAACCGCTCTATCACCTCATATAATCCTGGCCTCATCTCACGCATGTTCTCGACCGCTTTTCTGACAACTGGAAAATCGCTCCTTGATTTCCTGGCTGCGGCTCCTGCCCGAATCTTGTGGCAATCAAGCTCTACTCTTTGCTCCGTGGAAGTTTGCTACACTCCGTTCTGACGTTCTGACGCCCAGATACGGGAGACCCCATCCTCTAAGACGACCGTGAACAATGTCTAGTTGTCGGTAACAGTCACCTGCGGCAGCCAAACGACACCATTCAAATATCTTATTAACCTTGAGAGCAATCACTCCAAAGCTATTGTCTACGTTACCGCCTTTGACGCTTCACAACGAAATTTCTTTTCCCTTTTCGCCTCCCTCACCAGTCTTCTCTCCCAACACGTGCGAACTGGGGTTACGGCTACTTGGCCCAACATGTCTCAAGCGGTACTCATGAAGGAATATAAGGCTCTAGCCAAGGAGAAATGGGTTCAGATCGAGGTGAGATATGGCACAAATCCTTTCCGGACCCAAGGTTAACCTAGCTAGATCGATGAAGAGAATATATATCACTGGAACCTAGCCTTGATGGTCATTAATCCTGACTCTCTCTACTACGGCGGTTATTTCAAGGCTCAGATGAGCTTTCCAAGAGATTATCCTTACAAACCCCCGGGTCAGTATTCTCGACGCACCAGAGTCTGCCTGACACTGACCCCCTCTCAGATTTCCGCTTTTCCAAACCACTGTGGCATCCAAATATCTATGCTGACGGCCGGCTTTGCATCTCCATTCTTCATGCACCAGGCGAGGATATCATGTCTGGCGAGAGCGCTGGTGAACGCTGGTCTCCAGCTCAACGTGTTGAATCGGTGCTCATCTCCATTCTTTCCCTGCTGGACGACCCAGAAATCTCTTCCCCCGCCAACGTCGATGCCAGCGTCATGTTTAGGGACGACAAAGAAGCATTCAAAGCAAGAGTGAGACAGGATGTCGATGCTTCAAGGAAGGACATTCCTGAAGGATTCGTCATGCCTACACACGAGACTACCAAGCCAGTTATCGAGAAGATTGATGATGATTTCTGGAACGACAGTGATGCGGAAGAAGTAGACTTCGACGACTTCGACGACTTTGACGACGATGCAGCCAACGGGAGCGAGTCCGATCTGGAGCTGAATAACGATTCGGAAGACGAGGAGAACTACGACGAGGACGACGAGGACGACGGGGAACATGCTAAGAGCAAGGCTCGGACGGACCGACTCGACTCCGATATGACGGAACCAGACGAGTGAAGGAAACCGTCTCGTCAGGATATGGACCGCAATGAGTACGGTTTCCAACGTGCGTACAGGAGCTTACGACGGGTTTTCCTCCGTCGACTCAGGTGAAGAGATCGAGGCTATGTTGTCTATTCGTGGTCAAGCGGGGTATTCATTTTCCATGCCCTTCATTCGATTTCAGCGAAGGCGTCTGGGGTGGTCATGCACAGGAGTTCTTCATGGACAAGGGTCAAGCTCTCAGAATCATGATGCGTCTTGCGGGAAAGGAAGTTGCACGATATTCTTGCGGAAATTTGCTTACGGTGTGATAGACAAGAAACAAGCTGGAGGTATCAACGGAACAGAAATTCTATATTTGAACACCCATGCAGTAGTCGTCGACGTGTTTCCATTGGTGTCGCTGGCCAAACCCAGCCATGATCGTCATCTGACCAACTGCAAAATTTCCTCCACACATCTTTCTGGTTGTTCCTGATTCACCCAGTGCCCGGCTCCATCGACAAGTACAGTTCCTTTATACATGGGGAGTCTGACACTTTGACCCGTCTCCATTGCTTCCACGGCACCGGGCTCTTGGAAGGTGCCCCAATCTTTCTTGCCGCTCACAAAGACGGTTGGGACGGAGATCTTTGCGCCGGACCACGCCTGCATGTCCGATGCGATTTCGGGTTGCGTCTGCACGCGGTACCAATTCAGGCCGCCCTGGAAGGAGGTACGGCCCCATTCCTGGACATAGATGGCCAGCTCGTCGTCTGGGAGCCAGCGGGCCGAGCGCGAGGCGACGACGTGCGGGTCTTCGTTGGCCATGTCTCGCGCCACGGCCTGGCGCATGTTGTCGGCCAGGTCCATGATATAGTACCGCGGCATCTTTTCCAGCTCCGTCGCGGTCCACCCATTCAGTTTGTGCGGGTCATTGACATCCCAGTCTGCGGATTTCAGGTGGAAGTAGCCACGCAGAAACGTGTGTAGGGGCGGGCCCGTGGGGTTGGTCATTTCATCGTTTGAAGGCGGGGTGCAGTAGTACCATTTATAATGCTTCCTGGGGTGCGGAAGCTGAGAGAGTGCCTGTTCCATGTCGACTGGAGGCGGAGGGACTTGGGAGGCGGCGCCATAGGACGGGGAGGTGGAAAGAGGAGACTGGGGCGGGCCTTTGGTGGGATGGGACATCATCACCAGGCGCTCGAACATGTCTGGGCGGGCGAGGGCACAGACACTTGCCGTCACCGCCCCGAAGTCGTGCCCTACAACACAGCATACTGAGGTATAGCCTAGAGCGTTCACCAGCGTGACAGTATCCTTGATGAGGTTTAACGGACGGAATGAAGATGCATCGAGTGGTTTGCGGGAGTACGTCCGCCCATAGCCTCGCTGGTCGAAGGCGACGGCATGGTATCCTTCCGCAGCGAGCAAGGGAAGGATTTTACGCCACGAGTAGGCGAGCTCGGGGAACCCATGGATCAAGAGGATCAGCTTCGGCTTGGGGCCAGAAGGCGGTAGGTTCGCGGGGAGGGATTCGAGAATGTGAAAGACGAGGCTGTGAGGGGATGTGTCGACAAAGCGGGATCTGACGCCGGCCGGCAGCGGAAGTGGAGGCAGCGTAGTGGGATCTACGGCATCTGCAGGTGAATCTTGGTGAGTGTATGCCATGGCTTGCTGCCTGCTAAGAAGTAGCCAGATTGCAGTATGCTTTGCCCGAGAAGTGGAAGACAATCAGGTTATCAAGGAAGAACTCCATTGCTATATAATATACGCCATATGCGGGGAAAGCGATGCTGACAACGAACGCCCTTCGAAAATGAGAAAAGGCATCCGCTCTCTTTCCAAGGAACCGAGGCAGCGATTCTCTTCCATTGTGGGCGGATTTTTCTTTCAGGTATCGTCTCTTTCAGCCTTGTGAATGGAATACTGATTGCTGTTCATATCTAACCAAACCGGCGTCTTCGTGGTTGTTGGAGGCCTCCTGCCTCTTCGGGCACTGTATGTGTATGTCATGCGGGTGTCCGCCCAATCTACCCCGAGTCTGCTGGCCTGGTGGGCCGAGGGATAGTCCGTAGTGTGGCATGATATCCGCCCTCATGCATAAGGATTGAGTACCTCAAAGCAATCTGATCTGTCGTTAGTCATCACTTAGGCTCGAAAAGGAATCTGGAGGGATCTGCAGGTTCCATTGCAGGACACAGCACCCCCCTAAGTCTGCTTTGAGATGCCGAGCTCGATTCAAGCACGTGGCGAGGCCAACGATTTGGGGATTCTGCAGATTCGGTGCCTTGAATAGCGCCGAGCACCTCCATGTATTGTAGGTGAGATGTGGACGTTGTGCTGTCACTTCTTGCACGAAGAAGAGAGTTTCGAGAGTACATCATCAGCTTAGCATGAAAAAGTAATGACGTAAGGAATGTCACACATTGTGATTGGTATGTGGTCATTGGGCCCCACTCCCAACACACCCAACACAGCCACAACTCGAGACCGTCACCAGCCGCCCACTCAGGTGCCACCCAGGTGCCAGCTACCGCCGCGCTGCTACCTGCGACTCACGTAGTCAGTAGTGCTGGCTCCCCAGCTCTACCTACGCCCGAAGCCTCTGGGCTCTAGCCTCTTTTCCGCCCCATCTTTTCCCATGGTTACGGAGCTTCCATCTCCCTCGCTCTCCCGCACCGATCCACGCCCCAAATCATACTCCGTACCTACCTTGCTATCCCAAAAAACAATTCATCCTTCGCAAAGCTCCTAACCACCTCTCTACCTTTCCATCATCCGTTTCGACCTTGTCAGGCGGGAGAGCTCGATTGGAAGCGACATGGGGCCTGTTATCGTTCTTCAGCCCTCCGATAACCATTTCTGCTGCTTGGTTTGATAACTCGCTTCTGGTTCTCCCGTCTGCGATACTGGATTATCCTCCATTGATCGCGCGGGCTCTACAGCACCACAACCTCTGGGACACCATCGCAACCATGAGTTTTCTACACAGGCGGAGCAGGTCTGTGTCGGCCACTGTAAGTAATCACTTTCGGCGTCCTGTTCGGTCTCGTCCTGCGCTCCGGTGCTGACGTTTGTTCATCCTCAGCGGCCCCAGACGCCTGCTTCAGCTTCTGCCCATATGGCGGCCACTCAGGCATTCCTTAATAGCCGAGCCTCGCAGGCCAATCTGTCCGCTTCCGCCGCCGCCCAAGCCCTGAGAACCATGTCTCCGCCTCCGACCCCAGTGGACCAGGTCCAAACAAAGCGCATGATTCAAAGGCAAGCCTCCTCCGGTTCTCTTTCAAGTTCAGCCCGGGGCCGAGGAAGAGGTGGCTTGCAGAGGCACAATAGTGCTGGGTCTATGACTGAGAGGACGTTTAGAACTCCTTCGCCTTCGCCTTCGCGACCTGTCTCGCGCTCGGAACCCCAGGCCCCTCCGCTACCGACCATCCCGCAACACTTTGCTCCTCCCTCGACCTCACCGTCCACAAAGAAGAAGAAAAAGAGAGCATCCAGTCAAGAAGCTCCTCCACCTCGCGTGCTCTCACCGCCGCTAGAGCGACCATCGAACCGTGGCCAGAGTCTTGATAGGTACGGATCGCCACAACAGCCGCCACCTAACGTGCAAAGAAACACCAGTGTTCCACAAAGCAATGATCTTGAGCGAGTTGACAGCCGGGGATCCATCAATTTTTCGAGACCACTGTCGCCGCGACCCCAATCTCCAATCGCGCAATCCCCAATGGCACAGTCTCCAGTCCTTGTGAATGGTGCTCGATCTCATTCCAATGCTGTCGCAAATGCCATTACCCCGGCGCAAGCCGCAGACATTCAGTATGAACTTGTGCAAACAGCGAATCAGCCTGTCAAGAAGAAGAAAAAGAGGGTGGTCGACACTGCAGTGGAAGGTAGTCACCTGCAGAGTGGGACAATGGCGAGCAGGCCAATCCTCGACCCGTTAGAATCAAGTCCTGAATCGCAAACACAAACCATCCCAGTCCAGCAACTTCCCGCGAGGAGGAAGAAGAAAAAGCCTTCGTTTTCCGGCGAAGGCACTGATTCTTCTGCTGCCGAGGCATCGCGGACCGATTCGGACTCAGACTCGAACGTTGAGCGAAAGCGAGACAGGAGGACGCAGAGGGCCTCGGGGATTCTACAGAAACAACCATCTATTGTTCGGGAGGACTGGGAAGGCGAACAGCAGGAGCAAACCAGTCCACTCTATGCCCATCAAACTCCGGATACCAATGTGAATCCTGTCCGAGTGGCGACAACTCCAGCTCAGCCAAAGAGTCCTACGAATGCAACAGATGGGCCTGGGAAAATCGAGTTCGTTCCCTCTCCATCCGCCTCAAATCAATCTCTTCCTCCAGAGACATATGAAAATGCGGCAATGGATGGCCGCGAGGAATCACCAGCCGCAACGAGTCACCTCCAAGTCACGGAACCTCAGCCGGCTCGAGCTACTTCGCTCAGCCCCTCACGATCCACTCGTTTCTCGGAGAGGTTGTCTTCAGATCTCGCTGCAGGGCGAAAACACGAACCTCCTCCACGATCGATATCACCTGCTAAACCTGCATTGAAGCATCATTCCCCCACTCCAGCTTTTCCCGGCGGCGAACCTCGTGGCGCTAGTGTTACCCCGAGCGAATCATCTGATATATCGAGCGCGTCGTTCGATGGTCCTCCCAAACGGAAGAAGTCTGTGCGGGTTAGCTTCGAGACTCAGCCAGAAATTGTTGGTACCAGTGCAAGCGTCCAGAGTCCGGCGGAGAGTCCAGGGAGAGAGAAGAAAGGATGGCTTGGCTTAGGAAAGGGCAAACCCGTGCTGAACACTTTCTCGTCGAACGATGACATGGAAGAGCTGATGAAGCCACGCCCTCAACTTCCATCGTTTGGAAGTGTTCGTGGCCAAAAGTTTAGAGACATGAATGATTCCAACACCACGCAAATGCCAAGGTCACCTCCGGAAACTCGTGCGCCACTCACAGAGGGCAAGAATACTACCTCCTCAGGGACGTCTTCGGAAACTTCCAGTACTTACACCCCCTATCCAGCCAGAGGCGTCTCAAGCGACCATGCTGTTGGAGCTGTATTGGCTCAAGAGGCTCGAAGGACTTCTGCGCAGGCTTCTGGACCTCGACCCAATGAGCCTCTCCCGCCCGAGGTGACATCTGTTGAGGGCACGGTGTCGTTCTCAGATGAAGAAAATGACATTTCGGAGCCTGAGGAGACCACGTCTGCACCTGCTGCTCGTACAGCCCGCGAATCGGAAGTACAAATTGGTGCAAAGGCCCTCCCTCCGAGAACAATCGACCAACCTGTGAAGTCTGTACCTCTCCAGACAGAAGTGCCTCTTGTGTCCGTCTCACCACCTACTCCCGCCGAAGAGCCGAAATCCAACGACCAATTTCTGGTGGAAGTTCCAGGAGGCTTTCCCGTGTCTACGGAGGCCTTGGGCAGACTTGAGGAGTCACACAAAGCACCAAACATCGCGAGCGGACTTCCTGACTTGAATCCACACTCAGTCACGGAAGCCGTGGACGAAGAAGTGTCGGACAATGATAGTATTTACAGCGACGCGGCAGAAGATCCGTCGGAAATGGAAGGCATGGGATTTGGTTCCATTGACGCCATTGTGGAAAGTCCCATTGTAACTCCGCTATCACCTATTACTTCACCAGAAAGCCCACTTGCGCGAGTATCAACTTCCGCTTCTCATGATGCGCTGGGCGCCGGATCTTGGGAGGAGACACAGGCTCGGTGGAGTGGCATCGCAGAGCAGACGAGATATTTACCTAGCCAAAACATCATTGAAAGTCAACCAGCACCGACAACGACAGTCCACGATGTGGAGCAGGCGAGCCCAGTCCCAGCTCAGGCAACCGTGCAAACAAGAACACCGGAGGTTCCCAAAACTGTACACAATAAGATACCACAACCCGCACAACCTCGACCTACCCGGGCTCCTGCATCACAGGCCACCATATCCCAACCGAGACGCAAAAAGAAATCGCCTGCTGCAATTGCTGCCGCAGCATCTGTGCCGGCAGCGGCGGCAGCGGCTCAAGGATTACCAGACTCGCCACTGCAAAGGAAGACGCAGCCTTCTCCTTATCCAGCAATTGAGGCTCATAATCTTGGTTATGCTGCAGCCGCCGCTGCACCTTTCCGACAGTCAATGAGGGCCAGCTCTCCTCCAGAGTCTGAACTCGGGTTCCGCAAGACTATGCGTAACGAGAATCGCAATTCAATGCCAGCTTCAACTGTTGCCCCGCCACAGCAAAGAACGAACCGCTCGTCTATGCCTAGTCCTCCAAATCAACCCCGTGTGGCACTCCAGAAGAAGCATGTCCCTCTAGCCACGGCTGCTGCCACGTCTGCGCCCGCATCCCGGTCGCAACCTGCTCGGCCGGTTGTGTCCAATGACAGTGACTCTGAAAGCTCGTTTCGGAAGGCTCGTCGCAGCAAGTCCACTACTGGTGGCAGATATACAATGCGTAGAAGTATGCGAGGTGCAGGCGAACCATCTCTGCGGGGGGATAGACCCAACGGCGTCCGGTCGGTTTCGCCTGTGGGCAGGCGTCCTTTCTCTCCGCCGGATGGCTCCCACACCATGAGGACTACTATGAGAGGATCGATCGACAATGTACCAACACTCCGCGGGTCCACCGACGTCAGAAGATCATCTTCCATGTTTGCTCGCCCACAGACGAATACTGCCCCTACACTTCGGATGAGTACAGGTGGGCAGAACAACCGGTCGCGCATCCTGGACTCAGACGACGAGGACGATCAACCTCAGCACCGCAAATGGCGCTCACGTTTCGCCGATGATAGTGACGATGAGTCGGACGTGCCACAGCTTGCTCCGGTGCGCGGCATTCCTCGCAGAAACAATGACGATGAATCTACAGACCTGGATGATAGCTCGGATGAGGAGCGAGCAGCAGCCAAAGCACAAGCTGCACCCAAACTTGATATCCCGCAGGCCGATACCACTGCAACTCCCAGCAGTGGTGAAGCTTTGTCTCCCAATAGTGAGAAGAAGCGGGGAATACTTGGACTGTTTCGCAGCAAGAAGCCAAAGGAGGAGTCCCCTTCGCCCGTGGTCGAATCCCCGCAAAGACCTTTGAAGACCACAGATACAAACAAAGCGTCCCGGCTCGGATTTGCTTCAGCTGCCGAAAGGGACACAGCCATTGCACAGGCAAGAGCCAAGCTGGAGGCAGCGAAAGAACAACAGAACCCGGGCGGACAACAGCACGGGCATGCCAAACTGCACCGTCGACACCCGCCTGAGCGAGTCATGAGTGATTCTTGGCCGCTGCCTCCAGCTTTGCCAAATGAAAATACTCGACCGAGCACCATGGATGGGCCACCGATGCGCAATGGAACGACCAGGCTGAACCAAGGCAGCATGCGCAAACCGAATGAGTTTGCCGAAGCCGTCGGTCGCAGCGGGAAAAAGAAGAAGTTCCCCATGTTACGCAAAGCCTTTGGGCTGAAAGATTAATTGGTTGATTTTGGTTTGCTTGCCAGTTTGATGCCTTTTTTCGAGCACAATGATACCATTCTCTGTCTCACGATTTGTTTCACGCCCTCCTTTTGTGATTGGAATAGGTACGAGCTGCACGGTTAGTTGGAGGACAGCAAATACGCAGGATCTCAAAAAAGGCATCTAGAACGGGTCAGAAATTCGACTACTTCGGCAGGATTTCTGCTTTGTGAGAAGATGGAAATACAGAACATAATCAGGTCATTCCACCTTCATAGCCTGATGATCAGTAGTAATATAGCGTCGACATATAAGGACCAAGCACCGAGAGGTGTGACGAGCAGTTGCAGGGAGCACACACATCTAGGCGCATGTACATACAGGGCCCCGTCAGGGACGCAGGTTTGGTAGGGGGTATCCCGACACGCCCGACGTTTCGCACCAAGTTAAGTAGCATGACCGACTAGTGCAACAGTTGTTTTGCTGATGCAATTCTGGAGTAATATGCTTCTTGCATAGCAGGCAGCGCTGGAACGGTGGATGTTTCTTCCATGCGACGTCGTTCCCGCTTCCTGCAACGGAGACAGGGTACAGGGGGTTCTGCATTGAGGCAATGGAGACCGGGACGTGTGTCGGCGGTGGTTGTTAAGCACGAACGCTGAGTCAGGACGCAAGGTTGAGGTAAGCCGTTCTCAGGTGATGATTTGATAGTATTCACAGAGTTCGTTCCGCATGGCGTGGCGGGCAAGGTTGAGCTCATGTTTGAGGGACTGGCTGGTATCACTTGGTGACATGCTGTCAAAAGGTTAGGTAAGCCCCTCTACAAATGGGGAGGAACAGAATGAAAGATCAACATGAAACCAGACGTCAGATCTCGATTTTGCAGGCGAGGCAATTCTCGGAGAGCCGGGAGTCGAGCCCTTCCAGTATCGGACCGCGCAGTGTGTGTGGATGAACGTTGGGAACACGGCGAAGTGCTGGGGACCAAAAACTTAGAAGACCAAGAGACTGGAATCCCTTTTCCAGAAATCCCGCCCGACGCTTGCACACTATTATTATGTTCGCCAGGTTAGCTGCTTAGGCGGTTTGGGCGGTCTTGGGCGTGGTCTAGGGGCTAGTGAGGCACATCTTCTGTAGGGATGGAGGGGTGCCAGCTGCCCTGTGCCCCACCTTCCGATCGCAAAGCTGGTGGCGCCCCTCCCTGTCACTGCTTCGTCACAGGACGAGAACGCATTTGCTTAAAACCATACCGGCAGCCCATTTTATCCAGAAGAGTTTTTTTTTTCCTCTTTGCCTTGATAGACTGAACTCCTGTTTCACAGTTGCACCTCTGTACCTATACGAAAAGACCCAGCAGATATCATACCGACTGCAATCATGACTTCCTCTCTCGACCAACTCAAAGCCACTGGCACCGTAAGTTCCCTCCCTCGCTGTTCCGACATCCCGCCATTTTGCAAAAGTCGGTTGATATACTGACCAAACCCAACAGACTGTCGTCTGCGACTCAGGTGACTTTCACAGTATGTTTTCTCACCCGTCCAGGCTGGGATATTGCTAAGCTGTCATAGCAATTGAGAAGTACAAGCCACAAGATGCTACCACCAACCCTTCGCTCATCCTCGCCGCATCCAAGAAACCCGAATATGCCAAGTTGATCGACCCTGCGGTTGAATATGGCAAGGCTCATGTACGTCGGACTTTCTCATGTCCTGCAAAAAACTATACTGAACAAAGCGCGCTAGGGCAAAACCATTGACGAGCAGGTTGATGCCACTCTCGACAGACTCCTGGTCGAATTCGGCAACGAGATTCTCAAGATTGTCCCGGGCAAAGTCTCGACCGAGGTGGATGCCCGATTCTCCTTCGACACCAAGGCTTCGGTGGAAAAGGCCCGTCATATTATCGAGGTAAGTTCTCAACTGTCTTCTTTGAAATTTAACTCGGCTCACAACCGGCAGCTCTACAAATCGATCGGCATTGACAAGTCTCGTGTGTTGATCAAAATCGCTTCCACCTGGGAGGGTATCAAGGCTGCAGAAATCCTCCAAAAGGAGGGTATCAACTGCAACTTGACCTTGATGTTCTCCCTGGTCCAAGCCGTCGCCGCCGCCGAAGCTGGTGCCTTCCTCATTTCCCCCTTCGTCGGCCGTATCCTCGATTGGTACAAAGCTGCAATGAAGAAGGACTTCCCCGCCAACGAGGACCCGGGTGTCAAGAGTGTGCAGTCCATCTTCAACTACTACAAGAAATATGGCTACAACACCATCGTCATGGGTGCCTCGTTCCGAAATGTTGGCGAGATCACTGAGCTAGCTGGCTGCGATTACTTGACTATTTCACCCAACTTGCTTGAGCATCTGTACAACTCGACCGACCCGGTGCCCCAGAAGCTGAAGGCGGAGGAGGCCAAGACCCTGGACATTCCCCGGCGCAGCTACATCAACGATGAGCCCTTGTTCCGTTTCGACTTCAACGAGGAGCAGATGGCGGTTGAGAAGCTGCGAGAAGGTATCAGTAAATTTGCCGCGGATGCCGTCACACTGAAGGGCATTCTGCGGGAGAGGCTTGAGAAGGCTTGAGCGAGTTTGTGCAGATCGTCGTGAAGGTTACTGAATGAGTGGCTATTGAACTTTAGGGGGCAGTCTCCACGAATAATGTCCATCTACCGGAAATCTTTAGATTCGCGGATGTAGGGAACTTCCAAACAAAAAAGAAGGGCAATGGAACACATGTTGACCAAGTTCGTTCCTGGGACAGCTTACCGATGCTGGCTGTTACCAACTCCCAATGCCTACTCGGCACACTTTCTATATCTGGACTCAGCCTCCTTTGCGTCGTCATTTGCAATGTCCGCAGTCGACGTGACGAGAAGACTTCAACCAATATCATTTACGCAGTGCAGGCGACCTTTGTACCTTAGCGCCCCTAAGTGCAAACAGCCGAATCCATGGCTTATAATACACCGTTGCGGTGACAGCAACATGCTTGCTCTCGATTGAAATTGACCCTACACCTACCCCTCGGCGTGCCTGTGTTCTGTCCGTCACCATGAAAACCATGCGGCCTGGGGAAGCTAACAAACGAGGGAACGTGGTGACAGCACGAATAATTCCGATCTTCCTCCTTGGGATCATTGGGTACTCGTCATGGGTGCTCACGGATCTTGTGTGCCTCAAATATCTCATACACCCTACACAATCACTGCTCGTCCGCCGTGAGACCGGTTCGGCGATTGCCATCCTCGTTATATACTACCTTCTTTTGCTTGTCACGCTGACTTGCTTCGGCCGTCTGACCCAGACGATCGTGACAAACCCGGGCCTCGTTCCGCGCGGAGAGCAGTACTGGATTGAGAAAGAACGGAAACGGCGGAAAGAGAGGAGTGCGACCCATAAGGAGGAGGCACTCGAGTATGACTCGACCGAAGGATATACACCCCGGCATCTCCGCCACCGGCAGGATAAGGAGGCTCAGGGCTTCCGCGCTCAAGACTTCTGGTACAAGGACGTCTTCGTCTGCGGTTGGGACGGCCGCCCACCATTTTGCTCGACATGTTATAATTACAAGCCCGACCGGGCACACCACTGCAGGGAACTCGGCCGCTGTGTGCTAAAGATGGATCACTTCTGCCCGTGGGTCGGCGGAATCGTGTCTGAAACATCGTTCAAGTATTTCATACAGTTCACATTCTGGGCAGCCCTACTTTGTCTGCACGCACTGGTTGTTATGGCGTATTACTTCGCCAGACGCCGAAGTGAAGGACCCGGAAACTTCATCAACGTGCACTGGATCCTGGTCTTGATCTTCGCGGGATTATTTTTCATCTTCACCGCGGGCATGTGTGGATCTAGTCTGCAGTTCGCGTTCCTCAATTCCAGCACCATTGAGAATTTCACCCGCAAAACCAAGATCTGGTATCTGGCTGTGTATTTACCACCCAGAGTCCTGGAGAATTATCAGAGATCGAACAGGACGGATTTGAGGTTGATTACGTACCCGCGCCCTCCAGAAGAGCAGTTCCAAATTCTCGTGAACCACGGCGCAAATATGGAGGACAGTGAACAGAACGTTGCGGTGCAAGCCAGAAACACGGATGCGTCAACTCCAACGCCGCCGGAAAAGACTTATAATCCATTGTCAACTACGACATCCCCTCCTGCTCCCGCCGAGCAGACACCAAACATTCCTCCCTCCATATCAGATTCGCAGCCGACTACTCTGCCAGCCGCAATTCCTTCAAAAGTGGAGACACGGGTATTCGCTATTCTCGAATCCCCACCTGGTGGTAATCCCTTCGACATCGGTGCATGGGGAAACTTCAGAGAAGTGATGGGATATACAGTGTTTGATTGGTTTTTCCCACTGAGGGCAAGTCCCCTTACTGCTCATAGTGACCCAGTGAGTATGTATAAAGTAGGACCTGTGGTAGACAGGATGAGGAAGAAGGCGGGGATCCAGGAGGGACGGGCCGACCTCGAACGTGGAGAGGAAGGTGCAGATGCCGTCGATGAGAAGAGAAAAAGAAAGACCAACAGGAATGGGGGTGCGAGTAGGCAAGAACGGAAGAAGAAGCGCAACCATTCGCGTTCGGCCTCGAACGGAAGCTCTCCAGTCAATCGTTGAGAAGATGGCTTCGAGCCACTTGAAGTCGAGGCTCCAGACTCGGTGACAATCTGACCTTGGTGAGACTCGAGCGTCTTTTGCTATGTTGAAGTCGAGGCTCCCTGCAATCTGTGGAGTTAAAACCAATATGGAACTCCGGGGTGAATGAGAAGGCTCCCAAGCTTATTCCAATGAGCCTCGCCATGACAATCAACCCTCCGAAGAGCAAGGCCCATGATGGGTTTGCAGGCGCTACCGAGATTCTTTCATTAAATCTCGTCTACAATGATTCGACACAAGCCATTACAAAAAGAGCGACTCAGCAATCGACATATCGGTACACGATCTCTACAACCACGAGCGAAGCGACCACGTTGATCGGTTCTTCCGAAGCAGCAGCGTTGGCGTTCAGGAGGGGAAAGGGGGGGCCTTACGCACCTAGCCCAAAGTCAATGGAGCTTTGTGTGTCTATTTTGGTCGAGCCGTTTCGGCTCCTTTGAACACTACTGGGATGTGTAAAATTTTTCGTGTGGTTGATTGATTGCACAAGATCTATTGTACGGAGGTGGGCGGCGCTCTTGGAACTGCAAAAGCCGCAAAGTGCCATGACCACAACGCAGCGCAGTATTGCGTCTACACCGACAGAGAGACGTACAGCTATGTATGTGTGTATGTGCACAAGTGTTTATACGGGGGTCTCTTTTTCAAATGTACACGACTGAGATGAACGAAACAATTTCGGGTTTTGTCCCTTTCTTTTTCTAGAGAAACAAGATTAACTCATTCATTCTTTTATTTTTTGATATTGATATTTTTTGATATTTTTTTGATATCTAACAACGACGGCGCGCTTTTGGATTTTATTTCATGCATGCATGTATGCATGGCTTGCTGTGGCACCGAGGAAGGAAGGGACAAGGGGTGGATGGACCCAGCAAAGTCATTCATCCCCGATGGCCCTTGCTTGCATGGTGATACAGAGAGGGAGCAGAAGCACTGGGGGGAGGGGAGGAGAGGAGAGGAAGGTAGAGCAGAGAAGTGAGAAAAGGAAAGAAGAGGTGCAGGGTAAGGAAAGGGGATTTTATAGACCTGAAGAGACGAAGGGGTTGGTGAGATTCTATTCGTCAACGAATGTTCCCCCGGTTCTTCTAACCCTAGCTAGGACCTATTCCTCCTTTCTGTCAAAATGAGGGCGATGTACTAATGACACTATCTAAAGCAAAGAAAGACTGGTGGTAAGAAGGGTGTGCATCTAGGCGTATCCATTTGCATAGGGTCATTCACGCTGGTATTCGAAAGAGAGGCGGGGGAGAATCGGCCAACAAGCGAATGAAGTCGAATCCAAGTAGGTCTAGGTCCAGTTATGATGCTCCCCATAAAGATCATTTGAAAGAAGACGATATTGTTGAAGAGGTTTGAACGACAGAGGGAGAATGTAATGAACCTGTGAATTGAACGAACGAGTGGTTTGGTGGGTTGGGAGAACGGACGGCTAGACTGAGTGTCATGGCGATTGCAGTGCTGGGAATAAATGCAACTGGAACGGGTTGAGGAGCGGGCTGTTTCCGATCCCAACAGACTGTGGCTGGGGTTCGTGCTGGTCCTGTGTGTCCCACCATGGGACCGTCCAAGGAGAAAGACATATGAAAGAATGGAATGCTCCGTAAGGAATGCCGGAAGAGGATACTTCTGTCGAGGCCGTTGTGTCGGTACTGGAGGCTGTTTCAGGCGAATATCGATCGAGCGGTGAGCGGAAACCAAGTAGCGCCGGAAAGCGAAGGCGTACTGATTTGATGCCTGAAAGGAGGTCCTCTACAAGGCCAGGCTAAGTTGCACCAGGGAACGGGGTAGGTCGTAAGGAGCATGGAGATTTGTTGGATCGGAGCTAAAGGTTGAAGCTCCAGCAAGGCTGAGTGGTGACGATACTGTTCTGCTGACTTCCGTACCGTGACTCCTTTGGTTGCTCAAGCCCTCGTCATGCCCCTTTTTCTCGTCGCGGCACGACTAAGCATCAGTACAATCCTGGAAACACTTCGCATGTCCACAATTGGTGCATCTTCCCAAGGCCAGCTCCGTATTGTTGAGGTGACCGCATTTACCGCCATACCAATATTCCCCTGCCGATGCTTGGCTCCAAAACCAGAGGTCTCGCCTGTTCGGGGCCGGGGGAGGATGACCAATACAGTGAATGGCTTCAGAAAACGCCCGAGGCGCGGCTTGAACTCGAGGTTCATAAGAAGTAATTGGATAATAATGACTGGCGTGGCAGTGGGCACGCAAGCCTGTCGTAGTTATCGGAGGGCGAATATCGTTGTCGGTCTTGCAGGATCCGCAAAGTGCATGATTGCAAATGCATTTCGCATTCATGGCCACTGTCATAGGACCGTTCTGGCACTTGCAGCATTGCCACAAGGTCGGCATGTTCGCGGCTCAGCTCGGGATGATACGAGGATAGCAGGGAGGCAGAGGCCAAATTGGCGACCAGGAGCCGTTGTTATTTGTGAGGACAGCGGACAATGGCCAGCAGCCAGGTAAGTGATCAACTGCTTTCAGAGATAGCACCAGGGGTGCAAGCTTTCGTTCCAAATGGTTGAATCAAAGGAGCGGGATCGAAGAAGTCGAAGAATGAAAGTATAGAATGAGCTGGCTGGTCTAAAGCAACTGACAGTGTAGACTGATGAGGAGAGAATGGACATGATATACCTTCGAGAGCAAGACTTGCGATGTTCTTATACTCCGCGAGAGCGATTGACAGCACCAGGGATAATGTGCTTTGCCTGGTATTTTCGCCTCGATGAAGCGTGGTAGTATTGAACGGGGTACAATCGTACCAAACGGTGATATGGCGCATCTCATCCCGTTGACAGTCGGTGCATCAGCCCCTTTTGCCAGCCATCGCCCGCTCGCCCTTGGACGCGGAGATCGATGTCTGGTGATGAACAAAACAACCCGCTTCGATCGAGTTCAAACAGGGTAAGCTCTTGATTGGAACACACGCGGCCCTCTCTTCGGTATCTTGGATGTGTCAAGGCGAGAGGTTTGTCTGCGCCACGTCCAAACTGATCCCCGATACTTGGATGCTTGTCTCGACGAGTCCACTTCCAAAGTCATGCCTGGTGTCAGACGAGGCTGGCCTGTTCAGGGGGGACATCGAATCTACCTTGCAGTGGCTGTGGTAGGCGTCAGAAGGCCAGAACGCCCTCATTTCTTCTGAAGAAATCATCCTGGCGGGGAATCTCTTTCAGTGAAGTATGCTGCATCATGATCCTTTGCTCCCCCCATACAGGGTTATGAAGCCCTGGCAAAGTGGCCCCAGTGTAGATTGGCGACGAGGCCGGAATCCACACCGCCTGCATAAGTACAATACCTGATTGTCCGCGCCTGCCGGGCCACATAGTGCCAGCAAACAGGTTCAGGAACAAGGAAACTCCTTTTTGTTTCGGGTATGGGACAGCCTCGCGGGCTGCTTGAAGGACGTCATTGGCAGGACGGTGGGAAGGTGGCTATGTCCAAAGGCACAGAAGGTTCGCTGCGGCTTTCCCAGGCAGCCAGACATCATTGCAGAAAGTGAGGAGCGGAACTGCTTTGCATGGCCATCACGGGATTTGGGAGGCACAATAGATGAACGACAGGAAGGTGGCAAGTTTGTGGGACACGGTTCTCTGCCATGAGCCCTGCGCCCCAATATAGTTTGCAAAGCTCCCGATCACGAGGGTCTGCAACGAGGATGATAATGATGGGTCATCATGTGTCAAAGCGCCAGGTATCGGGCAACCACCCCCTTGGATGATACAGCATTGATGTCAGCAGCAAATGTCGTAGTTTTGCCACCGGCTTCAAGTTGGTTGGCAAGGCCCGTGCAGGCTTTTCAAGCTGCCGACAGGATCTCATCCGCTCACGGGAATTTTGTATAGTGCCACAGCTTCCTCGGAAGCCGGATGTCGGAAGAGATGGCATGATTCTGCTATGGGCGGGTGGGGTGGTTGACAACGCCCGACTTGAGAGAGAGAAAAAGAGGCGGCAACCAGGATGCAACACTGCAGTTGGCCAGCAGAACGCCTGAACGGGTTAGGGAGACAAGGCAGAAGCGCCTTTTGTCGAAGACTGACCTGCACCTCCATGAATGTCACGGGGGCCACAGGAATGGAAGCGAGGGCAGGAAAGTCCCAGAGGATCCCAGAGCTACTGGATGGAGGGACCCGACGCGGTGGTCAACTGGAAATTAAATTGGGCAGCAGCTCTCTGATCGACGTACATCTGGTAGCAAAAGGGAATAGCGGTCAGAATGATTGGGTTGAGACGGGTAGTACGGTCGTAGTTTTTTTGATGAAAAAGGCAACGACTTTCGGAGGGGGAGTGAGTGATGCCTGATATAACTAAAAGCGACCGAAGAGAGGAGAAGGAGGCAATGGCTGCGGGAAGAGTGGGAAGTACCGAAGAGGGTGAGTCATTGCAATGGTTCAAGCAGGGAGTAATCGGGAGTAAGGAGCAGGAGAATAAGAGTAACGAGAGCGCGGGGAGAGGAGAGGGAGAGAGACAGTGTTTGTGTATTTGTGTATGTGTATATGTGTGTATGTGTGTACGAGGTACTATACTATAATAGCAGTCGACGCCGAGTTGGGTACCGAGAGAGCAAGTCAGTAATTACATATTGGTTCTCGGTACATATGTACTATGTATGTGCTATGTGTCGGCCTTTGGGCCTTTGGGCCTTTGGGCACACACACTGCACACTGACAGATTCGGAGAATATGCAATGGCGCCATGCCATGACGTCGGGCTCCATCTGCATTCCTTCCGCTGCCGCTGCCGCTGGCATTTTCCACACCCATCATCCAGCAAAAACACAGTTCAGTTCGGTGGGTTGCACACTTGGGCTGCTCCTGCTCCCCCCGTACATAACTCATAACTGATTCTGTCCGCTCCCGCCTGACTTGTTTATTGTTTCCTATCTCAAATCACCTTCCTCCTCGTCCAGTTAATTCCGCCCTCGGATCCTTCGCTGCACCCGACCACTGCAATTCCAACCCAAGAACCTACCACTTGTGTGTACGGTGAGCCCAAATTTCCACCCCCCCCCCTCCCTTCTCCTCGGTCCAACCCTGATTCATTGATTTCATTCTTCCCTGTTGGCCCCCAAGGATTGCCAATCCTTGCTCTCCTCACCACTCACCATCTGTGGTTGTGCTCGTACATCCCTTTGCTGCCCTCGCCCTGACATCAGGCCCCCTTGGGTCCTTTGGTCCTTTTCTTGACGCGGCCTCAACCGCCCCCTTGACATGAAACCTTGCTGACCTTGAGCGTCTTCAGGGCTGAGCCCTTCATATTGCTGTCGAAACCCCCGACCCTGTCACCGTTTATCTGGCAACAGCCTCCCCATCGGCTTCGGTGACTAACGTCCGATGCCTGGGAGAAAGATCCTCTATACCAGTGGCCAGCCAACATCCTCACCATGACCGAAAACCGCTACCGTCCCAGCTCCCCGCCTGGGCGTCGCTACGTCGACCCCCGTGCCGCCTCGGCGAGCATGGTGATATCCTCCTCCTTTGACCCCCGATACTCCTCTTCCTCTCAGCCTCGCAGCGTCATTGATACTTTTCCTGCCACGCGACACGGGAGCGTCTACGCCACCCAAGGCATTGCAAGAAAAACCGTCCTCGACGACCCTCACCCCGGGGGAGGATCGATAGTGAGGACCGAATATGCCGTGCGACCCAGGAACAACTCCACGCTGGAGACACGCAGGCCTGTGAGCACCTTCACCGAGCGTCGCTCTTCTCCGCCTCGAGTACGACCGGCCATCATCAGCGGTTCCTCTCGCGACGACCCAAGAAGCCCAGTTGTGGCCTCGAGGGAGGATCGCTACCTTGTGCCGGCTGCTTCAAGTGGTCGGAACCACCACCGCCATTCGAGCGCAACCCGTGCGGAGCAAGACCGCCTACTGCCTGCAAGGGCCAGCCGACAACCCGAGTATCACCGCCGCGGTGGTTACAATGCACATCCGTACACTTCGACCCGAGGCCCGCTTCAGGATGAAGGCTTCTCTTACACCACCCCAAAAGAGCAGTTTTTACAGGAGTCATCTCGGCCGCCGCAGAGGCGGGAGAGCTACAGCAGACGGGAACGACCGGTCAGCATAGCTGGGATACCCGAGTACAGACTGCCTGCACGGAGAGACACCCGAGATGGGCCACCATCCGCGTCCGCCCGGGTTCTCGACCGCCTCGATAGGAATGAGCCTCTTCGATACCCCAGCAGTCGCACGAGCGACACAGAAGATCGAGGAGATATCCCCCGGCGTCGTCACTCCACAAGAGCGCCTGTCTTGCATCACTATCCCGACGACGGTACCGTGTCTGCGCGTGAAGAACGTGATCTTCGATCCGTGCCCAGATCCTCCCGTCATGATCGTTCAGAAGACGATGACAAACTCCACAAACACAGGCACCGTGATGAGCGCGAAAGGGAGGCTCTACGTGAGCTTCCACGCGAGTCCGAACGGGTCCGTGAACGTGATCGGGACCGAGACCGTGAGAGGGACAAGGATAGAGATCGGGACCGAGATCGAGATCGAGAGAGAGACCGGGAACGGGAACGGGACCGTGACCGAGACAGAGACAGGGAAAGGGAAAGAGACAGATACCGAGACGCTGACAAGCCCAACAAGCCCCGAAGTCGTGACAGCAGCCCGGAGCATTCAGGACTACGTAAAGGACTCGCCGCAGCCGCTGGTATCGGCGCAGTGGGCGCTGCTGCTGGTGCAGCTCTGAAGAGCGGCCGCAACAAGGACGAAGAGGAATCGGAAACTGATGGTCGCAAAGAGCGGAAGCACCGAAGAAGACGACACCACGATGAATCGAGTCCAGACGAACTTGCTGGACGCGTTGAGCGTGATCTCAAGTTGACCAACGGAGATCGTGATCCGCGCCGACGAGATGAGGATCGGGGAGTTGACGATACGGGTGATGTTGACGACCGCCATGAAAGACGGAGACACCATCGCCACAGGAAGCACCGGGACCGTGGGAACGAGTCAGATACCACAGAGGACTATGATGGGAAGGAGGCCCGGCAGCGACATCCCCGAGAGCGAGCGTTGTCCCGTGACGAAGATGAGGATGTGCCACCAGTTCTGGAACAACGAACCATATCTCCAGGTGAAGACGAAGACGACCGTCCCCGAAAGGTGCAATTGGTGGAGCCCGCCGAAAAGAAAGAAGAGTTCAAACCGAAGGGTATCCTCAAGCCACCCCGGGAGGTACCTTTCCCTGAGGACCCCAATCCTACACGAGAAGGGGTTGCGCCGTTGAAAGATGCCCACAAAGATGGTATCCCACCGAATGCCAGGTGGACCAAAATCAGTCGAGCACTGGTGAACCCCGAAGCCCTTGAAAAGGCGCACGAGAGGTTTGAAGAGAGAGACGACTACGTAATTGTCTTGAGAGTGGTTTCGAGGGAAGAAATAACGAAACTGGCCGAGAAGACCAAGGAGATCAGAGGTATGTATATCTTCTACGTCCGAAGCCAAGGGACTGTCGCTGACCGACACCTACAGAAGCCAGAGAGCGCAAATGGCAAGCTGAGCTTGAAGAAAAGCGCCGTCGACGTGCAGAAAGAGGCGAGTACAGCGACGAAAGCAGCGACGACGAGTACAGCGGGGACGACCGACGTCCGCTGCGTGCTATAGAGCAACCGCCTCCTGCTCAAGGCTTGCAGGGTGATCCCAGAACATACTTCGCGCAGCAACAGCTGCAACCACAACAGCAACCAAGATTGGAAGCTCCTGTCGTTGCCAGTGCTATTCCAGGACAGCCTGGTGTCGCACCAATCCAACAGTCCCCACCAATGCCCGGACCATATCCTCCACCGATTCAGCAGCAGCAGGGACTGCCTGTGCCAGATATACGAGTTGAGCCCATGGCTGGTAATTATTCGACGAATGTATGAAAGGACGGATGAGCACGAGCGATGAGTGAATATGTGTGATGAAAAACAGGGTCGGTCATGTCGAACGAGACGGTTTTATGAGGTCGACGCTGAATTGAGTGTGCTGTTCGAATTTGACGCATTCTGTTTGGACACTGGAGAAGAACAGTTTGTCAGAATGATTAATAAGCCATTTAAGAACGGATTCGGCGTTGCACAAGAGGGATGTGGAAGAGCGAAAGAGGCGTGCGGGTTTTGAAGCGAAGTGCAACTAGAAGTGGATTGAGGGTCTGGTCCTCGACACAACGAGAGTGATGGAGATGTTCCATTCCGCGGGTACAGGAACCTTTTGACTTCTGTATGAACGGGATTTTGGCGCAGTCTCGAAGGAAGTTCTCGATATGTACTCCGTATCTGGCCAGCAGGTGTGATGGGTCACGTGAACAGTCTTTCGCGCTCAGCCACATCTGACCACAATATTCTTTTCTGTCAGACGGTGGAATTTTGCGTTTCATCCTGTGGTGCCGGCTGCAGTTTCCCTGACATCACCATCGAGTGCGTCTCCCTCCGTCACCACCCTGGCTTCCTGCCTCCCACACCGACTTGTCGTCCTGACATGATTCAAACAGCTCTCCAGGGGTGCGACGGAAACCTTAACTCGCTGCCGGCCCTGTCAAAATCAAGCTTCGTTCCAGGCGTGAATGTCAGCGACACGATGCCATTCGCACAGTTCGACACCTCGTCACCTCGTTTCGAGAATTGGCTGGCTTTCCGAGCGATCGCTCCGCCCAAGCCCTGGTGTCTACCGAATGGTGTCCTCGCCATTCCGCCTCCCCGGCTCCGTGCTACCATTCTACCCAGAGCTAGTACCTGAAGATCTTTCCCCTCAGCCGAACCAACCCTGGCCATTCCGGCTCTCCATGGCAGCCCTCCCTTGAAAGGCTTCTCGTGGCAAGACTCGTGGAAAAGCGTGGTTGATCGACACAACACGTTGTCCGCCATGAGCTTTCAACCAAGCAAGGGTCCTGCACACCACGTTTTCTGTCAATCAAGTATCCGACGACGTGAATTCCAACAATTAGTCCAGCAGCCCCTTTCTCAGAGGATGTACCGTACCTCGTACATACATATGCCAGACACAAGCGGGCCATCGCTACTCCCAGCAAGCGAGGAGGAGAACCAGGAGTATTTGCTCACACAAATCAATGCCTTTTCCTGCTCCGAGACTAGATAGTGTCAGAAATATGCTGCAATTACCCTGTTGCCCAACCAGTCATGCGGCGACCCAATAGCACAGGACTACAGATATCCGAAACCCGCAAAAATGGTCTGGTGACGATAGTGATTTCTTTGGATCCGACGCCATGGACCATTGCCCTCTTGGTCCCACCACACCCTTCAGCAACGTTGCACCGTCCTCAAGACATTGCTGCTGATCGCTGCTGATCGATGCCCAACGCAATTGTCCAACTGGCCTTCATGCCTCGGTTCAGAGCTGATCTTCATCACGAGATCTTTGGTGCATTCTTGTCGTTGCGAGTCCCAGTCATCTCGGTTGTTGGTGGCCCCTTGAGGCTGCAGTGATCGCCGCCAGGAAGTTAGACCCGGAAGAAGGGCAGCGAATCGTCCGCGAGCCGAAAATCTGTGCAAGGAGGGTGATCTGCGTTAATCGTTGCAGCACCAAGGCTCTGTCCAACCGCAACATCCTCCTCCTCGGCGCCGAGCTCGGGTCCCCTTCAAAACCTACGGGATACTCATAGCACAGTCCATCTACGGTCGGTCACTGCGTGCTCTAAGATCCAGATGTTGTCTGGAGCCTTGATTGCAGCCCCGATTGATGATCCCATCCACATCAGGGAGCGGTCAGACGTGCAGGTATCTTGGTTTCCGACCATCCTGAGACCTTAGCACATCTTTGCCTCTTCTGTGGGATGTCAGTTGTTCTTGTGAGGTGCATGCTAACCATTGATTCGCTGTTGACCTGAATGCAAGAATGACAGTCACATATTCTTGTCCCAGGGCAGCTGAAACCGATGTTTAATTGTATACTATAATCCATATTCAGCTGAGAGGGATTGCATTTCCACCACTGCCGGGAGAAACTTTGAATTCACACTTGTGTTGTGCGCTATAACGCGACAAGTCTTGGTGACATGCAAGTGGCAGGGGAAGGAGCTCCGACTCACAGATTCTGCGACGGGTTGTTTGCTATGACCCACGGTATACATAATGAATCCAAGGGTCTCGGGGCATGTACGAGGTGCTCCGTGCCTGAGGGAGTCCTTGTGAAAGCAGTGTCGGTCAAACAGTCCGCATCTACGAGGTACAATTGGGGAAGTGTCAAGGATGACAGCTGATCTCGCTTCTGCATTATCTGAAGCTCGACATGCAGTAATTTAACCTACCCAAGCGCACCGTATTGACCTCGTTGTGTAAACAGGCACCGGGCGGCCGCCGTGGTGAATGTGCGCAATACGGCGTTCTCTACGACCACAGGTCCACAGTGGCAATGTCCTACGAGTACAGTACTACCCGCGGTCAGGAGCAGATATAGGTTCGAACGCCTGCTTGACAGACTGATTCCATCACGATGATGGCCCATGGAAGCGGCGGCACGCTAACACAGTAATCACGTAAAAGAGCTCCGTGCTTTCGTGATGACGGCAACCTTTTTGGAGGGCCACAAGTGCGAGAGCTAGTGCACGACGGACGGAATGAAAGCTTGGTAGGCGTCGGTGTGGCTTGCTTACCTGGAGAAGGACTGGCGATAGGGTCTGGCACCATCTGGTGGGGCGGCGTTGCTTTTGTTCAAAGATACGAGAAGGTAAGGTTCACTTTATTTCCCCCAAGTCGCTTGGTGGCGTGTCCAATGGCTTGAATCCCCCCTGGGTCGAAAGTGTTGGGCATGTCATGCATCCTGAGGCTTGGTTGCGGGGAGCAAAGTCGATGGCTTCGAGATTGGTCTCAAGCAGGTCTAGAACGTGAGACGCTGGTCAATCAAACATGCATGAGCACGGGCGACAGAGGGGTGAGTGTGTGCATGCCCACCATTGACCCTGCAATCAGTTGCGCTGATGCAAGCCGAGAAGCTGGCTGATTTTCCCGAGATGATGTCGAGATATAGTGCCGGACACAGCAACTCAAGGGCTCCTTTTGAGCTCACCAGATCCGTCGTGAAGCCAGCTATCAGAGGTCAAACAACAACACGAGATGAGATCATGAAATTCAGGGTTGTGATCCCAGCCGCTGGAGATATCAACCAGATGACCGATGCGAATCGTCGTCCCCGCTTCGGCGAGATGACTGCAGAGACGGCGTTCTGTGACAGGAACTCCCTCTGCAGCATTTCTCATCGAGGTCGGCAAGCTGCTCCTTCGCGGGGATCCTTCTCGCAGTTGGGGATCGCGGTTCTCCTACTTGTACAGTACCAGGCATTAACAGTGACGCGTTGGTCCTCTCAACACTGCTGGGAGCACAGACCCGCCGGCTCTCTGACGGGGTTCGGGGGAGGGTGCACCCCAGCTGGCAAATGGAATCCTCGTATGCTATCTTGATGCTTGGATCCCGGCTGGTGACACGGACACGGCTTTCAACCTGAGCCGTGCGAAATACGGTCGCTCTCTCAGTCAGCCCTTTTGATGGAGAGGCAGCTTCTATTCTTATTAATGCTTCCCTGGGCCGGGTTGGCAATCCGTCCTACTCATAAATGTATATTTATATATTAACCGGCCTGAGACTGACCCGAGAGCAATCCTCTGGCCCCAATGAGCACCAGACTGGAGTGCCTCCCCGTCATCTGCATCCTGAACAAGGCTGAGTAAACTGCATGTGTGTATACTGATCATTCCAAGGACGTCGTGAAGGGTTGCCTTTTCATGCAGTCCAGCAGGGGGGGTGGGATAGGCTTTGCATACCTGCCAGCAGCTCAGAGCCGGGGTGGTGGCTAGGAGGAGGGAAGATGAGTACATACGAGCGAAACGCCCTGGTCAGCATCCGCTTGAGCTCTGGCTGTTATTCGCCACCACAAAGCGTTGCTGGGGCTGCCAGGGTTGATCATTGTCAAGCTGGCTGACATTATTGGCCGCTGTAGGCGTGCGTCGTGACTGCACTTGGGCTTGCTGATTTGCCCCAGTCTTTTCTACATCTGGAAGACACGACATTACTCGGTAATGTGTTCCAGCTGCTATTCTGAGTCGGTGTAGCTCTGGGAAAAAGCGCTATCGATGAACAGACGCTGAGCGCCAATGGCAGCTCCCAGTGCCACAGGCAGACACGCCTCCGTTGCGTAAGCGACGCATCACGAAAATTCCAGTTGTGCAGTCATTATTTTAAAAGTGCCCGTTCGGGAAATTCACTTAGGTTTGGGAAGTGGGCGGGCAGCGGTGGTGAATGGTGAATAGGGCGTCCCTTTGACCCCGACGATCGACGCTGCTAATAGCCAGAACCAGGATCAACGCCGGGCCACACATGGCAGTTCGTGCTCACGGGTGGTATTGCAGGGCCGGCCTAAGGCTGGTTCCGGCATAGTTGGAGAAATGGCTACAAAGCATCACTCGCCACCAAAAGCGGAGCGGAGCCATTGGAGACATTTTGGAGGTGAGCCTCTGAAGGAGGCAACGCCTCAGGAAAAAGCGAAGGAGGTCGCGGAGAAGAAGCATCCCAGGGGAGAAGAACTCCAGGGATCCGGGATCGAGAAACAGACGGTGGGTTGCCAGTCTATAGGCTAGGTCTGTACCTATGCGCAGGCTAACGTCGAGACATGCAGAAAGTAGACTTCGTCCTCTTTTCCATTTTACTATTTGCCGTGTGAGCAACGATACGAGTAAACGCGTCGAGGGCAGTCCATGTGGATCTGACCTTTGGTTCCATGCTCCCCTAACCGCCCGAAGATCACAGATCGATTTGATGGCTTCCAGGGATCGATGACGAGGGCCGGAGAAGCTTCGATCGCTGTAATCTCCGCGGCAGGATGTGATTCGAGAGGCATTGCAGGAAGGCTTTTGGAGGCGTTGGTAAGTCTGTTGCAGATGTCGATTGAGGGGCGGAGGAGGGAATGAACTGTGTGCAGGGGGGGGGGTCGTCGTCGTCTTGGGGACTCCAGGCCTGGCGAGAATGCAAAGTTGTGTTGCGTGTTTGCATGCAGCAAGCATAACCCAATACGGCCAAGGTTGCATGCTGGGCTGCAGTCAGAACGACTAGTAGACCTAGCGTGATGATCGCCGGAGCGCCGTTGATGACCTCTAGGCGTTTCGAGTTCAAACTTTGTTGCGGGCCACTGGGTGTGATTTGGGGAAGTCAGACACCCCGGTAAGACCCAGCAGGTCCCGGCAAGCTCCAGCAGGGAGGGGGGCCCACGCCAGTGCCTATTCGTATTTCGTCGCTAGGGGGCATTCTACTGGAAATTACAGGGATTCCCACGAGACGCGAGAGGTCAGTGCGCTGCGTCTTGACTCTGGCCCCCCCCCAAAGAACATGCTGGGAGGGGCACCCCCCAAGAGAAGGACTACCACAAAGGGGGTTTATTATTGAATTACCCGCATCCGAAGTACTCTGCTGCGTAGGTACTCGGTAGGGACGCATAACTGCGAGGTACTATACCCGCTGCGCAGTACCGAGTACATACCTGCTGACTGTGGAGGCCGGAAGGTGGTATACAGGCACCTCCCCAGAATGCTCCTATGGCTGTAACTGCAACTCCTGAGCCCGTTGCCCCGACGGCTTATGACCGATGTAGCCACCCTCCTCTATTGATAGTTGTGTTGTCTGTCCTCACCGATATTCCCTTCGGGCGAGCGGTGTCTTTCTAGAACTCACTCTCAGCTGAGGAACAGCGGCACCTACTTCCACGTTGTCAGACCGTAGTCTATTTTCTTTATTTTTGCCTTTGCTTGCTTTCTTCCCGTTAGCTTGCTCAGCAAAAGTCTTGTCCATACCAAACGATGCTGCTGCTTCTTGTTGGTGAGCATCCCACCCAGGATACGAGTAATCAGTGCCAGTCTGTAGTCAGTCCCCTTTACTCTCTCACCATCCTCTCGCACTGCGAACTTCCTCCCACCATCATCTCCCGATTATAATCCTGTCGTTACTCTGGAATTATTATTCCTTGCTCTCTCCTTCCACCTGGGACCCCCGGCCCAGCCCTGTACTAGTATCCGCCGCTTCACCCCTACGCCTTCTGTCACCCTCTCCTCCTCTTGTTCCCCCGTCTCCCCACCCGGCGGGCGACCCATCTGTTGCTGGCCTTGATGCGACAAGCGCTCGCCTCTTCAGCGACCTCAAAGCCTCCTCATTCCTCGAGCAGCCCGGCCCCTCCAGCTACGGAGTACTTCCGATCGCCCTCTGAACAAAAGCGACATCCGAGACGAACCCCAAACCCTGATCTCGGCCACCCGGTCAAATCTTGAACTCGTCACCCCCTTCGCACTTTCTTCTGACGCCTGGTCCCCTCCCCACTGCGCGCCATGGCGCCCACCCAGAGCAAAAAGTACGCCGTCGCTTCGGAGAAATCATCTGGCCCTGCCAATTTGAACCTCAATGCTGCCAGTCTGGGTAATTCGCAAATAATGCTTCAGGCCCCGACGCACCATCATGCTCAGCAGGCGCACCACCTGACGAGTGCACGCAACGCCTTCAAGAATAGCACTCGTCATTCTCATGCTCTCCATGCACCAACAAAGGCCCCCGATCCAGCGCCTGGGCCGGGACCTGGGCCTGTCCCTGGCTCGGCTTCAGGCCCCGGATCTGCTCAACTACACGGCGTGGGAGATGCTAAATTGCACGTAAGTTGAACTTCTTTTCCATCAGCCCTCTGCTTGTTCCCCCTTCTAGTGCCTCAGCAACGTTTTTGCTCTGCCTTCCCGCTTTTCGCTCCATGTCAATCACCTGTCACGGAGGGAACTGCCCAAGGGCTGGTCTGACCGTTGAAGCCCATTTGGGCCAATGCCGGTCCTCCAATGTGCGGTTAACCACCACAATCTCTGCTTCCTTGACTGCTACCCTGGTCCTGACCCTGGTTCACGGGACACCCTGACCCCGGCCCATGGTTTCCCTCCCTGCTCTGTTTTCCGGGCCCTGGTCTGCATCTGCCCAGCCCAGGATCCTGACCAGCGACGGCCACTGGCTTGATCTCTGTCGGAGCCTGTTTGGCCCTCGGGCAGCTATGATTAGCCCGCTTGTGGCCCCCCCCCGTTCCCCCTCTCCGACCGGCTCCTCACGCACCAAAAGTGCCAGAACGACGCCAGCAGACGACGCTCGGACCAGGGCTCCAGTGGCTCCTCTTTGCACCCTTCTCGACTCCACCCATGGGCAAGGACCAAACACTCACACATCCAACAACCCTGGCCAGGTTCTCAAGTCGCCTGCGTCCCAACTCTTAAGCTCCCGCGCCATCGATCCACTTGATTTGCACGCTACAAGTTTCGAAAGCACACATCCACACATCCACTTCATCGACAGCCCTCTCCCATCGTCTTTTACAACGCCCTTGCCCCTCGGCTTTTTTTGCATCATCTCATCTCTTCTACTCTCGCCAAAACTTGTTCTTTCCATTGCCCTCCCCCTTTGACCTTGCACCGCCACGTCTGACGCCCGCACTTCTGTGTTTGCCGTTTCCGCCCGTCAAAACAACCACCCGCACTCCATTACATGTCCTGGGTACTTTGCAGAGCGACATCCATCCAACTAAGTTTCAACTCCCTGCACGCAGTCAACGGCAACAATCTCAGTACATGGTATGCTGGTTTCCGGAGACTACACACCCACCCCCCCTGCTTGCCCACAATCCCTGGTGGCTACCCTATCCGTTATCACATGCCCGCCTTGACCCCTCCCAGACTATTCATTCATCGTTTCGAATCTCCATCATATCCACACCCTGGACATACCTCAACCACTTCGATCCAGTTTTAAAGCGTGGCCTGTTCGCCGCGTGCTATCCTGGTTCTATCTCGCTGCGCGACCAACCCCTCTGTCCCCTCGATCGATATCCCCCGGCACACTGGCCTATGCCCCTGCCCACCCTCACCACTGCTTCTACAGGTACGAAACCGTTGTGTCGACCGCCAGTGATTCGGGTCCTCGGTGGCGCGTGTCTCGTGCGTTTCCAACACTCGTCTGCCTCTGCAAACTCAGGATCCTCGCTTCTTGCCGAAGAATATATTCAGGATCTATCGCGGTCCCCTGGCTCTCCACTATGAACCGGGGGGACGAGGCCCATTCCAATCACGAACGCTTCCCCTGGTCTTGATCAATCAAAACCCGTCGATTTCGACCAGGTTCTGACTGTTCTCTGAGCATTTTCGTTCTGGCCTTTGTCCAAGGGTCCCTTTTCCAACTCAAGCATTCATGCGACTCTCTCTGTTGGGCAATTGTTCTTGTTGACTTCTTCGGCTCTTGCGCTGACATATGGATCTCCATGCAGCATCGCACAACACAGCCATACTCGAGCGTTGCGTCGTTGCATCACATCCCGCAACAACCGCAAACGAGGACATTGAGCGGAAGCCAGAGCACGCAGCAACCCTATCCGTCGCCAAACATCTACACGCCTCAGCCCGGTCTCCAGTCACCGTTTCTCAATAGTCAGGCTCAATTCCAGGCGCAACCCGCTCCTGCCGAACCACCGAACTTTTATCCGCCTACGCAAAGCCCACGAAGCCAACACAGCGGTGCTGGAGCCTATTATCCTCCAGGTGAGTCTGACGCGTGAGCGGAATTGCTGTAGTGGCTCGGGGAACTGATCCAGGGCCAGAAAAATCCGATTCTATGGCAGCAACCGCGACCATGCAGAGGCCTTACCCTCCTATTTATCATACTCCGCAGTCGAACTCGCCAGCTTCAGTCACCTCGCCTCAGACTCACGATCCCGCACGGCCTATGTTTGCTCAGCCAGGCTCCCAGTTGAATCAGCCACTCTACGGCTATCAGTATGGGATGAATTCAGTACACCAACCAACTTATGGACAACACCATGCAACTTCCCAGCACCAGATCAACTCTCAATCGATGCTCCCGTATCAATCTACGGCTTCGCAAATTGCGCCACCACAGGTTGCGTCACATCATTCCATCTCCAGCAGTCCAAGATTGAAATCGGAGCCCAACCAGCATTATCAGCAAACCCCCCAGGCACGACCGGGAATGCTTCAACAACAACAACAACATCCAACGCCGAGCTCCCAACCTTCGGTCCTGCCACAGCAACAAGCACAACAGCAATCCACACTCCAGCAGCAGCAAATATCACAGCAACAGCAGCAGCAGCAGCAACATCAACAACAGCAACAGCAGCAACAGCAGCAGCAGCAGCAGCAGCAGCAGCAGCAACAACAGCAACAGCAACAGCAACAGCAACATCAGCAGCAACAACAACAACAGCAGCAGTCACAGATGCCGCCGAATTTACAGGCAAACGCGAACGCTGCGCCTGGACCTATCCCTGCCACGACACCTTTGAAGGTGCGACAAGATGGGAACGGTGTTCAGTGGATAGCTTTCGAATACTCCAGAGATCGCGTCAAAATGGAGTATACCATCAGGTGTGACGTCGAGTCAGTAGACGCCACTGTTTTGTCGCAAGAGTTCAAGTCAGAAAATTGCGTCTACCCGCGAGCTTGTGTTCCAAAAGAACAGTATAAAGGAAACCGATTGACCTATGAAACAGACTGCAACCATGTCGGCTGGGCATTGGCAGAGTTGAATCCTTGTCTGCGAGGCAAGCGAGGACTAATCCAAAGGGCCGTGGATAGCTGGAGAAACAGCAATCAAGATCCGCGACTGCGAAGTCGTCGCGTCCGCCGACAAGCCAAGATGCACAGGACTAAATCGACACCTGCATCCTTGAGCAAGGCCCCTGGATCGGGTGGCTCCGTGTCGACAGGGCTTCCCGGCCCAAACTCAATGGCGGCTCCCCTCCCTCGGGCCCCCGGGGCTCTATCCAGCACACAAGCTCAGATACTCCATCACGCCCAGGATGTGTCTCCTGCTGGGCATGAGAACGTCGGAGGTACGTAAAAGTTTTCACGCCTACAACGCTGCCGCAGCATAATACACACAGGCGTCCAAAGAAAACTTGACGTAAAGTTCAGCTTTTTGCTAACGTTCTAACAGCTCCCACCTATAATCCTACACAACTGACTTATCGACAAAATCCCGTGAGTCCACAAATGGTGAATCCGAACGACTTGCGTCAAGCGCATGTTTTCGCCGGCTATCCAAGCTACCCAGCTTCGCTAGCTCCCTCGATGGGCCCGTCCATGGCTCCATCGATGCAAGGAGGTCTTCACCATCTCGGACGGCCTGGAGGAACTGCTGCCATGGCTTCCAAAGAACAAGAGGAGAAGAATGAGGAAGACAATGCCTTGTTCGGAGAGCTGCCTGAAGGCAAACGGCGAAAGTTCATCCTGGTGGATGATACGCAGAAGAATGCCCGTGTGCGAGTGAAGGTTACTCTGGATCAGATCGAGATGAGCGAGATCCCGGATTCTTACCGCAAGCAGAACTCGGTCTTTCCTCGAGCGTACTTTCCGGTCCAGATGCAGACTGGTTCCGAATCGACCCCAGGTGCTCGTTTCGTCGAAGAAGGAGATGAGGTTGACAGCGGGGTGCCAACGATTGGAAAAACAGCTGTGTCTGTTCCGACCACGGATGGTGAAGCTGAGGTGGCGGTTCCCTTGATTTCGACAAGCAAAAGAGGCCGAGAGCAGAAGATCAATGAACTCGGATATCGCATGGCCTGGGGGCAGGGTCGAGTATTTTCGGGCAGACCAATCTTCCTTGCTCGAGCCCGTGAGTGTTTCGCAGGTTGATATGGTGCTGAAGTATTGACATTTTGCACAGTCGACGCTTATCGCAGCAAGCAACGAAGTGCACTCCTCGCTTCTGGTGCCGATCCATCACATATTCCGGCGCATCTCGAAAGTCGACCTGGCAAGAGGAAGTGGCTCGAACGAACCAGAGTTACTGCCCAAGCACCAACGCCGCCAGCCCCGACTTTGGACTGAATGAGGGACTGACTCGGCGGAGCATGCCCGCGTATTTATTTTGCACCATTCAATGATACCCCAAAGTACAGTTCCTGGACTTGTACATTATTTCGATTCACCCGAGCGATACCTTGTATAATCACGTGGCCGGACAAGACACAAAAGTCGAAGCCTTGACCCTGCGCACTATGAGTTCAAAACTTACATGACGTTGCTCTCTTGTTCATCCTTGGCGGCCCTTGTGTCGCTATCCGATATGCAACCTTTTTGTTTCAAGAGTACAGCGAGAATTAGCACTTCTGCACACAGGACGATTGAGAACACTGCTGCAGGGGAGGAGGAGTAGGATCCTGCTCATTCTATACCTACTTGTATCTCGCTATACGGGAGTCCGTGGTTTGGAGAGAAAAGATGCGTATTGCGGATACCCTTTTGCGGTTGTTGTCTTTGGGCTTCTGCAAGTCTGTTATTGGTGACAGGCGGAGACTGATTTAGTGTTTTTTTTTGGTTTTTGGGAGAGAGTCTACCAATGACGAACATGCAAGCTGTCGCCGGCTCCATGCCAGCTGCATCACGATCCATGTATCTGGTGGATGATCGGCGAGGTGAAAGCTTGGTCATGCACAGAGACCGGGCACCGAGAAATACAAGGGGGAGAGATCGCAGACACGGCCGATTTTTTATTTGTTCGTCTCTAGCCTGGCTCTGCCAGTGCGAGTGTGGGCGATCTGCATGCTACGACCAGCCAGCAAACGGAGGGATCGATGTCTTTTGCCACCTCGACAGCCGGCGGTTGCAAGGGATAAGGATTTTTGGGAGGTGGGAGCAGCCTTTGATCATTCGGATGCGTTTATGATACCTTTCTTGTTTGTTATTTTGGATGTTTAACCTTCATCTGGACGGATTCGTTGATTTTGAGCATTTTGGCCAGGCACAGCTGCGAAGGATGGACATTTGGCTACAAGAATGGCAATGGAAACTGCTGAGCTGGGAACGGGAATATGCTACAGAGACCAGAGAGGGCCAATCGTGAGGAAAGTACTCCGTACCTGGCCCCTCTGGGCAGGGATGGACAGGCAATGCAGAGAGCCGCAATGCAATGCTAAGGCACGGGATATGGAAGGGAAAGGGAAAGGGAAAGGGAAAGGGAAAGGAAAGGCTAGGGAAAGGACGAAAGGGCCAAGCGGTTCAAACAGGAGGAGGAACTTCCGTCAATCACGGATCTTTTCATTGGTAGGAATTGGAGTGACAGCGCACGGGGATCTAGCATCAAGGTGGGAGAGAGAGAGAGAGAGAGGGAATGATATTACTATCTTGTTGTTTGTGATCAGCTCAGTCTCGCGTTATCTTCTTCACTTCTTCAACGTATTTCCTCCCCCCTTCTTGCACTCGCAGTCTCTCCCCTATTCATGTTTACAAGCCCACGGGGATAGATGGTGTACGTACATGTCGTGCGTGATGCCGCTACGACAGCAAGCACATGCAAAGAGTGATCATCAATGTAGCTTACCGGGCGAGGTACCTCGTACTTGTTTTTCTTATTCCGACGCAGAAGAAGAAGAGTGCATGCGAGGGATGTGTTGGAAATACTATTGTACGGTATCTCTAGTCTAACCATCCCCCGTGCGGGTCGGTGTCCCATTCTTCATATACACTAAAACTATCCCACCACCGTGTTTAACCCTGTACATTCCACAGAGACTTGCCAGTAATGTACATGTTATCATCCCTTGGCCCGTGACTTTTTCCTTGTCTCCAAAGACGTTGACATGATTCCTCAACCTCGTATACCCGTTTGCATAGTCGATCTGCCCGTAAACGCTGTCTCTTCCGCCCAGAATGCCGAGCATAATTCCTGGAGCAGATGTCATATAGCGACATCGCTCCGGGCCGCACCTATGAATGGGTCCGTCCTCCCAATGAAATACCTCAACTGCAATAAAACGGATATTGTGCATGAGATCATGTCCAACTCGGACCCGGCAATGGAGGTGAACTTAGCCAACATCGATCCCCACCACCAAAATCCATGCCTGCGCCGTCGAACATGAGATTCAAGACCCAACCGTCTTCCCGTCACAGTCAGGAATCTTCAGCCCTGGCTTCAAATTCCTGCCTGGATCCATGAGACCCCATTTGTCTTCCCACTGTTGACTAGCAGTATTATAGATAATCTTCCAAGGTTCGTCAAATGCCTCAAACCTATTGTTTCAGGGTCAGTTCACGCCCGCCACCACATTCTGGTGGAACGAGACTTACCAAAAGTATTCGGTTCCATTTGACAGTGCTTGGCATACCCAGTTATCCATAAAGGTATTCATGCCATCAACGCCAGCGACAGATCCACTCTGCCCGGGTGCGCAAGACCCGTCAGTGCCTCCACAATCTTCTCCACCCCCACTGGGCCAACCAGTCTCGCTGATAAGTTGCTTGACGTTTGGCATTCCTTGAGTCAAAATGGCGTCGTGATTTTGCCAGAAATCCCATGTCCAGCTCGCTGCAACTTCTGCCGTGACACCGGCGAAGAAGGGATGGATATTCGACATGACATAATCCACGGCTTGCACAAGTTGGGCGTTCCAGTTGTCTCCGAGATCCGACGTTGCAATGGGGAGATCATAACCGAGAGATTTGAACTTGGTCCTGACACCGTCCAGAAGGGTGATCAGCTCCTGCTCCGACTGAGCTTTGTCCACACCTGCCCGATAGAGAGCTTCGTTGCCGACAATGACGCCCTTAAACACCGAGAGGTCTTTTGTTTCCGCTAGAATCTTGTACATCTGATCCATTTGGCGATCTGTGGTCGTTTGATTGGTGTCAATCCAAACGCCCATCCAGAGCTTCATGTCGGTGAGTTCAAGACGATCGATGGCGTGGAGCACCATCTCAGTCTGGTTGCAGTCAGTTCCATAGAGTCGGACAACATTCGTAAGCTGTGACAAGACGGCCATGTCACGTGTGACGTTGTTCTGGGAGGGAGGATAAGTGAAGCATAGAGGATACTGCGTGCCCCAGGGGGTGTAATCCATTCCTGGGAAGACCTTGTGCAGGTTCGGGTTGTTCATGAGAGCCTTAATCTCTGCCGAGTTCTTGTCGAGATCTCCGTTGGCCTCTGTGTCAGAGGCGGCATTGTTAGTGTCGTCGCTAGACGAGCCAGAATTGCTCGAACTTTTTGAGCCTAGCACACCACCCAGGATACCTCCAACGATGGCGATGACGATAACAAAGCCAATGGCAACTCCCACCCACAACTTCATCTTTCTTTTCCCTTTAGTCTGCTCTGCCAACCATTCACTTCTCTCGGGTTTAGGCGCCGCGCCCACGGCGTCGTAGGTGCCGCTAGGGGTGTGGTTCTTTGACCTACGGCCAAACAGACCTCCTAGGTAGCCAGCAGTTCCTGCAGCAGCAGCAGCAGCAGTGGTGGCGGCGCCCTTCCCGCCACCCCTTCGCCCGCCAGCCGGTGGGATGCCGTCATCACCATCGTCGAGGATGTTGTTTGGGTTAATATTCATGAAGTCGCTGGGGTTGCTTGACTGATGGGGAAGATCGTGGTAGCTGGGGTAAGGTTGTGATTGTTGGGGATTGGAATAATATTCCTCCAAGGGAATGCTTCTGCCCGAGTAGGCAGAGGATCTGGGGCCCGGAGAGGGAGAAGGAGTGATGGTACCAGGAGTGGCAGCGCCATGGGCAAGGGCGAATGTCGAGCCGTATGAGGTTCGCTCAGGTAACCGTGAGGAGGGTTGTGGTTGCTGGTATGGAGAATATGACTGAGGAAACGGGCGAGCAGCCTCAAGCCCGCTATCACGAGCCGGGTTGAATCCTCCTCCTGCTACTCCATTGCCAGAGTAGTCCATTCCTGCGGTGGCGGCCGAGTAGGGGGTGTAGGACTGGGGATTGTCTCTCGAGAGTCTGTTCGGACTGGACCTGTGAGGTGGAGGGGGAGGGGCAGGAGGGTCTACGTCGTCGTAGTCTCGAGGAGCTGGCCGTCGAGAGAGCGCTCTCGGGGGGGATACGTCGGTGAGGAGATGTGTGTCTGGAGGGACAGGACGTCGACAAGGGGATGTGGGAGGAGAGAGTTGTTGGCCGCGACTGGGCGAGGTAGAGGCGTATCTGGGGGGAGGAGAGACAAAATCCCTGGGTGGAGACCCATGGTATGGCGGTTGCTGCGAGGGATGGTAAGACAGATGCGGTTGTTCCTGTGTCTGGGCACTGGCCTGAGCGTCCGGTCCGTGTGCATTCACAGTGTTGTCATCTTGGGGCTCAAACGAGAAGTTCCTTCCGCCACCCGACATTCTCGATAACAGCAGCTTCCCAAGAGGGTCCTCTCTGTAGGGAGGGATGTCGCAGGCGGTATGGGGTAGTGTAGCTGGTGGTAGGAATCACTCCAGCGCCTGTTTGACCGCCCGAACATGGACAGGTGAGGTGTACCGAGTATGTCTGATTGATGGTGTAAGTGTTCCAAATTAGCAACACATGGGTCTTTGAGCCAAGTTTGCTGCAGTCGGGCTGGGAATGGGCGCAGCTGTCTGGCCGCAGTGTGTGTGTGGTATCCTGCAGCGTTGATGGATACGGGGTGTATCTGGGAGGAAGGGGGCGCAGCCAAACAGAAGAGACGGGCTGAAACAGTGATAGTGTCAGCCGGAGTGCGAGCCACTCAAAAACAGTTAGGAGTCGGGGGACTCAATGCATTAAACGAGTGGTTCGGCCCATCAGTAAGGAAGCCTCAGAGGAAGAGAAAGGGCATTAATTGCAATGGTTGAAATTGTGTCCATTCGACCGTTAACATCAGAACGGACTGCGCACTGCCGACACAGCACACAGCGTGGGATCGGTTGCCTTGTGAACCATCCAAGCCTCAGCGTCACTAGCTACAAGCCAACTGGTCCGCCTCCTCCAATCAAGATATCGCCAGTGTTTTGCGCCCCATGCTCCGCTTCGGACAATAAATAACCTTGAATGCCACGGGGTAACAAGCACATGGTCCCGGGTCTTTGCAAGCTCTGCCCTGAGCAATGAATCCACCCGAGTCCATATTGATCTATTCCACTCCTTGTGCTTCGACATGATCCCCTCCAATATCTGCTTGGACCAGCTGCAAGTGGGCATTGGCTTCCTCGGTTCCTGAATCTTGTTTGTTCGGCACCAAACTGAGGTTGCTGGTGGATGGATTCAGTGTCGCCGTCTCTCGCTCCTGAAGTGTCTTCTTTTCCTTCAACGCCATTGCCTTGCGTCCTCTAATTCCTGCACGACGCTTTCGCCGAGGCACATCAGAGTCGCTCGTGGTGTCAGAAGCTGATTCTTCGTCATTGCTTGACAAGGACTTAGCCATCTCCAGACCGCCGTGCTCACCCTGCTCTCGTTTAAGACTTATCAAGCGCTTCAATTGACCGCGTTGTGGGCCACGACCGCTGGGCAAGATTGACAGTGGACTGCCGATGGCGTTCTTCTGACGACGATCGATCGCCTCCCCTTTTACATTGCATAGCCCAAGGCTTACAAGTTTGGCAATGTCCATGTATTGGAAGATGGCTTTGCATAGGAATGCCTCGTCTGGTCGGTATCGGCGGTATTTGGTGCTGATCATGCTGATGCGGTGCTCTTGATCCTTATCGATGATGACATCGTGTGTTCTGTCGTCGTTATTCTTAGGAGTTTCCTCTTCGTCTCGCTTCCAGTATTGATTCGGGCGTATTTCGCCATCAGGCACGACTCTAACAATCTTAATTTCAATCTGTCCTCGCTTGGCATTGGCGCCTCCACGTAAGTTGTCGTTACCCATTGCTTGGGTCAGGTCAACCAAGTCCCGCTCCATTGCCGTTGACGGAATATCAGGATCGGCTCGGGAGATGTCCATGCGACCCATCAGAACATCGATTCCCCTCTCTGAAAACACCCACGGAGAGACCGACATGCTTGCCTCCAAGTCCTGGTCCGACCTATTCTGAGTCGCAGAATCATCCGCCAGAGAGAATCGGCCCACCATTAGGTATCCCTCTTCATGATACCTACTGTCCTTAGGATCCACGACGAGATTACAGGTGCTCTCGGCTTTCTTTTTGCCGTCCAAATACACAAAAGCGACATAATGGAACTCATCTTCTGGCTTCGCAGCTGCCCTCGATGGTTTGGCGTCTCCTTCACCTGCCACTTGAGCCGGTCGCGTGGAGGGTCTCATGTTGTACCTGCCTTCGTCGGGAGATGCATCGTTCGCTTCAGGGAATGGAAGGTGCGGTCTGACTCGAATGTTGAATCTCACGCCGGTTTTGGCTTGAATCTTGGTGGTGATGATCCGCCGGCCCAAAGGTCTAGTATCATACGTGGCAAAGGGCACACCGTCAGCACCTTCAACCAAGAACTCGAAGCCGTGCGTGCTAGGCATTGTAAGGACGGAAGTGGTTTGTGGTCTGGCAGTGAGGCGGTCGTGTTTGCTGTGTATAAACAGTGGAAAGGTGAAGGAGTCGAGGTGTTTGTTATAAGGATCGGCAGAAAAGCCACAGGCTCACACATTGTGACTACGCGGGCCACTCTGCCGCTGCCGTGCTCAGTGCCTCTGTCCACGACACAAGAGGATACTGCGCAGCGTAGACACGTCACTATTCCACCTCGGGTCGTCTTTGTCGAACACCTCACCGTCCAGGCAGCTGAGCTCCTTTGAGGGGTAGGATAAATAGGTCTTTGTTAACAATCGAAGGCATCGACGTGCCTTTGTCAGCCGAAAGACATTCCTTGTGTCTCCGTCTGCCACCGCCTTGTTTGGTCCACAAAGAGAGGAAAGGCTGTCCCAGAGCTTCTCTTCAATCTGGGCAGACGAAGGACGGCTGACGGTGCTCATCGGCCAGGAGCTATTTCATAGCCCAGAAGCACCTCGGTCGAAGCACCTTCCCAACCCCGGTTGCCTCCAGCAGAGAGCATGAACCGACAGGCTGGATCAAGGTACAGATGTGATACAACCCCAGTGCGATGCCCGGGCACGATCAAGAACGGGACCGTTGATCGTTGAGACTGTGACTCTTTCAGATCATACAACCGTAGGATATCATAGGAAGCACATATCAGATGGCGTCCGTTTGGCATAGCCTTTACTGATGTGACCGCACCGCTTCCATTTGGAAATCGAAATACTCGTTCAGGGCCCTTAAGGCCCTTGCGTAGGTCGTACTCTTCCACAGTGTTATTTCGCCGTCCGGCGTAGATGAAGTTGCCGTCCGGGGACCAACACGCGCTCAAACACCAAGGAGGGGTGTTCCGTGGCAGAACACGCGCGACTGGTTTCGATTGTCTTCGATCCCAGACACGGATGGCCCCGTCAATAGACGTCGCGAGAAACGTAGAGTCAGACGTAATCGGGGCTTCACTATCCTGAGTGTCGTTCTGGTTGTCTTCCTGCCTTTCGAGGTCCTCCGCGTGGGGCAAGCCGTTCACGAGCGGCTGCTCAGGGGTACTCGGCACGCCATTGACGACTTCCGAGGGGTTTTTTGGGGCGTTTGAGTCATCTTGAGAGGTAGCTGTGGCTTCAGGAGCGGGTAGATCCGCAGAATCCAGCATGGGATGATCGACGGGATCTTCTGGTTGGGGACCATTTGCCATTGCGCGCGTCATTTCATCATCCTCTTCGCCAAAAGCGTCGTTGAGGTCACTGCCATTACCCATGACTCCTGCAGCCCCGCCTCCGAAGAGGTCATCGTCATCGAAGAGAGAATCTGGAGTAGCAACAGCGGGATGTTCCTGAGTACTGTGACTCGCGGGCTCAATTTTGACACCATTGGTAAGGGATTTACCGTCGTTGGACGAGAAGGTTCCATTGGATACAACAACTTCCCCTGATTCGACTGGAACTGGTACCGACGACAGTGGACGAGCTTCGATGGAGGATATCTGGCTGGCGCTGGAGGCAAATGTGGTACGTACTTGACCCGTGTTTAGATCCCAGTCCAAGACTGTTTTATCCCAACTTCCGGAGAGTAAACTCTTCTCATCGGAGGAGATTGTCAGGACTGAGACAGCGGACGTGTGTTTCTGCAGCAAGGCGATCTCTCTGCCTTCATCGTGTCTGATAGACTGCAGTCTGATGGGACCTGATGCAGTGCCAGACAGTAGCCACAGCGCTTGACTATGGCATGCCAGGGAGTATACAGGAGATAAGGTTTGTGTGGTGGTCGGGCGAGCGTCCCAGTTCTCCCAGTAAGTCATTAGTACCCCTGCCTTTACCACACTGTCAACGAAGGGGTGCCGTTGGGCGACCGTAAGGGCGAGTTTGAAGTTGACCGTATCTACCCAGTTGAACTTGCGAATGTAGCCATCCGAACCTCCTGTGAAAACCCATCGCATATCTCCAGTAGATGTGACGGCATTGATAGATGTGCTGTGAGGAGCGGCGATAGTTGGGACGATATCATACGTGGGTGCTTCGAGATATTCTGGGGAGATATTTGATTCGTTGGCAGCTCGGGAAGAGTCAAGTTGTGTGGATGAAGCCAGTTGGGCACCTCCTTGTGTTGCATTCTGTTCGCCAGAAGCATCCTCGTTGTCGGACTGCTCAGACTGGCTTTCCGCATCTTCATCTTCATCGCCATCGCCCTCGGCCTCGGCCTCACCGTCAGCCTCACCGTCAGCCTCGCCATCTCCATCTCCGTCCCCGTCACCATCGCCATCTACATCTTGATCCATGTCTCCGTCCCCGTCACCGTCAGCATCGACTTCCGCATCGTCAAGATCTTGCATTGTCTCATCGTTGTCGTTGTCATTGTCATTGTCGTTGTCGAAACTCCCATCCTGGGATCGGTCGTCGTCCTCGTCAAATGCGGGCATTATGCTGACTCATGGCCTGAATTTTGCGGCGCGGGCTGTCCAGGAATCGCTAGATACTGCATCCAAGTACGAATGGTTTGATGATCTTGGGATTGGCTGTGTTGAGGATGTTTCTCAAACAGTGAAGGGCCCTCAGAGCAACGGGTTCTTGCTGTCCCACTATTCCATCCCCGGATTAGCGTCTTCGGATTATATGATTCTCCGGTCCGGGTTTGTTCAAGCAAACAACTGCCAATATCGAAAGGCTGCACATCTGCACATCTGTCTTGGTCGTCCAACCTGTTGGCTCTCATCGCTCATGTCTTTTTGGTTCTCTCTCAATTATCTGAGCCATTCCCAGACCTCTGGACTGAGTATGCAGCTATCTGATGCAGATACAGCTCCAGCACGAAGCCTTCTGTTTACGTGCTCAATGCTGATTGTAACCTGATACATACTACCCTCCGCCTGGGGAGGGAACAGTTTGCTTCCCTTGTTCGTTTTTGTTTATCACGTGCTGAGTAAGTTCTAGGCTCCCTGTTGCTTTTGAACCGCCCTGGCCTCTGTTAACTGTTCATATGCGTCCCATGTCTTTCTTCCACTGACCAGAAGAGAGAGTCGCCGTTCCATCCGACCCTGCTATTCTGAACGGCTGATAGATACTGTTTCTATCACGTTCCAAGCACGTCTGAGGCTCCAACACCATGGTGTCAGGACGACAACCAACCAGTGATGGACGAGAGCGAGGGAATCATCCCCGTGAGAGAAGTGGTGTTGGTATGATCAACCCATCATCACGACCCATTCGTGTACACCCCTACTCTCCAGCTCGGCCCATCACTGACATAATGCCCATATAGACAACAACAGTTCTTTTGGTTTGCTTGGAAGCGGAGGTGCGTACAAAATCACATCTATACTCCTCAAATTCCACAGAATCTAGACTTCCACCACTCAATATTCGTTGGATGTAACTTGCTGACACTGTCCAGAAATGGATGCAGAGTTGTCAGAGCGCTTCAAAAATGGTCGCTGTTATCCAAACAGTCACAATGCCTTGAGGAATACACCCGAGGACGGACCCGTCTCCACTCTCTGTTTGGATATTCGTGACTACCACCAGAAACAAAAACAGATCCATTCTACATCCGATAAGGATGCCTGGCTTTCTCAAGACGAGGTGCCTACAAAGCAAGAACTGGTAGTTAACGAAGCCAGTCTCTATCCAAACAAAATTGACATCCCCTACAAGAGCAAGGACCGATACCTGAAAACCCATTTTGAACTACTTCGGGAGGACGCTGTCGGTTGCCTTCGTGATGCTTTCCAGGATTTCTGCCAGGACCCGGCGACTGGTGACACCGACAAGTACTCGGTATACGACCAAGTCCACATTGTCGGCTTTACTTTTGCGCGTCGAGGACTTGCTGCCAGGATCAAATTCACAACACATCGAGCAGGAAAACGCATCAAATGGGCCAACAGTAAGAGACTTGTCAGTGGCACTATTGTTGCACTCATCCCAGCAAAAGCCAAGAGCATAGATTTGAATGAGGTGGTTGTGGCTGTCATCGCAGCAAGGCCACTGGCTGGATTGTTGTGCGAACCTCCGGAGGTCGACATATATTTCTCGCGCCCCGAAGAAATCCAGCTTGACCCCCAGAAAGAATGGCTCATGATCGAAGCAAAGCAAGGATACTTTGAAGCGCACCGTCACACATTGAAAGCCTTGCAGAAGCTAAGCCAAGAGACGTAGGTGCTGCGGACGCAACATTTGCCTTCCTACGCTAATGTCTCCTAGCTTCCCCATGCACGATCACATTTGCCATCTTTTCCCCTCTGTCCAAGCTCCCGCCTACATTCAAGAGAATCCTATTCTTGACCTGAGCGCAGCTGCGACTCCGGCGCAGAAGCAAGAATACTCCAGTGTGGACGTTACCAAAGATTGGCCTCCGGCTCCCGCCGAGTCACTAGACGATACGCAATGGGAGGCTCTGAAAGAGATTCTTACCAGGAGACTGGCCATTATCCAAGGCCCACCTGGGACAGGGAAGACATATATCTCGAGAATCGCACTTGAGATTCTGCTGGCGAATCGAAAGACGGAATCAGATCCACCTATAGTCATTGCTGCTCAGACAAATCACGCGCTCGACCAGCTTTTGCAGCATATCTCGGCCGTTGAACCTAACTATGTTCGACTGGGAGGTCGTTCGTCCAATCCCGACGTTCAGAAACGGGCTTTGTTTGCACTTCGGAAAAGCGAGCGACTGAAGCCAGTTCCAGGCGGATTGCTAGGCAGAACGAATAACCTTCTGACCAAACAAACACACATCATGACTGAGATCTTGGAACCTTTTGTTATGACGGGGCCAGATCCATGGTCCACGGATTTAGTTTCTGGCCCTAAGATGCTCGAAAAGCTGGGAGCTATCAGCGCTCAACAAGCCCAGTCGCTCGAGCTTGGTGCGTCTCGATGGGTTTCTGCAACCACCGCACAAGAAGGCTCTATAAAATTGTGGCTGGACAAAGCACTTGTGCCGTTCGAGGTCAAGTACACACAAGAGAAGTACGGCTTTGAGGAAGTCGAAGATGACGATCTCGAATTCGAGCAGCTCAGAGAACATGAAGATTCTACAGGAATCAATGATGCGGAGGATATTGAGTTGCTAAAAGGCCCGTGGAAAGAGCTCCTCGACAGATTCACTGTTCCGCCTTCGACGGCAACGAATCTCGCCAGGGCGACGAAGCTGCTGGATACGGTTTCAGACTTGTGGAAGATTCCGTCATCCTACCGCGGCGCTGTTTACCATATTATTCGATCACGAGCGACGGACGCAATTACAGCCAAGTTCCGTAAGGCAGCTGTGATCTACGACCAGCACGTCAAAGACAATCTTGTTGGCAAATGGGAACAAGATATTGTCTATCTCCAACGAGCCTCTGTTATCGGCATGACAACCACTGGCTTGAGCAAGTACAGACCTCTCGTTGCAGCTATCAAACCAAAGATTATCCTCATCGAAGAGGCAGCCGAGGTCCTGGAAGGGCCCATCGCGGTCGCATGCATGGAAAGCCTCGAACATCTCATCCTAGTAGGAGATCATCAACAGCTCCAAGGTCACTGTAGCGTGAGAGAATTGGAAGGCAAACCCTTCAACCTGAATGTGTCACTGTTTGAAAGACTTGTGCAGAACAACATGCCTTTCAAAATGCTGCTCCACCAGCGTCGAATGATGCCCGAATTTCGCCGACTCATCTCTGTCCTCTATCCGCATTTGATGGATCATCATAGTGTCGTCGATCGTTCAGTCGAGGCATGGGGTATGGGCAATGTCAAATCTTTCTTCTTCGACCATGACTGGTGGGATGCGAAAGACGAGTCCCTCTCGACATACAACTCGGAAGAGGCCAAATTCGTGGCTGGGTTCTACCGATACCTCTGCAGGAATGGTGTCGACCCGTCGCAGATCACCATACTGACCTTCTACAACGGACAACGCAAACGTCTACTCATTGAGTTGAAAGCTTTCCCAGAATTTCGGGGCATCAAACTCAACGTGAAAACTGTCGATTCCTGTAAGTTGGTAGTCTCATACAGCCCTGCTTTTACTCGTCGCCCTGTGGATTGGTTCTCTTTTATGAGAGATGCTAGGTTCGGCACCCGTGGCCTTACCCCCGAATCCTGTCAAACTTCAAAACCACTGACTTCATTGGCGGCTTGATTCTGACATTACCATAGACCAGGGAGAAGAAAACGACATTGTCATTCTGTCTCTGGCGCGAAACAATGAGGAGGGCAAAATCGGCTTCTTGTCCAACAGCAATAGAACCTGTGTAGCTCTTTCGCGGGCGAAATACGGCTTCTACCTTTTTGGAAACTCTGCCAGTCTCATGCGTGGGAGTAACTTGTGGCACAATGTTCTCACACTGCTCGAAGCAAATCCCAAGCGATTGGGCGATGTCCTCCCTATTCAATGCAAACGCCATAACAGGACAACCTTGATGAAATATTCAACAGACTGGGAGAACAATGAAGGGGGTTGCATGCAGCCTTGCGAGGAGATCTTGCGATGTGGTCACCATTGCCCTCTGCCTTGTCATCAATACTCTCACGACGACGTTCAATGTGCACACGATTGTCACAAGACGCTGCTGTGTGGCCATGGGTGTAGCCGCCTGTGTTCTCAGACATGCTTTTGCGCTTGTGAGGTATTCGCGAATTTCAACCAAGCTGAAGCGATAGCAGATGGGCCTGGCGGATCGTTGCCTGACATGACTGTCAAGGGAGACCATAAACATGAGGATGTATGGGGTTCAAAGATCAATGGTCAGAAATTCACCCATACCGGCAGTGCGTCTTGCTTACCTCTACAGGCGATTCCTCTCGAGAGTAGAAGTGGTATTGAACCGCGCCATATCCCAGCATTGCCCCCTTTTATTGGTTTATTGCTACCCACGCAGCAGGGACTGTCGAATGCCGACGACCGGGGATGCGCAACTTCGAGTCCGGCATCGCAAAAGACACTTGAAAGCAATTCATTGTCTCCACAAAAACAGGGGGAGCTTCGGAAGGGCTGGAAAGACTTTGCAGAGGGAGGTTTTTTCGCTGATGACGAACGTCTAAATCTGCTCAAGTCGCAGACACCGCCTCGCAAACACCGAAGCGGACTCCTCGGAGTCGAGCCAGCTTCATATCCAAGATCCCACTGGGAGCATCAGGCGAACTCTCAGGTGTTGCCACTCAAGGAAGAAGCTGTTGTAGCCATAAACAATGGCAGAACACGATACTTGCACGAATTTCACCCACAACCGGCCCACGGCGAAGATTTATTGTGCCCCGACACACTCGACACTCAAACTGAAGACAAAATGTACACTATCAGACAGATGAATCAAGTCCCAAACTCTCAAAGCGTGACAGCAAAGTCAGAGAATGATAAGGAGGAGCGCGAGTCAGAATTCAGCATTTTCACGGGGCGCAATAAACCGACCCCTCCGGGAATGGAACAACAATCAAAAGAGGGTGGCAAATCCCGGAAGACCGCCAACGATATTCTGAATGACTTGAAGGAGGTTGATATGTATTTCCAGAACTCTTGAATGAATGCGACAGGGGCAACAAGACCATTTGTCCATTGGGATTGGTTGTTAGAGTAGAGGCGTATTACCACCGCTGCCAGACCTTGGTCGAAAGGGCGTTGCAGGGGCATCGGCATCGGCGAGTGCAGCTAAACCAGGGACATGTCACAGTCTGTGCACAAGACCAGCGAAGGCGGGGCACAAAAGAGTCATTATGTGTGATGGAGATATCCCCTGACTGAGCAGGATTAGAGAGGTACCTTAGCTTGCCTATGGCATTGAGCGAGGGAGTATTAATAATGACGGGAGACTCTACGTCCGTATGCGAATACATGCTTGATTTCGTTCATATTCGGCTTCATCAAATCATAAGCTAGAGTTTTGACGGGTAAATAAATCTACAGGGTATTAAACAGTCTTTGCGGAGCCTGCTTTGTGCAATGCGTTGAAGTAGTAGACAATGGGGATGCTCCGTTTCCCCAGCGGCAGGCAGGCAGGCAGGCACACGGAAGACCTTCGGATATTCAAACATGACCATATCCCCAAAGCCTTGTCTCTGTCGCCATGGCTGGACACATTCACATGAAAAACCACGTGCTTGGATATATTCCTTCACACAAATCGGCGCGTCCCAGTGAAACGCGGAGCGGGATATGGTCTGATCTCATCATTTCGTCGTAACCACCAGAAAACCGGACTTCCCCCTTCCCTCCCCTGCTGCCTCCAAGCGCCAGTGCAGTGTGCCATAATCCCAACAAGTCAATCCAGTAAACTTCACCTTCCCGGTCGCTGTGAATGCGCGCTAAGATGTAGATAATGGCATCGCTTTGCTCGTCTCTGCTGTGGTAATCTTGCATAGTGTCGGCCTTTGAACGGAGGTCACGATTTTGAGCGAACGGGTGGCATCGACCTTCCAAATGTTGTAGGAGAGAGGTGGAGGACGAGGGTGTTTGTCTCGGGTTGGCCAGGGTGGTCCTGTTGGAGCTGGGAAGCTAACCGGCCACTCCCACCCCTGCCGATTCATTATCCAAAGTATATTGTTATAATCTTCTCAAAGTCACAGGAGTAGCAGGCCGAGAGTCACGGCCACTGCCGTGCTCAGATAGGCAAACCGGCTAGTTGATAGTTCTATTGAGTCTGATGACAAAGACGAGGTTGTAAAGATCAGGTTGCTCGTGATCTGACTTGAGTTGAAGCAGTTGCTGGCATTGACTTCTGGGACATCTTCGGGTTCAGCAAAGGTGATGTCGACACAATTGTACAGGGCGGCACCATGAACTGCAGTTTCGATAAGTTGGATGGTCGCATTATCTCCGACATTGACCGTGACGTTGGCAGGAAGGGGAACTTGTGGGAAGCAGAAACTTCCTGGGTATGGATCTTTGCTGGGCCCAATAATTTGCACTCCGTTGAGCATGACATTGGACATATTTTGAGGAGTAGTCCCGAGACCAAGATTGATGTAAATGAAGGCGGTTCCATGGCCTTGGAACCAGCCCGGCTGGAACGCGACCGCACCGCCTTTCAAAGGCCATTTGGTTCGATTTTCCGAGGTGGGCATACCGCCGCCTGAAACAGTGAACCAGGTCAGTGACCCTGTGTGACAAGGGCAGAATGGTCATGAAACACATACACGGATACATCCATTGCATTCCATAAGGGTAAAGATAGTCCTGTTGTGCGACGGAGTTCCCAATCGCATATTGTCCCAGCCCATTTGTTTCTACTGTGGTGCCATTCGATTTCAGGTTGTCTCCCCTCCAGCCAGGATATGTGATGACCGTGTGCGCAGAGACGAGGCCGAGGAGCGAGAGGAGAACAAGTAGCATTCTGACAGTCGAACTGCAAGGCATCGTGACAAGGTCCCTCTTGTTCACGTCGGCTGACTTCCTGAGACTGCGGTATGGACGGTTGTCAAGAGGAAGATTGCACAGTCAAGTGTTCTTCAAGTATTATTGCTGACTTGGTGGCCGATCTGGTCGAGGGAAAGCTTGGTAGGCAAGGCCAACGAGGTCGCAGGCGGGGAGAGCTGCTGTCGAGATGGAAGACCCTCGAGAAGCCATGATAGCGAGCGCATCGGATTGTTATTTAGGTCTTTTCCCCTGTGGCCGGGTGGGATGGAGTAATGCAGGGCCGCATGATTAGGCCAGACGGGCAACCGCCCAGAAACGCCGTGACTGGGCTTTTCGGGATGTGAGAATTGTGTGTAGGGCCAGCTGTGAGTGGTTTGTGAGGACGGGTGCCACTTTTCGGAGAGTGCGAATGGTAGAAAGCAGGGTTGACAGGTCGAGAGCATCTGTGATGGCGGATGTGATTCGACGCGAGGCACGAGAGAGCACCAGCTGGTACATGTCCGTCGGGTGGCATCGATTGGCCAGCAGCAGCCTGGGTGGACATGTGGGGGATAGAATTGGACTGTCGCCGGCTGGTGCTTGGAGAGAAAATCAACCTTGCTAAGCGCCCAGATGTGACGAGGATATGGGAGATGCAGGTGTTGGTTCCACCTTTCCACCTTTCCACCTCACCTCACCTGTCTTCCCCTTCTCCCGCCCATCCAAGTTCATTGTCAATCACTTTTCGGAGTCTCTCCTCGGCTGACCAGCAGCGAGACTGTGTGTCTGGTGTCCCCTTATCTCAACACCACGCACACAACCCAGGGCGGCTGCACAGATTGCAAGCACTATGGTGGCGGTAGTCAGGAGAGAAGATGCAAAGTCAATCACTCTAGCAAGCCGCCACCAGCCAGTCGCTCCGGAAAAGGTGGGAAACGGCTCTTCTTAGGTCTTACTCCGGACTACGAGGTTCACGTCTCCCCAAATGGCGGGCCTGACGCTCGTGATTCGACACGTCAATCGATCCCTTTGTGCTGCCAAATGTTCCTTGGCCTGGCTACCACCTACTTGGTTAGCTCTGGATAGTGTTGCTGCTATCCGAGTGCGGCTTTGCCACATTTGGCCTGTTCTTATGTATGAATCTCCAATCCTTCGTTCGGACAAGGCTATATTTCTTTGTGACTACCCTCTTCAGCCTCGCCTTGACGCTCCAACTTGATGCTCAACAACACTGATTGATCTGGTCCATTGTCTTGGATGTCTGAGTACCTTGTGGATTTCAATTTATTGTTTTCCATGTCTTTCGGCCCGCCTCTTCTCCTCTTCGCCGATATGGCTCAAGTAAGCCAGTTCAAATGCATCCGGACGAGTGCAATACCGACCTTCACCGTGTTGCTTGCAAAGACAGTGATGTAAACCGTCCGTCGCTTACAAATAGACAGCTCCGATGGAAACTTCGAGCGTGCCGCCCCGTCTATATATTGTGGTTGACTGGACCGAAGGATGTGGTGGTCGGTCGACAGCACTACTCATCAACCGACAATCTTAACAAAATCTTCCCGAGAGCACGTCTTACGAGAATAGATAGCAGGTGATAGATTTGCTGCAAAAGTCTTCAAAGATCAACATGCCATCTTACTTGGTAACAGGCGCCAATCGTGGCCTTGGAGTAAGTCAGAAATCAAAACATTCCCACCAGACTCTACTGATTCCTCCACAGTATGGTTTTGTGAAGTATCTGGCCCAAAGGCCCGAGAACACCATCATCGGGATTGTCCGAGACAAAGCTGCCGCAGACAAGGCTGTTGCTGCAGATGGTCTCAAGAACGTCACCATGGTCCAGGCCGAGATCGCCAACTACAAGTCCTTGTTGGCAGCCAGAGAACAAGTGGTTAAGATCACTGGTGGTTCTCTTGATTGTTTGATCAACAACGCAGCGTTCATCGACAAATCAAGCCAAGGCAAGGCTCTCGACGAGTTCGAGGATGCGCCCGAGGTCCTGGAGCATGGCCTGGTTGAATCTTTCCACGTCAATGTCGTGGGACTGATTCACACCATCAACGCCTTCCTTCCGCTCATCAAAAATGGATCTATTAAGAAGGTGGTTCTAATCTCCAGTGGAATGGCTGATCCGGACCTTGTCAACTCAGGGATCTTTGCCGACGGTCCTTATACCATCAGCAAGGCTGCGGCAAATATGGCGATTTTCAAGTACAACGCAAAGTACAAGCAGGAAGGCATTTTGTTTTTTGCCCTGTCGCCCGGGGTCGTCGCAACCTGGGAGGGAGAGGACGAGCCTCCAGTGATCGCAGCGCTGAGGCAGGGGTATCCACAATGGAAAGGACCTCTGACTCCGTTGGAGTCGGCCGAGATGTGCGTGAAGGTGATCCATGATTTCAACGCCCAAGAGAATGGTGGCTCTTTTGTGTCTCACTTTGGCAACAAACAGTGGATGTGAGACTGTGGGAGAATACGGAGTACATAGATCTACAAAGGCTGAGGCTTCCCGGATGAACTTCGGTCACACGCTCGATAATTTCACTTGATTCGGGCACAAGTAAATATATTTGCTCAGTGCCCACAATGTAAATAAACATGTTCTGTCGGTCCGGACAATTCTCTGGCGGGACGCCAGGTCCGCTTGGTATGCACACGTGTTTTATCCAGTCAATGAACCATATGCAGCCCTCTCCAGACCAGCCGTCCCTTTCCTCACCCAGCGATCCTCACATATCTTGTTGCCCAGTAGGCCATACCTCCAGAATCTCCCCTCGAGATTCAGCCCACGGGTGTCGCCCAAGAAATGCCTCACACAAGCCGCAAGAAAAAGAACATCCATAGCAAGAGAAGGGAAATTGTAGACGATGATGGCTGGACGAGGGTCACCTCTAACTCTTCAACGCCTCCGACAGTTGAGCTGCGGAACCAGACCAAGGGCGAGTGGGAGCAGATCCCCAATGGGAGCGCCGGAGTGCACACACTCGTAGGAGGGCTTCGATCGCTCTCTTCGCCAATGCCACCCGTCAAGGGGTCAACGCTCGAGACGATGCGGGCGCAGTTCGCCAGAATCGAAGAGCGATGGCTAAAGACAGACCTATGCAGAAGGCTGGAGCAAATCCTAAGAGACAGGATCTTGACTAGAGGATGCCGCATCTCTAACTGTGCGGTGTTCGGGACAGGCAGCTTCTGCGGCGACGCGGTTCATTGGATTGACCGACACGAGTCGGCCTATTTCCAACTGGCGGCTTTTCGGACAGTGGTCCAGTCGATAGAACGAATGCAAGGACCTGTGCTGCAAGCTTACGCCCAGGAACCGTATTACAACGACCTCGATACGTGTTTCCTGACCAGTCTAAATATCACGAAAGTTGACCACCCCAGAGGATTCGAAGTCCTTGATGGAAATTCGTTCGCCTACTCTCCAGCTGCGGAACCAGAGGTTGAGAGCCAGATCACACCTCGAGCTCCTCGAATATGGCTGCATAGGTCGTTCGACTACTCAGGGGAGGGAGAAAAGGAATCAGACGCAAGCTCTCACACAAAAGCCCTGTATCAAAGGAGCCATGAGCATGCGGTACTGCCCGAGTCAGACCTCAAAAACTTGCCGTTCCATGGCTCCGTGATCTGGTGGCGCAAAACCGATGACACGGATGAGAAATAATCCAGGTGTAGGAACGATTCTTTCTATTCATTCCTGATCTATTTGATCTCTGTGCTTTGGACAACCGTCCCAAAGGCATCGTTCAGCTCCTTCAATACTGCCTCGGTGACCTCGGCTCCACCAAACCCGGGTATCTATCCAAGAGGTTAGAGACGATGTTGATCTGACGTGAAGGCATGGTGAAGTGCCACGGACGCGTGAGTCGACCGGACCATTGTCGGCTTCGGACATTGGAAAGGGAGAGGACTGGAGTCCACGAACGACTTACATCTCGATCTCCAATGGCATCACTGGCCAGGACGACGTTGTAGCCCAAATCATTGCCTGCTCGGGCCGTGGTGCTCACACAAACATGTGCCATGTAACCCGTCAGGACCGTCTTCTTCCCCCTCTCCCCCAAAGTCGTCAAGTACTCATGCAAATCGGTGCCGGTAAAACTGGAAATGGCTTCCTTGTGGATTACCTTCTCCCCAGGACGGGCTTTCAACTCGTCAAATTCCTCAGCAAGAGGCGTGTTAGGCGTGAATATCGGGGCGCCCTCTGGTGCCTTGTGGCAGACGTGGACGATGTTCTTCCCATCCCCAGCCGCACGGTATTTCTCCAGCAGCGAGGCTATGGCTTTGCGCGTCTGATCGACGTTGACGGTCTTCAGGTTGCCCTGGGCATATCTGAGCAGCAGCCAAAGTCAGGACCAGAGACGAGATGTGAGAAAGGGGAGTCGGTGGTTGCAGTGGTTTGGTTCAAGCATACTCATTCTGCGCATCGATGATGATCAGTGTGCTGTCGCTGGGGGAGGCCGTGGCGGGCGCACCGCCCAGCATCTCCCTCAGAGATTTGACTTGAGTCGCGGAGGCCATTGTGAGATGCTGGCTGACCTGGAATTGTGTCCAAAACGAGGGCCACGTCAACGTGAAGGGGGGAGGAAGGAAGGGGGGAGGAGTTGCTACTAAAGGGTGTTTTTATATATGTAATATGTTTTTGAAAGTTTCCCTTCCTTCCCTCCGCTCCACTATTGTTTACTCCCTCGGGGGATTTTTGATCATCCTTCCCAGTTCCTAATAATGGAACTATCTCGACATCTTGCCATGCGAGGAAGGGCGTTCCGGACATGCGGGCAACTCCCTCCCCTTCTTTGTCCCCACCAGCTCGCCAGCTCGCCTAGTGTGTACTCCGGATAATAACTTAAGTAGTGCAACCCCTCACTCGTCGTCATGGTATGTACAATATGTATGGTCCTCGGGTTTGTCGTCGACCTCATGACTAATTCGGTAACTAACCACCCCATGGGTGACCCATAACTGAGGAGGTGATGACACATTTACCGGTGACAATCCTGTTAAAATGTACGAGGTATTGTTACTTACTCTTTCTCCCCCACACACGCACCATCTTGTCGTTGTAAGTTCGCCGGGAGGGTGGGGGGGAGGGTTCAACGAAACGACAAAAAGTTTCAGCCTGGTATGGCTCAGTATGAGTTGAAAAAGGCAGCTCGAGGGGGGTTGCCGCGGGGGGGGGGGTTGGGATCTCGGGGGTTTTTTGGTAGAGAGCGCTTGCTCGCTCGGTATTGATACTGCATAATAGATCTTTGGGGTTTGTTTTTCGTGGGTTCGGCGCTAAATAGTCTGATTCGCTATTATGTACTCCGTACCTCCTATTACCTGGCCTCCTCCTCCGCTGGGATCTTTTGTCTCCGGTTGCGCATCCATAGTCCTATAGTCCTATTCATGCTTCTATTACTATAACTATGTCACTTCTGTTCGCAGGGGGCGGTCCTCCTTCGCACAGTCCGACAGCTTCTGGGTATCTCTGACCCCGGCTCAGGCTCAAAGAAGGGCGCGCCTACACATTCAGACACACACATAGGGTCGCTCTCTCTCTTCTTGCCCAACCTTCCTCCTTAATGTAGGTTAGGGCAACAACACCTGTGAGTGAGTCCCTCCCCGGTTTCATGCCCAACGGGCACGTCGACCCCCGCATGTATGGATGAGGAGGCGCCTCTGTGGCCTTTCAGCGAGTGGTGGGTGCTCGCAGGAAGGAAGGAATAAAGCCAGGACATTTATTTGCAATCAGGGAGCCCCTGTCCTTTGCTGCTGGATATTAGGCGGCTTGGAGGCGTCGGCACCGGCCAGTTGTCCTTGACGAGGAGTGTCGGATTTACATGTGAAAGCGCCTTTTTTGCCATCATGGAAGAGACGGCAGGGACCTCTGACCCAAGAAGGCGAGTTGTCGTCGCTTGAAAGTGAAACTCGCCAACGTAGCTCTTTCAGTGACAATCGCGCTCATGAAAAGTGCTGAGGGGGAAATTTTCGGGTGTGGGATTGAACTATTCGGCTTCCCACAATTTCGAATTCTTGTTGAAGCGGTGCCTGATCGAATATCGTCAGAAAACACTCGCGCCAAAACTGACTGCAGGGGTATTTATAAGGGATAGCGAGAACGTACCAGTGAAAGCGGGTGTTGCTCAGGGATTTCTTCCCGTACTCTTCGGCCAGAATCTTGGCTGGGTTGCGTGGGACTTTGACGTCGATGCCTTCAAAGGTTGAGTCTTGTAACGGGAACAAATCCTCCCTCTACAACTCAGACAGTTAGCAACAGCCCAGCCCATCTTGTTCCATTTGTCTGGGTATGAAGGGATGGTGTCAGAATTCGTTGGATACTTCGAGCCTAGTGAAGCACTATCTGGCGAGTAGACTGTCCAACGAATTCTAACACACCACTAGTGCCGGGGGCAGAGGAGTAGAGGTCAGAGGCGTGAGGAGGTAGAGGTTAGAGGAGGTAGTGGAGATTAGAGGAGGAGGCCTTATACATACTTGATATCGGTGACCGTCCTTCGAGAAGATAACGTCCTGGTCGAACGGAATGTGCTCCGTCCTGCCAGGACTGACGTGCACAGCAGTGATATCTATATATTTTCCATTCGTGGTATCGATCCACCGGCCGTCGATCTTGTTCGCAACATCTTTCGTTGATGCGATGGTGTAGTGAGGGTTGATATCCAGGAGATAGGTCCTGGGGCGGTCCTCGCCCGCCACGTGATACTGATACTGGCTCATGTTGTGAGAAGCCAATGCCGCCAGTGTCTGTATCGAGACTTGCACGTCAATGTCATTGTCCCAGGGGAGGAACTTCTGATTCCAGTGCCACCCCAACAAGGTGCCGTGGGCGATCCAAGTCTCGGCGCGGAGGTCGGCCATGGTCGCGGCGTAGGTTTTCATCAGCGCGAACAGCGCCGTCTTCGTTTCGTCGATACCCGGCGGCTCCGACGGGGCAAACCGCGGATCACAGTGGCTGATGGCGCCGAAGCTGTGCGTGTGGTATTCGAAGTTGATTTCCGAGAAGTACTGGTAGGTGCCTGGCATGGGCGGCAGCGGCCGCGCGGGCGAATTATTCCATAAATACAGCGTGTACACGAGAATGGTGATCACTCCGAGCGACCAGAGAAGCGACCTCCGGCTGCGAACGAGCATGAGGGCGGGTCGATTGCCGGGCTTTTTTCTCATCGTTGTCAAGAGACGCAGCAAAGAGTTATTGTTGAGTGAAGAGACGATGTTTCGCCTCCCCTTGGACAGTTTCGATGGGGTTTGGACCATTCGTGGTTGGACGTAGCGGGCCTTGAGACTAGCCGTATATCGTAGGATGCGTGGCTGCTTTTATAGCCTCGCTCGCTCATACTCAGGCGCTCCGAGGTGACTGCCCACGCCGCTATATCACGGCAATTAGACTACCTTTTCGGTAAATGAAGATGACCCTGGGCATGTAGGGACGAGCATCAAATAGCAAGTGCTCTCTCGACAGAAGCTGGTATTTCATCTTTGAAGACTTGTTGGCACACTAAAATCACAAAAATATACTATACAGAGATCAATCCCGCCTTTCGCTTGTGTCCCACTCAGCGTAGGGCAATATTTCAAGACCCGTCAGCCATATGCTTGGTCCACGCGGACTAGTTCCCCCAATACTGGGCGCCGCGCACGAACACTGCCGCGAACGATCAGACTCTCCCTGGCGCCCGTTCTGCTATGGGGCGGAAGACTCTGGCTGGCGTGAGAGACAGGCCAGGGAGAAGACTGGTCCCTTGGCGGGCTTTGATCAGGATTACATGGCCATGTCTGCGGTTGTCGTACCACAAGCCGCGAGGTTGGGGTGTCGTCCAGTTCCTCGTTCAATGGCTGTCTCGCAGACTGTGCTTCGTCGTCGTTATCATTATTATCATGATTATCATTGTCATCCTCGCCGCGGTCGTTCTTGACTTCGACCTGCGTGTTTTGCTTTTCCGTTTCGGTTCCGTGACAAGCGGTACACAAAACATCGAGATGATCGACCTCTCCGTCCGCGTCGTCGAAGATCAGCTCCACGTGGTCGCCATCAGGTTGGTGGATGGTCGACGTTGCCCGTATCCTAGCTAGACGACCATATGTTCGCCTCTCAGTGATTCCCGCAGCTGTTTTCGCAAGGGCGACATAGGAAGGGCGCGAGTTTTGTGACAAAGCAACAAGTTCCGAGATCGAATCCCAACTATCCGAGGATTGACTTTTCACCATGACGAAGACAATGTGCCCAATCGCCAGGATAATGTGCGCAAGGAGGACCACCATTGAGAGTGCCCCTTCGAGACTCCTCTTCAAAGCGAAGCCCGTGATCTGCATCTTGACACGAAGAGTCGTGACATCTGAGTCAGACTGCGAGGGCGCCCGCAGAGCATCAAGGCCATCGATGATGCGCTTATCAAAGTCAGGCAGCGGATCGAACATGGAGAACGGCCACTCTGCAGGTGATCCCTGGGTGTCGAAGATGCGATAACTTCCACTTCGGCTGAGACCGTCTGTAATGACGCTGCTAATGATTGACTCGAGCAGTACAGTCCGGCTGATACCCAATTGCCCGTCGTCGACCCATGCTTCAGCTAAAGACGTTCCATTGTGGGAAGAAAGGTCGTCAGCTAGACCGGAGGCACTGATGATACTCTCCATGGTGGAAGGAGTCCAAGTCGTCTCTGAGCTGAGTTCTGCATCTGCTACGTTTGGATTCAGCAAATTCAACCAATCGTCGTTGAAAGCAACTCGCCCATTGGTAGCCGGCTGTGACTGGCCCGGCGGGACGTTATGCCAGGATGGTATCCGACCTCCGTATTCTATGTTCCACGGGTACCATCCAGTCCAAAAGGAGTACTCGTCGGTGTACACGGAGGTTGGAACCCAACCAGCCTGGGCGGAACACCCCACTACGACTCTTGAAGTCTTGTTTATGTTCCATGCTGATTCGAGCACAGCCCCAATACTGACGGAACCAAATTGATCGGGCAGGTGAACCCAATGGAAGTGAATATGATCGACTGCTGTGGCGTTCAGACTGTCGACGGTCAAATCCGGGCCATCGGCATAATCGAAACGACCACTGATCGCTGGGAACCGGATTGTATTTGCCGACGCAGGCAAGTCCTGAGGCTCACCACATCGTACGGTTGTGATGGCAGAGAGTACGTCAACGCCGATTTTGCGGTCGTCGACTTGTCTGTCAGAGACCTTCATGTGCGACTCCAAAGCTGTCCACCATTTATTGGCTATTCTCTGCATCAGTGTTGAAGTCGCCGCATGAGGCTGAACAAAGAAAGTAGCCGAGCCAGGGCTGAAGGCAGTGACGTTTCTTGCGTTGCCCAGGACATAACGGGGCGGAACAGGAGAAGACGCGCTGCTGACAGGCCAGTAGAATCGAGATCCAGACAGCTTCTTAGCGTAGGCAGGGACGTCGTAGGTTTGAAAATTGGTGTAATTTACTCTGCTCCAGTGCTCTCGGATAGAAAGATAGCCTCCTGCAGGGCATATGGCGAGCTCTGTGGTTGTCGAGCCATTGCACATACTCACCAGTGCCGATGCATCGCTGGAGACGTCAGAGGGCCAAAAATCCTGCGCAGAGCCATTAAGATAGAAGTGTGTTCCACCAGCTTGCCAGGTTTGGGACGAAGGTACAATCAGCGTGGCGCTTGAAGGACCTGCGAGTGCAGCTATGAGGCCTGCCACGCAGAGGAGAATGATAAAGCCAGCCTTCCTAAGCCTGTCGCCGGGGGTCATGACGTTCAACAATCCACCACGGAATTCCTTGGTGAAGAAGAAATCAAAGCTGCCAAAGTTGAAACCTGATCCAACTAGGCCCAGCGGCAGACCTCCGCCATGCAGCAACTCATGCCTGACCGCATGAAAGATAATGACTGATAAACTGGCAACGATAAAGATTTCATGGATCTTGGCTGCGATTTGAAAACTCATCAAGGTGATGGTCTGCGAGGCAAAGTCTGCGCCGATGTAGATTCCGTGAAAGCTCAAGGCGAGGATGCCAATGGAGATTGCAATGGGAGGAGCATGAGGCGCGCACCGCCACAGTGCTTTCCAGAGCGAACTCGACAGAATGATCTTCTTCTGCTCTCCATTGTGCTGGACAGCGGCTTGGTTTTGAAGGGGTAGAAGAGAATATAGTCTGGAAAATGATGGCATGATGTAGGAAAGGATCAAGTTACTTCAGGGTAGACATAGGTACATACATGCGTGCATGAGGCTGACCAAATAGAAGAGGGGACTTGCAACACACATCTATGCTTTTTTGTCGGACCAGCCAGGACATGATTCGGTCTCTCAATGTTTGGGGTGGCCACAAGGTGGCAGGGCACTGAGACGTATCGACCCAGAAAGCGAGCTCGAGGAGAGCCATCAGCGTGTTCTTTTGCGTGTCTCTTCCTCGAGCTGGGGGGAGTGAGGCGCGATGCAGGCTATGGAAGGGGGTTAGACAGGCCCCAGGTTGCATTGGCGCTTGTGGCATGTTTGTTCTGAAACAGCCCGGGGACAATTATGTACATCTTAGGCTAGACTGTGCCATGTACCTTCAGCGGATATGAATGCTGGACATTCGGGCCAGCTCTGGGAATGGCTTGAGGTGTCTCGAGCGTCTGGGAGTTGCACACGGAGCCTCAGGGAGCCTCGTCGTGTGAGCCACAATGAAGCCGGCCAAGCACCACATGGCTCTGACGAAGCCATTGACCATCTCAGTTGCGGCAAATACCGCATACGCAGACATTGACGAGATGTTCTGATAGAGGCCTCGGACAAGGTTTGATTGACAGGTGGTCGGCTGGGCAGATCCGCCCGTGAAGAATCGTTGACGCCCAGTCAAGCTGCTGGCCGGAAGGAGCGGGAAGTGGCCGGGGCCCCTGAGCCTACTAGCCGTGTCCACTGTCCACTGTCCACTGTCCACTTCCACGGCCCAGAAGCGAATCTTCAGCTAATACTCGTCAATGACTAGCACGAGCAGGTATGTCCTGCGTACGATTACTGCGTAAGGCAACATCTAGTTCCCGCCTGGACTGACAATGAAACCTGGCCTCACTAGCCTCAGTCAGCTAGTTGTAGCCACTGGTGCTGGCTCCAGCAGCCATGGACTCTGGGGGCATCAGGCGCATCGCCTGGGGGCTTGCTTTCGTCGACTGCAAGCTCGCCAGTATTGTCTCTATCTTCTTCCCAGTCCAAATGCAGAATGCACCTCTTGCCAGTGTCTTCATGGCCGATGCATTTTCGTTACCGGATCAGCCCTCGACTGGTCTGGGTTCTGGGGGCCTTCTCACTTTTCTATACGCTCACGCTGTTATATTGCCGGTCTACTAGCTACCGCGATCCTTCATCTGTATTCTTTGACCCCAGTCGCGCCTATGGCCATCAGTACTCGGCACATCGTGCTGCGCAGGCAGAGGAGTACATCACCTCGATTAGTCGCTCAGGACGGCATAAGGTCGATCATGATGAGCCGCCTTTGATCTGCTTAGGCATCGCCACAGTCGCCCGTCGTGGCACGCAGTATGTGCGAACCACAGTGGGATCGTTGTTTGCAGGACTATCGCAGGATGAGAGGGACTCAATATTCTTTGATTTCCTCATAGGTCACACTGATCCGGCCAAACATCCCGTCTTCGCCGAACACTGGCTGGATGTCCTCCCTGATCGAATACTTCAGTACCCCAACGACACCGCAGAGCTTGACCAGCTGCGAATATGGGAAGAAGGAGGATGGTACAGGAATAAATCCATTCACGACTATAGATACCTGCTGGAGGACTGTTTTGATACTGGAGCCCACTATATTGCAATGGTCGAGGACGATACCTTGGCTGTCGAAGGCTGGTTCAGACGCTTGCTCAACGCTCTCACCCTCATTAGACTCAAGAAGGACGGTGCCCGTTCCGGCCAGCATTGGCTGTACCTTCGTCTCTTTTACACCGACGACCTGCTGGGATGGAACAGCGAACAGTGGCCGACGTATCTGTTCTGGTCTTTCGATGTCTGGGTCTTCCTCCTGACAGTTTTGTTAACAACCAGGAGACGCTTTCCGAGTCAGCTGGAATTCTTCACCAATGAAGTGGTGGCTGTGATCGCCCTCGTCTGCATCCCGGCCATGATCATCTTAGTCTTCCTCGCAGGGAAGCAGACGACCATGCCCATGAGGCCTGGCGTGCAAGAGATGAACAAATACGGATGCTGCTCGCAGGGCTTTGTCTTTCCCCGAGACGTGGTTCCACACGTCTTGGACAAGTTGAGGATTGAGACCAAAGGACTGGTCGACATGCAGATTGAAAAGATTGCAGATGCCGGAGGGTTCGTCCGTTGGGCTATCGTTCCACCCGTTTTGCAGCACATGGGCGCCACCAGCTCCAAAGGATATGGCTTTGACGATAACGCTCGGCGAATATGGAGCTTCCGCTTCGAGGAATATCCTTATGACTAGAAAAGTGACAAGGGATTGAACACCTTGGGTGCTTGGTTTCTACACAGTTGCTAGATGCCAAATGTAATTGGGGAACATCCATGTTGCTGAAATTATACTTGAGTATTTGAAGACGTCTGTGCTCAGACTTGATTTCTCCTAGAGGGTGGTAAATGTGGAGAGGCACAGTGAGCGACGGCCATACCATCTACTAGAACGCAAATCCATTGCGCCTATCCTTTCCTACATAGCCTACGTACCATGTCCATGTGTCCCAACAAGTGCTGAGAGGCACCAGCTATGTAGTCTACCCTCAGCCGAGTAAATAGTTGCCATGCCGCCATGTACATAATAGATTTGTCCAAGCATATGCACACGAATATATCCGGTATACCTGGTCCCGACGATGGCCCTAAGCCGAGCCCATCCACTTTGATATTACCACATGCTTGCAATCCTCACCTCACTTCGCCTCCTCCTCTTCCCAACTCGATTTCGAAACTACAATCTCGAACCGTGGATGATCTTCATATCCACAATCAACTCCCGTCCGCCATCATTGATGACCAACACCCGGACACTTCCTCTGCCGTCGGCGAACGCGCGGTCGATTCGGTTGAACAGACCGCCTTGATCAATGACCCTCAGTCCCTGCTTGACGTCGCCGCTCTCGGTCATACAGACGACCAAGCCGTCCTCGCGGATGTCCAAGACACGGTATTGCTTGAAAACAGGGCCAAGCATGGTCTGCACAACGACAGAGGGAGCAGGGTTGCTGATGAAAGAGCTCTCTTCGTGCAACTGGCGGGTGAACAGATCCACACCTAGGTAGCGGTATTGGCCAGTCTGGGAGGACATGCTGATCCGAATGACCTGCGAGGGACGGCCCTGGAGGAGGAGAATGTCACCGATGCGGATGAAGTGACATTGGATCGGGACACCCCGGCCTCCGAAACGAGGCTCGACGAAGCGCACCTGCTCAACGGAGCCATCACGGACGCGGGCTGGGCCGGTGGTTTCTCTCGTCTCCGAAATCACCACCTCCTCACGGCCGCCACCCTCATGATGGTGGTGGCCGCCGGAGAAGGGGTGCAAGATGCGGTCGGCGGCACGCTCCACGCCACGGCGGAAGCTGTGGTAGTTGCCCTCGTCGTCGTAGTAACCCATGTCTCTTCTGATTGGTTGATCGACCTTGATCTCTTCCTTTTGGACGGTGACGTTGGCTTGGACGGGACGGCGACGTTCGTATTCAACGTCGTAGGTGGGATCGACGCGGCGGCGGTACTCTCGCTCGGTGATGTCAAGCTGAGACTCTAGAGATTTGTCGTAGGTCTGACGGCGGTCAAAGTCTACTTCGACGTGGTCCCGGGTGTCTCGACGATCGATTTCGATGTCAACGTTGGTGGCACGAGTGTCTCGGCGTTCAACGTCAAAACCGTCAGCACGGGCTCGGGTGTCTCGACGGTCAACTTCGACGTTGACGTTGGAGGCTCTGTAATCAGTGGGTCCACGGTACCTATGGGGAGTGGGAACAGGTGAGTTAGCAACGCGGCGGAGGACTGAAGGGGTTCAATGCGTTAGAAGCACAGGCATAAATCCAAGCTGGGGACGCATGGAGACACGTACTTCTCGCGTGTGAGCTCTACCTCGGGGTATTTTCGATCACGCTCCTCGTAGATACGCACGTCCTCCCGTTGGTATTGATCGCGGCGTGGACGGCTGTCTCTATAGGAGATGTCGACTTCTTCCTTGGAAAATCGAGTATCTTCCCGTCCGACGCGCGAGGAGGTTCTGGGTAATTGGACTTCCCCTTCTACCTTTGTGACGGTAGTTTCTTCGGCAGAAGCGTCACTCCTGTACGTAGACGGGAAGACACTGATTGGGATTGGAACTCGGGCGTCAAAGTCCAGGTTGCCAGCTCTGAAAGGCGCCTCAACTCTCTTCTCCCTTGCGGCAGTCGAGAGTCAAGACTGTCTTTGGGGGAACTGGGTTATGTGGAAAAGAGGCGGGGGGGGGAGAAGAGTTGCAACGAGGAAGTTCAACAATGCACGCTGGACAAAAACGAGCAACAATGCTTGCAAAGATTTGGAGCAAAAAGGGCCAAATGGTTACAGAATGTGTGTGTGAAGGGGAAAGGGGAAAAGAGAAAAAGAGCTGGGACCACCAGCAACAAGAGGCCTTTTTAAGGAGGAGTGGTGGAGATTGGGCCAGCTGAGGGCGACTCATCGGTGCCCAGTCGACAGCCTGCGCCTGCAACACACAACAACCGACACGCTTGTTGATCCCGGTTGTCACGGTAGCGGAAACGCGAAATCCCAATGCAGTTTAGCTACTTCTCGGCCCATCCACCGCCCGTTTTGTGCCTGCGCCTGCGCCTGGGACCATGAAATAATCAATCCTTCATTTCTACCAGCTGATACTCAGGTTCTTTTCTGCGTTGAGAGCGACACAGAGAGTGTGATACTCGAATATCCGGGGAGACCACACACATCAGCTCCAACTCCGACCCGTCTGCATGGTGTGCCACACCTGCAAGCTCCGCTCTGACCTCGTCCTGCCCTCCTCCCTCGAGCCCAAAGAACATCCTCGTGTGTCCTGATCATTGGCCTGGTGTTACCCTCCTGCCTCACCAACGAAGCCAAAAGAATCCTCGCATGCACCCACTTCCACAGCTTCCGGAACCCATGTATCACATCTTACACACCCATCTACCACTTGACGTGAAGGGAGGGACATGCTTGACGCGTGGAGAAGGACGGCCTGGTCCTCGGCCTGCAGCTCTCAGCTGGCAACAGTCGAGCTAGCTGCATTGGCGCATATGCACCCTTGCCGGGGCCGCCTCCCACGCAGCTCGCAAACTCTCCCACCAACCGGGCCACGCCCACAGCCAGGCAGATGCAAAAAGGAAATGTATCCAAAGACAATCTGTCGTCAGGCTGATGAGGCATGTGGCATTTTGTCTCGATGGCTCAAGTCTTTTCTCTGTGCTCCTTCCCATGCCCGTTCCGCTACCCGTCAGAGTGGCCCGTGCGCTTGGTGTCTACGGTATCTATCCAACTTTTACCTAGAACAGGCCTTTCTAGATGCTCTCAAAACATAGTAAACCAACCGTCCAATTCAAGTCAACATAGGTCTGCCCTCGTAATCAAAAACCGTCCGACCCCATGTAGAACGTGCGCCTTGCTATGCCTTTCGACCTCACAATTGGTGTATCCGGCACCCCTCCATTCCAAAGAGCACTGCCCGCAAAGTATATTCGGCGTTAGTGCCTCTGCACACAGTTCCATTCATACTGCATTCATGATTAGCCAAAGCTCTTCGCTAGACAGCATATCAAGGCGGAGAAACTCACCACTCGCCCGTCTTCATCCCCCGTGTAGACAACTTGGGGCATTGGTAGGATGCAGCTGATCCCTGCATTCACATTTGCTCCATCATCCCGGCTGCCGTCAGCATGGTTGAGCTGCCGAATGAGCTCCAACTCAAACCGGCCATCACGCACCACTTTGCTCCAGATGCGGACCTGGCCCCTCTTGTGGCCGGTGAAGACGAGGTCTCGTTCCAGCCACTCGTTGCCTGCGCCTTCGTAGCAGGCGCACGAGACAATGCTCTCCTGCGAGCGATCTCCCGACTCCTGTCGCAGCAGCAGATCGCCATTCAGGGTATACATGCTGATCTCATGTCCACGGCAGAGGACAATATTCCCGGTAACGTCGTTGATAGCTGCACATTGCACGGGCAGGTCATCATCCAGCTTGCGTATGAACTCGCTCCGATTGAGATCCCAGAGCATCACCTGTCCATCCGTCGAAGCCGACAATAACGCATTGAACGACTTGGATATAGCCAAAGAACTCACCGGCTTGCGGTGGCCAAAAAGCGTGGCGCGCGGATGTAATTCCACGCTCTTCCCACTATCGATGACGGTCCACACAGCCACGGTGCAATCGGTTCCAGCCGTGATCAACGTTTTCCCGTCCGCGAACAGTGCACACGACAACTGTCCAATATGCAAATGCTCAAAGAGCCCGAGCTGCTTCCTGCTCTCGGTCGAATAGAAACGGACGCTGTTGTCAGAAAAGCCCCATTCAAGGTACATCTCGTAGTCCGGCGGAATATTCAGTCTGAAAGGTCCCGAGCACAGTAACCGGTCAGACTTCCAGGAATATCTGAGTGAGGCCACTCTTTCCCCAGCCTCGAGGAGAGTCGAAGGGATACGGGTTAATGATTCTGCGGCAGTGTCAAGCCGCTTGTAGCGATGCCGGATCTGTTCCCGCGCGGGATGAGGTTTGGTAAAGACTTGGTATGGTGTCTGGCCAAAATTGTGGATGATTCCGATGGTTGCAAGCCGTTCCAAGGGGTCGCTAATGGCGTCCAAATTCTTCGCACCTTGATATGACAGATAATGGAACACGTTGACGGCTTCCACGGCGGCTTCGCCCTTCTGTTTACTTCCAAATATCAGATCAATCCATTTGTGTAAATTGCGGCTAACATAAGGACTCTCGAGCGCCTCGCGCTGCTTTGCAATGAAGATGCGAGGGTCACCCTTCGCCCACGGAGGTAGCTCGACATTTCCAATCGACTGCGAGGTTTGCCTGGTACCGAAGTCGAAGTCGTTGACGTTGACCAGAAATTCGGGCAGGTAATAAAACTCAGGGGTCAATTCACGGACGTCGGTCATGTTCATTCGGGCTGCTGACCTCCAAGCTCCCTCGATCGAAAAGAACATGCGATCGGGGTGATCGAATGTGCCGCCTTGCAAGAGGAGATATGACTTGACGAAGGGTTGGAGGCGAATCAAGTAAGATGTCACAATCATCGCCGAGGAATAGTGCGTTCCATAATGAAAAGCCGGGGTATTGTTGTCGCCCATTTCCGCAAAAGTTTGGTACCGTTCTCTGAACTCTCTCTCGCGTTCAATCGTCTGGCAGCCCATGGGTTTGGAAAGATCGCGAAATGTCCTTGGATCGGTGAGGTCTAGTTCTTCGCTGGTGTAGTCTGCGATGACCCATGGAAATACGGGATATTGTGTCAGATCATTGTACGTTCTTCCTGCCATCGTGTTGATCAGCATTAAATAGTGGAAATTCGACATTTCCCCCTTTTGCCATTTCCGAGTTGCAGCCAAAGAGCTTGACTGCTGGCCGAACACATTGGCAAACTTGGACCCCAGGGTTTGTGGCTCGTCATCCACGCTCCTCAAAGTCTCATAGCGCCAAGCCGTTTCCGAATGACTGCCCTGTCCACTGGGTGAAGGAGCTTTGGCGCTGATGAGACCGTGCAAGTCATTCCGGAGCTGGGGCGAGATCACCGTCAACAAGTAGCTTCTACCATCGCCGAAGAAGATCTCGATTGCGACATCTCGAAAAAGAAACCGTCGTTTGGAAACACTGATAATATCAGACCACTTCCAGCTTCGAGTGCCATGTTCGTCACTCCGGGAAACAATTTTGCGTTCTGTGACATCTCGCCCAGAGATCATTCGTACATAAGGATCTCGCTCTTCTTGTGGTGCTTGCCAAACATTCACAATCTCGCCGTCAGAACGTTGGAAGAAATTGTCGAGGATATAAATATAGTCCTTGCCCAGAATCAGCAGTCCCTCCACTGCTTCAAGTCCCAGAATGCGCGAAATGTTGGCGACGTGCTTGACCTGGTCTCCGCGGTGAAGGCTGCGCATCACCTTCCGATTCTTGTCTTCGAATTCATCCATCTCGGCATTGGGATCTTCGACCAATTCGAAACTCTCCTCGCCTTCCATGGCTTCGCTCTGGCTTTCATTGTCGGCTGCCTGATCTGGAGTCTGGCCAGTGCCTTCTTGAAGTGCAGGGAATGGCTCCGTTCCGGAGCTTTTGGGGCTATCGACACCAGGCGTTGCGCCGCCTGGTGTAACACCTATCGATTCCGCCGCAGACATTTTCGTATTCCTGGTATCAAGCCGCAGTTGTGGCATGTCAGATCCCTTCCTCCTTGGCTGCTGATCGTCTTCGGTGTAGGTGTAGTCCTCGTGCAATCGCATACGCATTCGATTACGCCCTTCCGTTTGGTCCAATCTCCATTTTCTCGGTTTATTGGTAGCAAACAGCCCTGCAGGTTTACTCGTATCCCTTTGCATCCGATTGAAGCTGGCTTCAGTGTATACCAGGTCATCCTGCTGGTCTTGAAGCAGTCTCTGGTGCTTGAGGTATTCCGAGGAATAGATGTTGGCAGTCCAATTCTCGAAAGCAATTTCATGGCGACGAATCAAATCGTCACGGTCAGCCTCTTCTCGTGCCCATTGCTTGACCTTTTCTCGCCGGCGGGCTATCCTTAACCGGCCATTTTCCTCAGTCCTCTTGTTTTCTGTGGTAACAAATGTATTCCACTGCTTCGAAAGGGTGTCAAAAAACAAAGAATCCAGCTCGCTGCGGTGCTCGTCGACCCAATAAAGGAAAGTTTCATTGTCAAGTTCAACCAGCTTCGAAAATCCGCCAGCTAAGCCTTTCTGCTCAGACGTGTCTGTTTGCCCGAAAATTGCCGCTGCTTCGTCAGGCTTTTGGACTAGTATAATTCTCCACAAATTGGCTGCGGCTTGACGGACAGCATCGGTGGAGGAGATGAGGTTCGCATACAGAAGGTAGCAAATGAGCTGCAGATTAGCTGATTGAGTGTCTTCGCCTGAGAGCAGGACTGTCTGCCAGTATGTCAGCTTTTCCAAAAAGGGTAACGAGTCGTTGTCGTGGATAGATGAGAGACTAAGGAGAACTGTCCGGAAAACGACGGCGCGGATGATGGCGATTGTTTGCGCGCATAGCCGTACGCTCTTCAGTTTGGCAATATCAGGACGTTGGAGATATTCTAGTATAGATCCTGACAAGTCGAGTACCGGGTCGGCACCGCCAATGAACCACCCTTCAAAGAGGGCCTCTTCAAGATGTCCAAAGAGGCGGGCTAGGTTGATCAAAACTCTCGGCTCCGTCAGGATCGATTGATTGAGTGCTATATGGTTCGCGAGCTGCGATACGGTGTTCCTCAAGATCCAGGTTTCGAAGTAGGATTGGTGCTCGATGAATCCAGGCGGCGTCTTCAAGAAGAGGCCGAGTCCTGGAAATTCTTTCCGAACAAGGATCTGGTCCAGGAAAACAGATATAACTATCTCCAGCAAACCCTGAACAATAGAATGACCATCTTGAAGTTCTGGCAACTTGCCCATGGCAAAGTTCGAGCCAATCGAAGTTGAAACTGCCGTGTTGGTGGTAGAACCATTTTGGTGGGCTTGCTCCTTCGCAACGAGGACAAAAGACGAACCTCTTCGGAGAGTCTTGCCTCTAGTCGTTGTAGACGAGGTTTCTGTATCTACAGTCCGGATAACAGGAGGAGTGGTCGAGAGCGGATGAACAACAATGTCCCCGCCATCAAAAGTCAGCGTTGAGTCCCGAGCATCCAACTCCGTTTTTGCTTCAACCACATCAGAGCCGACCACAACAGGGAACAGAACGGCGAGTAGATCCTGGATGTACGAAGACGAGACTGCGAAGTCTCGGAACTTCTGTGACCTCGTGTGGAGATCGGCGAGAAATTGGACGACAGTGTTGAATGTCTCGACGTGTTGGCTTGTGACGATCGTGAGCAGTGGATTCGGTGGAGCCATGGTTGACATAGAAAGTCGCTCGGGAGGTCCGCTCAGCTCTTCCAGTGGCGGCGCCAGAAACGAAGCAGCTTGGTGCTTTTTCGATGACACGATTGTTTTCAGGCCGCTTTGCAACATACCCGTAATGACTTCGAGGATTTCTGGATAGAAAACCGAGAGCTCTTTTTTGTTGGCAAAGAGGTCGATGAATCCGTACAGATCGAAGTTTCTGTCCAGATCTAGATTTGCAACATCGAGATCAAACAATACGGCGAATAAAGCCGGCCATAATGCTGGAAGATGCCACCATCTCTTCAGACGATATGCCATGATGGTAAAGCCAGAGGTTTTGGACGTGTCCTTGAATTTTTTGACGTAGGCGTCGCCGTGTACAACGAGCAATCTCGCCAAAATCCTCATCGAAAGCACCACGACTTCTGGCGACGTCTCGGATAGCAGATACAGAAGCCACTTGTTTGTAACGGTCTTCGCAAATTTCTTGATCAGGCTGTCGTCATCTTTGCGGCACAACATCTCTGAATAAAGGCGGAGAACCTCCATCCCAATCTCGAAATGTGACAGAGTCGACGTGGCTTCATCCTTGGAGCCATGTGATGAACCAGTTGACGAACTTCTCTGTCGTACGTCCCTGCGGATGGTTTTCCGCGCTTGTAAACCCAGATTGCGTTTGTTCACGGAGAACGTTATGAACAAGGCCAGCGAACGTAGAGTTTCTGCTGACAAGGTTTGAGGTAAGAGGACTTTAATTGCAGCCATGTACTGTGGCATGATGGGCCGCATCACAGGTTCTGATTTCAGAGCTTCCATCAGTCGTTTGAGCACTCTCATTCTTGTTAGTCTCTTCAAGTTGAACCGTTTGTATTCACTTTGCTCCGCAAACACCAAGAATTGGTCAAAGTATAATTGTTGCACAGGAAGTGGTCCACATCTCCAGAGGCTCGTGTCTGCTACTAAGACTTTGTAGGCCAAAGGATTGTTGATGACAGATTTTGTCAGATCCTCAGAATTATAGCCGGTGAAAGAAAGGATGGATGTCAATACTCTCATGCTCAACCCAGTCCTATCGAGTCTCGATGTTGGAATTGCCCAAGCCACTTTTGTAGCTTCACCGTTGTTCTGGGAGGGGAGGGTGAGCTTTTCCTTCAGGAGCATTGCTAAAATTGCGTAGCCGCCATCCCTTTCCATCACTTCGCTGTTTCTCCAACTATGGCGGACGGTTTCCAGGAGGATGTCCACTGCGAGGGCAACGTCTTCTGTCGTCCGTGCACGTTGAACGAGGCCCAGTCCGACCGCACCGCAACCGCCCAAACGCCAGCTGGCATCGTCCAGAGACTGCGGAACCGTCACCGTGGGGTCACCCATGAGCAGGAAAACGCCTCTTGCTTGAGTCAATGCATCATTGATTGAAGGCACTGCACCATTAATAGCCACAGCACTCGTACCGGAACGGGTGTAGGCCACCAAGTTTTTGGCTGCCACTTTTGACAATGACTTGACCAATTGAGTTTCATCAATGTTATTTCGATCGTCATTATCGAGAATCGTCGCAGGGGAAACATTGATCAATATTTTGTCCTCGCGGATGAGACTGCTTGCCTTCTGACGGATCGCCATTATGAGTTCTGACTGTTCCTCTTTTCCGGGATGCAATATTTCGTTTCGCAAGTTCAGCGCTGCCGAGGCCTCGTAGGTCTGGAAAGAACCAAGGCAGTCCTGGAAATTACCATGATACTTTGGACCGAGATAGTAAAAGACGGCAATCAAGTCGTCGCTCATCGTTTCTTGAAACAGAATTGCAGAGCCAAGTGACCACTTTGATAGACAAGCTACTCCAGCAGAACTCGGGGATAAATCTTGGGGTGTACCAAAGAACGCTTGGACCTTGACATTGTTTTGGCTTCGGTCATTTGGAGGCGTAGAAGGATAATTTGCCTTTTGTTGCTCGATGAACTCCCCATCCACAAACAGCAAGGCCTTGGAAGAAGATGTCGTCCGTGGTCGCTTGTGCACCACACAAATGTGATACCATTGATCTGGCTGGAAAGCAAATGATTTGAATCTGACACTGGGCCTGCTGCCTTGGATCGCAGTCTGTAGAATGAGGTGATGAGTGTCTTTCTCGAGATATGCTAGAACGAAACAGGTTTGAGTCCTGTCAAAAGCGCCAAACAGTGTAGTGTGGGCTTGAGTGTCGAAAGCGTCAAATCGTGCCCAGAGGCTCAGTGTGTATCCGCCAGTGTCAAGGGGTGGGAAAGGTCTACCAAGAGTGGCTAATTCTGTGGATGCGTAGCCATGCTGGGACAAGTCAAACTGCAGACTCGGTGGCTGCCGAGAAACAATGATAGCATCATGGAGGAACGAAGCTGCATCGGAAGACGAACTGGCCCTTTTGAAGAGAAAATGGGCATCGTCCAGGTTGGAGACACCCTCTTGGCACAAAAACAGGGCCACTTCCTTCATCAGCCCCCTTTCAGTGGCAGATAGTTGCTCTTCGAAGATCAGCTTCAGCACCGCAGTAAAAGTACCAGCTGTGTGCGCGGAGACAATATTCTGCCGTGATTTCGAAAGTATCTCCCCGTAACTGAGTGGCAGGGCAACTCTCAGAAGTCGTTGAGGGATCTTCTCAGCCTTGATACCCGTGGTCCAGAGCCCAAGAATCAAAGTTAGCAGCTCCGGCACTGCCAACTCACCAACCTGTGCCAGTGACTTGACTATGCCTGCCCGTGCTGTAATAATCGTTTCTTCCGAGAAGAGATCGACGTCTTGTAAGCTTGTGGACCGGTCCAGAGCAGTGTAAATGTCCTCAATTATTTCCACGCCAGTAGCTGTTGCAAGGAGAATCCCAAACAAATGTTCCAAGTGTAGATCGTCGCCTGTCTGACTAGATATGAGGGTGAAGAATTGTTCAAGCGTGCGGTGCAGAGAGTCCCAACCGCCATCATCCACCTTTGTTCTGAAGTATCTCTGATTCCCCTCGTGCCCTTCCAAAGCCGCTCCCAGGACGCCGAACCATTGTGAAAGAGACTGAAGAAACGACTTCGCGTGGACAGAAGGGTCGGTTAGCACGGAGTAACTGTCAACGAGCGAGCGAAGGAGGCGAAGTAACGCTTGGAAACCACCCGCTCGTCGAAAACCACTGTGTGCTCCGTGAATATCACTATCGTCTTTCAGAAAGTGCCGCAACTGCTGCAAGCAGGTTGCCTGATCGAGACTGTTTTGCAGAGCATTGTAGGAGTTGTAATTGAGAGTATCAAGGCTCTTGACGAGTTGTGCAATGTCCTTGTCTTCCGGACGAAGGATGTCTGCGGTGGAAACAGCCCGCGCACGAGTGTGAGTGTTAACGGTGAGGCCCATGTCTTTGTACAATTCGGGCCCCCCTCTCTTGTGGCCTTAGCACCGTAGATGAGATTCGCTGCGACGGCATAGGGAGAATTGAAGGTGTGACATAGGACGTTGGGCTAGGAGGAGTCTGAGGATATAGTCAGAGACCGGTCCAGCATACGGCAGGGCATCGAACAGTGAGCATCGAGAAACGCCGTATGCTCACGCAGCGGGGAAGAACTAGGTACCTTTCACCAACCGCGAGGCTGCAAGAGGGCGTGGAAGAGGGAATGAATAATAGTGTAAGATTCCAATCTCAAGCAGTAGACCTAGTACAGAAGACAACAGTTCACTCCTGTGAGGGCTGAGGGAGCATTCCACCGCACAGGAAGGGGGGGCCTTTGGTGAAGATGGAAAACTGCGGGTGACGTTGGAGTCCGCACTGCGTCGGAAACGCTAGATCTCGATTTTGGCCCCCGAACATCACCTCAGCCACCAACGACAGAGCGGCGACCGAGATCCTCAATACATAACAGAGCACTTCGAACCAAAGATGTACCCACGCGACGGGATCTCCGGGTAATGTTCCACAGGACTGACAATTCCCGCGCCTTGGTCTTGAACACATCAATATAAAGATATTTCGCATAGAGCACAGCCTCGTTTCCTCCTCCCCACAAGTGGTCGATTCACACTGGAAGTTGACATGTCAGGCTAGCCGGAAGCTACAACATTGAGGTTGGTGTGACCTCCGATGAGTTGCGAGCGGTGCAGCCCGCCCTGAAGCAGTTCTCGACTTGTGGATACAAACACTCAAGAGTCGGACAGGGAACTTGAAAGATCTCGGTCTCGCGCAACATCTTCTCATTGATGAAGCATCTGGGCTTACTTCATCCCATGTTCCGTCCTGCCTTTCTGCACCTGTGAATTCAATCGCTTGACCACTTCTCTACCATTCAAACGGCCGATCCACTCAGAGTACTTTGTGAACTTGTCCAACCGCTTCTCCTGTCCCAGCTCCTTCAACAGGCCTGCTGCGAGAAAATACCATGTCACGAACGACAGGTCTGCATATGTACATTTATCTCCCACGAGATAATCTTGGTTTGTGGTGGTGAGATGGGTGTCGATCACCGAAGTGACTCGCTCGACCTCGTCCAGATAGCGCTTGATGGCGCTTGGGAGCTTTTCGTGATGGTATCGCGCGAACCAGACCGCTTGGCCAAAATACGGTCCTTGTCCTATTCGAGAACAAGTCAGTTGTCATCTATGCAGCAGCGAGGACGTGATGGGGAAGAGCCTGGGAACGAAGCAAGATGGATTTGAATGAAGAACACTTGCCTGAGACCTGAAACATCAACCACTGCTGCAGGAGGTACTTTTCGGGAGCGGTCCTGTAAGACAATTTTCCCTCCTTGTCATACTCCTCGATCAGATACAACACGATCGCACCAGACTCCCACAGCGTGATGCCAGTATTAGGATCCACGATTGCAGGCAGACGACCGTTCGGGCAGATCTTCGTATACGTCTCGTTTTTGACGTCTTGTATTTCGATCACATGCCACTCGAAGGGGATATCAAGTTCCTCGAGGAGAATGCGTATTTTGTACGGGTTGGGTGCCCCCCAGTGGCCGTAGACAGTCAAAGGTTTGACTGTGCGGGTAGACATGGTGGTGGAGCTTGGATATTTGAGAGTGTTCCTGAAGAACTCGTCACGGAAGGTGAATGATGTCGCCAGCACCTGGATCAGTGGACTGATTGAACAGACCGGATGAGTCTGTCCATGGTCTGAAAATTGGGCGATGGCCCTCATCTTTATACCCCAACACCTGGCGACCTTCTTGTGAGGCGATTTGAAAACTCGGGAATTGTCTTAACCAGCTGGATTGCCGATGTCGTCCCATGTTTCTCTGCTCACGCTAAAAGTGCCACAGAGATGAAGTCGCCGCCCATTTCCAGTTTGAATTCGTCCGAAGAGTGTTTCACGAGTGTGCCAGTGAGGTCGAGAGGATAAACAGAGACTTGTTGGAGCTTAGCTTAGAAACCATGACATTAGTGGTATAACCCAAAGAGGATTGGTATGGGTTCCCGGGTTTACCGGTTTATTCCCTTTCAACGTCAAAGAGTCGTCCACATCAAACCTCTGAGCACACGAACTGTGAAGAACCAGTCGCTCGTCCGAGACGGAGGACGGAATGCTCTCGCACAAACCTGCCAATCGCCTTGCCTAGGATTTCTTTGTAACCTGAGTTCCACCTTCGACAGATACATGCAAGTTTCCCCTTCGATATGACCTTTCTAAGCTGGGGTGGTCTGCTCAACATCAGTGATGGAGAAAACCGACTACCTGTTCATTAATTTGACACGGTCTCCCCAAGACCGAACGACGCAAGAACTTCAGTATGCAGCATGCAAGGCCCACATATCTAGAAAAGTCCATCGGAACCGGCGACAGAAGCTGAAGAAACGGGAAGAGGATACTTGCAGAAATCAGACTTCGAGGTCGGCTCATAACATGGCCCTGTTACCTGTCAAACTCAGCGGCAACTCTGACCCCTTTAACTGTCAGATGGTCACAGTGACACCCATTGTGAACCAAGCGGTCTCATTCGTTCGGTTCCATCTCAGTCGGTGCTGGTCACCAACGTACATGGCTCAGTTCCAGGACATGAGCCCTGGACACTGTCCCATCCTGGGAACCACCAGTACGATTGGTACGATGGCAGCTAAATGGGTCTGGTCCTTTTTCGTTGCGGACGTCGGGACATTCTGGTCTGCTGTGGCAAGCATCCTGCCGCTAATGACTCGCTTCGTTCCGCTGGAGAGTGCACGTGAACTCGATAGAGTGTCTCTGGAGCTCAAGGCAAAGATTCTGGCAGATCTGAGGAAAGCCCTGCAGGACAGGCTCTTGGGATCTCGGCCCAGCATGACGCTGATCTACCAAGTCAAAGCCCTGTTTCGTGAAGCCACGACGAGCGGAGACACCCAGAGTGCCAGCATCCACGCCAAAGTTCTGTTCTGGCTTGCTGACCAACTGCCCATCCGAGAATGCCAAGGTGGTGAAGATGTCCTGGGTATAGCTCTGTGGGGGGACAGCCTCTCAGCTCTATTTCAACTACGCCGACCGGTCCTCAAGTACCGCAATTGGATGCCTCAAATGGTCGCCACAACATGGAATGCCGCGGAATCTCTGCTTCCTGCTCTTCAGAAAGGCCATCTCCCTATACCTGAAAGCGTGTGCAGTCCTCAGCTTCGAGAGGCGTTCAGCCATATTCGCCGAGTCCTGAACATCGGCAAGATTTCAATACCTCTTGATGGCCGTGAACACCTGAGACGTGCCCAGCTGATCTTCCATTGGGTTACCACCAAGTCCGAGTATCACATAAGTAGCCTGTTGGATTTGTATTTCGACCTCACCGAGACAGAGCAGTCCAATGGATTGAGCAAGGGTGGTAGGCACACGGAGGCTGCTCTAGCACTGGCTTTGTTATACGTTTTTCAAAAGAGCTTTAGCGACACTTCGCAATCTGATGGCATCGATATTCACGACAGTACAGCTGTGGTTTATCCGGCCCTACTTACCAGACTTAAGACTGCCCTTTGGCTCTGCTCGCAGCACGAACGTGTTGTGTACAGAGACGTACATTTCTGGACCCTCTTCATAGGCTCGTTTTGCGAAGAGCGCTTGCAGGTCCTCGGCTCACGGGATCACAATATGTATGGTGAGTGGTTCCATCAGCAACTCGCCGAGCAAGCTCTTGAGGATGGACTCAGCAGATGGGTTGACGCTAGATCTGTACTGAGGAGATACGTGGTTAATGATTTCCTCATGCCTCCTGCCGAGTCGTGGTATGAACAGACAGTGTCTCGGCATAGGAGTATGTGAACACCCATTTCTCCCGTTTCTTGAAGCAGTGTAGCCATGTGATGGCAAGTATGTAAACGTACCAGGGGGTGTCCCTGCTATTGTCAGCCCTTACAGACGAAAGGTGGTCGACGGTTGGAGTCGGCAGGAGGCTGATAGTTACCCGCTGATGTGTTGGGATGGAGAAATGGCGGGAGGGTGACGGGGAATGCGCGCAGGCAGCCAATCTGAGCTCGGGGATAAGTACAGGGATCGGCCGGGGTCCGCAACCGGCCAAAGTGCCTTGTCGTGCCTTGCCCAGCCATCACTTGAGGACCTCAAGTTCCCCGGCAACAACTGGGTCTAGGCCGAAGCTGCGTAAGTGGCAGCCTGGTTTAGGCGTTAGTAGTTGCGGCAAGCAGTCATGCGTCCACTTGTGGCTGTGGCATCATCCAGCACTGTATCTTCTTATCCCATCTGCTTCTTGCTTCCTTAAAGATATCATCCTCCCCATCACTCCTATCATCACCCTTCAACTCCCTTCACTTTCCCCATCTCCCGTGCAGCTTGATTCATCCAGGCTCGCACTTCTGTTGTCCCTTTGCTTGCCTGTATCTCTCTTGTCCCCGTCGTTGCCAATCCAACCTGCAACATGAAGGGCTACGCATTCGCCTTATCGCTCCTCCCACTGTTGGCGGCCGGTTCGCCAGTCCTCGTCGACACCATCCACAACGATGCTGCTCCTGTCATCTCCTCTTCTAATGCAAAGGAGATCCCTGACTCCTACATGGTTGTCTTCAAGAAGCATGTGAGCGAGCGGGATGCTACTGCCCATCACTCCTGGGTCCAAGAGGCCCATGTGTCACACGAGTCCCGCAAGCTGGAGCTTCGGAAACGCAGCCAAGTTCCTATGTCGGATGACACTGTCTTTGAAGGATTGAGACATACATACAATATTCCCGGCGGGCTTTTGGGATATGCTGGTCACTTCGATGAAGGAGTCATCGAGATGGTCCGAAGACACCCGGATGTAAGTTCCTGCCTGCTTGTTTCAACGCTTTGGTCTTTCAGACAGCCTCCATCCATCGTATGGCATCGACGCAGTGGTTTTGTGATGATCCCCTGCATCATCAAACCCCGACACGTCCTTCATCGCTGCCTGGCCTTCGCCGCTGTGTCTTGTTCTGAAGCTCACGTGCTTGCTTGCTTAGGTTGAATACATCGAACGTGACTCCGAGGTCCGAACCATGAATCATACTCCGGCACTCGAGAAGAACGCTCCCTGGGGTCTCGCCCGTATCTCTCACCGTGAAGCTTTGGGCTTCGGAAACTTTAACAAATACCTCTATTCCTCGGATGGCGGTGAGGGCGTCGACGCCTACGTCATCGACACCGGTACCAACACTGAGCACGTTGACTTCGAGGGCCGTGCCAGCTGGGGCAAGACGATCCCAATGGGTGATGAAGATGTGGATGGTAACGGACACGGCACACACTGCTCCGGCACAATCGCAGGCAAGAAGTTCGGTGTCGCTAAGAAGGCCAAGATCTACGCCGTCAAGGTTCTCAAGTCAAACGGCTCTGGCACCATGTCTGATGTTGTCAAAGGCGTCGAATGGGCTGCCACCTCTCACTCTTCATCGGTGAGTGCCGCAAAGAAGGGCAAGAAGAAGGGTTTCAAGGGCAGTGTTGCCAACATGAGCTTGGGTGGTGGCAAGTCTCGAGTCTTGGATCTGGCCGTCAACGCCGCCGTGGATACTGGTCTTCACTTTGCCGTCGCGGCTGGAAACGACAATGCCGACTCTTGCAACTACTCCCCTGCTGCTGCCGAGAAGGCCATCACGGTCGGTGCTTCTACCTTGGCTGATGAACGTGCCTACTTCTCCAACTACGGTACTTGCAACGACATCTTTGCTCCTGGTCTCAACATTCTCTCCACCTGGATTGGCAGCAAGTATGCCACCAACATCATCTCCGGTACTTCGATGGCTTCCCCTCACATCTGCGGCCTCCTCGCATACTTCTTGTCTCTTCAACCATCGGAGGATTCCGCCTACGCAGTAGCCGCCATCACCCCCAAGCAGATGAAGGCGAACATGATCTCCATCGCCACTGAGGGCGCCCTCTCCAACGTCCCGGCTGACACCGCCAACATCCTTGCGTGGAACGGCGGTGGCAAGTCCAACTACACTGAAATCATCGGCGACGGTGGCTTCTCTTTCAGCTCTGATGCTGAGTCGTACCTTTCTGAGAAGGCCTCCGAGCTGAAGGCCGAACTAAAGCAAATTGCTGCCGAACTCGAGGCTCTTATTGCGAAGTCTTAGATAGCTGCATGAGCTAGTGCAATTCTACCGCCCTGCAATTCAGCCATTTGTTGATTGAACACGGGCATATCGTACAGGGCATATGGGGTCGGGGCGGGGTCTGGTGGTTTCATCCTAGATTTGGTCGGACTGGTAACCATGGCTCCCCCTGTTCTCGTGGGAAGCTGGACTCATGTATGTGAGATATATCGGTATTACTGAGTCACAATCATATCGCTTATCAACGAAATATGTTGCGTCCTGCTTAAAACGTTGTATTCTTGTAAAGAAGTAGGTGTATTGCCCAACGTGCGCCATATCTATATGTACTGATGACACTCACATTGGGAAAGCACAATTTCACCGTGTAAAAGCCTACCGTGTACTCGGCCTACCCAGCAAAGGCTCCGTCTCCTCGTGAGCATCCCGTTTCTTTTGCTTCTTGACCCTTTCCGTTCGCATTTTACCTCGACTCGCATTGTCCTCTCCGTCGGCGACAATCTCCTCCTCTTCTTCCACCTCCCTTTGCGGCAGGACCTTGAATTCCCCGTCGACGACGCGGCCCACCACCCACGACCCCGTGTCGGCGGCGGCCTGGAAGAACTCCTGGTTCTCCTCGAACGTCCGATGCCCCGACTCGGGGCAGTACAAGTAGGTCCACAGGCCGGCGAACGCGTTGGTGCCGGCAAACACCAGGAACAGGTAGTACTCGAGCCCATCGAAGCCGATCGGGGTTAGGAAGGTGACGGCGAAGTTGGCGAGGCCCCAGACGATAACGCTGACCGCGGCGCCCTGCGCTCGCGCCGTCGAGGGGTAGATCTCGGTCGGAATCAGCCACGGTGGCACCAGCCAGCTGATCCCGAACACCGCCGTGGCCAGATACAGCGCGGCAACCCCCGGGACGCCGGTCGCGAGCAGGGGGATCGAGAGCCGGAGCCGGTTGTACGCCAGCCCGCCCAGCAGGGTGAGCAGGGCGAAGGAGATAGCTAACCAGACCGCACCGACCACCATCAACTTCCGCCGTCCGATGCGGTCGATCAGCACCCACGCGATCGTCATCATCGCGAAGTAGAAGACGTAGTTCCCCAGCGTGATATACTCGGCCGTGTTGACGCCAAAGCCCAGCAGCTGGAAGATCTGGGCCCCGAATACTGACACCGCCCCGTACCCGGTCAGCGCCTGGTTCACCTGGCCCATGACGGTCACGACGGTCGGGTGGAACTGCGAGCCTCCCGGCCACAGCATGTCCCAGTACGAGATGTGGCCTTCCTCCTGCTCCTTTTTGTGCGCCTCGATCAGCTCGTGGATACGGTCGTCGACTTGGTCGTTGCCGAAGACCCGGGCGATACTGCGCTTCGCCCGCTCGTTGTCGCCGTGCAGGACACACCACCGGGGCGTCTCGGGCAGGAGGTTCGCGACGGCGAGCAGCAGGACTGGATAGACCTGCATGACGATGATGGGCACGCGCCAGGCCCACTGATTCCATTTGCCGAGGCCGTGCGTGACGCCGACGTTGAGGATGTAGGCCATGTTGAGGCCGAAGATGTTGGCTTGGAACTCCTGGGCCAGCGCCGTGCCGCGCGCGTCGTCTTCCTGGAGCTCGGAGCTGTACACGGGCACCACGGCATCGATACCACCTGAATAAATAAATGAATAAGGCGCGGTCAGAAGATGTGGACACAATAAATAATTATATACAACAAAGATCAAGCCATCTCGAGATGAGATGGGATGCGATGTAAGGGCGAACCTACCAACTCCAAGTCCCATGACGATCCTCCCGCAGAGCATCGTCGCCAGAGCGGCCCGCGGGCCCGTCGTGCGGCCCATGCCCGCGACGAACATGAGCAGGTTTCCCAGGCTGGCCGTCACCAGGCACACGAAGATGCCCGGCTTGCGACCCTTTGCATCTGCGAAGCGCGACGCCAGCACCGCTCCCACGGCACAGCCCAGGTAGTAGACCGAGACGACCAGGCCGACCAGGGCCGAGTTTCCGGCGATGCCCATGGTGTACAGGTAGTTGTAGTTTGTGTTGATCAGGGACATCATGCCTAGAAGACAGAGAGAGGGGGGGGGGAAGAGATCAGTCACATATTGACACCTATTGACTTTGGGCCGGTTCTAGACACATGCGATACTGGAGGGAAAAATAAAAAGCAAAGGACATCACAGGATAGAAAAAGAGTCTGTCTCACCTTGATCATACCCATACAGGGCTATCGCCGTGGAACTGAACATGACCACCTGGGTCTGCTTGTCCATGATCTTCCGCAGACTGTACTTGCCCATCTTTAACTTTTGTCTTCGTTGTCTCTACTCTTTTCCGGGTAGATTTGATGGGGAGGCCGGTCCAAAGTACACCAATATCCCCATCCAAGGATGACCTTGTCGTTCGCATACAAATGGCAATCAAAGTCCACAATGATATACGAAGACAGATATTGTGACACACGGTGAGGCGGCGAAGCCCATCGGCATGATGTCTACAACTTGCCAGCCCGTCCTTGGTTTCCGTGACATGGTAGAAAGGCAGAGAGAAAGAGAGAGGAACCGAGTATGCATGCATGTAACCCGGTACCAGAGAAGAAGAAAAAAAAAGATGATGACGTCTTGTTGCTTGAGAGCAGATCGGCTGATCTTCGCAACTCACCCTCTTCCGACATGCAAGATTTCCCCTCAAAAGATGCAGGTCAACTGACTGATTGTATAGGGCATGTGATTACGTGCGGGAAGATGGGAAAGATGGGGAAGATGGGAGAGGGTGCATCCAATATTCCTCTGTCCCGCTAATACATATATTACTACACTCTAACTAAAATGTCATAGACTCATGGAGCGCTGTCCGCGCCGGCTTCGTGGCGCTTCTGTAGAATGTCTATCGGGTACGAGCCCGTCATACCGGCCGGCCGGCATGGGACCTTGTTGGCCAAATCCTTCCCTCTCATCCAGGACATCGACGTGCCTGATAACATCGCCGTCGATTTCATTTCTGAAAGCAAAGTCTGGGCCCGGCTCTCTCCACCCGTATTTCACCCTCAGGTCCGCCAACTCTTCCGCAATCTCGGCGCCCGTCAGCAAACAGCCCCTGTCGCCCAGTTTGTCGACAATAGGACGTAAGAGTCGTGCAGTGCTCAAGTCGCTGTCGTCCCGGATAATGGCAGGATTGGCCCAGGCTACGACACATATCAATGCCACCAGTTGAAAGAACGGTAGTAGTCCCAAGATTGTAGCTGACCATCGCCACTGCACACTCACGACTTGCGCGGTCACCGCATACCAGCCTCGTGAATTGCGCCGGGGGCCATTGTAGTCGATCGCTGCCACTGCCTCGATGCTGAACTCCATGATCCGCTGAGATATCAAGCCTGCATTGGCAGGACTATTGGGGCTCCACCAGGTTTCTGTGTTGTATCGGACGTACTGATACTGGTCATTGGCTGTGTAGTTGAACCCGGACCATCCTATCGCCCCGGCGAGAATCTTGGCTTGAGGATCGAGCAGCTCAAACGAAGCCGCCGGTTCTCCATAATCCAGATATTCTTCGATTCCCATCACCTCCGATATTTTACTTTGGCACTTGAAGAATGCTGGATGTGGGATTGTATCGCCATTGGCACTTTGCAGCGCCATCACTTCCGTACATCGTGGCCCACAGGTGGAGTTGAGTACACCAATAAATGTCATAGCTCCCGCCCCGACATGCACGACGTCGAGGGTGGCTTGCCGTCCAGCTTCGTCGCGATAAATAATGGACGTGCTGGTTCCGTTGCCGCCTTCGATGACTTGCAGCTCTTTGCAGGTGGCAGTTGTGCTGATATTGCGGTGGGAGACCAAGGTGAGGTCAGGGTTTCGGATATTCTGGTCCTGAAACACATATGTCATGACGTCCCAATCTGCGTTGGCATAGATTGTAGGAGTGCCGGGTGTTCCATAGCTTGGGACTTTCCCCTGCCCCGGAGGATTACCTTCGACGAAGAAATAATCCTGACCTTGAATGCCAAAGAGGTTTGCGGAACCCAACTGCGCGTCAAAGGTGGGATCCTTGTCTCCCCAGACATCACGAATGACGCTCAAATCGGCGATAGTCATTGTCCCGAACTGGCGTTGGGGAATATGTGAGGTGTTGAGGTTGTACGTCAATCCCAGCAAGGCCACAAGAACTTGCAGGAGGACGTTGACTACCAGCCACAAGGCACAAAGCCACTGTGTCGTGTTGAGCCAAAACCACACGGCTCCAGGAGTTCTTGCTACCCAAAATAACCGCGCGACCTTTCGTAAACTGTCGCAGCGCAACAACAGATCGAATTCGTTCAGAGAACGGTATTTCGAAGCCAGCATTCTCCACCGCATCATGGTTGCGTATTCTCGCAGTGAGGTGGTCAGGTTGTTCCCGAGGAACAGAGACAGAAGCACAATCAGGGCATTGAAAGTTTTGACCTGTGTTACTGTCATCCACAACAAGTTTCCAAAGGCTCCGAGGCATGCGGCTAAGAGGCCACAGAGCAGCGACGTGATGAACCACTGCCAGATGCCCACGGTCAACAGCCGCTGCCGTTGACGGTCAGGTTTGAACTCTCGTGTCGTCCGCGACCCCAACCCGTGCTCTCCGATTGAGACTGAGTGCCGCCATGGTTGTCGTAGCCGAGGAGGCCCGAACTTGGGATACGAGGCTCGACTGCTACTCGGCGAAGGCAGGCTATTGCTGAAGGTCAGAGAGTCGGACAGTGATTCTGAAATTGGCTGAAGAGGCGGCTTTTCCATTTGACAGCGTAGCAGGCATTATCTGGATGTCTTTAGAGATATTTGCAGGCGGTTTCGACAAGGGGCAGGGCTGGCAGTGAGAGCCATCGATGCCCTTTTTGGTCGAGCAGGTTCGAGTTTGCGAGACATGACCACGACAAATGCCATATTAGAGTTTTTATTCTCGCGGAACGATCGAGGGGCCATGTCGAAAGGATGGCCACTTGGGGTCGAGACTCGCATCCGAAAAAGTGAGCAGCTGGAACAAGAATCAATATTGGGAAGTTTCGCGGCTGCACTTCCTCGTTCAGGCCAAGCGGGCTGAGTATGGTGAGGACGAAGCGGCGGAACGGGTGAAACGGGGGCTTTAGCTTCTCGCTGGCATCGCCTATTGATCCGAAGTTGTTGAGGACTGTTTCTCCCGCCACCACCAGTATCATCATCATCACATGTTTTTCAGATCCGTTCTTTTGAAATGTTTAAAGGTCGAAGCGCCTGGCGGAGGGCGAAATGTGAGACCTCTGCGTAATGGTCGTCACTTGTCATTGATCTCTTGGGATGTGGTGCTGAGATTCTTACCACTCGTAGCATCCATGGCAAAGCGACGAGTCACCTTTCAGGCGGAACTGCTTGGATGGGGTTTGTGGATGGATTGATGGCGACTTGAGGAGATCAAACCGTGTTGCACAGCTGCGCCTGTGCCTGCGCTGGGCGCAATGAACTGACTGAGTCCAGTGATTGGTCCAGTCCGGGCCAAGCATTGCAGGAAACTCCTATTGCCACCTTTTCAATACCTGAACCGTTCGTTACCGTCTCTACAACTATTATTATACTCGAACACCTAGCCTCCATCTCTTGACTTTGCCAGTGCCAGTAGTGTTCCGAAATTGTTCTTCTGTCTCCGCCAATGGCGCAGGTCCCTCTTCGGTTGCACTGTCAAATCCACTGTTAATCCGGGGATTGCAGCCATTCGGAGTGAATGGGCTCAACTGCATCCCGGCAGGCTGTGACTTTGAGACCTCCTCTTTTGGGGCTGAATGGGCACAAAGTCTAGAGGGCGTGACCGACATGAACTATGAATGCCCATGAAATGGTCACGCTGCGAGGGAGTAGGCTTGAGTGATTGGTGGCTCATTTTTTACTAAAAATGCTTCAACTCGGCAAGCCAGAATATATAATACAACATCTCTCAGTTTATGTGCCCTTTCATTTCATCCCGATCACAGTCAAGCTCGACGCCTCCGTCTCAATCACAGGTCCAGTGTACACATTCCTGGCTCTGAAAAGGTAATAGACAGCGCCTCCTCCCACCCAACCGGCAAGCACTACTGTCGAATAGTTCATGTTCTGGGCGGTCACCGGTTGAAAGTTCGGAAATGTGCTGAATATCATGGCAAAAACGAGCCACACGATTGCAAGAATATTGAGGAGAACTCCGGCTTTGCCAAGCTTGAAAGGCCCATATTCGTCTCTGGAGAGCTTCAAACGTCCGTATATGACCATGTAGACGATTGGCAACAGGTAAGACAAATACATGCCGATAACTGCCATTGATAGAATGGCATTGAAAGCTGTGGTATTGCCAAGGTAGATGAACCCCAACAAAGCTTGAAGCACCGAGACCAGAGCGATCATTCGCACCGGAACTTTGAGCCCAGCGTCGACATGAGCGAAGTATTTTGCAAAGGGTGTCGCCTCGTCTCGTGCAAAGGCCCAGAATGTGCGGCTCGTTGAAGTCAGCCCTGCGGCGTTTGCAGCCGTGGCGATCAAACATATTATCAACGACAGAATGGTCGCTCCGGCAGGAGACTTCGTGACGTTGAGATAGAGTTGCATGAACGGAAATCCGGTGGGTGATTCGAGGAGACTTGGTAGATCACCAAGGGAGAACAAGAGCATCAGGCAGTAAGCAAAACCGATGATTCCGTTGGCGACAACCGAACCGACCATGGCGATGGGCACATTGCGACTGGGCCTGGGCATCTCCTCGGAAAGATGTGCAGCCGCATCATACCTACAGCGTCCATTTAGTTGCAATGCAATTGGAGAACGAAGTGGAAAAACGTACCCGAGGAATGGATAGACCGAACTGAGCAGCCCGACAAGCCATGCAATACCGTCGCTGCTCCAGCCACTCGAATTTGAGACCTCGGCGAATACATATTCAGCAGAGTGCTTGGGGGCCATGACCCCAAGGACAATGAAGATGACGAGAAAACCGACAATATGCAGAATTCCTGGGGATAGTCAGAAATGTAGAAGGGGGTTGCTGTATGATCTTCATGCTCACCGGAAGCAAGATTCGTGTGCGGTAGGATCTTCGACCCCCAGATGTTCACGGCCGCAGCATAGAGGAGGACGAGCCAGTAAAACAACATCCCATGCCATCTCTGTGGAACATATGTGTCTGGGTGGTTCAAGGTGATCAAGGCCTGAAATTGGAGGCCGGCGGCAAAGGCAGCGGAGGCCGTGAGGACGATTTGACCGCCCACAGAGATCCATCCAGTGAACCAGGATGCAACGACGCGCGAATTTTGTGGCGCGAGGACAGCTACCCAATGATATTGGCCTGGCGAAGAATCAGTCAAGGCTCGAGTCCAAGGGGGACAGCAGTCTTCTTACCTCCTGCCGTGGGCCAGATACTCGAGATCTCCGCCAGCGAAAGAGCAATCGCCACAGTACCCACGAAAGAGATGATGCTGTTGTTTTGTCAGTAGAGCGATGCGACTGAATTCGAGGCTTGTCCACGGGGCCATACTAGTTATAAAAGAGACAAGGTGCGCCACCACTGATTAAGGCCGCGGCAACAACGGACGACAGCGCTTCCCACGTTGCCATAAGGCAGAGACACAGGCAGCCGAGCGACCATATTGAAAAGTCCCGCTGCAGCTCCTGCTTGTGGCCGAGGGCTGCGAGCAACTGTTCATCGTTGAGCGACCGCCTGTTGACGGGATGCACAGTTTCCACCTCCTCCATCTCCTGCGGCAGCTTTTCAACATCCATATTTGTGAGCCTCTGCGATGCCTCGAGCTGACACTGAACCACCCCGTGGGCTTGAGGGCATTTTTAAATGCTTCCCCACAACAGATGAAGATAATGGCCCCGGAAAGTGTTCCAGCATATCTGAACCTCGGCGTCCGGGGTAGTACCCACCACGGAGAACAGGTTGGCTTGTTGCCATACTCATCGCACAAGTCTGCCAGTAACATTACACTGTTACGTAACTGAGTGGCTCTTCCAGCATCATAACAGAGCCCCTGAGGTGCGAGGAGGAGTGCCTAGGCAACCCCGAGTCTAGAATAGTTTGAATACCTCTCGGAGCGGAACAGGAAAGATGAAAGGAGGATGAATGGATGAGTAGAGGAGCGCGGAGCGCGATTCCGCCATACTGGGGAATTGGTCCATCGTAGCCAATCAGGGAGAATTGCGCCAACTTTAAATGCACCCCCTGTTGTCGTCCTGGAAATTCCTCCGCTCTCTCTTTCCAACTTCGATTTTGGCCCTGCATCTTTCATCGTTGACCAGTCTTAATGAACTTGCGCGGTGTCTCCTCTCTTCGCCAACGTGACGAGGCGAATGATTCGCTTCCTCTTCGTAAGGGATATACGCGCCCCGGTCGCCACACCTCCGCCTGCTTTTCTTTCATGACACATCGTACAGTGTATTATTGATGCTGCACCATGGACACCTCGAAGAGGAAATCGCAGCCGAAAAGCTTCAACATGACTGTTGTGCAGGCTCCTTTTGAACGACGTCCGCTGTTGTTCTTCCCTTTCCCGATATCCAATGTGCGTCGATGACCGTCGATGAACATCTTTCTACCGGTAAGGCAACATACGAGAACTGGGACCCCCTAGTCTCCCGTATCAGTATCCTTGAGCTTATAAAAGCGGACCATTTCGCAATTCGGGGAGTAATGTATCTTTCATCTTTCTTCACTTGCTATTCATTCCTTCACAATGACGCCTCATCCCTTGGATATTCTCTCAGCAGAGGAGACTAACAGTGCTCGTGACCTCATCCTTGGTCTCCATCCCGACGCTGTGCTGAGCTTTCGTGAGATATACCTGGATGAACCGCCTAAAGAGCAGCTTATTCAATATTTGTTGGCGGAGCACTCTGGGAAGGATGCCGCCCCGCTACCTCGACGTGCCCTAGTGCAGTACGATGTCATCGGGGCCGATAGGGTCCCTCAGTTCCACGAAGCTGTTGTCGACCTGGATGCACAGAAAAGAGTTTCTCATGTTGTAGTCGACAAGTCTCAGCATGCAAGTTTGACACTGTACGTATGCCTTGGATGCGATACCTGGCTACCCGGCTAACGAAATTGTCAGATCGGAGTTTGACGTTCTCGTCGAGGTGTGCAAGGCCTCTCAGATGTTCAAAGACGTCTGTGCCGAATTTTCACTGCCCGAGGGATTCGAGGTCATCGTCGAACCGTGGCCGTATGGTGGCTTGTCTCCCGACGAAGAGAACCGTCGCTACTTCCAAGGCCTGTGCTTTGCTCGAGACACGAGATCTGGCAATCCTGACTCGAATTTCTACGCCTACCCCTTGCCTTTCATCCCTGTGATGGACGCCCACAAAAGAGAAATCATCCGAATCGACCGACTCGCAACCGGTGGCAGAGAGGATGCTCTGGATGCCAAGACACACACCAAGAATGTCATTGACCATTGCAAGACCTCGGAATATGTACCCGAGCTCTTGAAGAATGGGACACGGAAAAACCTTAAGCCTCTGAACGTGCTCCAACCGGAAGGTCCTTCGTTCTCCGTAGATGGCGGGCTGATCGAATGGCAAAATTGGAGATTCCGTGTCAGTTTCAACCCGAGAGAAGGCGCAGTGGTCCACGACGTCCATTTCGGCGGCAGAAGCGTCATCCACAGGCTGAGCATTAGCGAGATGACCGTTCCTTATGCAGATCCCCGAGGACCTTTTCCTCGGAAGCAGGCATTCGACTTCGGTGATGGCGGAGCAGGAAATTGTGCCAACAACCTCTCCCTGGGTTGTGACTGTCTTGGAGTCATCAAATACTTCGATGGTGTCGTTACCGGTCCAGATGGTACCGCCAAAATCGCGCCCAACGTCATATGCCTCCACGAACAAGATAACGGTATTGGCTGGAAGCACACGAATTGGCGGACAGGACGTGCTGTCGTCACGCGGTATCGTGAGCTGGTTGTCCAGTTCATCATTACTCTCGCCAACTACGAATACATCTTCGCGTACAAGTTTGACCAGGCAGGTGGGATCACCGTCGAAACTCGGGCAACGGGTATTGTTTCCGTCGTGAACATCGACCCAGGAAAGACCAGCCCATACGGAAATGTTGTCTCACCTGGGGCGCTGGCACAGAACCATCAGCACGTTTTCTGCGTACGTATCGACCCGGCCATCGACGGATATAGGAACACAGTTGTCGCAGAAGAGTCACACCGCGTGCCGATCAACAAAAAGACAAATCCACAGGGAAATTTTTATGAGGTCCGACAGACTGTCATCGATCGAAGTCAAAGTCTGGACGCGGCTCCGCAGTACAATCGGATTATCAAGATGGTCAATCGGAGCAAGACAAATCCCATCAGTGGGAAACCGGTTGGGTACAAATTCACACCGGCGGCAACGCAATTGCTCCTTGCAGATCCCGATTCGGTACAATCTAAACGGGCACTGTTCGCACAACATCATGTTTGGGTTACCAAACATCTCGATGGCGAGCTGTATGCCGGTGGCAGATATACTTTGCAGAGCCAAAACGAAATCGGCGGTGTTGCTGACGCTGTGAAGCGCGACGAGGTGGTTGAGGACGAAGACGTCGTGGTGTGGAATGTGTTTGGATTGACCCACAATCCCCGAGTGGAGGATTGGCCTGTCATGTAAGTTTTGTCCCTCTCATCCATTTTCCGAGCATACTCATAACTGACGTTATGAACAGGCCGGTTGAAATTCACCAACTGCACATCAAGCCCACGGATTTCTTCACGGAGAATCCGGCGATCGACGTTCCCTCGACCAAGAACGAAGCCTCCGTATTGACAAACGGAAGTGTTCATCTTCAAAACGGTTGCTGTAACTGACCGGGTTTGCGGTCATCTGCTGCTGCTGTGTTGTGAGATAGTTCTATACAAAAGAAAGTTCAACCGTTGAAAGGTGGCGTTACAGGATGCACTGAAAAAAGCCCCAAATTCGCCGTATTTGGGTTAGAGTAAGCAGCATATGCTAACCTAGTGGTCGAGTTGGTCTCTTATTTACTAGCGTGTCCTGGAGTCGATGTATTTCCCCGTCTGACAGCTACAATATCTAATATTGCCATGCCAGAAGTGAAGTTTTGCCGATCCAAGCAATAATCAAGACTCAAGATAGTAAGAAATACTACTAACTAGAATTTGTAGCTTCATGTAGGTAAGGAATCAGATATCGGACTCGGACTCATGACATCGGCTCGTGGACAAGGGTACACCGCCATGAACCACCTGCCACCGGGGGGCTCAAGCACGGTGACCGTCAAAGTGAAGTCACTTGAAAAATCACGGTCATATACATGGGTAATTACAACTTACTATCTTTGGGAGCAAAAAGACCCTACTACTTGTTGGTATGCTATTGCTTACGAAATGGTGGTGCATGAGAGCCATATGGTGATGACGACGATGATGACGAGAATGGTTTGTCACCGCAGCAGATTGATCGATCTCGCTGAATCAGCCCTGAGTGAGGACTTGGTGGTGATGGTGGTGGTGATGGTGGTGGTACTCGCCCGGGTCGCCACAGGTCGCTTGCCCGACTTGAGCACGGGTATTAGGGGTGGATATGGAGAAGTTATGTATGTGTTGTGAGACTAGCAGTGATTGATTGGAACTTAGGTGATTTTTGTTTGGTTTTGTATGACACAAGCTTGCTCTTCGTGTACTAGTAGTAGTATCCTTCCTTCGCGCGACACCCATGTCACACATACACATACACATATACGAGTGGTTAGAGACGACAAGTTAGAGAACGGAATAGGTACACAAGTACGAGGTACTGACTCGAGGAAGGGAGGGGCGAGGCTGGCGGATATCAGGGGCGAAGATCCCGGGCTGGGGGGTGAATCAACTCGGCAAATCGCCGGTCCGTCTGCTCTGAACAAGTTCCTCACAACCACACCTGCCTGCCACATTATCAAAAGAATTTCTTTTCGCAGACTGATTACTCGTAAGGCATATCATTTATTTACAACGACCACTACTACTAAGCCAAGTACTGGCACTTCTTATCACCCCACCCCCTTTTTTTCATATTCGCTTTATCCATAAACATTGTCGTCGTCGGCATCCATCCATTTGAGAATCGATCGTCCCGAGTCCGCCAAGTCTCCTAGCTCAAGAAGAACGTCTTGACGGCCCTGGGCTCGATGGTCGCCTCGAACACGGCACCACCAATCTGCGTCTGCCCCATCATGGTCACGTTGTGGTCGTTGTCGGTGAGGTAGGCGGTGGCGGTGGACGCGTTGATGCCGCCCAGGTTGATGGACAGGTGGTAGGGGAAATGGGCCTCGTTGATGACGGGGATCGCGACGGTGCCGTTCGTGTTGACGTAGGCGCTGACGTAGACGTTCTCGGCGCTGCTGGTGGCCCCGACGCGCACGGACCCGGGGCGTGCGAACCGGAAGTATGACGCGAACGCCCATAGCCGCGCCGATACGTAGTAGTTGTCGTAGTCCAGCCGGATCAGCGCGTTGTCGCCCGTCGTGTTCTGCGCGCACCACCAGTGCGTGTAGCCCGACGTGTCCGAGTTCACGAACGCATTGTGCATGTACATCGCCCATTGGAAGCCCTCACTTGAGAAGCAGTCAGTATTACTACCAGTTTGGCTTCCAGGGGAAAGAAACGGGGCAGATTGGTCGACTTACGCAAGCTGTCCGGACACATCCCAGTTGGCGTTCCACGGTCCCGAGCCCTGTGAGAGACTTGTCAGTCTAGATCTTTTGATGGAAAATGTTCTTGGACCTACATCAGCCCACTCCGTCATCAGATTTGGCTTCCCGTTCGAGTTGAACGGCCTCTCGGGATTGCTTTGGTAGTTGTGCCACGTCTGCGTTCATTAGCTTGGCCTTCCGAACCCTAAGCCAGTGGAAACCTACAGCAACGTCGAAGAAATCCTCGCCTCCGGCTTGTTGCAGCTCGTACAGAATGTTCCTTTCCTGTCGAGCACCCGTAGCATCGCAACAGGCAACACTGATGTTGGGAAAGGCTGCCTTTGCGGTCGGATACAGGATCTCCAGGAAGTCTTTTGCTTGGTAGCCGTCCGACTCCATACAGGCGTAGGTGACGGGGTTGAAGTCGGGTTCATTGTAAGCACCGAGCAGTGAGATCTCGATACCCTCCTGCTCATAGAATTTGACGTATTGCACCAGGTAGTCCGCATATGCTTGCCTCCAGTCGCCACTGCAGTTGCTGCTGCCTCTGACGCCACAGATCAGGCCGCCTTCGTCCTCGGTGCCGACCGTCTTCATACAGCCAGGGGCAGACCACGCATCGGCATACACGTAAACGTTAGGGTTGTACTTGAGTGCCGTCTGCGTGAGCTGTAGTTGACACGTATCGTTCTTGTCCCAGACATAGTTGAACGGTCCTGCTGGGGTTGCCGGGCATTCTGGCAGGATGGACGAGACATCCCCGGGGACATGACCTGGAGTCGAGCCGATGTCGTTGCGAACGATCGACAGTCCTCCAATGTTCTCGTCATAGAGGATCTGGGTGACAGCTTCCTGGTTCGCGGGAGACAGCCCCACGGAGCCAAATTGCTGGCAGGCGATTCCAAATGCGCCCGAGCACCCACCCCCGATCATGGTCTGATACTTCTGGAATGCATTGATCGAGATTGCCGCCGAGTACGTGGTGTTTGGCGAATAGGTCCATGCAGACGCGCCAGCGGCGAAGGCAGCGACAATAAGGTTCCTCATTTTTGCTCCTTGAACTTGGCGACGATCATATGGCCAAGTAAGGTCCAATGCAGGTACAGCATATGTACTTTTTGATCTCCCCGCACACATCACCCCAAACGGATCGTCGAGGCCACAGATCGTCTATTATCCGGGGCGTTTTCATCTGTAGCATTTACCCGGCGGCCACTCTCCGACCTGCCACCGTGGCCAGGCAGACTAACCACTTGTTCGACTCCATCTTTCTTGCTCGCATGCATAAAAGTCGCAGAATGATGACGGCGATCGAGGATATAAACCGGAAATCACAGTGTTCTGTGGGTGTAGCTGCCGTATTTCACCTACTCCGCCGTTGGAGCCTTTTAGCCAATTTCTCACAGCCATTAGTCATGTCCTCGGATTCAGACCTTGTGGAGGTCGGTGTAAAAGGAAAGAGAGCGCTGGCAGGGGGGTGGGATGAAATGAAAGCGTAACGAGGACAATGGGTAAAAGGCAGAATTTTGGAAAACGGCCGCATCATTTGCCGACAGGGTCCGAGCTGCCGAAGAAATGGACCACGGTGATCCATGCCACGCACTGTCCCTGCACGACACAAGTAGATCGGTATTCATGACACTGTCCTTCGTAGGTCTGCTTCGACGGTGAAGGAGGACTGACCGCGAGGCTATCACATCCCGAAAGTGTGGCGGGCACCTTGAGTCAAACCGCTCATGGGTGCTAGCAAGAGCCCAGGTCAATGTATCTTCGCTTGGGCATGATAGCTCGCGTTCAGACCATGTCGTCAATGACTTATACCGGCCGGTCAGTCTGGGAGAGGCTCATTTGTTCTCTAAGAGTGCGAGAGATCGACCAAAGTCCTCGCACAGTGTCATTCTGAGCTGAAAAGGCGTGGACGCTGCTCATATATGGCCGGTGGTGAGGAACGGAGACGACTCTCCCGTTCCACAAAAGCTGTCTCCTGCGAAAGATCATATAGTGCGTTCAGGCGGAGGTTAAGAGAGTGGTGTCTTCTTGAGTGGACTCCAGGGCATCTTGACCAGTTTCGACACGTTGGCTGTGTCATTTGGTGGGAGTTCCTCTTGATTGAATTCCTCAATTGTCACTTACAGATAGTTTTTTCCTAGACATGTCCGCCACATACTAAAAGTGATGCCCAAAACCGTGGCGGAGGGGATGGAACCACGTTCTCGACAAGTCGTCCTGTCTTAAAGCTTGCGTGTAGATGTCTCTTGTGTAGTCCAGACTGGTCCGATGTCACAATTATTCGTCGCCCAAAGGCCGGATTGTTAGAATCTGGGGGTGCATTGATGATAAATGCATGGGAGAGTTAGAGGGAGTGTTTCCCTGTCAGTTTGTAGATAGTCCTCTGGGTGGGAACGTCCAGTTTCCATCATCTTGGCAATAACATCTCTCGGTGAAAACGGCTACTTACTTTGATGTGTCATGGGTAAGTGGACTGAAAAAGCCTAGGGACCTTTTCATCGGTACTAGGGTAGTATAGCGTAAGGCTGCACCTAGGTGATGGTGCAAGATCAAGTTCATGGCTGACATTATTCGTTCGTTGACTGAATCGCACTTTTGCACGTTCCGCGGCCGATCTCTCCGACACGGGACACCTCAAGTGTCTTCATATCAAGCAGGAGCCCGCCATCCATCGACCAGCAAACGGAAACGCTGCCATGACCCTCAATTCCTCGATGAGAACCCATCGCCACTACCTCGAATATGTGGGGTAAGGGACGAGAACACGGGGGCATGGAGTAATACGGGGTAATATCTTTTCTCTTCGTCGCACAAAATAGACCCCTCTCGCAGGCCTGACAGCATAAGCGAGATGTGATCTGCTTCCCTCTCACAAGAGATATTCACAATCAGCACCACCGATGACGCAGAAACTCCCCTTGCATTCGAATTGGGGAAATGCCAAACACACCAACCGAATTTCCCCAAACATCTACTTCTGGGATGCCGACAAGCCCCACCATCAGGCTGTGCAGGCGGAGTCGAACACCATCAATTGAGTCTGGACTCCCATGGGAGGCGGCGATAGACTTTGATGAATGTTCAAATATGAGGTTGCAAGACGGGTAGAAATCACTCGGTCCGGGGGCCTTGAGAGGTTGGTCGACAGACAGAGAGTATCTATTCCCCCTGCCACGAGACTTCAACATGGCGGAACGGCACCTTTGGTCGTTTGGTGCGCGGCATCCCGTCCTTGGGATTGCTCTGTTGAGCGCCACAGTCCTCGTTGTAGTCTGGAGGTTGAACGAATATGTCAAGGCGCGAAAATACAAGTTGCCGCCACGGATTCCCGGGATCCCAGTATTCGGCAATACCTTTCAGCTCCCTCCCTTGAAGCAAGGGCTGTGGGGCATGGAAATGGCCAGGAAGTACGGCGAGATGTAAGAAACCGCACTGTTTGATGGAGATTTTTGACAAGGCTGAACTCAGGGGGTCAGGTTCACATGCAGCATTGGCGGTAAGACGTGGGTGTTTCTGAACTCGTCGCGCACTGTCAACGACTTGATGGAGAAGCGGTCGTCCATCTACTCGTCGCGCCAATACATGCCCATGGCGTCAGGTGTGCTCTCGGGCGACAATCGCATTCTGCTGATGCCTTACGGCGAACGATGGCGCATGATCCGTCGCATTATGCACTCGATCCTCAACAAGCAGAACTCCCCTGTCTTTGCGCCCTTCCAGGACATCGAGTCCAAGCACCTCCTCTACGACTTCCTCCACCACCCGGAGCTGTGGTACTCGGCCACCCAGCGCTTCGCCAACTCGGTCATCATGAGCGTAGTCTTCGGCAAACGCATGGAGCTGGAGGACCCCAAGATCCGCGAACTTTTCGAGACGTCCAACGCCATCATCGAGGCCATCCAGCCCTCGGCGAACCTCGTGGATTCGCTGACCTTCCTGGAAAAGCTGCCAAAGCCTCTGCAGTGGTGGCGGCCCAGAGGGGAGGCCATGTTCCAGAAGACTGTCAAGTAAGCTCCCCCAATTCGGCACGCTGTCAGCGCGTTATGTTACTGACCGGGATGTAGCATCTACAGACGGGAGGTAGAGGAATTGCAGCAGAAAATGAAAAACGGGACCGCGAGGGATTGCTTCGCCACCAGGTTTCTCAGGGATCCCGAAACGAAGAGCTACGGGCCGACTCAGACGTACTTCGCCCTGGGATCTCTCATGGAGGCGGGCAGTGACACCTCACGCATGACCATCAGCCAGGTGATGGCGGCCGCGGTCCTCGACAAGCGGTGGGTGGCAACGGCGCGGGAAGCCCTCGACAGGGTCTGTGGCAGGAAGGCTGAGCGTCTTCCGACTTTCGAGGACCGCATCGATCTGCCCTACATCACCGCCACGGTCAAAGAGGCATTTCGATGGCGGCCATTCGCCGAGATTGGCGTGCCGCACATGCTCATCCAGGACGACGAGTACGAAGGCTATAAATTCCCCGCAGGGACACTGTTCACGTGGAATGCGACGGCCATCGCCATGGACCCGCGAGAATATGAGCAGCCTGAACGGTTCTGGCCCGAGAGATTCCTCAACGACGACCTCGACCACGTTTTGAAAGGACATTGGAGCTTTGGACCAGGTACGTGAGCTTCCCCCCACTGACTCTCCCAGGAGAAACCTGTAGTTAAGACGCGAACTCACCTTTGGGACAAACCAGGTCGACGCGTCTGCTCCGGATACAATGTGGGAGAGACGAACGTTTGGATCGTGGTGGCCCGGTTGCTGTACTGTTTCGACTTTGAAGGCGTTCCCGTGAGTTAACCCTGTGACCGTGGTGCCCGTGCTTTGCACTCTGTAGTTTTTCCACTAACAATGCTCTCTACAGGGGAAGCCAATCGACTCGTTTCAGGTCAACTGGGGAGAACATCGATTCGCACCCTTCGACGTCTCGATCAGAGTTCGTAGCCCTGAGCACGCAGCCTTGATCGAAAGGGAGGGAAGAGCTGCTGTGGATACCAAGTACTAAGTGATCTGGCTCCTCGCTTGTGCATGGTGGTGAGTTGGAGTAGCCTAGACTCGGGAACAGTATCTTCCATAGTCCGTATGGTAATACCTCCTTGGGCAACTATGCGGTTAGTGGATATTGTTACCCCACATGTTCCTACTTCCTGTTTGATAACTCAATGTGGACTTCCATTGTGGAGGAACAAAACCCCACCTCCCCAGGCAATGTATTGTATCGTCGTGAAGGGTGGAAGGGTAGCTTTCAGGGGCATACATGTATTGCCGGAAGACAACAACAATATCCCCTGGAATGCACGGACAGTTGGGGTATTGTGACCTGAATCCAAACAATTGATCTCTGACAATCTTGGCCTGGCGTGCTTAAACGGGCCTGGACAAATCGTTCGCCGGACCTTGCTTCGTTTTCCCTCTCTGGTCAATATTCAGTGGGGCTTTTTGGTGTGTTTGCAGCCTCGGTGGTGCCACTTGTGTCCAAGCATCGGAGCAATACAAGTCTGGGCTGGGGAGACATAAGACAGTTGATATATTCCCAGCCACCCCTTCTAGCACCACAGACATCACGACAAACAAGTGGCTGGGACGGTAGTGGTAATAGTCTACAAGAAGTCGAACAATGGGGAAGCAAACACCCGTCAACAAGGTGGGTAGAGTTCACTCCCCCCAGCCAGCAAGGCGTGAATGGTTTCTTCTCCTGACGAGCACTCTTAGGTCATCATCGTTGGTGCTGGCCCTTCGGGGCTGCTGCTAGGGATCCTTCTGGCCAAGCAAGGAGTCACGGTTCAACTCCTCGAGGCAGCTGGCGAACTCGACAAGAATCCCCGAGCGGCTCACTATGCTCCCTCAGCAGTTTACGAATTGAATCGCGCTGGAGTGCTCGACGACGTCAAGGCACAGGGAATCCATCCCGATGCAGTCTGCTGGCGCCACCCCGATGGCACGTTTATCGCGGGTATTCGAAGTCGCTTCGACATAGAATTTCCCATGGTTTGTCTGCCTCTGGATCAACTCGACGTCATCCTTCTTCAGCATTTTCTGGCTCAACCAAGCGCCGAAATCTTGTGGCACCACAAAGTCGTCTCGATCGACCAGGACGATAATGAGGCGAGGGTCCACGTCGAGACGCCGGAAGGAAAGAAGACGTTTGGCGCCGACTACATCGTCGGTTGTGACGGGGCAAACAGCCAGATCAGGCGGTCGCTGTTTGGTGACCTGAACTATCCTGGGGAGACCCTCCAGAAGCAGATCATCGCTACTAATGTGAGTTCTTCTGGCCAGACAAAAAGATAAAAGACTGAGAGTCCTCAGGTATATTACGACTTCCACAAATTCGGGTACTGGGACTCGAATTTCATTATCGATGAGAATGACTGGTATATGGCAGCTCGGATCACTCAAGACGGACTGTGGAGAGTAACGTACGGCGACGTATGGGGGCTGTCGAACGAGGAATACCTGGCAAGGCAGCCCGAACGTTACGAGAAAATCCTGCCAGGAAACCCAAAGCCGGGAGATTACAAGCTCGTCAGCGCCAGCCCGTACAAGCTACACCAACGATGTGCAGACTCTTTTAGAGTGGGAAGATTTTTGCTCGCCGCCGACGCTGCTCATTTGTGCAACCCTTTGTAAGTTCTCCGGCATGGTAAACGGTTCTGGCTGACATACCGGTTGTAGCGGTGGGTTGGGTCTCACCGGCGGTATTGCTGACGTAGGGAGCTTGTTTGATGCTCTCGTAGCGTTGAAAGAGGGAAAGGCAGATGATAGCATTCTGGACAAGTACAGCGAGGTCCGACGCAAGAAATGGGCCGAAATTATTGACCCCATGTCTCGAGCCAATTTCCGACGTGTCTGTCTGGAGGAAGCGGAGTCGGAGAGACAAGAGTTCTGGAACTTCTGCAAGAAGATGGAAGAGGATGAAGAACTGGCGCGCCAGATGGCACAGGTGAGAGAGATGTGTGCTGTATAGGGGTTTAGTATCCGTGCTGACACCTTTTCCAGGGAACAAATGTATTGCGAGAGGATTTTCGAGAGTACTTGACGGCTGGGGCGGCGTAGGCCGGGTCGGTGAGGTGGACTAAGTTGTCGACGATGGTTAGATTCTTGGTCCTTGACGGTTTAGTCTTGGAACCACTGTAGGAAGTCGTGTTCCTGGTACTTTAGCAAATAAGGCAGCCAGGGCGAATTGCGTCGACAACTTCACCTTCCCTTCCCACATAAGAGCTTTATTGCAGTTGTTCTTTTTGCCCTGATTGTACAGATCAAAGCCACGTCGTGGACCCAGTTTGACCAAGAAGGCTCTCTGAACACAGCTACAGATCGAAACTGAAAGTAGTATGTCATTCACCGTCGGTTGGTCTAGGTGATTTATCCTTATTTTGTCCCTGGCTGGATACATCGGGAAAGGAGGGTTCGGTATTAGGTACTCAATGTCGTGGAGATTGGGGGCCGATTCCTAACCTGGGGGAAAGCGCGTATTGGCTGGAAAGGGAATCCGGCGAACATCCCGAGCCGCAGGAATAGCGACGTTGGTCTGGCCATAAAAGCACGTCAAAGTATCTTCGGGCGCCGACGAGGTTGCGTGGGCTGCAGTCGGAGGGGGACAATGTCTGCTGTGTAAACTGATACGGGGAATGAAAACACCATAGCAGATGCGAAGTTGTTTCTATGGTCGAATCACCTTGTCGTCATTGCTTGGCGGAGATAGACTTCCCCCTCAAATCGATCCATCGAGTGGAGTTGCTTGTAAAGAGGTTGCCTGCAACTTCTCATTCGTCCTGCAACACAAATCCTGATCGTGGACATCGTCGAGTTTGTCATTGTTGTTCTCCTCTATATCGTTCTTGGTCTCTAGCAAGCAGCGTTGATGTCTGGGAATTGAGGGCCGCCCTCATTTTCGCCGTGTTGGGCAACTAATCCTACACCGACATCGATGAGAGTGCTATCTCCGTCGAGCTCATCACGACCCGCTTCAATCACGACTTTAGCGACGACGCACCTACCTCATTCTCCCACTCCTCGCACTTGCGTTACCAAACTGTGATAGACTTTCTGAGATTGAAGTTTATCCGCCTTTCCACCGAGTCCTCATTGCAGAACCGGACGGCACATCTATCCGGGCAGCTATAATTCCCAAGCAAGAGCTGGCATACACTCCTTTTTGTGGCGGGATTGGGGAGGATGGCGGACTTTACACTTGTGCCCAGTGGGCATGGCAGCAATTACACTGGCATGCTGACGAGGAGCATCGTCTTCTCGGGAGCTCTTTTCATCTTCCTCGCAGGCATGCGCATCTCAATCCATTGATCATTGGACCGACTGCTGACCATCTGTCTAGCGTCAGGAATGACAATTGCGTCAATTGTCATCCCCGACTGGATAGCATTCGACGGGAGCACAGTGAGTGGATGTCCCTGAGAGATACGGGTTGTGCCTGACGGGTGAATAGAACCACGGAACCTCGATACGCTACAGTTACGGACTGCACCGAAGATGCTCGAATACGAACCTACCTCCTTCAAACGTCTCATACACCACGACCTCCAATTGGCATTGTACACAATTCCCCCGGTATGAAGACTGCCGGGGCGACGATCGATATTTCTGCAGCATGTGGAGGTCAGTGGGCTTTTTAATGTCCTTTGCAGTGGTGCTGGAGGGCATGACACTTGCCGCATTTGCCGTTCTGCTTGTGGGTGGAAAGCAGAAAAGAGAACAAGGTTGGGGCGTCCTCACAATATTGGTAGCATTGGCAGCGTTTGTGCAGGCCATTGGAATGGCGTTGATGGTGAGCAGTGGCCTGCTTCATGGCGCATCCCGCAGCTGACCCCCGCGACAGGCATATTTGTACGAAAACGACGAGCGGTTTTTCTCCGGCTGGTATCTCGACAAGAGTTGGACCATGTGTACAGTTTCATGGAGTTTTGAAGCATTATGTGCGGTTGCCATCACCCTGGCGGCAGTGACGCTGCCAAGCGAAGGAGGATACGAATTGATTCCAGACCATGGCTAATCCGGGTCCAAATCGACTCGAAGACGCCGGATACCGAGTGATGTCTGAAGATATGATTATTACGTACCCTCCCGGTTGGTGAGGCTGGAGCTGGATCTTGCTTTTGGCCGCAAATGTTTTTGATGTTGTGACCTGGGTTTTGCGTCCAGGGGGAATATATACGGATCCCTAGAAGGCTGTTAGGTTACCGGCTGTAATATAGAGAGGGAGAGAGAACAGTGTCTGTTGATGTCATCATGCAAACAATGGTGGTGACGGCGTTTGCCGTCGAAAGAAGGTGGTGGTGGCAGTGTTGCGAGAAGCCGGCCATAGCCCGGCCACCGGAGTTATGAACCCATCATCTTGCGCCGCTTTTGATCCGCTTTTTCGCCGCATGTGATTTTCTGCAAAATCCTAAGCCTAACTAGGCTAGAGTTAGTGGCTTGGTTAAAGCGCCCTTGTCCCCATTCCATCTCCCGTAAAGCTTGCGAGCCAGAGCTTAGTCAAATGTTGGGTAATGCCGCGCCGCATCGCATTGCATCTCGTATCTCGTGCTCGCCTCTCTGGGTAGTAGAAAGTAAAAATTGCCGAACACAGTCAACGCTGAAAGAGGCTCGTGTTCGGTTCGAAACCGTCCTAGCTGATGCTGCTGGGCTGTGTGCCCGTGGAATATCCATCCAATTGACGGGCCAATAATTCATCCGGTACCTGATCCCTGCGTCCCTGCTTGGATCATAGTCCCGCATGCATGTCATGGCGGCTTCACAGATCGCCTTTCCCACGAAAGGAAATAGCTGCACCTTAGTCAACCGTGGGACGTGGCACGGACCTGCTCACCATGCCATGCCAACTGTTGCGAAACATCGAACAAACCCTTTACAGCTGAAGCCAAGCCGGAAAGTCAATAAATACCACAAACCTACTGCTCAGCTCGAGTTGGACCTCCATCCAACATGCTTAAATACCTCTGTCGACCCCAGAGTTTGCTCCCCTGTCAATCAGTCCACGTCTCAAATCGCTTGATCGTGATTCGTTACTACGCTGTCCTCTCTGTCGACACCAGCTGAGAGGCCGACAACATGTCCACCCCAATTCCATCGCCTCCCGGAATTCCAATCTTGGGCAACGTGTTGGACATTGATCCAAACAACGCCAATCAGAGTCTCCGTCACCTGGCGGACAAGTATGGTGAGACCTTGATGCCCCTGCCGCTGATACAGACCGAGTATGTTGCTGATATTCGCGTTAAAGGCCCCATCTTCAAATTGACTGTCTTCGGTTCCGACAGGTATATCATCAGCTCGGTCGAACTGCTCAATGAGATCTGTGATGAAAAACGCTTCTGCAAATCCGTGTCGGGTGCCCTGGAACAAGTACGCAACGGGGTAGGAAATGGTCTTTTCACTGCCTACCATGGCGAGCATGATTGGGAGGTCGCTCATCGCATCCTTGTGCCTGCGTTTGGTCCGATCGGTATTCACGATATGTGTATGGTCTCTCTCCGCACGTGAATTGATGTAGGCCGCTGATGTTTCTAGACGACGAGATGTACGACATCGCCACCCAGTTGGTCGCAAAGTGGGCGCGCGCTGGGCCCGATCAGAAGATCGCAGTCACGGACGATTTCACTCGACTGACCCTGGATTCCATCGCGCTATGTGTCATGGGCAAGCGCTTCAATTCGTTTTACTCAGAAAAACTCCACCCCTTTGTCAATGCAATGGTCGGTTTCTTGGTGGAGTCTGGACGCCGGTCTCAACGCACGAGAATTGGAACCCTTCTCAGCAGATCGAGCGAACGCCAGTACTATGAGGACATCAACACGATGAGAACCGTCGCCAAGGAAATGGTTGACTTCCGCCGAGCCAACCCGGTCGACAAGAAAGACTTGCTCAATGCCATGCTTTTCGGAAAAGACCCAAAGACGGGAGAGAAGATGACGGATGAGAGCATCATCAACAATATCATCACTTTCCTCATCGCTGGACACGAAACGACTTCGGGCCTGCTTTCATTTGTCTTCTACCAGCTTTGCAAGAACCCCGATGCAATGCGCAAGGCTCAGCAGGAGGTTGACAGTGTGGTTGGTAAGGGTCCGGTGACAGTCCAGCACGTCTCGAAGCTGCCCTACATCGAAGCAATCATGAGAGAAACCCTTCGACTCACGCCCACCGCTCCCGGATTCGCTGTTAAATCGTTGGACACCGTCGCTGGGCCCGTGGTCCTCGCTGGAAAATACACCATTCCGGCTGGCCGTCCCATCATTGCTATGCTATCGAAAATCGGACGTGATCCGGTTGTCTATGGTGCGGATGCCGACGAATTCAAGCCTGAGAGAATGTATGGAGAGAACTTTGCAAAACTGCCACCCAACGCTTGGAAGGTAAATTCTAAACCTACCCGACGGAATGGTAAATCCGCTGCTAACTGATTGTCAGCCGTTCGGAAATGGCGCTCGTGGGTGCATTGGGCGCCCTTTTGCCTGGCAAGAAGCGATTCTGGCTATTGCTCTTATTCTTCAGAACTTCAACGTCAGATTGGACGACCCGTCGTATCAACTGCAAATCAGACAGACCTTGACCATCAAGCCAGACAACTTGTTTCTCCGAGCCACTTTACGCGACGACATCGATCCCGTGAAATTGGAGCGGAAGATGTACGCAGGGCTCGAAACTGAAGACGCCCATCACAAGGAACGCAGCGCTCTGGCCAAGAAAGCTGGTGACGCGGGAAAGCCAATGTTGATCCTCTACGGATCCAATTCGGGTACTTGTGAAGGGTTGGCGCAGGGTCTGGCTAACAGTGCAGGGAATCGAGGCTTCAACGCCACCGTGAAATCTCTGGACGCTGCCGTTGACCAGCTCCCCAGCAACCAGCCCGTCATCGTCATTACTGCAAGCTACGAGGGCAATCCTCCCGACAACGCCGTAGGGTTCGTGGAATGGCTCAAGACGGTGGATGCTGGCAAGGTCAAGAATGTCCAATTCGCTGTCTTCGGCTGTGGCCATCGCGACTGGGTTAGCACTTTTCAGAAAATCCCGAAGCTGATTGATTCCGAGTTGGCTGCGAAAGGAGCAAAGCAAATTGCAGAGCGCGGACAATCCGATGTCGCCGAGGGGAAGGTGTTCGACGACTTCGACGAGTGGCAGGACGAGAAGCTCTGGCCTACTCTATCTGTCGACGCTGGAGCTGACGAGATCCCCGGGGCGTTGGACATGGAGATCAGCACCAGCGCTCGCGCATCCCATCTCCGGCATAACGTGCAGGAGGCGTTGGTTTTGGAGAATGAGCTGTTGACCGATCCCTCGATCCCAGAGAAGAGACACACCGAGTTCAAACTCCCGACCAACATGACGTACGAAGCTGGAGACTATCTCGCTCTGCTACCAGTCAACAATGTCCAGACAATCTCGAGAGTCCTCCGCCGATTTGGACTCCCGTGGGATGCATTCATGACACTGGCCAAAGGCGCGCATACCACCATTCCAACGGAAATACCTATTGCGATCTCAGCCGTGCTGGGGGCGTACGTGGAATTGAACAATCCTGCCAGCCGCAAGCACATTGCAACTCTCAGCAAGTACGCCAAAGATGAATCAGTTCGCAAGGAGGTCTCGGAGATCACGGGGCCCTCGTCCGTTTTGGAAATCCTGGAGAAGTATCCGAGCATCGAGCTCCCGTTTGCCGCCTACCTCTCCATGCTCACCCCCATGCGCATCCGCCAGTATTCCATCTCGTCCTCGCCGCTCCACGACCCAACCAAGGTCAGCATCACATACACCGTGGTCGGCGCCGGCACCAGCCACGTTGGCGTTGCGACAAACTACCTCAAATCTCTATCGGCGGGCTCCACGGCGCAGCTGATGATCAAGAAGTCACATCCGAGCTTCCACTTACCGCTGGACACCAAGACGCCGATCATCATGGTCTGCGCCGGCACGGGTCTCGCGCCCTTCTTGGGATTCGTCCAAGAACGCGCCGTCCGCATCGCCGCTGTCGGCGGGAACCGCGACGCGTTCGGCGAAGCGCTCTTGTTCATCGGATGCCGCTTCCACAACAAGGACCGGTTGCACGCCAAGCAGCTCGACGAATGGGCCGAGCAGGGCGCCGTCAAGCTGTTCTACGCCTTCAGCCGCGAGCCCGAGCACTCCGAGGGGTGCAAGTACGTGCAAGACCGACTCTGGCGCGAGCGCGAGACACTCAACAAGCTGTTCAGCGAGGGCGCCAGGGCGTACATCTGCGGCAGCGGTTCCGTGGGCAAGGGCGTCGCGGACGTCGCGGCCAAGATCGCCGTGGAGCGCGCCGAGAAGAGCGGCAAGGCCCTGTCCCATGAAAAGGCACTGAAATGGTGGGAGGATCTGAGGGGTGAGCGCTATGCGGTCGACGTCTTTGACTGAAGTAGTTAGTGGTGGAAGTGTGGAGGTATACTGGACTCGTTGGTGCAGAGTTCGGATTGCGAGGATTTGAAGGTATCAGAGCAAAAATTAGCAGGACTTCGGGAGAGAAAAGCTAATCGAGAGACTGTCTGTTCGGTATGGAGAATGGTTTTGTTACAGATTTTCCTTTCTCTAAAAAATGAAACAAAAAACCCCTTTACAAAACAAGCCGATATGCTTCGTCCTGATACAATAGTGTTGCAGTGTCTACCACAACAAGTGCTGACGCTGCGTAGTGACAGGCCTGTCAGGCAAATGTACCCACATGCTCTTGCCCAGTCTTTTCTTCAATGCCCGTGCCTCCTTCTCAGCTTTCTCCCTCGTCCTGGTCTTCTCTTCTTTCAACAGGACGGTGATTCCCGTGTGTGGGGGTCTCATAATATACATCCGTCCTCGGGCGCGATAGTCTGGTTCTTGACCATAAGGCCCACGGTTGGTCCAGGCCTGGGCCACGTACATGTCGGTTGGATCAGGTGCGACGCCCTTCTTGTACGTCTTCAGTGGTGTCTGGTGAGGGAGGGGCGGTGTCTCGCTTGGGTCGGACTGGAGGAGCTCTGCGTTTTGATTCTCCAGTTCCGCACGACCCAAACCCATGCCCTTGACAACGATGGCCTCGTTCCGGGCTTGGATGAGGTGCTGGCGGACGTCTTGAGCCACTTTCTTGTTGGAAAACCTCATCTGAAGGATCGCTTCGTCGATAGGCTTGCCGGCAATCTGACGGGCAAGTGGCGCCAGCTTCTTCATCGAAGTCTTGAAAAAGTGAGATCGAGACATATGGCTGCGTTCGGTCCTCGCTATGATCATCTCCTTTGACAACCGGCCCCGATGTCTTATTTCTCGGATGACCATCTTCCGTTGCCATCGCAGACGGGCCCCGGGACGCGGGTTCAGAGCCTGTTCCATGTTGGTGGGGTTACGCTTCTCAAAGGCATCTTCGACGAGCAGGCCGGTGGGTTGGAAGGCTTTGCGCTTCAATTCTCGACCAAAGGCGCTGGAAGGAGCGAGACCTCCTTGAGTGGCGTTTGCCTCGTAGTCTTTTCGCTGCTCATTCAACTTGTCTTGAGCTCTTCGCGCTGCGGCCTTCATTCTTTCCACCGGAGTCATTGGTTTCGCATTTGGTTCGATCGCTTTGCTAGGAGCTTGTTTGGCGGACGGCCTCTCTGAATCGGCGGAGGCGCGTCGGAAATTGGAGGAATGAATCGATCTTCTTGACGAGAGATGGAGAGAGGTCGTTCGACGGCACAGCTCGATCAGAGGCGAAGGCTCTGTTCGTGATTGGCAAGCTTCGACGCAGTCAGTCAGTCTGCAAGGAATCGAGGGAAACGGGAAACCTGCTTCTGCAAATATGTCGCAGAGACATATGTTGAGTGTTCATCATGATGGGCTTGAGCATGAGCTTGAGCTCAGAATGAGCTCAGTTGCAGTCTTAGCTGCTTTTTCGTTGCGATTGAACCCAGCCCGCAACCAGTTCTCACAGACGTTCCAGATGGAGGATTGAAAGAAAGTGCTTGGCAAACGGAACAACGTAAACCCTGGACCGAGCACGCCCCCTTTTGGGAAGAGCCTTTCCTCTCTGATTTCTTGAATAACATTAGTGCGCGAGCAATGTATCGTTGAATGTTCTGCCACGTTTGAGATTGTACGCCTCGTGCCAACCATGGTCCTGGACCCTGCCGCATCACCCCTGAATCTCTACAGCTTAACAATGAGTGCCGCTCAAGGAGGAGAAACAGACTACCGTTGGCCTAAGCATGGAGATAGATCATTGCTCATCCCATACGATCTACTACTGTAAAGTGACAGTTGAAAGGGGTCGCCGTGGCTCACATTGGGGTTCTACAAATCTGGCGGCAATTCCCATGGGATTGCGCCCTGCACGAGAAGGAAGACCATAGCTTGATCAAAAGGTGGTCTTACCGAATGAGCAGGATCTTGTGTCTAGGTTGACGAAAAGGCTATTGAAACAGCAGCTTTTGAGCGGAGTCGACATGGGCAACGCACGAACGCTATGGCCATGCAGAATGAACTTTTGGTACAACCCCCGTTGGGTGCCAGGGCGAGCCAGGGTGCTTGTACAGTAATAATGTCTAGCCCATCCGCCCCAGACCGTTACAACTTGGCAGAGGACGTCACCAGCGAACGTTGGGCGCCCGGGAAAAGCCCGGTGTCGGGTACCGGCTCCTGGTCACCCACTGGTGTCCCCGTGGTTGGGCTTTAGTCAGCGTAAGCGATCGTCAGGGCCACCTAAGGACCACCTGGAACTACTAGAAGGGGCGCTAGAGGGCTGGAAGGCCCAAGCCCACGAGCTCCCAGCCCAGGGCAACAAGCCCGGCCTCGACCAGGTGACAAGGCCTACAACCCTCTTTTGTGCAGTGTCTGCCTGTTCGCCCGTGTACCCGGAGCTTTCATCCAGCATCCAGCTCAAGATATTCCTGCTTCCTGCAGTAGCTCTCTGACATTCCGTCATTCTTGAACTTTTTTGCTCTTCCTGCGCCCCATAAACCCTGGAGTAACCCTTGCCCACGGCGTTCCGTATCCTCGTCTACAACAACGCGCATAAAACTCAACCGCCTCGGGTTGATTTCCTGCCCCTCCACACCTATCCTGCGTTACCTTATCTGAGGTCTATCAAGTCCTCGTTGACAGAGGAGCATGGCCTCGTCAGTAGGCCGGGGCATCATCAAGTTGGAAAGAGTTGGAACAGGGCCATTCATTGCATTAAGTTAAAGTTAATCCAGAGAAAATATCGGTGCGACCATGGACATCAATTCACTTCTTTCTCCGTCCGACAATCCTCGCGCCAATTCTCTCACTCCTTCAACTGGCACTCCGAGTCTCACGAATTCGCATTCGGCGTCGACTACCAATTCGCTTTCGCAGTCACAGTCACAGCCGCAGTCGCCACTCAGGCATGTTTCAAGAACGCAGTCCGGGTCCGCAGGCTTGGTGAGCTCGCCGCTAGGTCGCTCTGTTCAACCACCGTCGAGCATTCCTGCCCATGTCAGAAGTCCGGCTCAGCAGACTCCGCACTCGTCGCCGCTCATCAGCCCTGTGCCTGCCGGTACCGCGTCTGCTCATTTGCCTCGGTCTTCGTCCACACCTACCATGGAGACCTTGGCAGACTTCAATTCATCAAAGCCTAATCTGATCAGTCGCGAGTCGACCGATAGCCAAAAATCATCCTCGGGTCTCTTCCCTCACCTCACATCTGCTGGAGCAACCTCAAACCCGCGCGCGTCCATAGACATAAACATGGTTGAGACGCCGCAAGCGGTAATAAGAGCAGACTACACCGATACCACTCTCCCGGTCGAGGCGCAACAAAGACTGGCTGTGCTGGCTGCCCACATTCAAGAAACCCCGTCGTCGTATGAAGCCCACAAGGAAATCATCAAAATCCTGCATCAGGGTTTTGTCGACCACATCTATCCCTCTTCTAGTCCGAACGCTCACGGAGATCCTCGAAAATATGACCTCCTCGCTGACCTTCGGCGAGCCCGTGAGAACCTGGACAAGCTTTTTGCAGTTGGCGAGGAACAGTGGCTGGACTGGCTTCAAGATGAGAGTATCCTTGCACAGACAGCGGACGAGCGAGTGGCTGTCGTGGACAAGTGTAGGCGCGCAGTGACGGAGGAGTACGGTAGCACTCGACTGTGGACGACTTACGGTGATTGGGTCTCGTACTGCCACAAATGGGCCCTCGACTCAACCGGGGACGCCCAGGGCGACGTCGACACCGAACGATTGATTGGCCGCGAGGTCTTCGACTGGAATATTGTCTTGGATACATGGACTGAAGCCGTCGAACGAACAAAGCATGACATGAGCCGTAGTCATGAGGTCTGGAACAAGTACATGACTGTCCGTTTTGGTGACGTCAGTCAAAAATTGTCCTCGAGCGATGCCACTGCTGTTCTTGAATTGTTCGAAACCCGTTTACGCATACCGCATGCTGAATGGCAGCAGACCTTCCAGGCATTCTCAACCTTTGTCTCTGCCAATGTACCAGCAGATCAGTACGAGGAGATCATGGCGTCAAACCTCAGAGACTCTGCCAATGCCAAGAAGATATGGAATGACAGAGATGCATTGGAGATGAATCTGGCGGAGGCCCAAACCGCCGGAGACACTGCTTTTGAATACCAAGCTTTCTCGAAATATATCGAGTGGGAGCGTGCAGAGGAGGACAAGCCACGGACGCAGCGGAAAGGTCGGGGCAAAAAAGCGCAGGAGGTTCGAAACCCGTTCTTCGACATGGTTGACGCTCTTTACGAACGTGCGGAACTTCGCTTCCCCTCGGTGCCTGCAATCTGGGAAGAACATATCGACTATCTGATCGAGAAGTCGAAGCCGGGTTTGCGGGATGTCTTGGCTCGAGCCACGAAACACTGTCCGTGGTCTGGGTCGCTGTGGAAACAGTACATGTTGACCTCCGAACTTGCAGAAGAACCATTCGATGAAACCGAGAAGATCAAGCACAAGGCCACCAGCACTGGGCTTCTGGACGCCGCAGGCATCGAGGAGGCCCTGGTCGTTCACGATGCGTGGTGTGGCTATCTCTTGCGGCGGACCAGACGCCCTGATGCTATTGAAGAGGATGCCGATGTTGCGGAAATGGGAATTCGGTCGTCTATCGAGGCCGTGCATAGCCTGGCTTCGAAGTTGGGAATTGGAAGCGCATTTGATCCTTCATTCCGGCTACAGCGAAAATACGTCGAATACCTCAAGTCCCAGCGCCGACTCGACAATGCAGGTGCACAGTTCAACGACGCTGTGGCTGACTACGGCAAGTATTACAAGTTCTGGCTGCGCTACTATGAGTTTGAAATGCAGAAATCCATGCAAATTGCCTTGCTCCAACGACCAGGACCCGACCGACTGGACACGCTCTCCTCCTCCCCTTTCGCGGTGGGAGTTCTGAAACAAGGGCTCCAGCATCCCGGCCTGGACTACCCAGAGCCACTCGTGGAAGCACTGTTGAATCACTGCGAGGACTATGAGGATGCAGATGAACTGCAAAGCGCCGTCAGTCTGGTACGGAAAGTTCAGAAAGAGCTCACAGCAAAGCGGCAACGAGAAGTCCTTCACGCAGCCGAGGTCGCCGCGCAAAGGGAACAGGCCGAAGAGGGAGTTGCTCATCGGACACAGGAGGTCGCCAATGGTCTCCACATCGGGAAGCGCAAGCGAGACGAAGAGGTGGAGGAAGAAGAGGCCAAGAAAAGACAACGGAACGAAGAGCCTGTGGAACCGTCGGTTGAACCGGATCGACCTCCCCCCGAAGACTTGAAACGCGATCGCGAACACGCCAGCGTGCTTGTGCAGAACATCCCACCTAATGTCAGCGAAACCAAGATCCGGCAGTATTTCAGCAGCTGTGGAACCGTCAAGCAGGTGAAACTCTTACAAGACGAGGAGAACAGTGTCATTGTGGAGTTTGAAGATGCCGATGCGGCTTCTTTCGCCCTCTCCCGAGATGGACGTGAGTTTGAAGGCGCGGAGCTTTCTGTTATCCTCAACACGGGATCGACGCTGTTTGTCACGAATTACCCTGCCGCCGCCGATGAATCGTATATCCGTAACCTGTTCCGTTCGTACGGTGAGATCGTCAACGTCCGCTTTCCTTCTCTTCAACGCAATAAGAAGCGGAGGTTTTGCTACGTCGAGTTCAAGCGACCTTCGGACGCGCAGGCTGCGACCGAGCTGGACGACAAAGACATTGATGGGTTGAAATTAGTCGCCAAAATCTCGAATCCGATAGTACGACAGCCGAGAAAGGAGCGGGGCAACGACGGGCGTACGGTCTTCATTGGTCAGCTACAGTTCAAGGCCACCGTCGAGGACGTTGAAAAGCTCGTTTCCAAATATGGGACTGTCGAGCAGCTCCGACTTCCCAAGGATCAGAAAAACGCCTCTAGAAACCGGGGTATTGCTTTTGTGACGTTTGCTCGTCCAGAGGAAGCACAGGCAGCTCTGGCCATGCATGGCGAGGAGTTCCAGGGCCGGAAACTCACCGTCAATGTCACATCTGACCGGGACGGCCGGTCCGCCAAGAGCATCAACGGACGATCGAAATCTCCGTCTCTGCAGCCGGACGCTACCTCCGACACCGCGAGTGTACCAAAGACTGTGGATCCAGACACGAGAGAGGACCGTCGTGAGCGGACTGTTGTCATTTGTGATGTCCCCGACATTGTGAACGAAAGCCGCATCAAGTCTGTGGCGGAGAAGATTGGTCCTGTGCGCAAAGTCACCCTGAAGACCAATCATTCGGGCGCTTTCATTGAGTTTCAGAATATCCCAGATGCTGGGCGAGCGATGATGGAGCTCGACAACCTGGAAATCACTCCGGGCCGCCACATTCGCGTCACCACGGAGAAGGACATGCTGCAGCAAAAGCCGGAACACAAGACAGAACAGTTTGCTCGACGCCCTGCTCCAAACGCTGCTAAGCCTACCAGTGGCCCGATCAAACGCCCTGCACAGCCAGGTGTTCGGAAGAAGGGAGGACATTTGGGCCAGAGGTCAATCGCTTTACACGCCGCGAATGAGAAGGAGAGCTCGAGTGCAGCAGACACAGAGAAAGAAAGCGGAAAGAAGACTAATGATGACTTCCGAAACATGATCAACCAGAGCTAGAGGGCCATTGTAGTGGGTGAAGGATGAGAGCTGCATGCCTGCTTTCTTTCCACCTTGGACATTTTGTGTGACCTGTATTATAGAAGATAGCTGGGGCCAGCTCACTAATGGGGGTGGTGTGTGTTTGTGTACGACCGGAGAGTGGTCTCGATTGGAGCTAACTGCCAGATGAGAAAAGATCTGCGTTTGTCTTGTACAGAGAAATAGCCCTGCTGGAGCAACGAATGATTGATTTCCGGCTGAACCATTGAATGGAGTGATTCAGTCCCCTGATGTTCCCTGTGGTTATTGTATAGACCAAATGACTGGGTGTGACTCTGTGTGCGCGTGGAAGCCTCATCATGTGCCCATTGCAGCCTCTGATTGGCTTGCACGGGCTTTGCTTGATCTTTCATCCATAACCTTGAACCAACAACGACTAATAAGTTAATTGATTAATTAATTATTTGATTATTTGTATCCTGTCGGCCCATTTCCGGTTCTTTCTCTTCTTTCATAACCAACACGAATTGTTGTTGTTGTTCAAGACTCGGGGCGTGAAGCCGTGTTCGTTCGTAAAAAGCCACGATGAGTCCGTCTGCCCGCCTGCGGCTCCTCGCCGCCCACAACTGGTCGACGTTTCGCCGACAGCCCTGGAACGAGATCTCGGGTTCGCTGGGTGACCTGGGCACGTTCCTCCCCATCGTCATTGCCTTGACCGAAGGCCGCCAGATCGCCCTGACGACCACCCTCATCTTTTCGGGCGTGTACAACATCCTGACCGGTGCCTGCTTCGGGATCCCGCTGCCGGTGCAGCCGATGAAGGCGATCGCCGCCGTCGCGATCCTCAAGTCCCTGACCGCGGGCCAGACGGCAGCGGCCGGCATCTTCGTCTCCAGCTGCATCCTGCTCTTCAGCGTTACAGGTCTTCTGTCGTGGTTCACACGGGTGATCCCCATCCCCGTGGTCAAGGGAATCCAGGTCGGGGCTGGGTTGAGCTTGATCATCGCAGCAGGCACCAAGGCACTCTCGTCCCTGTCGTGGACGACGCCGTCCTGGGCAGACAATTATCTATGGATGACACTGGCCTTCCTCGCTCTCTTCGCCATCAATCTGCGCCCACGGACGCCGTACGCCCTGATCCTGTTCCTCGTCGGGGTGGCGTTTGCAATGATCCAAATAACAGCCGACGACAGGCACCGCCTCCCAGGATTCCACATGTGGCGTCCATACACCCATGCACCGTCGGCAAGGGAGTGGAAGACTGGGATCCTCGACGCGGGCATCGGCCAACTACCGCTCACGACGCTCAACTCCATCATCGCCGTCACCCACCTCGCCACTGATCTCCTCCCGGACGTTGAAACCCCTACGGTCACGGCCATCGGCGTCAGTGTGGCCGGCATGAATCTCTTCGGATGCTGGTTCGGGGCCATGCCGGTGTGCCATGGTTCGGGGGGGTTGGCGGCACAATATCGATTTGGTGCTCGCTCAGGGGCCAGTATCATCTTTCTCGGCCTCCTGAAGCTGCTCCTGGGCATCCTTTTCGGCGAGAGTCTTACAGATGTTCTACATCGATTCCCTCTGGCATTCCTGTCGGTCATGATCATCGCGGCCGGACTGGAATTGGCCAGTGTTGGGGAGAGTCTGAACACGCCCCGCGCGCGAGACCTAAGCAAGGAAGGGTCCGGAGCGAGACGCATTGATATCACGGACGAAGAAAAGAAGCAGAGATGGACTGTCATGTTGGTGACGGCTGGCCTGCTTATTGCGTTCAAAAACGACGCCATCGGCTTCTCCGCCGGCATGTGCTGCCATTGGAGCTTTCAACTGTCCAGCTATCTAACGCAACGAGCTGCAACAAAGAGAAGAAGAAGACACGTTGGAACGCCCGATGATGCAGAAGAGCGTGTGAGCCTCCTTTCATGAAGTTTCGGGGAGGGGAGGTGTTACCACGGTATCTCACCGCCCGCCCTCGAAAACGTCCCTGTCACTCCATCGGGCCCTTCAGCAACCAACTCGGCCACCCTCACAGCTCCCAACTTCGGATGCATTTCCTCACTCCCCAGCTCTGCACCGTTCAACCCCGTCGCGCGGTAACCCGGACACACGCTGTTGACCTTCCACTGGGGGTACAGCTTGGCATAGTACACAGCAATGGCGTTTTCGGCGGATTTGCTCGTGTTGTACCAGGGCCCCTTGTACATGATGCCGACGTCCAGCGTGGTCTTCAGGGAGCCCAAGGTGGAGGACACGAAGATGACTTTGGGCAACCTGGACAGTTCGAGGAGCGGCGCCATTTTGTCGGTGATGACGGCGGTGGAGGTGGCGTTGACGCTCATGCAGAGGTCGTATTTCTGCCGCAGGGTGGCGTCCGGGGGCAGCGTTTGGGCGGCCGTCCCGGCGTTGTTGACCAGAATGTCCAGTCGGCCAAAATGCTGCTGGATGGCAAGGAAGCAGTGTTCGATGGACTCGTCGTCGGTGATGTCAAGTTGGATTGGGTTGACGTTGATGGGAGCGCCCATGCTCGCCACCGCCTCTTCACCCTTGTGGGTGTCGCGACAGCCCATCAATACGTGGTTGTTGGGGCTGTCGCCGGCGAGTCTCTTGACAATCTCGTAGCCGATGCCTGTATTGCCGCCGCTGACGAGGATGATGGTCTTGGTCTGTGCGACGACGCTGGAGGGGCGGGTCTGGAGGTGTGGTCGGGACATTGTTGGGGGGGGAGAGAGAGAGTCGAGGGAAAAAGGAGGGGCAGCAGATGGGATTGAGTAGATGGTTTTTTGTTTATTTTTGTTTTGTTTTGTGTTGTGTCAAGTCAACTTCAATTTGAAAGAGACCCAGTTCTCTTCGAAGATAAAATCCTATCTGGAAGAACCACGACGATAATACCGAGCAGAAGCGGTGTTGTTGTCGATTGACCCTGAAATTAATATATAAGAAAGAGTGTGAAGATCGGATCGATACGTCACCGGAGGCGGGCTGCAGCAGAGAGAAAGTCGGGTATTCTCTACCCCGGCTACCCCGGTAAGGACATACGGTACAGTATTCCGTCATGTACAGTACAGTACATATCCAGTACCGGCAAATGATGAGCTATGTATATACTGTATATCTGTACGGAGTAGAAGGTGGGTTTTGGTAAGCATTATGAAGCCCACTATGGCTGCTAGGGGACTTCGTTTCGGTCTGCAACCGATACGGAGGCGACAACTTTATCTCCGAACGACCAAGACCTTCCCGACGCGGTATTTACTTGATTTGATTTGTACTTATTACTTGACTTTGACTCGATGGAGCAAGCAGCATTGGGAGTCGAGGGGTCGGACTGACACTCTGGGGCGTGGTCTGTCTGTCGTTGGTGGTCCGAAATAATCGAAACCGTCTCCTTTCTGTCTTTGAATCTGGCTGGCTAGCTAGGTACACAAGGATACGCGAAAGTCAAGTAGAGGGGAGGAGGTGTATACGGTAGGGAGGTAGGTAGGTAGGCTAAGAAGTGGGAAGGGATCAAAGGCAGGAAGGGAGGCGCCGCAGGAGTCGTAAGAGATGGGATTACTCGCCGCAGTACTCCTAGTATTGGGTGCAACTACTCTCTCTCACTAGGTAGTACTCTCATACCCATTACTCTATCACTCATTCATTCAATTATTCTCTCGTTCTCACATGCGGCCTCGACTCGACTCACTTGGCTCTTCAGACCTCAATCGGTCGAAAAGGCTGGCTGTGTCGGCCGATAGCTAGGCATATTTATTGCGTATCTATGCGTGTGCTGACAGACAGACACACACATATTCACGGGGATGTATGTGGTGCAGCGCGGAGACGGAGATAGTGACGACGAAAAGAAAAGAATCGACCAGATCAGAGGATAGGTGAATGAAGTCTATCATTCTCTCTGTCCCTCTGCCCTCTCTTTCCTGCCTCCCTCCCTCCCTCCGTGACTACGATTTCCCGTCCAGCTTCGTAAATGCCTCCGGTCCCCCGGGAATTTGCAACCAATTCTTCTCGTCGTAATGCTCCTGGCCCTCGATAAGGTGGAACGTGTAGATGATGCGGCCCTTCTGGCTCGTGTTCTTCTCGCTCTTGTGCAGGATGTTGCCGTGGATGAGCACCAGGCTGCCGGCCTCGACCTCCCCCAGCACGTACTGCTCCTCCTCGTTCCCGGGGCGGTCGGCGGCGTCGTGCTCAAAGTTCCGCGGCCAGCGTGCTGCGTCCTCGTCCGGCACGCTCTCAAACGTCGTGCCGGCCGACCCGTCGACCGCCCGGCGCACAAAGCGGTCGCGGATGGGTGCCCGCCGGTGGCTGCCCGGCGCGAAGCTCAGACACCCGTTCTCCACCGTGGCGTCCTCCAGCGCGATCCAGAAGCCCACGGCCGACGGGCGGTACGTGTACAGGAACGAGCTGTCCTGGTGCGGCGGCACCGCGCCCCCGATCTCGGGCTGCTTGCAGATAACCATGCTCTGCAGCAGGCGCGGGTCGCGGTAGCCCAGGTCGCGGGCGACGGCGGCGTTGCGGCGCCCGACCTCGCCCACATGCGACACGGCCGCGAACTCGGGCACCCGGCCGTGCAGGTTGTGTCCGATCTTGTTGATGGCGCGCTCCTTGGGCTTGGTCAGCGCGCCCGTGGCCGGGTCGAACGCGTCCTCCTCGAAGAAGAACCGCACCTGGTCGCCCGACGTCAGGAAGTAGTCGTCGCCCACGTGTTTCTTGGCCGTCGGCTTGCCCGCCGCGTCCGTCCCCGTCGTGAACCGCGTCATCGGGTGATCCTCCAGCGGGAACTCGCTCAGTAGCTGCTGCGTCTTGGCGAGGAGCGTCTGGCACGTCTCGCGCGAGAGGTACGACGGAATGATGAGGTAGCCGTCGCGCTGGAACGAGGCGACCTGTTTGGACGTGAGGCCGACGGGGGGGATGGTTTCTGAGGGCGGGTCTGGAGAGATTCTCGAGGGCGCCATCTTTAATTTTCCTGTTATAGGTGAGCCTGAGTAGTAGAGCTGTATGTATGTATACCTGAGGGGTGTTCAGAATGTACAGATCTGTTGTGAAGGTGGCAGTACTGGTGCAGAGTGTGTAGATAATGTGATTTCACAGGCGGAGAACAGCGCGGGGAATGAATTCAATCTGACGCCCTCGCGCCGCCACTATTACATATGTATTGGTGCCACTATGTGAGCCTCACTAGCCCACTGATGTAGAAGGTAGATAGATACCTACCCAATACACCGTACTGCAGCCCTTTCACGGCTTGTCCTTGCGCCTCCTCATGACAATGGGCAATTCTACCTCAATCCAACCACGCTTTCAAGAGCTTGGGCAGAAAGTCCTTGACCAGATCGCTATTTTCGAGCAACTCGGTGAACTTCACGTCGCCTGCGATCTTTTTGATGTGGCAGACCAGGTAGTCCGAGACCAAGTTACGCAACCGGTCAATCTCCTGCTCGTGAGGTGGGGTGTTGTCATAGGTGTATTTCAGCAATTCGACCACGTCGCCGACCCGCTGTCGATGCAGTTTGAACCATGAGAGCGTGAGCCGAAGCTTTTGTAGGACAAGGTCCTGGAGGGGCTCGATGCTGTACTGGTCGGCGAAGGCGTACAGTTTGGCGTGACAGAGAAAGACGGGCGTGTAATCCTGGCAATGGTCCTCGTTGACTTGCGGCTTCCATGCTGCCTTCTCCGCTATGTGTGCCTTGCACTTAAAAGAGTCCCATACTTGTTCTGCCTTTGGTTTCCCCCTGTCAACGGCGGGTGGAGGAGAAAAACTTTCATCCTCGGGCCACACGATAGAGCGCACCTTGCTCTTTTTCTTCTTGCGACTCTGCCCGAGGCCATTGAAATCCCACTGAGATGAGATTGGCTCAGATATTTCTAGCCCAAATTCCCTGGGCTCTGCGGCTTGAGGGACATCATATTCGATTGGATATGAATCAACGGCTGCAACTGGTACTTCATGATCCGCGGGACCGGTTGGATTATCGACAACAATGTCTGACTCGGACAGCACGATATCTGGCTCAGCAACCGTATAGTCACCTGTGTAGGCAAACTGGATGACGCGAATGAAGGTTTCCTCATCTGTGTCCTCAAACACTGCGAATCCTTCCTTTGCTTCAATCATATCACCATTGAGTAACTTGTCCATGGCAATGGACAGCTGTGAAGCGAGTCTGGAATGCATGTAGAAGGCTCTGCGTGCGGGACCGACGAGGAACTTGAAAGGCTTGGAATCGGCAAAGCTATCCAGCATCAGCGATCCATCATCTCCGACAGAGATCAGACTCGTGGAGAACCTACCTGTAGTCGGGGATAGACATGACTGCGGCGTGATGTAGATCAAGACACTGACGGACAAGACAGAAGGAAGAGGGTAGTCACTGGAAAGCTCACCGATTAAACCACGATAGAAGCACGTTGGGTACGCAGGCAGCATGGTAGCTTGATAGGTACCATCACGCGGCCGGCAGGCTGCATGTAAGGACGAATGAGTTGAAGCATGCCAGTGACAGGACGTGGAGTGAGTGACGTGCGTCACTGAGCCAACTCCATGGGGGATGGCCTATCTTTTGAGGCATGCGATCATTTGCCAGCCTTACTGCAGCGCATCAAATGGTGAGGGGGCTGCATGTCCTTTGCGATGGGTGAGGTCGGCGACATTGAGGTTGAATACGTGTCAAGATGGCACCCTGTAATAATTCACAGGAACCGACAGTAGCTTTTGACTATTAAGTCCCGGGACGAGGCCAGGTATATGTTGTACCTAAACAATTCAGGGCAGCCCCGAACCCCGCCATTCCCCCCCACCAGCTCAAACCCTGGAACCCTAACGCGTGCCTATCGCAGGTAGAACGCCGCCCCTCTCCTTCCCCTTCCCCCCCCCCCCCCGTGCGGCGCTTGGTGCTCACCACTGATCTCGCCATCTGTGCCTATCCACCAACCACTTCGTCACTTGCCCTCCACTAGCAGCCGATCCGTTGAGGCCGCCTTTCCAGGGCTCGACTCCCGTAATTTAGCCTCAC